CTCATCTATCGTCTATCTATTTTAACTAACTTCGAAACGCTAGCTATATAGAAGGCTATTAGCCTAAGCTAGGTTATATAGTTTACCCTTAAAGATAATCGTTAGTAGGAGCGCCTATCTAGAAGCGCTAATTAACTTAATTATAGTTACCCACTCTTAGTTCCCTAGCTATAAAACCAACCTCTGATCGTAGTATTCTACTCGAGTAATAACCTTTACGGTCATTATAAGGCCTATCGCGAAGCTAGTCTCGTCAAAGTTATAGATATCCTCTAGTAGGATACTATATTACTAAATTATAGTTTATATAGTGTTAAACCACCCTTAAATGACCTTCGGATCCTCTTATTTTGCTCGCTAATAGTTATATCGACGTGAAAAGCGTGATTGAAGCTCTAGAGTGCGCTAGGTAAAGTTATAGACCTATTTTTCGCTAACGGTCTAGATTAGGGTTAAACCACGCTTTATAAGTAAAAGATTAGCTATTTCTCGTACGATCGTAGGCCTAGGGGTAGCTCTACGTAAATCTATTAATAGTATCTACTACTTAAACGATAGATCTTTAGTTTAGGTTAATTTATAACTATTAGCGCGTGATTTAGAGCGGTTTAGGTAACTAGATAGCCGTTCTTAAAGGGTAGAACGCGGAACATTAAAATAGTATATTGCTTTATGAATTAAGCTAATTTTATACTTCTGAATAGCAGAAATAGCTAGTAGGACCCTGCCCTCTTACTTAACTATATTTTGGCTCGATCGGCTGCGATTTAGGGGTATAGTGGTTAGTAAAAAATAAAAGGACGCGTGTGGACGCGAAAAAATAGTTGGGTGGCCAGCTCGCTTACATAGCCAGCTCGCTTACCGAATACGTTACTAAAAGAGAGATATCTAGTAATCTAGACTAATTAAGAGCTTTAAATAAAATAAAAGTATTTAAATAGTATCTTTTCTATTAGTCTTTAACTATATTTTATAGTTAACGCTATATAGACTTCCGCAGAACCCAACTTTCGACCCAATCTTGGCATTGCCAAGAACCCAATAACCCAACTTCGACCCAATATGGTGCATAATAGTGCATAAGTAGCCCTAATTAGGAAGGTCTTGGCACTTTTATGTATATTTATGCAATAAACTCTATTGTTGGGTTCTTGGCGTTGGGTTTTGGGTCGAAGGTCTCGACCCAAGTTGGGTTTTGCGGAAGTCTAACGCTATATTATATAACTAGTAGGAAAGGTTAGGACTAAAAAGGCTAATTAAGATAGATATAGAAGCTTCTAGAAATACTTACTTTTAATAATTTAGAAAGATAAATATAGATTAGTAATAGTAATTAAAAGCTATTTCTACTAGAGCTTTTTAGACTAAGGTTAGGATTAATTAGAGTTAACTATCTAGTAAGAGAATAATAGGTTAGTTTTCTCTTATTTTACTCTCTCTTTTCTCTCTCTTTTCTCTCTCTTTTCTCTCTCTTTTCTCTCTCTTTTCTCTCTCTTTAGTAAATACTAGATATTTATTTATTTTCCTTTTAATTTTTAATAGCTACTATTCTTCTAATACCTATATAGAGTAGTCGTCCTATTTAATACTATATAACTAAATATTATACTATATTATTTATATATAGCCTTAGGCTATCTACTCTAGATATTTATAATTTAATTAAATAATATTTATATATCTAAGATATAGCCCTTTCTATCCTAATATATATATTATATATCTAGCTTTAAGCTATATTAAATTTAATAAAATTAGACTTAATTATATCTATCTAAAGAGCCTAGTCTTTAGTTCGGTCTCTAATGTATTAAATAGAGAGTAATAGTAATAGTAGTTAAGATATAAGTTTAGTTATTTAGCTATTTATTAGTTTAGTTAGTTTAAAAGAGAAGGAATTAAATAGAAGAAGAAGGTTAATACTATTACTATAAATAGATTAGCTTATAAAGTCTAAAGGTTCTATCCTTTCTAGGAGTAAAGATAAAGTAAGAAAAGTTAAGATAAAATATAAAGAAATAAATAGATTTAGGTAAAGTATATAGCCTAATATTATTAGTTCTTTATAAGCTAATTATTATAAAGTAGGTTAAATAAGCCTATCCTATTAGCCTAAATCTCTATACGACTATAGATATACCTATAGATATATTTATAGGCCTATGGAATTCGCTAAGAGCTATCTCCCTTCAAAATTCTTTAACTTTTTCTCTTAACTCTAACCTTTTTATCTTAACTATACACCCTACACTAGTAATTAGGTACTTATAAGATAAGAGTAGATAAAAAAAGCTATAATAATTTAATTAAATTATAAAATAAGCCCTAATAACCTAGTATTATACTATAGGAAGATTACTAAATTATAGTGGTGTAGTTATATATAATAAATATATATCTTTAAGCACTAACTATAATTTCTGCTATTACTTTTTTACCTTTACTTCTATAGGCCTAAAATATTCATAAGACTAATGAAAGTAACCCTTTTATATATATAAATAAATTTATTTCTTATAATTACGTAGTAGGTAGGCTGAAAAGTGGTGATATTACTTGTTCCGACGAAAATATATATAAATAATAAAGGTTAGTCAGTGAGTTATATATAAAAATTAGGCTAAATCAGGCCAAATTAGGCCAAATTAGGCAGAATTAGGTGTCTATAGGCGACCTATGTCATTGCCTACTCACCCCTGGTAGATAGATAGAGAGAATCACCCTAGCCTACCCTTTATAAGAGAGAAAGGCTAGTGCTCCCGGAGGTAAATTGAAATGAAAGCTCTTGTTCGATTCAGTCTAGGTTTTGAGCTATATTTATAGACAGAAATATTCCGTTCGTCCGAGATGAGTCTGCCGTTTACCCAATAATATGAACGTCATGAAATGAGGGATAGGCCTAGCAACCATAGTTATGTAGGCTGGTGCAGAGGGAAAGAAAGCATAGTAAATACTGAAGTGAGAGACAAAGAAGCGTGGAAAATCAGACAGAAGACGGTGAGAGATGGGAGAACGGGGACTTCCATATTGAATTGGAAGCTCTAGATATATGTATATATAAATGCGTACACCTAAAATCCTGACAGAATGGAATTGAATGCGCTGGGCTGTGGGAGCGGTCGGGTCTTGACTCTTATATAGATACTGGAATACTGAAACCAGGGAGTAGGATCCCTGACCGGTAGCTTTATTATTCATAATCGACTTTGTTGAACATCAATAAATATGAAACACATACGTGAGCTCACATGTCTATACCACGGGGTCTAGAGCATGATCCGGCACGGTGCGGTATCGTTGCTGGCTTATATGTGAAGATATCACGATAGGGGCGCCGACTTGGAGTTCAGCAAAAGTTGCAGACCCAGAATTCAGTAAGCAGACAGTCCTACCACCATAAAACGGTTTCAAATCTACAATATTGGTGGCATCAATCCTGGCCTTATGGGTGTGAACACAGCTGAAGATCACTACTAAATGAGCCCTAGCATCCACAAATGGCTAGAGAGTTCCCAGTATTGCCCATAGATGGATAAAGCTAGGTCATAATTTAAGGTGACAGGAGCAGTTAGCTTGACAAGTTCTAGTTACTACAGCGAATGAAGCTGCTCCTTTGTAACATGAAATATCGCGAAGATTGTGCTCTCGTTTCTGATATAGCGGTTCTTTGCCGAGACACTCGATAAATTTGGCCCATTTCCTGGGCAACGATCGCAGAAGGGGGTTGAAAACATCGAGATTGTAATTTGGTCTCAACTAAATCGTAGATATTGAAGTATACCATAATTCACACCCACCTGTACTCCTGATAGCCGGAGACACACAAGGGCAAGGTATAGAATCCCGCCACGGAAATCAATGACTGCGGAACCTAGGCACCGTTCGTCCCTGACTTTACGGGTGGACATGCAAAAACCGGGTGGCTGTATCGTATAGTCTACCCATAAGTATAAATACACGCATACCTACCAAGAGGAACCGAAAGACGCAATAGCGTAATGAACTTTCAGTGTTAGTCTAGCAATTGCCACTTTTCAAGAAGGTACCATCAGTGATGAGTCGGGATATCACACCTAGGTACAATCGTAGTGGATAGATAACCTTTTGAGAAGAGGTTCATCCACGGCCATGAAAAACACTTGTAAATTTCGAACACCCACAAGACCCAATTTACCACCATCCCACAAAATAGTATCATGAAATGGAGAATGAAATATCGTAGGCTTGCTAATTGATTTTTACCTGTCAACTGCTCGTGCAGTGGCCGTAAGCCTAGAGAAGCAAAAGATTGACTAGGCCTATGCTCACGTGGTACTTAAAAGCCTCGAGTATTTAACATGGTCGACAAAGAATACGCGGCTCACTAGACGCGCCAAAGTGCCGAGGTTATGCCCAAAGCACATAAAAAACTCTAGCACTCTAGCGCGATGAACTTTGCTCGGTGTGAGGGGGGCATACGAGCACCGAAAGGGAAATGAACTTACCAGAGACAAAGAAGCAACGAGGAAAGATGCGGGCGCCACTTTCCATACTTCAAGGTTTAAGGAAAGTTGATAGATACGAGACGATGAAGAGGATGTACCTCGACCTCTTCGGCCCCGAGAATTACCCTGATCGGAATGACAGTGCTCCTCGTGGGGCAGCGATTACTTGTCGGAAAGTATTTTTTGAACCCGAGCATATTGGACAACGCAGGAGGGGGCCTCCTCCAGTATTTTCAACTAAACCGGGGACCTTACTAAATCAATGACTCCGTCGGGATTTACAATGCAACCGCAAGCAAGGCGGTTTCTACCAGTGGATTGCAGATTAGATCGTTGCATACTGCACTAAATTTTGGTTTGTCCTGGCTAGACCGGTCATCTACGGGGACAGCCGTGGCCCGATGCCAGTGATGTAAATATGTCATACATGTCATGAACTTTTTTGTTTTCCTATATCAGAAGACAACGACTGCCATGGTTGACCAGTATTTGACACCACTTCAAAATGAAATACCCTTAAACAGATTCGAGGACCGTGTCCTTGAACTCCCGCTCAACCTTCTGGCCCTTGTCATCAGTGGCCGACTCGCCGTGGAGGGCGAGGAGAGCACCCAGGTCAAACTTGGGGGACTTCAGGAGCTTGACCTTGCGAATGTGAACCTGTGACATGATGGGTTAATATCAGGGGGTACGATCAGATTCAACCCGAAGGAGGGGGAAAACTCACATTCTGCAGGGGGTAGATGCCCTGGGTGGACTTCTCGATCTCACGACCAATGACCTCGGGGATGAGCTTGTGGGTGAGCTGAGACAGAGTGCAGCTGGCGGCCTCGCGCTGAATAATCTCGGTCATCTTCTTGCGGATCGCACGGATTTGAGACGAGCGGGCGTAGGTGGTCTTCTTGATCTGGTTGGGGCGTCTCTTGGTGAAGGCGATGGCGAACAGACGGAGGAGGTAGTCATCGGTAGTCTTCACGGTGACGTTGGCCTCAATGAGAGACTGCCACTTGCGGACCAGCGAGCGCAGCTTGTCGGTGGTGAAGTCCAAGCCGTGGAAGTTGGTAAGACAGTTCTTGCCCTGGATCTCGTCCACACGGAGCTTGACCTTGCGGAAAGCGTGGTCCTCATCGTTCTGCAGATCCGCGAGGGAGACCTCGAAGATACGGCCCTTGAGGGAGTCGTTGGCGTTCTTGAGACCGCTGGTACGGTTGACCAGAGTCTTGCCGACACTTTTCGATTCCGTTAGCAAACACAGATACTATCACCGAGGGGTCGATCCAAAAAGGGGTTCCTACTCGCGGGTCTGGAAGGTGGAGGGGGCCTGTAGAATGGTCAGCGATTGTTCCCAGGGCACCGAAGAGAAAAAAAACCGATAGGGACACTCACCTTCACGGAGTACTCATCCTTACGGGTGAAGGGGTCGACAGTGCGCTTCTTGATGCCCTTCTTGCCCTTGGAGAGGCGCTTGTTCCTGGAAGCGAAGTTGGATTAGCCGGGGTGATTCGACGAGGTGCTGATTTCAAGAGATGCCAGGGGCGAGGGGGAGGAGCGAAGAAAACAATCGAGTGAACGAGAGAACAAGAAAACGAGGGGAGAGGAAAGTGCTTACTTTCCAACAGCCATGATTGCGAGTCGGGTCTATCTGGGTGTTGTTGGAAGACAGACAAAGGTATCGCACCACGGCGCTTCGGAGGGTTTCGAGATTCTCGCTCGGGTCGACTGGGAGGGTTGAAATCGAAAACCCACAGAAAACTCGCTAAGCGAAGTGCGCGGGCCCTACCTGGCTGATGTAAGACAACCACGTGACACACAGTCGAGAAATTCCCCATCTTCGCACTTTCCCCTTTTCGGACTCGAAGCCTGAGGCAAATACACACAGGCCAGTCACTAATCACTAATCGATCGAGTTCACTACATAGGCACCTGGGAAGCATTCACTACCCTATGAATGATGGTGCTTTGATTGGTTCACCTCGTTTGCCTCAGAGACTGGGCAGATACATGCTGATATCTGAGGTATCACCTGTTTCTTGGATTTCCAAGTGCTACTGCTACCCAATCTCTAACCTGTATCTTCTAAAGTGCTGGGTAGTAACAGTCCTCATAAAATCAGGACAGCAATTCAACATGAGATTTGTGGTGTATGTAGAAAGTGCCTAGATAGTCATCCTACCTAACAAACCGAATTGATACTCGCTCTGTGGAATGACGATGCTGGGACGACGGAGGCCCCGTTCTTCCGATACGATACCCATTCTCCGCACGAGCCAACCCCTCACAACGACACCTTCGCCTTCGCCTTTTCTCGAGTCTGCATCGCTTGAAGTAGAGCATGGTATGTCTCTCGTTATTGTTCATGCTTTCCAGGGGAACATGACTGATCCCACTTGCCTCTCAGGGAAAGCGCAAGAAGTCAAGCCGGCAGCCGCAAGGGCCCCGAAAGGTGCGAACATCTCCTCCCTTATTCGCCATCCGACAGTACTGACCTTGAGCAGCGGGAACCTCTTGCGACTACCTTCGCATGTCTATTCTGCAACCATGAGAACTCGGTCGTGGTCAAGCTGGATAAGAAGTTGGGTTTAGGAGACCTGTCGTGTAAAGTCTGCGGCCAAAAGTTCCAGACGGGCATCAATTGTGGGTGGAAAAGGCCTTGATCATACATCCGGTGCCCCCTGACTGACTCTGTGTTAGACCTCTCTGCCGCAGTGGACGTATACTCGGATTGGGTGGATGCGTGTGATGCCGTGGCCAAGGACACGGCCAACCAATACGACGGGGGCGCGAGTACGCAGGCCGGGAACAGCAAGCCCGATGCATCGGCGGATGTTGGAGATGGCGATACCTACGAGGGGGAAGACTATTGATCATGTTACGAGGCGCGGAGGCGAACGGCGCATGGGCATGGTACCAATTTGAGGAGCTCGGTTCATATACACACGGCGCATCCACCAATTTGATATTGTTTGTACTACCTCTGATTCTAGCCGGTTTCAGTACAGCAGGACAGGTTTCTCCATCGAACCCCTATATGGTCTAGATGATATTCGGAGACCAGCTGAACTAGGGTGTTCTGGGACTCCCCCGAGGAGTCAAGATGTTGTGCCGATGCCACCAATATTCCTGCTTCGTCCGCAAACTCGGCTGGGACAAACATGAGCGGTAAGCTTGGACGATTGGTCGTCGTAGTCGAGGTTGTGTAAAGCTACAATGTATAGTATCGGTCACCAAAATCGCCCAAGCCCGGAATGATGTATCTGTGGGTGCATTAGTGCGTTTCGAAATCTGCGAGGAAGAGTAGGATAGAATACTTTTTGTCGTCCAGTCCCTGGTCAACGAAGGCTGTGACAACCCGAAGTTTAGGGAATCTTTCGGCGAATTCCGCAACACCGGAGGGGCTGGCGATCAGATTGAGGAATAGGATCCGGTGTTCGGGTACACCCTTTTCCTTCAATACTTCAACAGCTAGTGTAGCAGAGCCGCCTGATTCATGACACGTCAGTGTGGTTGAGGGGATTCGAAAGGGCTCGAAACCCACCCGTGGCAAACATGGGATCCAGAAGGAGAACCCATCGGTCAGCAATATCGGCAGGTAGCTTGTCGTAGAAGAGTTTTGGCATGCAAGTCTCCTCATCTCGCTGGATCAAGATCTTGCCGATACGGACTGACCGACAGCAATCTCGCAGGCCTTGCTCCATGGCCTCTCCGGCTCTCATGATGGATACGCCGCATATTTTGCCCTCAAACTTCACGCCTAAGTAGGCCCGTCCGACCGGGGTCGTCACGGACTGTTCCACTACCGGGAGGTGGTTCAGTCCTTCTTCTACCAACAATCGAATGATTCGGTTGGAGTAAAAGATGAAGTCCGCACGAGCTGTCCGTTGGTCACGGATCATCCTGTGTGTGCAGTCAGATATACATGTAACGGCCTCACCCCTCAATGCTGGAGGTACGATCTTACGTCAAGAGAGCAATCAGCTGGGGTGTCTGGGGGAGGACGTGGACATTCTCGTAGGAGACCTCTTTGGACACCGTCGCCGTCGGTTTCTCACCGTCAGGTCGATAGATAGGACCCACGCCCTGGGCAGGAGATGGGATCGGATCTTTGCCAGCCATGCCGCCTCGAGAGATGAGAACGGTACGAAGGTGTGGATAATGTCGGATATGGCGTCTGTGCACGCGCACACGAGTGGGGGGAAAGAAGATGGGATTTACCCTTATCTCGTATCTGCATCTTGCGGTCTTCGAGCACGCGCCCTCCTCCGCACTGGGTCGTTTTGGTTGCATCACCGCTGAATAAGCCTCGAGCTTGAGCCGACCAGGGAGTTCCATCTCTCACCTTCGACTTCCCCTTTACCTCACCTTCGATGTTTCGTGGGGTCAAAGCAGATACGGAATTTCTGGGATCTTCGCGATCTCTGTCTCTCCCTTCCAACTCTCCTTCCGCGTGAAACCGCCTCGGTGTTCGGTATGTCTTCATCGCCAGACTTTGCCTTTCTCATCGGATCGGTCTCTTTGAACCTGTGAACTCGCTCGTTCATCGCCCCTCGACCTTCATTGACTTGAATGAAATGCGACGCGTTTGCGACCATCATAAGAGCGAAAATGGACCACCCGCGACCCCGAAACCGAAGACTGGTGACCTATGGCGCTTCCACGAGGAATCCGCCGCCTTCAAAGACCATATCCGCACGCGCATCAACGGTCAAAGATATTACGGGATCATGCCCACCGGACCGTAAGCTCGAAGGTACCGAGAAAGGATACAAGCGATCATCACGCCCGGGTGCCTCTATGGCCCCAACGCTTGAAAAACCACGGGAATCCGCCGAAGATAGCATCTACAATCTACCGTCATCAGATGAGGAGGGCCAGAAAACCATTGTACAGCGGAAGCGAAGGCGTCAAGGCTCCAGTTTAAATGCTTCCTTGCACAAGGACAGTCTTGAATCGCGAGCTGCTTCGATAGTCGATACCAACCCCAGACCCCGCAATAATTCGACTCCGAAACAAGATGCGGGCATTTCCGTAGCTAAGAATGCCTCCCCACGGACGAAGAAGACCGCACGAGACCCCAGCCGGCTATTCGGGAGAAAGCAAGGAGGAGGTTCACAGCCCATTCGGCAGACATTCACGACAACTCCTGATACCACAAATATTATCGAGTCTACCAAGGCTGAACGCTCTTCTTCCGAGGACAGTGAACCACTGCGGCAAGCTCGGACGGAGAGCCCCTCTGAAAACAAAATATCAAATTCTAGGAATCCTGTATTACCTAGTCCTCGAAAGGTCGCTCGGACAACTGCTGGAAGCACGACTCCCGGTCGAAGAAGATTAATTGATTCACTAGCTACAAGAGGGCAGTTTGATGATGAAGTGTCACCCAAAAAGCCAATGGATAGTCCGCTGTCTTCACCTTTTGCTCGCCGCGGCCCACATCCCCCACGTCCCCCAAAGGACGTTGGATCACCATCCGTGCCAATCGAAGGCCATCTTGACGGCTATGGCCAGGACTCTACTGTCCCTGCCTCCCCTCATCTTCGAGGCTCCAAAGTGACGTATGCCCGCCAACGTTCCTTTTTGGATGACCTTCTTGGCCAGGCCCTTCCCACGGATCTAGAGCAGCTGGACCCGTTGATTTCACCACGCGGATCCAACGAGCGTATGCCTAGTGCACGTATATTCGCAATTGATGAGATCAACAACGATGACGATGGGACAGTCCGAAGCATCCACGAATTACGACAGGCGGGTGGAAACGCTCGATATCGGGGCACCGTCGAGTCGATCTTCGAGGATATTGAGGATCCACAAAATTCGGTATCAGGTCGAAGCAGTGCGTTGACCCAACTTTGTGGCAAACTGTTGGATTCAAAACTAGCTCGACAGTTTATTGATTGTGGCTTCGACAAGAGACTAGTAGATTGTCTTTCTCCTGACCTCGACGTTGTTCCTGCTGCGCTTGCTCTCTGCGCCTTTGGCCTTGCCTCTCAGGGCAGGTCATTGCCGTATATTATCGCGACCGCCGCATGGCCCAAGCTTCTGGATACGTCTCCTATTCTAATGAGCGTTCAGGATGACCTTTTCATCATGGCACAGGCCCAGAAGAGCAATTTATCTCGACCTGCCCGGAATTTGGTACAAAGCACTGCCTCGCAGATTCGGTCGGCCTTGCTTCAGGACGATACCTCAATCCAGCTCTCTCCTTGTTTCCTTGCGTTACACTGCTTCAAGATCATCATCTCGGCCTTCCAAGAGAAGGGTGAGTGCCCCAGTGGGCTTCCTACGCCCTTGTTGAAGCAGCTGGTGGACCTTTTGCTCTCCAAGAGTCCTGAATGTGACGGATTTCGGTCATTTGCACCCGAGAAGTCCCATGTCCTAGGGCTAGGATTATCGATTCTGGAAGTGCACACTACACTGGGAGACCCCCCTCAGCGAGAGCACCGCGACATCCTTAGTTTACTGACCGGCATGCATGGATTACTGTACGCGAAAGACGATTCAGACACAGCCAGCCAGCAAATGCAGATGCTCTATATACGGGTAATCTTGAATATGACCAACAATGATCCAATGCTGTGCGATAGCTTTGCAACGTCTGCGATGGTCGGGCAATTAGCTGAGATTGCAATCACCAAGTTTGGAGATTTGACCGAGGATTCTCTAGCTCAGGATAACAGTCCCCTGGACACGGTGATTTTGGCGCTCGGTGCACTCATCAACCTGACCGAACAAAGTGAAGCATCGCGTGCCATGTTCCTCCAAGCTTCCAATGGGGGCGAGTCCCTTCTTGATCGTCTATTACATCTTTTCGCGGATAATGTTGATTCAACCTCCAAGGTAAGGCTCATTCTCAATAACCTGCGAGTTGACATCTGACAAGACCTCTTAGGCTCATTCCGTTTTGGAAGTACATCACAATGTCGCAGTGGGGTATCTAGCAGTACTCCTTCTAGCACTTTCCCTCGACGCGGATGCACGAGTTCAAATAAAGAGGCCAATGCGCTCCAATGGGCTGGCAATCGTCATGTCTACCGTGGATGAATTCTTGCAATACCATCGAAAGATCGAACAGGAATTACACCCGCCCCAAGCACAGGGGAAGGCGAGTGGTTTCGTCGCTCGTCTCCAGAGCCTTGTCAGCCAAGTCAAGCATATTGAGCACTAGTGATAGTGTTTGTACACGAGCCTTTGTGATCACTTTTGAGGGTGATTTTGTACATAATTTCTTCTTATTCTTCTTCTTGTCTCTGGCGCTATGGCGTAGGTAGAGATGGGGCTATATCTAGGTAGTTGAATGACTGATACCACTTCTTTTGTCATCGTTATACTTTCCATGTGTAAAAGAAAAAGGTGAGACTGAGCAGACAAGTAGAAACGAGTAGGAGGATCGGTGATCGGTCGGACTGAGGATCGGCCGAGGCGCGTAATCGTTTGCAGCGTTTGCAAAGAGGAGAGCTCCGGATGCTTCATGCAACTTTGCCACCCGACCGCAACAACTCCCCTCTCCTCTCCATCTTCCCAGGCTGGTTCACCTTCAATTCATCAGTCATCATTCCCTGTCCCCCATCTTCGATTCCAACTTGACAATCTTCCGAGCCGTGCTCGCTGTTCCCCTTCCAAGATGCCTGCCGCCCCGAAACAAAGAAAGATCGCAATTGTCGGTAGCCGTTCCGTCGGTACGGATCTTTCCCTGCCCTACTTTCAAGCGGATTTTATCGTCTAACGCAGGATTCCAGGCAAATCGTCTCTCACCGTCCGCTTTGTCGAGCATCATTTCGTGGAAAGTTACTACCCCACAATTGAGAATACCTTCAGCCGGATTATCAAGTACAATGGTCAAGACTACGCCACTGAGATCGTAGACACTGCTGGACAGGTATGCATTTTCCCCCTGCGAGAAAAGCATTATTCGCTGATGCTTTCTGCAATAGGATGAGTACAGTATCCTGAACTCGAAACACTTCATTGGGATCCATGGTTATATCATTGTGTACTCGGTCACCTCGCGACAATCATTTGAAATGGTCAGAGTCATTCGGGACAAGATTCTGAATCACCTGGTAAGCTCTGTTCTGTCCAGTGCCTTTGACTCTGGTGAAATTTCTAACCTCCCCAAAGGGTGCGGATGAAGTGCCGCTGGTGGTGGTCGGCAACAAGAGCGATCTCAAGCCAGAACAACGCCAAGTCTCTCTCGATGAGGGCCGGCAATTAGCGGAAGAAGTGAACTGTGCATTCACGGAAGCTAGTGCTTTCCTGGACTTCAATGTCTCCAAGGCCTTCGACCTGATGATAGGGGAGATCGAGAAGTCCCAGAACCCGTCTCAGCCCACCGGCGGCAACAAGTGCGCCGTTATGTGATTAGCCTGGACCATTTGCTGTGAGATAACTAGCTGTAACCCACGGTATGTGAAGCTACGCAATCGTCCTCCTCCTGAGAAATGAAGCAAAATGCATTACTGGTATTCCGGGTCCCGCGATAACCGGTTGGTTTCAACTCGACCACTGTGACTGTCCATTCTTCGAATAGTTCGGTTTTACCAGGTCATCATGTTGCCTTAATCTTGCCTCAAGCTACTCGCGTCATTGCTGGCTGACCTTATTGTTTTACCTAGTTAGTATCCAAGCGAGTACCGAGCTACCATATGGGTATATCCAATGGCCTCGTTGAACTTTCCGTCGGGACGAGTCTTCGTACCCGAGGTCTTTTCTTTCCTTTTTTCTCTCTGTTTCTCTCTCTTCCTCTTTCTTTGATTATCTTTTCTGGATTTGGTGGAACATTGGGTTCGGTTGCATGATTCATGAAGGATTTCTTTTTCGGGTTAGGCTAGGGGATCTGTATTTTGGTATCGCAGCGTGCATAGAATAATGAATAGGCCTCGCAGGCCTCGACTGGTCAATTGACGCGCAAGTCTAAGTTCCGAGGTTAGCATTGTTGCCATCGGAGTGGTTTCACCTTCGAAGCATCGCAGGCGGGATTAAGTAATGCCCCGCCGTGCGCGCGCACTTTTGCATTTTACCCCTCCACAACTGAGGTACCCGGCTCTGACTCACTGCCATTTTTCTCGCGCTTCGTTGATTCAACATGCTCGACCTTAACGATTTCATCACCGAGCGCGGTGGTGACATAAACAAAATCAAGGAGAGCCAGCGCCGGCGGTTTGCCCCCGAGGAAGTTGTTGAAGAAGTGATCGCTCTGTATGAAGAAGCCCGCCGAGGTATGTTTTGTGTCGATGCGAGGATCATATGTATGGTGCTGACTGGTACTAGCACGGTACGCGGCCACTCAAATCGGCTCCGAGCTCAATGCCGTCCAGAAGGAGATTGGAAAGAAGAAGAAGGTACTGAACCTCCGTGTTTCTTTCTTACCCAGCAAATACTCACTCTTGGCGGCCAGGCCAAGGAAGACGCTAGTGACTTGGTGAATCAAAAAGCCGATATTGAGAAGCGCAAGAAGGAGGCGGAAGACATCGCCGTCCAGAAGGAATTGGAGCGGGACCGCAAAATCCGGCCGATTGGCAACTACGTTCACGACTCGGTCCCCGTGAGCAACAATGAGGTTGGTAGCCCCGTCCAGAACCACCGCCGTCAGGCTTGTTTCACCATGCTGATATGACACGTGGCGGGACATAGGATGACAACCAGATTATCAGAACATGGGCCCCCGAGAATGTCTCCATGGAGCGACCCGGCTGCCTCTCCCACCACGAAGTCCTGACTCGCTTGGATGGATACGACCCGGAGCGCGGTGTTAAGATCGTCGGCCACCGTGGATACTGCTTGACCGGATATGGCCTCTTCCTCAACCTGGCTTTGATTAACTATGGCCTCGAGTTCCTCTTCAACAAGGGCTACAAGCCCAACCAGCCCCCGCAGTTCATGCTCAAGGATCTGATGGCGAAGACCGCACAGCTCGAGCAATTTGACGAAGAGTTGTACAAGGTCACTGAAAGTGATGACAAGTCCACGGACAAGTACCTCATTGCGACCTCGGAGCAACCGCTGTCTGCCCTACACGACAGCGAGTGGTTGCAGGAGAAGGACCTGCCTATCAAGTGAGACATGCACTCTGACCTGTTCGAAGACGAAGCTAACGAAATGGGGACAGGTACGCCGGATACAGCACATGCTACCGCAAAGAGGCTGGCGCGCACGGCAAGGATGCTTGGGGGATCTTCCGTGTCCACCAGTTCGAGAAGGTAGGCCGGAATACCGCGCACACCCCCAAACTCCGACTCGGTATCTAACATTGCACAGATCGAACAATTTGTTCTGACCAAGCCCGACGAGTCGTGGCAAGCTTTCGAGGATATGATGGCCACCTCCGAGGAGTTCTACAAGTCCCTGGGACTCCCTTATCAGGTCGTGGCCATTGTTTCCGGAGCGTTGAACAACGCTGCGGCCAAGAAGTACGACCTGGAGGCGTGGTTCCCCTTCCAGCAGGAGTACAAGGAGCTCGTGTCGTGCTCCAACTGCACCGACTACCAGTCGCGGGCACTTGATATTCGTTTCGGTGCCAAAAAGGCCACCGACCTAAAGAAGACCTACGTCCACGCCCTCAATGCTACTCTCTGTGCGACCGAGCGAACGCTCTGCTGCGTCCTCGAGAACTTCCAAAGGGAAGAGGTCAGTGTTTGGTCTCGCGCTTTTGTCCGTACGTGCGCTAACTCAATTGTACAGGGTATCGAGGTCCCCGAGCCGCTGCGCAAGTACATTCCCGGTGCACCGGAGTTCATCCCTTACACCAAGGAGCTGCCCAAGGACTCGACCTCCCAGAGGGCGAAGGCCAAGGGCAAGCCCGCCGGTGCCGACGAGGCGGCCAAGAAGATGCAGAGTCTCCAAGTCTAAATGGGGAGACGAGCGGAAGCCAGAAATCCAAACCTACATTCGATACCTCATCTACAGGAGTCCAGTCACCTTCAGGCGACATCCATAAATTCACTATAACTAGTAGGGACTTAAGGTACAAGAATACATATATAGCTTCGTTCAATGTAGATCATAATCGCCCCACACCGGCTTATCGCGTTAGCTGCCGTCTTACTCCCACCGGAAGAAAGAAACGGGAAGAGAAAAAAAAAAGGCCCCGCGCCCTCCGAGGATTCTCCATCTTATCCTATCACGCAATTGACTTGCCTGAGGACCCCCCTCTCCCAAGTATGAGTCAGTGTGCAAATTTAAAAATTAATTAGCCAAAAAGGTAAAAAATAACAAATAGGAGGAGCACAGTTCGGGCCGGATCCGTCTGTTTTCAACCTTGCAAACGGTCCGATTCCGGAGATCCGCGGCGAGGCTTATATAATGGAAGTGATTCATAGAGCCCTCCCAGTGGAAGTGAATCTGTCGGCTTCCTCATTCTTCCCTCATCTGTAATCCTCCGCTATGGCAACTGCTCAAGATATCCGTCCTCGCAAGGACGAGCTGGCCGCCCAGGCCCAGTACCTCTCGACCTCGCCCACGGCTTCATTCCACTCCCCCTCCAGCCACGGCTCCGCTCTCCAACGGATCATCCCCGTGGTGAATGCGAAGCACCTCAAGCCCTTTGCGACCGAGGATATCAAGGTTCTGTTGCTGGAGAACGTGAACCAGGCCGGCCGTGACATCCTGTCTGCGCAGGGCTACCAAGTGGAATTCCTCAAGTCTTCTCTCTCCGAAGATCAGCTCATTGAGAAGATCCGGTTGGACCTCCTTCCGTACCAATTGAAAGGCCATTGCTGACCACTTCTGGTGACACAGTGACGTTCATGTCATCGGTATTCGCTCGAAGACCAAGCTCTCTGAGCGCATCTTGAAGGAGGCCAAGAATCTGATCGTTATCGGGTGCTTCTGCATCGGTACCAACCAGGTCGACCTCCAGTATGCTGCCAACCACGGTATTGCGGTCTTCAACTCGCCCTTCAGCAACTCTCGCAGTGTTGCAGAGCTGGTCATCGGAGAAATCATTGCCCTCGCGCGCCAGCTGGGTGACCGCTCAAACGAAATGCACAACGGAACCTGGAACAAAGTGAGCAACAAGTGCTGGGAGATCCGTGGCAAGACGCTGGGTAGGCATCGTTTCTTGACTGCTCTGTTTCGGCTCGCCAATTGCTGACCGAGCCTTCTAGGTATCGTTGGATACGGTCACATCGGTGCCCAATTGTCTGTACTGGCAGAGTCCATGGGGATGTCGGTCATCTTCTACGATGTGCTCAACCTGATGGCCCTCGGTACTGCTCGTCAGGTCGAGACCTTGGATGCTCTGATGGCCGAGGCCGACTTCATCACCTGCCATGTTCCCGAAGTTCCGGAGACGAAGGGCATGATCGGCCGGAAGCAGTTTGACCAGATGAAGACCGGGAGCTACCTGATCAATGCCAGCCGTGGAACCGTGGTGGACATCCCCGCGCTCATTGATGCCATGCGAAGCGGCAAGGTTGCTGGTGCTGCGCTGGATGTGTATCCGAACGAGCCTGCCGGCAACGGCGACTACTTCAACAACGACCTCAACACCTGGGGAGCTGACCTGCGTGCCCTCAAGAATCTCATTCTGACCCCCCACATCGGAGGCAGCACCGAGGAGGCCCAAAGCGCGATCGGTGTGGAAGTTGCCCAGGCTCTGACTCGTTACGTCAACGAAGGTACCACTCTGGGCGCTGTCAACCTGCCCGAGGTTAACCTCCGTTCCCTGACCATGGAGGAGCCTGACCACGCACGGGTAAGTTCCCTTCTCGCTGCGGCTGTGATTTGTTGGCGAGAGTAACTTGGGAGAGCGAGATTAAGACTGACCGACTGGTTATAGGTTGTCTATATTCACAAGAACATTCCCGGTGTGTTGCGGAAGGTGAACGAAATCATTGGCGACCACAATGTCGACAAGCAGATGACCGACAGCAGAGGCGATGTAAGTATTCGGTCACAATTGCCGTGGATCAAGTTACTAAGTACGTTCAGGTTGCCTACCTGATGGCTGATATCAGCGACGTGAACACCACGAACATCAAGGACCTGTACGAGAGGTTGGAGAGCCTTCCCTGTGAGAATACCCTCCCCTTTTCCAGAGTTACACACATCGATTCTAACCTGAAATCGTCCAGCCCGAATCATGACCCGCATTTTGTACTAGACGAGCATCGATTGCTCCATTGTAATCAACTTTACGTATCTGAACCCGGAAGGTTCAATTTTGACGAACTCACGAGACTCTTTCAACGAGGTCTCTCAAAAAGGCTGTATATGCAAAGATCTTCCCAGGCGACAAGAAGCCTGTCCGATGACATGTGTGTAATAGAGCAAATTTGTACTTTGCATGTTTATTGAAGCTAGAGAAAAGTCATTGATATGAAACGTGTTCATTTGATTATTTTACTACCTGAGGATTGAGATCTTCCCTGGCAAGTTTGCGCAGAATAATGTATTTCCACGAACGGACACTCCAAAGCGGCTTGGAGAGGCCTAAATAGACCACGCCACGATGGTGGGCATTCCGATCTCCTGGTTTCGAATGTCCTTGTTCTAGGGATCTAAGATGGTCATGATGACCTGAAGGTAAAATGACCCGATTGAATTGAAGTCGGCACGATGCACTTTCAAATGTCACCCTCTGCTCGAGTCTCTAAAGTTAGGACTTCGGCTTCGTCGTCGAGGAGCGTCACGGCGATAATCACGGCGATTCGAGTTGCGCCATTCGGGATTCGATTGGGCGTTATGGTCACCCGAATCGCGCGGGCGCTCATGAGGATTGCCGTAGTTGGGAACGTACGAGTCGACGTTGTTCGAGAATCTCCCGCCGGTCCGATTCTGACCAGGTCGGTCTCGTCGCTGGTCATCTCTCCCATCCGACCTGCCCGTCTGTGACCCATCCCATGGAGGGCGAGCCGACACGGGAGGCCGCGGCGGTAGTCCGTTATCCCGCGAAGGTGGGAATGGCCCGCCCCGGTGCAAGTTGCCGCCCGAGCCCGGGGCGTTCGATCGACCTCCACGGGCTGCACCTGGGATGCGACTGCGCGAATCTGGACCTCGAGAGCCAGAGCTAGCCCACCCTCCGTTGGAGGCGGTATTGGCGGAGCCACCTGCGGGTGCAGGAGGCATAGGTGGCCGCTGTGGTGGCTTCTTTTTGTCCAACTCGTGGGAATCTTGGAAGCGGGGAATGTCACCGGGGCGCGCAGGTAGTGGAGGCGTGGTGAAATAAGGGTGTTTTAAAGCATCTATGGCGTTGATCCGTTTCCGCCAGTCGAGCCGGAGAAGTTCAGACAGCAGCGAGATGGCTGTCGGGCTCAGACTGTTCCAACTGTTAGTCAATTCGCCTCCCGCCTGAGAGCCTGTCCCTGGAGAGCAGGCTCAACACGAGTTCAAGGATTTCTTACTCTCTGAAGACCTCCCCAAGATTTCCACGTTTGGATCCCCAGTCCTTCACGCCTTCGAGGCTCGGGAGCGAACTCCACCCAGGCATGTTCTCCTCGGTTGGAGTACCCACGAGGTTAAAAATGAGCCTCGCTTGATCGAGATCAGTGTTGCCGGAGAGAATAGGCTTTCCTTTGAACATCTCGCCGAAAACACACCTGTGTGTCATTAGAGGTGATCGGAGGGAGAAGATGATGGTAAAGCTTACCCGGCCCCCCACATATCGATGGCTGTTGTGTACCGCCGGAGTTGAAGAAGTAGCTCGGGCGGTCGATACCACCTGGTGACAACAAGAGCGGTGTACTCCCTCTTGGCTTCTCCCCCGCCCTTGCCAGGCTGTGGAGGGGGTTCATCGAAGGGTCGCGCGAGCCCAAAGTCTGCGATCTGAAGGATTCCTTCATTGCTGATAAGAAGATTGGCAGCTACCCCATGACCGGTTAGCTGAAGATTTCAATCAACTGATGCTCACGGATCAACACACCCTTCATGTCACGATGCAGAATGCAGTTCTATGATGGGGTTAGATAGACTTTTCTTCACCAAAGATCGAAGCGTTCGTACCGCATGCAGGTACCGCAACCCTTCAAGAAGCTGCATTAAATAGCACTTGATCTGGGGCTCGGTAAACTGGACATCTGGGTTCTCGAGTAGTCCCGATAAGTCATGCTCCATGTACGGCATGACCATGTACATGTTAGGCTTTTTCCGCCCTTCGCCTAGTACAGATGTCAGGAAGGCTGCCATGGATTTTGCATGCCGATATTGATCTTACCCTTGTTTCGCTCAACGGCCATCTCCTTGAGTTGCAAGATATTTGGATGAGAAAGGGCTTTCAAGAGTTTGATCTCTCGAATTGCAGTAATGGGAAACTGTCCGGGAATGATTTAGTGATAATGCTTGAGAAGAGTGAAAGGGACACCTACGCCCTCCTTCTCGTGGTGCATGAGAATCTTCTTCAGGGCCATGACCGAGTTGTCTTTCTTGGATCGTGCTTTGTAAACCATACTATCAACCAGTCAGCCATCTGCAACACATTATACCTTGAGCCGACCTACCCAAAGGTTCCCTCGCCGAGCTTGTCGATAAATGCGAAATCGCGAATGTTGCAGCAGCCTGGAAACCGAGGCTGGCCGTGATCATCATTCTCAAGAGATGCGACAGCCATCTTGTATTCACAGTCGGCCTCCGGAGCCGACCAAGAAAAAGAATAGTCGGAATCTGTAGCGCAGATTGTGGCTGGATAGCTTCTTGGTTATTGGAGGGCTGTTGCTCAGTCGAGACACATACGGTAGGCGTAAGGCGTTTGGAGACTCAGGTAGGGTCTGTCGCGCTGGTTTCAGACAATGAGAAGCTCGGGTTAAAATGCCACATCACAGATCGGGCTCAAAGTAAGAGTGAATGGCAGATCGAAGAAATGAGGCAGCGGTGGTACATTTGCGGTTCGGGAGAAGCTACCTTGACAGGGTATTGGACTCGGCCATTCAAAGTCGTCTTCTAATATAAGCGGCCGGAATGAAAGGCGTAATGAAGAGCGCAGAGTCGCCCAAATAAAGGCAGAGAGAAAGACGTCTGGCCTGCCAGATCCTATGAGACCGAGTCGCAGAGAGAGGCGAGAGGGAAAAGGCACGGTCACCGACCACGTGACCGCGCCGACAACTTCGGGGCGCCGTGGAATCCGCTTCCAGCAACCTGCCACTTCGTGAAGCGAGCACACCTCACCGACAGTGAGTGATTTCTACATCCCATGAAGAGCCTACACTAACCTCTTCCTTCCAGCCATGGCAGGCCCCTCTCATCACCCTGTCCACGTCCACCCGGCGCGACCTCTCTACCGCTTCATTGCCACGGGCCTGGGCGCCAGCATGTGGTTCTTCGTACGATATACCCCTTGCCAAACTATTCGCAAGTGATTGGAACTGACCCCGATTCCCTCAGCTCATGTACCGTGCCAAGAAGGATGGCCCGGCCCTGCTGGGCTGGAAACACCCGTGGGATCACTAGGCGGTGGTGGTCTCGAAGCCCCTCCTCAATCTCGAACCATTGTTCAATTGAACCGAAAGGAGCCGCTAGGCTCTTTCATGTCACGTCTTGTTTCGTATTCTCCCCCTGCAGCAGGACTTGCCGGTTGGGCGGTTGAAATGTATCATACCAGTTCTGATAGTTGCCAATGCAACAGTTATAGACAACTTGGTTGCCTTGGCCACCGAGGTTGAATCTACGGTTAACTTGTTACGAGAAAGTTATTTATGACAAACAGGCTGCTTTAGTTCATCAAGAAGCAAATGAAGAGAAAAATCCCTTTTACGTACTCCAGGAGGTCTAGGGGTCTACTCTTCCATTTGTCTCCACCTCTTCCTCCATGCAGGACCCTCCCCCTTCACCACCCAGACTAACAAGAACAACTCTATTTTAGCTGCGGCTTCTCTGCTCACTATCGGGTGTCGTCACTTCCCCCTCGCCGCCTATAATATGTTTTTCTTTTGTGCCACGTACGTGGTTCTTTTTGTGTGTCCCGCAGAACTTCTGTAATTAGTAAACCGTAATTGGTTTTCTTTATCCACATTTCTATGTATAAATACAGTGCCAATCCCATCAATTGCCAATTATCGCAGGCGCATATCCTCTAGGAGCACCTTGTACTGACGGCGCTTCTTGCGGAAAGTTGGTTGAAGGCGGGCACGAGCATGTCCGATAAAGCGCGCGAGACGAGGGAAGACAGCGGCCTCGGCCATCCAGGACAGCGCAAAGGCTCCGAAAGCGAACAGCAGAATCCAAATGCGGTACCCGTCTGACATCCAAGTCAGCTGCATAACTTCCACCACCCACCCCGAAGGCCGGAAGAGCATGAAGCCTGCAATCAGAAGGTCGATGATAATGGTACACATGAACGGCGCTAACGAGACAAATCAGTCAGATATGGTTATCAATATAGTGGACGAAGTGTCTATTACTCACCATTGGAGGTCATCGGTTGTCGGAAAGGCCGTCCCATGCTCAACACGATGCTAGTCAAAGTGTACTGGAAGCAGGAGAATAAAAATAGAGCCGTATTCTCCGAATTTACAATATTGCTCTTTTCCACGTCTAGTTGGGGAGGCTGGAACCTATATGGACTATTAGCAACTTCACCAGGGCAGCGATAAACGATGAGAAAGTTTACCAAGGTTGAGACTGAACAGTTTGGAAGATCGCGAGCTGGGACAAAACCACGATCGTGATCTGTCCTAGCAAAGGGGTTAAGACCTTTCGAGACACAAGGTCCGCAGTTGGTCGTTTCCGAGAAAGCTTGGAATAAGGACCGGTCCAGCCCACTGTTTGAAGAGTTAGCCAGGGCTGAGGTTGACCAGGAGACGAATCGCTACTCACTGAAAATGGCGATGGGCATGATGAGGGCTAGGTCAATAAACAAAAACTGAAAACTTGCGTTAGCCATCTTCTCGAAATCGGACAAAGTTCATCCATCCTCTACTTACCTGGAAATCACCGAGGTTTGACCCGGACGTGTAAAGAAAGCTGACTGAGGAGAACTGAATCGCTGAGTAGAGACTCATAAATTTGAAGCAGCAGAAGCTTGTCACCAAGGCAGCTCGACCCTCTCTGCGGAGATGGTTAATTCGTCTCAATTCCCGCAATCAGGACAATGGAGGAGACTTACCGAATCAATTTTGGCACGCAAGATATATCAAATAGCCGGCTGGTAAAAGGTGCAGCAACGGATGCTTCAGCATCGGATAATGAAATTCCAACGTCTGCGGCCTTCAGCGCACCGCAATCATTTGCGCCGTCGCCGCAAAAACCGCAGCAATAGTCAATCGATTGAAGTTTTTCAACCAATTCATGCTTCTCATCTGGTGACATTCGGGCAAATACCCTTCCAATGACCAGGACCTGCGATTGCAAAAATTCATTAGCAACAGGCTTGTCGAGGTATCACAGAAACACGGTGGCAACTCACCTTGTTCAGGACGTCTTCGTTTCCATAATCAATCATCCATCTGAATACGTCACCAGTCACAGCGAGGCAATACTTGCGCTCACGAAGAGCATTCCCTGGAATAGATGGGTCGGTATCGGTATCTGTCTCGAGAGGCTTTAATTGATTAGCTAGGTAGCAGGCCACAAGCTGAGATGTAGTTATCTTACCAGTAGCGTTCTCGGGTCCAGTCTAAGGTCTGGGTTGTCCACGCATTCCCAAATGAGAGAGGTTTTGGCAACGAGTCCAGGAGCTTCACATATGATTAGCGACAGTCACACGCGGTCGAATGGAGTTTGAGGGGTGTTACCTTCCACAAGATGCGGGATAAAACATGCCTCATCGGGACCGATCATCTTGCACTCGCGAGCGACACTGACTGCAGTCAAAATATTGTCACCAGTGCACATGACATTGCGGATCCCGGCCAGGTTGAGCTCTGAAATAACGCTTGAGGTACTAGGCTTCAGTTTGTTCTCAAAGATGATGAAGCCAAGAAATTCAAGATCGCTTTCGACCTCGGAGCGAGTCAACTTCTGAACCTTCATCCAGCTCAACTTTGGTTCGTATTTGGTAGCGCATGCAATCACTCGGTATCCTTTATGGGTGTAGTAGTTCAAGAAATCATCGTAATCGGATGGAACTGCAGACAGGTTGAGCAATTGGGCTGGGGGGTTGTGAAGGAAAAGTAACTAACGAGATTCAGGCACGCAGATATCTTTGATGCTTTCGGGGGCACCTTTGACAAAGGAGCTCACTCCCTTGTCGCTATACTGCCGTACAACTACACTGGCGCGACGAAGCTGTGAGACGAATTCAAAGTTCCGTAGGACCCCAAGTTCAAGGGGAGTCTGCGGATGGAATGGTCAACGAATATTCAGACGAGCGCAGTAAGCAACTTACATTGGGTCCATTTTGCTGGCTTTCTCCGATATGGGTTACGGGTGGCTTTGCAACGGAGGGGCTGATCGTGTCGAACTTGGGGGTTGTCTGCTCGGAGGCATGATTGCCCCCTTCTTCATATGACCAACCGGTGAATTCAAACATCTTGACGTCAAGGGGATCTCCTAGCAACTCGCCATCCACAACTCGAAGAGAGTGACATGTCGCCATGGTGTAGATAATCTTTCGTTGTTTCTCGAGATCAAATGGAGAGTCTGCGGAAGACGGAGGAAGAAGGAGACCCGCGGACTTTTCGGACAACAACTCGGAGAATCTATGATAGTCAGCCATAACTGAGGAGCGCCATTTGAACGAAGTGGAAGACAGACCTCTGGCTGCCGCTGACCGCACGTGCACCGAGGACATCCAGGCCATCCTCTGTGAGAGTCCCGGTCTTATCAAAACAGACAACGTCCAATTTACCACCCACATTCACTCTGTTGACAAGGCCATTAGCGACGATGATGCAGATTTAGTAGGGATTTACACACTTCTGAGGGCTGATGCAGAAAATGCTCTGTTTCTTGAGACGAGACAGTGCAAAATTGGTGCCAATGGTGAGAGTTGCTGGCAGAGCCGGTGGGACAACTATCGTGATTAAATCAAGTGCGCGAACGATAATGAGATGCCATGCAAGCTGAAAATGATCAGTTCTCCGCGCTGCTTTTTTGGGGGGATTTTAGGGGAGGGTTGCTAGACTTACACCCAGTCGAATGAAATTGATGAACGAGGCGATGAAGCCTAGGAGCGCAACCACACCCATGACCGCAATGTATCGGAAGGAGTCACGGTAGAATTTGAAGCCAGATGGCTTCGGGAAAAGCATTGATCGGACCAATGCACCCTTCGTCGTCAAAAAACCGGTCCTGACTACAATTGCCAACGCAACGGCTTCATCGTCGTCCACATTCTGGGGTCGTCTGGCTCGAATAACTTTCGTCCCGCTGAACAGAAAGTGTTTGGCAACATTAGGGTGGATGGAAGGGGCGCTGAGGTCGAGATAGTTGAGAGCATCGTCTGTGAAGGGTGTCTTAGACACGGGAACAGACTCGCCTGTTTGATGTCAGTCACATCGTTAAATGAATAGGGGGTACTCCAATACGGACCGGTGAGCATGCTCTCATTCACAATACAGTCACCTGACAGCAGGATACAGTCACATGGAACCTGGTTCAACGACGGATCGGAAAACTCGAATACATCTCCAGGTACCAGATCCTGTGAAGAAACCGAACGCCCTGCGAGAAATTGTCAGTCGATGTCCAATATTATGCATCGAGGATAATGAAGACCGGGTGGACTCACAAAATCCATTCCTGAGAACACGGACGTCACAATCAAACATTGAAATTTCTCTCAGTCGACGCATGGTCTGCTCTTTGGTTAGTCTCTGGAGTTGAATTCGATCATGATGTGGTTTAAACGGACCGATTTTGTCTCGAGCACGGTAGCTGCAATGCTGAATGCGGATATGAGGAAAATGCAAACTGCATAGTAGTAATATTCATCCATGGACCATAGGATGAGACTCGCCACTTGGAAGATGTAGAACGGATGGAAAGCCTGATCGGTCAGAATGTGCGACATACAAGCAGGGATAGTATTTACAAACCTCGTCGACCAGCAGCTGAGGAACAGTTTTCTGCTGGATGTCAATAACGTTCTGGCCAAAGAGTTGTTCTCTGCTGTCGCGTTCGTCGGCATCGAGGCCGGCTCGCATGACCTTCGCATTGGTCCAAGCAGGATCCTTCCAGCCGTTTATCATGGCGAATTTATCCTCAACGGGGTGATAGCAAAATCGCAAGTATCTGTAGTCAAGGAACCGGAGAGACACAAGAGTTGGGTCGCTATCTTCGTCATAGGCGTGACCTGGGGCATCCACAAAGACTGTAGAAAGCGGGCGTCCGTATGGCTGGCTACTGACATCGTGGACAGAGAACTGATTCCATTGATCCTGTGCGGCGTGTCAGCTGCAAGTTGAATTATCGGACGCATCATGCAAGACATGCTCACCTCAATTGCAATCCAATCGCATTTTCCCAGGGGAGTCGCCTTCCCAATCAACTTGACTCGCCATCGAGGGAGCCAGCGAAAGAGCAGGTATCCGAATCCACCAGTCAGGAAGCACAATGCCAGATATAGAGCGAACCCACCCCGGCTGGTAGAAAAGCCTGCGAAGACTGCCGTCAAATCCTCCGATCCGATGTATACTTTCTGGTTAAGCCTGCTTCCAAGCCTTCGATCTCGACCGTACGAGCTCGAGGAGATGATACGAGAAAGAAGAGGGTGTTCGGCAGAATCACGAGAGTGTGATAATCTCTTGGAGACGAAGGACCCTCTCGCGGACTCAATGTCAGGTTCCTCGAATCCGTTCACCGACGTATCGTCGATTTCGCTGTCCACATCCACCGCATCTTCGTTGGACCATTCCGCGAAGTCTTCCTCGTCCTGAAAATAGGTGAAACTGACGGTGGACCCGGTTCGGTTGCGACGATGGGAGAAAGAGACGACGCTTGAAGGGATGCTTTCGGAGATGGGACCGTCGAAAACCTAATGCATAAAGGTCAATTACAACGTACAGCCGATGGGCAATTCGATTCACATACTTCATTTCGGGCCATCTCCACGTCCGACACCACACTCATACTAGAAAAATATCAGCACCATGTTCGGGTGAGACAAGAGACTGACTATCCAACCTGCTTCTCAGGGAATCGCGGCGGAGATTCGTCCGGGACATTGAGAGGTCCATAGGACCGGTCCCCGGTGGAGAGTGCGGCCGACTACCCATGGTGATTTGATTCTGCGATCTGCGATCTGCGTCTCCTAGAGATGCGATGGCCGGGTTCGGCGCTCCACTTCGACTGGAGATATTGACTATGCGAAGACAAGGTTCCGGGGCTGCATCACCACTTGTGCCGAGGCGCTACCAGGGAGGAAGGAAAAAACATGACAGACAAGAGCTGACCGCCGGGAAGCTCGATCTGTGAGGGGCGATCTCCCCGAAGTCCATGACACGTCGTTATCACCACGTGACCTTATCTTCAGGCTGCAGCCCTTGAAAAGCCTCAGGCCGGAAAATAAGCAACTCATCCATCACTTGCCGTAACGCCACCCAAGACCTTTGGATGTGCGGATTCTTTACAACTTTTGTCGCGGTCACGGCTACGCAGAGAGATGGTCGGGAAGCCTCGGTATAGACAGATTGCGTAATTACTATGCAGACCGCTACGCTATGATCACCGACGATGCAGCAAGGTAGAGAGAGATATAGAACCCGATAAAGATCGTGAAATGGCGACCGTTGTCTGTCAACCCGACTCGATCATCTCCGAGATCTTATTTGATGCAGATGATCGATGCAACCCGGGAAATGTTTCTAAATTTAAACCGTGGATGGCAACGGGTCGCGACCGCATGGAATGGCTCAGGAGATCCACCAGAAAGGAGGGGAAAGGGAACCCAGAGGATCAAAAAAGATCAGGGAAAGGTATAACTGATAAAGAGTACCCTACGAGGCATCGGCCAAAAGTGACCAAGTACGGGTATAGAAGAAAAGTCAAGGGGCGAAGTGTTGGGAGCAGGAGCAGTTTTGCAGTCTGCTCAACCACAAGTCGCGTCCCGCCAAGCCCCTCCGGCCACCGGCGCTAAGGATCCCACCATCTTCCAGACCATCTTCCTCCCCCAAAACTCATACAAACTCTTCCTCCCCTCTTTCCCTCCTTCTTTCACCCTCTCTCCCCCTTCACCACTCTCACCATGTCTGAGCCCATCAGGAATAAGAAGGCCGATTTCCCGGTCGCTCCGTAAGGCTTTTCCTCCTTGACCGCTTATCGTGCAAAAAACACTGACTGAAAAAAAAAGGACCCCGCAAAACACGCCGGCTAACAATGCCCCGATCTCCTCGCACGCCCAGCAGCCCGGTGTGTCCAGCATCAAGGAAGGTAAGTAGCCTCGCTGATATCTCCCTCTCCCCTACCTTCCTCCACTCCCCCTCCACTACGGTCGCCGTCTCTGACCGCTATCCTGCAGAGAACTTGGATACCGCCGCTGCTGCCTCCCTCTTCGCCCGCAACCCGGCTCTGGTCTCCATGATCCAGGGCAAGCTGGGCCAGCTCGTCGGTCGCTCATCGGGCTACATCGAATCTCTCTCCCCCGGTTGTCCGTCGCCGCGTGGCCGGCCTGAAGGGAATCCAGAAGGAGCACGCTAAGCTGGAGGCTCAGTTCCAGGAGGAGGTCCTGGAGCTCGAGAAGAAATACTTCGCCAAGTTCACCCCACTGTACCAGCGCCGGTCTACGATCGTGAACGGTGGTGTGGAGCCGACTGAGAGTGAGGTAGAGGCCGGAAAGGAGGACGAGGAGGAAGAAGAAGAAGAAGAAGAAGAAAATAACGAGGCCGAGGAGGAGAAGAAGGATGAGGGCGAGTCCATGAACGGTATCCCCGAGTTCTGGCTTTCTGCCATGAAGAACCAGATCTCGCTCGCCGAGATGATCACCGAGCGAGACGAGGAGGCCCTCAAGAACCTCACCGACATTCGCATGGAGTACCTGGACCGCCCCGGATTCCGCCTCATCTTCGAGTTTGCGGAGAACGAGTTCTTCACCAACAAGACCATTTCCAAGACCTACTACTACAAGGACGAGAACGGATACGGCGGTGACTTCATCTACGACCACGCCGAAGGTTCCAAGATCGACTGGAAGGCCGACCAGGACCTGACCCTCCGCCTCGAGAGCAAGAAGCAACGCAACAAGAGTACGTGGGATTTTTATTTCCTCATTTCGTTATTACATAGCGGCCCCTTACTAACAACCTTCATTAGACACCAAGCAGACCCGCGTTGTCAAAGTCAGTGTGCCCACCGAATCCTTCTTCAACTTCTTCTCTCCCCCGCAACCCCCCACCGATGACGACGAGTCCGTCGCCAGTGATATCGAAGAGCGCCTGGAGCTTGACTACCAATTGGGTGAGGACATCAAGGAGAAGCTGATCCCCCGCGCGATCGACTGGTTCACCGGTGAGGCACTCCAGTTCGAGGAGCTGGGCGATGAAATGGACCCGGATGAGTTCGAGGACGAGGAGGATGAGGAGGACGAGGACGAGGATGATGATGACGACGACGAGCAAGGATCGGACCGTGACGTCGAAGACGACTCGGATGAAGAGGTACGGAATTATTCATATGGTTTTTTTCTTGATTCCAGAGCTAACTGCCCCATTCAGGATGGAACCTCCAAGCCCAAGAAGGAGGCTGCCGAGTGCAAGCAAAACTAAGAAAGGAAAAAATTTTAGCCTCCCGGGCGAGCAGACCTGAATGCTTCATGGAATTCCTCGTTGATGTTATTTTGCTACGTTTCCTTTTCCTCACTGATGCCTTTTGCCCCCCTGCACTGCGTGAACTTTTTCCATGTCTCCCCTGTCTACCTAATACTCTCCAATCAATCGGCATAATCAGTGTGTAATATTCGTCTCCAGCCCCTGGATTGTCGAGAGGGCACCGGCGATAGACACCACTTTGTTTTTATAGATGATTCAGTCAGGACTAGTCGTAGCAGTCCGTAGATGTGATCCCTCTATACCTTTCTAGGGTTGTACTTTGCTGACAGAAGACATGTATGGACTTGACAATAAACACTGCGGAACCCAGACTGATATCCATGGTAATGGCGAAGAGAGATTTTCTGTACATCTAAAATGTCTCGAAAGGTAGATAGATATCTAGGTAGTTGGTAACTAACAGGGGACCAGGGACCCCGGGACCCCGACCTTGGGGGCATCATATTAGTAGAGGCAGCTAGCAGTGTCTCCGTGTTCGGACGCACCCTAGATGTACACAAGCAAATCACCTACTATTCACCATGTCGAGCTGGCCTGGATGAGATCTAGACATCAGATGAGAGTAAGGTACATGGTGCATGGGCATGGTGCATATGTAAGAAGCGGATGGCGGTGACAGGGCTGTGGGGGTGTGGCGCGGCTCCCCAAATGCGTCCCGCGAAGCTCAGGGGCTCTCGCTAATGGCCAGCTGTTACAAGGGCTTCCTTCTCACATCCTCTAACCCAGACATCTTCATTTCTTTTCCCTTTTCTCTTCTTCTTTCGGAGTATGAGCCGATGAGGGGTCACCGTCAGACCCCTTGTCTTTGGACTGCTCATTTGCGACTGTGATTGATTTACCCTTTTTTCCCCCTGTATCCGGTTCCCCCGAAGCCCCCATCCAGCATTTTTTTTAGACGATTCGCTTTCCTACTTCATTCTCTCCGGTATTTGATTGCGTTCGGTACCACAATCGGACATCGGTCCCATGGCGCACATCTACGAGGTCGGCACAAGGGCATGGCAGCCCGACCCGACGGAGGGCTGGGTGGCCTCCGAGGTCAAGGAGAAGCTGGTGGATGGAGAAAAAGTGCAGCTGGTGTTTGAGCTGGAGAATGGCGAGGTGGGTTTTGCTGTACCCAGCACTGCCAGGCTAGACCACCGAGCTTTGCAGAAATACTGACCGGGTTGGGGGATGTAAACAGACAAAAACCGTGGAGACCTCGCAGGCTGAGCTGCAGGTCGACAACAACTCAAACCTTCCGCCGTTGATGAACCCTGCGATGTTAGAAGCGAGCGAGGACTTGACCAATCTGTCCCACTTGAATGAGCCTGCTGGTTCGTCCCGCTAACAGCTTGCGATCCTATTCCCCCAACTGACGGCTTTAAAAGTCCTGCAGGCTATAAAGCTCCGCTATGCCCAGAAAGAAATATATACCTACAGTGGAATCGTTCTGATTGCGACCAACCCTTTCGCCAGGGTGGACTCCCTCTATGTGCCACAGATGGTGCAGGTCTATGCTGGAAAACAGCGTGCCTCGCAGGCACCGCATCTGTTCGCCATCGCGGAGGAAGCTTTTGCGTAAGCGCTACTTTTCTTTCTGCCTTTCTATGAGAATTGTCTTCTTACGGATCCACACACACACAGTGACATGCTTCGCGATGGAAAGAACCAGACAATCGTTGTCTCCGGTGAATCGGGTGCTGGTAAGACCGTGAGCGCTAAATACATCATGCGGTACTTTGCGACTCGCGAGTCCTCGGACCAGCCTGGAAAATACACGACGAGCCGAGCGGATGCCATCAGTGAGACCGAAGAGCAGATCCTCGCCACGAACCCGGTCATGGAAGCATTTGGTAACGCCAAAACAACCCGAAATGACAACTCGTCCCGATTTGGCAAATACATCGAGATCATGTTCGACGAAAGGACTAACATCATCGGAGCGAAGATCCGGACCTACCTGCTTGAACGCTCGAGACTTGTGTTCCAACCCCTCAAGGAGCGCAACTACCACATTTTCTACCAACTGGTGGCCGGTGCTACCGATGACGAGAAGCAGGAGCTGGGTTTGTTGCCGGTTGAGGACTTCGAGTATCTCAACCAGGGCGGTATCCCGATTATTGACGGTGTTGACGACAAGGCTGAATTTGACGCGACCAGGAAATCTCTGGCCACTATCGGGGTGTCGCAGCAGGACCAGACTGAGATTTTCCGTATCCTTGCGGCTTTGCTGCACCTCGGTAACATGAAGATTACTGCTACTCGCACAGACTCTTCCCTTTCGCCGTCGGAGCCCTCGCTTGTGCGTGCTTGTGAGATGCTCGGAATCGATGTCACCGAATTTGCCAAGTGGATTATCAAGAAGCAACTCATCACTCGAGGCGAGAAGATTACCTCTAATCTCACCCAGCAACAAGCCCTTGTGGTCCGAGATTCGGTTGCCAAGTTCATCTACTCGAGTCTCTTTGACTGGCTGGTGGACAAGATCAACCGTGGCCTGGCCACTGACGAGGTTCTCGGGCGAGTTGTAACCTTCATTGGTGTGCTGGATATCTACGGTTTCGAGCACTTTGCCAAGAACTCCTTCGAGCAGTTCTGCATCAACTACGCGAACGAAAAGCTGCAGCAGGAATTCAATCAACATGTCTTCAAGCTCGAGCAGGAAGAATACGTCCGCGAAGAGATTGACTGGACTTTCATTGATTTCTCGGACAACCAGCCTTGTATTGACCTGATCGAGGCAAAGCTTGGAATCTTGGCGCTGCTGGATGAAGAGTCCCGCCTCCCCATGGGCTCTGATGAGCAGTTCGTCACCAAGCTTCACCACCATTTTGCTGCCGATAAGCAAAAGTTCTACAAGAAGCCTCGCTTTGGCAAATCTGCATTTACCGTTTGTCATTATGCCGTTGATGTCACTTACGAGTCTGACGGCTTCATTGAAAAGAACCGTGATACTGTTCCTGACGAGCACCTTGGGGGTCCTGCGGAACTCGTCTAATGTGTTTATCAAGGAGATTCTCGACACTGCCGCTGCAGTTCGTGACAAGGACTCCGCAGCTGTTTCGTCCAAACCGGTTGCAGCGGCTCCTGGCCGCCGCATTGGTGTTGCTGTCAACCGCAAACCCACACTTGGAGGAATCTTCAAATCCTCGTTGATCGAGTTGATGGCCACAATCAATTCCACCGAGGTGCATTACATCCGCTGCATTAAGCCCAATGAAGCCAAGGAAGCTTGGAAATTCGAGGGGCCAATGGTTCTCAGTCAGTTGAGAGCTTGCGGTGTCCTGGAAACTGTCAGAATCAGTACGGCAGGGTATCCTACTCGTTGGACTTACGAGGAGTTTGCCATCCGCTACTACATGCTTTGCCATTCCTCGCAGTGGACATCTGAGATCCGAAATATGTGTCATGCCATCCTTCGCAAGGCACTGGGCGATGCCAGCCAGGAAAGGCAGGACAAGTACCAGCTGGGTCTGACCAAGATCTTTTTCCGGGCGGGCATGCTTGCCTTCCTGGAGAATCTGCGTACATCACGACTGAACGAGTGTGCAATTATGATCCAAAAGAACTTGCGATGCAAATACTACCGCCGCCGCTATCTTGAGGCTCGCGAATCCATTCTCACCACCCAAGCTTTCATTCGTGGATTCCTGGCAAGGCAGCATGCCCAAGAAATCCGTCGGACAAAGGCTGCAACCACGATCCAGAGGGTCTGGCGCGGCTCGAAGGACAGGAAACGGTACAATGAGATCCGACAAAACTTTATCCTGTTCCAATCCGTTACGAAGGGTTTCCTGTGCCGGCGGAACATTATGGACTCGATCAATGGCAATGCAGCCAAGGTTATCCAACGAGCTTTCCGCTCATGGCGTCAATTGCGTTCTTGGCGACAGTACCGCCACAAGGTGGTCATTGTTCAGAACCTGTGGCGACGGAAGCAGGCCAGAAAGATCTATAAGAGCCTGCGTGAGGAAGCTCGAGATCTCAAGCAGATATCCTACAAGCTGGAGAACAAGGTGGTGGAGCTTACACAGTACTTGGAGTCACTGAAGCGCGAAAACAAGTCCTTGGTCTCTCAGCTCGAGAACTACGAAACTCAGCTGAAGTCGTGGCGGAGCAGACACAACACCCTGGAAGCCCGTGCCAAGGAACTCCAGGCCGAGGCCAACCAGGCAGGTATCACGGCAGCCCGTCTGGAGGCTGTCGAGGAAGAGATGAGCAAGCTTCAGCAGAACCATGCTGAAGCTCAGGCCACTATCAAACGTCTCCAGGAAGAGGAAAGAGTCTCCCGCGAGGCACTCCGTGCTACCAACGAGGAGCTAGACCGCCTGAAGCTGCTTGACGGCGACCATGAGAAGGAGAATTCTGCTCTTCGTCAACGTGTTTCGGAATTGGAGGAACAGTTGGAGGTCGCCAAGCGATCGGTTCCAGTCAATGGTCTCAATGGCGAAATGCCCAATGGCGGCACGGCCCCGGCTCCTGCAAGCAGTTTGATCAACCTGGTGTCTTCCAAGAAGCCCAAGCCCAAGCGACGCAGCGCCGGTGCGGAAAAGATCGATATCGACCGCTTCAGTGGAGCTTACAACCCGCGCCCGGTATCGATGGCAATCCCTGGACCTGGTGCCGCTCGTTCAGGCGCAGCGATCTCCCCTGGTCTGGATTCAGTCGAAGCAGAGCTCGAGAACTTATTGTCTGAAGAGGAAGCCTTGAACGAGGAAGTCGCCATGGGTCTAATTCGCAACCTCAAGATTCCTCTCCCCAGCTCAACCCCACCCCCGACTGAAAAGGAAGTCTTGTTCCCTGCGTACCTGATCAACCTGGTCACATCCGAGATGTGGAACAACGGTTTCGTGAAGGAATCCGAGCGTTTCCTGGCCAACGTCATGCAGTCGATTCAGCAGGAAGTCATGCAGCATGACGGTGATGATGCGGTCAACCCTGGCGCTTTCTGGCTGTCGAACGTGCACGAAATGTTGTCATTCGTTTTCCTGGCTGAGGATTGGTACGAGGCTCAGAAGACCGATAACTATGAGTACGATCGTCTTTTGGAAATTGTGAAACATGACTTAGAGTCTTTGGAGTTCAACATCTACCACACCTGGATGAAGGTGTTGAAGAAGAAGCTGTACAAGATGATTGTACCAGCCATCATCGAGTCGCAATCACTCCCTGGTTTCGTCACCAGCGAGACGAATCGCTTCCTCGGCAAGCTGTTGCCCTCGAACAACAACCCCGCCTACAGCATGGACAACCTTCTGAGCCTTCTCAATGGTGTCTATCGGGCGATGAAGGCATTCTACCTTGAGGACACCATCATCACGCAGACTGTTACCGAGCTTCTACGGCTGGTGGGCGTTACGGCGTTTAACGACCTTCTTATGCGACGAAACTTCCTGTCCTGGAAGCGCGGTCTCCAGATCAACTACAACATTACCCGGATCGAGGAGTGGTGCAAGAGTCACGATATGCCAGAGGGGACGCTGCAGCTGGAACACTTGATGGTATAGTTTTTTCCGCTAACTTGTTTGTGTTTTATGCCTCGCTAACACCGTCACAGCAAGCGACCAAGCTTCTTCAGCTTAAGAAGGCTACCTTGAATGACATTGAGATCATTCAGGATATCTGCTGGATGTAAGTGGGATCGGACCGACTTCCGTTTTGTCTGTCTTGTAAAGTGTGCTAAATCCTGTCCAGGCTCTCCCCGAACCAAATTCAGAAGCTCCTCAACCAGTACCTCGTTGCGGACTACGAGCAGCCCATCAATGGCGAGATCATGAAGGCCGTCGCCTCTCGAGTCACGGAGAAGAGCGATGTTCTCCTGCTGACTCCGGTGGATATGGAGGACAGCGGCCCCTATGAGATCGCCGAGCCCAGGGTCATCACGGCCCTGGAAACGTACACCCCGTCCTGTACGTGACCACCTTTTACTTCCTTCTTCCCCCGGCTCTTACTAACTATCACGCAGGGCTTCAAACACCGCGCCTGAAGCGACTAGCTGAGATTGTGTCGGCGCAGGCGATGGCGCAACAGGAGAAGCTTGAGATGGAAAACGGGGTGCTCGAGGAGTAGTTCTGTATATTAGACGTTAGATTTTTCTGAGAGCTACGGATTACGACCGGTGACATCTCACCACGACCATATGCCTGGGTGGTCTCGGGTTTGCAATACAGTGATGGATATGATTCTTTCTAGATATGTGTGTAGTGAAATGACGTAGATGCGTGATACAACAATCAACCACTGCGGGTCGAGCGGTGTCCTGCCGCGGGGGAATTCGGTGGAGCCAACCGGTTGAACTCTCTTGCAACTCCCACCAACACCGCAAACCGCCGTCATGACCTTGACCAAGCTCAATTTCATCACGGGCAACAAGAACAAGCTCACCGAGGTGCGCGCCATTCTCGGCAACGTCATCGAGGTCGACAACCAGGCCGTGGATGTGCCGGAAATCCAGGGCACGATTGAAGAAATCGCCAAGGAAAAGGCCCGTCGTGCAGCGGAGGCGGTAGGTCAGGTTGAATTGGCCCTCACGGACCAAAGCTTACCTGAATATAGATCAATGGCCCGGCCTTGACTGAAGATACTGCGCTGGAATTCCACGCTCTCAAGGGCCTGCCAGGACCGTACATGTAAGGACAATCCGCCTGTTCATTTCCCCCATTTTCCCCTCGGCAACTGATCGCAATCTAGTAAGTCCTTTATGGACTCTGTGGGTCACGAAGGTCTGAACAAGATGCTGGATGGGTTCGACGACCGGACTGCCGAAGCCGTATGCACCTTTGCCTTCTGTCGGGGTCCTGGAGCCGAGCCCATCTTGTTCCAGGGACGCACCGAGGTGAGTCCAGCTTCGACTAAACATCTACGGTAACTTTAAAAGCTGATCGTAATGATGCGCAGGGATCCATTGTTCGGCCCAGAGGCCCGACCAACTTCGGTAAGTATCAACGAAACTTGCAGGCGACTTCAGGTCCTAACGGACATTCCAGGCTGGGACCCGATTTTCGAGTACGAGGGAAAGACCTACGCAGAGATGGAGAAGGAGGCAAAAGTAAGATATCGCGTTTGATTCACGAGGGCGTTGAGCCGCGTACTGACCCCTTCTCGCCCAGAACCGGATTTCCCACCGGTACAAGGCTCTGGTGAAGTTCCAGCAGTGGTTGGCTGAGGGACAACAATAAAAGGGTATGGGTATATATAGATAGGTCCGGGAGATCATAGACAAGACAAAATCCGGTATTCAATTCGCATGTTGTTGCTTCCAATTCTCCACCCATTGTGAGATCCGCATGCAGTTGGCGTCGACGTCGTCGTCCTTTTCGCTGTTCAGCTCCACCACGATCTCCTCGTCGTATGATTCACGCGCTTCTTCGAGCAGGACTCCGAAGATCTCGGCGTCGAGGTTCTCTTGTAGTTTTTCTTCGTGATAACCCCTATGAGATGCGTGGGTTAGACGTGCGCATATACAGCGGTGTGAGAAATCCATACCTCGAGGAAAGACGGTCGTAGAGGACTGATGTCTCGGGACAGCGAAGGACCACGACGAGATCGATCCAGGACTTGGGGAACATGTCGCAAGCGTGCCAGTCAATGAGATATCCACCCTGAAGCACTTCATCTTCAATGGCATCTAGCAGCTAAAATCACACAGACCGAGTCAGCTTCCGCGCAAGTCAATTCGATGGTCGAGGCTGTTCGACCCCACCAAAGCAAAGTGGGCAACAAAAAGGGAAAGAAAAAAAAAAAGAGAGAGAGAAAGGGCGCAACAACGTCGCAGCCAAGTCATAACTCAGCAGCGTACCTTGTCATCATCAACGACCCAGCTTTTGCGCTCCTCGTCGTATTCCTCATAGCAATCGCGGTCCTTGGCGATCTGGTTCACGGACAGGTGCTTAAGCCCGATCTCCTGCGCCAGCTGCTCGCAGTGCACGGTCTTGCCCACTCCGGGGGTGCCGGTGATAATCACATTCGGGGCGGTTCGCATCCTTCGTAACTGCGTCAGGGAAATAAAGGCAGACGAGGTAGAATTGAAGGGAGAGACCAAAAAAAAAAAAAAAAAGGTGACGATGTTCCCCAGACGAATAATGAATGCCTCGGACTAACGTTGCTCCTGGTTATCTTATCGCAAAGTGGCACTCAATTCGAAATTACTCAAAATGTCCAGGGCCCACTCACGGCGCCCGCCAAAAAAATTTAGACGCTTTTTGAAAAGGGCAAAAACATTGACCAGACTGGGGCTCGATCCCAGGACCTTATCGGTGTTAACGATACGTGATAACCAACTACACCATCCGGCCGATGATGTATTAGCGTTGAAAATATGGCTCTATCATTGATGACTCGCTATGCAATAAACAATAGATTAACAGATTTGATCCTATCCTATGTGTTGGTCGCCGGAATCGGGTCGGGTGTACATAATCTGCCGTTGTCAGTAACTTGGGAGATCCTTGAGTCACATTGACTTACTTGAGGAGCTCGAAAAGCTTGTATTTCTGCAGATAGGAGGATCCTCGTCGATACGCTTTGAGCAGACGAGCCGGATTGTCGGACCTGGCTGATGACCCAATGAGACGCTGGATGCCGGGGGAAGTCTTGAACATAGGATCAAACACCAGCAGGTTGGCACTGCCCTTGTCGCGGATTTCGAAGCCCACAATGGTCATTGAATGCCCTATTCCCAGTGTTAGATGCAATACTTTGGGGAGCTAGGTTTCTTACCCTGGTGTTGGAAGTATATTGGCGGTAGATCGGTCTTGAAAACCTTCTCCTTGTCGTCGAGCGAGCATGCCGATCGAAAGTAGGCAGCTACTTCCATGTAAAGAGAGTCGCAGGCTCGCATATCTTTCGACTCTGCTAGACTACTTGCATCGCATCTAGACGGTGTTAGCGATATGCCCAAGTCACGGTATAGACAGGGACTGACTGGATCCCAAGGCTCATGAAGAGGGCTTGAGCCTATGCAATGGTCAGCGGGTATTCAAAAGCCTTGTCTAGAGAACTCACCTCCGGTGTTCCGATGAATTTTCGAGTGCCTTTGATTCCTCCCGTCTCAGTTCTCCCGGTGCTGTTGAATCCCATGTCCCAAGCTTGTTCGATCAAGTCCTGCAGTTCAATGATAGTAGGCACTCCTCTCGGGAAATGTTCATGACCCGGTGCTCTGGCTTTGGTGATGTAGGAGATCAACATTTGAATATTGCGGTAGCCACAGAACCCACCCTCTCGGGGCATTTTGCAGACGTGGCGGACCTTCGTACTACATAGAAAAGCGCGCTGGACGGACTTGTCCTGTTCACAGAGTTTCGCGATGACGGGAATAAGTTGTTCTGTCTCATTCTCCACTCGTGTGTGTCTTGCGAGTTTCCCGTCTGATGTGATTTGGGTCTGCTTTGTGGTGCGGCCACCTTTCTCCAGCATCTTCCTAAGCCAGGAGGGCATCTTCTTCTCATGTGCATGAGGGCCTAGCTCGGAACGCTATCTACTGTATTAGCAATTTTTCCCAAGTAAACTCCAACTCGAAGATGGTCACTTACCCCGAGCCGCTTCGCGCCATCTGGTCCGATTGTGCTTGGGGGACTCCGCGCCCGCGCTGATTTGAAGCCATTTGCTCTGGAGAAGCCCCGGTTACTGCTTTGCTTGCCGCTCTTTCGACTTCCGGGGAGATTCAACGAGTCCTCCTTGTCTGAGAGATCATGGTCGCTGGACACCAGGTCACCACGAAAGGGCTCCTCGGCGGTGTCGTCGTCAAGCGCCACGCCTTCTGCGATATGCAAGTCCAGGTGATTCGATAGTTCAGCTGCCGTGACTATCTCCCCGCACCCTTGTGGACAGTCTACATACTTTTCTGGCCCATCGTCGATAGGCGGTGATGCCGATGATGAGCTGCGGGTGTTGAGAGGATATGAATCCTGGATGGCTAGTCCGGCACCCCCATCTGGATGACAGAATTCAATGTGTTCTGCAACGAAACCAGCGTCTGGGTCAGAGAATGGACAGAATGGACAGGTTGGTGTATTGTGGTCGTCCATTTGGGCTAGGCAACAATGGTCGAGAGGGCCATTCAGGGAAAAGAAGCTGCGTTGGAAACAGCAAGAGGAGCTTGGATGAGATGCAGCAAAGAGCGAGATTCGTGAGAAAGAAACAAAAAAATACGTTGCTGTTCTAGGAGCCGGATGCTTAGAGTCGGAGAAAACGATGTTCGGGGCGGTCGCGGACCCACCTACGCCTCCAAGAACCGGGACCCGTTTTATATGCACACGTACACTTGTATAGATCTACGGAATAAATTAAGACATTTATCGTTCCGTCGTGGCTTACGGGTGTTGGCAGATGCATGTTGCACGATGACATGGAATATTCGATTTGTGGAAACGATCAACTTCGGTATGGGCGAACGTGCTATACCCGTGGATACTGCAAAATATACATAGTACATTTCGGTGCATTCAGTTCGAACATCACCAATCACTTACGCATTTTGCCGATGCCCATCCAAATAGCATGCCCATTGAAATATAGTTATTGATATAAAAAAAAAAAAAAGAAATACAAAACAAGAATGCTTTGTCAAAGGACGGCCTTCCCTAGTTGTATAATTTTCCTTGGAGTGCGGCGAGATAAATATTATATACCCTACTCGTTTGCGGGCCAACTTACGAGACTAGATATTTCCGAAAGCAACCTGATCGTTCGAGAAAGATGGGACCCGACTAGCAAGGTCGCTGAGAAATACCTTGAAGAGCAGAGGTCGAGTCGAGGAGTGCCTCAGGCCATCGACGCGTGCAAATCAGGGAGGGTAAAAGTGCGTCATTTCAGCTTATCGCCGCAGGGGCGATGGCGTGATTGGCGATTGGCGCCCCTCCGACATCGCGTTCCTGGAGGGGAAGGCGGAAAAACTCAATTCGCTGGAATTGACTGACTCACCGAAAAAAATGAAGAGCATGCCGCAGGCGGCCCACTCCGCTTTCGCTTGACTTTCCCCTCCATGTTGTGAACTGTTTCAATTTCCATCCCCCCGGTTGTTATCAGTGGCCATGTCCCTTCAGGATAATCCTCAGGCCCATGGGGTCCATAGCAACTGGGTCGTTCAAAAGTTCGGCGGCACCAGCGTCGGCAAGTTTGCTCTAAACATTATAGAACAGGTTGTCCAGTACGCTCTCTTGTCCTCCACCTTTGATTCCCATCTGACACAGGGCTAACATGCAACCGTCTCACACAGACCCAGTCTCGTTAGCAATCGAGTCGCCGTTGTCTGCTCGGCCAGAAGTAGTTCTACAAAAGCCGAAGGCACCACCAACCGGTGAGTCATTAGACGGCAGTTTACTCGACTTCGACGTTCTAACGCTCCGTCACACAGGTTACTGCGGGCAGCCCGGGACGCCGAGAACTCCCAGTCACGGCAATATGAAGTATTCGTCGAGGCCGTTCGCCTGGAGCATGTCCAAGTTGCCGAGGAACAATTGAAATCGGTGGATTTGAGGGATCAAGTGGTGGCCGATATAAACGGGGAATGCGAACGGGTCCTCAAAGTCCTCGAAGCCGCGCAGACTCTCGGGGAGATCAGTGCCCGCTGCGTGGATAAGGTGATGAGCACCGGCGAGAAGCTCAGCTGTCGGCTCATGGCCGCCTTACTGCAGGACCGCGGGGTGGACTCGCAATATGTTGATCTCTCCGAGATTATCGATTTCCCCATCGGTGCGCAGGGTCTGGACCAGGACTTCTACAATAATCTGGCTGCCATCCTGGGCAAGAAAGTCAACGAATGTGGATATCGGGTACCCGTGTTGACCGGCTACTTCGGTACCATCCCCGGTGGGTTGCTCGACCAGATCGGCCGTGGCTATACGGATCTGTGCGCCGCCCTCGTAGCCGTCGGCACCCGTGCGAAGGAGCTCCAGGTCTGGAAGGAGGTGGATGGCATCTTCACCGCAGACCCTCGCAAAGTGCCCACGGCCCGCCTTCTCCACGCTATCACGCCCGCCGAAGCCGCCGAATTGACCTTTTACGGATCCGAAGTGATTCATCCTTTCACCATGGAACAGGTCATCCGCGCTAAAATCCCCATTCGCATCAAGAACGTCATGAACCCGAAAAACCGAGGCACCGTCATCTTCCCCGACTCCACTGCCGAGCTCGAACGGACCACCCCTGGCCATGATCCTCGTCTTTTCCGCACTCGCAGCCCCAGTTTCATGCAGAAACCGAAGCGGCCCACGGCCGTGACCATTAAGCATAAGATCCTGGTGATCAACGTTCACTCGAACAAGCGATCGTTGTCCCATGGTTTCTTTGCCGGCATTTTCTCGGTGTTGGACAAGTGGCGCCTGTCGATCGACTTGATCTCGACCAGCGAGGTCCACGTGTCGATGGCCCTCCACTCCGAGGTGCCCCTTCTGAATGGGAACGGAAGGGATGAGTACCAAGTCATTGACGATGATCTGAAGGGGGCCCTCAATGATCTGGGGAAGTACGGGATGGTCGATATCATCCCGGAGATGGCCATTCTCAGCTTGGTTGGCAAGCAGATGAAAAATATGATCGGTGTGGCTGGTCGTATGTTCACCACCCTCGGGGAAAACCACGTGAACATCGAGATGATTTCGCAAGGTGAGTCAATGATTGTCGATGGCAACACCCCTTTCTCCCCCTCACGTTCTGCCCTTGAAGGATGAAGCTGACCAGCACGTCTTCCCCCCTGCAGGTGCAAGTGAAATCAACATCTCCTGCGTCATCGAAGAGCGCGACGCGGATCGCGCTCTCAACATCATCCACACCAGCATGTTCACTTTTTTGGACTAGATGTCCTGTGAACAACCTTCATTGTCGTTTTAGATATCCCTTGGGCCGGTTTTTATTTTTTTTAATACTTGTGTTTTATCTAGAAAAGTTGGCGTGCATCCACCTCCCGAGGACCCTGAAAAGAAGTCGAGGGAACTGAGCATTATGCTTTTCGTTGTTTGATGCATGGGCGTGGCGTTGTCTTTTTCCCCCCCTTTTGGTACCAATATGAGGGTCCCTGTTTCAACATTCGAGGGACGTGTTTCTTTCTATGGCATATAATGTACATGAACGGGTTCCTGAGAGATTATGCAAGGGCCATCGCCCATTTGGGGCGGTCCCGATAGACTTAGACATCCTGAAAAGGTTCTATATAGTGGTGCATACAGACAATTGAAAGTCTCGTGCAGAACATGCGCCACTGGCCTCGAGCGAATGCGCGTAGAACAATGAAACTGAGAAAAGAGATGCACCAGGGACGTTAGTTGAAGATCATCGGCCAATTGGAGGCTGGGACGAGCAAGGGATGGTCCGACGCAATCGCTGTCTCAGAGTTACATCAGCATACCAGAAACAGCGAGGACGATCAGGGGGAGTCAATTGGAGAGTTAATTATAGAATGGGATGTGATTATAATCAACGACGGTGCGTGATGAGTTGGAAGGAGATTCTAGGCACGTTGTTGGGGACCGTACAAAGGGAAGTACCAAAAGAGACTTATAGATATGGGTAGGATCTATAGTATCTATAGTCTATCGGGGAGCACATGCAAGTACACCTCATTAAGTGGAGCGCATACTTCAGCCTTCCACACTAAGAGAAGATCCGCGCATCGCAAATGCCTCGAGCAAGGAGCACCAATCCCTTCGTACGTTTGGGAAACCGCCGTACTGTAATATGTAACCGTATCTTTACTCCGATTTCCACGTCAAAACGCGTGACGCGTGCGCGTCATACCATACCTGACGGGTACTGGCAATCGGCAATACCGCCCTTCACCCTCACCGTCTGCACCCATCTACCCTTCTCTTCCCCCCACCTCCATAGGACTCGACCTGCATCGTCTACTTGCTTAACTTCGGAGAAAAGAGGGGAAAAGGAAAAAGACAAAAGGGCGCGAAGTCCTGGACCTCCCCTTGTCATCGCTTCTTGTCCCTCTCACGACTTCCTTTCGACGTCTCTGCTAGACTCTAGGCAGGGCCTTTCAGCGATCGCAACTCGTATCTTGGTCTTCTGGTCAACTTGTCAACTCTCGGGCATTTTCAAAATCAGTTCACAGCCCTCTCGTGGTGAAAGTCACCCCGGCGACGTCCCTAACTGTGATCTGCCTGGGTCATATCGGACGTGTCAGCCGTTTCTTAGCGCTTTGTGGCCCAACGCTCGCCATATCACTTAGTTCAGCTGCATGACGGCCTGAGGTTGCTGATCAGACTCCTCTTCCTGGACTGCAATTGGCCCAACCGGAATTTTCTTCGTCCAGTCCAGTCTAGTCTCATCACCTTCGGCTCGGCTCTTGTGAACCTGTTGCAGCATATCGGAACAAAAAGTCGCGCCCACCTGTGTGATTCCGACGCGTCATATGGTCCCTACTGTGGACTAGTGACGTGACTGCCTCGTTCCTTCCTTCCGTACTATGGGATCGACGCGTTCAGCGCTCGGCGCGCACAATTCCCCGGCCCTGGCCCCATTTGCAAATCCGGCGATCAAACCGCAGCCCCGTCTTCAACCCTCACCGCTACCATTGCAGCCCATTGAAAACTCATTCCACCCTGCCGTGCACAGGCCATCGCCGACAAAAGGTCTCTCAGTCCAGGGCTCGCATCCAGGGCGAAAACTCGGTTTCGTCCCAATCTCCGCTCCCGCTCCTCCCATGTTTACTACCGACTCCCCTACCAAGAAACCGCCTTTCCCTATCTACACCCAGTCATCCATGCCGCAATCGGCCCTCTTCACCACCTTCTCAAGTGTTAATCCCGAGTCATCCAAAGAGAATCAGAACCCGGAGGACCCGTCCAATGGCACTTTCGCCGACTTCCCTGAACCCTCTTTTGACGCCAAGGTTCCGTTGAAGCGCACCCTCATGGAAGCAGCCCCCTTGAAAGAGCGATCTGCGAAAAAGCAAAAGCGCGAAGACGCACCCATTCACCATCTACCTGAGCCCCACGAAATGCCGTCAATCGAGGATGACGGCACCAAGCCGCCCTACAGCTACGCGACGCTGATTGGCATGTCCATCTTGCGTGCGCCCAACCGCCGTTTGACATTAGCTCAGATTTACAAATGGATCTCCGACACATTCTCCTACTACAAGAACAGCGACCCCGGCTGGCAGAACAGTATCCGACACAACTTGAGTCTCAACAAAGCATTCATCAAGCAGGAGCGTCCTAAGGATGACCCTGGCAAGGGCAACTACTGGGCTATCGAGCCTGGTATGGAGATGCAGTTCCTGAAGGATAAGCAGGTTCGACGCGCCACAATGTCCAGCCTGCCCCTTCCTGCCGTCCCGCAGCGCGACTTGGTTCCCCAGCCGCAGAGCGCAAGCACTACGACCTGGATGGTCCCGCCGCCGCCTGCGCGACAGGCACCCCCGTCTACTCTTCCCCGCAACGATGACCTGTCATCCGATGCGACACTGCCTGCGTCTGACCCTGCCCTGCAAGAAGATGCTCCCGACGAGAATGCCCATGTGCAGTCGCATCAAACAGCACCACTCCGTTCTTCACCTCCCCCTCACGCCCTCCGATCCTCCCCTCCTATTGCTCCTCCTCGATTTGCACGCCAGGGAACTCCTCCAACTCCGACCCAGGCGGGCCCCACCCCGGCTCAGCGCCCTCGGAAGCGCAAGTCTATTACCATGAACGACAGTGGTTACTTCTCGTCCTTGGAGTCATCTGCTCTAAGACCTAATAAGGCCGGGCATATCCTGACCTCTGACCTGGATATCGAACCGCCGCGCATCAAGCGTGGCCGTGCGGAGGAAGAGATCGCGCGCATGCGCAGCTCATCCCACGATATTAGCCCGGGACAACCTGGTCACAGGAAAGAAGCTGGCACCATGGTGGGCTCTTCTCCTCTGCGGGGAGAGTTCGTCAGTATGTTGCCGCCTCCGTTGACACCTGTGATCAAGTTCAAGAAGCCGGCCAAGCCCCCGCCCTCTGTGTCCCCCAATACCAACCTGCGCAACCATCGCCGAAAGATCCAGCAGATGGTCAACTCTCCCATCAAGCATCTGGGTCTCGCGGACGATGATCTCCCCTGGAGTCCCGCCTTTAACCTTCAGGATTCGACCTACACACCCCAGGATCATTTCCACACCACCTTCGACGTATTTGCCGACTCGCATGATGATCATATTTCATCTGCCGCATATGGTTCGCCCGAAAAGCGCTCTGTCAAGTGTCCCCGGACGGATAGTGGGAACACTGCTCTCGCCGACATCACTTCGGTCAATGTGAACACACGAATGGGTATGCCCTCTTTGAGTCGCTCGAAGTCCGCGGTGTTTCCCGAATCACCTTCCAAACTTCCTGGTGTTGGTCGCCTGGGCGATACCAGTCAGGATGACTTCTTCTCGTTCCATCTATTTGATGAGAGTAATGATAGCCCGGGTGAAGTGGATGGGGTTGATCTCTTGCAGGGCTTCCAGAAGATTGGAGGTGCCTCCAAAGACGATACCCTGAAGACCAAGCCGCTTCACTCACGGCCGCATCTGACCGGCCGCAGCAACACCACTCTATTTTAAAATTATCGCGTCTCGTTCCTGGTTCTGTTTTATTTTATTAATGGATCAGCTTGAAGCTTGAACCCATCTCGATCGCCTGCACTGTTTGGTCTGGTTCTGTTTGGGTTATTGTTCCCGGCGTTATTTTCGACATTAGCCCGACTGGCTTTTTTCACTCTCCCTATACATTGGTCACGTTTGTCACCCTACAGTCTCCTGTTTTTGCGTTTCTGGGTCGCGGAGTTGGGTTCTCGGATGTTACCAGGTTGGGATTGGGCAGTGCTTTCTTTCCGGGAGTTTTTTGGGCTTGCGCCGAGGGGCTGATTCTGACCTTTACTCTCACTTTGCCCGGAATGGCCTGGTTACGACCTTAATGACGATGCTAAGATGTACATGAGCAAGCAATGGTTTCATGATTTGGGATATCGGGGTTGGGATTTTTATCTTTCATGGGTTTCACCGTTTTAGCTAGGGCAGGACACATTCGGAGGCACATCCATCCGGAGGCGCTATTGGTTAGGTAGCAATTTGAACGTTTATTACTTGTCTAGCCATTGTTCTCAAAGGGTATCCAGATATGATTGACCGAGCAGAATCCAACTAACATCAAAGAACATACATGCATGACCTGAACGCCCGACCAGCCCTTGCCCGTCATTTGCCCCGTGTGAACCACTCATATCCTCGAGTCGCTCTTTTAGTCGCTGCTGGAACAGCCCCGACAGCCACAGCTGACACACTGAATGGTCTGGTTTTCCTTCAGCTGGGCCTTGGGCACGCGGCAGATGCAGGTGGAATTGAAATTGGTCTCTTTTGTTTGGACGCAGCGAAGACAGCACAACTGTAGACGACAATGAGTCAGCAAGATGCCACCAGGGATAAGTCGACTAAGACACAAGAAAAGTCATGGTGTTAAAGAGAGAGATAGAGGGAATGTAGCATACCTTTTCGTAGCCCTGTTTCTTCCACTTGGCGATTAAGTTGGCATCGGCATAGTTATTCTTCAGGAGCCAGTCATACAGCTGCTTAGAGATAGCTTCCTTTTCATAGTAGAGGTCATAAATGTATCGTGAACCTAGAAATAGAGCATCAGTATTGTGAAAGAGCAACCCGCGGAGAGACGGGTGGGGGGTGAGGGGACGGAAAGGACCAAACATACGTTGGTGGCTAATCTGGAAGATGGGCCAAAGCACTTCGTATTTCTTCTTGCCATCATGCGAAGCGTTCTCTGCATCTTTCATCTTATTGCTGAACTCGAGGAGGGTGTCTTCAATATCGTCGAAGCCGGCCGGCGGCGGTTTGCGATTGCGGGATGTGCGAATGGGGGGCATGTTGAGCCGGTGCGATGTGAATGAAAAAAGGCGGCCAGAAGAAAGCGACGATGCAACGCTGGTAGGAATGAGTGTTTTACGGACTTTGTGAGGTTGAAGGTGTGCTGGAGAGAAACCCTGCGAGCGACAAATGCGATGATCGCCGCGTCATTTTTGTGCCGAGTTCCACCGCCTTCGATTTTGCGTTGAACTGCACTGCGTAGCTTCGCCCTGCTCGACTCTCCCTTATACTTCCCATCATTGAACTTCTCCGCAACCATGGATCCTCAAACTCAGGTCGATATCTCCAGCCTTAGCGACGCCGACAAGAAGGAGCTCAACACCGTCCTTACCAACGAGGCGCAGAAGTCCAGCATCCAGCAGGGTAAGTGTCCAGTCCATACAGACGCACAGAGAGACAATGCTTCTATGATCTTAATAACTTTGATGTATACTGATTGTATCGATTAGCTGTCCACCAACTGAACGACGTCTGCTTCACCAAGTGCATCCGCGGCAAGCCCATCACCTCCGGCACTCTCGACCGGACCGAGGAGGCATGCGCTCAGAACTGCGTTGAGCGGTGGTTCGACACCCAGATGTCCATCCTGAAGCACCTGGATGTTCTGCGCGGCGGCCATTAAATTCGTTTTTTTCGATTTACGATCTACGATGGCGATGGCTGAGACTATGGCCGAGACCATAGTTTGGCCCGGAGTTGTTGATAATCGCCCTCAATTTTGATATGTTATGACAGAGACATGGCTGGAATGACACAGAACTGTGTTTATATCTGGTTGCTGCATATTACTCCGGGTTGGATTGATGTGGACTGCTTGAGTCCTTTGTACACTAGAGCCAAAAACCAATGATCTCCCTGTATATCTCTTTGCCTCGTAATTATTTGCCTTGTACTTAGGAAGACTGGATGGTCAACATACAGTGGTTCCTTTAGACATGCAAAACCAAGTGTTATACAGACCAATGGATTAATGTGGAATGAGAAATGCTGTAGACCAATGCCGCCTATACTTAAATAAAGTACTAAGCTCCATCAAAATCCCCACAAGGTGCTGGGCATCGCAATGCTAGTACTAATCTTTACTACTGGTAGACAGTTGTGAGACAATGCCCGAGGCGGGGCCCATACGACCCAAGTACTACGGTGATTGACCCTAGGCCAGAGTTGATGCACAAGTTTAGATCGTGTCAAGAAATGTTTCTTTTTTGTAATCATTCAGCCCTCGTTGCTGCACACGCAGCCAAGGACTGGCTGGTATTGAGAATCACCACGGTGGAAAACAGAGTTCGCCTAAAACCAAAGAAATCCATTTCTGCCCTTTTAAACGATAGCCAGCTTGGTGGCGGCGATGTCAAGAGCATCGACGTCAGGGGTGAGGCGGGCGAAGGCCTTCTTGGAGCCGTCGGGGCTATAGGTGAGTTAGTGAGCTGCACTACTGGGACATTTCATATTGGGAGATCGAATAGTGCATACCGGACCAGAGTGTTGACCTTGACGGTGTCAACGTCGTACAGCTTCTTGAGAGCACCCTTGATCTGGCGCTTGTTGGCCTTAACATCAACGATGAAGACCAGGGTGTTGTTCTCCTCGATCTTCTTCATGGCGCTCTCAGTGTTGAGAGGGTAGAGGATGATCTTCTGGGCATCGAGCTGGGGCTGACGGGGGATGGAGACACGGGGGTACTTGGGCGACCGAGACAGCTGGAGAGTCTTGGGGCGGTGGAAGGTGGTCGAGGTGCGGACCTTGCGGGACTTGTGAAGCTATTTCCCAATATGTCAGTACTTTGTGCGAAGGCGAATTCGACATGACCGGCAATGCAATCGATCATGGAATAGCGGTAGAACGTACGGAAGAGCCCTTAACAACCGCCTTGGCGGCAGCGTTAGCCCGGGCGGCGGGGCGGGTGCCTGTAGAAGAAAATACTGATCAGTTGCGCGGATCTTGAAAAAATGCCTTGCAGGTTCGAGGAATTGCAAGTTGGTGCGGACGAATGTGAAATCCGGAGGAAAGGAAAAGACTGCAGTCTCGTCGAGTATATGTCGCTTGTGTGTGCCTCTGCCAGCTATTCCCATCATTCCCATCTCTTTTGCGCAGTGTCTTCAAAACGAATTTTGAAATGCGAAATTCCATCCTCCGGATCACATTCTCGCACAATTCGTAATTGGCAGGAAAGGTAATAGCAAGGTCGCAACGATCGGAACGTACCTTGCTTGGTAGTAGGGGCCATGGCTGTCGTCCGCTGTCGTGATGATTGTCGCAGTGTCGTGAGTCGAACAATTCAGAGTGGCTTCGCTAAGCGAAAACCCTAGCGCTGTGTGGGTCAGGTGATCCAGATGAGATGAGTAAGCCAGGTCACGGGGATGTGGGGCCGCTTTTTTTTGATGCCGTGTTTGGAGTACATCGGATTTTTTGCCTTGAGAATTTACAATTGAAGTTTATTTTTCTTCCGCCCATCGCTTCGGGTCAAGTATCTATGGCATGAACTTTTCTTTGTTTTTCTGTTTGGTTAAATTACTACATTACCTTTCACATGGCTCCCAAGCACCGGTCTAAACGGCCGGGTCTACTGTCCACTGGTCGACCGCCGACGGTCAAATCCAAGCAGGCGGCTCTGTCCTCCAAGGCGACTCGCACTCTCATTCGCTCACATCATCAGTTGCTCAAGGCACGAGCACAGGCTTTAAAGGCCGGAGACGACGCCCGAGTCAGCAGTATCGATGCCCAGATCCATGCAAACGGCGGACTGGAAAGCTATCAGATTGCCAGCAAACTCGGTCAATCCTCGGATCGTGGTGGTGACTCCAGTAAGACCTTGGTTGACTGGATCAAGCCGCAGCTGGATCAATGGGAACCCTCTTTTGCCAAACTGCGTGTCCTTGAAGTTGGCGCGTTGAGTACGAAGAATGCCTGCTCGAGGACCCCGGCCTTGGATGTGACGCGGATCGATCTTAATTCGCAAGAGCCCGGCATTCTCAAGCAGGACTTCATGGAACGGCCTCTACCATCTACGGATGAAGAGCGCTTTAATGTGATCAGTCTGTCTTTGGTTCTCAACTATGTACCAGACGCCACTGGCCGCGGCGAAATGTTCAAGCGCTGCGTCAAATTCTTGACACCTCTATGTTCCATATCTTTCAAGCCCACCCTCTTCTTTGTCCTACCGGTGGCTTGCATCGACAACTCGCGCTATCTCACGGAAGAGAGGCTACTTGACATTTTCGCGAGCCTCGGATTTCACTTAGTGGAAAGCAAACGGACCAACAAGCTGATTTATCAATTATGGCATTATACTGGGAACCCCTCGCCCCGGACGTTCAAAAAGGAGATGCTCAACCCTGGCCACACGAGGAATAATTTTGCGGTCATCCTCAACAAGGGCTGAATCCATGTTAATGAACGTGTCTTGGTCAATGTTGCACAAGACTAAGTTGTTCCCGAGATCATGTCACTAGGCAGGAATGCCCACACAGTCCCGATTGCCGCCAGTATCGAAGACAAGACCAGCAAAAGCCAGTCAACGATACGCTCCTTTCTACTGATCTCCTTCCCGAAGATTTTCAGATAGAAGGCAAGTGGGAGTATGATGCAGATTGTGAAGCACAAGAATGAGCCCAAGAAAGCCATGATCCTGTCGAAAGACGGGAAGACAATGGCCAGTACGACAATGAGAGTCACGGTGAAGATGCGGACCACTACTCGCACCACTTTTTGAATCTTCTCATCATATGCCCCAGAGGATCCACGACCTTTCCCTACTCCACAGATGACCTCAAATGTGGATACTATGGGCCGGGCGCTATATCAACGTCAGCAAATATTCTTGACGAAGGGTCGACTCCACTCACTTCAGCGGTACTTTTGTCAGCGGGATGATTGAGATGAAGATGATAATGCAGACGGAAAGTGCTTGCGGATACTCGTCGATGGTGAGGATGTTGGCCGTGATTTCGTCACGGACCATGTCTCCGAACATGACCCAGCCAAGAATCGCCATGGAACAGTCAAGAGAAAACTGTTGTGTTGGTCAGTCTTGGGTGTGCTTTTGTGGATATGGATTTCCCTTACTGTAAATAAATAGGTGGACCAGAGACTTTTCTCATATTTTTGAGGATGCCTCATGTCTTTATAAACGTTGGGGAACACAGAATGCCCGCCCCAGGGTGCTATAAACTGGGGATCAGCTTCTCGGTCTTTGGCCATGAATAGGAATTTCTTACACATGATGAGACCGAAACTTAGAGGAAGAGTAGCCCAGTTCTCGGGAAAGAGGAACGTGGTGGCCGGCTGCCGAAGGGAGCCAGGTGCATCTGGCTTGATCAACCCATCGACGCAAATCAGGATGACAACTTTGATAAGTTAGTAATGTTCGTAGGAAAAGATAGGGGAAGGACCTGGAAAGCACTCACTTGAAGTGCAGGAGACGATGCCAAGGATGCTAGTGACGCTGAGAAAACGTAAAGGCAAGAAATTCAGGGGCATCAGGACCATTCCACAGACTATTTTCCAGTGTAGAATACTGAGACCTGGAATCAAAGCGTATAGACTATCTGCAAAAAGCACCACGAGAGCTACGCAAGCCCCCAGCAGCTCCATACAAAAGAGGAAACTGGTGATAAGGCGAGCATATTTCCCAAATGCTAGATAGCTGATGTCGCTATACGAAACGAGAGAGCGGTCCACGTCCAGGCATTTGGCCAGAATCTTGGCCGTATAAGCCGTGGCCACTGCAGAAAACACCAGAAACGATAACCCGAGCACCCACCCGGCATGCTTCATTGCCAACGGAAGACTCAGTAATCCGATGCCTATCAGTACATTGACCGAGTTGAAGACCGTCTGCGGCAGGGTAGATTGCCCGACAATGATATCCTCCTGTGTGCCGTCTTCATGCTGAACATGCTTGAGGAGGAGGGGTTCTCGATCGGGATCTCCAAGCCCATCAGCTCCAATTTGCTGCTCTCTATGGAGCTGAATCGCATGTTGTCGAGCTGATTCACTCACGCGCGAGGAGATCGTACCGTACGAAGCGACATGGGCTCTGTCCGGAGACGAAGCTAGTAGCCCGGTTCTCGGTATTCCCTTCTTGGACCTTTGTGACCCATGCAAGATTGCATCGTCCACCGCGCCTTCCTCCTCACCATAGTCATCAGTGTCAGACAGGTACAGAGATGGATCAAGATCTGAGTCGCCCGAGCGGCGACGATACTGGGATCCCCCGACCTCGTCGTCGTCAATAGCAAGTTCATCGTCGGTGTCTGCCTCTACAAACGAGGAGCGTCGCGGGATCACTTCGGGGAAGGCAGCAGCTCTTTGCCATGAGCGGGCGAAGTTATCGATACTGTTGGGGCCTCCTACCTGTCGAAGGCGGCCGAAGGAGGATGACCTATAAAGCGAGGTTAAGCTTTTGCTTTTCAGCGTCCGATGCGGGCCTGGCAGAGACGATACCTTCTTCGGCCCCAATTGTCCGCCTCGGTGATCGGATTCTCTCGACTAGAGCGCCCATAGTCCCATGAGCTCGGCTCGCCTGTTGGGATCCTCAAGGCCGAGGGTCGAAGCGTGTCGCTCTCATGATGTTCGTCCGTGACCCTGTTTTTGGACGACATCCCGGAGTGGCTGATCAGCAAATCCCGCACGCGTCGGTTCGTGGTCGTGTATTGACCCTGGTATAGGGCAGGATAAGTGTAGAGACCAGAGGGCAGGACACGCAAGCAGAGTCCTTTTTATTGCCCGGGGACAGCTCTAAGAGATAAGGAGGCAATGAATCGCCGAAGCTCCTTAGCTTGGGATGTGGGGTGATAGCGTGCAGCAGATAAGACATAGGACAGGATTCACACTTTTCATGTGTCATAGCGCCCGACTTTCGTTTCCGTTGAGACGGTCGGATGAAAATCGCTGTTGTATGTACAGTAGGAATTTGGTTCATGGAGTCTGGAAATGGTTTTCATGTCTTGAGTACAGATTCATTTGGAGTCACAACTGTTGGATCTTGAAATAGCCAGCTAGGGATTGTATAGAGACATCCCCGACATGAAACAAATGGGGGAAAAGGCACAGAAACACGCCCATGGGTCATTTCGGTGTTACTCCCCAATCCTACGATGCAACTCGATCGGAGCTGCATTCTGCAGCGGAGAGAAAAAAGAGATGGAGGCTGTTGTAAGTAGATAGTACTTGTAAATACACACAATTTGAGTTAAAACCAAAGTACCGGGTACAACCCACCGCGTGCCCTGGCTTACCTCAGCCCACGGAGCCCCTCGACCCCACGGTGCCTGAGGATTTTTGCTGCCGTACTTTACGTCAATCAGTAAGGTGTGCACCCGTTTCCCGTTGTCGTTCCTGTTGTGCGCTTCAAATGACCCGATTGAAGTCTCCGAACCGAACTGACCTCGCATAGGTGTTAGGAACGAACCTCGTTTTCGTTACGTCGGGTCTCCCATTTTGACTCCGGTTAGGCGTTGACAGGCAAAGGCCTCTACTCTCCCCCTTCGCTGCAGTCCACCTTCGCCTCGCCCAACATGAGTTCCAAAGAGCAGCAACCCGGTGAAGCCGAGAAAAACATCGAGATCTGGAAGGTCAAGAAGCTGATCAAGCGTCTTGAATCGGCCCGCGGAAATGGAACTTCCATGATTTCGCTCATCATCCGTACGTTTTTCGCTCGCTCTCCTTTCGCTCGCAGAATGCATGGCACTAACTCTCAATTATAGCGCCGAAGGATCAGATTTCTCGCGCGGCCAAGATGTTGGCTGAAGAATACGTACGTCTCCCCTCTCGCGTCCGAATCTCAATCGCCGTCTAACCACGAACTCCAGGGTACCGCCTCCAACATCAAGTCTCGAGTGAACCGACTCTCCGTTCTGTCGGCCATTACCTCCACCCAGCAGCGTCTCAAGCTGTACAACAAGGTTCCCCCGAATGGACTGGTTGTTTACTGTGGTGAAATTATCACCTCGGAAGGAAAGGAGCGGAAGATTAACATCGACTTCGAGCCCTTCAAGCCCATCAACACCTCCCTCTACCTTTGTGACAACAAGTTCCACACCGAGTCTCTGAGTGAGCTGCTGGAGTCGGACCAGAAGTTCGGTTTCATTATCATGGACGGTAACGGTGCGCTTTTCGGTACCCTGAGTGGCAATACTCGTGAAATCCTTCAGCGTCTTTCCGTCGACTTGCCCAAGAAGCACGTGAGTTTTTACATCCTTCGAATTTTCAATATATCCAGTCATTCTTATACAATATCTCCAGGGTCGTGGTGGTCAATCCGCGCTGCGTTTCGCCCGTCTGCGTGAGGAAAAGCGTCACAACTATGTGCGCAAGATTGCCGAATTGGCTGTTCAGAACTATATTACCAACGACAAGGTCAACGTTGCCGGTCTGGTGCTGGCTGGTTCTGCCGATTTTAAGAACGACCTCGCCCAGTCCGACCTGTTCGACCAGCGTCTTCAGGCCAAGATCATCAAGGTTGTCGACGTGTCGTACGGTGGTGAGAACGGTTTTAACCAAGCCATCGAACTGGCTGCCGAGACACTCAGCAGCGTCAAGTTCATCCAGGAGAAGAAGCTTATCGGCCAGTACTTCCAAGAGATTAGCCAGGACACCGGCAGAGTCTGCTACGGTGTTGAGGATACTCTCAAGGCTCTGGAGCTTGGTGCTGCCGAGATCTTGATCGTGTACGAGAACCTGGATGTTACCCGCTGGGTTCTGAAGAGCGCGGCTGGTGATGAGGTGATCATTCACACCACCAAGCTCCAGGAGAGCAACCGTGAGCTTTTCATGGACAAGGATACTGGTACCGAAATGGAGGTTGTCGACTCGGGCTCCTTCCTGGAGTGGCTCGCCGAGGCCTACAAGGACTTTGGTGCCACCCTCGAGTTTGTGTCGGACCGGTCCGGCGAAGGAAACCAATTCGTCAAGGGCTTCGGTGGTATTGGAGCCATTCTCCGATACAAGGTGAACTTTGAACAGCTTGCCGATCATAGCGACGACGACGAGTTCTACGATGGTGAGACCTATGCACCCCCACAGGCACCTGGAACTGAACGCTGACTTTACTGCAGATTGACGGTTGAGCGCCCTCGCAGAGAGCGAGGATGAACGGCCAGAAGCTCCCTCGGCGAGTGTTCTGACGGCTCGCCCCGTGGGTCATGAAGGCGGCTTCGAGACTGGAACCCTGGTATCCGTAGAGGATTCCGCTAAAAGGCCTATTCCAAGCCCCGTGAAGCTGCTCAGAGGTGAGTTTCGAGCTCTTTCATCTTTGGGTCCGCCTCCTAACACATTTGTCTTATAGGGTCATCCAAGCTCCGTGATATGCGCACTGAGGTCTCCTCAGTGTCTTAGACGAACATGAGGTGTAAATTGCAATTTGAAAGGTTGGATGCGATTCTCTGCAACATTTGGTCACCCATTGCTGCTTGCCGATACTTTGGCTAAGGTGGCATGGGGCAATTCGACTTGCGCGACCACCTTGTCGCCGTTACCCTGGATGACCATTCTTGATTCTTCGCTCTTTTATGTTTTATCGTTACTCGTTATGTTCTGAAAAATACACCCATATGGTTTGCTTAGCTTACCATTTCTCCCCAATTTATGTGTTCGATCCGGTATGATATACGCAGGGCAAGGCAGGAACTTACTTGCTCACGCTTTGCTCAATCTTGAACATTGAAATGTAGCACTTGAGTATGCCATCTTGTAGTGGCCCCGGAATGTATTTCTTGTTAAACAAGATATTAATAGAATATATAGAAAGCACGACGGGCGTTTTATCGTCATCACATCATGGCAAAATCAACTCAGCCAAGCTGATCATTCCAGGTTCCCAAATCCCTGCAGAACTCGGTGACATGCCGAAGATCATCCAAGGCTTTATGGACAGCCTCTTTGTTCTCGTCAGAGGGAGTCCGTCCACACTCCACAAAGAAGATGTATTGCCAAGCCCGTTTCAAGCTGGGTCTCGTGTTGATACTGGTGAGGTTCAGACCGTGGGCCTTGAAGATCAGCAGTGCGTTCGCCAATGCACCAGGAAGGGAATGGTCAATCGCAAACGAGATCAACGTCTTGCGGGTGGTGGGAGCGGCAGGTCGATCCTGCCCGAGCACATTTGGCTGTTCCAGTTCCAGCTGCGCCGTGCGTTCAGCGCGCATGTTCCTCAAAATCAGGAAGCGGGTGGTGTTATCCGCTCGATCCTCAATATTCTCCTTCAAGACATCCACGCCGTGGTATTCCGCTGCAAATCGGCTGGCGATGGCTGCACCACGCTCCTCCGTCTCTTTCGAGACGATCTCGGCACCTTTTGATGTGGACGAGACATCTTGTCTCTCCACACCCTTGAAATATTGAGAGAGCAACTGCTCACATTGGCCCCATGCTTGTGGGTGAGTATATAATTTAGTGATCGAGCCGTCGTAGCCCTCCCAGCCGGAGGGATATGTGCCCTTGCGGACTAGTAGGCAGTGATGTACCGTCAAGTAGTACTCTCCACACACTTTTACGTCTTTATATAAGTCATTGCGATCCGCGAGAAGGTCGAGAGTCTGGACGACAGACCCGTTGGTGGAATTCTCGAAAGGGATGACGGCGTAGTCGGCTTCTTGCTGTTGAAGGGCAGAAAAGGCATCGGCGAAGGAGACATGAGGAAGCAAGTCGGCAGAAGTACGACCGAAGGACTCGGCGGCGGCCTACGACAGCAGTCAGAACAGGGATCCTTGTTAAGCTGTGGGGTTGCAGCATTCCATTCATACCTGATGCGAGAAGGATGCGCGGGGGCCCAGGAAGGCCACTCTCAGGTGACCCAATGGCATGTTCATAGTTGTGGAATTGTGCCCGCTTCGAGTCACCGTTCAAAGTTCTCAAATACAATTGACCATCTTCGAGCCCCGACGCCATTGAGATCGTCCCCGAGCGGTGTGCGTATTTACCCAAACAAACAAGGCAAACTTCGTCCTCGATTCGTCCATCGTTTGGCGTCACATCATCTCATCTTGCTCCGAGATGGTTCGAGGGAGATTTTCGTCCGTAACGACGAAGCTTGCCCGGCCTTTGCTGTCGCTGGATCGAGCGCAATGCCGGGCTCACTCCTCGCTCGCTGAGCGCCTGCAGCAGGAGCTTACCACGCGCAAGCTCCCATTGATGTACGACTACTTACATCCTCAGCCCTCGCATTTGTTGAATTTAACGCTATACGACATTTTACCGCAATCCTCGAATACAGGCGAGGCACAGACGAGTCTACCTTCAATCACGAACCCGTCACCGTTACCTATCGGCCACCACTTGATCTACTTCCCTCCGCAGGTTACTTTGTCGCAATTACTACCGGACGGCACAGACGTCCTTCATACACCAGGAGATCCTTTCAATCGAAGACTCTGGGCAGGAGGGAAGCTCCGATTTCCCGCGGGAGCCCCTCTTCTCGATGGAAGTCGAGCCGTCTGCATCGAGTCCATGCGCAATGTGACTGTTAAGGGACGGGAAGGGGAGGAGAAAGTCATAGTCACTATCGAGCGACGCATCGGCACGGTACCGGAGGGGGAGTCAGAAGCCCAAACCTGGAGTCGGCTATGGACAGAAAATGAAGCCGACGCGGGGGAGTCATCTGTCATCGAGAATCGCGATCTCATATTTATGCGGTGCAAGACCTCGGAGCAGATCCAATCGGATAGAGAGCAGTTTGGCAAACCAAACCGAATTGTCAAAGGTGCGTCGTCATTCAATTCTCGCCATTGGAAGATAGTACTGACCCATACCTTGCGATGTGACAGCTCCCTCCGAGGCAACCTTCCGTCACTCTATCCTACCGACCAAATCATTGTTGTTCCGCTTCTCAGCACTGACGTTTAATGCTCACTCGATTCATCTGGATAAGAATTACACACAGAATCAGGAAGGGTATAAAAACCTGCTCGTGCATGGTCCGTTGACGTTGACATTGCTTCTGAGCGTGCTACAGCACAACCTAAGCAGACTGAGTCTTCGCCTGGATGGGTTTGATTACAGGAATCTAGCGCCTCTGTTTGTCGAGGAGGAATTGACGGTGTGCGGTAGGCCCAAGAACGATGGCAGCATATGGGATGTGTGGATTGAGGGACCCGATGGCGGTCTGGCTGTTCGTGGAACCGCGAGGACCTGTAGTCTGAGCTAGTGAATAGCAATGCCGAAATAAACGAACATAACAATGGGTATAAAGTCAGGACAACACTGTAAACTTGCGAAAGCAGAGCCGCGCCAAGAGCCGCCGGATTCCGGAGAAACCCATCGCCGTAGGGTTGCACACGTTTTATTTCTTCCCGCTTCCTTTCCTCTCTTTCTTTTCTTTCCCTTCTCCAACCCCTGTAATTTCCCCGAGCTGGCCTTTCTGACTTTCTAGCACTTTCTTATCTCCCTCATCTGAGATGGATGTGTTCTGGGAGGCACCTCCGGTGTCCCGGTGCGTGTCCTTGTCTCGTGCTCGGTGCAATGTTGACTGACGTGTCTTCTCAGAACCATCACTGCATTGGCTCTGGTCGAGTCGCTCCTCTACTACAGCGAAACCCTCAGTTTCTATAATGTTGTGTTTCTGAGGGGCAAGCTGTTCAAGGCGCTCCCGGAGGTCTGGCGACTGGTGACTCCCTTTCTACTAACCGGCTGGAGCTTCGACTTTCTTTTTGATCTCTACTTCAGTACGGTACCTCGGTGCAGTGTCTGACCCAAGGTGCTAATGATGCCGACAGTGTACCACTACGGCAGTTCCCTGGAAATTGGATCACCTCGCTTTAGCCAGCCTGGAGACTTTTTCGTCTACCTGATCTTTGTAGCTTGCACCATTTTGGTAAGTGGCTCGTTGTACCCGGAGCTCCCGGCAGAGCCTTGTTCTCGTTTGTTTTTTTTTCTCGTTTCTGTTTTCTATCACCTCGCATATCTGCCCGCCCAGCCATACACTAGCTGAAGCGGTTCCTGGAAGCGAGGAAGATTACCCCTGCATCCCGTGCAGCACCGTTTTCGCAAAATCTTTTGGTGCTGCATGCGTTGTGGGCGTGGTGGGACTACCTTTGAGATAGCCGTCGCGATTCTATAAGTTCGCGCCGGTGGTTATGGTGCCCTACATTCTACATAAACATCATCTATCTATTCCCAATGCCATTCAATTTTCCACTTTCACACTTCCAATTTGTCTGCCGTGGTAGCTCCGTCTGTCCTGCCCCGATGCTAACTCCTCCCAAGGTCTCTGCAGGTCTCTGGCTCCAAAGTTTCATTTTCACTCAAGGTGAGCTCCTGTATCGCGAGCCTTCATGCGCGTGCACTAAACTTTGACAGCATTGATCTTGGCATTCGCCCACACCTACGCCCAAGACAATCGGGGTAAAAAGGTCAAGTTCTTCGTCCTTCAGATCCCCGTGCTGTGGCTTCCCTGGGCCATTCTCACGATGACTCTGGTCAGGTCTGGCTGGGGTCCGGTCAAGACCCAGTTTACGGGGATTATCGCTTCCCATCTATACGACTTCCTCACCCGCATCTACCCAACCTTTGGCGGTGGAAAAAACTACATCTTCACTCCGGCTTGGGTGCGGCGTTATATCTTCAGACACACCCCGGACGCCGCACGCCGCGCTTACGGTAGAGCTTATCGCCCATCACGACCAGCTGATCCCCAGCCCGAGCCGGACTCGGGGACTCGTGGCTGGACATCGTCTCAGGATCTGGGCTCCTGGGGTACTCGTGGTTCCGGGCGACGACTCGGTTAGTGATTGAGATATGTGACATGATATGGACTCGGATCAGGTTCAGCAGGAGAGATGCATTCTTTCTAGCGTCCATGATTTTTCCTGCCTTCATAGTGCTTCTAGTTCCTAGAAGTGAGCATCTCCAGCCACTGTGTAAATTATGATAATCCACGCACCATGGGTGATTGGAGCATAACAGATATCTTGCATACCCAGCAATGAGCTTTTGAACATTCAAATCCTCAAACAATCACAACGATAAAAAGTAACCAACATCATGGACTTGAAAAGTAAAAAAATAGTCGCTGCCACGGGTCACGTGAGTCAATACGGGCGCTAAACCACATTCGGCACTGGAGCTGGCGCACTCGCAAAATTTCCTCGAACAAATTTTTGGTCTCTTGGAGACTCCGACGACAACCACCAACCTTTAAGATGGCCGCCGTCAATAACCAGGAGATGGATTACGCCATCAAGCCCGAGGCGGTTAACCCGACCGTTTCCTCTGAGGACTGGCCTCTTCTCCTCAAGAACTACGAGAAGTGTACGTTCTTTTCTTCATGATCTTTTTGGTCATGGCTAACCGCGTGTTTGCGCAGTGCTCGTTCGCACCGGTCACTTCACCCCGATCCCTGCTGGTGCCTCGCCCCTCAAGCGTGACCTCAAGTCCTACATCAGCTCCGGTGTTATCAACCTTGACAAGCCCTCCAACCCATCCAGTCACGAGGTCGTGGCTTGGATGAAGCGCATCCTCAGGTAAATTTCTTCCCATCCAACCCGACCTCCCCCTCCCCCAAACCGACAATTCTGACCAATTGGTTCTCTATAGATCCGAGAAGACTGGTCACAGCGGTACTCTTGACCCCAAGGTCACTGGTTGCCTGATCGTCTGCATTGACCGTGCCACCCGCCTGGTCAAGTCCCAGCAGGGTGCCGGTAAGGAGTATGTCTGTGTCATTCGTCTGCACGACAAGATCCCCGGCGGCGAGGCTCAGTTCCGCCGCGCTCTGGAGACCCTCACTGGTGCGCTGTTCCAGCGCCCTCCCCTGATCTCTGCCGTCAAGCGCCAGCTCCGTATCCGTACCATCCACGAGAGCACCCTGTACGAGTTCGACAATGAGCGTCACCTTGGTGTCTTCTGGGTCAGCTGTGAGGCCGGTACCTATATCCGTACTCTCTGTGTTCACCTGGGTCTTCTGCTCGGTGTTGGCGCCCACATGCAGGAGCTGCGTCGTGTGCGCTCCGGAGCTATGGATGAGTCCAAGGGCATGGTTACCCTCCACGATGTGATGGACGCCCAGTGGGTGTACGATAACCAGCGCGATGAGTCCTACCTGCGCAAGGTCATCAGCCCCCTGGAGAGCCTGCTCACCTCCTACAAGCGTATTGTCGTCAAGGACAGCGCCGTCAACGCCGTCTGCTACGGTGCCAAGCTGATGATTCCCGGTCTCCTCCGTTTCGGTTCGTCATTTCCCTGTCCCTGAATATGATAGCAAGATTCTAATTTTTACTTTATAGAGGCTGGCATTGAGGTCAACGAGGAGGTTGTCCTCATGACCACCAAGGGTGAGGCTATTGCTATTGGTATTGCTCAGATGTCTACCGTTGAGCTCTCCACCTGCGACCACGGTGTCGTGGCCAAGGTCAAGCGTTGCATCATGGAGCGCGACCTGTACCCCCGCCGCTGGGGTCTGGGACCTACTGCTCTTGAGAAGAAGAAGCTCAAGTCCGCCGGCAAGCTCGACAAGTACGGCCGCACCAACGAGGCCACCCCCTCCAAGTGGAAGAGCGAGTACAAGGACTACAACGCTCCTCTGGAGGACGGAGAGCAGCCCGAGGCCAGGCCCGAGCCCGTTCCCGCTCCCGCCGAGGAGTCTAAGTCTGAGGCTGATTCTCCTGACGACAAGAAGAAGCGCAAGCACGAGGGCGAGACCGCCGAGGAGAAGGCCGAGCGCAAGAAGAAGAAGAAGGAGAAGAAGGAGAAGAAGGAGCGCCGGAAGTCCAAGCAGGAGGACAGCGATGACAGCGAGTAAAGATGCTCAGGAAGACCTGCTGGTCCATTTCCTGTACCATATTTTGATTTTTCCGGAGTCTTGGGTCAAAAGGGAATCTGCCGGTTTGAAGAATTTATTTTCTAGTTGCTTCGAACAACACTTTGTTGAAATTCACTCGGTTGTAAATGAAGCAAATGCAAGTAATGGTGTACTGAAGTAAATTCAAGGTGTAACTAACGTATGGGGAGGTCAAAATCTCGTGACTCGAGCTCTCCGCATTCCCCTCTTCGTCATCGCCGGATCTTCTCCTCACTACAATCTTGAACCAGCCTCAAAGAACACTCCGAGACAGAATTCTCTGACAGCCAGCTTGTATCCGTTGCCAACATGGCAGCCGAGCTAACCTCCATAAAGCTCAACCCTGAGAGCCACCTTATCTTGGTACGAACGTCTCGACGCCGTTACCGGAATTGAACTAACCCCTCCACAGGACCAACCACTCCTCCGCCTCCCCCACGAGCTAGCCCGACGAAACTTCAAAACGGTCCAAAGATCCGTGGAAAGAGAAAAAGAGTATGTCCTGCCGGCACTCAAAGAGGCCGCCAACGCCTCACTATCGAACACCCACACCCCCGACCAAACCCTCGCCGCACTGGACGCAATGATTTCCCGCATGCAAGGCCTGAAACGGAAGATGCAAAGCCTACAAGAAGAAGAGAAGAAAATCCAGACCCAGTCTCGCAAACGCATCCAACACCTCGAGACGCTGCATAAGATCCCGAGCTTGGCTGATGTCAAGTATGACCAATGGTCGCGTGTCCGGCTGGATCGGTTACTCGTGGATCATATGTTGCGGTCGGGGTACTCGGATAGTGCGAAGCAGCTGGCGAAGGACCGGGAGATTGAGGATCTTGTCGATCTCGGTGTTTTTACGCAGTGTCAGCGGGTCGTCGAGAGCTTGCGTCGCGGGGAGACTAAAGAGGCGTTGCAGTGGTGTGGCGAGAACAAAGCTGCATTGAAGAAGAGCCAGGTATGTCCGATCAATCTTTTATTACTTCGGAAGTTTTCATTTTACTAATGGGTTCTTTGCAGCATAACTTGGAATTCGAGCTGCGGCTGCAGCAATACATTGAGATGGTCCGAACGAAGGACTTATCGAAGAAGGTGGAGGCGATCAGCCATGCTAGGAAGTATCTATCTCTCAATCCTGAGTCTCAAAAAGACGAAGTCAACCAGGTTGCTGGGTTGCTTGTCTTCACCCAGGATTCGAGGGCGGAGAAGTACAAGGTAAAAAAGTCCAATTTCCCCTCAACAGTGACCTGTTTAATAACATGTGCACTAGTCACTATTCTCACCGGATCGCTGGAAGTATCTTTCGGATCTATTTGTGCAGACTCACCATGAGCTCCTCTCATTGCCGTCACAGCCACTCTTACATATTGCGCTGTCAGCTGGGTTATCGGCACTAAAGACACCGCTCTGCCACTCAGCATACACATCATCCAGCTCAAACTCCCAGTCCACATCTACATCCGTGTGCCCGATTTGCTCTACAGAACTAAACGAGCTAGCACGGAGGATGCCATACGCGCATCACTCCAAGAGCTACGTGGAAAGCGACGCCATCGTGCTGCCCAACGGCCGAGTCTACGGCAAGTCACGACTGCTGGAAATCAGCAAGAATGTCGGATCTGTCGAGACAGGCAAAGTCAAAGACCCGACGACTGGCGAGGTCTTCGACGAGAAGGAGATGAAGAAGGTGTATATAATGTGAAGTCCCAAAGCAAATTTAATTTTCGTATGTGGGTATAAATCGTTAAATGCAAGGAAACGGAAGCTATGCGCTATCATCCGAGTCATCTCTCGCTCTCTCTTTTTCTTCTTCCCCTGCGTCACCTTCTTCACCTCGAACACGTACATCCTAGCCTCGCGATCCTCGCCGCGCCATCCACCCCTCCCTTCATTCTTCCCTTCCACCTCGCCAAGCGTCCGGGCATGCGAATAACCCTCGTAGGAAGTCCACGGAAAGCGGAAACTGGTGATAACCTGCAAGCCTGCATGACGGGCCAAATCCTTGATGTTCCAGAGCGTATAGGGCTCAGCTTCGAAGAGAGAAACAAGAATCTGACCCGGCCCGGTTCGTGAAGCCTTGCCTGAAGTCTGAGCATCCTCCTCCTCTTCTTCCTCATCCTCATCCTCATCCTCATCCTCCCCCTCCCACTCATCGTCAGAATCAACGGGATCCGGCGCCGCAGAAAGCAAAGGCACACAAGCCTTAAAAAACGCCACAAGGAGCTCCTGATTGAACCTAACCTGCCGATTCACATCCGTGGAAATTCCACCGACATGCGGGAAATTGAAACAAATCACATCCCACGGCCCACTGGCCGGTTTCGGGACTGGCGGTTGCTGCTGAGCCTTCCAAGCAGGAATCTTGCGCTCTCGTCGCGGGAAACCATTCTTGATCTCCTTACCTCCGCCGCCCTGGGCACCGAGCTTGCGCGCGTCGATCGAGAAGAGGACTTTTGGCGAGTTGGTTGATTTCTGCTTCTCTTGATCTTGAGATTCTGAGCTCTTGGGCTTGGAGTGCAGGATGTCGTTGATGTTTTGCTCTGCTTGGGGGTATTTCTCGAAGAGAGTCTCCTGCGAGTCGTAGCAAGTGGCGAGCAGTTTGCGGCACTTGTATTGCTTCGCCAGAGAGCGGGCGAAGGAAAAGTCGCCTGGTCCATATTATTAGTTCGGTTCTTCTTTGATGCAAGGTATGTACGATGAGTAGCAGGGCTGGAGAGGAATCAGAAGCGCTCAATCCATTTTGGAACATCCCAAGGGCGTCATCTCCAGACATGGACTGGCAAATCTCTCGAAAATCAAATGCAAAAAGGTCAAGGACAAAGCATTCCAGCAAGAACAATCGAAAGAAAAACAAAATCAAGAAACTCACCCTCTCCAATTAACAAAATGCGATCTCCCCTCAGGAAGGGCACGATTGGTCGTTGATTCGCCTGCACCGGCGCTTTCTTCTGCGCATCTTTTGCAGCTCCAGAGTCCTGCTTAGATCCCTTGGCTTTAGGCTGTGACGATGGCCCTGGCTTTGGAGGGCCGGGTCTGTTGGAGCGGGGCGGGGGCCCCCTTTGCTTCTTGCGAGGCATGTTGTGATATGTGATATGTGGTTGAGGGTGAGAATGATGTATAAAGTTGGGAGGTGGATGGCGAGAGTTGAAAATCGGGACGGTCAATCGAAGATCCGAAGCGGCTGCTATCTATGACAACCTACTTTATAACAAGTCGAAAAAGGCACTCGAATGACTCCTTCTGCTTACTCCCAATGATGGATAGTATTATTAAATGGCATACAGTATTTTCTTATCAAGGTACTGAGAACAATGGAAGATGAAAAAAAATCGCGGTCTATTCTCCAAGGCATAGCTATTTACATTAAAAACAGTCAAGATCAGGCTATGCCCACACAACACAAGAAGGAAAGAAGAATTAATATAAATCATACTGCAGACCAAGATGGCAAGCATTTCCCTAGACGGAAGATGAAAAAGAAAAGCCACCAACACCAAAGAAGTAGCGACACAAGAGCACCGGCGGGCTGCAAATGAACCATGAATCATACACATGCAAGAATGGGATCCCCAATGGCACCATAGGGAAACGGTGATGCGCGGATCCTGGCTGGGCCAGGATGTAATCGAAAAAAAAAAGGGTCATTTCATCTATGCTTTTGGGGGGTCTCACGACCGCAGCGAATCACGCATGCTTTGGCTGCTGGCACTGACCAGCGGGTTGGAGGTGGGGAGAATGCCGGTCTTGGGCATGGCGTTCTGCTTGATCTTGGCCACGGCGTAGACAATGCCACTGACGAAGCCGATGAAGATGGCCGACACACTGGGGAAGGTGACGGGGGCGTCGAAGAAGATCAGGCCGGATAGGGCGATGGGCAGCTTGTTGAGGGCGCCGACCATCGAATACGTGGTGGACGAGGTCACGCGCACGCACCAGGCGGAGGTATACGAGATGAAGACGGAAGACAGACCGGACAAAACCATGGCGAAGATGATTCCGTTGCGGTTGCTCTCGGGGAAGTTGCGGGCCAGGTTGGCGGAGGACCAGTCCTCGACAAGCAGGGTGAACACGATTAGGACGGGGATGGAGAGCAGGTTGTTGTAGAACATGGCTAGAGAATGTTAGAGACTCGAATAAAGAAGAAACGGGGGAAAAGCACGTACTGTCAAAGTCCTTGAAGTTGGTCAGCTTGATGCGCTTGCGCATGCCCAACACGTAGGACGAGGTGCACAGGCAGTTGATCATCATCCAGACATAGCCGGCGTTCAAGGTCGACACCTGGCTGGAGGTGTCACCGCTGCTCTCAACGGCGTGCTTGATGTCGGCCCAGGCGGCAATAATGGAGCTGACAACCATCAAACCGAAAGAGAACAAGGTCATTCGAGTCACGGAGCCGCCGAACCACAGGACCTCACCGTAGGCGATGAGGATGATGGTCAGGTTCTTGAAAATAGTATACACGGGGATCGAAAGGAACTGGAGGGCCTTGGAGCCGGTATAGATCATGCCAATGAGGAGGAGAGTAATCGGGAACCCTGTCAAGCGGTGCACGTTAGATCCCTGTTTCAGAGCAGAGAACGGGAGGACGGGGGCGGGCTTACACTTTTTGGCCTCATCGGCACTGAAGTCACGGTAGGTGATGAGACCCATGGACTTGCATGTTTGAATCGCAGCGATACAGACAAGAGACTAGAATGAGAATGAGTGAAGTGTCCAAAACTCTATCGTTCAAGCTACCACATACCTGAACCATGAGCAGCAGGAAGTTCAAGTTGAAGTCCAAACCCGACAGAACGTATTTGTTCATGACGGTCATCATAATGGACGAACCACAGTAGGCCAGAACCGGCAGGGCCGGATTGCTGGCGACCGGACTGGGAGGGGTGTTCCGGGGCTGCGGCGCAGGCAGCGCAGCCTCGAATTCCTTGTTGCCCTGGTCGAGCTTGTCCATCTCGACGGTGTAGTCGTATGTTTTCTTGTCCTCGGCCATGGTGAAGGTGGTGGTGGTGGTTAAAAGCAGAGACAAAAGATAGTGGAGCGTACACAACGCGCAACTGAAAACACTCGAAGGGAGAAAAAGAACCTTTGTCCGGAAACGCGGATGACATAAGCAGGGACCAGGGGCCAGGGGCAGCTGACTCAGCGCCTAGTTTCGGATTCGGACTTTTGTTGTACAACAATCTACTCGTTGCTCGCTCTATTTTGAATGAGATCGATTGGACCGATTAGTACAGGGAATTTAGAATCAGAGTTGATTAACATGCTCTGGTCTTTGTAGATCTCGGAGCCTCTGGGAGCGCCTTAAAGTATAACGCGAGCAGTTACGGTGGAGTAGGTGAAGATCGGGAACCCTCCCCTGCTCAACTCTCCACCTCGACACACACCTCCATAAACCACTTCCAATGGACTCAAAATACCTCCAATAATACGTCAACCTCCAATTGCACCGCACATCCCCCACAACCCCACTCACACACCAAAAATGCCCGACGGCCACGAGTCAGACGACGAGGCACTCTTCGCCGCCCTCGAGAACGAAGACGACCTAAGCTACCGTGACCACCGCATCCAACAGCTCAACGCCGAGCTAGCCTCACAAAAGACCAACCGCGACACGTCCAACACAAACCACGGCGCCGGCCTACGGGACAGCCCATACCCGACACTAGACGGAGACCAGGGCGTGCTGAACTTGACGACGGAAGCGACACGGTGCATTGTACACTTTGCGCACGATGATTTTGCCCGGTGTGCAGTGATGGACGCGCGATTGGAGGAGCTGGCGGGGCGACACTTCGAGGTGCGGTTTGCGCGGGTGGATGTGCGGTCGACGCCGTTCTTGGTGGAGAAGCTTGGTATTCGCGTGTTGCCTTGCGTGATTGGGTTCAAGGATGGAGTAGGCGTTGATCGGATAGTTGGATTTGAAGGGCTGGGGACTGGGGGTGTGGAAGGAACGGATAAATTCAGTGTCCAGACGCTCGAGAAGAGGCTTTTGTATAAGAAGGTTTTGCTGGAGGCCAAGTTCTCTAGCGAGGATGATGACGAGGTCGAAGAGGACAGTGGCAGTGACGATGACACGGTGCGGAGACGACGTCCAGCGAAGGCGATTCGCAGTGGGAATACTCGACGGAACCGCGATGACGACGATGACGACTGGGAGTGAATTGAACGACCTGCTATGAAAGTCTTGTACATGATGAACATCGAACATACGAGGATATCCCTACAAGGAAGACCAAAGCCACCGGGCAGAGCGGAAATAAATTGTAGCCAGACACGAAAGTAGAAAAGAAACACTAACACTGCATCATCATAGAATTACAGGCAGATATCAATGGAGACCGTGAGCAACAGAGTGGTCGAAAGCAGGCGAATCAAAGCAATGAAGAAAAGAAAAGGCAAAAGCTCCCTAGAGTTACAACAAATGCCGCGCAGCCCGGACCAAAACAACAAGGAAAGGGGAATTCTATACACGGAAGCAGAGCAGTGTCACGTAGAAAAGTTCGTCATTGACGCCTGATTTGTGCCCTTGAGAGAGAAAGAAAAAAGATCGTGGGACTCGACGGGGTGTAAAGACAAGCTCTAAATGGCCACGTTCTTCATCTCCCCGAGGACCTCCGAGTCCATGACATTCGAGGGTCCTGCCGCATCGTCGGTCTTCTCGGTCTTGTCTGAGTCTGTTGACTTCGATTCGGTCTTCTCGAATCCTTCATTCTCCTTGTTGGAGATCTGGGGGGTGGCCACCTCCATCAGATCTTCCTGCTCCTCCTTACTGCCGTGCTCCCGGGGGTCTTCTGAGATGGTAGGGGCCGCGGTGGCGACAGAGCTGGAGGTTTCTTCGGTCACGCGAGCGAGAGGGCTCGACATGCCGAATTGAGTCTTGGGGCTCTGGGCAGGTCCGCGGTTGGGGAAACGGTGTGGCGATCGGCCACGCTCTTCAGCCCGAGTCGGGCTGCCGTAGGGGGAGTCCTTGCTGCTGCGGTTACCGGCTGCGTTCACACCCAACCCGTTGGGGCCACGTCGGCGCGGGGGGCGACGGCCGTACTTCTGGTCGGTCCGCCACCGCAGGATCTCCAGGTACGGGGGATTGACAGACTGCGACTTGAACTCCTTCAACCGCAGCTCGTTAGTCTCTTCGTCCACAATAACCTTGCCGCTGCAGAGATCGTCCGCGAAGGTGGCCAGGAATGCAGACCAGGATCGAGCAACCACGTATTTGCAATCGTAGTCACGGCCGAAGATAATCACCTGGCCCCATTTCCCGGCCGGGCCGGGTGCCAGGTCAATTGCGAGGTGGTTACCGCCCCAGTCACGAGCAATCGGGATCCAACCGTGGTGGGCATAGGCTTTTTGCACGGCACCAGGAGGTTGGGAGTCCTGGCGATCAAGCAGGTCATTCCGCCATGAAGACGTGCCTTGCTGGGACGAGCCTGCGGCGGCCGAAGAGCCCGCAGCGGAACTAGAAACGGGGGCACTGTGCATCATCGAGTTGCTGAGGAATTCGTCATTGACGGTCTTCCAGTTCTTCCGCTCCTGGACAATCTCCTCACAGTCCAGTAGCATACAACTGAAGATGACACCCGTGGGCAGACCGGGCCGCTCCTGACCGTCATGGAGCATCAAGGACTCGCGCACTTCCAAGGGCAGGCTGCAGTCCAACTCGTGTTCCAATTCGTTAATATCATTCTGGGTGCATCCCTCGCCGAGATTGTCCAGCAGTTCCTCATAGTTGTGTTCCAGCCAGCGCTCGATCTTCCGCCACGAGTGTGCGACCGGCGGAGGGGGAGGAGCACCGTCGTGGAAGCTCTGCATCTGAATCTCGGCGCCGTCGGGCTGATCGTTAGATCCTCGTTTTTGTGATGCGAGCGACCTCATGCCGGGCGAGTAAGGGCGGCTCGGGGAACCCGGCTCGGTCGGAGAACCGTTGAGTTCGGTAGATTGTGCGTTGGCCAGGCCCTTGAGAGACTCGTCTTCGTAAGGATTAGAGAGGTCGGGGCGAGAGTCGGCGGCGCTGGTAGCAATGGAGGTGAGAGGTTCATGGCGGCTTTGGCTGAGCGGAACGTGTCTGCCAGTGCGATAGGGTGAATCGTGGGTGGCATGACGGTCATAGGAGGTCATGGTATGCCAAAACGAGCGCCATGTCGAACTGAATCTGGAGAGAGGATCAGTTGGGGAACGGGGGGCCTAGAGAGGGGAAGGAGTTGGGACTCACAGATTCGCCATGGCTGGGCTGAGGGAAAGGGGATCAGAGAGGACGACAAAACAAGGAGGTCATTGGCGACCGGGCTATGTATGAGCAAAGCAATGGAGGGAACAGAAAGGAAAGACGTGATGAATGGTTAGTCAGGAAGGAGGGAAAATTATGATAGAACTTCCCCGTGATTTGAAGGATCCGCTCCTCCCCCCCCTGGCCGCATCCAGCTTCCACCTACTCTGGCATGCAGATCATGATGTCGCCAGGTTCGCCGGGCGCAGCATGCCTGTCTGTTGTCTACGTGTCTACCTATCTACCTATCTATGTATCTACGTCCTTCCACTCCGTACGTAGGTGGCGATTACCGTTTTACTCCCTAAATGAGATCCTTCATGGGATGGGCTACTAAGGAGGCCTAACACTGGAGGCTGCCTAGGCACATTTGGCAGGGTCCGCCACGCCTGCCCGTGGCGTACAGACTTATCTGTCGAATTAAGCTTCATCAAGTCCGAGACACGATCGACGAAGAGAGTCGATGTCAAGTATTATGCGATTCTAGCGTGTTCTGTGATTCCACAAGGACGGAGTTTGCTCATTGGAAAATTGGACGGGTCCTCTCCTAGTCCCCCAAGCTAAATTTTCAGCTAAATGCATTCAACCCTGCTGCGAGAACAAGAAAACAAGGCGTGTTATAAAAATAGGACGAGGACTCCGTAGTGGCCCCGACAAAAAGAAGTGGATCGGGGGACAGTTGCAGTGGCGTCACGACCAGATTAAGGGGAGTGTACAACGGTGCTGCACCCCCGTCATCCCTTTGTCTAATTCCCAACGGTTCTACGCGCACATCGACCATGTCCAATGATGATAATGTCGTTCTTCCCCGAAGCCCTGGACCCTTGAAGCTGGGCACGACCCAGGCCAATTTCTAATTAGGATCAGCGCCGGGGAACCAAACTGTGGCCTTTCGGCGCCGTCGAACTTACACTGTTGAAGGAACGGCGTTTCTCGAACGCCCGGAGCGGCTAGCACAGTGGCTAGTGGCTGGGGGCTAACTCGGCGACGCCGGTGATTTGTCGTAATCAACTGCCCTATGGAGTACCAGATCTCGCTTTTTCCTTGATTTTCTTGGTTGCGCCGCCAAAGGTACAACCTCGGGGAAATTTATTAGCCGTGATTCCCTATGCTTGTACAACATTCTCCAAACTACGAGAAACAGATGTAAACGAGCGGACGGCATGATATTCACACCAGACATAGATAAAGACAGATCCCGAGTCCACAGACCCGGGGATGAAGGGAATTTCAACACGAGGGAACTGGCGCGAGGCAAGCCTACCACAAGCTGCGATCGGAGCCAATGCACCATGTACACAAAAAGAAATCCAGTAGAAAGAGCGACGGTCTCTCGCAAGAGACAAACGGAACGAAAGGAATGAAAAACGAAACACGAAACACGAAACATGAAAAAGCAGAGAGCGAATGCATATCATGAGCCATCCTCGGCTGAAATCTCCTGAAAACCAACCAGGCACAAGTACTTGGAAAGATCCCGACTCCGAACGATGCAAAAGGAGACCCCGAAAGGAACCTCAACTGTACCGAGAAGCATGAACCGAGTATCGCAGAAAACACCACCACACCAAGCACCCTGACGAGAAATGGAGACCAAAACCCACCGTGGGAAATAACCTTGGACCAGTCCAGGATGTCCCTATGAACCGAATACATAAAACAAGAAAGAAACACAAGTCAAGTGGAAATAGGAAAAAAGATCATACAGATCATCATCCGGAAGCTGTGAAGAGGCAAAGATTTAAGCAGCAAAGGAACTTTGATATCCGCCCGGCGGGATAGCCGAGGCCGAGCTCGTCGGAGCTGCGTTGATATTCAAGATGCGGCGAAGATCATCCTCCATCTGCTTGGTCTCCAGGGACCTGGAAGGCGACGGAGAATTCGTGGGCATGTTGAACGCCGCGTTTGCGTATTGAGGCTGGGGAGAAGCAAAGTCTGGCTGCTGCATGGGTGCATTAGGCATGTAATATCCGTAGGGAGATGGCGAGGATCGAGCAGAAGGGTGCGTGTTGGTGGGGACCTCGCGTCTCAGGGGAGAGTTGGTGTTGCGGAATTGCTGCGGGCCGTTGGCGTATGGGTATGAAACCGGAGGGCGGCCAGCGCTGCTGGGCACCGGCTGTTGTTGGCCCGGGAAGCCGTGGGAGAGTGGCACTGAAGGACCCGAGTGTGTGCGCGTGGGAGTCGCATAGTGAGGGACATTGGAGTTGATATTCGGGCGAGGCGCATACGGACCATGCTGATTCGGAGTCGTAGCCGGAGACATTGACGAAGGCGGTTTCTGAGGACGCGGGTTGAGCAGCATATGCTTCAGCTCTTCGTTCTTCGCTCGGCGATGGTCGTCCATCGCATTCGGGGAGTGAGAGGGCAAACTGGACGATCGGAGAGCATCCATGCGATCCTGGTAAGACGGCGCGAAAGCAGGGCCAATATGCGCTCGCGGTTCGTTGGGAGAACCCATCTCGAATGCGAAGACGTCACCAGGAGCAGTTTGAGGCTTTGGAGGGAGCGCTTTCGAATCGGTCTGCGGGGAGTGCATCCGGGCGGCAGACTCCGGGCTTCGCGTGGCGTTTGAGTTTCTCGCCTGCACAGCTGCCTTGAAAAGGAAGTCGAGAGGGCTGGGTTCGGACCCATTTGTCGTGGGTTGAGTGAGTTGGGTAGGGGGTGGTCGTGCTCGCGGTTTAGAGGGAGTGGTCTCCAGATCCTGTTCCGTTTCCGCATCCTCGCTATCCGTCTCGAGAGTGGGCGCAAGGTCCGACTCAGGGAAGGATTTGGAGAAGAAGCTGGGAATCGGCAGAGCCGATGGCGCAGGCGATGCGTGGAAGGTTGGGCCCGCATATGCTGCATTGTCCTTCATAGGGGTGCCGTTACTGGGCTGGGAAGAGGTGCGGGCATGTCCATTCGGCGCAGGTGATGCGCGATTGCCTTGGCTCTGGCTCGGTTTCTTGCCCGAGCGCGGAGGCTTCTTCTTGGATTGGACATTATTCGAGGAGTCGGTAGCAGCTCCAGCGGGACTCATGTTTCTTGGGGGAGAGGATGGGGGTGTACTGAGCAGGGCAGTCTTCTGTACTTGAGGAGTTGTGTTCTTCTTCTGAGGACGACGGTTGTTGCGGGCACCCTTAGGAGTGGGAGGATGAGGGAACTGAGTCGACATGGCGACGGGTGGCTTGAAAAAATAGGCAGCCTGTGCGAAGTTGAAAGGGAAAAGGGCAGACGCTGAAAGTCGAAGGTAAAGATAGCGGAGGCCAGTCCAGTCACTGCTCAGCAGCTGTCGATATTAGATATTGTGACGCCGGGCAGGGAAAAGGAAGGTAAAGAAAGTGCAGAAAAGAAACGCCTTTCTAAGGGACGTGAGAAAGTCAAAGTGAGAACAGATGGCGAGCGGAAATCATGTCTAAGATGGTAGAAGGTGGGAAGTGAAGGAGTCAAAGGCAAGTGACGGAAGGTTAGGCGGGGACCCAATGACTAAGACTCTCCGCCACAGTTCACGTTCAGTGGGGTTGAACCTAAGGAAGCTGTTTGGTGAGGCTCTTTCTTCACTATCTACGTCTACCGTCATTCCCTCTCTTCGATTACCCCAAGGTGTCAAGGTGACACCCGCCTGCGGCTGCTTCTCCCGAGGTCCTCCGGACTTACCTTCGACCACCCACCCTACCACCACCCATCCTCAACCTTAACCTCGACTACACAACACCATGGCGGACGTGGAGATGAAGGATTCCACTGCGGGCGCTTCGTCCAAGGGCAAAGCTGTTGTTAAGGATTCCGGCGACGGCAAGAAGAAGTTTGAGGTCAAAAAGGTACAGAACTACCTTGGGAGCCACTTTGAACCGTGAAGCTGATCTTTCTCCAGTGGAACGCCGTAGCCCTTTGGGCATGGGATATCGTTGTCGACAACTGTGCCATTTGCCGAAACCACATCATGGACTTGTGTATGTGAAATGTCTATCGTAGCGCCATCTGCACCCGCGATACTAACCCGCCGACAGGCATCGAGTGTCAAGCCAACCAAGGCTCATCAACGACGGAGGAGTGCACCGTCGCTTGGGGTATTTGCAACGTGAGTTAACAGCCTACTATTCGACAACTGGTCTAATGGATATCACTACTCCAGCACGCATTCCACTTCCACTGCATCTCGCGATGGTTGAAGACTCGCCAGGTCTGCCCGCTCGACAACCGAGACTGGGAGTTCCAGAAGTACGGTCGGTAAAGCGTCAATGAACGTTCGAGTCGAAAAGAAATTACCGGAGAGAGAATGTGTGTGCCGGAAGTCCGGTTGCTGCCACTCGCCCATGCGCAATGGCTACGATTACTCGGGGATGCGTGAAGGACATGATTTGTTTTGTTTTCTGGCGTTCAGGGTCCTCATTTGCCATGAAATCATCAAAGGCCGATAGATTTTTTCGATTCCCGTCCTAGTAAATCGCGCTATTGTAGATTGAACCAGTATATTTGAAATCCTAGATCTCATTCAAGCCACCTTGACCCCGTCCACGAGTACTTTGGGTGTGATTGCCTTCCCGCCCGCAGAGCCCATCCATCTCTCCGGGTTCTGGTTATAAATGGGCCAGGGTGGAATAACGGCGAGTCCAGTGAATAGCGTGCCGGCGAGACCGATCCATAGCGTGAGGTGGATGTCCTTGTAGATGTATCCGACGATGAAACTGACGGCCTAAGGATGTGTGAGCAAGCGGCAGGGTATACAGTGTTTGTCATGACTTACACCGGAGATAATCAACAAGACTGTGCTCAAGATATCTGCAAGGCGCTGACCGTGGAAGTCCTGGGAGGAGTTAGCTGTGGCCGCATCCAGGGTGGTTGGTGAAACGACAACGGGCGGAGACGTACAATCTGGCCCTCGAAAATATCCCGGAGAGGTGCAAGTAGCTCGTCCATTGTGTAAAAAAGGGAACGGCTGAGATGGTAATGATGATCACGTCGCGAATCGAAGGTCCTGGGGAGCCGCGAGCCGCTTATCGCAATGTTGTCATTTGCCCACCGCCTCCGCCTGGAGTCTTTTAGTCTACACCTCAACGAGGTTTCATACTCTCTCCACTCAGATCATTTTGTGTTTATAAATATCTGAATGCTGAATTGCCGAGAACTCAATCAACACCGAGTATTATAAAAGTCAAAGTAGACTCATGTATGTGGCGTATATGTTCATGATTCATCTATGTCTATCTCTATATTTGCTTGTACTTGTGTAGGGTCCACTCGTACATATGGAGTACAGCAAAACTTGTGATAGGTCTTCTGTCCAGCCGTTGTGCAGAGTCAAGGCAAAAGCAACCCGTGTATCAGGTTGCGTGCAGCCTGCACCGCGGACTGGTAAACCAGCGGTGAATCCGAGGAAGCGTGCGTCAACACATGGCACATGATGTCAGCGCGTGGAAATCTTTCCAAAAAAAAAGGACCTTCTTCAGCAAGGGCTCTTCGCTCGCTCTAGCGTCGTGCTTCCAAGGCTCGAAGGATTTGGTGCGCTTATGGTCTCTCGCGCGCGTCATGGGTTAAAAGGGACGATCGCCCCAAATGACGCAGTTGGAATCGTTGGTCCCGGAATTAGTTGGGGCTCACGGTGGTACCAGCATGAGCGGGCTCCAGCAGCTTCCACTGGCAGGTGATATTATTGGTGGCGAACTGTGCGATGATGCGGTCTGCGATCTCGGTGAATCGATCGGTGGCCAGGGCCAGGATGGTGGGACCTGCACCGGAGAGACAGATACCAAGCAGGCCTGGCTGAGTGGCCGGAGTCATGAATTGGAGAATCTCGGTCAGACCGGGGATCAGCGTCTTGCGGTATGGTTGGTGCACCTTGTCCTGCATGGCCAGGAAGATCATATCAGGGTCCGGCGGGGAAGTTCCCAATGCCGCGGGGAGCAAGGCCGCGCGTTGGAGGTTGAAAACCTGGTGGGATATCAGCATTGTTTCAAGTTCATGAGTCTGGAGGGTCACATACGACATCCGCCCTGGAGTAGTTCTCCGGGAGCACATTGCGGGCATTGGCGGTGGGCACGACAAAGTCCGGGATGATGGCGATGGCCTTGATCTCGGGGGCCCAGTTAAACTTTCTGTAGTGACCGATTCCGAGAGGGGGCTCCGGGGGGGTGAACCCAGTATCAATGCCTCCAGCCGGTGCGGGCAGGACTTCACTGAGCGGGATTTCTTTCCGCGCAACGTCTTCGGGCTTCAGCTCGTTGAGGTAGGTACCCACAAAGCCTCCGAAAAGCGAGGCGGCCACGTTATCGGGATGTCGCTCTACGAAAGTTAGTCAAGGTGTACCAGTACCGATGCATGATCGTCTTCTGTTGCAGGACCACGCGGGACACTCTCTCACCAATCATCAAGCAATAGTCGAGCAGACGCTCCTTGCTCAAACCCAGCTTGCCGACTTCATTGCCGAGCATAACACCGGCTACGACTGCAGTGCCCGACGATCCCAAGCCCCGACCCAGCGGGATGGGGTTGATGATGTGTACTTTGGTCTCGACGGGGAACGCGCGCTGATCGTGGCATCGCAGAAGGTACAGGGCTACACGGGTGATCAGGTTGACCTCGGGGTCGAGGGAGATCTGCTCGGTGCTCTTGCTTTGGTCTTCATAGGTAATGGCGCAGTTCAAGGGCAGGTCGGACGAGGGTTTGGAGTCGACCGTGACGTGGAGTTCGAGATGGAGGGACAACGCGAGGCCGATCACATCGAAACCGGGGCCAATGTTGGCCGAGGAGCAAGGGGTTCGGATGACGAAGGAGGTCATCTTTGAATCTGAAGTCCAAACCTTGGAAGATGACCTATAGGTTAAGTTTAAGTTACTCCGTCACTTTTCAATCGCAGGTCGAATTATGACTCGATCGAATGCGGAAACTCTTGGCGCACCAAAAAATTCCCCCGGTCCGACGTCGGGGAATCAAGTGGAGCTGATCAGCTCACTCTTAATGATTGGGCCCTTATGGTTTAGTACGATTGAACCAGAGATCTCTTGTGTGCTGCACATGCAGGTCACCTGGGTATTTTAGACTTTGCCTGTCACCGGTGTCATTGGGGGCACTAGCTAGCCCTAATGCTTCATGGGCTGACCCATACTGAAACTCGCCTAAGCACTTTAGCTTGGGTACTGATTGAATGCCTACGCATGAATTAAGCACTTTAGGAAGGTCCTTAAGGTCCTCCAGAGTGATACCTTATTCCCCATCGTCTGAACTAGTTCGAATAGGGGAATGATTCATGGGACGCCATGGCCGCCGGAGAGTAAAAGAGACATCGGCGGCCCCGGGACCTATAACCCGGGACCCTACGCAAAGTAGACAAGGATGTGCCGATAGGGATTCGGTAATAAATGCCTCACGGCGTTACGAAGGCTCAAAAAAGTATGGACGAAAGAGGTTAAACGCTGGGCCGAGATGCGCCATCTGCAACTTGACCCGCCGATGAAAATTTTCACGGTCAATTAGGTATAATAGCGACTTCATATCCTTCAGGTGACCTTTTCTTTTTTCCTTTTCTTTTATCAGTATCGAATTCACCTTCTAAAGGTGAACGGGCTAGATTTTTCTATTTTCTACTTTGTGACTGTGTCCACTTACAGTAAAAGTGGAACCGCAAGCATCTTAGCGTCCTTTGGTTCTTTGCCACAACCTCGTTCTGACGGTTCCCGCCTTTTTCCATTCTTCTAACCCTACGAGATTTTTTTTTTTCTCGTTCGTGATCTAACATCTGCTTCGGAAGCCTTCTCGCTACCTTTTTTTTTTTGTGAGAAGCAATCTTTTTTACGCCGGTCCATTGAGAACCCCGCAGTTCGACAGAGGTTGAAGAATCTGCGCAGCTTCCCAACTCGACCTCTTCCCTTCGTTCGCGACCTTCGCGTCCCAAACAGCAGCTCTGGAGCAGCCGAGCTCCCCGTCGTCTCATTTATTCAAGTTGGCGGGCCTTCGCTACACCCAGTCTTCTCTCTTCAACCCTCTTGCGGGCCCTAAGTTCCGGGTCTTCTGCGGGGGCGACACCAGACCCCCCTAACTTGTCTTACTCCCACCTCCAACTTTGGCAGCCAGACGTGTGTCGGTAAACGTCAGGCCCTCGCGAAGGGTCTGGCTCATGGATGGAGGGCCGTCACCAATAAACCGCCCTCTTACCGACTTGCGTCTGCGGTTGTCGTGCTGCCAAGTGCAACTATAAGACCAATACGAATTCCTCAAAGCAAAAATTAGCCAATCTGGCGTCATAAACAGATTTTAAGAGACAAAATGTCCGAGTCGCCGCGCTCCGAGAAGGAGCTGTGCCTGACTAGGTACAGCACACCGGTCCCTGAGTTGGATGATCACCGTCACTATATGAACATGCCCCGCATTGAGGCCCCGAAGGAGGAGCCTTTGAACCGACATGACACCGCCCCGCAGGGGTTTGGTGGAGAAATGCAGGAACGCCCTGACTTGCTCCAGGCACAGGACGCTCTCAGGGAGGCCGCTCCGGTCTTTCGAGACTTTGAACAGGCGATCATTGATGACGACGATGTGAACATGGTGGGTCGCCGCTTCTCAGTTGATCCTACCGCCAACTTCCACACCCCGCGTCGCATCAGTTGTGGCCACCAGGACCTCGCCAATGCCGACCGAGCCTCGTCCGTGTCTGCTCGCTCGTCTTCCCCGCCCAACTCCGTCGAGGCTTTCGCCGATCCGCGTCGCCGTGAGCGGGCCAATACGCTGGACAGCCATGCGCCTCCTGATTTGGAGGCCATGCTGCAGCGCACGGTCTCAGGCGGCACCCAGTGTCGACGTCCGACATTCAGCAATGCTAGCGCCATTCGCCCCCAGCTCGGTGATGCCTCTGTCATCGCGCCCGAAGACACATGCATCCACACTTACGAAGAGCCCGGTCGAATCCCCGTCATTGACTACGAGGAGCTGGAGGAATTCGTCGCTCTAAACCAGAAATTCAGGACTGCTACGGCAGGCAACCGCCGCAAGCACAGCCTGAGTTCCCAGAGCAAGAGGCCTCGGGTCTTTTATGATCTTCGACCCGGCCTGAAGGGCTCCGATGTGGACGAGTTCAAAAAGTCCGACTCGACTGATACATCTGACTCGTCCGATGTATTCGATGAAGCCGACAACGTCGGCAAGGTGATGGATGAGAAGGAGTTGGTGGAGACGCTTCAGAACACTAACGAGCCCACTCGCTTTGGATTCTTCTCTTCCGAATCTCAAACCACGGTGCACGCTTCTGACCTGGGAGATCTGGTGCTCCCGGGTGACACCTTCCGGGATCTGTTCCAGCTTGGTCCCGAGGGAGGTGTGTGGTGGCTCGATGTAGTCAACCCCACTGATGATGAGCTGGGTGCCATCTCTCGCGCCTTCAACATTCACCCTCTGACGCAGGAGGATATTCAGACCCAGGAAGCCCGCGAGAAGGTTGAATTGTTCAAGCAGTACTACTTTGTCTGTTTCCGTACCTTCTTCCAGATGGACAAGACCAGCGAGGAGTTCATGGAGCCGGTGAACTTCTACATGGTCGTCTTCCGCGACGGTGTCCTGACCTTTTCCTTCGTGGACAACCCTCATGCTTCCAATGTGCGTAAGCGTATTGGTAAGCTGCGCGACTATGTCTCTCTCAGCAGTGACTGGATCTGTTATGCTATGATGTAAGTTTCAGTTTTACTCGTCTCCCCAGCCAGTATACTAACAACCTTACCAGTGATGACATCGTCGATAGCTTCGGTCCTGTGATTCGCGATGTGGAGCTTGAGTCCGAGGCGATCGAAGACCACGTCTTTATCGCACGAGTCGATGACTTTGAGTCGTTCCTCCCTCGGATTGGTGGTCTGCGCAAGAAAGTCATGAGTTTGATGCGCCTTCTTGGCGGCAAGGCGGACGTCATTCGCGGATTTTCCAAGCGCTGCAATGAACAGTACGCGATGACTCCGCGTGGTGACATCGGTCTTTACCTGGGTGATATTCAGGATCACGTCGTGACCATGATGTCCAACCTGGCACACTTCGAGAAGATGCTGAGCCGTTCGCACACCAATTATCTAGCTCAGCTGAACGTGACCAACATTGCGTTGGGCAACCACGTCAACAAGGTGCTGAGCAAGGTCACTTTGATTGCTACGATCCTGGTTCCTATGAACTTGATCTGCGGTCTCTTCGGCATGAACGTCAATGTTCCTGGAAAAGACACCGCTGGACTTACGTGGTTCTTTGGCATCATCGGCGTGATGGGCGCTATCGTCGTTGTTAGCATGGCCCTTGCTCGCTGGCAGAAGCTGGTTTAATCCTCTCTGTCGTTCTTTGTCTTCTTCCAGTTTATTGTTTATCCGTGATCATTCTCACCAGCCATGTGTTGATATATTCATTTCGAGTTGACGGCGGCTCTGTGAGCGTTCTGCCAGTCCAAGTACAGTTATCAGGTATCTTTGGTATAGTTTAAATAGTTTTATTCTTTATTCTGAAAATACAGACGAATTCAGACCAATCTTCCGCTTTCAATGTAGCATAGGAAAGCAACTAAGAAAATACTGTGTAGAAAATCGAGACACGCGTCAAGCGGAGGAAGGCACCAAGGCAGCAACAATCGATAAGGATGATTTCCGCGATAGCACCGCCTCTTCTCCCAAACAACTCGTCGGCCCGACTACATGCCGCTGAAGGTATTACGCCCTTTAGGAAAAGGTCTCCAGCTGGTGTGTGATTCCGCCGCTTGTCCTTCATCCTGACTTTTCGTCGGTTGCGCGCCTCCCGAAACTTCCCTCCATGCGCAGTTCCACAATTCGGCTCCAATCGACTTTCCATGCGATTACTCTCCACAACTCTGCAGTGCTACCTGACTGCAACAGTCATTACCGCCTTCCCCCTCATCCTCGCTAGTATACCCACTGCCCATGCGGAGGGCGTCTTGCCCCATGGCCTCGGAGCCGAGAACGTAAACGTCGGCGGGCCGGTCGTTAGCGACGGAGCGGGGCTGCCGTTTGCGCTGGACTCGTTCAATGGGCTCGAGCTCCGGGATAGCCTAGATGAGAATGGGGAGTCCAACGGGCTGGACTTGGTGCGACGATACCCCAAGATGGGCACGTCTTTGGCCAACAATAACTTCCAGGAGAAGACCATTGAGGCCGGGGACACGCAGTGGTGGTATATCACCTCGGAGGTGGTGAATGGCCAAAAGGCCGCTGCGGGCAAGGGACTTCCTGCATTTTTGAATTCGCGGGGTCTGGACGATTCGAAGGAGATCGAGCACGAGCTGCGGAGACGAGATTCGGGGAATCGCTCGACCACAGTTTATCTGTCGTTGACGACGTGCAGTAAACCCATCTCGAACAATACTGCTGATGCAGGCTCGTTCCCTCAGTTGGAGGTTTATGTCTCGACGTCAGAGAAGCTGCAGGAGCCTGGGCCGGGGAAAGATGACACTTTACAGACCATGATCACCGCAGCAGGGGGCTATGCTAGTGTTGAATTCGGTGCAGTTGGCGATGTCTTCATTGGGGTGTCGGCGCCAAACTCAACGGCCTACTCGGGTTCCTACAAATACCAAATCGCAGCCTCCATTGACGCTTTCTTCCATGAAGTTGACTACGATGAACCCTTCCTCTACTTTGTCGACGCTGACAACTCTGCTGCGCTTTTGGTGACGAACAACCTGACGCTTTCAGATCCCAACTCGACCAACTATCAGCAGTGGATGAATATTACGCCCCCATACACCATGTTCGCGCACAACATCAACGGCACGGCGCTTGCCGGTCTGGAGCAGTCATTCTGTGCATTGGACGAGCTGTCGCAGGTGGGACGAATTAGCAACTCGGTGGAGGTGGGTATGACCAGCCGAGGACTTGGAAACAAGCCCAAGGAGCAGTTCTACATCACCGGCCTCAACCAGAGTTCCACGTACGACGGGATCCTCGCGATGGTGGGCAACTCGACACTATCCGGGAACGGCGTCGTTGGCGGCGGAGGAAAAGTGTGGCAGCCGATGAATTTCACCACCAAAGCCGGTTTGTACATCCCCGGTGCGATCACATACATCAACTAACCATCAACCACCCAGACGACAACTGCGCCGTACTATTCAACCTCAGCTTCTGCTCAGAAGTAGCCTACGCAGTCCCTTCGAATCCAAAAATCAGCATCCCCGAACTTCGCGACATCTACGACAACAACGCTCGATCCTACTATACAAACTTCAGCTACTCCCTTCAACAAATCCAATGCAACGCCAGCCAAGAATCCATGTTCTCGCTCACAGTCGGCTGCTCCGACTGCGCAAACGCTTACAAGCAATGGCTCTGCAGCGTCAGCATCCCCCGCTGCGCAGACTTCAGCAGCAACGCGACCTACCTAATGGTGCGTAACGCCGGACAAGACTTTATCAACGGGTCTTCCCTTCCAGAAGATAGCCCATACCGACAATCCGTGATCACGAACGTTTCACGGAACGCCCTCATCGACACAAAAATCCAACCTGGCCCGTACAAGGAGATTCTTCCGTGTCTGGATGTCTGTCACAGCCTCGTTCAGAATTGTCCGACGTCGCTTGGTTTCGGTTGTCCGAGGGGACAGTGGCTGAATGCATCTTATGGATATCGGGATCCGGATGGAGATATTACGTGTAGCTATCTCGGGGCTGCTTATTACTTGAATATCGGTGCTCGGATGGGCGTCTGGGGGAGTGTTTACATGTTGTTTGGGATGTGGGGAGTTTGGTGGGCATTGTGGTAGACTTTGATAGACTGTGTATACTGTACATGTTCATAGCAATGATCTTTTATGTTCTCGTCCGTTCATCGTAGGAGTAGACACTCCAAATACCCAGGTTCCAGACACTGGATAAGGTATAATAAATCACCACTCCAACTCCGAATCCTTCTTATCCTCAACGGCATGATCCCCCCATCTCTCCCTCCAAGTATCCCTCTCCTGTCTCCAGAGTTCATTCACGCAGGGATCACACGAGCTACCACAGCATACGCCCAGACCCGGTGGAGGCGGGGGATCGTTATGGGCACGGGCAGCTGCGCGAATGAGTTGTTTCTCTCTCGTTCCGCTCAGACGGAGTTTTGCAAGGCGCTTGAAGGTTGGTGTTGTTTTCGGAGTATAATACGGTTCTGGAGTTGACTCCGGTTCTGGATCCTTTGGGGTGTCGGATGGATTTGTTTGTGGGATTGATGAATCTTGACTTTGAGCTGCATCTTTCTTTTCGGATGTTGATACCTCCCCGGGTTTATTCTCCGGTAAAATATGCAATATCGAGCTGAAGGGCGACAACAACGATGTAAGGAGAGATCCAGAACCTGATTGAGTCTGTTGGGCCCGGTCCGCAGATTCTGATGCATTCGAAGCAGCGGAATCCGGGTCTGGGGTAGCAGTGCTCGTGCAAGGAGCATTGCAAGATGCAGCCGTTGAATCTGAGCCTTGCGGGCCGGCGTCTGAGTCAATGCTCATGTTGCAGATTGCAGATGTTGGTCCACTTGATTATGCATGAGACACGATCTGATACCAGAGCCAGGCAAGGTGCTATACCTGTATTACTAGATGAGCGATACGTTTGAAATCTGTTTGGTATGTACTTACCTGCTGTGTATATTTCACGGTTGAGTAATTCGAGTATAGAATGGAAATGTCGAGGAGTGAACCGTTGAAGGTGGCCCGAGTTCGGGCCGGTTAGGATCTCGGGTGCCGTTCCTGTTCGTCCCGAGGGCAACCCCGGACTCATACTTGGGAAACCTTACTCTGACAGCGCATGGGTTGAGAATTAGATGGCGCTATATTGATTTGAATATAAGTTAAATGTCCTGGGAGGTGCCCATTTGGATATATTGTGGGATACCGGCGCATCGTTCAAGTGGGGAACCAGATCTGTAATCTACGCGATCATGATTGAGCATCTTATCCCACCGTAAATTTATCAGCCATACAGCCTCATTAATAATGTAGATTCATCCAACAGGCTATAAAAATACCAAGGACATCTCCATGGAATCATTCATCCACCATTGGATCTTGATCACCAAAATTCCAACCTACAAATCATTCCGACGCAGCACCGGCACCCCCAAAACCCTCGAACAAACAACAGAACAAACCCCGCCCCTAAAGCCGACGGAAGTCTTAATCCGCATCCATGCCGTCTCCCTCAACTACAGAGACGTCGCAATGATGGACGGCAAGTACCCGATGGAGGTAATCGAGCGTGGGATCCCGGCATCAGACTGCGCCGCCTGAGGTAGTTGAGATCGACAGCGAAGTGCACGATTTCAAGATCGGGGATCACGTTGTGCCTATTTTCGATCTGGACAACATGAACGGCACGGAAGACACCAAGCGAATGCTGGGCGGTGATGTTGACGGGGTGCTGAGAGAGTATGCGGTTTTTGAGCAGGATGCCTTGCTGCAACTGCCGAAACATCCGTCCTGGGAAGAGGTGTGATTCACGTTCCCGGCGTTATCTTTATATCAGACTCGGTCAGATTGCTGATATGGGATACTCGATATCCAGGCGGCGTGTATAACATGTGCCGGAACAACCGCATGGACAGCGCTAGATATGCCCCGATCCAAAGGCACAGCCCTACTTCAAGGTAACTTACACGCTTTCCCTCACCAATCTTTTTAACCCAAAGCTGACGACACCAGGAACCGGCGGCGTAAGCATGTTCGGACTCCTCATCTGCCTGGCAGCCGACATCCGCCCCATCATCACATCCTCCTCGGACCAGAAACTAGACCTTGCGTTGTCTGCGGGCAAACCTGGATCCATCGATACAATCAACTACCGAACCCATCCGCAGTGGGAGGAAGAGGTCCACCGCCTCACGAATGGCCGGGGGGTCGATGTCGTGGTCGAGAGTGTAGGTGTTACCACTATGGCTCGGAGTCTGGCTTCGCTGGCTCGGCGAGGAACCGTTTCTGTGGTTGGGTTTTTGGGTGGGTTTGATGTTGATCGGTATCCGGATACGATTTTGCCGGTTTTGATCAAGAGTGCTACGATCAGGTATGTCCATTATCTCTTTCTTGGGGTAGGTATTAACGTAGATGACTGTGTAGGGGTATTGCTGTTGGATCAAAGGTGGATCAGCAGAACCTGTGTGACTTTTTGACGGAAAAGAAGGTTGGATTGAAGCCTCTTTTGGATGAGACGGTTTTCTCTTTCGAGGACTCGCAGGCTGCTTTTGATGATCTTTATGCTGCTAAGCATACGGGCAGGGTGGTCATTAGAATGTGAGGACGTTTACTCTTAGCTAGGCACAGGCTTGGGCTATGAAAATGAAGAAAGTCTCGGAATGCTATATTACGGACTGCAATGACAGCCATTGCACCGTTAATTGATATCTATACATCTACCCGTCATATAAAAGTAACAAAAAAAAACACCTCCCATGGTATCGTAGTCATAATGCATGAAAAATCACTTCCGTCGCGGTGTGGGAGTCCACATATTCCCTAATCCCGACTTCGACTTTGACCCTGAAGCCCTTGGCGTACTCCCAACCTGACTCAACAGTTTCTGCGCAGCAGGAGTCAGCATTTTCGAGCCAGAACCCGAGCCCGGGGCAGTCGGAGTGGAACGCAGGCCGAAGTCGATGCGCGGACTACTGGCGAAGCGCGGAGTCGAGATGGGTGTTTTGGTAGTGCGGGCGGCCTTTTCAGCGCGTTTATTCCGCGCGACACGATCGACCATGCGATGGTGTAGTGCTTCACGTTTGCGGGTTTCGCCAATTTGGAAGGGATTTGGGGTGGAATCGCTGGATCCGAGGAGGCGCCAGTCGGCTTCGAGAGAATCTGAGGATACAGGTTCGGGTTCGGGTTCGTCTTCGTCGACAAACGCGTAGCCATTTACGCGGGGTGTTTCGCCGCCTGGTACTGCGGATGCCGCCTCGGATTCGCTGAGCCGTGGACGGCCGGCGATTGCGTCCTGGATTGCCGAGAGAGACGGTGATTGTGGGACGCTCTTTGTTGCGTCGGCGGCGGCTGCGGCATCGACGTCTAGGAGCCGTGTGTTCTGGTACAATGTCCGCTTTGGACCTGCGCGAGAGGATGCCTCTGCCTTTTGGTGGAGCGTTTCATGCTCATCCTCGACCGAGGACGGGAGAAACATGAGTGTGTTGTCCGGGCGAAAGTTCCAGCTATCCGGCCTGGCAGGTCGTGCATTAAGGTCTGTCTTGATCACTGGCGCCGAGTCGTCTTTTTTGATCAGGGCAGTCTCCGGGTTGCCACCCTGAGCAGTTATACGCTTTATTTCACGCTGGTGATGGGCGATTTGCCGCGCAGAGGGGACCTTATTCTGATTCCAGAGCCAAGCGTACTTCTCTCTCTTCTTCGCATTCTGCTTATCCAGAACCTTGTTAAAGGACTCGTTATCCTCACTGGTGTACTTCGCCTGAAAGGCAAGCAAGCCCATATTCGAGACATCAGGAATCTCCTGATCCTTTCTTTCAGTGGCAGTTGAAGCAACCGACATAGGCGTGTCCCCTCCCCAGCCACGGGGAGTCTCATCTGCTAGACCGGGCAAATGCTGCGGCGTGCCAGTGACAGACCCAGAATCTGTCTTTCGGCGCGCATTCGAGCCAGGCGTCGGGGTGCGCATGACGCTGGCCAGCCTCTTCTTGGAGCTTGTAATCCATTCTTTATCCTTCGATTCCAGGGCATCGAGGTACTCCTGCTTGGCCTGGGTCTCTAGAAGGCCCGGGAAGAAGTCGCGGGCGATGATGTGGGAGAGGGCGGAGGTGTAGACGTCTTCGTCGAGGACGGTGGCAGGCCGCTTGATTCTTTTTGGAGCGGGAGGAGGAAGCATGAGCCCACCCTCCGATCGCTTGGCTAGCGCTTGGGACGGAGGGGACGCCATGGTTGCTCGAAGGTTGCGAAGTAAGAGATTCGGTGGGTTGAAGGTGACAGCTGAGATAAGATAGCGACTTAGCGGTCAGATGACCGGCCAACAATGCACTCCACCTCGCTCAATCGGTTTTATATACTGTACCCAAACAAAGTACGATACCAGATCTCTACACTACTAATGCTCAGGGGTCTTGACTTATCGCTCAGTCAGATTCAATACCACGGTATCCACCAATGGTGTCTATGGTCACAAAAAGAAACAGCTAGCGAATGTCCCAATCCATCCCTTCCAAACCCTCTTTTCCAAGTGCTTTTGTCCCATGGCCCTCCAGACACCAAACCAGAAACATCGCTGAGAAATGCATCGAGATGAGACGATGGAAACGTATAACAAACATATAACAAGGCTGAACAGATATAGGAAACAGGTCGTGGACTCGTGTGATGTCTCTATCCGGGAGGAGCGAGAGAAACAGCAGAGATATGCAAACAGGTTTTTTGCTCCCGAATAGAGCAGAAAGGAGGCTCAATGAGCGGTGGGGAACAGAGAGTAGGAAGACTTTCGGGTCTTGATACGGTTCGGGTTCTTGAGGGGAACCGCGGGGAGGACTTGGTCGACCTTGACGGTGTGGACATCCACGTCGGAGATGAATTTGGCGCGGTCATGGGCCAGAGAAGTGGGGAGAGTGAGGTCCGAGGCGGAGATGTTGGCATTGCTACCCGCCTGAAGTAGCAGATGCGTCTCCAGACTCTTGGTTTGGCGGTGGTGATGAGAAGAAGGGGGGCGGCTGAGAGTCTCGCCGGCAGTCAGCCTATCGGTGGGCATCAGCTCACGGCTGCTTGACAGGCTATGGATAAGCTCCGGTACACTGGTAGTAGATACGGAGGAGCGGTGCTTGCGGACGATGGAAGCTGCACGGGAGAGCATTAAGCTCTCTTGGGAGTTGCACTTGCTGATGGGCGAGAAGCTGCTCCGCGGAGAGACAGGGTTGTTCTCCGAGGCAATCATGCCCTGGTGAAAAGGAAAGTGCCGATCTGATTCCGCATCAGTTGTCAAGTAGTCCTCGTACAGCGTTTCCTGGTTAATCTGCTTGGACAGGACGGACGGCAGGATCGAGGAACTGACGGGTTGGAAGTAGTCGCCTGCGCGTCCGGTCATGAAATCCCGCTCGTATTCCGTGGTTGACGGGGTGACAGCCGAGCGCAAGGCTGCTGAACGTGCCGGGCTGCGGTCCAGATCCGGCGTGGGAAGCGTGGAGGTGCTCAGGGGACTCGGCTGCAGATGGCGAGCTTTGGGAGCTCCGAGCCCGGAGGGCTCATCACTACAGGCCACTCCGATCTGAGGTTGCTGTGCCTCCTCCAGAGAGGTGCGCGACCAGTCAAAGTTGGAGGTGGATTCGGCTGCATGCTCGTAGCAGTAGTCGATATCCGCGTCCCACGAACCGTATAGTTCATCCTCATACGAAGGTTGGTGGACGGCCGACATGCCCGGTGGAGTGATGGTGTCATGGGCATTAGGGGATGAATTGGGAAGGTTTTGAGGAAGAGTCGGCGAGCCTAGAGCCTCGGAGAACTTTCTCGACAGCTCCTCGGCCACGAAGATCGACAGCGGTACCTTGGGAGCCACACTGCACGAGCGAGGTTCAACCATACCAGGACTCACCTGGGAGGTGGATCGGGAATGGGCACAGCCAATGCTTGCATCCGGGCTGTTTTCCCAGAGCCGCGTAGCTTCTTCCTCTTCTGGCACGTCTTCCAGATCATAGTGGCTGCTCACGGAATATGTACGCGTATATGTATCATTCGGCTCTGGGCTGAATCGAAGCTGCGTGGAGGGAGCCGATTCAATGAACTCCGGGTACGTCTGAGGTGACGAAAGGCCCAAAATCTCATCAATTGCACGGGGCGCAGGTTCATCCGTTTCAGATTCACTCTCCGGGACGCTTGGAGGCGGAGGCGTGGTAGGACATGATCGAGGATATCTCGAAACCGGCCGAGAGAAGTTTTCGAAAGTGCGAGAATCTCTTCGAACGTGACCCGACGGACTGGTCGAACCCAACGCTGATGGCGAACGCGGCGGACTCTGAGGAGCAGGCTCATCAACGGTCGTGGCCGTGCCATACGTGGCCAAATCTTCAGCGGAGAAATTGCGGAAGTGGATGTCGTCGGCCCGAATGCCCTTGAGGGCCGCCTCGGGCCGTTGAGACGCCCGAATGACGGAGAATTCGGTGACGAGATCGTTCTCACGGGTCCGGTCCAGGTATTGGAATTGGGAAGGGCTGGTATGGGTAAGATGGTGAAAGTCGAAGGGATCGGAGATGAGGCTCTTCAGGCGTTCATCTGCATATGATGAGTCAATTCAACTCCCGAACTCAATTGGGGAAGGTATATCAATTGCCAACGACTTACGGGTGTCAATGCGCCGGGCACGACGGCCGAACATGTCGGGTTTATCCATTCGAGGTTGCTGCTGAGCCTCGCGATCCATTTCGTCTTCCTCGTCCAGCGTGGCGACGATGTTGACCTTGCTGCCCTGACGGCGAAGGATCCGGCTTCCACGAGCGAGAAATGAACGTGAACGATCCTTCTCCGGGCGCATGCCCAGAGCGGAAGTGGTCCGCTCGTCCTGAGACGGGACGGAGCTATCAACGGAGGTCATGGAGGAGCCTGGTGAACGGCGGGACGAGGTGGAGGTCGTCGTGTTACTGCGAGTGCGGCCGCTAAATACGGACATCCGCTTGGGGCTATCGGTATGAGCGGTTGACCGCGAGCGAATATGAGACATATGCTCTGGAGGATCATTCGAGGAACGGGTGGACGGCGGGTCGCTGTGCCCGTCCTCCTCCCACTGACCCGTCATGCGAGGCGAGAAAGTTGACTGGGTATACATGATAAAGGACAACCCCCAATTTATGTGCGAAGATGGAGCCCCGACAGCGCCTGTTTCATGATAGGACGGTGAGCATAAACCGTGGCGACGGTTAGAGAAGTCCCAGACCAGACAATGGGGGAGCAAGCGACCTATAACTAAAACGAGCGGTACGATACCAGACGCGATACGCGGGTGGAGCCGAGTTCAGGGGTGCCGCACGATGATGATGGTTCGAGGGGCCCCGGCCGTTGCACGAAGACGCACGCTGCCGCGAGGTGCCACTGGCAATTCGCCTTTTCCCCGTCATCTGTCAACCAAGCTTATTTATTTGACAGCCCGTAGTCTTATCTAGATCTCATTCCAGCTCTTATATCAAGATAGCGTAAGCTACATGTCCCTAAGTGCCCGGCCAGGTACCACGACCAGGCCCATCCCGTGCCCCATCCCGTGCCTTGGTACACTGTACTCGGTACAGTTCCAAAGATACGGAACGAAGCCAATTCCCAGCACGAGGCTAGGGCGATGCACCCTGCACCAGGGGTTTTGCCTTCTGAACGTGTTTGAGCGTGGGGTTCCGCTTAACCCGGTTCAGTAAGTATCGGCGTGCAATACCGCCGCAGTACCTCGTCTTTACAGTTTAACGCTACGTTTCCACAGATCCATGGAAACCGAGGTCGGGGTATAGGAATGTGAAATATGCACAGATCCAACACCACTATACTATGCCCTCGACCATTCGTCTGGCCCATGTTCCCCGGCGCCACTAGCGCAGGCTCCGCCGCCAACGGTTTCTGACGTGAAATCTATGAAACGAACGCGCCCCGTACTGGTAGGACTAAACTTAGAGAACGGTAGGAAGTGTGAGAGAGTAGGGCTTCGATCGCATGTTCCCGGTGGGGGGGAGGATCTGTGTTCCATCTCCTAATCTGGCCACGGCAGTTCAAGCGAACGCGATCCAAGCTCTTATCTGGAGATCGGAGGCTGCCGTGCGGCCTGCTCTCCCGTTCCTTGCGTGAACTTTCCACCGTGAACTGTCCCCCTGCTCTTGCAGGTTCGATTCCCCCGGAACTCACCGAACGGGGAGAACAATTGCGAGGTGCATGTCTCAGACCGAATTGGAAGATTTCGATGCTTGCCGGGAGAGAGACGGGGCAGGGGCTTACTAAGAACACACTCGAAACCACCCAAATGTATCACCGTAAGATAGACATCCCCACTTCGGAGTTCTAGGGCGTGCCCAAACCCAAGACTGCCCAAGCCCTATGGATACCTGCCGAACATCGCCATATTCAGCCGTCCCTCGTGTGCGCGAGGGGGGACTAAGTGGGACCAACGGTTGATCCGTTGAAACAAGGGAGACCCGAAAGACGAGCGTCTCGGTGTCAAGCGTAAAACGTGTTGACTCTTGACGCGCATCAAGTACAGTAAGTACCCTCCGTACACTGTACGTTTGGAAACGGAGTGTAAGAACTCCGTACGGAGCACCGAGTTCACAGAGTAAACTCCTGACGATCCCCCTCGTCTAGAACACTCGGTAACGTCCCAGCAATTGGGCTCCACTGTTCGACACCCAGTGAAGAGGCTCCCTCGAACGACGATCGGGTTCTGGACCTAACCTTTTGAGAAGGTCCGTAAATGTCCTTCTCCTCCACCCCCGTCGTCATGGGCGAACGCGGGTGGGAACAACGCTCCTACCACCAATTGCCCCGAAATAGTATTGATTGGGTCTTGGTATGCTCGGAGAACCTCGCACGGGGCAATGATTGGGCTGTTCGGCTCCTGGATCTGACTCGTTCAGCCACCGGGTCTGGGTTCAACATCCTGGACACTGTATACCCGAGCCAGTGAGGCTAGACGCAAATATCACATGGGCCGCGACTCCTGCGCTTCATGCAGGTACCGGGATTATTGTCTCCCCGAGGCGAAGCAGATGCAACTGTACGGAGTACCTGCAAATGCATGCGCGCAGGGCCCCTCGGATCCCGAGGCAGACGCGTTGTGGCCCCCAGCACGGATTCACCGGGGCTCGGAAATTGTAAACGTAAACAGAGCGACTGGGTTCGCGCGGCTGGTGGTAATCCAACAATTCCAACATCGGCAAGGAGTTTCCATTTCTAGCACGGATCTGGATTTTACCATATCTCTAGCAATTTCTCTTCCTTTAGTTACAGTTTTAGCCTAAGCGTAGATGGTTAGTTTCATGTAGCCCGGCCACATGGTCGGTGGGACGTAACGGTCGCCTAAACCACACAGAGATGGCTCGGTTTTTGAGTCGTGGGGCAGAGGCAGCAATTTATTAAATTGCCTCGTGATTGTGTGGTCAATTGACGTGCAAGCGAGGTCGAATCCTTCCTGATCCATTGCGAATGGCCTGCCTGTATGAACCTTGTGCCAATAATTACATAGATACAGTACACTCAGGTATCGTGCTATACTGCTATACCTGATAGGCGTGGGCCTCTTTTGTCAATCATGGCCGACTATTGACGGACTAGTCTAAGACACACGCTATCGATTGATTTCCATCGATCCCGCCCCCGTAGTCTCAATCTAACGGCGGATCTACGCTATAGCTCATGGTCCAAATCCTGAAAATTATAGTTCGAACGGTTTAATTTAAAAGACCATCAATCATCCCACTTTAATCTCCTGGATGCCAGTCCTTTTATTAGATAAAAAGTGGGTCAACATCCAGGAGTTATCCTTTTAGTCGTTGTTAGTTTTGCTGAATTTCAAGGACGGGGAGTCAGAACGTACCCATCTTTATTTACTCTATGCCACCGCCGACATAGCAGTTGCCGCCGTAGCCGCAGTCGTTGCCAGGAGATTCACGTCGATCAGGTCCTCGGTGCTCTCAGCCTCGAGCGCCTGGTGCGGAGGAGCTTGCCGTCACTGAGGACCTTCGGAGAAGGTCGATGTCGTCGAGGAAAGACTTCTTGTCGCTACCTTTGGCATTCTCTACACCGGAAAGGTTGGCTTTTTCAGCACCTCCATGGTAATACCAATGTCGACGACATAGCGAGCTTTGCAGGAACGAGAGCTATAGATAGCCCAATAAGGGTAAATATTCGAGAGTCGAGACAGTCTCTGGAGCTCGGAGCTCGTGTGAGGAGTTCCCATGGCCCGTTCCCGGTACCAATGGGGCGTGTGTGCGCTTACAGCGAGTAGTCAGATGTTGAGAGGAGACAGGACAGTAGGAAGATAAGACAGTGGGTAAAACTCGGAAGATTTGTTGACGCAGACAGATCCGAGGCATACATATGGAGCAGAACCGCAATGGATGCTTTCGAGCTTGATTTCATCATTTTAACCTTGCATCTAGTAGCACTGAATAAGATCAAAATCAGAATACACCTAATTCGTATATCTGCACGACTCCTAAAAGGACTACGTTGTCGAAGTAAAGAGCCCCTGGCATTCATAGAAGTCTTCCAAATGTCGCCGAACGCCAACAAGCCTGACGCCAAGCTTCGCTGTCAACCTTAGAGAATAAAGTTCCATCATCCACCAATTCTCGACCACAACCCGATGGAACACTACGATCCTGCGATATTTTTCTTCCGTTACACCACTGCCCAGGGAAGATTATCTCGCACCCCGAGTGCCGGGCTGATCGGGTCGGAATAGGGTGCTTTTTAGGAAGTATCGGGCCCTGAAGAGTAGGTCTCGTTCCGTGATGAACTCGAAAGTTTAAAGATTTCCATGAGTTGCAGTGCTTTTGGAAGCATCTTAAAAATTGGCTATTGCGTGCGTGGATGGTTGTTGTTTGGGTCTGTCGATGTGCTGCTTTCCACATTGACTACTGATAGATCGTCCTGGCAAGTAAGTGATGATCTTATTTCAATTGCCTTTGAGGATACATTAGGGCCGTCCCTAGCGGCCGTGGTCTGTTACTTGAGATAGAGGCGAATCTACAGTGTGCTGCGGTTGACTCAACTCGAGGGCGAGGCTACTCTCAACTGTATCGTGTTGTGTATACGTGAGAACCACTTATCCAACGATAGAGGTAGTCCTCCAGCAGGGTATATCTTCAAAATGCCATAGAAAAAAACTTACAACCCCTTAATTTAAAAGACCTTAAATCTAGCCCGACATCAATGCACGATTGCGGAACTAGGTGTTGCTTACTCCATGCTGCAGCGCTGATCCACGACTAAGCTCGGAGCGTATCTTGTATGCGAAACACCCGAGATGCAGTGCCGGAAATTACTTGCTAGATTGAACTCAAGAGGATCAGCACGGGCTAGAAGCTACCCGATTGGGGGCTGGTATGTTGTGAATGTATGCGGTGTACGGAGTAGGGATTGGGGGCTGAATCGTGAGACATGATACGCCTTGCCTTGCATCTCGTTACCGACCTTGGAAGGTAGAGATACTGTCTTGCAAATACCCGAAGTTACGTACTTTTTCTTGTGGAGTCTAAATATCCAATTCAAACTGTAGGCTAATTACACAAGGGTGAAGAAGTCTCGCAAACTGTTCATTGCAAAGTACCTTTGCCTTTTCCAGACGCCAGAAAATAATAAATTTGAAAATAGGAAAGTAATGTGGCAATCACTCCTGCATCTCCGTGTCTTCTCCCTTTTCATCGCCGAAGAGGTCCTCGTCATCCTCTCCAGCCTTCGGCGCTTCTTCCTCGTCCTCGTCGTCGTCATCCGCGATGCGGCGGGAAGCCTTCTCGCGTCGACGGGGAGCAGCTTCTTCCTGAATCGACTCGTCATCGCCGAATAGATCTTCCTTGTCTTCACCGGGAGTCGGGGCATCTTCTTCCTCGTCGGAGGAATCCACCACCCGTTCACTGCTCTTGAATTTGTTAGACGAGGCCTTGGCTGTGATGGTCTTGCCGCCGGACCGGCGCTCGAGACGACGGCGCTTCTTGGGTGCAGTCTCGGTGTCGCTTTCAGGCTCGGAGCTGCGCTCGAGCTGGTCGCCCTCGTCATCTGCAGCGATGAAGTCGTCGCCGCCCTTCTTCTTGCGCTTGGAGGGCTGCTTCTTCTTGGTGCGCTTGACCTTGTCCCCCTGAGAATCGTCCGTCAAGTCGGCCTCTTCACGGGCGCGCTCAGCTTCGGCGCGCTGCGCCGCAATGCGCTGAGTCTCCTCGAGCATTTGATGGCGCTCCTCGGCGATACGCTTCTTGCGCTCGAGTTCAGCCTCCTGCGCCTTGCGGAGCTCCTCCTCGCGCTTCCTCATTGCAGCCTCGCGGGCCTCACGAGCCTGTTGCAGCTTGGCAGCGTTCTTCTCCTCGTACTCCTTTTGGCTTTGCATAGCTCGGTCCAACTGCTTGCTGATTGTGCGACCCATGTTGGCACGTTGTTCCAGAGCCTGGCTGGGGTAAGGCGGGTTCTTCTCCTTGGAGATACGCTCAAAGGTATCAATGGCTTCCTTGAGTCCCTCGGCGGCCTCCTCCACATCCTGCAGAGTCTTTTGCGTGGGCTGCAGACTGTATGCTAAGGAGGCGATTTGGTTCTGCACAAAGGCCACATTGAATTGCAGGTGGAGCTGGTCCGGGGAGACCTCACGTGCGCGCTGTGCGTAATCCAGTGCGGTCTTCATCGCAATCAAGTTCATCTCCTGCTTGCCCTTCAGCCACCACACGCGGCCGAGACAGGCCAGGATTTGCACGTCACGCGAGCGGTCCTTGGCCAGGGCAGCCTCGTAGTGCTCGATCGACCGAGAGAACTGTCGAAGCTCGGCGTAGACATGTCCCAGATTAAGGTAGACGCTGGCATCCTTGAGCGTGTCGCGGATCTTGGAGAAGACTTGAACAGCGGAGCTGTGGTCTTTCTTGTCGTCAACAAGAGCGATAGCGATACCTTGCGCGGCATAGGCGTTCTTGGGATCCAACTGCAGGGCCTTGTCGAAGAACTCAACGGCACGTCGGTAAGTAGTGCGGCGTTTGTCCTTCTCCTGATCTGTATCACGGCGCATGTCACGAGCTGCGAGAAGATGCACGTTGCCCATTCCTGTCAAGGCGTACCGATCATGCTTGTCATGGTACTGCAGAGTATGTTTGAAGTGGCGCTGCTCGGGGTCTTCCGCAAGGTTGACCACACGCTTCTTGGACTTGCTGAGATACCAGCCGAAAAGTGCCCGGACTTCCAAGTTCGAGGAGTCCACTTCGTAAAGCTTGCCCATTTTCTTCGGGCCCTCGTCCGTGGGACTTTGGCGCAGGGCAATATAGGTCAACCGTGCATTGGCTTCGGTGTAGTCGCTGTGGCGTTCCAAAAGTCCCTCGTAGACCTTCTTAGCCTCGTCCCACATGTCCGCTGCTTCATAAGTGCGCCCCAAGTTGTAGCTGATGGTAGTGACAAGGGCGTCGTTGTCAGTGCCATCCTCTCTCTCTTGGGACTGGACGCAGGCATTCAGCGCAGACTGGAACATGCCACGAGCAGAGGCAATCTTCTCGTTCTGGTAGAGGAAGCAGCCCATGTTGTTGAGGAGTTGCGGCGGGAGGCTCTCGCGGAGTACAGCCTTCATGTCATCCTCGTTCGCAATATCGTCCGGACGCGCGCTCTCGGGGATACCAGCAATTTGGAGCTCTTCCAGCTGGGTCAGGCACTGCATGCTCTTATCCGGGGCACTGCTTTCGTAGAGACGAGAAAGATACACCAGAACAGACTCGTCTGGTGTCAGTTTCTGCTTCTCGTCCTTCCACATCGAACGAACAGACTCCAAAAGGCCGATTGCGCGCTTCACCTCGGTCGACTTGTCTTCCTTGCTGCCAGACCTCTGGAAAGCAAAGATCTCCTCCGCATACAGCGCTGCCAACAGAATCATGGCTTCTGGGTTCTTGGACTGCTGTACAATCTTCTCCAAGCGGAACTTGGCGCCGTCAAAGTCCTTGTTCGTCACCTGCATCTGGACAGCACCGAATTTGGCGGGCAGGTAGCCCTTGTCACCACCACCACGGGCTTGGTCGGAGCGGCTATAGAATTCTGTCGCCTTTGCGGCGTCGCCTTCATAGTGAGCCTTGCGGCCAAGTAGATACCAGCCGTCACTGGCAATGGGCATGACATCTGTATGTTCGATAGCCTTGCGAGCAAGAGTCTCAACGGTCGGGTATTGCTTGCGCAGGAGGAAGTAGCTGGCAAATAAGGCGCAGGTCATAGGGTATTCTTTGTCCAGCTTGAACGCCTTCTGTGTATACTGGGTCATGGCCACCTTGTACAGGGAGCCGAACATGGGATCGGCGGTGGGTCGACGGGAGCTGTCGTATAGGTAGTACACGGCGAGGAGGATGTTGGCGACCTTGGACTCGGGGTTCTGTGTGTAACTTTGGTTAGTGACATAAAAACAAAAAAAGAAAGCAGAGTAGAAACATACAAGGGCGAGTGATCGTTCCCACGCCGCCTTGGCTTGGTCCTTGAAGCCCAGCTGCCACAAGCAGCAGCCAAGACCAATTCGAGGATCGGGGTCTGTGAGGTGAGGCACTTTCATGAGGACCTTCTGGTAGCCATCAAGAGCCTCTGCATATCTTCCCAGCATGTAGTGTGCACGAGCGCGGCCCAGAATAGCCATGATGTTGCGGCCACCAAATGCCTTGGAAGATTCATCGAAACACTTCAATGCCTGCCGCAGCGCCTCCGCTCTCTCCGAAGTATCGACAGCGCCTGGGCGAGCAGCACGAGGCGGATATAAAGACGCACGAAGGAGGCATAGGACACCACGCGCTAGGAACAAAGGCGGGTATGCCGGGTTTAGACGCGAGGCCTCATTCAAGGTCGAAGTTGCGAGTTGCAGGTAGTGGTCCTTGGTCTTGGCCTCAGAGTAAAGTTCACCTTCAGGCGCGACTCGAGGAGCCTGGCGACTCTTCAGCATCAGCAGCCAGCAAACCCAGCCCAGAAGTCCAAGTTTCTCTTTGGTGGCGCCATGGGCCACGGAGGCCAAGCCCTTGTTCAGGATGTCGATGGCATGGTCGATCTGCTTTCGCTTGGCGTAGGCCAGGGCGATGATAACCCAGAAGTTTTTAGCAGCTCTCTCATTCTCTAACAGTGTGCAAAGCTCAGTCGGGTCTTCGGGAAGGTCGAGGAGGCTGACTTCGACCTCGCTATCGAAGCTGGAGGCGGGAATGTCGATGGCGTCAGGGATATCGGAGAATCGCAGAGAGGCCATTGAGCTTGTTGGAGGCAGTGCATCTCCATTCAAGCCATTGGCGTGGCCATTTTCGAGGGGCGCCATGATTGCGACTTGCGCCGGGGGTGAGGGAGGGTAGAGTGTCACCGGGGTGCGACTGGATAAAAGGATCGTGACGGGCTCTCAACTCATGATCAAGCGAGGCCCAGCAATTTTATTGGAGTAGATAAGCCTTGCACCGATAGCCGAGGCTGGAAAACCCTTGTGTCGCACCGTAGACGCGCAAGTGGCTCGGAGGTGTCGCAGGTCGCGGCATTTGGTCAGTTGAGAATTGGTGAACGGGAGTGGCTGGAGTACACCGCCACAGGTGCGCCACACCCAGTATAGACAACGCGACCTCTTACCCTTTGAACCCCAACACACTTCACTCATGACAAATATTTTATTTGTAAGAATAGGAAATGCTTCTAAGTATCGTCGTCTTCTCATGATGCCTTCGCAAAAATCCAAAATCATTCATGACTCATCCCATTTAGCCAAACCAGCTGCCAATGAACCGACACAGGAACCCGAGTCCCGCCAGCACCATGAAGATCTTGCCCAGCTCGGCCCAGTGGTGCAATCGAACATTAGACTCAATATAGCCAGCTGAGATGGCGATCTTCTGCTCTTCGGTAGCCTTCTTGGCTTCGATGGATCCAGCCAGCTCGGAAGGGAATCTACCGGTTTCGAAATACTGGTCCATGAGCTGGTCCTTCTCAACCCATCGAGCAAGTAGCCAGGCCTCGAATTCCTTCTGGTCATCGAGAGGAATTTCAGAGACAGCGAAACGTCTCCAGTGCATGTTGACCGAGGTCGGAGGGCGTCCCTGTCCATAGGTTGAGCGCAGAGTGAAGTATTTGTCGGGATAGCTTCCCTTTCTATAGAAGCTGTCAATGGCAGGTCAAATGTGGCGAGATCGGAGTCAAACTTACGGCGGGCCCTCATAGGCAATAGTAGAATCGTAAACGTAGTCCAGTGTTCCGCGCAATTGCTGTAAACAGAAGAATAGCCCGGTCGACCGTGGAAGAATCATGTGCTTGAGAGAGGCAAGGTTCTGCTTTGCTCCATACGCATCGCTCCGCGTCTTCGTATTGATGGAAAGATTAGTACCCTCCGGGAAGATCATCAGCCACATAGGATCGTATTGTGGGTTGCCGGAATGCGATCCGCTGTGCCGGGTCTTGAGCTTCTCCAGGCGGTACTGAAGCCGAGGCTTATCAGATTGCCATTTCCGGGCCATGAAGATAAAGCCGTAGAACATCATGCCCTGACCCATGATGGGGATATACTTGAGCGACTCCTTCAAAATAATGTAAACGCGGCCGTGCATCACATTGGTATATGCGAACCACCAGAGATAAATCCAGTCGGTGTAGACCTGGTGGTTTGCGATCATGACCAGGCGTTCCGGGAAGCTGGCCTGCAGCATACCATCTTCCGTTAGATGGAGCTGTCCTCGTACGCTCTCATCACCACTAACTCGAAAGAGTGTTGGGGCACCCCATTCCGTGAGAGCTGTAATCATCAATCCGAAACACTGTTTCGTGTAGGCCATGTAGGAGTAGAAGTAGTCTTTGTTGATCAGGTAAAGCGGGGAGCCGACCAGTTGAGTCACAAAAACGACGATGCAGCATCCGTTAAACCACGCAGCCAGCAGTAGCGATCGAAGTACCTGCATGGTAATGCCATATTTGAGGCGGGGCTCGGTGGAGGGTTTACTCGAGTGCTTCTGAAGCTCGCTAGCGGTGACAGCCAAAGGCTTGCGCGGGCGAACCTCGCCTGAATCCATGGCGGTATGCTTCGCTCTCAGAAGGACGGTATCCTGACCGAGCTAGATTGGGGACCAGCACGCACTGGGGAGCAGGAAGAGCCCACCAGAGTCACCGAAGAATCGGGAGGCGGCGGATGCGGGATCGAACAGTGCAGCCTCGGTTGCAGCCTTGTGCCGCAACGGAGCTGGTCTTGGGGAGTTTGTTGTAGGGAAAGAATGGAAATGGAGAGATAAAAACGTATGAGGGACAAAGCAGAAAAGAACGACCGGACAGTCAAGCACAAAGAACGAGTCTCGTGGACACATCCAAACCTAATAACGTCAGAGCTCTCGAGGCGGTGGGGCTGCAATCGGCGGAGTTCGTGACACTCTCCGAAGCTCCAACCTCCTTCCAGTGCCAAATGAGCGCCAAACTCGACAACACATGACCGAGGTCATCCCGGCCTTACAACCATGCAGTGCGCTTTTTGTTGCAGATTCCCCGGCCGGTTACTGCGCTGCTTCTCTTCGTCTGCGCCGCGTCACGAGATCCGCGATGTCGCTGGGCTGGCCCAGCGGCTGATTCCCAAATACCAAGGTGCGGCGCTTGCGCATGAGGGCTGATTCGGAGGCTTACTTTGCTGCTATAGAAACCCAGGGCGAATTGTTATCTTTACGATGGCCAGCGCCGCCTCGCAACGTCCTGTTGGTGCGCAAGGACTGCGCCCCGGCAGTGACTGACTCGCTCGTTGAATTCGCAAAGTACGTTGGTATCTACACCGGAAAGCCGGTCTATGGCTGACACGTTCTGTGACTTAAGTCATATTACCTCTACATATCCCTCTGTTGCCGTCGTCCTCGAATCCAAAACCGCCGCCGAGGTCCATTCGTCTCTTTCGTTCCCTGTATATACTGCATCCTTGGAGGACAAGCCCACGGCATTTCACGACAAGGTAGACCTCACCGTGACGTTAGGTGGAGATGGCACGATTCTACACGCGAGTTCGCTATTTGCGACATGCTCTAATGTACCCCCGGTACTGTCTTTCAGCATGGGTACCCTGGGCTTCCTGAGCGAGTGGAAGTTCTCCGAGTTTAAACGGGCGTTTAGAGAAGTCTACATGTCCGGGGCCGGAGCTGGAGATCGCACTTCGCTGTTGGAAACAAAGACTGCAGCGGACAAGCAGGACGCGCAGGATGCGCAGGACACACAACTAGGGCCGACTGGCTGGTCCTCTGTCCGGGGCAAGTCCATGGGCTCAACTCGGGGAGCTCCCATTTTGATGCGCAACCGACTCAAGGTCGGACTATTTACCGGGGACGGCCATGAGTCTACTCCGATCCGGGGCAAAACCGACCAGGGCCAGGGGGTGTACGTCATGAACGAATTGCTCATCCACCGTGGTAAAGAACCACATCTGGCGGTCGTGGATATCTGGGTGGGAGGCCGATTCCTGACCGAGGCCGTGGTGGACGGGATTATTATCTCCACTCCCACGGGAAGTACGGCGTACAGCCTGAGCAGTGGCGGCAGCATCGTGCACCCCTTGGTACCGTCTATCCTGTTGACTCCCATCTGTGCGCGAAGTCTCAGTTTCAGGCCCTTAGTTTTACCCTCCAGCACACCCATCACACTCCGGCTGAGCGAGAAGAATCGTGGACGAGAACTGGAAGTCAGTCTAGACGGTGTCAACCTAGGCCAAGGGATGGCAGTCGGTATGGAGGTCCGAGTGTGGAATGAGGAGATGAGGCATGGCCGGAATGAATGGCAGGGCGGCGTGCCCAGCGTCATGCGGAGAAGCAGTGGCGAAGAAGCGCACGAAGGATGGGTGGGCGGCCTCAATGGGCTCCTCAAGTTCAATCATCCGTTTGGAGAGTGAGACTATGACATTTTATAATACCCATCAATTCCACGATACTACAGTATTCCCCGACTCTACTCTATTTAGTCACGTTTATCCACCGCGCGGGTCTTCCAGAACGGACCGTGGATCTCGACTCCGCGTTTTGCATCGTGATTGGCAGAAGCGTGTTTTCTGTAGATTGATCCATGTCGAGCCTTGAGACTAGTCTTGGCCCCCCAGTGCCTATGTACCTTTGATCGTAGGTTACCTTTAGTGGTGATAGTCCTTAGTCCCCTGAGATCGTCTGCCGCCCGAATGTTACCCCCCTCCTCTTTATCTTCCTTTCATCCCCCACCATCCCCAATTTTTTGGCCTTCAACTTTCGCGCTTTGCTTTCCGGTTGTTCGAGCCAATCCTCGCAGTGCGAGGTCCGCTCACTTATTTCCCTCGTAAGTGACCTTCTGCCTCGATCCCTTTCTCCACCTCACCGCCCCTGGGACACCACTCACTGCACGTCCCCCCCTGGGATCGTCTTTGGCGCTCCCCTGAACGTGAGAGCTGACCCTTTTTTTTCTCCCCGTCCTCAGAGCCGTTAGCTTCGAGGGGCCTCAGGAGGTCTCGGCGCGCGCGCGCTTCTTTCTCCACCTCTTGAACTCCCTAGCAAGTTGTCCACGTACGGAAAGTGAGTCGGTCTTTGACACGGTGAAGATCACCCCCAGACCACATCCACTGACCCTCCGCAGCACCATGTACACGCCGGATCAGTTCATGAATCCGGGGCCGGCTCCCCGCCCCCCGACTGATCGGCCTCAGTTGACCATTCCAACCAACAACAATCCCAACGTGGCGACCTCGTTCAGCCAGATGTCTCTGCAATCGCCCAGTACTCCCGGCCCCGTTCCCGGTGGCAATCTCTCGCTTTTTCCCAACACCAGCTCGCCATCGCTTGCCCGGAGCCCGACCGGTGGACAGGGCAGCATGGGGATCGTCAAAGAAGGACCGGTGCGCTGCAAGGAAGACAAGTTTTTGGCAACCTGGGGCCAGCGGTACCTGATTCTGCGTGATTACAAAATCGAGTTTCTGAAGAGTGAGACCGGCAAGAGCGTTCTCTCCTTCCCGCTGTCGGCTGTTACCAATGTGTCTCGCTCGGAGGATACCAAGATGGCCTTTGAGATCGTGCGCCTGGCCAATCCCAAGGATGCGGGCTCCAAGGCCGCCATGATCTCTCGCGATGTGGCGACCAAGTCGATTACTTGTGAGGTGAGAACCGATGACGAGATTTACGACTGGATCGACAAGATTTATGAACGCTGCCCGGGCATGGGCGGTGTCAGTAACCCGACGAACTTCAGCCATCGAGTTCACGTTGGCTTTGACCCCCAGACCGGCGCTTTCGTGGGCTTGCCCCCAGAGTGGGAGAAGCTTTTGACCGCCTCGGCTATCACCAAGGAAGATTACAAGAAGAACCCCCAGGCTGTGATTGAGGTCTTGGAGTTTTACTCCGATATCAAGATGCGCGAGCAGAATCCTCAGTACTACGCCGGCATGGGCGGCGCAGCTAATGGCCAAGCCAAGCCGCTCGGCAGCAACACCATGGGCAGCTCCATTGCTCCCCCACGCCCTCCCCCGCCAGGGCCGACACAGCGTCTGGATAGTGCAGACGGTCCTACGCGTTCTGCCAACTCATCTCCCGGCCAGTCAAGCAATGACCCGGGAGCTGCGGACAAGATGCGACAATTGGAGGAGATGAAGCGAATGGCAGAGCAGGAACGTCGCCGCGTGGAGGAAGAGCGCCGCAGGGATGACGAAGCATACAATGCGTCCTTGCCCAAGACGCGCCAACCGCTAGCCAAGCAAGAGATTGGTGGCTACGGTGGCTCGGATTCCTCGACTACCCGCTACCAGCCAAGTCGCCCTGCACCGCAAGCCCCTGGATCTGCGGCTCGTAGCCAGGGCCAAGACCCTCGCCAATTGACTGCGCAACGTGCGGCTCCGGCTCCCCCATCCTCGCAAAGTCCCTATGGACAAAGTCCGTCCCGAGCACCCGGTTCTCAGAACCAGAGTCAGGGTTTCCCCAGCCCTGGTTATCCTCCGAACGATCCTCGGGCTCAGGCCTCCCGCCAACCAACCAACGGATCCAAGGGCCAGCAGGCTCAAGGGCCTCCTCCGACCCGGTTGCCCGCACCTGTCCAGGCTGTGAAGCCCCTGAACATCGCCAACAAGCAGAATGCAAGCAAGCAAGGTGTTTCTGATAGTGTTCGTCAGGCCGAAGCCGCCCTGACCAAGAAGCCCGAGCCGCGCCAGAAGGAGGTGCGCATGTCTGCCATGACCGAAAACGAAGTGATGGACCGGTTGCGATCAGTAGTGTCCAAGGACAACCCAAATGAGTCCTACAGCAAGCAACGCAAGATCGGCCAGGGTGCCTCTGGCTCTGTGTACGTGGCACGCGTCAAGGAGCAGGCAACATCGGCTGTGGCCCGCGAGCTTTACCGTCAGTATGGACCCCGCTGCCAGGTGGCTATCAAGCAGATGGACCTGCGCAGCCAGCCCCGCAAGGAGTTGATTGTCAATGAAATTATTGTAATGAAGGACAGCCAACACGCCAACATTGTCAACTTCCTCGATTCATTCTTGCAGGAGTCCAGCAATGAGCTCTGGGTAGTGATGGAGTTCATGGAGGGCGGTGCCTTGACAGATGTCATTGATAACAACCAGGTGATTCAAGAGAACCAGATTGCCACGATTTGCTCCGAGGTTTGTTACTTTTTGCCCCCATTCTTATCGTACCTACTGACCACTGTGTCTATAGACTTGCAAGGGGCTAGCCCACCTGCACAGCCAGAACATCATCCACCGTGATATCAAGAGTGACAACGTGCTGCTCGACCGTGTCGGCCACGTCAAAATCAGTAAGTCAGATCCAGCCACTACAAATGACAATTTACTGACCCCTTCTAGCTGATTTCGGATTTTGTGCCAAGCTTACCGAGTCCAAGAACAAGCGTGCTACCATGGTCGGCACTCCGTACTGGATGGCACCCGAGGTTGTCAAGCAGAAAGAGTACGGCCCCAAGGTCGACTGCTGGTCACTGGGTATCATGGCTATCGAGATGATCGAGTCCGAGCCGCCGTACCTGAACGAAGAGCCCTTGAAGGCGTTGTACCTCATCGCGACAAACGGAACCCCACGCCTGAAGAAGCCCGAGAAGCTGAGCAAGGAGCTCAAGGCTTTCCTGAGCGTGTGTCTCTGCGTGGACGTTCGCAGCCGTGCCACAGCCGACGAGCTCCTCGCCCACGAATTCCTCCAGATGGGTTGCAGCCTCGCCAGCCTGGCCGAACTGCTACGATGGAAGAAGGCCAATGGCCAGTAATTCCATGGCATTCTCCAACATCGCATAATCTCCCTACAAATTGGGAACTTGAGAAACTTTGCGCGCACATATGGGTACCGATTTACGCGCCTCCGGATAGACAGTGCCCGTCTTTTTTCAATTATTCTTAACGAACCTGCATGGGCCCTCCCCTGAACACGTTGTTTCCTGCTGCTTTTACACATACAGAACCTTGGCGTGGGCTAATTCGGCGTTTTTCTTTGCTTCTGCTCTTTCGCGTCCATGATAATCCCCTGCCTTGCACAAAAGATACATCCCTACACCATCACCTTGACCTTATCCGATCCCCATGACGTGACGATCCGACTGCGTTTTGCCTATGTCGGCACTAAAAGCAAAGTTAGCTGAATCAAGGCTCCTTTTTTGAATTAATTTGATATAGCAATGTGATGGCTGTGGCTTGATCGTGAACAGTAGAGGTTTCAGGATCTTCCTGGGAACTCCTCGCGTCTTTTAAACCCACCAGCATATGTAGCAGTACATATCGGTCCAAGCACCGTCTTCTTAAGTTTTACAATGGTCTATAAATGCCCTAGCGCAGCAGGCTGACAACCTGGATGTAAGTCAAGAAACCACCCATACTCTCCCGGATCACCCAGCTACTTGGTTTGACTGCCGTACTTGTCTTCCCAGAGCTGGACCTTCTCTACGAGGGACGTGCCTGCTTCTGACGGATAAGTCTTGCAAAAGCGATCAAATTCTTTGGTCCGATACAGAACAATCTTGTCAACACCAGTTCTCCGCATTTCAACAAGCCTCTTCCAGGGAAAAGAGGCTCTCATGACACCTATTTACCCAAAGTCTCTTCCCTCCCATACTCCCACCTTACTTAGTATACTGCGCCTTGAACTCATATCGTAAACACCCGGCATCCCTGATTCCTCCAACCCCACCGTTATTGCAGTCTGTGTAATCCTTCCTCAACAGATTTGTGCACGTAATCTGATCCTTGCTATTCGGGTACTTCTGATCCCCCAACGGGGTCCAAGGGCTCTGCTTCGCCCCTCTGCACCCCTTGACCCACGAGATCGAGTAATAGTACGGTGCACCATTCGTCATCGTCTGCCACACAATTGGATCACTCTTTTCATCCATGATGCTCGAAGAAAGAGCGGTGCCCGCACACGCCCAACCAGTATACTGGTTTTGAAAGCCGGGGGAGATGTCTTTGTGCTTGCCGAAGTCGTTGGCACCGTGACACTGGAGCGAGCCGAGTTTGTCTCCCGGTGTCGTTCCCGTGGGCGGGGGCGAGCTTTGGGCAGGTTTCTCAATCTTGTAGCTGAAGCTGGCACCACAGGCGAATGTGGCTTCACCGGATGGTTGGATTGCGTGGCTATTGATGCCCTCGCCTGTATGACTTTATTAGTGTCTTGGGGCCGGTCCGGTTAGGATGGAAGTGGGACTTACACTTTGGAATAATCATCTTCTCGAATGTAGCCTTGCAGTCGGGCACGCAGTCTGTTCTCGGGTCTGTTTCAAAGTGGAACTTGTAGCCCTGGTAAGCGCTGGACTTGATGTCGGCGCTGGTCAGGTCCACTTTGGGAGTTTTGGAGAGGTCCCTGCCACAGAAGTTCTCGGACATGCGTTGGAAGAAGGAGATATCGACATCGATGGCTCCGCTGTAGGCCTGCATTCAAACCACAAGTTAGAAATGCACTTGAAATCATCGCGTGGGCGGGGTACGTACTCCTCCATTGGCACAAGTGATGTCCGCTTGGTCGGGGCGGTCGGGCATATTGATGTTATAGCTGTACTCCGCACCGCATGGAAGAGTCACTTTTCCTCCTTTTTGCACGCTATGGCTGTTCAGTCCTTCGCCTGTTATTCCATGTCATTAGCACAGCGTCACTCACTGGCTCCATGGGAACACTTACAACCAGCCGTCATAGCCTTGATGGCCCCCGCACAATCCGTGTCACACTGCTCGTTCACGTCCTTGGGTGGAGTGTACGAGAAGTCGAAGGTGTATTTCTTATACGCCTGGGACGAGATGTCGTCGCCGGAAAGCGTCATATTGCGCGCCTTCTTCGCATCGCCCTTGCAGAATTTATCCGACAGGCTGTTCACGAAAGCGACGTCGACCGCGACAGCCTTGGAATACGTAGTGTCGGAGCAGGTCACTTTGGGCGCGTCGTCCATATGGACAAGAGCGTACTTGAGTACATCGGCCTGTGTGTTCAACCAATCCTGGTCAAAGGGGAAGAATGTGGGCTCAATCACGTCGAGGCATTTACAGTATTTGTATTTGCCCTATACGAACCAGGTCATTAGTATATACCACCGGCATTGAAACAGAGGGGAAGAGAAGGGACGAGATACATACATCCTGACAAATATCATCTTTCCCTTTGCAGTCCGGGCAGAGCGGGGCATCCTTCCCCTTGGGCGCATCTGCCGGACACTTCTCGGGCTTCTTAGGAGGAGGAGTCACTACGGTGGGGATGTTATTGTTCGGTGGGTCTCGAATCCCAAACGCGAGCGGGAGATGGTTCTTCGCGTAAACTTGGAAAGCCATCCAGACCAGGCTGATGCCGCCAATGCCAGTCGCAACCATCTGGGCCTCCTGTGCGGTAGCAGAAGTACCCAGGGCCTTAAGGACCTCCTCGCTTAGGAATTGGATGTCCTTGACGGCTTCGTTCAGGGCTTTAATCAGCTCGGAATTGTCAGCTTTGAAGTCCTCGAGGAACTGGGTAATCCCGCATAATGCTTCCCGCTTCTTCGAGCATGCAGGCACCTTGCCCATCATGTCACTCAGCTGCTGTTCGAGCTTGGGTGACATGAGGACGTCCAAGTCACCTTTGGGTCCGGTCATAACGGCTACCGGGGCTGTCACGGTGGCTGTTGTGGGCTTGTTGTCTTTGGTTGTGACTTGGACTTGGGTGATGTATTCTGTGTCTTTTGCTGTCCACTGGACAATTATCAGCGAGGGTAATTGAAAATCAGTGCGATGATATACTTACGCTGCCCTTGGCGTCGATATAATCCGAGAAGAATGTGTTGTATGGTGCTGTGGTGTCACTAAGGTGTATTAGCATAAGCAATAACAATTTTAAGAAGAGCAAACAGAAAAAGCGACGAACACTGGAGTCACGAGAACCGGATTGATTCCAATCTGCCCACTGGTTGTAGGTACAATTGCGTCCACCTGGCCGACGCCTCTCTTTTCAACGAGGCTCGGGGGTGGAGTTACTTGTGGTGGTAGTTCGACCGGCCCGGCGAAGGCCGCCGAAATAAAGAAAGATGCTATGAGAAGAGACTTCATGATCATGGAGTATGAAAGATTATCACTTGGCTCTTTCAACGACTCCAGCGGAGGGCATTATATACTTTATACCTCTGGTTTTCTTCCAGTAGTTCTCCTCCAGTAGCCCCCACGTCATCGGACGAAAAAACAGTCCCAAAAATAAGTCCATGGCTGATATCCAGCCTTGCCCAAGGCCTGCTCTGCTGACCTTGTTGATAGCGGGCTGACAGCAGCTGAATCTAATGAAACGTCGCATGTGCACGATTTGGCCCCATCTCAAGGATGTCGATGGCATGTGGAAAGTCGTAAATAGTCAATAAGGGTCGAAAAATAACTATCACCAGTAGTAGTACTATCAGATTATAGTTTATAGATCAGGCGCCCCACATCGCCACGGCCTCCACATGGCTTACGCGAGGGTGCAGATGCAGGGTCTTGAGCTATGGCGTCAAACACACGGCCATCATTGGTCCGAGGGCGTTCTTTTTTTTTATAGATTGGGGGCTATTGGGGGCTTCAGCAATAGATCAGGGTCTGATAAGGCGCCCAATAAATGCTCTTGGCTCTGTTTAGCTTTCCCAAAAGGATACCTTTATTCGACCCTGCATACTCCCACATCAGCACTAGGTAATCCTCCGAGGAAATCTTACGGGCGGTTTGTACGTAACTTCGGTACTTACTCCGTGGCGGGGGCCGTATATCACCTGGTGGCGGGGGCTATTTACCAGATGCAGGGTCTATGTACCTGAAACGAGACATACGAGAGGAGCAATGCAATAAATTTAGCAATGGATATTGATTCGTTCCACTCATGCAATACCCCTCACGCAGTTGACGGTCGGGGCGATGCAGTTCAGCTCGCTGGATGCCTGTTCTTGGCTGGTCGTATACTATCAGATGCTGCTTTAAATGCTGCTTTAAATGGGCGAAGATATAAGATGCTAACGTTCGCACTGTGGGATAGGCTTCCATTATCTCTTCATCTGGCCTCTTCACCAACTCATTTTACATTATTTTTTTCTTTATCTGCCTCATCTAATACTCGATGATGAGATTCCTGCAAGGCCTACTTTGTGCCTTTGGCCTAATCAGCCTGGCCAGTGCAAAGGGTCCGGCGTGGAAGCTCGATAGTTCATGCCAAACGAGTGGTAAGCCAGACAAGTTCTCCCTCTTGACCTTTGAATAACACGTTTCCGCTCCCCAGATCTCAATGACATGGTCACTACCGCCGTGAATAGTGCCTTTTCGATGGCAGTCGATGAGTCCGATGCATTCAACAAGATCCTCTCCGGTGGGGACCTGGGCCCGAACAAGGACAACATCCTCGATGTTGTCAAGTGGATGTTTACAAAAGATAACGAAGAGCCGAATAACGAGCGACTTGCTATACTGAGAAGTATGTTGACCCCTTCTTATATTCTCATCCTTGAGGTTGGTTTGCTGATTGTGACAGCGCGTATGAATCTTCTCGCCAAGGCAAAGGATCGTAAAGATAACGAGGATCCGGACGGTGTGACGGTAAGCCTTCTATGTTCAGCTCTGGCACGGCCGTGCCAGGTATAATAGGGATACAAGTGACTGACAGATGAGCAGGTCGTAATATACTGTGGCTTTGACCGCTTTGAAGCGAGGGCTGACGGTCAATGGTACGATAAGGGTAGGTTCATTAAGCCAACAACTTTCAAAATCTCTCCGATCTGACATTTATACAGACCTTGATTATGTCTTCAAGAAGGACGAGTCATTTGAGGCATGCAAAGGCGCCCAACCTGTCGTAGCCTACACCGAGGTACCTAAGGATCGCAAGAAGCCGTCCCAGGTTCAGTTATGCCCATGGTTCCTCAACTGGATGAAATCTAAAGACACTAAAAGCCTGAAAGAAGCCGAGGCTAAGGGTCTATTTTGGCGGGCAATCAGCAAAGGCCTATCGAAGACGCACATGTTGCTAACGCCTATTGATGTGACCTCGCTGCTCGACAAAGTGATTCTGCACGAGCTAACGCACACACGTGTTGGTGGTGAGTCGGTGGATGTTGATGGGCCCAGCTTCCTGACTGTTAGGTATGGGTGGAACAGGTGTCGGAAGTTGGCGCAGGAGGGAAGCAGTGATCCTAGTCGGCAAGCACAGGTCAATGCGGATTCGATTGCGCTTTGTGGGTCTGGTATGTTGGTCCCTTTTATGGATTTTTCTCACGTACATTGCTGACTGAGTTATAGCCATTAGGTACATTAAGGAAGGGAAGCGGGTGAAGAAGAATGGTGATGTAGAGGACAAGTAAGGATCGGTTATGGTCTATCAGGATAGCGTTTTCTATGGTGTATACCTAGGGAAGCTACATAGTTTTTTCATTGTTTTGTTACTGGGTATTTATCTCTGTATGGAATTATAAGTCACGGTAGACTTTGCAATTTGTCTCTACCATCTATGTCGTGCCAGTCGCGGATATTCTCAGTAATGGGGTGCTATATAGGTACTTTAGGTACAGGAGTGTTCATAGATACACAGGAAACGACAAAAATAGAATAATGCACCATTCAAACTTAGCCCCTCGGAGAATCCCCTCCGTTAGCCATAAGCAAACTAATTGGTTGATTGGTTTATTGCTCGTAGATCAGTCGGGGGCCTGATGCCGAGACTAACTCAGCCTCGCAGCCTGATACATATAACGGAGAGTATTTCCCTACTCCTTCTCCCCCTCCTCCTCCCCATCAACCATTAAACCGACCACGACGACCTCGCCATGAAATGGTCATGGAGTCTTACTGCTCGACGCCGAGAGGAGGAGAAGCTTGCTGAGAGGTGCAAGCGCATCAGCGACCGTCCTGAACCCTTGCCAGCGGTCCGCGAACGGACCTTGACGCTGCCACTACCACCTAGTAACACGGGCTTGGTCCGAAATAGTCGCCAACAAAGAACCTGCGATCAGCAGCAATCTGCATATTTTACTACGCTCCCACGAGAGATCCGGTATCTGATCTATCAGGAAGTCCTGGCCTCTCCAGATCATCCAGAGCTCCATGTCTCCAGTGCAGACCAGCGACTCCTGAGTCGGCGCTGCGTTAATGAGAACCCCGATATTCCGGGCTTAGAGCACCCATGTTGGGGCCGTTGCTACAAGCAAGACGGCACGACGGCCCGGAGTGGGTACCCAAGGGAGTATCAGCCCGAGGACCGTTCTCCTTACCCCGTCAGACTGGGATTGTTGCGCTCTTGCCGGCAGGTGTATGTTGTTAGAATCTTCCCCATCTAAGCAAGCGAAAGCCCCCACTAATCGAACTAGATACTCCGAGTCAATTGATCTCCTCTACTCCCAAAACATTCTCAGCTTTCGCCAAACGCGGACTATCGTGGATCTCCAACGTACCATTGCCCCCCAGCGCCTACACAGCATTCGCTCTGTTAATCTGTACTTTCTGCTCCAACTATACTGGTTCGGGACGCGCATAGATGCAACCGAGGGTATCTATCCTCTCGACATACCATTCTTCTGGGAGTCCGCCTGGAAAACCATCGCCGAGATGAAGTCGTTGCAGAGCCTTCGAGTGGAGTTCACTGATGGGCGCCTTGACAATGAATACCCGCACCGGGATGCGATGGTGCATCTTCTGAAGCCGATGGCGGCAGTCAAGGTCCAGAAGTATATTGTCCAGTTCGACTGGTCAGTTGCGGTAGACGAACTTGTGCGCTTGTTGGGGAACGAGGTGCCTTTTGAAATCCAGGTCAAAGAGAAACCTGTAGAGCCATATTATTTTTGGTAGGGTCTGAGAGTATCCTGCCTCATACAGGCTATGAACGAGCCGTGACTGTTGAATCGAACAGCACGCTCTATACCAGACTGAACAGCTCAAAGTACATGATTTGAGTACGAATATTGGAGCCTTCAAACAAGTCATTGATCAGGTTGGAAACGGGACGAGGATGAGTGTCGATGCCTATTATTCAGACGAAAGTATTGTATCTTGAACACGCAATGTTCAGTAGTCTACTGCATATTACGCCGTACCCGTAATTAGTTTCTGTTGCCTCTTAAAACTAAAGCAACCTCTTTTGTCCTGAAAATATTCACATTTTCTCGTCATGTATAAGCAGTAGATCCCCAAATTGTAGGGTAAGCCCAACAAGGGGCAGAGGAAATCATCTACATAGGGAATAACACGCTCCGCTATCCTAGGAACAATCTTTGTAAGTACAAAAGGCCTACCGGGTTTTAAAAAACCCCTGTATCAAAACTCCAATCCATAATCAGTATTCGCATATTCGTTATTCATACGATTCCAAACGCTGGTTCGCTTCAAAACCTACTTCAACCCTCATGGGTGATAGAATCCTTTCTCTCATTGGAGCCCCCTTTATAATCCGTCTGTTGAAGAAGTGGACTTCTCTCGGGACTAGCACTTTTCCTATACGGATCCTCGTTGGCATCCTTGTTCACGTTGCTGTTGGCCGGGATGGGAGCATAAGGATGTGAAATGCTCTCTCGTTGAGGATGTGCTCTGCCTGTATGGACTGCGCCATTGTCCGTTTCGCGGTCAGCAGCTGAGAGGGCAAAGTCGCCCGAGTCAAAGTATGTTCGTTCCTTTATTTTCCAAAAGTCTTTTGTTAGCATGTATTGCGTGGAGATGTATGAGATTTGCAGGGTCGGTTGGAGATACCTTTGATTGTTGGCCGAGTAGACCGGGCCGTGGCAGCTTTCCGTACTTGCTGAAGTGGCGTTGTTCACTTCTGGACAACGGCTGGATCGTGTTAGCTTACCCTCTGCAGTTTGTCCTAAGGATGGGCGTTGTACTTCTGGATCCGGTATCTTGCGTCCTGGGTCCATTCTGCACCGATAAGTGATGATTTTAGCCGAGTTTCTTGAGCCTGGGATGGCAGCTTTTTCTGGGGTAGGTATAATTTAAGCTACTTACATCGTATGTTCATGACGTTATTCAAGTCGTGTGATCGGTGTTAGTCATCTCGGTGGTGAACTCAAAGGTAAGTTTCAACTTGAAACTGGAAGATAGCTATTCCGGATGTCTACAGTACCAAAAGAGTATAGACTCATTTGACGCAACGTCAGCTTATGCGTGTCCAACCGGGCTGGCGATTACTGTCAATCCGGTACTAGCATCGTTACTAGCATTGGTACTAGCGTACTTGACAACCCATCTACACATGTGGGTGATTCCAGCTACAACAACCTCGGGTAGAGCCTCTAATAGGCATAGCTCAGATATGGAGGCTTAAAAGTACCCTTGGGTACCACGGTAGCATTGCCAAGTAGAAAGCGAAGAATAGCTTCAAAGATCCTAGCACATACACCGGGGATAAAGCTCACAATCTCATGATTTAGGATGATGGAGATAAGATCTTGTTGCCGATCGATGAATCATGGCGATCCAAGGGTCTGGGTATGTCAGCAGGGAAAGCCACAGTAGTAGTTATAGTTATTTAGATTGCACTCTGCTTATTTCTCTGGTATCCCACGGATTCAGAACAGCGATGACGCGACCGGCCCGTTCTCGGCGTAATTGACATTTTTGTTTTTTCATCAGTCGGGCTCGGGTCAATTCCAAAAAGTGAAATGGCGTGCCTCCCGACGGTATCCATTTTCCGCAACCTAAACCCCGGGAATGTGTCAACCACGTTGATTTCTAATGGCGATGAGTAATAAACGAGGCCCACCGTTTACCACATTGGAACAGCTTGGAAGTTAATCTCCACGGTAGCTTCAATATGAGATTCGAAGGCTGGCTTGGCATTTTCTGATTTCTAATTCTCGGGCTTTAGAGGTGGTTTTGCTAATCACCTAAGTCCATCTACAATAGCCACTATATAGTCCATCAACTTTCGTGTCACCATGAATCTGCAGAATCAAAATTCATAGTCCAATCCGATGGAGGCCGTCATTCGTGAAGCCCCGTTCGGGCAGCTGGTCCGTTTGGTCACCAAAAACAAATACTTCCAATACCCTGAAGAGAAGGCCGACTTTCAGCTTCCGGAGACATGGATCGATGTAATGAACCAGCCCGATACCTTACGGAAGGGCTCGTCACAGACCGAAAAGCCGGAGCCAGAAAGTCCTGGTAGCGAAGGAAGACAACCCGGCGATAGCAACGACAGCGAAAGCCATGACGCTGAAAGCCTCCACGGTGAAAGTGACGGCGATGTGCTCAGTCGAGTTTCGACCGAACGCACACTCCCCTTCACAGAAGATCGCTTGGAGGCAAATGAACACCATGAAATCGAAAAAGTCAAGTCGACGCCCATCGTCCCGAAACGTACCAAAGACGGCGTCGTCCTGGTCGACTGGTACTACACCGACGACCCCGAGAACCCGCACAACTGGTCCAACACCAAGCGCGCTCTCATCGCCACGATTATCTGTCTATATACATTCGTCGTGTACACCACCTCGGCCATCTATACGTCCTCCACGCAGGGAGTCATGGAGGAATTCGGCGTCAGCACCCTGGTCGCTACACTCGGCCTGTCGCTATACGTCCTTGGATATGGCACTGGGCCACTGCTCTTCTCCCCGCTGAGCGAAATCCCAGTCATCGGACGAAACCCAGTCTACATCATCACCATGTTCCTCTTCGTGATCATCTCCATCCCGACTGCCTTCGTCGGCAACTTCGGGGGCCTCCTTGTCCTGCGTTTCCTACAGGGTTTCTTCGGCTCGCCCTGTCTCGCCTCTGGCGGTGCATCCATCGGCGACATGTACAGTCTAATGTCCCTTCCATACGCCTTAATGGCCTGGGTCTCCGCTGCCTACTGTGGCCGTAAGTCACACCCTCTCTCATCTACATACATCCAACTGACAAACCCCAGCGGCCCTCGGCCCCCTCCTTAGCGGATTCGCAGTCCCAGTAAAAGGCTGGCGCTGGTCCCTCTTCGAATCGATCTGGGCCTCCGCGCCCGTGTTTATAATAATGTTCATGTTCCTCCCGGAAACAAGCTCTGCAACAATCCTCTACCGCCGCGCATCCCGCCTCCGCAAACTAAACAACAATCCGAAATTCATGTCCCAGTCTGAAATCGACCAGCACAACCTAAGCCTCTCCGCCGTAACCGTCGACGCACTGATCAAACCCATCGAAATCACAATCAAAGATCCAGCCGTCCTCTTCGTGCAGATCTACACCGCTATCATCTACGGCATCTACTACTCCTTCTTCGAAGTCTTCCCCCTCGTCTACCCAGTCGACTATCACATGAACCTGGGCCAGATCGGCCTCGTCTTCCTCTGCGTCCTCGTCTCGTGTATCCTCGGCATCGCGGTGTACTTCTCATACATCTACTTCTGGATGAACCCCAGAATCGCGAAACACGGCTTCCCGGTTCCAGAAGCACGTCTTATCCCGGCACTAGCTGCATCCGTTGGACCGACTGTCGGTCTCTTCCTGTTCGCGTGGACTGCCCGAGCATCGATCCATTGGATCGTGCCTACAATCGGGATTACCATCTACGGCGGGACCGTGTTTATCGTCATGCAGTGTCTGTTCGTGTATATCCCGCTCAGCTATCCGCAGTATGCGGCGAGTTTGTTCGCCGCGAATGATTTCTTCCGGAGTGCGCTTGCTTGCGGGAGTGTGATCTTTGCGCATCCGCTTTTTGGAAATCTCGGTGTTGCACGCGGTACGAGTTTGTTGGGTGGATTGAGCGTTATTGGGATTTTGGGGATTTGGTTGCTCTACTTTTATGGAGCTAGATTGAGGGCGCTGAGTAAGTTTGCTATTTCGGAGACTAATGTCGAGGAGACGACTGTTGGGGACCAGGCTGAGTAATGTTTATATAATGGAGATTATGATGTTGACGGGATGAGTTTGAGATGATGTCGGTCATGTTGGGTTTAGATTTAGATAATATTAATCAGGATAATTAACACAGAGCAGTGTTCATTCATAACGAGCCTGCTTCATTTCTATGCACAAGCTTTGACGGTGTAGAGGGAAAGAAAAAAAGGGACAGAAGGGAGAGAAAGTGCTATTTATTGTAGGGCTGGCGATAAAGCCCTGGAAGATGCCAGTCCCATTTCCTAAATCGGGGTGATACGATACGCTGCCTAGGTTGATCTGGCGACTTGCGACCTCATCTTCTTGCCAATGATAAAATTAATACATTGCTTAAGATCGTCTATCATCGAACATGTATACTAATTCATAACATAAAACCGCATCATTTACAACTCGTCCGCCACCCACTCCCTCAGATGCCCGCATTCCTCGCTGAAGATGACATTCTGCAAGACCGACTCGCCCTGACTAGGAACCCAACGGCCTGCAACTTCAAGACGGCGTTTCCAGGATTCCCGGTCAGCGGGATTCATCTCCTGCCAGGCGCAGAGTCGTTCTTCTGAGGGGTCGTGAGCGCCCTTGTATGAAGAGGACGTTTCAACGATAATGCTCTGCTCTGCGTCCATGCCAGGCTTGTTGCAACGCACAATCACGGAAAGGGCATGCGGTGTTACGGTTTCGAGATCGGCTGGGGCGGCGCCTGCGCTGTGTACGCGGTCAAGGATATCCTTCAGAGAGTGAATTTCATCGGAAAGTGTAATGGGGGTTTCATAAGAGCCCCTGCCGTTCGGTGGTACTTCGTATTCGACAGCCCAGTTCTCGCGCCAAGTATCTGGGAGGTAGTTTGCAGCACCCAGGTAGGGCGGGGTGGCACCGCGGATCTCGGCGAAGGAGAGGAGCGCGGTGCAGATAACGAGGAAAGATACAAGCAGGGCGAAGCTGAAGACGAGTCCTTCCCAGAACTCGGCGGGACCGGGGATAGTCAGGACGTAGCGTGGAGAACGGGAAGAAGGCGGGAAGGGCTGGAGGGGTAGAGTGTGCACGACGACGGTATTGCCCATGCTGACGGATGCGAGCTTGACTTTCTGTGGGCCGACCTCCGGGCTGATAGGGTGGGCGGGAGCGATGAAGGCTGAGAAGCAGAGCTTCGTCATGGAGAAGGGGTGCACGTCACGGAGGGTTGTGTAGGGCTGGATTTTGCCGTAGCCTTTGTTTGGCCCGTACTCCAGTGTGAAGAGCGAGATGGAATGGTCGCTGCCACTGACGGCGATGATGGTTTGTTGTTGGCCGGCTGGATTTGTGCCAAGCTGACATACATCGAGACCAAGACCGATCTTCACGCCTCGAGGGAGCTTGCGCCGGCACAAGATCTTTGCCTGGGCGCCCTTTTCTTTGTGTAATTGGAGGAGAACAAGCTCGCAGCCGCCGCGGTCAGCGGCATTCTGCAGCATCAAGATGCTCGTAGGCGACAAGAAGCGCAGAGAACGGAACTTGGAACGAGCAGCGCGAGCTCCACTGCTGGGCAAAGGAATGGTGAAGACCCTGAAAATATCCGGAGCAGCATTGGAGCGTGTAGTAGACGATATATCGCCGGCCATAACATCCACACCGTTGGTATAAGCCATACGGAACTGGCCCGGCGTTTCTTTGCCTGAGTCCGCATCGTACTCAAGACTAGCGAAATCAATGTCGTCTGCTTCCTCGTTGGCACCGAGTCGAATACGGCCGATCACGTCTGATTCACTGGGGCATTCTGTCGCGTGGAAAAGAACAATCTCTCCTGATGGCGCGAGTCCCGTGGCAATGGCTCCAACTCTCGATTCCTGCGTGTTCTTCTCCGAAGCATCGGCCTGTTTCCTCCAAGGCGACAGTCTGAGCACGCGCTGATAGGTATCACCCGATTCCCCGGTTTTCGAGCGGAAAAGCGACTCCTTTGACAATTGTGTGGCCTTTCCAGGAATAACTTCGTCCTTCTTTTCTTCTTTGCCCTCCGACTCCGGCGCATCTGTAGCTACAGCCTGCACCTTTCGCGGAGCCTCAAACCGAAACGCGCGCATGTGCTGATTATTGTTGTTTTTCTGCTCTACTGCAGAGCTGTTAATGCCAGCCAGGACAACCATCGAGTGCTCCTCATCGGTGGTCTGCGGCGCCACAGCAAGCGACGTGACCGAGTCCTCATCGCGCGACAGGTTCATTTCCACGGCTTCGGTGATTTCATGTCGGTGTGAGGTATCGATGAGCGACTAAATCTAGTAATCAGTAAGGTTCTCTCGTAAACAAAGCTGCCGCACTCACGATCTTGTTTCCAACTCCGCTGCGGCCCTCGCCGCCGCCGCCGCCGACCAACAGGCGGCCATTATTGCGCGGGTCAAAGTCTGCTGCGAAGAGCGGATAGGAGAGAGTGAGTTTCGCGGAATGTACAGTGGGCGCCATGGTGGGGATTGGAGCTCTGGACGGAGGAGGAGAGGACAGATGGACGATGACGAGGTTGCCCCGGATTCTTGGCGCGGATGGCCGGATCGGGACTGCCGCCTTTGATTTACTTAGATCTGATCTTACAAGTAAAAAATAAAAATAGAAACTATTTTGCGTAAATCGAAATGGTGTATATTTTATGTAAAGAAGTCCAAGCTTCTAACTGATTTACTCAACTTCCTGGCCGGTGAACTCGGGCAGGCGCTTGATGATATCGGCCCAGGTCTCGTCGCCGTCTGTGAGCGACTTGAGAGCAGCCAGGATCTCGTCCTCACTGGCTCGGACCTGCTTGGTAGTGTCGCGGTCACGCAGAGTGATCGTGTTGTCCTTGACGGACTGGAAGTCAACGGTGATACCGAAGGGAGTGCCCAGCTCGTCGTTACGGGCGTAGCGCTTGCCGATACTGGCGGACGAGTCGTCCACACGGTTGGAGACGCCGATCTTGCGCAACTTGGATGACAGGCTCTGGACCAGAGGTTTGAAGGCAGGGTTGGTCGAGAGAGGGACCAGCAGAACCTTGGTGGGGGCGACAGCAGGGGGGAAGGAAAGGACCTATACCATATGGGATTAGCAATAGACATGAGAAAAACAAGAGAGAAAACGTACACCACGGGCCTCATCGCCGGCACGCGACCAATAGACGTGCTCAATCATACTGTACAGGATACGGCCGATACCAAAGGACGGCTCAATGACGTTGGGGGTGTACTCGCGGACGTTCTCAACACGAGTGCGCTTCTCAATGTTGATCAGCTCCTTGTCCAGCTCAACCTTGCCGGAGCCAACACCCTCAACGTCGATCTCAACCTTGCCGGTGTTGTTCAGATCCAGGGAGAGCTTCTCACGTAGCTCCTGCGAGAGAGCGTCGATGGCCGCCTCGACGGTCTTGGCGTCCTTCTTGAAGCGGGGACCGAACTTCTTCTTCTCGAGGTCGATCTGCCACTCTTCAACACGCAGAGGCTCGGCACGGGTCTCGCGCACCACGAGAGGGGCACCGGTCTTGTCCTTGTGCACGGTCAAATCGTAGGCACTGCGGTCAGCGCAGCCAACACACTCAATCCAGCCGTAGCTAGTTTGCAGCTCGGCATCCCAGCAGTCGGCGGCGTAGTGAGCCATCTCGTTTTGCATGTGCTGACGGAAACGCAGCTTGCTGAAGTCAACGCCGATCTTAATCAGGAAAAGCTGGATACGGGCCAGGAAGTAACCCAGAGTCTCATTATCGACAATGCCAGTCTCGACGGCCTTGCCGATGGTCATTGTGGTGGTCTTAGTGCTGCCAGACAGCTGCACGTCGCGGTCAAGCAGGGACATCTCAACGTCCTTGACCTCGACGAAGCGGGGGTGCTTCTTGCCACCCTCCGGGTCGACGTAGTGCTCAATCTCAGCCATGAGAAACTCACGGACACGCAGCAGACCGGCACGAGGGGAAATCTCGTTACGGAAAGACTTGCCAATCGAGGCAGAGGCGAAAGGCATGCTCTGCTGGTTGAACTCGAGCAGCTTCTGGAAGTTCAAAAACTGACCCTGGGCAGTCTCGGGGCGCAGATAGCCCGGCATGTTGCTGCTGGGACCGATAGAAGTCTGGAACATGAGGTTGAAAGCGACGGGAGGCTGCACGGGACCGTCGGTGGCAGGGTTGCGAATGTCATACTTGATGATGATCTTTTCAAGATCGGGGCCGTCGAAGTTGTCGATCTGAGCAAGGGTCTCCTCATACTCCTTCACCAGGGCGTCGTCCAGCTTGACAGCCTTGGTCTCGCCCTTGGACTTCTTCTTCTTCTTGGCCTCCTTCTCGGCATCAACCTCAACCTTTTGTCCGCGCGCCTCCTTATCGCCCTTCAGACGGGCCTCCAGCACCTCCTCGACCAGGTGGTCGGCACGGAAGATCTCGCCAGTCTTGGGGTCCTTGCACATCCAGTCGGCGAACTTGTCCACGTGCCCGCTAGTCTTGAGGATCTCGTGGGGAGTGAGCATGGAGCAGTCGACCTCGAGCATGTCCTCCTCGAGCACGAAGTGCTTGCGCCATGCGTCCGTGATGTTGGTGAGCAGGGCGGTACCGGGAGGGCCATAGTCATAGAGACCGGACACACCACCGTAAATCTCGAAGGAAGGGGTGTAGAACATGCGGCGGCGGAGCATGGAGTCCAGCACGAGGCGGTCGACCTCCTGGCCGGTCTTGGTTTTGACGGTGGCCATCTTGGGATTGCGGTTCTGCTTCTGGAGCGCGTGCGAACAGGTGAAGGTCCTGGCGAGAATCGATGGAGGGGGAAGAAAAGAGCGGGGAGAAATGCGCGGCAGCAATTGAGTCATACACCCACACAGGCCCTCGGTCACACCACAGGGCAGTCGGCAAAAGAGATGTCAATTAGGAAGGCTGGGTGTGACGGACGCTGGTCTTTTTGTCTCGTTCAATAATTTCTCCTCATTTAACGGTGATCAACAATCAAAAGATCGCGTGGTTGTCGGAGCGCTATTCCGGATCAACAATTCTCCGTGATAATTTATTTCTTTGCGACAGAACTGTCGATCAACCGAGTACAACACTACCCACTCACCACATTCACCATGGGAATGAAAGGAAAAGGGAGGCCGCCGCCTGGTGCGGAGCTTGATGTCAAGTCTGGCAACAAAATGCGCCGCCAGATGATGCACATCAAGCGTAAGAGAAATAAGGACTCGGCGCGGCGAGCCGAGCGTTACGGTTTCAAGAAGGAAGAAGCCAAGAACCCCAAGTTGAGAGAAGAGCGCCTACGTCAAAACGTTCCTCTGACTCTCGAACGCAAGCGTGTCTGGGACGAAGCCGACAGCGACGCCGAGGAGGATGGCCTGGGTCTGGCCGTGGACGTCGAACGCATTAAGCGTGCCAAGAAAGAAGAAGAAGACGAATTGAATCGGCCGCTGGAGGATGGCGAAGACGACAGTGAAGAGGCTGAATCCGACAACGAGTCCATCGACAGTATGATCGCCTCGAGCGACGGCGAAGACTCTGACGACGAGGACAAGGAGGACGAAGACTCGAGTCGCGGACGAAAGAAATCGTCGCTTCCCTCTGCCACCGAACGAGCCACCAGCCCAACAGCCTCAGCGCGCAGTACCAACCTGAGCCTGGCACCCGAAGCCCTCGCCGCCAAATTCCCTACGCTCTTCTCCGACGAGACTCCCCCGGCCCCGAAAATCCTCATTACCACCTCGCTCAACTCGAACCTCCATGACGAAGCCGAGATTTTGACAGGTCTTTTTCCCAACAGCGTGTACATCCGGCGCTCAGCGCACCGTCACTCGCACAAGTTCTCGATCCGTGAGATTGCCAAATTCGCCTCGAACCGCGAGTATACCACTCTGGTCGTCCTGAACGAGGACCAGAAGAAGCCTTGCGGTCTGACAATGGTCCATCTTCCGGTCGGCCCGACCTTCCACTTCAGCATCAGCAACTGGATCGAGGGCAAGCGGCTACCCGGCCACGGTCGTGCAACGGAACACTGGCCCGAACTTATCCTGAACAACTTCCGCACGCCCCTGGGTCTTCTGACGGCGCACCTGTTCCGCAGACTGTTCCCCCCGCAGCCCGACTTCGAGGGACGTCAAGTCGTGACCCTGCATAACCAGCGTGATTACATCTTCGTGCGCCGCCACCGCTACGTCTTCCGCGAGAAGCGCGAGACCGAGAAGGCAGTTGTTGGCTCCGACGGCAAGGAGATGAAGGGTGCAGAGGGTATCCGGACCGGTCTGCAAGAGCTCGGCCCACGATTCACTTTGAAGCTGCGCCGTGTGGATAAGGGAATCCAGCGGGCGAGCGGACAGGAGTGGGAGTGGAAGGGAAAAACGGACAGAATTCGCACGAAGTTCCAGCTGTAATGGGTTTGTCTTTTCTTGCATGGGGTTTGGGGAGTATCCAAAAGCATCTGGTTTTCATGTTTTATCCCGGACTATATTACCCGGTTTACCTAGGTTTACATATCCATGTCGAATGAACATAGACTATTCTAGTGATTGCAGCTTGTCTTCAATCTGATTATCCATCCAGCTATGTACAGCCGAACCAAGGAGATATTGTAAGTGGGCCTAATTTGGGGATCATGGACTAAATCTCGAGATTGTTCTTACGATCATTTAAGTAATCACTTCTCATCCCAATGCGACCTTGCTCTTGCATGTACCGCCTGGAAGTTCTGGTCCATCATTTATCACATCGCTAGTACCGCATCTATTTGACAATATGAAAGGTTTTCGGACATGTACTCCATTCCACAAGGACAACTAAGAATCTATAACAAGACCATCAAAAAAATACACCCCAAAAATGAAATACGCTATGCCTATGCCAATGCCAATATGATACAAAAACCCCACGGAACCCCCAATGTAACCAGCTCTACTCATCCTTCGGTAAATCAGGCCCTTCATTAAGTACCTTAACCTTAGCCATAGCCCTCGCAAGAACCTCCCCCCTCCTCTGCGCAAAAGAAACAGGCTTCCTTCCCGTAACAATCCTCACTCTAGCCGTAAGCCCCCTCGCAGAGACACACTCGCCTCTAACCTTCTCGCACAAATCCTTCGCCTCGTCAAGCGACCAGCGCCCAGAACGAGTCAACGTGCGTAGCGCATACGCCTCAAGTCCCTCAAGCAGCGCAATCAGCGCCATCTTACCGAGCGTTTTCTCGTGGGGGTCTTCGGGCCACAGACCGATCGGGATGGAGCGTTCTTGCACGCGGACGCCTACGAAACCTGCTTCCGAGAGGGCGTCTGTTCGGAGATGTCTTAGGTCGCGGGGGTATCCCGTTTCGTCTGCTGCGGCGCGGAGGGCTGCGGCGTATGTGCGGAGATGGGACGGCTCTTCGGTTGCAACCGTATCGCCGGCGGGATCGGCGTCGGCGACTTCGATGTATCCGCCGGGTTTGAGGTGGGCGAGAGCCTGGGTGTAGATGGCGTGCCAGTTATTAAAGGCGCCGGAGAGGCCGCGGATGTGGATTAGGTCGAATGGTTCGTGGTAGGTCCATTGCGATTTGGCATCTGCGAGTTGGAAGTCGACGTTTGGTAGGGAGAGGTGGCCTAGGCCTGAATCGAAGACTCCGATGTCTGAGGCTATGATTTGGGCATTTGGATGCTCGGCGCTCATTCCAATGGCCCAGTCGCCGGGTCCGGTGCCGATGTCGAGAATGCGAGGCCGTTCCATTTGTAGTGGGGCGGTCGTCAGGCGGCCGTCTAGGAGGATTAAGTAGATTTGGTGGACGATGTTGAGGCGTGTTAGTTCGGACTCGTCGTTGGGCATGAAGTAAGAGTCGTCGGCGTAGCGGCGGTTATTTTCCATTGTTACTTGGAGGTTGCGTGAGGAGTACGAGTTGGTTGATTTTCTAGTTGTTTTAGTTCGGGGTCTTATACTGGGATGGGCAGAGAGACTCACATTGATGCGTCGGCATCAGAATCAGTGTCGGAGTCGGGCTCCAAGCTTGAACCATCCTCGGGTTCTTCGACAGAGGGACGGAGGTCCTCCGGCTGAATGAATATGTCGTCCATGACATGACGGTCTAGGACAGTTGAACGAAAAGGAAAAGGGTATATACAGAACCAGCTGTGTTCATAGGTTGGACAAGGGGTCAGGGTCCAGGACTAAGCCCAGGGCATATCCCGACCTTCTAACGGTCAATTGACAACAAAGGAAAGAGGAAACCGAAACATCGATGGGCCAGTAAGCAATGAAGGGAAAGTCTTTTGACGGGATATAGTGGAATCCGACAACGCAGACGGAGGTACGTCACAGCAAAAAAGAAAAGAAAACAAAGGCCGAAAGTCGGGAAGTGATAGATGGTAAGTATATTAGAAATCAAAACCCAGGGAGACGGGTGGGAAACGGGGTGAAGGGAAAAGGAGGGTGCGGAGACCAGGAAGTGACGCGAACAGGTCAGTAAAGGCCCAGGGCCTATGGACCACTGCGTATTCCACGGCGGGGGGAGTTCGACAGCTGAAGTGGACCGGGGGTCTGACCGGGCTAGGTCGCGGCGCGGGTGGGGTTGGGGATGATCACTTGAAGTGAGAGTTCCAAGGTTGTATCCGTCCTGATAAGGAGTGCTTATAGGATTGTCGTTGGGAATCTATGGCTCCATTATCAAGGAATCGCCATGTACAGAGATGACCGAGTGTAGATGAAGTATAGGATGACGATGTATACGCTGGACCCTTGTCAAGGTCCAACGGAGAATCGGAGATCACTGCATATGCATCCTAGACCGGGACTATAATTGAGAATGACAGTTACCGTTCAGGTGCCCTACAAAAGTACGACACAGGAAACGCTGACGGGCACCCCTTATAGGCGGTCCAGTCTTCCAACCCAGTCCAGTCAAAATCCATACCTAACTCATAACTCCTACCTCCCTAGTACTGTACCCTACCACCTCCTTATAACCTTAACCCCCCTGAAAAAAAAAAATTAAATAAATAAAAATAAAGCAATCAAATCTAGAAAAGGATGCATAATATCCGGAACAAATCCACGTCTCCACCGGTCCGAGCGAGACCCAGCAGTTCGGTTTCGAATCCAGAACGGGAAACCCAGTGTCTTTCCACATCAGGCAACGAACGGCACCAGTCACGAGACGATCTCCCGTGCCTGATCCAAACCTCCGGAAATTTCAACCAACAAATTCCAGCAACCCGGTTCTTCTCCCCAAGCGGGTCTACTCAAGCCACTCCTTCACCTCTACCGGCCCCCAGGCGGCGGTACATAGCCAAAATGACAACTCCACCCCGCCGCCTCCTCTTCATAGCCTCAATCGGCAACCAAAAGCCCTACCGCTTCACCCGACACAGCGCCGGCCACGTCCTTTTAGATGCGCTCCTCCCACTCCTCCGCAGTCGCTTCGGTGCAGTCGATCAATACTATACGACATACTACAGCCCTTCTTTCATGAACGAGTCCGGCCCAAAACTAGTCCGCAACTTGAACAAGTGGCTGTCACAAGCTGACAAACTTGTCGGACCATCTCGCACTGGCTTTGAAGTTCCGGCCCCAATCGGCGTTCCGGCGACGCTGGTCATATTGCACGATGAGCTGGAGGCGCCGCTGGGTAAAGTGCGCGTGAAGAGGGGTGGGTCTGAAGCGGCGAGTTTGAGGGGGCATCGGGGGTTGATCAGTTCGTTTGAAAGTTTGAGGGGGAAGGGGATGTATCCTGTTAAACGGGGGAGGGATTTGTCGGTGCTGAGGATTGGGGTTGGGATTGGGAGACCGGAGAGTAGGGAGAAGAATGCTGTTGCAGACTATGTGCTTTCCGAGATGGGGGCTGGTGAACGGGCTGCTGTGCAGAGGGCTGCAGAGCCGGTTGTTAGTGTTTTGGAAGATGAGTTTTATTGGGAGGAGAGTTCGAAGTCTTGATCTCGATCTCAATCTTGATTGATGGTGGTTTTTGCATCGCATTGGGATTGGGTTTAGAATGGGCATTTTGTATAGAGGGTGTTACGATATGGTTTTGGGAGCTTTGTATATGATTGATACCCCTGCATATTCATGAATGCATTGCATATTGAACTCCTTGCGTTCTTCGCGAGAGGGAAGAAATTACCCATTGATCATGTACAAGACTGGGAATAAAAACAGGAAGCGAAGCAAATCTGACTCCTCATGAGACCCCATGAGAGCAGAAACAAGAAAAAGACAACCGGCATTATGCTAAAACGTATCCCAGAAAAAAGACCACCTTAAACGGTCCCGGCTATGCTCAAATCACGGATCTCCTGTAGCACCTCCTCAACCCGGTTATCCAGATCACCGCGAGCATACTGATCTCTCGTCTCTGCGTCAAGGTACTGCTGCACCTGAGCCATGCGCGAGTACGCCTCCGCACAGAAACGCAACTGGATCTTGACGAGAGCTTCGAAGCTGGGGTCGAGGTAAGGCACGCGCAGATCGATGAGCTGGGGCAGTTCGGTGAAGAGCTGCTCGTTCAGCTGCTCGTAGGCCTGCTTGGCCATTTCGGCTTCGCGCTCGGTGCGGGGCAGTTTGGTGACATCCTTGTCGGGCTTTTCGACGAGTCGCTTGACCTTGGCGCGCATCGAGTCGTAGTCCAGGAGCTTGTGGTTTCGTTTCTTGATGCATTCGTTCACGTCGGGGAAGTAGGCGCAGAAGCGGGAGATGGGGTCGAGGACGGTTGTACTATATCAATTAGCGAGAGCTTTGTGATTAAGAACCTTGCATCCATACCGGTAAGGTCCATCCAGAGCCTTGATCGTCTCCGCATCAAGATCCTCCACAGCCGTCTTGTAACTCCGGCTCACACCATCCTTAGTACCAGCGTCCCCATAGAACGCATCAATGGTCTCCGCAATGCGCATCTGCGACGCAGTCATGGCTACTCTCATCAGCGCCATTCACCGGCTTCGGGTATCATGATACTCACCACGCAGAGAATCCAAGTAGCCCTTCGCCTCCTTCTGCAGCCGATTCGACGCAGCCTCCATAGTCCGGTACCGCCTGCATCCCGAATCAGCACGCACACCTCACACGCAATGCAAAGGTAGAAAGCCCATACCGCTCCTCAATCTCATAGTCTCGATCATTCGTGCGTTCGACGTGACCTGTCCGATCCATCAGTACATTCCCCTGCCCGCTGCGGGGTAGCATTCCGCACCAGTCTTCATCATAACCTGCGTCGTAGCGCGGCCGACATTCTTCTTGAACCCTATTCACACTGCGTATTAGCAAGGCCTCTTTCATTGACGAGTACTCGGCGGGGGGTCAAACGGCGTACCTGCCCACGACATGGCTGGATTCGATTCGGATGAGGATTCCTCTTCGAGCGAGTAACGAGCTGACAAGAAACGTAGAATCAAGCCTCTGGATCGGACGCAGATAACTCAAGCAGGAACAGTAAACGGAGTCAAACTCCAGTCGGCGAGGTCTCGGTTCTCAATGTCGCAGTCCAAGGCGGAAACCCGGGAGTCTGCCTTACGGGTGTGGCGGTGCCGGGCTGAGTCAGCGCCGGATGCGGCTACGTCATTAGGGCTGAACACTGCGCGTCTTAATTTACGGTCATTCAGGACAGGGAAAGTTGGTAACCGTAAAACGGGGTCATGAGCTCTGAAATTAAAAACGACTGGGATAATGGCAGAACCTCGGTGCCTTGAGTTATTATTTCCCCTGTGGCTGCGGTTCTGCAGTACTACTCCACCCATGGCATCGCCGAGACGAGAATGGTGGTGCCTAAAGACTGTTGGACCGAGGGACTTGGCAAGGCAAGGCTGCGTGACTAGTGAATTTGATTGTGAATGGGATGGTAATGCGCGGTGTCCGCGGGAATGCAGCAGGGTTGAGTCGATCTCGGTCAGGGCTGACGTGGGAAGGATCAGATACTTCCCAATCATCGATCTTCCGGTTAGAGCAGGTCCGTATCGGATGCCGTCGGCTGGGGTGTGCGGGAGCCACGCATTTCAGACTGATGTCATGCTACGTTAGCACGGAACTTACTCTAGGAAGCGGTGATGGTGGAGGGAGGTGGATGTGGATGGATGTGGATGTGTTTTCTGGTTGATTGAGAAACTGAGAACTGCTATGTACAGAAACGGACGGGTGAAATGTACGGGAACCCAAAGCAGACAAAGTGGTCAGACATCCAGAACAGTACAACCTTACCGCTCATCCCTCATCATAGTATTACAAGCAAAACCCAACGCCGACTCTAACCCAGAAAAAAAAACAGTCATGACTCTTCGTTGAATTGACGTGGAAAACATGACAGACCAAACCAAGAGAGCTAAGATAAACACGGGCTGAAAAGGATATAACAATTGCGCCGAGAAATGAAAAATAAAACAAAAGGGCCTCCCTATCTAGGAGCATTGCAAGGACACAAACATCCTCCTTGAACGGGTCCAATGAGAGATAACCACCCTATGTGTATAACGGGGTAATGAAAGTATCCATCCCCCACCCCAGACCTTTTAGTTTCTCGCCGGTACCGTTTGCAACCCGACTCGATAACCCCAACGAAAATCAGAACCCTTCCTCGCCAGCCTTGCATAGCTTGATCTGGCGCACCCACTCGGACTTGAGGACCTGAGAGGCATTGATGCGGCGAGAGGGGTTAGGGTCCAGGATAGAATAGATCACGTTGCGGCAGCGAGCCTTTAAAATATCAGTTGAAAGTACACTCAAGGCCTCGGTCCTGCTCATGCTTACCCGATGCAGCGTCTCGATCGGCGCGTATCCATCCTCGTGTTTGCGCCCTTCCAGGTAACGCTGATAGAACTCATCTTCGTCCTTGCGGGCTACACGCCATAGATGTCTTCCGGTACGCATAGCCATGTAGATCACGCCGACGGCCCACAGATCTACAGCGCGGGGATCAAATTCCTTCTCGGTGTATTCCTCGGGGGCGATGTAGGGTGCAGAACCACACAGACCGGCGGTCATATGGGCTTCTTTCTCCCAGGCCATACGGAAGCACTCGCCGTTACCGAAGTCGGTGATTTTGAGGGCACCGTGCGTGGTCAACAGCAGATTCTCGGGCTTGAGATCCCGGTGGGCAACGCCCATCTCATGCATGTACTCCACGCCGCGCATCAGCTGCTTGAAGAAGCAGTCTGCTTCGGCAACTTCGAGTTTGCCGGCGGCAAGCACCAGGGTGTACAGATCACCACCGGCACAGTACTCCATGACTTCACAGTAATCGCCCTTGGCATCTTGCAGGAGATCGAGGGTGTGGATGACGTTGGGGTGGCGGAGAGAAGAGGAGATACAGAACTCCGAAGTCAATCGCTTCTGGTATTTCTTGGCAGTCTCTTGAGGACGACGGCGGAACTCCTTGACGGCATACAGCTGCTCACATTTGGAGTCCTGGGGATCGACCTTGTGCGAAATGCGGACGATACCGAAAGCACCACGGCCGACGATCTCCTGGCATTTGCCGTACTTGTCCACCAGGGTTGCCGTGGCATTCGGGCCGCCCTTTTTATCGGCGGCTAACTTGTCGCGTTCGGTTTTAAACTGATCGATCCAGGTCGACATCAGCGACAACTGCGTCTCATCGACCTGATCGTCTCCCTTCTTTCTCCCACCGCCCAGCATGTCTCGGAGGAGGTCGGTTAATTTCTCCTGTCGTCGTGCACTTCGTAGGTTATGGGAGTGGTTGCCCAAGTGCTCTGGGATAAGCTCGAAGCGCTTGTGCACGGTGGCAACGTCTTTCTGATCCTTGCCACCACCAGTCTTCTTCTTGGCACCGGACTCATCTTTCTCTTTGAGAGACGGTTGTCGAGACGGGGTTCGAGTAGAGGGAGGTCTGGAGTTTGCACGAGACGACGGTTTGGAAGACGGTTTGGAAGACGGTTTGTCTTTTCCGTTTCCGTTGACGGTTGACGACTTCTCCTTGCCGTTGGGAGGATGAACACTCTCCAGGCTGCTGTCGGAGAGAGGATCACGGTGAGAATCGACTTCTCTAGTTGGAGTCTGCTTTCCGGTGCCGGAAAACATGCGCGAGAGACGGCTGGCCATCTTGGCTTTCTGAGCTTTCGGGGCCGGGGAGGACGCGGAGGAGAGGGCGTCCCCATTTTGTGGGAGCGCGGACAGATTCATGCCCGCCAGGGCGCGTGTTACCGAAGGGTCTCCATCCCGGTCATGCGAATGTAAGGAATTTGCGGCGGAGGAGACTGCGGACGGAACAGGTGAAGGAGAAGACGGAGTCATGTGCGGTAGTTTTGACGAAGAAAGTTTGGGGAGACTAAAGATCACGTCGTCCCCGGAGAAAGAGGACGAGCGTCGCTCGCACGAAGCTGGAAGCTGTGAAGCTACCAACTGCAACCGGGGCGATAGAACTGGGGGCGAGGTGATGAGAGAAGAGGTGCGGGCGGGAAAAAAGTGGTCGTGGTTGTGGGCGTTTGTGTGGCCTGACTTGTGAGGCAACCAGAGAAAGTGACGACAGCTCAAGTGGTATTTGTAAGAAATGAAAAGAAAAACGCTGCGAGGCGCACGCCGTAAAAACAGGCAGGGCGCTGGGAAAGACCCAGCGTGGGTATGTTGGAACTATATAAGATGCGAAGTAAAAAGAGGAGGAGAAAAAAAAAAGAGTGGTGGCAGAGGGGGATAAATTGGCGATGCTACGGGGGGTGGGCAGGGCGGAACCGGTTGAAATATTAGAATACCACGGGGGAACGTCTGACCCGAGTCTGTTCGTTGTATGGGGAAACGGCGGGATTACTTACGGGGTGATTAATAAGGCTTAGTCGGCGCAGAAGCAGAGAGTCCACAGTGGAAAATGTGGAACTGCAACGTACAGTTCTGTACATTACATACTACAGAGTTACCGCGGTCTTCGGTAGTACAGTATTAACTGATCCGGAGTAATGATACAATGTCTTCCAAGACTTTGCTAAGCAGTCCCCTATACCCGAGTAGGTCCCCTTCTGCCTAGGATGTTACGGATCGATTCCTTTGTGGTGGCGCATGCTCTCCTGCCGCGGGAGGCCAAGGTGAGAGATTTAATGTACACCCGTAATAATAAAATACTAACCGGCCTCTTCGCGGAAGATCCTTGGAACGGACGCTGGGTCTTCCCTCTTCCGTGTTTGCAAGCTAAGGAAGATTAAGCAATTCTCTGCCCCAGTACTCCGTGTCCGAAATTGCCAGGATGATCCCAATGACGTCCCCCCCTCCCCCAACTCAACTTGGAGACACGTACCTGATGCCGTATGGTGTGACGTCGAGGGATTGATGGTTCCTCTTCACTACTTGTTGCTTTGCGCTTTTTACTTTCGTGGTTGTATGAGGCTGTGCACCTTTCGCACCGGCGTGAGCCGGGACCTGATTCGGTTGCGGCCCCGCACCAGCAGCAAGAGCCGATGCGCCGGGTGCGCTGTGTGGCGCTTACTCGAGCACTGAGGGGTTGTTGTGGCATGCGATACCGCTCTTACTTGGTCTATGTACATCCAGTTCGATGCCCTCCGTGTAGTCGTAGCATGTAGAGTGGAGAGCAAGCGATTGAATCACTCTCCGTTTCACTTCTGTACCCAACTACAGACTACTGCAGGCCCGGGCACCTTGAAACATTATCTCCATTGCGCTCAGGACGATCGCCGCAGCACGGGGACAATCATGCACACCTCCCCATCGGGCGGTTCGTGGAGCCCGCGTGGAGTCACAGCCTAGGAGTATGACCCCATCTTGATGCGCGCGGTGTAAGCTCGAGGGCTGCAGCGTCATTCAGATGATCGTTGGCTTTGTCCGACATCGATAAACCAGAACAAGGGCCTATGGCCTATCAGGGCTATCAGCTCTGCACGGGGAGCCTCGGGCTTCACCGTCTATTCCGTGGGAGTGGCTGACGTATCTACGGGCTTTGTTTTCATCTTCAGAATGGGTCAATTACCCCGGATTGTGTGATTGATTGTAGAGTTTATTTACTCGGACGACCTCGGCCGTGCTCACGAACCGAGCACATGCGAAAACGGTTAACGAGAAGAGAAGGCCATGCGTGTGCACTACGAGGCATTTCTTCCTGCCAATGAGGGGGCCCTGGGGAGGGGCTTTTCTCGCTGTGCGATTGATGGAATTTAATTCCCACTGCACATCTCGCGTACAGACATAGACACGATGTTTCGCCCTAAAAGTAGGTGCGTACTTCAATTGGTAGCAGTACAAGAGCACCCGCTGAGCACCCGCTGCTAGATGCCCGAGATGAAGTACATGTACAAAGGCCGTTGCCCCTCAACCCCACCGAACAAGCGTGGGTGATACGCCTAAGGAACCTTTTCCACTGGACCGAGTGCATTCATTGCTGACCGCCAGTTCGGCGGGTTGCATTGCAAGGCAGCAATCTGGTAAAGTTACAGGCTGTGGATTGGCTGTGCGGTGAAGAGCTCGAGATAAGCTGTGGTCCTCAGCTCGACGTGCATAAGCTCGGGCCGTGGCTGGTTACATGGATATAATGCATGCAGGTGGGATGCGCTGAGCAGGTTACAAGCAAGATTCGCATGTCCCCGTACCGTGAACGCCTTCGCTTTCAGCTCCTTTCCAAGATTTCGACTCTCTCTTTGCTGGTTCTTTACTCATTCTCTATCTGGGCTACACCATGCCCGGACCAGATCCTAGAAGCCACGGCATGACCCGTGCATTAGCCCCGGCGGGATCGAAAACTGATGGGTCTTGGCTGCATCAACTGAACTGATTGGACGCCCAGTGTCTCTCGTAGATGATAGTTGGCGCTTTTATTCTTGTGAGACGGCTCAACGTGCAGCCTCGTTCGACACATGCCGAATCAAGCCACATCCTGGGGTCCTATCGATTATAAATGACATGCCGCCTTGGCTTCCGAATTACCCCGCCTCTTCTCCCTTTTCATTTGCGTCGGCGCTCTGTTCTCCGTTCCTGGTCGATATAAAGGAGAGCTATGGTGCAGGTCCGGGATTGTCCCCTCTCAAGGGCGGGCGTGCGCGCCACGTGGGAGCGCGGATTCAACTGAGCGGCCTCGTTTGGGATAGGCGGTGTCGGGCTCAGCTCAAAGGCGTGCCGTCTGGGGAGCGCCATTGCGGTGTATCCCCGGATTTCCAATTCTCTTGAACAGACTGGTAACTTAAGAAATGACCGGTCTGCCTCCCAAGATCACGCTTGGTGGTGCAGCATCAGATGCTGGTGCTTGCCGGTATCACGCTAGAACACGAGTCTGCTAACAATCAGAAACAAGTCAACAAAAAAGAGGCGTAAGACGCCATGATTTCCGGGGTTGAACGAACCACAAACTGTTCCAGGGACTCTTCAAAAAGCTCATTGTTAACACCGATGCCACCGGGGTGCTCGACCGGAGACAGCGGGTTTTTGACGACTATAATCTCACTTAGAACTTGTCTAGATGCAGCCCAGAGTTGCCACAAACCGTATTCCACAAAGAGATTGATATAGATCTGCTGCAGCGCGATGCGCATGCTGGGACTCTTGAGGTCCGTCAGCATGACAAACTTGATATTGGTCGGTGTCTCGTAGTAGTGCAGCTTGTACTGGCTGGTGTTGTATGAAACGAAGCTGAAACCGGGTTGTGGTTAGCCATTGAACCCGAACGTGCCAGGTTGGGGGGCTTACTTGTCCTCTTCCCCACCCAACTTGCGCACCATATTCCGTAGCGAGAAGACCGTTCCAAAAACCAGCTTCGCATCATCATCTCCTGCTTTCACAGTCTGTCCAAGCCCTGCTGGCGCGGCTCCCGGCACCTGGTTGGATTTGCCCACGATCGAGGTTGGGCGAGGTAGCCAGCGGCGCTTGTAGATGCATTCCGCTGGAGAGGGTCAGTTAGGTTCCTTACAGAGTGATGAGACAGCACATACCGTGGCGATCGAAAATATAGAAAGAGTAGACGGTCATGGTGGGCAATGATGACACTCCAAAGTGAGATTGTTGATGTTCAGGGGAGTTGGCACTCGGGCGGTGAACGCGGTCTAATCGATAACAACCAGCGATAAAGGGAAGAAGCTGCCTGATGAGACTTGGGATTTACATTGCATTCTTCTTTTACTCCTATTCGTCTGACTTTGCCTGTAGAAAGCTTTTCCCGTAAGGCTGACGGGCCTGCACCCCCGTTATTTCTAACCCCCGCCTTCTAACTTTCCAACCCCTCTACCCCACACCAACCCAACTCAGAATCTTCCAACAACAATGGACCGCGCCGAGACGTCCCCCAATATCCCTGAGCCCTCGGGCGACTCTATAGATGGTGCGGGTAGTGTACCCCCGCAGCCCATCAGAGTCGAGTAAGCTTCACCGCTATCCTCATTGGAGATCTAGCCTGACGACGCGAACTACGTCCAGCTCGGCCTCATCATTCGATAGTCCACAGAGACATCGTCAACGAAACCCTCGAAGAAGGCGTCCTGTGAAGGTTAGTTTCCTCAATGCCCGTTCATGACAGGCCCGCAACTGATCATGGGACATTAGGAAACGCTGGACGCCCGCTCCGAATATACCACGAGCCAGGACGACGGCTCGGCCGAACACCGCATCAACCAATATGTGATCAGGCAAGAGATCGGGCGAGGATCGTTCGGGGCTGTTCATCTGGCTGCTGATCAGTTTGGCAATGAATATGTATGGAGCGCCCATCGAGATCCACCCGCGAACAATAGTGCTGACTGCACACATGATATGCAAAGGCAGTGAAAGAATTCTCTAAATCGCGATTGAGGAAACGTGCTCAGTCGCATCTTATGCGCCGGCCGCGAGGACCCCAACGACCTGGTACTGGATTCAACTCGCCTCTTCATCGCCATCCCTCGCAAGACGACAATGTGAATGCGAAGAATCCGCTATATCTGATCAAGGAGGAGATTGCGATCATGAAAAAGTTGAATCATAATAACCTGGTCTCGCTGATCGAGGTGCTAGACGATCCGAATGAAGATTCGCTCTATATGGTTATGGAAATGTGCAAGAAGGGAGTTGTGATGAAGATCGGATTGGGAGAAAGGGCCGACCCGTATGACGACGAGCACTGTCGTTGCTGGTTTCGCGATCTGATACTGGGAATTGAATATCTACATGCCCAGGGTATTGTTCATCGAGACATCAAGCCGGATAACTGTCTCGTGACCAGCGACGATGTGCTAAAGGTTGTTGATTTCGGTGTCTCGGAGATGTTCGAGAAGAATTCGAACATGTTCACGGCCAAGTCGGTCGGCTCTCCGGCATTCCTGCCACCAGAGCTTTGCGTTGTGAAGCATGGTGATGTTTCTGGCAAGGCTGCTGATATTTGGTCCATGGGAGTCACTCTATACTGCCTCCGGTATGGGAAGCTTCCATTCGAACAACAAAGCATCTTTGAGTTGTATGAAAGCATTCGGAGTGACCAGGTGGTATGTGAGGATGAGCCGGATGAGGATTTTAAGGATCTGATGAGTCGCATTCTGGAGAAAGATCCAGAGAAGCGCATCAAAATGCGCGACTTGCGGGTCAGTTTGTTCCTTTTGTTGTGTTGGGTGTTTACTGACTTTGTAGGATCATCCATGGGTGACAGGAAACGGCGTTGACCCGCTGCTCCCTTTCGAGGAGAACACGGCCCAGATTGTCGAGCCTCCAACTGAGGAAGAAATGAACCGTGCTATTACGACGAACATGGGTTCTCTGATGACATTGGTACGTGAACCTAATAGTCAATGGGGCTTTGCTAACAAAGGATGCAGATGAAAGCCGCGAAGAAGTTTAAACGGCTGGTCGATCCTTCAAAGGCAGGACAGTCAATACAAAGTATCCTCGGTGACGAATACGAGTCGCATTTCGTTGAACCGCCAATGGAGATGGATGACAGCGAAGACTTTCCCGCTGTTGGACTCGATGCGAATGCTCCAGGCGGTCCCAGTCTAGGCGGTGGTATTCGCAATGCTCTGGGGCGACATCCTATTCTGGGCGCAGGCCGTGAAGGCTCCGGTGCCGAAGGCTCAGGATACAGCGAAGGAAGTTTCTCTTCCCGGCCAGAGTACAGCCCATCCAGCAGCCGATGGCCTAGTGGAGTGTTCGAGCCCGAAAGAAAAGATTCCAGCTCAATACATAGTGGCCGATCAACAGGCAAAGCCGACTTTACGCAAACCCACTCGCAATCTGCATCCCCTCACCCCACATTATCACGAGCCAGTTCAGCAACCACCAAACGAAGCGTGGAAGGAACCCGAGGCCACGCCCGAGACCCACTAGAAGAAGAATTCCCCTTCCTCTTCATCGGCCCATCCACATACACCGGCAGTTCACAAGAACCAAGCGACGACATCGAAAGCGACACAACGCCCATCTTCGCCGAGCCAGAAAGCACAGACGAAGTCGAGCCCGAGCCAATCGTCAGCGAATCACCTGGAGCTGCAGAATTCGATATCTATGAGACTGCCTACCGACAGGAGCTGGAGCGTATTGAATCAGACACGTACCCTGGCGCCGGGCCCAAGGTCTACCTGACACGGAGGGTGCAGAATACCCATGATGTGTTGAAGTTTGTCAAGGACAGAGCGCTGGACCTGCAAGTTGAGCAGAGGAAGTTATTCGATGCGTTTCCACGCAAGGGTCCAGCTGGGTTTAGTGCGGCTGTTAGTCTGTTGCGGAGTCAGATGGATCAGAAGGGATCGGAGGAGGGAGAGCAGGAACAGAGCCCCGAGTCCGAGCAGAGCCAACCTGCCGAACGGCGTGAATCACACCCGCCCTCCTCGTCTCTTTCCTTGCAGTCTCTTCCTGGTCCCGAGGCATCGTTGAACGAGGCGACGGGCACGCCGGGTTCGGAGTCGAATACTGGAGGAGAGGATTCGCTTCGCAGGCTGTTGGGTCGTGCTCGTGATACTTTATAGGTGTGTTGCTCTTGTTAAGTATACCCAGGATGCTTTCTGTACTGGAGATGGGAGGAGACGAGGGGAGGAGAGTGAATACGACGGTTCCACAGCTTGCATTCTCGCTTTTCATTTTCCTTGCATGGTTGCTGCATGTGTGTACCTTTAGCGAGTTGGTCAATCTTACCCGTTTCCTTGTACAAAATAGAGTCCATCGTAGGCTAGATGCCAGCTGAAGAAACTGAAGAATGTCAATAATCTTCTCAGTATACGAAGGACCTTTGTAAACCTGCTTGATCTCCCAGGCTGAGTTCCATGCACGGAAAATGGATCTGGGAGCGGAAGTATTACACGTCTCCCAGGATATAACCTGTACATGTGAGAGACCCCGGATTCGCGGTGTGGGATTTCCAAGGTTGGTTTTGTATCGGTGACTTGCGTATTAGGCTGGGTACCTATTAGTAGGTCTACTAGGGTAAGGTAGCTATCATATATATTACATAGTGGTTTACTTGAATACTGATCGACGAAGCATTTGCGCTGTGTATTATATCTCAGTCCATAATCTTACAAGCGCCATAAGTAGGAAGGAGGCAGGAAAGAAGAAAAAAATGTCAACAAAAAGAAACAAAAACCCAATGTGGGGCAGTCCACATGGTGGGTTGCGACATGTATCCCGTGAACAGTTGGAGATGCACGAAAGGCACACAGAAAGGAATGAGATGATTAAATAATACAAAAGCACGCCAGGTCGGCGGTGAGGATGAAACACAACGCACAAGGCAGAGAGTGAAAAGCATCAGCGAATAAGAAAGGCTCAAAAGGACCACCGCATGCAAGTCATAATTGGGTGCATGTCACATCACGCTATGGCTGAGCAAGCAGAAATTATCAGCAAAAGCTGGAAGCTGGAAAGGTCAATGAAAAAAAAAAAGTAAAAATAAAAAGAAAGGCTGGCAAGATGCAGAGCATCAATTTATAGTCGTAGGCGTAGGCAAAGAGCCATCTTCATCGTGGTCATGGACACATCAGTGCACGATGCTTGTGCTTGTGGTGTATTGTCATAGTGGAAGATAAGTGATGAGTCGAGAAGATCAAGGTGAGCAAGAGCGTGCGTAGAAAGAAAGCAGACGCAAGCAGTATTAAAATAAACAACAATAAACACAGAAACGCTGTCTATTGTTCGTCAGTTCATGGATTCATGAGAAAAAGAAAACAGTCGATCGTAATCGACGTGCATGTGACACATCATTGGGGCGGTTTCTCGCCCGGCGTGGTACTCGTCCGGCCTTCGTACGGCGGTTCACCACGACTAGTCACCGAGTTCCTCCGGCCATCCGGCGAGAAGCGATCCGGAATAGCACTAAAAGAGCCACGCTCACTGGTACTATTCAGACGCGGGGGAAAACTATCCGGCGGACCGAGTTGCAATGCATGTGGTGATGGCAGAGGCATCTCTTGGGGCCGTGGTAGTTCCCGCAGGCCCATGTTCCGGGTTAGCACGTCGCGGCCTTCCGGGGGAACAGGTACAATTGGACGTGCCGTGGGCACGTCGTAGGCCATTACCGGGGGTGGTGGTACTGCGTACGGTGCCGGACCTGCGGGGCTTGATGGCGAGGAGATCTTCAGGCGGCCTGAACCGGAGCGCCGTGGTGGTGGGTAGGGTTCACCACGGGCTTCGGCGGCTGCTTTGCGGCGCTCGGTCTCTGCTTTGCTTGGGCGGCCTCGTTTGCGCGGTGGCTCGCTGGCGGAGACTTCGAATCGTGGTGATAGCTGGGCGGAGCTCTCGCTGCTGTAGGATGCGATGCTGGCTGGTGGCCGGGGCTGAATGGCGCGCGGAGCGAGTGGTTTCTCTGCTGGATATAGTGGTCGCTTGCGTATCGTTGGATCTATGGGAACGGGCGTCCCGGTCGTATCGGGACGAAGAATTGGTGTCGGTGGTGGATGAGATTTTTGTGGTTGTTGCTGTCCCGGTTGGTGCTGCATGTTGAAAAAAGCCATTTTGCACGAGTTGAGCGAACGACCTGTATCGGTTAGTTACGGTGTGTTCGGTCTCGTGAGATATACGGTCGATGTTGACTACCTTGCGGCAGAGGAATATCATCCCAATTGGGATTGATACGGAACTCGTTGATCATGCGAACGAGATGGCTCGACGGGATGCCGGCCTTTTTGAGGATTTCCGTGAGCAGGGCATACTGTCTCGGTCAGTCGTGTGTCGCGTAGGTTCGCGATCAGTCGCAACATTCGCGTATATCGGGGATGGCATACCCTCTCCTCCTCAGTCCACGGTCTATCGGCTGGATTCGACATATCCAGATCAGACCATGGACAAAATCTCCGATATCAAAAACGCAAATTACCACCCGGGTGTCAAATGAAAGTGAAAGGGTGCCACACACGAAAAGTCGACCCTCGAAGCCAGAAAACAAAAACACGCGAGCGAGACAAGGTTCACTCTTAAGTGTCCATATCCCATAGAAGAGAAAGTCAAAAAGAAGGACCGAAATAGCCAAAAAAGCACCAACCCAAATTCAAGGAGTGCAATTGAAGAAAACACGCATCAGCCACACGAAATGGCATCAAAACACAAGGTGCATGTGTCCCGGCTGGAAACGACTGAATGGATTGGCTGGGAAAGAAGCAGCCGGGATCGCGCAGGGAGAGAGAGAGGAAAAGAGGAAAGCTGCAGGGCCTTGGAAAGAATTACGGGGCACTTTCATCATTTCCAGAAATGCCAGATCCCCAAAATTACGGCTAAAAGTACGATATAGTGGGGGGGGCCATGCATCAGGAGGTGTCGTACAGTTCGGAAACGGTTGGCCCTGGCAGGCCCAGAGCCAAGGGACGTCCTGCGGGAAGCAAGTGCTTTTCCCGGGTGGAAACCGTGGAATTAGGAGACATTAGTCCCAAATCGATGCAGGATGGAAAGATTCGGGCCAGTGAGACCGGGTCGGGATGGTTAGCCCAGTCATTCGGGGCCATTCGAGCCAGTGAGACGATGAGGGCCGGTGGGTGAGTGGAGGAGGAGGAGGGGCCCGGGACGTTGGGTTGATTGTGTTTGAAGCTAGGCCCAGGGGCGGTTTAGGGTCGATCCACTCTGCCAGTTGGAATTAGAAGAGAAAGGGGTTCGATCTGGACGGTACGGGCCTAATGCAATGCAGTAGGATTCGCTACGTGCTAGTGTGGAATGAACGTCAATGTACTGCAACGCGGAACTGTAAAGTTAGGTTAAGCTTCGAGGTTTGACACCCGAGGTGACTTCATTCCGGTTCCAATGTACGTTGGACCGTCTTCCTAGATAGGATCTCGGCGGAAGTACTGTACTGTACACCGGCTCCATCACTATAACTGATATCACTGGTAGTATAAGACACCTGGCATCCCCGACAACCCTGCAGACCAGGATAGACTTATCGCGCACAGACGCCGTTTGCATTCTGCATTCTCATCATCACGGCCTGTCCAATCGTTTCCCGCCCGGACTCAATTCTTCCGCGTCTGCAGTCGCTGCCCGTGGACGTGGCCCTGCAGGGGGGCTTTTTGCCAGGTTGGCTCTCGTCCTATCGTTTGGCCGCTCTTGGACTCTCCGTAGATGCATTGCACCGCCTGCTCCGAGCTGTTTTTCCTTCTCCGGCCTCATCTACAACCCTTTCCTACCGGGTTCCGACCCGTAAGTGCTGTCGTCGTTCTCTGTCTACCTCCTAACTTTAAGGTCCCTTAGGGAGGCAGGGTGATGAGTGCAGATTCACTATAACTGCTCGGACAATGCTAGACGTTCAGGTGCTGTCCAAATGATCTCAGTTCGCGATCAGACCGAGTATCAAATACAGCCTGGGTCGTGGCCATGAACAGGACATCTCCTTCGTTCACCTTGACGGTTTGACACGTCAATTATACTCCACCCTACTCTACTCTACATTACACCGTGCTTCATACTTCATGCTTCGTGCTTCGTGCTTCCTGCTTGGCTTCTGCACCAACTGGACAGAACGCGGCGCGGGCGGTGAGAGCGCGCCTCAGTTTAGGATTATCTCAATCAAGTCTGCTTTCTCCCTTCCTTCGCCCTCTACCTTTCTTTACTTTCTGTGCATTCTCTATCCTCGTAGTCCGTGTCGTCATGTCTGCCCATGGCAGCGCGGACTCGCATGACCCCGAGGCAGCCTTGCATTCGCCGGTCAACGGCGACACCAAAAATGGCCTCCCCGCGGCATCCTCTCGCTCTCCCGACCTGAAATCCCCCGGCACCGATCACAGCATGAAGGAAGAACAGGAGACCGTCGGCGGTGACATCGTTGTCAAGCAGGAGCCTGGGCAGCCGCCCAAGCTCTCGCGCACCTCCTCCCAGAAAGTCGTGTCTCGACCGCCGCAGCTCTGGTCTCACCTGCCAGACAGCACCGCCGACGCGTTGGCCTCCTTTGAACAGATCGAGGCCTGTTGGTACGCCAACAAGTACATGGGCTACACCGAGCATGCCATGGAGTGTGACTGCGCTGAAGAGTGGGGTAGGTCTCTTGTCACTTTTCCCCTTATCCCTGCGCCGAGATTTCGCCGGGCTTCTCTGTTGACGGCGCTAATTAATGACATGTAGAACCCGAAATTAAGCAGAATCTGGCATGTGGTGAAGACTCCGATTGTATCAATCGAGCGACCAAGATCGAGTGCGTGGGCGACTGCGGCTGCGGCGCGGACTGCCGGAATCAGCGGTTCCAGAAGAAACAATATGCGGATGTATCGGTCATCAAAACGGATAAGAAAGGATACGGTCTACGGGCGGAAACGAATCTTGACCCGCACCAGTTGATCTTCGAGTATGTTGGGGAGGTGGTGGGAGAGGCTCAGTTCCGGCGTCGGATGAGACAGTACGACGAAGAGGGCATCAAACACTTTTACTTCATGTCTCTGAACAAAGGCGAGTTCGTGGATGCGACGAAGCGAGGGAATCTAGGTCGATTCTGCAATCATTCGTGCAACCCCAATTGTTATGTCGACAAGTGGGTGGTGGGTGAGAAGCTGCGCATGGGTATCTTCGCCGAGCGTGCGGTCCAGGCGGGCGAGGAACTGGTGTTCAACTACAACGTGGATCGATATGGTGCGGACCCCCAACCCTGCTACTGTGGGGAGCCCAACTGCACCGGATTCATCGGTGGGCGCACCCAGACCGAGCGTGCCACCAAGCTCTCGAACGCGACGATCGAGGCTCTCGGTATTGATGACTCCGAAGGCTGGGATACTGTCGTGGCGCGCCGTCCCAAGAAGAAGAAGACCGAGGAGGACGACGAGGAGTATGTGGACAGTGTGCAGCCCAAGTCCCTGGATGAGGATGGCGTGACCAAGGTCATGGCAGCTCTCATGCAGTGCCAGGAGAAGTGGATCGCCGTCAAGCTTCTGGGACGTATCCAGCGCTGCGAGGACGAAAGAGTGCGGAACCGCGTCGTGAAGATGCACGGTTATCAAATCCTCAACTCGCAACTGGCGATGTGGAAGGAAGATCAGAACGTGGTGCTGCAGATCTTGGACATCCTGGATAAGTTCCCGCGGCTCACGCGGAATAAGATCAACGACTCCAAGATCGAGTCGAAGATCCAGCCTTTGACTACCAGCGAGGACGAGCGCGTGGCAAAGAAGGCCGTCGCTCTGCTGGAGAGCTGGGCCAACTTGGAGCTGGGATATCGGATTCCTCGCATGAAGCCTGGCGACCAGCCCAAGCAACACAATCCCTTCGAGCGTCGCGATCCTGGACGCGAACATCAACGCTCTGTCGTACGTTCTCCCTCGCCTACATACGAACCTCCACGTGGTCCACCGCAGCAGCGGTCTCGCAACCGCCAACAACAGCACCCTCGGGACCGACAATCGAACCGCCGCGGTCGCCAACAGCCTTTGTCGCAACAGCCTTTGCCGGAGGGATGGTTCTTGGCAGAGGCCAATGGTAAAACCTACTACTACACGGCCAAGGGCGACACCACATGGGATAGACCGACTGCCCCTGCAACACCCGCTGAGCCTCAGGTCACCAAGAAGAGCAAAGGGTTACAAGATATCATCGACAATATCATCAATGCGAGTGCACAAGAAAAGACCCCCTCTGAGCAAAAGACCGAAACACCCGACACACCACAACCGTCCGAGCAACCGGAGAAGAAGAAAAAGGAGCATGACTGGTGGAAGAAGCTGTCCCTGGAGAAGCAGATGAAGGTCTATGAGAATACAGTAAGCCGAATCTGCCGATACCGAACACAGCTGGAAATAAGCTGACAAGCCAGTTACACCCTCACATCAAGTCTGTCGTCGACCAATACAAACACAAAATCCCCAAAGACCATCTGAAACGGTTTGCCAAAGACGTACGCCTCCCTTGCTCTTCTTGAGTTGAACAACGCTAACGACCAACAGACAGCCAAGAAGCTCGTTGACGGCGACTACAAAAAGAACCGCGTAACCGATCCCACCCAGATCAGCGAGAAACACCAACAAACAGTCAAAAGCTACTGCAAATCCTTCTTCGACAAAGCTGCAGCCAAGCAAAAAGAACGCGAGAAGCGCAAGGCCGCGAAGCAGGATGGCGCGACCAACGGGCCCGACCAAGAGGTCAAAATGTCCGACGACGAGGCCGAGCCAGGCTCCACCGAACCTACCTCCACCTCACCCTTGGACGAGGACGTAACGCTCAAACGAAAGCGCGAAGAAGAGCAGCTCCAACCCAACGGCGACGGAGGTAGCTCTCCTTCCAAACGACAAAAGTCCACCCCTCCTCCACCTCCACCTCCACCCTCGGACTCGGGCCCGGAGTCTGAGTCCAGAGATCAAGAAGCAGATGATCCCTCACCTCCACCCGCACCACCTCCCCCTCAGGAGTCACCCGGCTACGACGTGGAGATGGATATGAAACCATCGCAATCGCAGATGGGGATCGAGGGGAAAGTATAGTCTACGACAAGTCTTTTTATTGCCTTTTATCAATTGGAGAATGGAATATTGGCGGATGAAGCGAAGAGAAGAAAAGACCAGACTCAAGATGAGGGGGGAAAGGTGCATATCTCCGGCTCGGGGGAGCGTTGAGCTTTTGATTTCTGACTTGTATTTTTGAACCATAACCCAATACCCCGATCGACAGTTACAATCATGGAGTTGGACTTGACCGTTGTACCTCAAACGAGTTTGCAGATCTGGTATAAAGTGTAGGCACCGAGTATACCATAAGAACGTACTTTCAATATCAACATCTCCATCTCCATCTATAACACTACGAGAGTCAAAAACCAATCTCAGTCATCAAATCATTGCCAGATTCCATAAAATGCAATCCCAACACTGAAAATCAAGCCTCGTAAAGCATATCAAACCCATAACATGAAAAGAAAAAAAAATTTGAAAAAGCCATCGTTCCACCCTTCCACCTTCAAAACCACAACCACCCGAGAAAACCACAAATCCCCAAGTCTAATAGAAACTCTCAACGATACTCTCCTTATTAACACCAGCACCCTGTCCACCAGGAGCCATCTCACCCAACCTAAACACACTCTCCACAACACTCAACTCCGTCGCCGTCGTATCCAGCCCCGTAATCGCAAGCCAGTCATTAACGACCATACCCGCGCCAACAACAGCACTACCGCGATTCACAGACCCCGCGACAAGCGGCACCTGCAGCAGCGAGCTCAACTCGTCCTGGTCCCGCACCGAGGTCTTGGGATGCACGATTCCTCCCTGGTTCGACAGCGCCATGTACGAGCCCGTCAGCACGTTGTCGGCTACCGTTTGCCGGAATACTTCGACGCCCAGGACATCCGCGATGATCTCTTCCGTCTCGCGCTCCAGGTCCGGGTGCACGATCGCCACGTGGTCGTTGCAGCAGATTACGTTGCCGAGCGCCGACAGCCGCTCTTCGATGCGTTGGATTTTTACGCTGTCCGGTAGCGTGTTGCGGAGGTGTTGGAGTTCTTGGTCCGTTGTCGTTGTTGGCACGAGGAGGCCGTTTTTGTTTCTGGAGTGTTGTTAGTTTGGTTTGGAGAAGTCAAGTGGAGGAGAGGGGTTGGGTTGGGTTGGGATGTGATTGGGATGGATTGGAAAGTCTCTTACCCGACCGTTAACCGACCGACGATACGTGTGCCGGCGATGGTGGCATGGCAGATGGGGATAATATCCTGCAGCTCAGACTCAAAGACACTAGTCGCTGTCAGTATCAATTTTTTTTCTGTCCGAGGCTTTTTTTCTTCCGGCTCGGTACACACCTGTAGAAGTTCTCAGAGCCACCGACTGCGACGATAGCGTAGGAATTGGTCAGGCGGGAGAAGACTCCAACTCTGTAAAACAGTCGGAATTAGTTCTGGTTCTGGGGTTCTCGGTCCTGAGTAGAGGTTGGCTTACTCGTTGGAGTTCTCGAATTGCGCGCGCACAGCCATGCTGGAGTGTCCGGTAGTAACGGTCTCGGTCGGGGGTATCACGGTAATGGGATGGAGCGCACTGAATATGTGCGCGAGGGAAAAAAAGAATCAAGGGTTCAGCAAGTTGAATGCTGAGGTGGTGATGCTCGGTCTTTTAAGTGCAAGTGGGATGAAGGTGAAAAAGAGCAAAAGCTCGCGCCAATCAGAGAGCGTGGATCGGATGCCCCGCTGGAGTGGGTCGGAAAAGAGTGACTTTGTACCGGTACTTCGCTTTGGCGGTATAATGTACGGTAGATTATGTATCGGTACTTGCTTACTTTTTGACTCATCCTGTCTCATGTTGACGGTGGATCCATCGCTTTGCCTGGTGGCTGAGTTCGAGGCTATGTGGACTACTGCATGCACGTTGAATGAAGACTGCTATTGCTAGTCTCAACACTAGGTATCTGGGACCGGTTGATCCCCCATGACACATCCCCCAAATGGGGACAAAACGCCGACGCTGAAGGACGAGAAAAGTAAAGTACATCAGAGGGAATCAGTGCACATCATCGGCTTTCCCTCGTCCGATGATCTTGTAATGGTACAGTTTTTTGCTGCGAGCTGCAGTTGAGGGCTCGCGGGTTTAGCGGATGCTAAGGTGGTGTACACTTTAGTATCGACGAGGCGGAGGAGGCGGAGGCCCATGTCCATGCCCATGCGGCGATGGGAAGTACATAGAGGGCGGGCCTGGGGGTCCCGGGGGTCCTGGGTGCCCCGGAGGTGGAAGGTAGTTGGGAAGAGGCAGACTTCGGAAGTTCGAGCCCGGGGGCGGCGGTAGCTGCGGGGGTCCGTTCATGGCGAACGGGTCCGGCAGGCCGAGTTGCTGGCGTGCCGGGAGGAGATGACGAGGCTGCGAGAGAATCGGGGAAGGTCGAGGAAGAATGAAGGATCGGGGATCGGTGGGGCCATGCGCCGCCATGCCGGATGGCGGAGGTGGGTGCGGGACCTGAGATGGCGTGGGGAGGAGCGTACGGTGGGGGTGTTGCATATTAGGATCGGTGGTGCGCATCTGTGGGAGATGCGGTGTGGGTGGCTCGGCAAGTGCAGTGTCTGCCAGCATGGAGAGAGCCTTGGGTGAGGCGTCTTGTGATGCCTTCCTGCTTTCTTGGTCGTGAATAACTTGTACGGCGTGTAAGAGACTCTCCAAAGATCGTTCGATCTGCTCCTGTACTGCTGCGTCTACGGTTGCATCCAGAGCGCGCATCTGTGGGTTCAAATCTTCGCCCAGTTGGACCTTCTTGATAAAGTCCTCCCACATCTTGTCGCCGCGTTCGTGCGCAGCTGCGCCGTCGGGGTTGCGAACAGCTTCTGCAACGTACCCGCGCTCGACCTCTCTGATACCAGCCTTGCCGATTCTGAAAAGGTATTGCGGCTCCTCGCCATCGCGATCGGAACCATCAGTCTGGAAAAGGTTAGTTGAGATATCCACTCAAAGCTTGTCTTGATGTCGTGCTCACCTCTGTATGTTCATCATCTTCGGCTGCCTGACGGCCCACGACCAGCTCCATGTATTTGCCACGGGCTGCATGGAACATCTCCTGTTTGATTTCTCCGATTTGCTCCTGAGAACGGTTAGATAAGTCTGGCACGGCAGACGAGAAAGAGCTCACCCTCGCTCGCTCCTTAATATTGTAGATCTCCCCCACGTAGACCTTCTCCGCAGTATCGACCTTCAAGTCGTAGTCCTCACGGAACCGACCCAGCGCCTTGCGCTCATATTCGGCAAGTTCCTTCTGGATCTCTACAAACTCCGGGCATTCCTTGTGCGCAAATTTGTCCCGCGCGATCTTCGTCATGGAATGATCAGCAAGCACACTGAGTGCAATTTGCTGTGCCTGTCCAACCTTCTTGAACAGTGATGCAAGTTCATCCTGTCGATCTTTGATCGGCTGGGTAAGTAGAATAGGTGAAGGGGATCGTCGGCGACTCTCGCTATCCCAGATCTCGTCTTCGATTCTCTTGCCGCCGCGTCGAAGTGCGGTTGCTGATGCGCGTGCCCGGCCTCGGCCACGACCGCGTGCGCGAACCACCGTCGATCGAATGGGTCCGATGGCACCTCCTCGGCTGCCGCGTCCACGTCCTCGACCTCGACCACGTCCACGCCAGCCACCACGACTTCCGCGTCCTCGGCCTCGGCCTCGGGCGGGAGCAACTACTGGGGCAATATCTGCAACGAGTGCGTCGACCGTGTTGTCAGACTGAGACTCGGTTCCATTGCCGTTCTGCAGGGCACTGTCGGGAGTAGGTTCGGCCTCCTCTTCAATCTTGGGCTTTTTGTGGGCGATTTCCGAGATACCGAAAGATTCCGAATCTTGGCTTTCATCCTTCATTTCGATGGACTTGCGTTTGCGTGACAAGCGCGGAGAGAACATTCCACGAGGTGATTCGTCAGTAACAGGACTGTCATGATTGTAGGCTGCAGAGCCGGAATCAGCCATCTCGTGATCTTCTTCGGTTTGATCTCTGTCAGATTGATGCTGGGATGCAGGCTCAGGAGTGTGAGAGGCATTCTTGATGCGATGCTGCGGCTCGAAATCTTCGTCCTGGCTCTCCTTATGAGGCGAGTAGCCGTCATCCTCGCTGGCATCGGCATCGACGGATTTACTGGGAGTGTCGGATGCCATGTCAGAAGGCATCAGACGAATGGACTGCCGAGTAGTCCGCGATGATTCGGGAACAGCCATGGCCCTCTTAGATCGGCGCACACGAGGCGTCTCGGGATTTTGAGAGTCCTCAGGAGTGCTTGAGGAAGGGGAGGTATCGCCATCCTCAGTGAAATCGCCCGACGCACTTTGCAAAGTGCGAAGAGCAGGAGCTCCTACTCGGAACTTGATGATGTGCGAACGCACTTCAGGTTGGCCGGGTGGCGGGCTCTCTTCAGTAGTAACACGCCCTGGCATACTGGCTCTGCGAGTCCAGTGATTAGCCCAGCGGCCCCTCCCCCGGCCACGACCACGACCACGACCGCGGCCTCGGCCGCGTGTGGGAGTGGGAGTAGTTACAGCATCTAATAAAAAATCAGTAATTGAAATGAGACATTTTACGGGGAATGAAAATACCAGCTGCATTGCGCGAGGATCGCGTGGCCGGACTGGAGTGAATGGCAGGCCCTGCGGTGGCTCGGCGGCCTCTTCTACCCACCATCGCTGTCGTCTTTGCGGAGTCAGTCAAACAGATAAAAAAGGACGGAAGGGGAAGTAATTCCCAGTCAAGACACGAGAAAATCAATTATGAAATGCGCCGTGGGGACATGGGAGATGAAATGGACAAGGGGTGGATGAAACTGACGAAAAAACACGACTGCGATGCGAAGAGATGGGGAAAAGAGGAGGGGATGGAAAAATGCAATGAGGACAATGTCTTGCGATGAGGCAATCGCCTCATCGAGAAATGGGAATGGGGGAAATGGCAGAAGTAACAGACAGTATGGTAGAGGGACACGCGATCCACACGGAAGTAGGGACGTTTGGACAGGGGCGCAATGAAAAACAAGACCCGGGAAGAATCGGGCGGGAAGAGGGATTGGAGGAATCGGATGGAGTGGAAAAGATACAACGGGAATGAAACTAACCTTTGGCAAGATGCCGCGATGGGGATGGGCGATGACGGTCAAGATTGAGAAGAGGTAAAAGAAGTTGGGTGGAAAGGATCTACTCGGGGCGCAGGATTTGACTGGAGCCCCGGGTGGAGTGGCGCGCGAATGGGATGGGACGCAAGGGCAGCAATGACGATGCGTGGAAATGATCTAGTAAAGAAAGTAGGACGGTAGGAAAGGAGGAAAGTAGAAAGCAGAAAGCAGAAAGTAGAATAGAGAAAGAAAAGGAATCGGAAGGGGAGGGGGGGGGGGGGGGGGGGGAAGATGAGTAGAGACTGGAATAGAAGAATAGAGGAAGATTACAAGGTGGTCGGTGATTTTTCCCGCGCGTCTACGTTGGCCCGCCCCCATGACTACCAGGCACTTGACTGGTTCCTATGGTCATGTCGACCGTCTATTGATTTCATTCTCCATTGATTCTATCTTGTTCATACCGACAATACCTCCCGGTCACTACCTACCCCAGGCATCCCGATCCGCTTGAGTTCGCGACGAACGCGGCCATGTCCCAACACAGCGGCCCATTGACCCGAGCCTATTATACGAGTCACACTCGGCAATCAGCACTCGACTCGCTCTCTAGCTCTTACTGTAGCGTTCAATACCGATTCAGCTCCTCTATAATCAAAAGGCACTTCATGTATAAAATTGCAATCCATAATCCCATCCCATGATATTTACATCAACGCCTATCTTTGTACAAACATCGTTACAGGTAAAACGAATGTTAAAAAACAATGAAAAATAAAAGTCAAAGTCACTTCTCCTCGGGCGATTCATTCAAGTCATATCTCTTCTCGTATTGCGAAGCGCCCCGCCGTACATAGCTCAACCACAACCCGGCACCCGAGTTCTGGCGCACGAGCTCGGGCCTACTCTCAGGTAGCGGCGAGGGGGTGCGCATATTCTGCTCACGCAGGGAACGCGCGGATCGCATGCGCGTTAATGTGTTCTTGGTAATTGTCTGGCCGGCAGACGGTGAGCCTTTTACCGTTGTACCCGGTGTGGGTGTGGGCGATGGTGAAGGACTGTTGGACCGGAAGAGCGGGTGGATATTGTGTTCGCGGCTCTCGGCTAAGTTAAAAGTTGATTGGGATGGAGATTCCAGGTTGAAGGTGCTTGCTGTTGGGGATGGGCTGACGAGGTTGTCGAGCGATTGTTGAACTCGGGGCTCCTGTCGGAGGCTGGGCATACTGCGGATGCTGTCTTTGCCTCGGAGGAGTGGGCGAGTGTCTCCATTGAATAGGTTGGGCATGTGGTCTTGAGTGGGCGATGGCTCCGGTGAGGAGATTGAAGAGCTCGTTTCGAACGAGTTATTCTTGGCATCTTCGGAGTTTTGGAGACAGAGTGTTCCACCCGAGTACCGGTTAGATCGTCGAGGGAATTTGCGGAGAGATGATCGTCTGGTGTCAAATCCTGCGACTCCGGAGTGAGGGTCGTAGTGTGGTGAAGGAGGAGTGATTGAGATCGGGCTCTCGGGAAGTGTTTTGAGCTCCTGGGAGAACGACCGCGGCCAGGTTGGGTCGGGCTTCTTCTGTGCCAATTGCACTAGAAGATATCCATAGTACAAGCCTTGCATCAGGAACGAGATAGCCCAAAAGACCGAACGGGCGATCCACAGACCCGAAGGCGAGGCCAGGTTGGTCGCCATGGTCCCTGCAGAAGATACATCGGCGACGAGGAGGTATACACCAGTTAAACCAAACACTCCCACTTTCCAGACCGGCCATTGACCATTTCCTCGAATATCCTTATGCAAGAGAATGCTCAGACCAATCAATGCTACACAGCTGATAGCACCGAGGCTGATGGGAGCGAGTCCGGTAGTGTGCGAGGATAAAGACAGCAAGGTAGCATAAGCCATGCCACTAACAATCGTGGAAATCAAAGTCGAAAAGACGGCGGCCGCTGCCAGACAGTAAAACATGACGGTAACCATTTTTAGAGAGTGAACGTGAAAGAGCGGAGGTAGCTCGACACACAATAAAGAACGAGTTGATATCAAGCTACTCCACGCTAAATGAATGCGTCCACGGGGGGGGAGCAAAATGTCTATGGATCTCGAAAAAAAAAATCGAATGCAGGTATAGGGGGCAGCACCCATATTTATGAGCATAGTTAACGTGGGCCGCCAGCGGGACGGGGCGAAGAGAGCAGCGTGGCTTAAAGTGTATATCAAGCCGTGTTAACATGTCATATTTCTGTAGACATGTGTAGAGCAGATCTGATCCGTCAACCCGGGGAAGTGGTTAGAATCTGGGGCAGATCGGGTGAATCGAGAGGGTCCGGCACAGAAACTACTTGGGGCTACTGTATGTCAGGAATTGATGCGTCGTAATGCAGGTGTACAAGTCCACGGGTGGAGAACGAGCTGTCTGCAGATAAATCCCCGGGAAGTAGATGGCCAGGCCCTGTTCTTTCCATAGTGCTGTTAATCGAGCCGCTAACAAGAAACTATCTATCTGATCTATCAAGAGTAGAAGAACTGATCGCCCGTCCGATCTCCGTGCCGCTGAATGTGATACGTCGCCCCGGTAAAGTCATCTGCGTTCCCCTGGGCTCTCTTGTCTACGTGTGCTGAATGCAGTTCGCAATTCGCCTTTCTAAAGTACGTAGAGGATCCACAGGGGGTGGCTTTGGGTAACCGAGGACCAGGTCCACGGAGGACATAGATACAAGGGTCTTAATCCTGGTGGAGACTGCCAATCGGATCTCATATAATGGCAGGCGAGAGTTCCGGGGAGACCATTGTCATTTGTCAACCTGGTATGTGCGAAGTCCCGGCTGTGGATTCCTCATAAGCAATGCTGTCCCATGTTGTCGGTCTTGTCCGTTCCCATGTCTGATCGAGCTGCTGCATTGCAACCTCAGCGCGGATACGCTATTAGCAAAGCTAGCCCATAATGTCTTTAATTGAGTACAAAAGCGAGTTCTGGTGTGCAGATCTTCATTCTTTGCCCCTGGAAAAGAGTCCCTGTCTTTCAACATCGATGACTTGCGGACGCCGGTGCAATGACGACAGCACACAAGAACAGATGAAAACAGGCGGAATAATACAGGTTTGGCATCCCTGCTGATAAATTAGTCGCTATTCTTAGAGTAGTTAGGGATGATTATTCATATAACTTCGTACAAGGAGGTAACTAACAGGATACCGCAGAATGAAGACCTTTGGTCATTAACAGTGCGGGGCGGTGAGGCAAACAACCCGCCTCAGGCATCTCGTTTGCTGCATCATCGTCACTTCTGCTCGGCGCCCCTCTTGATCCTTGATCCTCCTCTTTATAACTCTACCCTCTCTTCCATCTCGCCATCTCTTATCTACCGCCCTCTATCCAGATCTCCCCGGCGGCACTCGGCAAAATGAAGCTCACATTCAAGGTCCGTCATCCTGGCACCGCGGTCCTCAACGCCCTGGACCTTTTGTGTCAGACTGAAACCGCTGACATCGGCTTTTTGTTATACAGGATCTGAAGCAGGAAAAGTTCGTGATCGATGTCGAGCCATCTGAAACTGTATGTGATGATTATACCGTTGAAATAAACCTCAACGCCACTCGGTGCGGGGCTGATCAATTTTGTGCCGCAGGTTCGAGAAGTCAAGGCAAAGATTGCTCAGGAGAAGGGCGAATATGATGCGGAGCGAATGAAGGTCATCTACTCTGGTGTGTAGTCCGAAAATATCAAGATGGGGAGCTTTTTCCGAGGAGCTGCAACTAACCCGTTTTCTGGCAACAGGCAAGATTTTGCAGGACGACAAGACGGTCGAGTCCTATAGCATCCAAGAGAAGGATTTCCTGGTCTGCTTGCCTGCCAAGGTACGAAGCGTCATGCTACAAAGTTCACGAAAGGATACTCATCGAACCAGGGACCGAAGCCCGCCGCCTCTGCCTCTCGGGCTCCCTCCACTCCGGCTGCCAGAGCCCCCGCGTCGACCCCCGCTGCCCCTGCCCCTGCTGCTCCTGCCCCTGCCCCAGCTTCGACTCAAGCTGTTCCTGCGACGCCGACCCCGGCTGGCGCCGGCGACCAGGCCGCTTTCAACGACCCCTCCGCGTTGACTATGGGCACCGATGCCGAGAGTGCAATCAGCCAGATGGAGACCATGGGATTCGCCAGAGCCGATGCTGAGCGTGCTATGAGAGCTGCATTCTTCAACCCGGACCGTGCGATTGAATATCTTCTCACTGTAAATTTTTCCAACACCTTCACAACTGTTTTTTTTTTCTTTTTTCTAACATTCGCTAGGGTATCCCCGAACAACCCGCTCGGGAGCCACAACAACAGCAGCAGCCCCAGGCACACGGCTCCCCCTCTGAAGCCGATGATGACGGTGCTGCTGCTGCCGCCGCCGCCGCCGCGCTGGGTGAAGATGGCGGTTTCAACATGTTTGAAGCCGCTGCTCAGGCCGGTGAGGGTGGCGGCCGCGGTGGTGGTCGTGGAGGTGAGCCTCTTGGTAACCTGGACTTCCTGCGCAGCAACCCCCACTTCCAGCAGCTCCGTCAGCTCGTCCAGCAGCAACCCCACATGTTGGAGCCCATTCTGCAACAGGTTGCAGCTGGTAACCCCCAGATTGCCGCGATGATCGGACAGAACTCGGAGCAGTTCCTGCAGCTGTTGAGTGAGGATCTCGGTGAGGACGAGGAGGGCCAGCTGCCCCCGGGCACGCAAGCCATCTCAGTCACAGAGGAGGAGCGGGACGCGATCGAGCGTGTAAGTCTCCTGTTCCCTAACCCAGCCCTTATTTTCAATACTAACAACCCCTTAGCTGTGCCGTCTAGGCTTCCCCCGGGACTCCGTTATCCAAGCATACTTCGCTTGCGATAAGAACGAAGAGCTCGCCGCCAATTTCCTCTTCGACCAGCCCGACGACGACGAGGAGTAAACGTGAACGCACTTTCTTCTTCTTTTCTTTTATGTTCTGATGAATACCAATCATGCTGCTTTTCCCGGCAGAAACCCCACTTCCCCCTCTGTTTTCTTGATCCCGATCACCCTCGGTGTCTTCTTGCTGGGCATGGATGCCATTGCATCTGGCTGTCCGGCTCTTCTACCCTCCTCGAAACGACTTGTCATGTATTTACCTTAATGGGCAAAATGGGACGTTTTCGCTGTGGTTTTGCAGGTGATTAGGTGTAGATTATTTATCATTCTCCGCTTCTTGGTCAACGAGATACCCCGGACGCTTTGGTGAGTGGCGGGTGTAGATTCGGTACTGGTCCGTGCGCTGTCTGGTGCTTGGAATCATGAGATCCTAACCCGTGAGCGAGTGATCTATCGATCGTTCTTGTAGATAATCTCGCTAGTTACTTGGCATGCTTATCTACTATTTCAACTTGAACTTTGAAAAGTGCCGAGAATTTTCCGAATAATCCACAGGTGATCCGAGGTTCTATATCGGTTCATCTACATGTACATTGGGAGGGTTACGGCCATACTTGCTTTAGAATATTCCATTGCATTATGTTACCTTTGAAGGTTCACCCGAGGATATGTAATTCTAAGTGAGAATGTCGATATTATCCATTCTCTTATCTATGTCAAGTCCACGCGGGCGAAAAGTAACTTTGTCCCGATATATTTCCTGCACTAGTCCCAGGGTCATCAGGACCACCACCCCACCAACAAATGAGCATAAAATATTGACCCTACCTACTTAATTCTATCTAGGTAGAAAATAAAAAGAAACCAGAAATATCATAAAATTACATGAGACATAAGCTTGGAACATTGCGAATTAAAGTCGAAGTACATGGCACGTGAAATCCCGTCTAAGCTCATTTCACCCATCCAGATGGGCTAAAGAATGCTATGTATCTCAAAAATATAACCCTGAAAGATAGAAAAGGGTATCATTATATCAACCAAGATCCAAATGAAAAAGTAGTACAGGGCCAAATGCCAATCCAGAAAAGAATGTTTTGACGGAGCCTATGCTCACTTGCACGCGCGTCGTACAGACCACACGCCCAGGCCGCGGCGGCCTACCACTCTGCTCAAAGTCTGGAAAACACCGTCGTCGCCAAAGTCGAGGTCATCCAGGTTGAGATGTTTGCGGTGTGTCCAGAGGCGGTAGAGTTGGAGGTTTGGAGTGTGGGGTGTGGCGGGGGTGGAGGGGGAGGTGTATTCGTCCAGGAATGAAGCTGACGTGGGCGCGACCAGGAAGACCGGTGAAGTGACGGCGCAGCGTGGGACGGCCTTGTCTAAAATCTGGATCAATTCTAGCCCCGGCATGCCCATCAGATCGAAAGTGTCGATTTGGGTCGTATTGCTGTCTGGACCGAGCAGCCACTGAGGCGGGGAATATGTTTTCCACCAGAAGACGCTGGCGTCGGGCATGGATTTAATGCCTTGTGCTGCGGTATTGGACTCGACGATGCTGCGCATTGCGAGTTGGGCAGGAACGATCCCGCCTTGGTGGTAGACGCCCATTAGGAAGCCCATGAATGCGTTGAAAATTATCCATGCGGTCAGGAAGACTCGCGAACGGTGCATTCGCATGCAGCTTAGGAGGAGAGGTACGCATGGCAGGAGGAAGCGCGGTTCTTGGTGGGGGAAGATGGAGAGGATGAAGGTTGCTGACACGGCAGAGAGGGCGCGCGCGTTGCGCATCCAGCTTGGCACGATTGGCCAGCTGAAGAGGGAGAGAATCATGGCGATGTAGGCGGGGCCTAGGAGCTGGAAGAGGTTTGCTAGGAAGTGTTGGTGGTGTGGGTGGAGGCCATGGACTGCGAGGTTGGATGCGTCGGTGTTGTAGAGGATGTTATTTAAAGGGGTGATGATTGGGTTGCGGATGTTCTCAAGGAAGGAGGAGGAGGGTCTGTAGAAGGCCGTGTCGGTGTATATTGCTATTGAAGCGAAGAGGGCGCCAAAGCCGACAAAGGCCGCGAAGGACGTTGGTCTGGTTTGAATATTCATTAGTACATGCGCCTTCGAACTGAGAAGACAGGAGGATTCTCACCTGCGCAAAAAGTACGGGACTAATTGCAGCCCAGGGAAGAGGAGAAAGGCAGGGAATGTAATGCGATTAAAGACCCCGGCGACGGTGATAAACGAGAGCACGGCATACGAAAAGAACGACGATCGTTGCTGCAGCAAGTCAGTTGGACAACTCCTCGCGTAGCTGCATAAAACGGAACGGACCTTGCTCTCAACAATGCGACGAATCAGAACCAGCCCCCAGGCCACCAACAGCGTCTCGAGGGAGTTGGAGAAAGTGTGCGTCTGATATGTCCAGGTGACATATGACGAGGCAACCAGGACCACTGTCGCACGACGGTAGCGCGGGGACGGCACCAGCTCATACACGGCCCAGTCCTCCAGCACAAAGCTCAGCAGGAACATTCCCCCGCGCAGAACGTAGTATACCAGCTGTGGCGGTGGATTGCCTGACCCAATCTCCATGTAGAACCATTTCAGCAGGCTCATCGGTAGGTCGTAGGTTGGCCATAATGGGAAAATGCTGCGGATGGGCCGGTCGGAGGTGAATTCCCAAGGAAGTCTAGAGGGATAGGAAAAGATGCGGCCTGGTTGTGGTCGTGTTAGCTGGTTGGTAGGATGAGGCTGTCGCGACATCCGCGACGATCCATGGGCTGTCGCGGCGCGCGCTACGGGCAATCGCCAAGAAAGAAAGCCAAGCGCGACGAAAAAAAGCGCGTCGCAAAAGGACACTCGTCCGGATCGCAAGGGAATCGCATTGCAGGCTTACCGGCAAAGACCTCGGGGCCCTGAAAATTCTCATCGGGGTGAAGGTAGCTTGGCGACAGCGCGAAGTAAACACGGAGCAGCAGGAGGAGAAGGTAGGTTCGTCGCCACATGGTTCTAGGGGCAGAACATGCTGGGAATGAAGAGGGAAAGAAAAAAAGGTCTACAAGAGAGTGAAAGGGGGTCAGATCGGGAACAACAGGGGAAAAAGAAAAAACGCGTTGATTGTTTGCGATGATATCACTGGCGACTGGTCTCGTCTCCCTTGAGTCTGCCCTGTACACGGTACCTCCCGTCATGCCGACCTGTCATATTATGGACTACGGGATCTATAGTTAAGGTATCTTGACGTACGGGGTGGTGCTCGTTTGGTATATTCAATCAACCACGTTTCCTGAAGAGAACGAGGGTCGCATCCATGTGCATCGGCCCACTTGTCTCTACTTGTCCCAATTCGGCACTGTATGGACACGGTCGGGGCATACTATGAGCCAAATTGACACAATTGTCGACGGAGCATCAAACACAATCAGAATCAGGACTGTTTCGGAAGCAAGATAATGACACGTTCCTAAACCCGGGATCGGGGACTCGGTTGCAGTCAAACAGGCACCATTCACTTGGGGCCTTGCACTTTGGGGGCTGAACACGAAAGGAAGTCGCCGCAGAGCCTCGACTGACTAACGCCCGCACTTCCTGTGAACTTCCCATTCCCTTCACTTCTTCTCTTTAAATCTTCAGATTCCCTTCTCCACATCTTTCGTTCCAAACCATTTCACACCTCCCTTGACACCGTGAGTTCTGCCAAAGCCCCTTCGCCTAACCCGACCCCGCCCGCCTGGCCCCTCTCCACCGCTCAAGCTCCACGCAACTCTGACGCTTCAACTTCTCCAGACTTCAACTCATTCCACAACACAATCATGTCTGCTTCGCAGATCTCCCTCACCAGCTCCGATGGAGTTGAAATCACTGTTGGTACGTTGCATCTCTAGGAGGTCACGCATGCCCAAAGCTAACATTGAACAGAGCGCGCCGTCGCTGAGCGCTCCGTGCTCATCAAGAACATGCTCGAGGATCTGGGTGACTCTGGCGAGGCTATTCCCATCCCTAATGTACGTGACACCATTCCCCCTCCAGACTCATGCCGCCCTCATGTACTGACCGCCGGGCAGGTGAATGAAGCCGTCCTGAAGAAGGTTATCGAGTGGTGTGAGCACCACAAGAACGACCCCCCCACCGCTGGCGACGACGACGACAACCGTCGCAAGACCACGGACATCGATGAGTGGGATCAGAAATTCATGCAGGTGGACCAGGAGATGCTCTTCGAGATCATCCTCGTGAGTGCCGTTTTACACCCGAAAACGGAACAAAAACTGACTCTCACAGGCGGCCAACTACCTGGACATTAAGGCCCTTCTCGACGTCGGCTGCAAGACCGTCGCAAACATGATCAAGGGAAAGTCGCCCGAGGAGATCCGCAAAACTTTTAACATCCAGAATGATTTCACTCCCGAGGAGGAGGACCAGATCCGCCGTGAGAACGAGTGGGCTGAGGAGTAAGCCACCCCTGTGAACCTTGTCTTGAGCTTTCACTGACTACGATCTCTAGCCGTTGATTTTCCTACCTCTATACTTTGCTGTCTCACGACCTTTTTCCCTTTTCTACGATATTCCCCCAAGAATGAAAATGAACTCTTCACCCGAGGATTTTGCCCGTGCTTGTAGATGGACCGGGGCCCTGGATTGGGGGATCTTGCTTATGGCGTTAGGCTCAGCGGCTTTTGCTTTTTTCCATCCAGTGCTTTGAGAGCTGCAAACTGCTAAGGCAATACATCCTCCAAAATCCTGTATCTCTAGGGGCTTGACTAGAGAGAATTCATATCTTGCTACATATTCTTGCTACTCTAAAAGTCTGTAGGTTTTGCCCGTAGTGGTATGAAATGTGATCTGTAAAATGAATGTCAATAACCGTGGCTATATATATTACAAGGGTTCTACTCTGACCCTGTTCGATCTGGAGTGTTTGGTGTGTTTGGGAGTGTCTGGATATTGGAGTTCATTTCGCAAGCCTCGGCTACGTCCTTGTAGTTTCAAATTGAGATGTGGTGTGGCGTGTCCTATGGCTCAAATTTGGGATTGTACGGAGTAGCATAGGCATTATAGCTGGCGGTCCGTTGTTAGAGATTGAGAGGATCCAGGGGCTTCCAGGGGGAATCCAGGGAGGCGAGCTGCTGAGACACTAGTGGTAGGAGAGATCGCCACTTCTGTAACTTCATGGTCCTGGTGTCTATATTTTTGATGGCGTCAACAGGTGGGCTGTTACGACCATCTTCAGAAGACGCACTTAAAGGTCTAGCAGGCGGCGCAGCACCATAGCAACCTATAGTCCCAGGTTCTGGACTGACCACTAGTGATTCGGGTTACAGAATAGAAGTCTCGTGAACAACTTCCGTGCCAAACTCGTGATTTAAGACGAGGTGAGAGGGGGAACTTGCGGCCCCTCATGGTCAGACAGCATCCCAAGACACAGCCCAAGCATCGTACATCACGGCACAACCGAACATCTACAGACTACATTGCCAGCACATGGAAACACCGACAAGAGTGCAACACAGCAGTGCAAGTCCAAGACAAAAGGGACGTCAATTCGATTCCATCAGATTTTTAATAAGGAAAACCCTCTCGCCATCGGAAACCTGATCTCCGGTGAAAATGCTGCCCAAACACCCGTAACCACTCCATCCCAACATTCATAATATCATTTGCACTGTGCCTCGGTGGGCGTCATCTCCCCTTGGAAATCGTGGGGAAAATCAGGTCAAGTCGGATAACACTTCGGCTTGTCGAATACACCCGGGGGACAGTTGCAGACTTGTGCAGTTCCATCAAACTAGCGCGACCAAGTCGAGGGATTGGAAGATTCTTTTCGGGGGCGGGCGTCACGTCATAATCTTCATATCCAACACAACATCGGGGAACGGGAATCTCGAGGGCGTAGATGGGTACAAAGACGGGCCTGGGAGGCGTTTAGATACCCAGGCGGGTCTTGCGCCAGTGTCGTCGCTTGGCGTTGTATCTGTGGGATGGCTGTTAGTCCATCTGTGTCTCCGTAGAAAATTTTTTTTTCCGTCATGTTGAATCGGTCGATTTGGGTGCCAGCATCTCCTTTTTTCTTCCGGTCCAACAATTCGAGGGCGAGTCGTTAATTACCTGATGGTGTTGCCGGTGCGCAGACGAATCCACTGGGGGATGGGGCGGTTCTGACGCTGAGCTTTGGCAAGCTTTTGCTTGGTGCGGAAGGTCTTGTGGCTCTGTGGACGCAGGGAGAGTCAGCGGAAGTAATTCTCTTGTCGAAGAGGTCGGAATATAGTGGTGTCACTAACCGGCATCTTGATGGCTTGGTCGCGACGGCGAGCTGGTTGGATGGGAGAAGTTGTCGACCTTGGGGAGCGGATGGTTTGTGTGCGGGCAGGGCTTGGCTTCGCTTCGGCTGGGTCAGGTGACGGGCCGAGTTTGACCTGAGGCGTATGATGACATAATTTGGAGTGCCTGAGAAATGAGACGTTGGCCTAAGGCCACAATTCTCCGATCTGCACCGGACCAATTCGTCCGTTGCTTGTCCGTTGCGTGTCCGCCACGTCCACCGTACATTCCGGCCGAGGACTGGCATAACTCTATCGCGTCGTGCATGTCACATTTGATCAGATCAGGTTTTGGGTTACAGGATGACCATAGGATTACAGGATGACCCCGGTCACCGCAACTTCTACCGGAACGGGATCCCTACAGATTTGCCGCTCTTGAATCGGGATTAGGACCAGGACCATACTGTACATAAGCAACGGACCAGGAATTCCACCGATCCCCGAAGCACGGACCCAGAGCGTTGTCCATATTGGATCGAAATTCAAGCCAAACCACTGTTTGCGACTGGCGGATCGCTTAACGTCTCGCAGTGGGCCCTAGGCTACCAAGCTTCTAGCTTCTATCGGGCATCACTCAGCCGTGGCCGCGTCCAAAGTGAGTACTCCATGAGTCAAAGAGAACCCACTTGTTCGTATTCGGACTCGCACATCACCGTGTGTCATCTTATGTACGCAAAATATGGACGATCATCCCATGTATCACCCGAGCCTAATTTTACGACCTCCAACTTTGGTAGACGTAGATCTGAGATGCACCGTTGGCTGCTCTCCTGAACTCCTCACGTTGCACGAGGAGGCAGACAAAGAATTTCTCAGGGACTGTCGAATAGCTATAGAGGAGATAGAGGCGAAGTAATGATCCCCTACATGCCCTTGCGGCGGGACAAGAATGTGCCTAAACGCGCCGCGGGCGCATGTGCATAAACATGCCGGAATCTGGAGCTCCCGGCCCACCCTCCTCGAACCCGTTTTCTTGCCTCCAAATCTACTCCGGAGTCCCATAGTCCAATACTACTACGACTTTCGCGGTAGTTGGCCCGATCGCTTATTTCTTATCGTTTGTCCGACAGCTGCTCAAACACGGAGGGGCCAAGGTTCCCTTTTTGCCATCCCTCATTCCCTTGTTCCATCCCTTTTACACCCCTTCCCGTTGACCGTCTGATCCCCTCTACCTAAGTCTTCCCACCCTTCTCGTTACTCTCTATCTACCCGATATAACGAATCCATCCTGCGTCTGGATGGAGTGAAGCTCCTCCAAAAGTGGGCCTGCTTTCGACAACTAGCTAAACGCGCGCAACCGCCACGATGCAGCAACCCGAAGAAGGCATCATTGCGGTGGAAAAGATCCCCGACGAGATGATCGCAAGCCCTGAAACTCTTCATGAAGACTTCAACGAGGTCGAAAAGCACGACCCTACCTTTGATTCCGGATCTACTCTCTCGGCCATTGCGCCCAAGGATGATGGAAAAGACGGAGATAAGAATGCAAGCAAGACCGCTCTGACTTTAGATGACGATGCGATCTTTGCGCATTTACCTGAACACGAGAAGGAGATTCTCAAGAAGCAGTTGGATGCACCCAATGTCAAGATCTCTTTCTTTGGACTCTACCGATATTCTTCGAGGATGGATCTGCTCATTCTCGTGGTCAGCGCGATCTGCGCCATCGCTGCGGGTGCTGCTCTACCTCTGTTCACTGTAAGTTCTCGTGTGGTCGAGGCGACATTGAACTACATCGCTAATGCTCGCAGATTCTCTTTGGTTCCTTGACCACATCTTTTTCAGGAATCGAGTATGGTACCACTCCTTATAACGTATTCTACCACGACCTCACCAAGAACGTTCTGTATTTCATCTACCTCGGTATTGCCGAGTTCATCACCGTTTATATTAGCACCGTCGGCTTCATCTACACTGGCGAGCACATCACTCAGAAGATTCGTGAGCACTACCTGGAGGCCATTCTGCGCCAAAATATCGCCTATTTCGATAAGCTGGGTGCCGGTGAGGTGACCACCCGTATCACTGCCGACACCAACCTGATCCAGGACGGTATCTCAGAAAAGGTTGGCCTGACCTTGACCGCCATGGCCACGTTCGTCACTGCATTTATTGTGGCGTACGTGAAGTATGCTCGTCTGGCTGGTATCTGTACCTCTACCATTGTGGCGCTGGTCGTCATTATGGGTGGTGGATCCCGCTTCATTATCAAGTACGGCAAGATGTCTCTCGATGCCTACGGTGCTGGTGGCACTGTCGCCGAAGAGGTTATTAGCTCGATTCGCAATGCGACTGCCTTTGGCACGCAGGATAAGCTGGCCAAGCAGTACGAGGCGCATCTGCGCATAGCTGAACGGTGGGGAATGCGCCTGCAGATGGCTCTCGGTGTCATGGTTGGTGCCATGTTTGGCATCATGTTCTTAAACTACGGCCTGGGCTTCTGGATGGGATCCAGGTTTCTAGTTCAGGACAAGGTCAATGTCGGCCAAGTCTTGACTATTCTGATGGCAATTCTCATTGGCTCTTTCAGCTTGGGCAACGTCAGCCCCAACGGACAGGCTTTCACCAACGCCGTGGCTGCTGCCGCCAAGATCTTCAGCACCATCGACCGCGTCTCGCCGGTGGATCCTACTACCGATGAGGGTCTCACCCTTGAACATGTCGCTGGTGATATTGAGTTCAAGAATGTCAAGCACATCTATCCTTCCCGTCCGGAAGTCACTGTCATGAAGGATGTCTCGTTGAAGATCCCTGCTGGTAAGACCACTGCCCTTGTCGGACCCTCGGGTTCTGGAAAGAGTACCGTGGTCGGCCTGGTCGAGCGATTCTATCTTCCCGTTGGTGGCAATATCTACCTGGACGGCCACGACATCCAGGACCTGAACCTGCGCTGGCTGCGTCACCAGATCTCTCTGGTCAGCCAGGAGCCGGTTCTGTTTGGCACCACTATCTACGCGAACATCCGCCACGGTCTTATCGGAACCCGCTTCGAGAATGAGCCCGAGGAACGCATTCAAGAGCTGATCGAGAATGCCGCCAAGATGGCCAATGCCCATGAATTCATCGTTACTCTTCCTGAGGGCTACGAGACAAATGTCGGCCAGCGCGGTTTCTTGCTTTCTGGTGGCCAGAAGCAGCGTATTGCCATTGCCCGTGCTGTCGTGTCTGACCCCAAGATTCTTCTGCTGGATGAGGCTACTTCCGCTCTGGACACCAAGTCCGAGGGAGTTGTCCAGGCTGCTCTGGATCGCGCTGCCGAAGGTCGTACTACCATTGTCATTGCTCATCGTTTGTCCACTATCAAGTCTGCTCACAACATCGTCGTTTTTGTCAACGGTGGCATTGTTGAACAGGGTACTCATGATGCCTTGCTTGAAACCAATGGCGCTTACTCCAAACTCGTCGAGGCTCAGCGCATTAACGAGGAGAAGGAGGCCGATGCTCTCGTGGATGAGGACGACTCTGACTCTGACGAGGCGCTCGAGAAGAGCCATGTCGCTCGCGTTCAGTCCGTTGCCAGTGCTGCCACTCTGTCGAAGAGCGAGGAGGGCGCTCGCGCCTCTGGGCTCTTCGAGGAGGATATCCGCCGCGCCGATTCCCGCAAGTCTGTATCGAGTGTCATCCTGCAGAAGCGGGCCGGCGACCCCAAACCCAAGTACTCTCTCTGGACCTTGATCAAATTCATTGCCTCCTTCAACAAGGAGGAATGGAAGTTTTTGGTCCTGGGTTTGTGCTTCTCCATCCTTGCCGGTGGTGGCCAACCCACTCAGGCTTTCTTGTATGCCAAAGCCATCAGCGCTCTCTCTCTGCCGAGAGACCAATGGGCTAAGCTTCGGTCTGACGCCAACTTCTGGTCATTGATGTTCTTCGTGGTTGGTATCGTCCAGTTCATCACCTTCTCCGTTCATGGCATTGCTTTCGCCTACTGCTCCGAGCGTCTCATCCGCAAGGCGCGTAGCAAGGCCTTCCGCACTATGCTTCGCCAGGATATCAACTTCTTCGACAAGGAGGAAAACAGCACTGGTGCTTTGACTTCTTTCCTCTCGACCGAGACCAAGCACCTTTCTGGTATCAGCGGACAGACTCTTGGAACTATCCTTATGACCTCGACCACCCTGCTCGCGGCCATTATTATCTCGCTTTCTTTTGGATGGAAATTGGCTCTTGTCTGTATTTCCGTTGTCCCCGTTCTTCTCGCTTGCGGTTTCTACCGGTTCTACATGCTTGCCGCCTTCCAGTCGCGCTCCAAGCTCGCCTACGAGGGCTCTGCCAGTTATGCTTGCGAGGCCACCTCCGCTATCCGCACCGTTGCATCCCTTACCCGTGAGGATGACGTGTGGGGTGTGTACCATGGCCAGCTGGAAGGCCAGGGCCGCGCAAGTCTCATCTCGGTCTTCAAGTCGTCCCTGTTATATGCTATGTCCCAGGCCTTGGTTTTCTTCTGTGTTGCCCTCGGCTTCTGGTACGGTGGTACACTCCTTGGTCACCACGAGTACAACATGTTCCAATTCTTTGTCTGCTTCAGCGAGATTTTGTTCGGTGCTCAGTCCGCCGGAACTGTGTTCTCCTTCTCGCCCGATATGGGCAAGGCCAAGAACGCTGCCAACGAGTTCCGCAAGCTGTTTGACCGCCGCCCCGTCATCGACACCTGGTCCACCGAGGGTGCAAACGTCGAGCACATGGAGGGCGAGGTTGAGTTCAAAGATGTCCACTTCCGCTACCCCACTCGCCCTGAGCAGCCTGTCCTTCGCGGTCTGAACCTCAGTGTCAAGCCTGGACAGTACATCGCGCTGGTCGGACCTAGTGGATGCGGAAAGAGTACGACCATTGCACTCCTTGAACGTTTCTACGACGCCCTCTCTGGTGGCGTGTACGTGGATGCCCACAACATTGCCGATCTGAACCTCAACTCCTACCGCAGCCACCTGGCACTGGTTAGCCAGGAGCCCACTCTGTACCAGGGTACCATCAAGGACAACATTCTGCTCGGTATCGACGCAGACGACGTCCCCGAAGACGAGCTGATCAAGGTCTGCAAAGACGCCAACATCTACGACTTCATCATGTCCCTCCCCGAAGGCTTCCACACCGTCGTTGGTAGCAAGGGAGGCATGTTGTCAGGTGGTCAAAAGCAGCGTGTGGCTATCGCCCGCGCTCTCCTGCGCAACCCCAAGGTCCTCCTCCTGGATGAGGCCACCTCGGCCCTCGACTCCGAGTCCGAGAAGGTTGTCCAGGCTGCTCTGGATGCCGCTGCCCGTGGCCGCACCACCATCGCCGTGGCCCACCGTCTGAGCACGATCCAAAAGGCCGATATCATCTACGTGTTCGACCAGGGCAAGATCGTCGAGAGTGGCACGCATACCGAGCTGCTGCGCAACAAGGGCCGTTACTACGAGCTCGTCAACCTGCAGACTCTGGGCAGGACTCACTAAACTTACCTCGCTATATCTACCACTTTCCTACCTCTTGCTACCTTACTCTCCGTCTCTTTCCTATCCTCATTTGCCATTGATTTTTGCATACATACCCACTACCTTTGGCCATTTCATACCATCACCCTCTTGTTTCATCTCTCTTCACTCTACACCTCTCTATTCCTTGTATTAATTTTGATCTCTTCTCCATGTTTGTGATAGATTGGAGTTGTGGACGGGCGTTGTCGGCATCGAAAATTCGATTAGAGGTGAATGCAGTTCATGTTCTCATTAATCCATAACCCCGTATTTCATGTAGTATCGTAGTTTGATCCGATATCATCACTCTTTGGCTGTAAAAATACTCCTTGTACTTGGCCCCCTGAACCTCCAGGGTCCCCAGGGCACTTAATCCCCCTCCTTTACCCCAAACTCCCTCTCAACCTCAACCTGCCGCATACCCCTTGCATCCGCAATCAGCCCCATAAGGCCCTGCGCAGTATCCTTGATCTCATTGTATTCATGGAGCAAGCGAATATGTCGGTTCACCGTAGTCAAAGGATCCTGCCTGCACCCAGTTAGACACTAGACTGCAATTGTGACCGGAAGCGTACTGTAGCTTGGACCGGATCTCCTCCAGCTCCAGCTCCATCTGGAGCTGCTGTCCTTCCAGTTGTGCGATTGACTCTCGGAGAGAGTTCTATTCAGTGAATCAATGTCAGTTCATCTTGATACACCACGGAGACAACGGACCAGTCGTGAGGCCCGGGCGTCCATTGTGGGTCTCGTTCCGTCCCCGTCGATTGTATACGCGTTCTGCCAATCACAGCCTTTCGCTGAATAATCCTGCGTTCAGGAACGAAATTCAAGTGGCAAGGTGCGAGGTGAACGAGTCAAGAAAGTATTGGGAACGAGTGACCGTGTCAAAAAACACAGACTTCTCAGTTCGTTGAGCGTTAAAAAGTTGAAGTTGGTGGGAAGCTCAGTGTTAAATCGGATGCGCCGGATTGGCACAGGATCGGCCCCGTTACCTTCCCCGTTTCGTCTCTTCCCCTTCTTTCTCTCAACCACCTCATCATGCAGTCACGATCAGCCCCCCTCTGGGCTGCGCTGCTCTTCGCCAGCGTAGTCTCTGCTCATGGCGGCCACGAGAATGTCCCCGAGGGTTCGGCGGTTTCTCTGGAACCGATGGTACGTGTTCTGTTCTACTGCCTTAGGTTCCCCCCGCTGACTGTACGACTTTACAGGACTCCACGCTATGGGTGCATATAATCCTGATGGGTTTTGCGTTTGGAATTATTTTCCCGCTTGGCATGGTCCTCGGTGTATGTTTCCTTCATGATGATTTTGGTGCAGCTCTAATGATCTATAGATCGTCCGCTCGCGCTGGCACGTCCCCCTCCAAATTGTCGGAACCGTTATCGCTGTCGTCGCCTATTTCCTCGGCCATGCGCACAAGGGTCGTCAATTTGGGCCGAATGCCCATGCCAAGTTTGCGAACTGGTTGATGCTTCTGCTGGTCGTGCAGGTTACGCTGGGTTTCTATCTCAAATTGCATCTTGAGAAGGCTGGACAGGCCCGTATCCGCTGGATCTTCGTTATGGCTCATGGAGTTATTGGAAAGATCATGCCGGTTGTTAGCTGGATGCAAATGCTGTTTGGTGGCATTGCTTCTCTCGGCTTCTGTCAGGATGATCACCTTGGCCAGTGTCTGGCGCACTTTATCATGGGCAGTGCGTTTATCGGGTACGGCATCTGTCTGACTATCCTTTTGCTGGTTGGACAGTTCTGGTTGCGCCGGACTGGTCGGAGCCAGGAATTCTTTGACTCGCTTGTTATTGCGGCTTGGGGTTGTGTTAATACCTTTACTGAGCACCGCTGGGGCGGTCCCTGGGCGCACAATGATCTGCAGCATACTACCATGGGTATTGTCTGGTGGTGCGCTGGTCTGCTGGGTATGTGGTTGAGTCGGAGCCGCAATGGTCGGCCTAAGCGCAACCTCATCCCGGCTATTGTCATTCTCATGACTGGGTATGCCATGTCGGCACACCCACAGACTTTGATGATCAGTACCATGATCCACTCTCTCTTCGGATATACTCTCATGGCGGCGGGTATCACCCGTCTCATTGAGATCTCCTTTGTGCTGAGGGATAAGCCTGCTGTCAGCATGAGTGGCAATGATCCTAACAGCTTCCAGTACCTCCCACCATTTGTATGTTCCCTTACCCTACTTGGATGGACTTCGACTAACTATCATAGTTGCTGTACGCCTCCGGGTTCCTTTTCATGGGCGCCACCGAGGAACAGATGCAGCTTCTCAACGATGCAGGTATCACACACGTTTCATACGTGTTGATCCTCTACAGCGTTGCCTTCATCCTCTTCCTCTGTATGTGGTCTATTCTATCTCTACTACTAATCATGTTTTCTACGAACACCCACTAATATTTTTCTAGTCGTCAACATCCTCCTCCACATCTACGCCGTCCACGCCTGGCCCGAAGGCGAGCCAACTGACGCTCAAGAAGGCGCCAAATACACCCACGCCAATGGCAGATCCATGAACGGACGCGCACGCACCACCGAGGCCACGCGCATCCAGGACGCCGAGGCCTTTGAGCTGCAGGGTCTGATCAGCGACGAGGAAGAGGAAGCCGGGTCCTCGATGGGACCGAAAAAGACCGACGATGAAGAAATGGCCAAGGAGAGCGCTCACCACTAGGTTGAATTTTGGTCGCTTTGCATTCATGTCTCTGGCGTTGGGTTCTGCTGCAGTATATGAGCATTTAATTCCAATGGACATATACAAGTTTTCTTTTCATCTTCATTGGCTTTTAGAGACTGCAGGGAAAGAAGAATTGTGGTCAGATGCATTTTGCTAATATCGTACACGAACATGAGTCATGGCCCTCAGGCTCTATCTAGGCAATTCAAAGGAAATCGTAAATCAAACCATCCGAACACCGATCCCCGAATCTGCCCACGATTCCAGTCTCCTCCTGTAACTACCACCATCTATCCACTCACGAGATAGTCGTAGGCTCCGCATCCACATTCACCGCATCAACATCCACATCCACAGGAATCGGATTCCCAACCGGCGGCACGGCCCCCAAGCTCTCCATCCCCATCTCCGGCGGGAAGAAAGGATGAAGCGGGTAAATCGGCCCGATGGACTTCTCCCCATCGAAAAGTAGCATGTTCTGCAATGGCTGCTCACGCGCCGAGAGAACATTGATAACGTCCTGCGCCAGCGACCCGCCGAGGAACGCCGCAACAGGACTAAGCTCGCACCCTAGATTCTGGAGGAAGTTGCGCAAAAACGCGCTATCCAAAAGACCCATGTCGAGCTTCAGTTGCTGATGCACTTCGCGCGCAAGCTTGGTAAAGCTTTCCAAGTCGGCGTGGGAGAAGGTGGGTTTCCGACCTCCGGAGAGTTTTTCGAATTCCCATAGCGCGCGCAGGCAGGAAAGAAGGGGCGTTACTTGCTTGCGGCGGCGTGGGAGTCGAATGTAGTCTTCTGGGAGGGGGGATGTGTTTGCGAGGAGGAGCGGGGAGTATGTTTCGCGCTTGGTGACTAGTTCGATGGTCTTGTCGCCTTCTTTCTTGGTTGTTACTTTGACGATGCTGCGGGTGGGGGTTTCTTGGTGTTGTGATGGGACGTTGGATTTGGCGCGCTCGATTACGAAGTCGTGTGAGATTAGGTCCGCGAAGACGTAGCCGTAGAAGCCGTGGAGGCCTGCGGCGTAGAAGGGTTTGTTGGCTAGGCGGCAGGCTGCGTTGATTGTGGTGTTGGTTTCGTAGTCCAGTTCTGTGGCGATGGTCACGTCGAATTGGGCGAAGAAGTTTGGCTGCTTGGTGCGGATGTCATCGGTGTCGATGTTCAGTTTGACGCGAGGGTTCATCTTGTGGATTTGAGGACCGGCGACCTCGGCGCGCTGGGTTGGTTAATATCTGTTTCCAAAGTGGGAGTTGCCTTACTTTCTTGCCCTGTTTGATTATTTCCTCATCCCTGTGCGCTTCCTCCAGGAAGAATTGCGCATCCAGATCCGCCTCGGTGACGGGTTCATGGTCGACAATCGTGAGTGAGCCAATGCCGGCCAAAACGAGGTTCTTTGCTACCTCATTTGCGAGGGCTTTCACGGTGACAAGGAGGATATTTGCAGACCGGATCCTGTCGGCTGTTAGGGGCGTATCTTTCTCGCAATCCGAATAACTCACTTCTCTTGCGCCTGAACTCCCCAGAGGCGAATCTGTCGGTCGTACAGGGCGATCTCGTCTGGATAGCAATTAGCATTCGTCATTTCAACAGACAACAGAATCTTACCAGCGCTGATCGTCTGTCCATTCTCTGAAGGTTCCGCCATCTTGAACCTCTGGAAAGTGAAAGTGAAGGAAAGAAGCTCAAGCTCTCCCCACACAACGATGATCTAATGCGAATCACGTGTCTCCCCGATAACCAACTTCCCAAGGAAGCCAACGTCCCACGATTTCAATCTTTTGGATATCCCTGCCTGTTTATTATTCCCTGGCCCTTATTTGGATCTCATTCATGTTTGATGTGAGACTGGTCATATCGACCCCTCTGTCACCAGGCAATAGTCGTTCAAGCGGTACATGATCGGACTAACCCACCGCCATGGTATGTTTCATGACGTTTGTTTCTGCCCGAACCTTGCGGACTAAACCATCAAACATAGTCAGGGAACTACGACTATCCCCCTGCCTCTTCCCGTCGCCCATCCCGTCCCAGTGGCCCCAGTGAACCGTCCGGACTCAGCGAACGCTATCCCCGTACCCAACAACTTATCGAAGCCTTGACCTCGCAAGGCACCACCTTCCAGAACCAGGACGATCCAGTGCTCGATACGCTTCTATCAGAACTACGATTCAGAGAAGATAGGGCCCTTGCAAGTCTTGACCAGCTCTCGGATATCAACACCACTCCGGATCAGAACGACGAAACCCCGCGTGATAGTCCACGCTCCACTCTCAGACCACCACCTCCCATAGGACACCTAGACTACTTGCGCAATTTGATCCAGTCTGGAAGCAATCGAGTCAATGCAGAAGATACAAATCGTGCATTAGAGACGTTGAATCAGCACATCGAAGAGCATCACCTGGACGTGCCCCGTATTAATCGCACCAACTTGGCTCAAGTCGAAGCCTCAGCCGAGCGCCAAATCCAGCAGTTACAAACCGCCATAGACGCAAGGCACTCCTCTATTATTGATCAGCTCCGAGCGGAACGGAATCGGCATCGGCGTTCATCTCCAAGCCCGCTTCCGAATCAGGAGCCATTCTCACCGGCCAGCCGAACCCTCCGACGCCGTTCTTTCCGACCTGACCTCCGAGGAATTTCGACCCTTAACGAGACCCTCCCAACTCCATCCCTCATGCCCCAGCCGCCTCACACCGGCCGCGATGGCCGCGGAAGGCAAAAGCGGCGGAAGTTGGAGACCGATGACAACCGCGAGGGTATGCGGGGGTTCAACTACGGACAGTATGGCCAGGTTGTCCCGGGCGCTCTGAAGATGGAGATTGCTAGCTGTGATGGAGGGATTTACGATCCTGATGGGGATAGCTCGTTCCCGGAGAATGTCCTGCGGAATGACCAGTCTGTTTACTGCACCAAGTCTGATCGATGTAACTTGGTGCTGAGACACCGAGGCGAGGCACCCTTCTGTTTGAAGAAGATTGTCATCAAAGCCCCTCGCACCGGATTTGATTCTCCTATCCAGGAAGGCATGGTGTTTGTGTCTATGACGTCTGATGAGCTCCTTGCCCGCACCGCCCAATACCAGATTCAATATGCGAGCACACGTCGCCGTCGCCGCCCTCGCCGCACCGGTCTACAGCCGTCCCAAGAATACCTAAATGCCTTTCGATCTCCTCTTCAGTCGCTAGAGCGGACTGTCCTGATGGGCCCCGATTCGAACGCCGCACCTGAAGAGAACGAGAATACAGACCGAAATGCGAATGACCCCCAAGCCGAATTCCGCGTGACCACAGAGTACGATGAAAACTCCGAAGATAACGTGTTCACCGAACGCGATGACGAGGACGAACCTTCCATCACCGAGCTCGAGCGCATCCGAGAGGACGACTTACTCTGCTCAGACACCGACGACAGCATAAGCGATGACGATGATGACGATGATACCACAATGAGTACCTTCCACCGCCGCCGTCTCGAACTACAGCGCCGCATAGGAACCATGCGCCGGCAGTATCCCGATCCGAGTTCAAGACGCCGCCCACCCCCGAGTCTAGTTGACCCTCTCCCTCCCGCAATGTCTGGATCGAATGGGAATGGTAATGGGACTGCAGCTGGCGCGGAGGTGATGAAACCACATGCACGCTTCTTCATCGAGCGGGAGAAGAGTATGGTCAGCATCAAGTTCGACCCGCCTCCGTATGTCTCTGTTCCTCTTTTGTCGAGTTTGAGATACTAATACTGCCTCTAGGTCGGGCCGCTTTATTCTCATCAAGCTTTGGAGTCCTCGCAGTGACGGCAATATCGATATTCAAAGTGTTATTGCTCATGGCTATGCTGGCCCAAGATACTTCCCTAGTGGTGGCTTCCGATGAGCGCCTTTTTTCACACCTTGTACCCTTGACTAGAACCTTTACTTGATGACTGATGACAATAAATGATGCTACGATTCTGGATTTGGGTTGTGACTTTCTATGCTGGGTTAGATGTAGATGGCGAGATGTTGTTGGTGTGTGCTTGGCGTCAAGATGGAGCCTATCTAGCAATGAGTCGTCTGGAGGTGTAGTCCACTCCGGTACTTCGATGCTCACCGGAAGATAGAAATATGCCAATTATGAGACTTGTACAGTATTGAAGCTCCATGTGTACATACATGTCTTCATGGTGGGTCCATGAGTGTCCGGTTGGTAGCACGTGACCACCCGAGACCCTATCTCAGATGCCATCCAAGGTGTAAGTTGAATGAACTTACCGAGCCAGGACTCTGGTGCTGTGCATAAAAGGTCCACCACGTTTTACTTCCGAAAGCAGGTGGGGGGACATTCTTACGCAATCTCCGCCCAATCGCGCTTCAAGCCAGCTTCGGAGCGGACCAATAATCTGGCCAGTCTGTTGTTGGAGATTAGGTTAGGTTGTTCGCTTTCCATAGTAGTGGACTAACACTGGACTCACCGCGTTCCTCGTTTTCATTGAGCCACTCTCGAATATCAGCTGGTATCTCGTTTTCTGGGTAACCATCCCAGGTGATACGATGTGGACGCTGTGCCGTGTGGGTTTCCACTGGCAGTGCTGAACCAGTGGTATTGCAAGATGTCGAGGTCAACAAGGCTGGCTCAGAATGCATGAACAGTCTCTGGTACTTTCGCTGCCTGAACACCCGTGCATACATGAAGCGCTAAACTTTTATAATCATATTAGGATTCGGAGTTTAACTTTTCCCTTATTTCTTCACTTCTTTACCTTCCTACCTTCCTCCTTCAATTCTCTTTCTCTTTTTCTTCACTCCTCTCTTTCTCTTTTTTCACTTCTATACTACAATTTCTTCACTTCTGTATCTCCTCTTTCTTTCCTTCACTTCTCTACCCTTCCTCAACCGATATCGACTTGGGCCTCTGGTTCTCGGTTAGTGATGAAGCGGCGACTTAGTGTTTGCTGGGACGAAACAGTAACTAACACTTAGACATACACTCTTACAGCCACACATCACCTCTATATACTAGAATGCCAATAAAGAGAGCTTGGTTGAAACCATGAGCGGACTTCTGTAGGGACTTCCTACTCAGTCAGCAAATACCGGAATTGACACCAACTTGAATCAGAGTCGCATGATCCAAGGCAAGACCTCGTACCTCAGGGAGGACGCCGCGAATTACCCATCTACGCAACTGACCGCTCAGCTCGCGAGACGGACTGAACCGAGACGGAAATACTGCCGGCCAGAGAGCACATCGCAGGAGGAGTGAGACTATGGATAATGGAAAAAGGAGGAGAGGGAGCAGGGCGAGGACGCCATGATCTCTTCGAACGGCTCTTGTTCAGTTCAAGGATCAGACTTGATTACCATTTCATCTAACAATTGTGAAACCACCTTGTCTACGAGAACCTCTACATAGTCCAACGATAAACACAGGAAATCTTTCTATTCCGTCGACACTATTCTGAGGTTTCTCTCGGGTCTCCATCGCTCCTATCTGTCAACACCTCCTGTTTTGGCCCACACGTGTCTATATCTGATCTGAAAGGAAGTTCATGATCGCCGTCTATTACGACGTTTAATTCGGTTAGTGTCTCCTGGTGTTTACCAACTAGCGTTTCACGTTAAAAATTTCCCACGAAACTCCGCCTTTATACAACCCCGAGCTGATAACATGGCGAAAACCAGTAGTACAATTTGGTCTCGTAGAACATAATAGTATCTCTTTAGAGTTTGAGTAATAGTGAGACCTCGGTTCATACGGCAAAGGGATTGAGACTAACACAACCCCCCCCACCCCCCATCTTATTCTCCCCACATCCGCCTCGGAGTTACCCCATAGTAATTTTTTGATTCATGCCATACTTCTTCGCCACCATCCATTGCCCGGACCATAGCGAGCGTAATATCACTCATGTTCAAAGTTCCTGCCAGGTAATGTAAAGCGGTGTTTCCTTCCACATCTTTTGCTCTGACATCGATACCTTCCCATTCTAACAAAGCCCTGATGGTGGCCTGTTGTGCCTGCTGTTGCGCAACTGTCATAGGAATTGGATCATTTCCATAGTCAACCTCCTCAGGGGTAGAGAAGTCCATATGCAGTGGACTAGGTAGCCTATGGAACAGCCATTCTGAATCCAACGTGCGAGCGCAGTGAATGCTCCTTGCTACTTCCGGTTTGCGAGTCACGATTTGATGGGTTGTAAAAGGAAGTGCAGCGATATGAAGTAAAGTGTGCCCCAGTGACGTGGTACCTGCAGATCCGTATCCGCCAGGAATAAAGGCTGCTAGCCATGACAGGAGCTATAGGTTATGGTGCGCAGTTGCGAAGTGAAGAGGATGGACTCCAAAGATTGGTGTGCGTAAATTCGCATCCAACTGGGGGTGAGATAAAAGATCGACCAGACATTTCTGTACCCCGGAATCATTCAAATCGTATCGAGCAATAGCGTAAGATAGTGGTGGAAGAGCGACGGTTGGTGCAGCATAAGGGCGATAATTAGGCGAATACCTACAGGTAGAGAGTAAATGTCGGAGCATAGGTTGCTGACCTGCTGCAATGGCCTCGTGAATAGGCGACGATATAGATAAAAATGAGATTGACCAATCCTTGTCTTCAACTTGAAATTGTTTCTCATCTAACGAGACTTCCTGCACCCATGCGGTGTCATCGGCACCAGCCGCACGTAGCATATCAAGAATCTCTAGACTGCTAGCTCTAGCCGCGGTTTCTAGCCCCGTCAACGCCTTTCTCAAGCTCGATCTCAGTCTCTGACCAGGAACATTTGGTTCCGTCCAAAAACGAGAAAAGCCACGAGCCCGTTCATCAAGTTACTTCTGGGTTAAGGGACATATTTGGTGACTTATCTCCTTCTGCTGTGCATTTGCTAAGACGAAGGCCCGATGATTGAACGCCGTGGTGCTATTTATATCGTCTTGGAAATGGCGGCCGCGGATATACCGGACTGAATAATCCCCTATATTAATAAGGTCTATGCCATTTGGGTTTGCTCCTGCGGCTAAGAGAAGACGGACGTTCTGCGGCAAACGGGCGTTGGTGGCAGATATAATAGGCGACAGATAGTCAGGCACGGGCATGACTCCATTGGCCCTAGGTATTGCAGATAATGGCGTTCATGCTCAGTTATATCATTTTCTGCACAGGATGCTGCATGACGGACCAAAAGGGCTTCCAGTAGAGCTGAGTCCCGCTTAGCCGTGGCTCGGATGATAGGGGTTTCAAAATCGGGGGACTCGTCAAGATCATCCTTAGTAAGTTGATACATAACGCGAAGAGTGACTTGGAAATGAATGATAGCGCGAGCACGTTCTGACACTCGATCTTTTCACAACTCTATTCAAGGAGCTAACCGAGAGGCGCTAACGTAGGGTTTGAAGAAAGAATACGACCTTCCGAGGGTAACTTGGAAGTGGGGATGACTAAATGACGGAGTCCAAGTTCGCTTATTATATTGCGACTAGCCACGCTAGCCATGTACAGTCATTTTCGAAATCGGCTTGGCCAATACACACTAAGTAAGGTTTTCCTGGCCCCGCCGCCATGAAACATTGCGCCTGACGCGTTTTCAGGCACCTGAAAATAATTCATCTAGCTTATGCACTGCAAGATTGAGAAGGGAAAGAGAAGGGAAAGAGAGAAAGAGAATGACAGAAAGAGAGAAAGAGAATAACAGAAAGAGAGAAAGAGAACAACAGAAAGAGAGAAAGAGTATGACAGAGAAAGAGAGAAAGAGTATGACAGAGAAAGAGAGAAAGAGTATGACAGAGAAAGAGAGAAAGAGGATGACAGAGAAAGAGAGAAAGAGTATGACAGAGAAAGAGAGAAAGAGTATGACAGAGAAAGAGAGAAAGAGTATGACAGAGAAAGAGAGAAAGAATGTCAGTACCCGATTTCAATCCACAGAGACAGGCCCCAAGGATTTTAAGACCGCAATGGATGGATCTAGTAAAGTCCCCACAGAACAGGCTGTCCCTTCACGTCGCCATCGCAAGACATGTCACCTTTAGCACCAACTCTGCCAGATCCTCCAAACTGCTTGATTGACTGATTGATAATGTCGATAATGTCCTGAGAGCCGATATGGAAGTCGATGTTTCCAATGATTGATGTACCCTGGATCCCAAACCGACAGGTTCCATGGCGCAGCAGCTGCTTTTGCTGTTTAAAGGCATCGGAAACCTCCCATGACTTATGCAACATGCCTTCAACTTCCTTGACAAGCTCAAGACAATCCGACACCAGTGGAGATGCACCGCTTGTCTGATCCACAAAGGTAGAAGTACGACAGTCATTCACCCCCATTGGTGGAATACATGGGTAGCTTGGTTTGTGGGTGCTGGGTCCGCCAACTTGATTCCATGCCGCGAAGGCAACATCTGGACTACACACAGGCAGCCGAATGTAACCTGGGGTTGTAAAGTCTCCCTGGATCAAATTGGCGACAGTCTTGGGGTCGTAAGGACTAGGCGTTGAGGCGCCGTTCGCATTGTTATTGGCCTGGTACGTATTCACGGATCTAAGCCCCAAAAATTAGCTCTCTTCTCAGTCATTCAATAGTGCAGTAAGAGCCATAGCCAGACTGTAAGCTACCGAAAGCGGGAGGATGAGTCACCCATTGATCACATCTTTGACCGTTATACCAGCCCATGAACCCCCGTTCATGGTATCAATGCCTGGCAGTGCAGAGAACGAGTTGTCGTGGGATGAAGCATGGCACGTGCCGTGTAGTGAGCATATCACCTTACTTTCCCGTGCTTTGCCCTTAGGTGTAGCCAGATAATATAGCTTGCCAGAGATGCAAGCCCCTGAGGAATGCATTGTGTCCGAGCTAAGATATTCACTGAGTGGGTCAGTTGTGTCACAGCCATAACCTGAGTCGATGACGAAAGGGTATACATCCGGCGAAAGACTCCAGATTGTTGGAATTGTATACGCCCATAGAGACTTAGCAATGTGCTTCTCAAAGGATGAAACAAGCTTGCCAGGGAGGTCTGCGCTCACGATCCCAGCAGACCCTTCAATGAGTTGCCCGTTGGACATGAGAGTGGTGAGCATACTTAATCCATTGTCGCTGCCACAGAAGATATCTGCTAGAACGTTCATGGTAAAATTACTCCACCCGAAGACAGCCTGGCCCATGTATGCGGTGAATTTAGCGTGTGATTGCGGAGTCCATCCACGACTACTCACCGCTTGATGGTCAGCTACTGCTCCAAAGCCACCGAAAAATTGAGTATAAGTTCATGTGAGCTCACTTACACTTGATGGGTCTGGAGTGCATCTTTTGCTATGGTTGTGCTTTGTCCAATCAAAGTCATTGTGGCATCTTTCAGATTGGCCAACGTATTTGGGTTGTCAGCAAACGCTGCCATTCCACTGAGGACTGTTCGAAGATTCCCAATCAGTAAATGTCAAGTCCTAATGTGTAAGTGGATATGATAAGATGACTGTACTTACCAGTGTCGAAAAAGGGCCCTGCAACCAGTGAAACCCCGAGTGTGACTAAATCAACTAGCAGAAAAATCCATTGATCACTTGGAGCCGGAGGTATTGGTGCAAAAGTATCTTCGAAGATCGTGAGTTGAGGCAGGATGAGGTCAGACCACGCAGTTTGTAGATCAGAATTGAAATTCACAAACATCTGGAATAGGCAAAGTTCACCCAAGGTCAGATTCGCCAGAACGATAAAATTTTGGTATAGTGAGAGAAAGCATACCGCATGAATGATACCCCAAGAGTTCCAAATTTCATATGCCGCAGGCCCTGATCCGGCGCCTACAAAGCTAGTGCATTCTTTACCACCGGGGCAGAGACCCTGCAAATCGGAACAGTTTGTGTTTTCTGGCCCATGCATCGTGAGTGAAAGAGCTGCCGAGAACGGATAGTTTAAATGACCCCTTTGGTCGGTTACCCAAACATTTTTCAAATCTTCCCATGCATTCGGACAATCCAACATATTCCACCGTTCTTGAGAGGTGAAGTCGGCAACACCCTGCACCGCTGGGTCTGTGCAGGTTAGTGTGGTCCAGTTACCAGTTCGGTTTCCCTGCTCGTAAGGGTCTCCTCCAGACTTGATTTTTGATATGAATTCAGGCCAGGTTTTGGCGGTGGAAAGAGGTGGAACAGGATGATAAGACTCCAAATCTGTAGCCCAGTCGGTAGTGCCACCAAAATTAAATGCCTGGTACAACTGTGTCCGTATTGATCTGACATGGTCATCCATCCAGGAGACCCATTGGGTGTTATCATACACCAGAATGTTAGAGTCGCTGTCGTCGATGAAGTGTTGATTGACACGGCTTGGATCACTCAGGATCTGTTTGATCTCCGCATTCGCAATATATCCAGCTTGCCCGGTACAAACACCTGGTTCAGCATTTGAATGCAGTGCAGTGCCAGTGTAGAAGCAATCTGGGCCATAGCAGCCCGGGTCAGCCATTGCAAAAGACCGACCGTAACTGGTGACACCAACAACAATCTTGTTGGAAGGAACTCCTGCTTTCGTGATCTAGAAAAATTCCACGTTACTCATTAGCTTACAGACAGTGACTTGAGTGGGCCTATGCCAGATTGAACTTTTCATACCATGACAAGAGAGTTGAGAGTCTCTGTCAGATTGACACCACTACGGAGACACATTCCCGAGGGGCAACCGCTTTGTGACCATGGGCTGTTTGCGTCCCACTATGAGAAAAAAGAATTCAGTACTATGCTCTACTTAGTCAAAGCCGTGGAGCATACATACCTGACCGTGAAGATCATAGGTCATGAAAACAATATAGTCCACGATCATGCTGATTGTCTGAATCGGAAAGTTCTTCAGGTACCAGTATGACGAGGGAGCTGCAATAGAAACAGATTTATCGGGCAGATAGCCTTTGAGGAGGAAAAGAAAATATATGTAGTCGTAACCCTCATCAGCAGAGGCGGGTGGAATGTTCGGAATGTCAGGTGCCTGAATAAGTAAATTAGATCAATCTGGTCAGAAACGACTTCATTTAATCTGTGCCTGATCCTCAACTTACCCCGGGGTACTCCCAGTCAATATCAACGCCATCAAGGTCGTGGTCATTGACAAAGTTAGCAATGTTTTTTGCTAATGTATCTCGGTTAGCAGGGAGGACGCCGTTCCGCAAAATATTGTATGTGCTTGAGTCTGTTGAGAAGGCCCAGCCACCGAAGGAAACAATTTTAGCTGGACCCTCGATGCGTTTAAAGTTGTTGAACTCAAACGAACTGAGAATATTGCCTGTTTGCACCTGATAGTCCGGCGTGAGACTGGCGAATCCAAAATGCAAATGTGTGTAGTTCGAGAAGTCGATTTGCAGAACATCCTGGTAAAGGCATTTGCGGTCTAAATTGAACCCCTCAAAGTAGCCGACTCTTCGAAAAACCGCAGGCGGGCTGCTCGGCGGAAAGTTAGTTCCGCAGTTTGAGATACAGCCATTGGTGCCGGAGGCGGCGGTCCCTGGTGCCCCATCGGTGGTGCTTGTGCAGAATTCCTCGGTGACGCCACACTGCAGCCAATGATTAGTAACTGGTCTCGTATAGTTAGTGGCTCTAGTGAGCCTCATAGAGTAAACTTACCTGGCCCCAGGCATCACAGCATGCGTTCAATGGACAAGGATTCAGGGTAGCAATGTCAGTGCCAGAAGGCGGCACTTTAGTCCCTGGCTTTTGGGGTCCACAAATTGCATTGGCTACATAAGCTGGCATAGGTGGAGTTCCCGAGCTAAGACAGATAGTGGTTCCAACCCAGAGCGGGTGAGAGCAACCAGGCCAAGCCCATGTCTTAGTGTTGTATTCGTCCAGCTGAGTGACTGTGATACCGTGTGCTGCGGCAATGGTTTTGCAGACATCATTGCTCTTAATACTGTATGGAAAACATGAGCCATCTGCATTAGGCTTTGGTGTGAAGTCGGGAAGACTCCCAGCTGAGCAGCAGACATGTTGCCCAGCAATGAGGTTTCCACACAAGGTAGAACTGGGGTTGAACTTGGTGAACTGTGCACCTGATATGCCACATTTAATGGCTAGAGAAGGACAGCCATCACCCCTTTGAACCTGGATTGTTCTGCAGTCAGATCGGGCCGAAAGTCGGTTGGTCGGATCCAGAGGGTGATTGGAGCGCCAGGGAGCAGGAGAACTTGATGTCCGCATCGGATTACTGGTATTGTTGGTGACGTTGGAAACATAACTTTTGGTCCTCGAGGAAAGCAGAGAGGTGGTGAACATAGCCGGGCCAGTGATGTTTCTGGAAGAATCGAACGAGAGACAATCTGCGGCTGACCACGACTTGATGGCAGCTTGCACAGAGCTAAAGGTCCCATTACTCGTGGCCATCAATCCAAAGAAGTGTGTCCCATCATCATCAGAGATGCAGAGTTGCATGGCAATGCTTCCTGACCTGATGCGTGTAGTGGATAGATGGTCTTCCAAGGCCTTCAGAGCAAATGAACCAACACCTTTGTCCTCTATACCGCTTCCAAGATACACACCGACGGATGCCTCATTGGAGCGCGCAAATAGAATATTCGACTCGTTCGTTGCCCCATAGCCCTTTACCAAGTACCGACGAATCTGCCTGGACAAAGTGCTGATATCAGCAGCTGCAAGCACACCTCCATCAGAAGACCACCCGATCTGATACGTGGCATTCACCGTCTCAACGGGTACCACAGATGTTGATATCTTCGGTTGATTGGCCCAGTCCGCACCGTAAGAGGTGCAGGAATAGAGACGGTGCAGAGTATCTGGGTTGTCGACATCATCATAGAGGGAAAAGTCAAGGAACAAGGCCTGGTTGCAGTATTGAAGTTGGTCAAAGTTGTGGTAGAGGGACCAATTCGAAGGGTAAGGTCCAGCGGCATTACAAAGCGCCGGGCACGCTGTTTCCCCCGGATGATAGCCTGCACTTGCAGTGACAGGGTCCGCAGACAATAGTAGGAAGCCTGCGGCCCCTAGAGCCACCGCGGACCATTGCAAGATCATTTGAATGACTTGTCTCACGAGAATAGGCAAAGACTGTAAAAAGAATGACTGGCTCAAAGAGCGGGAAAAGTTGTTGCTAGCCTCCTGTTACCAGGGAGTGGTGCGAAAAGGGTCTTTTATAGCCATCCACCTTGATTTCGGATGAGCTAAGGGATTATGGTCAGATTTGCCTGCGCATATCAGCGGTAGTGGCAGCTCTACGGCCCCAAGTCAGCGCCCCGCTTCGCCCGCGATGACCATTGGTTCTATACTAACTCTACAGGGTTATAGGACCGTGACAATGTGGGTCGAAACAGATTGGGTCCATATGAAATGTGTACAGTCAACTTCGGCCTGTCCGTGAGAGGGTGGAGTCTCTCATCGCTGACATGTAAAATGAGCCCATTTTTTATGTCACGAATTCGAAGAGAAATTGGCATACAACGTTACTAAGAGCTAGCTCGAGAATTAGCGGAGCTAGTGCGAAATTTTCCTTCTGTGGACGAGCTAGACGTCCAGTCGCCGTCTGCGTTGCAGGGGCGTTGACTGAAGGCGAGTCCGGAGGCCGAAGACTTACCGACGGGCCCGAGAGGTGTCAACTTCTGCCTGCACTAGCTCGTCGTGCAAAATCCACATTCGAGGTATAATATTCCGAACCATCGTGGGGGCCATGACATGGGGCCACATGCTAGACTCTGATTTTCTGTCATTAGAGACATTACCTCGGAAGCAGCGTTGAGAAAGTCTGCAGAGGTCAAAATTTTAACGAACAAGGAGTGGGAAGCTTTCGATCTTACAAACTATACAGCCAACTCCACAGTTTTGATCTCCCTTCGTTATTTGATGTACTCAGAGTTTTATACGGCCATAATTATTCGCCTTTCGTGTATTTCAGTACTTCATATCAAAATTGACTGCAGTACATTATTAAGTGACATAGAAATATTGCTGGCGTAGTCCTTTACGAACAAGCCTGGAAGTGAGCCAAAGGAAGGGGTACAAGATCATCCAAGTAGGTAAACCAGCCAAGCCAAGCCTCCTGCAAGCCATACGGGTTCCCTGGTCCTAGGCTTCAACCATGTTCGCCCAGCATTGGTACTGGCAGTTGGGGTCTGTGCCGGAGGAGGACCACAGGTTGAGACATCAGGGACCTGATCTATGCAAGCAGAATAGCTGAGAGCGGCAGTGATACTTGATGCAGCTGTCGAGTTTATCGTGACTGCACAAGGAGTCGGGGTGACTGAAGGCAGCGAAACATTTGCGAGGACGGGACATGAAGGGCTGTAAGTCAAATTACCTAGATCATTCGAAGGAACCTTTTCCAGGCCCGAGATATCGAAGTTCAAGGATTCATTTGCCGCACAGGTGTCGTGTTTTGTTGCAGCGACCAAATCCAGTGGTTGGGCCCCGTTCTTGGTGCTAAACCACAAAGTTTTATTCTGGGTCACTTGAGTAAAATTCAGGCTGCCATCAGCGGCAGACCCTGAACAGCTCAATGTAGTGAGAATCCATTCGAGCTTGTAGATCGCATCTATGGAAGTCATGTTTCCGAGACTCGTGTAAATGAGGTAAGGATCGGGTCTGATTTCCTGTTGCATTTTCCACAATTCCAAAAACCAGGGGAAGATCTGTAGGTTTCGATCGCTATCCCACCTCGAAATAAAAACCTCCAGGCTAGGGTTCAACCAAATAGCCAGCTGGGGATTTTGGATGGCAAAAACGAAAGGCATCAAGTCGGACGTCGTGTAGCTCTCATTATGTGGAAAGATCAAATCGACTTCCACGAAACCAGAGGTTTGCTGGGCATTCGTAGCCAGCAGAAGTGGCAGAAGACACCAGCAGAGATAGCTCAACCGATCGAAGAAGATCATTCTGTCGGATGGTGGACAACTTGGAGACAACTCGAAGGTCAGAGGCGTTGGGCTTGAGTAGACACAGTCTGGTTATTGATCACTTTTTCAGTTTTTTTGTAAACAGTTGAGAAGAAGGTGCATCGAGGATGGCAGAAAATCTAGAGGCGGGTGGGAATGGTGCAGAACTAACCTCTTTGAACTTCACGCCCGAACTGCGTTAGGACACGGAATTTTGCCCAGTTTGGGCTTGCCGCGGGTAGCTATAAATCGTACCGAACATAACTGGTCACAAGCAAATCGCCCTGGAGGTGCCTAGGGCGAAGGACAACAGAACTTGAGGAAATAGGGGTTTCAGAAGGACCCTGCAAGTGTAACTTCAGTAGTAACCTTACTAGTGATAGCGTTAGTGGTACCGATGCTACATCGCAGGATGTACTACGGGGTACGCCCTAACAACTAACATCTAGCAACTAGCGGGCATTTCTAAGCGGTATCTACTAACCTGCCCCTTACAAAAAATACCATTTTTTACGCGCCCTTGCTACCCAGTTAAACGATACTGCCCACGTAAACCGTATCCTGCCGCTTTTTTAAGGGTGATCATACAGAAGATGCTTCACAACAAATTCGAATAGCACAACAGCCATACTTTATTAGTTCTCGATATGAGAGACTGTAGGAGTTATATATTAGCAGATTACTCTGCTTGACTTTGGTCAATTTCTCGGACGCCTTTTATATAGCTAGTACATAGTACTCTTATGTTAGATTGAGTGTAGATCTACTGTACTGATATCTTGCCTCTTTTGTATGATCACCCTTGCAAATGCGGCAGGATCGTTTGGATGGCGAGCCCTCGCGTATCCGTAAAAATAGTAAATTTTGTAAGGGGCCGGTTATCGTACCACCGTACTAAGGACAAGGACCTTAGTGGTAAATACTAAAGATACTAAGTAGGAGGTACCCTTGCCGACGGAGTCCGTGCCCTGACATGTCTCAAATGGTGAATCTGAAATAATTACTCCGTAGTGTCCAACACCTAGAACCATAGGTCGTAAATGAGATGAGGTTGCTATTAAATTAAATTGTAAAGGCTTATCCACTTGTCTAGTAAATCAAGTAATAGGCTATAGCTAAGCAATGCCAAGTCCTGGGGGACTGGATCGTGCGGCCCTCGGGAGGCATAACCGGATAACTTTCGGAAATTAGGGATGCTTTGGGTCCGTGGCCCGTGGGCTAGTCCGCCACGGCGCAATGCGGGCGCGCCATGGTGTGGGTCTGTGCGTATGTAATTTGGTCCTCCTTATTCTTTTCCGATTTTCGGTGTGAGAATTATCCTGTCAGGTAACCTATACTATATACGCAATCGACCGAAAACCACTTTCATAGGGTGCCATCATCTTATCATAGACTCGTAGTAGGTGCTTTCAATTATTCGCTTTTACCAAGGTATCGGACTAAACGAAGGAAATTGATAATCCGAACCCCCCATGGGGTGGGGGGGGCTGATTTTTGCCTAAGCATTAGAGTGGGCGATCAGGCTGCTCAGGGTCGAGATCGATCAGGGCGCAGCTCAGGGCGGCAAGGTGACTAACTCACCCTGTGCTCCGGGATCCGATCACTTCCTGAGGCGGAATTTTTACCGTCACCTATATAATAGTAAAATCAGCACGTGAGGAACAACTACTTCCGCCAAGCAGCGTTCAACATACAAATTATTTAATAGATTTGGGTGCTTAGTGTTAATGTTACTTATTGCCTGCAACTAAGAAGATGCTGGTAGGTTGTGTAGGACCCATTTCACTCCATCAACGACAATTTCCGGCTGGGTCATCTGGACAAAGTGTCCACTCTCGGTGGCGAAGACAAGCTCGCTCTTCGTAGAGAGTTTCAAGAATTCCTTCATGAGACCCTCACTCTTCGCATCGACCGTCTTGATCAACTCCCTCACATGGCTCCTCTGCTCCTCGGTCCCTTTCCCTTTAGCAACGCCCGCCTTGTACAATCCACTCCAATCCCTGCTTCGTGTGCCCCCGATCACATAAACCGGTTTATCTCCAACCAGTGGCTGCTTCTTACTTAGCTCCTTCTTCCGCAGCGTCTCGAAACTTGGCATGTAGTTCTCGGAGTCCTCTTTGTGCGCAATCAGCTCGAATTTTTCGGTTGCTTCCGCCGCCCTGAATGCGTCCCACTCCTCCTGCGTCAACTTGTGCTTCGCTTCCACGCCCCAGGCAGAGTATGGTTCAACCCCCGCTGCAACAGTCCAGAGAATTGGATCGTTCACGTCCATCACTAGTGGCGCTGTCTCATGGTTGGCGTCCACAAGCACCAGACCGGCGATTTGGTCAGTTCCCTTAAGGGCGATGTACTCATGCGTCAGCACGCCCGCCCAGGAGTGACCCACAAGGATCAGAGGGTTCGGGATAGGCGCCTTTTCGATCAGAAGGGAGAGCTCCAGCGCAACGTTCTCGGCCGAGGGTGCGAGCGGCGAGGACTCCGAGTTGTGATAACCGGAACGGTCGTAAGTGTAGCTTCGCAGTGAGGGACCCAGCAACCGCACCACGGCTTGCCAGTTGAGGGCATCGCTTGCCACACCCGAGATAAATAATACGACGGGATCTTTGGAGCTGCTGGGCTCTGGGCCGTGAGTGTAGAGAGCCAGAGAGTGGGTGCCGATGTTGACGAGGCGGCCGTTCAAAGGGAGGGTTGAGGAGGCCATTGTGGTGATAGTTTTATGATTTCTTAAGGTTGTACCCAAAGTTAATCTAGCAGACCCGGCTATGTTTCCGATAGGTCGTAGAGATTGAGATTGTGACGATCCCGCCAGTTTTAACTGCAGTAGAAATCGAAAACAGATTACCCCTCAGACACTCACGCTTTCTGTCCAGCGCCCCACTAAGATTACGCTAAACTGAATTAGGCTAGGGAAAGTCCCACGATCTTTTCTTGATGTTCCTCTGGTAGATCACCCATAGCAGATAGTGGCCTATATCGATATCTGGATAGTCGTATCTACGAAAGAGTCGACTAACAAGCTCAGGATGCCGATTTAGATAGTTTGTTAGCCAGCGAAACGAACTTTTTAGCAAGAGTCATTGATTTGACTAAATCATACACAGTGGCATCAATGGCCCAACAAGCGTTGGACATTCCCAGGAAAAGTGCGTCACTCAGCCCACAGATCCGAGAGCTGAACATCGGGATTGGTTGAGAACCTCACAAGCAGGTCGGAGTACATGTCAACAGCCCTACATACACTTGTTTGATCGAGGACATCATGCCAGGCATCAATCGTCACACGGAGTCCGCCTTCTTTGTCGGTCGGGTAGGTCTCCACCAATATTTGATCTGGAGGATGGAGCCACTCGTACTCGCACGTTACCAGGGCTTGAGTTTTGCCAAAGCTGAATGGCACGTCGGGATCAATGTTCTGATGCAGATAATTGCTCTGGTGGGTTGTCCCGCTAGGCCAGGATGTGCATTTCTCAACAATCTGACGGAAATCAACTAGTTCATGATCCAGGCTGTCGCGGTGTTGGTCTTGTAGACTCTGCATGAGATGAAGAGCAGAGCGCATATTCTCAAAGTTCGCTCGGACGGGGATATGATTGAGGCACATGCCGACGGGTTGTGGGACATCCGTTGAAGATTGGCTCCGGCCGTTAACGGTTTGCGCGAACACGACGCTGTATTTACCACTGAGCTTCCAGAGGAGGAAAGCCCAAGCAGCCTTCCCAAGCGTTGCCTGGGTGAAAGACTGTGGCAAAGCGTTCCCAAGCCTTATATAGCGCGTGGCGGTAACAGTGCCGTGAGTACTTCGCTCGGAGGGCGCCTGGTTTTCGTGGCCGAAAGACCCATTGTCAATCCTGGAAACTCCAGCTCCATCAAGGACATTCTTCCAGAAGTTGAAACTCTCACCCCGCTGGCCCATCACCCAATGCTTGATGTGCTCAGTCATATTGCCTGGTTCCGGCAAAGACGACCCTTCGTACAAACTTTTCAAATCTTGCCAAAGTATTGCCAAGCTGTACCCATCAAACTGTCCGTGACTGAGGCGGACGATGAGAATGCCTTTCCCTTGATCATTATGCGAAAACGAAAACTGTGTCACCGGATACTCGATCGTTGGAGCGACAACATTCTCACGACAACGCACCTCCTTCCCAAAGCTCTCAAGTGTGGGACGTAGACCTTGATTGTGGATGCAGGTGTCAATCTGACTGAGAACAATCTGAACGAGGCTGTCCTGGAATGGGACTACAACGGTCCGGAGGACACTGTGTCTCTCGACTAATGCCGTACAGGCTTGCTGAAGCTTGTCATAATCCACTGGACCTTCGAAGTTGATGCACCAATACTCCGGTGGTTGATACCACATGCGCTCAACAGACTCGGGAACAGGATATATCTCATCAATATTCTCTTTTTGGAGAGCTGCAGGCCGAGACGACCAGATCTTGTCGATCATGTCCTTGTCATTTACAAACCCAAGGTACCGGCTGAACGAGACTGTCGAGGATTTTATCTCCATCTCACTGTCTGCAGTGAGTTTGGCCAAATCGGAGAGTTTCGGGGTCCGAAACAGATCGGTAACTCTGAAGGTAAAGCCCGCTTTGCTTGCCTTGGAGACGAGTTGAATAGCAATGATGGAGTCTCCGCCGATCGAAAAGAAATTATCTTCCATTCCAAATCCACTGCCATCATCAAGCCTAAGGACGTCGGCGACAATCCTGTGAAGTGTCTGCTCAACCGGTGTCTTTGGTGGCTGTTGAATTTCTTTCCGAGTCATGTATGCTTCTAGTTTCTCCCGGGAAAGCAATGCCGCCTGCTGACGCAGCAAACGGCGATCTGCTTTGCCGCTGGTAGAAACGGGCATTCTGACAAGGGGAATGAAGATAGGAGGCACCATGTAAGATGGAAGTCTCTTTCTCACCGCTTCTGTTGATTCCTGTGCCCGTAAACGATGCTGGTCATTGACACAATCAAATAGCTCAATGCTGCTCTCGGGAGCCGGTTGACTAGTCCCACCTTCCATCTCCACTGACTCCTGATAATGGACGAAAGCCATCAGAAGTGGGTCAGACTTCCGGTATGCAGGCAAAACCATTTCGACGACGACATCGGCCTTAATGCAATTGCGAATTTCATGTTCAATTTCGCCCAGTTCGACTCTCTGGCCTCGTATCTTCACTTGCGTATCCTTCCGACCGCGGAAGTGGATGGCTCCATCGGCCCCATATTGAACCAAGTCTCCAGTCTTGTAAAGTCTGGAGGTGGGACGCAAGGACCGCAGCCATTGCGGTGGCTCGATGAATGCAGCTGCAGTCTTCTCGGCATCGTTCAGGTATCCCCGAGCCAGTATCGGTCCTTCGAGGAGAAGTTCCCCTGAGGCACCAATGGGAAGGAGTCGTTCGTGGTCGTTTGGATCAACGATCCACGGAATAGCACCATAAGTCCGTCCGATTCTGCTCGGATCCGACTTAGCATCCACATTGGCAACGATGCAGGATACAGACGCTTCAGCTGGGCCATAACCGTTCACTAGACGGACTTTACCAGTCCACTGCCGGATGTCATCCTGCGACATGGCCTCGCCGCCTAGAATTACTGTCTTGAGAGTGGGCATGCTGTCTGGGTGTAGCACACGTGCCAAAGAAGGAGTCAACTCGATGCGGTTGACGTGGAATTGGTTCACAGCCCCGGTAAGGTCATTTTGCAGAGCCTCTTCGGAAGCAATGCAAAGACAGCCGCCGACCAGAAATGTCCACAGATAATCCGCGATGCTCACATCAAACATGTGAGATGCAAATTGAAGGGTGCGAGATTGCGAATCCAGGTACAATGGCCGGAACTGCGCTCGGCCACTAGTCAAGAATGCGGCATGCTCGATGATGATTCCCTTAGGACGTCCAGTGGACCCAGAGGTGAAGATAGCATAAAGAGCGTTCTGAGGAGTAACTGCAGAAACACAAGAAGCGCCTTGATCACAGTTTCCAGGGGAGTGGTCTGGTCCAACTGGCATAGCCGCGGGTGCCAAGGTGACGGCAACAGAGAGATATCTAGTAGATGAAATGATAAGCTTGGCCCCAATGCTTCGTAAGATGTGGCGCATTCGTTCCTCTGGAACCTTAGGATCCAGAAGAAGAACAGCACCTCCGGCCTTGATAACCCCCATTATGGCAATGGCCGTCCAGCAAGACTTTTCCGAGAGAATTGGGACCAAGATCTCTGGCTTGACACCTAGAGCCTGAAGATGCGCCGCAAGGTGGGTTGATAGCTTCTCAAGTTCTCCGTATGTGAATTGGCCATCCCATGCACAGACTGCCAGCGCGTCTGGCATCTCCGCACACTTTTGCATAATGCCGTCATGCACACATCCATTAACAGGGTCTGGAAGGGAACCATTGAGCTGCATGATCTTTTTATGGTCCTCTGGGCTCAATGAGCTCAAGGATGAGATCTTACTCATGGGTTCTGACTGGATTTGCCCTATCTTGTGCGTGAAGTGCGACATCATTCGGTGCGCCCGCTCCAGTGTCAACACACGTGAATCAAAGTCCATGGTAATGGATATATCGGCAGCTGAGAGCTCGCAGGTGACCTCAAGAGCATAAGAGCCGAAGTTTTCGGGTACTCGCGGTTGTTCGTCTTCGGTCCAAATGGCCCGATTAGATGCAACAGATTTGGCAGATGGTTGGATAAGCAGCAGATTCTGGAAGCTGCATGCTGCGGATACATCACCGCCGAGTTGACGAATATTCTGCAGGCCAAAATGCTCATAAGAATGCATGCTCACATATTGGACTTGCTGCCTGCTCAATTCATTGATGATTGTCTCATTTTTTCTTGTGTGAAATCGGAAGGGCACAGTGGCGATTGTCGGGCCGGTAAAAAGGTCAATACCAGGCACATCAACCTCTCGACCAGAAACGGTCAGCCCATAAATCGTATCTTCTGAGCCAGTATAGTCGGCCAGTGTCAAAGCCCATGCTAGTTGTATGACATTTGCTGTCGTGAATCCTGGCACTTTCTGAGTCAGGACTGTACCTTGCACAGTCGAGTTCACAATGGGGTCAAAATCAGGGGTTGGTAGGCTAGGGAACATGTGTCCGTCGAAATTCTGAAGTTGAGATTTCCAAAAATCTTGGGTTTCTGTCGAATGGGCTGTCAAGATGTGACCAACGAATGATCGGAATGAGGACTCAGGAAGCGTCTGGCCTCCGTAAGCTTTCTCTACCTGATTGAGAACGAAGGGGAGTGACCAGCCATCATACAGAGCATGATGAATTACGAATCCGAATTTGACATTGCGTCCAGAGATAGGCTTCGTTTGGGCCAAACGCAGAAGCGGCTGGCCCAGGGAGAAGCCTTGCTGTGAGAACGACGCAACATACTCGCCAATGTCCTCTACTATGTCCCAGACTTCCTCATAACGGACCACAACCTGAAGGAGGGCATCGGTGTGGATGATTCGGCTCCTCAATATTGAGTTGGCTTTAAGTACAGCCTGCCACGCTGATCGAAAGCGCGAGACATCGATATCCAAGGCAAGGGTGTATGTGAACGATCCCATAAATGCCCCAGGGCGTTTCATTGAAAGAAAAGTGATTCCTTCCTGTAGCGATGTGCATGGACAGACGTCTTCAATATGCGCGAGGTCAACTGAGCAACGCTGCGCTGCAGTTTCCAAAACCGAATCTTTGGCTGTGATCGGAATCAAGTCAAATGGACGAATAGTCTTTCCAGTGCCGCTTTGCAGGGCTGATACTCTCGCTATTCCTGCCATTTCTGACAGTCTAGGATGAGTGAAAATATCCGCAACGGTCAATATAAGGCCTCGTTGGTGGATCTCTGATGACAGCTTCATTGCCATCACGGAATCTCCACCACTGTGAAAAAAACTATCACCAGTCCTGATTGTATCTAATTGGAGGCCTAGTATATCGGACCACAGACTGGCAATCAAATGCTCCATCTGGGTGCTAGGTAGACGCGTCTCTGTGGGGGAATCCGTCATCATCATCATGCTGCCAAGATCATTGGTGGTAGCTAAATCACGGAGCAGAAGCCTGTCCAATTTGCCAGTTGGTGTGACGGGCATATGGTCCAGGGGAATGTAAATATTAGGAACCATGTAGGGAGGAAGCTCCGCAGAAATTCGTGTCACTGAAGCCCGAGCGAGATCACGAAATTCTTCCGAGACTTCCGCCAACACTCCCTGGCGTGGGTTGTTTGGTCTAGGTGTGCTATCGAGCCCGAGGCAAATAAATGCACAGAGACGTGGGCTAGCCGCTGATGAAGATAATTTTGGTTGAATCAATTCCACAGCAACCGTTGTTCCAGGTTGAAAAGACCGGATCAGATGGGTTTCGATATCTGCAAGCTCAATGCGCTGACCGTTGACTTTGACTTGACGGTCGCGTCGTCCGATGAACTGGATCATACCATCGTCTGTGTATCGAACAAGGTCACCTGTGCGATAAAGGCGAGACTGGTCATTTCCACGCAGATGAGAGAGCCAGGGAGGGCCGGGTATGAAGGCTGCCGCGGTCTTCTCGGTGTCATTCATATACTCCGTGGCAAGTGTTGGTCCTTCAACCAGGAACTCTCCAATAGCACCCCAGGCAGCTAATTTTGAGGGCTGAGAAGGGCTCGTGATCCAGCCTAGTCCGTTGATGACTGGACCGATGGTGCCACGGGTCCAGCCTTTCGTAGGTAATTGACCAGCTGCGACAACGAAAGTGCACTCGGCCGGGCCATACGCATTAATTAAGGACAATCGGTCAGCCCATTTCTCATAAACGGTTGTGGACAATGGTTCACCTCCAATTACAAGGGTCTCAAGGCACTGGACATTCTCCGGCTGCAACAGAATTGTGGCGGATGGGGTGAGAAATGCCCAATCAATTCCATGACATTGGATAAAGCCAGTGAGATTGGAGGCGCGTTCTGTATCAGCAGGGATGCAGAGACATAGCCCAGATGATAAGCATGCAAAGATTTCCCATATGCTTGCATCAAATGCATAAGAAGCAAAATGTAGTACCTTTCGCGCCTGGTCAAGTCTCATGGGGAGGTGAAGGTCACGTATACCAGTCGAAACGGCAGAGTGACTCAGTACTATTGCCTTGGGCTTTCCTGTACTTCCTGATGTAAAGAAAATGAAGGCAGGGTCTCGTGAGTCGGGCTCACAGAAATTTATCGGTGATTGCGGGGGAGTCACAGGCATTGATTGAGACACCACAATGATTTGTGAACTTGACAGCTCGACCGCAGCCCGTGTGACATCCGAGACAAGCAAAATTGTAGCGGAAGCGTCAATAAGGAGAGAGTTAATTCGGTCCGATGGGTGGCTTGGGTCAATCAGTACGCATGTACATCCTGCTTGAAGGACGGCCAAAATGGCCACAATGGTCCATCGAGACTTCTCCATACAAACGGCCACCGTATGGCCTTTTCCAGGATGCATTCTGTAAATGATGCCAGCATACTGCATGGCATAAGTTTCCAAGTCTTTGTAAGAGAATTTCCCATCCCATGAATCGATAGCTATCTTGTTTGGGCGGAATTGGCAATTTGCAAAAACATTATTGTGCACAAGTTGACCTTCTCTTTCGGGGACGATGGCATTTCGACTTTTGATCCGATCCCAGTCGTGTGGACTGAGGATTTCGAGCTCTGAGACCTTCTGGTTTTGGTCATGATAAATTTGCTGAAGGATATGATCTAGTTGTCGTAAGAGTGCGACAGACTGATCATAGGTCACCTGTGACGTATCAAAGTTACACGTCAGGTCAACATTTCGTTCACCTGGATGCACCGTGCATATCAATAAGAAAGGACAGGAGGCAAATTTTGAGTATTCGTCACTCTGGATAGGAGGCTCTTGAAATACGGGTGATTGTGCTTCGTGGGAGGCTTCGTGTGTCGTTTGAATAACCAACTGGGTCTGAAAGTTGCATGCTGCTTCAGTCTCTGAGTTAAAAGATCGAATCCTCTGCAATCCGGTTTGTTCAAAGGGAATAACATTGGACAAATGCTCTTGAATCGATTTTAGGCTGTTGCAAATGGTGGAATTCAGGGAAAGCTGAACGCGGAAGGGTATTGTGGTGATGGTTGGCCCACTAATATTCTCAATGTTCGCAATGGGTGTATTTCGCCCAGAAAGAGTCAGTCCATAAATGACATCTTCAGAGAGTATATATTGACCCAGAAGGATGGAGAAAGCAAGATGAATCATCGTGGGCATGGTGAACTTGGAAGTTTTCTGATCATTGAAATGTGCTGTGTGAGATGAAGACATCCGAGATGACATAGCAGTTGGATCAGCCCTGGATGGGAAAGCTGTTCCTGGCGTCAAATCTTTGAACTCGGATTCCCAGAATCTTTGGCTAGCAGTATGATCGAGTCCGATCGTATAGGCCACAAATGGGGCAAACGGCCGCGTAGGGAGCAACGCTCCGCCATATGCGGCCTCGACTTGTTGTAATAGAAGAGGGAGCGACAACCCATCATAGAGAGCATGATGAATTAAAAGCCGGAGCTGGCATCTTTGGTCGACATTGGAAATGGCTATCTTAGCCAGAGTGCCGCCCAAGCAAACTTCCAAAGGTTCAGCATCTTGTGACCATTCAAAGGGACAGCAAAGAACTGTTTGGTATAGAGTGTAGCCATGATTAACAAAACGAGTTCGTAGAATTGGGTTGGCCCGAAAGACAGCTTCCCAGGCAGTTCGAAGGCGACAAATTTCCGTGCCCTCGGGAATATCCCAAACGAGCTGGGCAATATATGCATGAGGCTGTCTCAGAGTCAGAGCTAGAAGTGCCTCCTGCATCGGGGATACCGGATAAATATCCTCTATATAGGAACTGTCCACATTGCACTGGTTAGCTGCAATATGCAGAATGCTGAATCGAGAGGAATCTGGTAGAAGCGAAAATGGCAGATGTGTAGTGGCCTGTTTGTCGGTATTTGGACGAAGAACGTTGACCATTGCCCGCAGGGATGGACAACTTAGTATCTCCGCGCCAAGTATTGCCAATCCGGATTCTTTCAAAGTGCTCACTAGTCTTATAGCCGATATCGAGTCGCCTCCAAGGTGGACAAAATTATCCTGCATGCCTACTTCTGTGACTGGCAGTTTTAGGATTGCGGCAACGGCTGTTCGCAAAATCGTCTCCACCTGTCCCAGTGGACCATCCTCAGATGATGTTGATGGTGTGAGATCTCTTAGTGTCTTGCGAGATAGCTTTGCCGATTCTTCTTTGAGCCGTCGACGATCAATCTTGCCTGACAAAGTCAGGGGCATTGACTCCAGGGTAAGGAACACGGTCGGGATCATGTAGCCCGGGATGCGAGATCGTAGCAGAGTCTGCGTAGATCTGATTTGCTCGTGGAATCCATCACTTGCGCGGGTCCAAAGATCGTGATTAGACAGTCGTGTTGTGCCATTTGAAGGGGACAGGGATGATGACTGTTGTTTGTCGAGTTGATCAGCTGATGCTGCTGCTGGCACCATAAAGGCTGCGAGGACAGGATGTGTGCCACCATCTAATGGCGTAATTAGATCGACTACGATCTCTCGAGTATCAGGCAGACAATTCATCAGATGCTGCTCAACCTCACCCAGCTCAAGCCGCTGTCCATGCAGCTTAACCTGGTTATCGCGCCGTCCGATATAGCACAACGATCCATCTCTCTGGGGACTATACTGAACCATGTCACCCGTGCAGTACAGACGGCCCGGTCGACCACTGCGTAGGCGAGACAGCCATTCTGGGTATTCAATAAAAGAAGATGCAGTGCTCTTTGGATCGTTGAGATAACATCTAGCCAAAGTTGGACCTTCAAGGACGAGCTCACCAACTGCTCCAATAGGAGCCAGATGTTTTGATTTCCGAGAAGACAGAATCCAAGGGACGACAGCAACACCTCGGCCGATATTTCTAGGGTCCGATTGTCCTGTAACATCCGGTTGCACAATAGAGTCTACGGAGCATTCCGCGGGGCCGTAACTGTTGACGAGACGAATCCGACCTGCCCACATGTGGACGTCCTGCATCTTAAGTGCTTCCCCGCCTAAGACCAAGGTGCGCAGAGTAGGCATTTTGGACGGATCAAGCACGCGAGCCAACGATGGCGTACAGGAAGCCCAATTCACATCAAATTCGTTGAAAGCATTTTCAATGTTGTTGCGCGCATCGATGTCGGTGGGCATACAGACGCAACCTCCATGGATTAAGGGATAGAGGATATCAGCAATTGAAGCGTCAAACGTGAAGGATGACAATTGAATGACACGTGAGGTTGAATCCACACCTTGCTCGGATCCGTTTTTTATGGCCGACGTCAAGAAAGCTCGGTGCTCGATTACCACCCCCTTTGGCCTTCCAGTGGACCCAGATGTGAAAACTATATAAACGGGGTCTGCAGGAGTCACGAAGGTGGAACAGATATGGCGAATCTCCTGCCAGCCTTTTCTATGCTCAGCGATGTTGAGTACTCTGAGATCCAGAGAAGAGGCATTGGCCATGTGCTCGTCAGAAGAGATGACGAGAACTGGACGCGTATCCTGGCATTGTTGTCGAAGCCGAGAAAGTGGCAAAGAGACATCCAGCAGTAGAAACGTAGCACCAGCTTTCATGACACCAAGCATTGACACCACAGTCCACATCGACCTGCCTAGGTAGATCCCAACATATGCATTACGAGTGACACCAAGCTCCTGAACATGGGCAGCCAGATTATCTGAAAAGACTTCCAGTTCTTCGTAGGATAGTTTCCCATCCCATGCAGCAACAGCTGGCGCTGTGGGGTTCGTTTCCGAAAATTGCCGAATGTATTCATGGATGCAGATATCGACCTCGGATGGAAGGTGTAGATTCCAGGCTCTGATCGTCTGAAAATCCTCGGTATTGATGGGGACCATTTCCTGCAAACTGATCTCAGGATGGTTGGTAATCTCATTCATGTTGTGTACAAATTGTCGGAGGATTCCCTCTACCATGAGTTCATCAACAACTGCGGGATCGAATGTAGCTTCAAGCAGTGTGGAATTTCCTTTGTTGAGCTTCACCTCCAACATCAAAATGTAATTGTCAACTATCTCAACAGGCGATTGGTCTACTTGACTCCCGAATATGGTAGACGGCGCCATGTCATTGCTGTTGGGTTGAACAATTAACAGACTTTGGAATCGACAAGCAAGTGCCGCACCGCCCCCAAGCGATGCAATTCTGGAGAGTCCGAAATGCTCAAAAGGTAAGGTTGCAGCTCTGTCTTGCTGAAGCTTTCGGAGCGCATCGCCGGCTTTCATTCGGCCATCTAACTTCACTCGCAGCGGGAGAGTCGTAAGGGTCGGGCCCATAATCTCATCAATTCCATCCACGGCCGCATTCCGCCCCGAGAGTGTTACGCCAAACACGATATCGTCCGAGTCAGCGTACTGAGCAAGGGTGAGCGCCCATGCGAATTGAATGGCCGTTGTCATTGTTACCGCGACAGCACTGGGTACATGTAGGGAGGCAGATTGTGTCTTTGTCATCATGTCGATCGGGTGATGGTCAACAGACGAAGGGCTTGGGAATAATACCCCTGAGAATCCGGCCAGTTCTGCTCTCCAGAAAGTCTCGGCCTTCTGATAATCAAGACTTGCCAAGTACATAACGAATTTGTTGAACGGCTCCCATCGCGGTATTGTCTGACCAAGATAGGCGCAGTCAATAGCCCGTAAGATTCTCGGCAATGAAAACCCATCGTAAAGGGCATGATGGATTGTGAAGATAAAGTAATCTATGCTACCTGCACTCACAATGCCCAAGCGTATCAATGGATCACCCGGTTGAAAGGACTTGCCAGTATCCTGTTGGACATAGGTATCGAGTGTCTCTTCGCGGCGCCAGGCGATGGAAGTAGAAACAACAACCTGCCATGCACTCTGTTCAGAGTGAACAATTCGAGTCCGCAAGATTGGGATTTTCGTGTATACTGCATCCCAAGCCTTTTGGAGTCGGCCAAGATTGATGTTGGGCGGTAACCGAGAGACAAAACGGGTGACATATGTCACAACTGATCTTTTCGCAGAAAGAGCGACCATGGCCTCCTGTAATGGGGTGCATGGGTAAATATCTTCAATTTCGTCGACCGATGCAAGGTTACAGGCTTTTTGGACGGTCCGGAGTACGCTCTTTTGAGAGCTAATGGGCCTGACTAACGCAAATGGATGTATCGTCTCGCTCCTCCGGCGTTTCGGCCTCACTTTGGTTGCTAAATCCGCAAGTGCCGTCGATTTCAAGACATCCGCGCCAGACAAATCAAGTCCGACCTCTGATATGGCACGAACTAGCTGCATGGCCTGGAGAGAGTCACCTCCGAGACTGAAAAAGTTATCGTTCAATCCAACCATCTTGACGCCGAGAACCTTTTCTACCACTTGACACAATTTCTTTTCTTCCGCAGAGCTCGGAAGCTTTCTGTCGGTTTGAACACTGATGAAATCATCCAGTTCACTTCGAGTGAACTCTGATGCAGCATCTCGTAGCAGTCGCTTGTCGGCCTTTCCTGAACTGTTTCTTGGGATGCGCTTCAGCGGAATCATGACCGCCGGAATCATATACCGCGGAAGATGTTCTGACAGATGCTCTTGGATGTGCTCTGCCAAATGCCGAAATTCATTACACGGGGTTGCAAAAAGATCGTGAGCGCTGGGCCCCTCAGGCTTTTGCGGAATGAATCCCTGGATAAACCCGGCCAAGAGAGGGCCTTTGACATTGTCTCTTGGACGAATCAGATCTGCTACCACTCCGTATCCAGTCCCCAGCAAGGCTTTGCGGATATGGTGTTCCACTTCGCCGAGTTCAAGTCGCTGCCCATGAAGCTTTACTTGACTATCCTTTCTGCCGATATACCGGATCAAGCCATCTGCTACATACTGCACCAAGTCTCCAGTACAATAAATTGTACCATCTGGATCTGCCCCGGGAAATGAGAGACGCCATTGAGGAGGGGGAATGAAATGAAGTCGTGTTTGGACCTCATTATCCACATAACCGCGTCCTACAATGGGGCCCTCGATCAAAAGCTCCCCAATTGCTCCGACAGGTGCCAACTTTTGTATATTGTCTCGATCCACAATCCAGCAATTTGCCACAGTACTGGAGCCAATGATACGAGAGTCGGTGTCGTTTTCGAAAACATGAGTGGTTGTCAAAACGGTGCATTCCGCTGGCCCGTAAACATTAAGCAGGCGCACATGGCCATACCATGTACCAAGGTCGGAAGGCAATACTGTTTCGCCTATTAGCATGAGGGTTCTGACTGTCGGAATACATGTGGGTGACAGAATACGAGCCACCGCGGGAGTTAGCATTAGTGAATTGACACGGAAATCGTTGATTGCTTTGGCGGTCTCGAACTGTCGATCTGTCTCAGAGGGTGTACAGATGCAACCTCCTGCCATCAATATGGAGAGATGATCAAGAACACTGACGTCGAATGTATATGATGCAAATTGTAGATGGCGAGTGTTGGAGTCGAGCCTGAGAGCATTTGTGAAATGCCTATGGCTTGAGCAATATGAGGCATGACTGATCACAATGCACTTCGGGGTCCCGGTGGAGCCTGATGTGTACACAGCATAAAGAGCATTTTGTGGTTGTACAATACTCGAAGACGAGTTTGTACTGTGCAAGGGTGATTGAAGACGCTGGATGTTCTCGTCGTCAATTACAATCACCCTCGATGCGAGTTTGGCAGCAGCGATCGCCAAGTGACCTGGAGCCAAAGCAACTTCAATGCTCAGCAGGCTACACATGCCTTGCAACCGCACTTGAGGCAATGACGGGTCCAACATGAGAAAGGCTCCACCGGCCCTCATCACAGCCAAAAGGGCTATCGTAGTCCAGCGTGACTTCTCGAAGTATACAGCGACGAATTTTTCAGGGCCGACCCCACACTGAATCAGATGTTGTGCCACACTCGAAGAGAGTGAATCCAAATCAGCAAAACTGAGCTCGCCATCCCATGCACAAACCGCGGTGGACTTTGGTTGGGTCTTGCATCGGTCAAGTATTGACCAATGTACGCAAGCATCCACACGATTTGGAAGAGATGAGTTCCACTTGGAGAGCTGGTCCATTGATCGTGGCGAGGCAAGTTCCATGTCCTGCCAAGCACGAACTTTGATCAAACAGCTAAGGACATGTTGAAGAAGGCTAGCAACATTCATTGCCTGTTCCTCGTTTAGAAGACATTCGGAGTATCGGAGCCCCGCCGAACATGTCCCATGATCCCCGCGAACCTCGACGATGACTTTAATCTATTTTTTTGATCAGTAACACTCTCGTCGCTGAAGAGCTGATTGGCTTACCGACTCAGAGCAATGAACAATCCTATTCCATGTAATAGCACTGTTCACCCACTTCTCTCCACTTTCTCTGAGCTCGGAAACATTAAAGGAACGAAGAGCCCTCGGTAGACGCTCCACTTCACAATTCCTTGACAGATTCAAGGACCTCAGACCGCTTGAGTTGCATTTATCTTGGCATAGTTCAAATGTTGTTTCGTTTTCGAGGAAAAGAAAGGTAGGGTGGTCTGACCGTGTGTAGCAGCGAAGCAAGACACACCAGGCGACCTGGAAAATCTGAGAAAGCGTAACGCGATTGCGCTCACAAAATTCAATAAGCTTATCTTCCAAATGTATCGAAATCAATTCCTCGCTCCCTTTGCTGCCCTCGAACGAGGTGTTGAGGAAGGGGAACATGCACTGTTCCAAGTACAATGGCTCGATGCCGTCTTCCTTGTTTGATGGGTCCATGTTCGACACAGGAAAAAGTGAAAGTTTAACTGATCTCACAGGATACCCAGCCAATATGAAAACGACTTGTCAACTATATAATAATCTCGCATGAAGATACCCTAGGTCTACTCTAGTGTCCCTTGCTTTGTTGTGGGTAACTCAGACAATGCACTCATTCAATAGTCAGTCATTTTAGCTCATGTGACTAGTATTGATACATCCATTCTCCATTCTCAAAGGTTCGGACTGCAGGAGCTGTGGGTGATCAAGACTTCTCTCCAGCTCTGCGTCGGGACTTGATCTACAGACCCACTAGAGCAACGAAAAAGGTAAACAGGTCATTCATCCGTGGTGGAAAGATCTGCCCGCTTCCTGTCTGGATTGACAATGACAATGTAGCAGTAGTAGGGTGGTGATAATATCCCTTGACCCGGCAAGCGAAGCTCGCTTTGAATAAAGGAAAATATCGGGGAAGATCTGGCAATTGCTGTACCTACCAAGTCCCCTATTCCTGGACCATTCGGGATGGGGGGAGGGGCGGGCTTTCAAGTGGAGCATCTGCAGACCTTGCCAAGGCGAATGGGAGCGCAATATGCATATACGTAACACAACAGGCACGGTGCAAGATGATCCGCATGCATATGTACCTAGTCCAGAACTCGGTGTAAATGTGATAGATCGAGCACCACAGATGCCGTCAAGCACTTAGCTAAAAGCCAATATGCCCCGGGTGTTTGAGCCTATCAAGTGAACAATGTGCTCGTGCCTCGCATAGTGGCTAGCTAAAGATACTGCAGCTACAGACACATAGTAATCAGACCGGCAGCAGTCAAGAAGCGCGGGAAAAGATCTACACAACCGCATGAAAACCGAGTAACGTGGATAGTGGAGTATCAAGGCGAACAGGAGGGCAATATGTATATACGTAACACAACAGGTGTTGGAGATTGGAAAGGCCCTCATCCTAAGGCACCAACATCGGTCGGCGTCTCTGCCCAGACGGCTGCTGATTGGTCAACTAGGCCCATGAAGATATTCGAAAGTGGCTGCATAATAAGCGCGTATATGCAGTGCACCCATCTACATCACCTTCCCTTCGGATTATCTATCCAGTTCCTTCATAGATCACCAATTAGCGGTGTGAAAGAACAGTTTTGTATGCGTTTTCCTCAGAAAACAGTTCTCAGAGAAAGGGTATAAATATCCTCATGAGAACCAGCAGAAAACAGTATCGGAATTTACTATCAATTACATGTCCATCCTCTTTTCATCCGATCGCCCCCTTATTTCTTAACAGCAGGCACAGTGCAACACGATCTACATACATATGCATCTAGTCCGGAACCCAATTTAAATCTAATAGGTCGAGCGCCTTCGATGTCATAAAGCATTTAGTTAAAAGCTTATGTACCGCACTAGGGTGCTTGAGCCTATCAAGTCAGAAACGTGCTCATGCCTCGCATAGTGGCTAGCTGAGGATACTGTAACTATAGACACACAGTAATCAGACCGCCAGTAATAAAAAGGGCAGGAAATGATTTACATGACTAGCTGCGTACTAGGCAGCTAGTTCTGCAAAGAGAAACTGCATGAATACTGATTTACGTCGACGGTGGAGTGTCCAATGCATCGGCAGTATCCATGAATCGGCGGTGTCCTCTCTGGCCAAATATTTTAAAGCCCAAAAAATTAGCTCATGAAGCCAACAATCAAGTCAGGATTTTTAATAGCCTATTACTATGTCTCTTCAAAAAACTACAGCGGAAGCGTCTGAGTTTAAAGCTTTCTGAGCACAGCCAAGCCACCCCGACCGGCTCGAAGTACGGAAGAGTGACGAACCTTACTCTTCTTCGGCCCGATCTCTCGTGAATCTGCCTGCGGGTTCTCTTTTCGCAAAAATCGACACCGCCACTGACGTGGAACATACGACCTATACCTCTGTCGCAAATGGGAAGGATTCGCGTATCGAACTCAACTCGGATCTCGTCTATTGCAATCACTCCTGCAGTCCCAGCCTCATATTTGACATGTCTCGCTATGAGGTGCGCGTAGCGGGTGACAGACCCCTCGCAATCGGGGATGAGCTCACATTCTTCTACCCCAGCACAGAATGGGAAATGGTCCAGCCATTCCAGTGCAACTGCGGTGCTCAAGGCCAGTGCCGGGGATTAATCTCTGGTGCGGCCAATGAAGAACCATATATCCTTCATCAGTATTGGTTAAACAAGCATATTCGTGATCTTCTGCAGGATCGAGATCAACGCACGAACGAAGACATTGCATGGCCATGCAAGTCAGAAAATGCTGTTTCTACGGAGAAATTCAACCATAATACCGATGGTGTAGTTGAAGCATAGCTGTGAAAATGACTAAGGGCGAAGCTTACTTTTTCGAGGGTTTTTTTCTATCGCTATATCTCATCTCGTTCCTTTTCTTGATTATTATGTCTTAACATACATCGCAAAAGCTACGAATCGCACAATTGGTTCATAGCTGCGGGCTGGATGGGTTGGGGTGTGTGTTTCGCAGCGAACCGAGGGTGAGAAGTGACAAGAAGAGGAATATAAATGCTGTTTTCAGAGTTAACCCTTGTTCATTGATGGTGATCAGGAAACAAACCAAATATGAGATTCATGTAGTAGTAGCCCACAGTCATATGTAGTGTACCGGAGATAATAGGCCCAGCCATCATTGCAACTGTAGCAGCCACGTCGGTCATTGACAGCGCACGGGCAAGGCCTCCATGAGGGCCGAAGATGTTTGGATTCTCTGCTTGATGCTGTTTGACGACGGCTAGATTTTTCAATGAATATCCGAATACCCAACGCGAAATTAGAATAACACACGTACCTATCACTTCAAAAGTTGCAATGCCACTTAAGAACGGGCTTACAGCCCCTATGCCGATAAGGGCGAATATGTAAATGGTTGAACCTCTGGTATCTGGACTTGCCCACGGAAATGACGCATTGCCTGGAACCCCTAACAGCCAGATCAATAGGGCGAACGCGATCATACCTAGAACCGCAGGATTTCGTACCCCAAATCGGTCACGAATCCAACCAGAGACAGGACCGATAACCATGCCAATCTCAAGACAGAAAAACATCAGGCCAGTGTATGAAGGGCCCCAACCAAATGTTTCCTCTACATGTAGCGGTAATGTCGTGTCAAAGCTGGTCATGACTGACCCAGATATAGTAGTGATCAGCAGGGCTGTCAGAACATGGCGGTCTGTAAGAAGAAAGCCATAGAAAGCTCGCAGAGAAGCAAAATCTTGCACTCCTTTGTCCGAAATATCGCTTGATGATGATTTGAATAAGCGTTCGGGATCTTGGAGAGGAGGCGTCTCATCTGCCTCATCTGTCTCATCTGTCTCTATCGACAACGCCTGAGCAATGGCCGAGGATAGATGCGATGAACCTAATGAAGATCTGTCTGGGGTTTCCGGATCAAGCATGACCAAACGAGCAATCAAGTCTACCATGAGTAAGGCAAATGGTACTGTCCAAGCGGCCCAGTGTCCGACATTCTGGAAGAGAAGACCCGAGATCATTGGCCCACTAAGCATCCCGGCGCTCGTAAATGACATGACAACCCCCATTGTCTTTCCAACATGTTCTTCTCCCACGGCTTCTGCGACAGTGGCCAGACCAACCACCCAGACTCCGGATCCGGCGACAGCTTGGAAACAGCGTCCAACAAACATGACCCAGAGGGTTCGACTAGCCGCCGTAAGAGCTGTACCAACCAAGCATCCGCCTAGCGACAGTAGGAGCTGCAGCTTTTTCCTAGGGCTTTTGTCGGAGTAATGGCCTATTACTGGGCTTGCAAAAAGTGAAACGAGCCCATGGACGGCAAGAACAGCAGAGACGTAGAATTGGGGATCCCGGTCAAGCTCTCCATATCCTTCAAGAATGCGATTCAGTATAGGGACCATGAAACTATAGAGAAAGGTATCTAGGATATGTCAGCCAACGTAAATTCTCAAAATTTGATGGCAGCATATGGGGCCCAACCCGTAAACAAGGCGATGGAGATGCAGATGATAGTGAAAGTTTTGGAGGAGCGCCATCGACAACTCGGCAATGTTGGGTGCTCCATATGTGCTAGTGAATAAAAGCACTCTTTCGCGCGTAGTAGAAGAAGAATGAGAAGAAAACGTCGTGTTGCCGGAGCCACATAAGACTCTTCAAACTGCAGCCCCTGGCCAGAGGATTCAATAGGTAGAAGCTGCATGTCTTTTATCATTGCAGCAACATGTCGCCATAGGATCTACATCCTTACGTAGTACCTATTAAGATGATCACTCTATTGGCCAATTAACAGCTACCAAAGCTAAGGCCAAAAGATAGAGGAAAAAGAAAAGATAATACGAGAAATCCGGGCGGAAGTCATAAGACACTGCCACCATGTACGTCCATGCATGAGTTCGCATGAACCTTGCATATTAATGTCGATTCCCTTGCTCCGATACCCCAGTCAACCTCATAGACTACGCTTGGCCGTCTCCCCACATCATGCACTAGTACCTGAACGGGCCGGATTTTCTTTTTTGGGTGTGATGGCGATCCGATTGAGCCATTTCAGCACTTGCAAGCCTGTGGTATAGGTCCACAAGAATTTATTGCACGTCTATATTCTGTAGGTCTATGTACTTCGCGCCAAGCTAAGTGGCGGTGGTGCCGTGTTTGGCAACATGCCACACAATGAGTCGCTGTCACGATGTGACGGGATCAGTTAGGGGACAGGCGCCGATCGAAATCAAGGATTTTTGAGTCCAGTCGATCAGAACCCCAGAGGGCATCCAGCCATCCAGGTGTGGTCGTGGTGAGGGGCGAGTGCGTGGGGTTAGTGGACCCCGGCCCGCAAGTTGGATCTCTCAACCAGTCTACCTTCCTCGAGCGGTCTGCAGGTGCGCCCTCCGAACGGGTCTAAGACCGCCCGCGATGGAGTCCGTATGCAGGATGCCGGTCTCGTATGTCTGTCGTCTGGCTTCCAAATCTAGTCGTCCTGTGCGGCGGGAATAATGTGTGCAGTCTTATTCGGAAGAGTCGAAAAAAGACCGATAGATTATCAATTATATGGAGCAACGCTCGTGCCAGATGTACAAGTGCCGTTCAAATGGATTCTTGAAAAATCCATTAGTGATCGAGGGCGACCAGGATTCCTTATGAATTTGAATCTGCTTAACAGGTACTCCACGTTGCCAGAATTGACGCTGCGTTCCCAGGATGGATTCTCAGCAAGAAATTTCACTTCCTCAAGGTCGACGATGACGATATGATTATTTTTGCAAACAAGAAAGTTGTTCGGGTTCTCATCATTGTACTCGGCTTTGCATTTCCACAGAGCATATAGTGCTTCTTTAAGATGAGTTTCAATTGTTTTCTCATCAATGTCGGCTTGAGCAGCTTCGTACAGAGTTCTTCCGTCCACGTCAGAGAGAAAAAGAGCACGGCGGCCACGGAAAGAGCCTTTGCCAAGAACAGTTGAAGTGACTGTAGATTGTGGTAGGCGTCAATCTCCTTTTGAAACCCCCGAGAACCATCGTTCTTTTCTACTTTGACGATGAAAGATCTGGGCAGCACAGAGTTTGTATTTGGTTCAAGCTCTTGTCGATATACTGAGGATTAAGCGATGATTTCAGTGGTTGAGCCGATTTTGGAACGATTTCGGTATCCGTCAGCTGGAGTATCTAAGAGTGTGAAAGCTTAGTGGTCTCTTCTGATGAACAAACAGTATCTTGACTCACATTCAAGTGTTCCATGCCTGGCAAAATCGTCTCTATTGTGGATATAGGGTGGTTCATGTTCAGGAGGAGGGCTGAAAGATCAAAGCAAGCAAGAGATTGTATCACGTGAAAATTATATATGTCAGAGATCTGACCGCTGGACCAAATGCCGATATTATTTTGAGGTACAGTATTATTAGACACCTCAGTATCATCTTCTGCGTTGAAGAGATGACTTGTAATTCTTTCAACGATGACGATATAGTTGGAGTCAAAATCAGATTCCCTTTGGTACACCTACCAATTCTTCCTCGAATACTATCTTGAAAACATCCTAATCTATATAAAGATTACTCGTCGACCTCCCTTTTCTCAGAATAGAGACCCCTTTTTTCATGACGGCAGGGTGGCGTAAGATACTGCATTTGAGAGAAACATCTTTTCACTGAGATTCTTATGTAAGAGACATAAACCAGGCTTGCTTCCATATCCAGTCTGTATAGCAGAATTGTTTTCCCGTGTTCACAAATCATATCTATCAACGCTGAGGTCAATTGCCAAAGCGAAAGTCTATTTCAGATCATGCTTGATAATATCCGCCGCCTTTTCTGCCACCGCGAACACAGTAGCCTGGATGTTTCCCCTAGGTACCAGTGGAAAGATACTAGCATCCACAACTCTCACATTCGTAGTCCCATAAACCTTGAGATGAGAGTCCACGACGCCACCATCCTCCTCAGGCATCATTGCGCAAGTTCCACTGACATGGTACATAGATAAAACAAGTTCTTTGCACAGTTGCTTGGCTTTCTCCAAGTCTGTCAATGGCTCCGGTGTGTGCAGTCGCTCACCTCCTTTCTTGAGGAGAGACGCCATTGGTTCAGTCTCTGCAATCTTGTCCAACCACATGCTGTGGCGGGCATGAAATTCTAGGTCAACTGGATGACGTAGCGTTCCATGGTCAATAATGGGAGCAGCTCCCGCTTTGGCAGACTGGATATGGACCGATCCACGGGACAGCGGATAACTAAGGAGGGAGACAAGGCTGATGAAAAATCCCGGATGGCCCATACCAAACAGACGCTTAGGGTTATCGCCTTCTCGTGCTAGCATCTGGAATGGCGCCATGATGTACTGAGTTGTAGGTTCTTCTGGATCCATAAGCAGCTCTTGTACTGCCTTGAATTGCTTCTTCTGTGCTCGGGGAGTGCTGGGGCTTTCGATAGACGTTTGGAGATTTTGAAGCAGTTTTTCACGCTCTTCCTCGGGGAGGTTGACACACGGCATAAACGCGGAGACAAAGGGAACCATGCCTAAGGGACCTGAGCCATCCGTCTGATAAGCAGTCATTGCGGCGGCCGCGACGGCAGGATCCCTGGCCATATCACCGGATGGAAGCCCATCCTCAACTTCGTATCCAAACGCAACAATGCCGTGGTCTTGCAAATTCTCCCCAACGCTAGGGTTGTTGATAATCGGGGCAATCCCGTGAGCCCGGAGGACCTTCTCATCTCCAATACCAGACAGCTCTAAAATCTGAGGCGTTTGTGTTGCTCCTGCAGCAAGAATGACTTCTTTGTTGGCTAAAGTAGTGTGCGTCTTCTGGTCCTTCAAGAATTGAACGCCAGTGGCGGTGACTCTGACGCCTCGTCTCTCGAGCGCAATGTTTTGAACCAAAGCCCCTGTCACAACTCGTAGGTTTGGCCGGGCCTGGGCTTCCGGCCCTAGATAAGCGGCTCCAGCATGGCTCCTAGTGTGGGTCGTTGGATCCACTGCACCTGGAGTCACGAAGGGTCCGGTACCAGCACCGTTGATCGGATCATCGACCTGTGGATATCCCAACGTTTTGAACGTCTCCATCCACGCAGCGTGATACGGCATATATTGGTCTCCAAATGACACCTGAACAGGACCATCGGCACCTTGATCCTTCTGATCATACTTCATCCCCTTGAAAAATTCACGGTTTGCATCCGAAGGTGGAGTGCCTTTTTGAAACTTGCGAATATACGGGGACAGGTCATCCCAACCCCAGCCGTGGTTTCCCAATGCCTCCCATGCATTCAATCCGGAACGCGAAGGGTAAATAACCATACCAAAGTTAATAGCTGAGGAGCCTCCGAGCGTCCGACCTTTGCTTGCTAGGAGTTTGCGACCGTTGAGTTGTTCCTACACCCCGGCTCCATTGGTGAGCCACAATTGATAAGACTGTTGTTAATTGATTAACGGGGCAACGTACCTGAGCAATTGATCGAAAGTTCCAATCGAAGTCTGCATCCTCAAACGTGGTCACCCCTAAGCCCGGCACCATAATTCGAGGATCGTTGAGACGATTGGTCCCTGCCTCCAGGACAATGACACTGACATTGGGGTCTTCTGTAAGTCTGTTGGCCACCACCAAGCCCGCAGTTCCTCCACCGACAATGACAAAGTCGAACTGTTTGTTCTCGAGTCCTTCAATGGACTCTGTATCCAATGGCACCATGACTGAAATTTTCGGGTGTTGAGTTTCTCGGCCCTGTTCTAGCACTGCAGAAAATTCTGAAGAGAGTCACAGAATGCAAGGTTACAGGATTTCTCTGAATATGTTACCCCTCATGGTCTTATTAACCCCCCTGAGAACAAGGCTAGAAAAGCTGCTTCGCCAGTGGCTTCATAAGCGACCAATGGCGCAGTAACGGCGGAGCAAAGGCGTGGTAACGGCGTGGTAATAGATCCAACGAATAAGTGAATAATTATGCTTCACAAGTTTTAGTCTTCAGTGCGGGTGCTCCGGGAGATTCCGTGGTTCTAAGCGAGCTTCAAGCTTTCCCAAACCCCGCAGCCGTAGGGATTCATCGTATCAGAGGCTAGGGAGGAATTGACTAGGCTGCCTTGAAACCCCATGACAAGTCGTAAATTGGTGGCGGCCCCCAATGAGACCTGAAAATGGATATGGTGTACGTACTGTCAACAAATACGGATAGTACCGAACCGTAAGCTGTGGAGACGTGGGGGACCGAGCACAGGCATTAGCATGAAGGCGATTTTAGTCCACTCAATCTCTTGCTCCTTCTAGTCAAACTTGGATCATGTCAACCTGTCAATAAACGGCACATGCTCACAGAAGCACACTGCATGGTTATGCTGCAATGGGTTCCTATGGACTCGAATCGAAAGATGGCAGGGAGGTCGTGATTGTTATAATTGTTCTAGGATGGGTTTCGATCTTCTCCACGATCCTTCGGGTTGTATCCCGGAAAATGAGGAATATCAGCTTGGGACTGGACGATTATTTCATGCTGGTTGCAATGGTGTGTTCATTGGCTTCTCCCGGTCGGTGCTATTTCTGACTGAAAGTGCAGTCTATGGTGATCGTCTCGTCGATAGTTGTCATCTTAGGTATGTTTTTTCTTGACTACAAAGGTGGCAATGACTTACAAATGGACTTTCTTAGCTGTTACAAAAGGAGGCGTGGGACACCATGCGATCACAATGGAAGGAAAAGGTGGCTTGGGACCACACACGACTTATGTCAGTTTTGCAGACATTGAATTTGTGCTGAAGGTATGAGAAATTGAATGAACCTTACAATGGAAGTCCACTAACTGATTCCGCCTTTTACAGATGATTATTATCTGTCAAGCACTCTACGGAGTCGGTCTCGCCCTTGTCAAAACGTCGATGATGATCCTCTACTACAAGCTTTTCGGCTCGAAGCCGACAATGCGAATTGCAATCTACGTGACAGGTGCGATCGTTTGGGCCTGGGCTCTGAGTATTGTTCTAGAGTCTTTTCTTCTTTGCCAACCAATCGAGTTTAACTGGAACCCCACGCTGCCAGGCGGCAAATGCGGGAATCGGAACGTTGCCTTTGTGGTGGCCGGGGTTCTGAACATGGTCACCGACCTCATGGTCATGTCACTGCCAATCCCGTATATCTGGAAATTACAGCTACCGGTCGGCCGGAAAGTGGGTTTGACCGCAGCTTTCACGCTGGGACTCTTGTAAGTGCCACTGCTCTTCTATTAAGAGTCGGGAATACCTACGAGTATGTGACTAACATGCATTCAACCAACAGCGTCAGCGCCATTAGCATGGTCCGCGTGGTCAGCCTCATGCACATCAATTTCGCCGATGTGACCTACACCTTGCCCATTCCTTTGATGTGGAGCATTGTCGAAGAGCAAGTCGCCATCGTCGCTGGTAATTTACCTTTCCTCCGTCGTGTTTTCTCTGTGGTGCTTCCTGCAAGTTGGCTGGGCTCGTCAAGACGTGCGACGGCCGGGAGTTCGAAAAGGTTTAGTGGCAGACAAAGATCTACCCAAAATTATTCTCTTACTTGCATAAATGCTGGTGTGAACAGGAGTGAGAATATATCGGAGAGAACGAACAACAAAGATCAAACCACCGAGACAACTAGGTGGAGTGATGACGGTATAGATGGACGGTCAGATACTGAGTTGGCGTCGAACGGAGCAGCTCCTGATGGAATTCAGACGTGGAAAGACTTCCGGTTTGAGTCCACAATGTGATTTGTGACCGACCGTAAAATCAGTCTTTTATCTGATCTCGCTTGCAAATTTCTCAGCTGTTGATCGCCTCCTGCGAATGGAAAGATCGATGTATCTTGGAACTCGGTTGTGTTGGACTGGAGATACCGCCTATTCAGCCAAACATCCATATCTTGGAAGAGATTCTCAGGATGGTACTCCTGTTGCAGCCAGGAGCCCGTGCCATCTGCGATATAGATCAATTTCCACTGTGGATCATCTCATGGATAAGTTCATGCTTTGAAACAGCAAGGTTTGGGGCCATCTTGGTTCAACAAACTCGTGATTGGTTAAGATGGCCCTTGTGGGGGGGGGGGGGGGCTTTTTGAAGGTGGGGGTATGAAGGTGTAGGATATATTGAATTTACAAGCGAATAAATACATACATAGTGAAGGCATACCTAGAGTAATTGATAGTGACTAGTATTTTTTATGTTTTGGTTCTTGGAGATCTATCTTAAACCGTTTATCTCTGATAATTCAGGGAAGCATTCATTTGTCTTGCATCTGTACTCTTTGGATTTTCTGTGACCACATCTGCGCGAAGGGTTGTACGCCTGATACTAACCCCCGTTTAGTACAAAACTGAAACGAGGAGGAGGCTTGAGCGCAACCAACTACTTATCTCCTCCAGTATATCTCATTGGATAACGACTAGAACCGACCGCCTTCTGAGTTTGGGTGAGGCACTTTCATTCCTTGTAACGCTTACTATTCCAGGGCCGACGGACTGCTATAAGTGCCTTATGTGGAACAGCTTCCGACCATTATTCTTGAATCAACGCCCCCGGCACTTAATAAACACTGCGTTACAAAGATTCAAAATGATGAGTTCTGGGAGTGATTATAACGTGAAATTTAGTACGCCGACTGCATCAAGAGCGGTGCCGAAGAGCTCGAGCGACAAGAGCCACTGGGTGAGAGATGCAGGAGGTAATGGGGAAGTGACGGGCTTTACAAATCCATGGGAAAGTTCTCGTGTATTGTCCTTTCCTGCACTATTCAGGGCCATGATTCAGTGTGTGCTTTCCTGGCCCAGCATCTATGCACATCAACAGTAGTTCAATTGCTGACATGGGCCTTCAGGCACAAATTCTTCTCTGGAGACAGCCAGAGGCCTGATACTACCTCATCAACTGTACCTGTCGTCAAACCAAACTTCCTCCCGTCTAGAACTGGATGCCAAGCTCTGCGTGCAACATGGTTAGGTCATGCCTGTTACTTCGTTGAGTTTCCGACTGGCCTACGGTTTCTCTTTGATCCCGTATTCGAAGACCGCTGTTCTCCATTCTCCTGGATAGGCCATAGAAGGCTTACACCCAAGCCTTGTGACATCTCTGATATTCCAACCATTGATTGTGTAAGTCATTCTTTCACTCTCCTCGGTTCACTGGTAGCTGATATATCTATGATGAGTAGGTTATCATAAGCCACTCTCATTACGATCATCTTTCGTACCCCACCATCCTTGAAATTAAAAAACATCACCCTTCGGCCCAATTTTGTGTCCCAAAGGGTCTCAAAAAATGGTTCGCTGACTGTGGCATCAAAGACGCTTTCGAGCTCGACTGGTGGGAGGACATCGATCTCACATTGGTGAAGTCACCCAACGACGATGATGTTAAGGCTAGAATCTCATGCCTCCCTTGTCAACATACATCTGCGCGTACTCCTTTTGATAAAGCAGCCACATTGTGGGCTTCTTGGTCTGTTTCCTCAGGTGGTAAGTCAGTGTACTTTGCAGGTGACACTGGCTATCGCGCAGTCCCGCATTTGCCTAAAGACGTTGATGACTGGGGATCAGATTGGCGAATTACGGGGACCATTTGATCTTGGCCTGATCCCAATAGGAGCGTATAAGCCACGACATGTTTTAAGTTCCATCCACTCGAATCCCTATGACTCCGTTGAGATCTTCAAGGATACGAAATGTAAAAAGGCGATTGGAATTCACTGGGGAACTTGGGCCGCGGCGGAAGAGGATGCGATGGAACCACCACAGTTATTGAGGAAAGCACTCGCTAAAAGCGGACTTCCTGAGACTGGAGTATTTGACGTGTGCAATATTGGGGAGAGTAGGGAGTTCTGAGATTTAAGTGTCTGATGAGTTCATATTTTAATAATCTGGTGGATCGCATTCACCGATTTTCCCGAGCATTCAAACATTTACCAGAAGTAATGTGCCTGTGATATGCAACAAGTCCCACTATCTTCTCCACCTCTGGTTGTGTCAATTAATTGACTTTGATTTCACACATGTGTTCTACCAGAAATACATCAAGAGAAGATAGTGGGGACGTTTCCTGTCCTGACCGAATTCAGTTTAGCGCGATCGGAGTGGTGTGGACGTGGATATTGCTACTGCAGCCATTATTTTCTTTATTCTAGATCTACCAACAGGGAATATGGGGTTAGATAATCACAGACACGAGAAGAAACGGTCGCGGATACAACAATGGGTGGATTTCGGGAAAGCTGGCGATATACAAATTCCTCCGTGGCAGGCGGCATGAGCACTTAAACTTACGTTCTGCGGGCTGAATCTCTCGGAGATGTCGATTCTGCGGTCATTGATAACAGGCCAAGGCCTACAACAGCGTTATCATGATTGCGTCGCCTCCGCTCCTGCGACTCGAACGGCCGGAGATAGGTGGTCGCGATTGACGAAGAATCCGCGAACTGACCTCGATCCTCCGAAAGAGACCAGGGCACAATTATTAATCACTACTAGGAATTGAGGGAAACAGAAAGACCCTTTCACCGAACTAATGAGAGAACTTATCCCCGTGAAGATCTTGCTTCTCAGTTTCCTAATCTTCGGCATGCTCAAAGCAACCATGATAAAACCTGTCGCTGAAAGTGCCATCTACCGCCTCGCTGGCCTAGGGGGCTTACTGGCTGGGCAGACCATAACCTCAAAGACGTAAGGGAGTGCTCGCGATAGGCCCCAGCCTCATGCATGGACCCGATCTCTCGCGCAAAGAGATGAAGGAGCAGGCCGATCGAATCGGAAAGACCCTCGTCAGATGGGCCAGTGAAGCCTCCAATGGCCCCTTCGAGCCCGAACTCAACATTCGCAGCCCATGCGAGAATTATCTGCTGACTCCGGTAAATGTCGAGCTCATGTTCGGGCGCCGCAGTCAGCCGCACCTGATGCAACTGTTCAATGAACATGCACCAGATGGGGCTGCTTCGCGACGCTCTCCTTCCGTTCCGGAAGTTCGACGAGGTACTGATTCCCATCGACAACCAGGCTGCTCGGGGCATTCGTCATCTGGAGCCCAGTCGCGCGCAATTCCTGACGACCCTCGTCACCCAGAGCGTGACTCAGGTGTCAGTGCTGGCATATGCTAAAGCACTTCTGGCGCCAGATCTGCCCCGGACCGACACCGGCGGTTATAGTTTCCAGTACGAGCATGGCTCCATCTTGCCGGCCGTCCTGAGCGGCGAAGGGACCCCTTTCCACTTGTTGGAGTACGTCCCCGCCAAGTTCGATCCATCCCAGAAGAACATCCTGTTCGACTACGAATTCTCAGACTACTATACTACCCCGCGTCCTGAGATTCCCGCTGGCTCCGAGGTGCAAGTCGAAGATCTGCGGAAGTTTCCCTCGGAGTCCGCATATCCTGTGGTTCAGAATGCCAGTCTGGGCCTGGTGCCATCAACCGAGTCCATTGCAGAGACCGCAGCGAAACCCCGTATCCATCGCGTCGGAGGAGTTGTGACTATCGGTATTTTGAGTGTAGTTATCCCAGTCCATGATGCTAGGAATGAACGATGAATGGCTGGAGATGTGCATGAAGATGATGGAGGCGGTAGGCAATGCTATCATAATGTCAAAGAGCGAATAGATTAAACGATGCGCCTCAGCCGTTCTGACTAATAATAAACGGTCTCGAGCCAAGGTGGTATTTTACCATAGGCATCCAGTTCTTTCAGGTGCGCTAGGCTAGTGCTCACTAGCGCCCCTCGATGAAAGCGCCCCTAAGGCAATATTGAAAATATTCAAAGACCCCCTATATATCCTCAATACATAATAGAGAATAGATCATAACAAGAAAAACTAATAATATGCCCTGGTTGTTCGAATATTAAGTTATACAATATAGCCTCAACTATGGTGTTTCGTGGTGGCATCTCGCCTACAATGGCCACTCGCTTACCGAACGTTCTAGCCCTGCATGACATGGGATCCCTGCTGTGCAGCTCTATCGATGGGGGCCGTGACACTCTCTGCCAATTTCCGAAAGAACCAAATTGCTAAATTCCTTTTGTTTTTTATGACCGGGGACGACGCCTTGTAAGAATATCGTAGTTAGTGGCTATAGTATAGGGAATATAAAGCTTGTCCTAGGCGTAAAAGCCTATAAAGATGTTAGAAGTGAAGAGAGGCTTTGGCGCGTACAACTTGATTATATTATTTCAAGAGCTATTCGTCAGTGAATTGAACCATGGGTCTTACTCTCCGTCTTGTACTCCAATCGTGCCTGACAGGATGCTTAAATTTTCAGACCCACTGAAGCCTTCGGTAACCGCTGTCGGGCCTCAGGCAGATATCCCGACTGGTACCTGGCCAGGAGAATCCAGGAATAGGATGAGTTCAGAACACCCAGACTCATGTATGTACTCGCCTCTGACGTGAATCGGACCAGAGCTAAAACTGCTCCGCCGAGCTGCCATGTCGGCCTCCGAATTTCCGAACCAAAGTCAAATATACTCATCCGACACTTATTCGGAAGTGGCATGCGAGATCTACCTTGGAAGCTACTGTAACACGCAAATCATATGAGCTCCAATCTATTCACCCATGCAGGGGCTCGACTGGCCCCTGTCATCAGTTCGCTTTCTAGCGGAGTTTCGGCGCGGGTTATGTGCGGGTGAGTTTTTTTTTCATATGCGGGCGGGCGAGTGAGCTCACCCGCCCGCCCAAATAAAAAGAAGCTAGAATTTTCGAGAGCTTTGAATTGTTTCTTTTACAATGAAAAGGCATATTTAAGCATTATCATTCCATTGGGATTGCTTTATAGCTTCAAATCGCTTGTTTTGTGCGTGTTCTAAACTGCTGCGAGACACAAGATTCTCCCGTCAACGGACTTCAAATTGCCTTGCTGGAATAGCTTGAACTAGCAATGCCTTCAATCTCAACACTCTCAATTTTCTACATACTGGCGTCTACAATTCAACTCGCACAAGCAAGTGTTATTTCTCTCCACCCAACAATCGACACCATGCTCTCTGCGAGATCACAGACTACAACCTCGGGAGGCCTCTCCCAAGACGAAAAAATCACCCTCTACGTCGTTGCAGGCGTAGCAGGTATCTTAATCATCCTGGGACTTGCAATCGGCATCTTACGCTCCCGCCACCACAAAGCATGCAAATATCAAGCACGCGGCGTGACGAAGTCCATTCTGAAAAAGATTCCTATCATCCAATATGACTGCGAATCTACGCGGAAGTCAAGCTGCGATGGATCTATCGACTCTTTAGACGAGAAGTCGGATTTCGTCGAGCACACGGCAAATCACACTTGTCCGATTTGTACGGAAGATTTCGTGCAATATCAGTTGCTGCGTGTTTTGCCTTGCGGGCACCAGTATCATATGAAGTGTATTGAGGATTGGTTGGCGAGGGGATCGAATTGCCCTGTTTGGTAAGTTGATTCCTATACCATTGTTTGAGTGTATACTGACTTCGATACAGCCGCGTTGATCTCAAGCCCGAGACACAACGAAAGTCTACTAAAAAGGATGAAATGACTCCGGATCTGGAACAGGGCCAGCCTCAGATGCGGCATGACCGGAGTCTACATGATCGTATTGTTGAAGGCCTCTACGGTCTGCGCTAGTGGCATTAATAGAGCTTGGAATGTTCAGCGATATGCATAATAATGAGATATGATTTAATACATTCACCCCCGTCGTACGTATACCCATGTGTAATATCCAATTGTAGAAATCGTGGCCAACAGCGATGCCAGCGTTAGTACGCCGCCGGTGATGATTCCCTGCTCAAAGAAGCCGATTTTGAAACCTGGGTGTTGATTTGTCGACGGGAGTGGTGCTAGGGCGGAGCGCCAGAGGGTGGTGGTGTTGGTGGCGTTGTCTAGAATTGTCTGGGCTGTATAGGCGTTTGTGGGTGGGATGATTAGTTGGGGGCGCGGGCGCTGGAAGGATGCTATGGCGTAGCGAGTGTCCGGGCTGTATGGTGTGTTGCGGGGCAGGGCAGGGCCGACTACTTTGGTTAGACTCTTTGTGATAATAGATTGAGGATGGGCATACTCAGCATGTGACTGGGGATGTGATTCACCCATGAGATGTCGGCGTCGATGAATTGGGTCAGATACTTTGCTGAAGCCGGAGCTGCAAATGCGTACGTTGCGGCGAGTGTCTCGTTGCTACTTTCATTAGTGAATACCATTATCTCTACCCTGAAGGCACATACCAGTTAATGTCGATGGCATCATCCAGGCTGGTAACGGGGTGTACCAGCAACACTTTCTCCTCAATCTTCCTTCGAAGCAACAGCGAGTTCCTATTCATCATTAGCACGGGACAAATACCGGATATCACCTACGTACCTGTCCTGCACCTCCACAATTCCCCAGTGGCTCCCCGAGACTAGCGCTCGTGCACTCCGCTCCTTTTGAATAGAGTCCAGTAAAGCAGAGCGCCGTGAGACGGGCATCTGTCGAGCTTCGCCGTTTTCACCAGCAAGATATTTTGAAGCATGCTGAATAACCGCCTCAACAAACGGCTTCATAGAAAACTCGTTCACCAAAACCACATCCGGGGCGTAGGCTGAACGGCCACCAAGCGCAAATCGAGCTGCCACTAGGGCTTGCGCAGCTTCGGCAACATCGGCCGTGCGATCAACAATGGCAACAGTTCGGGCGGTAGGCGAGATCAAGCCGCTTGGAGCATCGGATTCACTTTGCGCAACCAGCAGTGTCTTGCTCATGAATGAAGTATCGGGCCGCTGAGCGGTTATTGCAAAGGTATCATGATCTAGTGCCTCTGGAAGAATCTGGCGCAAAATTGCAGGTAGAGCCATTGTTGTTTGAGGCAGCTAAGACAGTCAGCATTATTCGCTAATTTGAACTGAATAACTCACCTCCAGGACAATGCAATTCCCCGCCGCAAGAGCGGCCGTCAGGGCAGAAATGACGGAGAAGAACAGCGTATGTGTGCATGGCACGATGTAAACGATTCCAGCGCCGTGCAAGCCATCTGCATTATCCTTCCCGTGCGCAATGCGATACTCAACCTTCAAGTCTTTCTCCAAACTCAGCGACATGTAATGTGTTCGCAGCTCCTGTAGGGCTAAGAGGACCTCAGCGCGAATTTCTTGAAGAGAGTGGCCCGAGTCAGTGCGGAGCGCATCTTGGATCTCTGCAACATGTTTCACGAGCACGGATTGTAAGCGATGGAACTGTCCTTGACGGTACCGTGTGTTCTGGGTGCGGCCGTCAATATTAGCAGCAACAATGCGCGAAAGATCCATGATGACCGGAATGCGAACAACAAGAAAAAAGAATTGACAGAGCAGCTCGAAGATGAGATACTTGAAGCACGCGCCCACTTGCATAGTCCGCTCTAAGACCCGCTCGGAGTCTCGTAACCCCGAGATTCCCCAGTCTTCGGGAAGTGGAGGAGAATGCGGGCCCGCAACCCTAACTCCATCCCAAGCTCACCACCTCCTCCGCGCCTGATAATGCCGTTTCTAAGTCTCTGGAAAGCGTTCGGATCTCTCTACTCTATCCTCATCATGTCTATCACGGTCACCACTACCAACACGACCTCGCTATCCGTTCTCGCCGACTATGAAGTCCACCACAGCGGCGCGGAGGATGCTCTCGCGCTGAACCAGTCTTCTCAGCCCCAACAAAATTCTCTGCCAACTTGGCCGACTCATCATCGTCGAATTCCGGCTTATCGACCTACGAATAGAGAATTGGATTATACGCAGCGGCCGGCAGGGAATGGTAATCCTGCGGAGTATGCTTTTATTCAGATTATGTTGCATGGTGTTTGGCTTAATGCGGTAAGCATATCTACTCTAATTGAGCTATTCTGATGTTAACGTGAATATAGTCTGCCGCGAGGCTTTGGCGGTTTACTGGAGGGAGGATCAATGATAAGATATTCCACTACCAAGTTGGCGGGGAGTGGTGATTGCACTTCCTTCGTGTTTGATATTACAATTTACAAGTTGAAGACTACATTTCATTTACATATCCGATCATATATTCACTTCTTCAATCCTCCGATTTGTCTATAAGAAAGGGAGTCACACTGTAACATCTCTCCAAGTCCTAGACACATCTTCAAGTACTAGCCCGCACCCCAATCCCATCAACAACCTCCCCCAACTTCTTCCCCCCAACCTCCATCTCCGTCGCCGGCGCAAGAACATAAAGCATCCTCGCCCACTGCGGCTCTCTCCGCCCCTTCTCATCGACAAGGTCGGGCGTAACGTTCCTCCAAGCATGATTTGTTCCCCGCTGCACGGCAACATCCCCCCTCTTCAACAGCCTCGTCTCACCGGAATCAAGCACAAGTTCAACCTCTCCTTCCAGCACAACTCCGTAATCCAAACTCACGGTGCGGTGCATGGGACTCAGGGCTCCGGGCTGCATGTCCACGATGCGGCACACGTTGCCGGTGGAGATTGTAATTCCCGGTGGAGTTGAGAGGTAAGCGCTGTACTCGCTGATGTCGGCTTCGTTGTTGAGTTGCGCGGGGAAGTGGTCAGATGTGTAGGCTAGGCTAAAGTCTGCGCCGTCGGCTAGGCGTTGAACTGGCATTTGTTCGGAGAGGGTGCTTGAGAAGACGGCTTGGCCGGCGCTATTGTGGGTTGTTATGTACCGGTTCAGCGGGCGGATGTTTTTGGGGGCCTTGACGGCCATTGTATAGGTGGTTTGTGCTGTGACTTGACTTAGGGTATGGTATGTCCTTTGAAGGTGTGGTTATGTCCGAGGTACTTGCGTGTTCCTGATCTATATCTTGTTTGGTCCACTTCGGGACCACTTTCGACCACATCGGCTCCCGGCTCCAGACTGTGGGGTCGGACTTCGGACTTAACAATTGGAGATATTCGGATGTGAGGGGTTCAGATGTAGTGATTAAGTCATAGCTTCATTATAGTACTCGCTGGTTCCTAGATAATGCATATGCTGTAAAGTATAGGCCCTCGCCCTTGGCCACCTGGGAAAGGTGAAAATGAAGGGTCAGAAATCCGAAATAAACCTCTGAACAAAGATTTATAATATTCAAGCTCGTAAGATACCTGTGTACAAATTTGAAGTGCTCATTATACAAAGAAAAAATGAATTGAATCTACTCCAAGGATAACCTATCTATGACATGCTCCACCCTCTCCAAACTAACTACGGAATAATCGGCAAAGTAACATAGTTCTCCCCCCGCCCAAAGTGAATATGATTCTGACCCTCAAAACGCGCCGTAGACCTATAAACACCATTAGCAACCACTCAACCGACCCATAGGCCTTGGAAACATACCGATCAATGGGCGAATTATGTTGGAACAACCCACACCCCTGTGTATCCCCACTAGAAACCTCCAATACAATCTTTCCTCCCTTCTCAACAACCACATTCGTCGGCCAGACCTCCACATCAACCGGGTAAATTTCACCCGGAATAACAGGCCGGACATCCGTCGAGTAGTAATCCCGATGAGGCAGCCAGGGTCTGTGACACGGGTGCTCCGGGTTCGTCTGGCGCATGGATACACGCAGCCAGCCTTTGCAAAGCGGAACGGGATCACCGGCCGTACCGGTGTAAAAGACCTCCTTTCCTGAAGGTGAGATGTGGCGCAGTGTGATAAAGAGGTCCATATCCTTTGGTGTAGGTACGCCTGGCTTCGGACTCATAGAGACGTTCAGATGCGCGATGATGTGGCCCGTGATCTCGGTTTCCTTTTCAAAGGCGGTTGTGGTAAATTGGACGAGTCTGGGGTTGTCGATATCTCCTAGGGCTTCGTAGGTGATTTTCACTGGTCTTTCGACTGGTGCGTGGGTCTTCAATTCCCGCTTGGACGTGAGATAGTACTTTGTGTACTGCGTGCGAGCAATAGGCCATTCGTGCTCGGTTCTTCGCTCGAATGTCTTTTCACCGGCTGCGTTGTTGTGTCCTACGTCGCCTTTGCGAAGGACCATGTCCACCTTGGGTGCTTTGCCTGTCGACCAGCCTGCGCGATCTTCACCTTTGAGGAATGCATCTAGGAAACTGCGCTGCAGCTCGACTTCCTCTGCGTAGTAGAATGGTAGATCGTGGCGGCCGGTGATGAAGCGGAGATACTTCAACTCCGATCCAGCCTGCGTCCACCCTTCCACATTGCCCCTCAGGTGAAGAAGAATCCCACCCCAGTTCGCAACGGATAGCAACGGCACAGTGATATCAGACATACTATACTCCTTGGACGCATAGTACTCATCATCCCGGAAGGCATTCACCTCATTATCAACCGTCTGATCCTGGCGATTCGCAACCAGCTCCTCCTCACTCAGATCACCCTCGATAGTATCGGGTCCCCAGTTCCTAGCAGCCCGACCAGGCCTTCCGTACTGGTTACTTACGACCTGCCGATCCCACCAGAACTTGATAAACTTATTCGACAGGATCCCACCATGTCGGCACCGGTCACGGTAATAGTCAGACATCCCCTCCCAGGGAATCATACACGCGAGGCCCTTCGGTTGCCGCGCGGCGACGCGCCATTGACTTCCGGCGTAATAGCTGATTCCCAGGAGTCCGACTTTCCCTGAAGACCACTCCTGTTCAGACGCCCATTCCACAACGTCGAAAAATGCTTCGCTAGTCCCCCGAGACATGGTGTCAAGTTTTCCCATTGACTGGCCTGTTCCACGCTCGTCGGCGCGCACGACTGCGTAGCCTTGTGATGTCCAATATCCCGGATCTGGTGTTTCCCATGCTGAATGCTGCGAGCGTTGCTCGGGGTTGACTTCGCTGAAGCTTTGGGGGTGGAAGTCGGAGTACGGGATGTCTTTTCCGTAGGGGCCGTAGGTTACCAGGACTGGGACCCTTTCTGAGGGTTTTGGGCGGTAGACGTTGCAACGGACTAGGCCCGAGCCATCTCTGAGCGTTATGGTGGCATTTTGCTCGAAGATGTAGGTCGGGGTTTCGTGCTTGGTGGTGATGTCTTGGATCTGGCTCGGCATTTTGAATACAGTAGCAATTTTAGGGATTAAAATGAGGGGAAATTGCCAGATTGTAATAAATGGTCCTGTTTATCTACAGACGCACAAATTCATTTACTTCGTTTTATCCCCGCATGTTTGTCCCGATGTGGAGCCGAAACCGTCTCCCGAGAATATTCACCCCGATGAGGTGGGTGACATTGGGAATCCAAACGGAAATGCCAGGAACTAGTTAGTAATGGTAGTGGCTGCCATAAATATTAATTCGGGCCCACGCGGATGGCTTGGAACTTAGAAGGCTCATAGCTATCGAGATAGTTACAGCTGTCCAGAAAGCTAATCAAGTCATAAGATGGCGATCAAAGAGCTCAAAGACTTGAACAATCCAGAGGATGGTCTCCGCATTCTGATCATCGGCGCCGGTATTGGTGGTCTTACTGCTGCTATTGCACTGAGACAGCAGGGCCATCGCGTTGAAGTGAGTCTTTTCCAGTTATCAGTTACCCGTTACCTAGGAATGAAGGACTGACCGCAGAAGCTCTTCGAACGCTCGCGCTTCGCGAACGAAATCGGCGCTGCTATCCACCTGTCGCCGAACGCCAACGGCGTCCTTCAACGGCTTGGAATTGATGCGACTAAGTTTGGGGCTGTAGAAGCCGAGCTGGTGGGTCCTGTACATTTCCCAGGATTGGAGTCTCACTAACGGTATAGCTCCGCGAATACACGCCTGATGGAGAACCGGTGCACATCACTCAGCTTAAAAACTCGGCTGGGATGTGGAGACATGTACGTCTTTAATGACCCCCAGAAAATAATGGCAAGCTAACCAGGCTCAGCGCTGGCTCCTTGTCCACCGCGCCCATTTCCACGAAGGCCTCAAAGCGGCCGCTCAAGCCTCAGACCGTGGTCCATCCGCAGTCCTACACACGGCCAGCAAAGTAGTCGACGTCGATCCTCACCTGGCAACCGTGACTCTCGAAAACGGCGAGATCATCTCTGGCGACGTGTTGATCGGCGCAGACGGCGTACACTCTCTAACAAGAACTAAACTACCGACGATCAACACCCCATTCAGTTCTGGCAAAAACGCCTTCCGCTTCCTAATGGCCCGCCAACAAGCACTCGGTGATCCTGAAACCAATAGCGTCGCGCGGGACTTCGGAGCAGTGGATATGTGGGACTCGTCTGATCGGCGCGTGGTCATTTATCCGTGTGCGAATAACGAGTTACTCAATTTCGTTTGTATCCATCCGGACTCGATGACTACTATTGATGTCGGTGGGGATTCTTATAATCAGCAGATTGGAAAGGACACGCTGCTTGATGTGTTTAAGGATTTTAATCCTCAGGTGAGAAAGTTGTTGGAGAAGGCGGATCCGGTTACTTTGAAGCTGTGGCCTCTCCTGGATATGGATACACTCCCCGAGTGGATAAATGGTAGAATGGCTGTGCTGGGTGATGCCGTTCATCCTTTCTTGCCGTACCGGGCTTCTGGTGGGGCTATGGCGATTGAGGATGCGGTTTCGTTGGCTGTTATGTTACCGAGGGGTATTTCGAGACAGGATGTGCCTGAGAGATTAAAGGTATACCAAATGGCTCGTCATGAACGGGCAACAACTGTCCAGGAGATGACTCGCGAGTCGAGTAAGCTTCTTTCCCAGGAAAAAGGTATGTATTTCCCTTCCCATCCTTGACGTTCCTATCGTAATCAATGCTGGCCCTCTAGCCATGGGCATGGTCGCCTACATCTACGGCCACGACGAGTTCGACCACTCGGCCCAAGTCCTGCGAAAGTACCTCTGGTCCAAAACCCCACACATGTACTGGCGCCAACCCATCGTGTTCGGGCCAATGCCAGGTCCCAGACAAGACTGGATGGGTCGGGATCGAGCACTCAAGTCACTCGAGTCGACCTTCATGACAGCGTCCATCAAGTTCAAGACCAGCCGTACGCTCCTGCAGAACCTCTTCCCGAATGACCGGTACAGCTTTATCTCGCCGAGTACCGTCGCGCGGGCCAGTTTCTCGCAGACCACGCTGAACGGTATGGACTGGTTGGGCGGTGGCGGGTACAGACATATCGGACTGTATATCCACGGCGTGCAGTATAAGAAAGAGAACGGCGAGGTACTCAAGGGTACCTACATGCCTATTCTCTTCGAGAGTCTGGCGGATCCGATTGTCTCGGGGCGCGAAGAGCTCGGCATGCCGAAGCTGTATACGGCCATCGACGTGCACGAGCGGAGCAGCTCGTATCGCCTGCAGACGAGCTGGCAGGGGGCCGTGTGGGGCCATTTCGAGCTCGAGGATCTAGAAGACCAGGATCCCGCGGCCGACAAGGGTACTATCGGAGGGGAGGATGATGATGGCATCTTGGTATATCGATATATCCCCAAGGTTGGCAAAGATACCAAGGGTCAGGCTGAGGCCGAGTACCCCGTTTTCGTGCCGCATGCTCAGGAGTCCAAGGTCCTTCCGTCTCAGGTGACACGTCTGCGACGGACAACAAATGCCAAGGTCGAAATTAGTGCGCTCGGATGGGATGCGCTGCCGACGCTGCACCATGTCGTGACGAGGTTGGCGGAGATTCCAATTGACGAGGTCATTGATGCGAAAATCACCGAGGGGCGGGGTGTGCCAGATGTGTCTAGTGCTCAGCGGATTGAGTAGTTTAGTATCTTAGTGAAGGTTTAAGGATCCCCGTTAAGTATATCATTGGTGCAATAATCTGAAATGTCTTGATTGGGACGAGTGCAGCGAGCTAGATACCAGCAGGCCGATGATTAGGGTTGAATCGTATGACCGAGCTATCCCGTAATGCCCTTACGTGCAGCAGGAACCGCAGCATCGGCACATCACACAGACCCCTCGGACATGTAGGCAAACCGTTTGAGGCTGTTATCGACGGACCCAAGCGGGATTGCCCGGTGATCCGGCTCTGCGGGGTGAGTCAGTCATTGTCAGTGTAATCCGAGGTAAATACTAGCTCAAATAACCAAATGGTTCTGTCTTGAATCGTCACCGCAGTTTCCTTGATTTTGTGACGGGAAAGCGGAGGGGGTAATCAGCTTGGAGGCTCGCCGGGTGAGGCGGTTGGCGCTATCGCGACGTGTAGGACGCAAAGGAGCTCCTGATGCGGGGATCCACGCGTACTGCAATGGGAGTGGACACTGGGCTAGAATAGAACAGCCCAGGATTTACTGGTACTAGTACGGGTGGACCAAAATGTAAGGGGTCTACTGTCTTTCCATCTCCTTCCACTCGTTCCCTTATTTAATCAGCATCGGCTCCGTCCATCGTCCCTCATTCCTGTCCTTTCCCACCCATCCCCGCACCAGCCATGTGAGTTCCCCCTAATGTTGCGCCCGCACTCTCTAACGAAGCTAGGCGTATCACCGTCAGCGTCATCCGCCCCGAGCAGGCGGACTCGGACATAATCAACCTCGAAGTCGGCGGTGACATGACCGTCGAGCTCCTCAAAGCCATCGTGCAAAGCGAAACTTCTATCCCTCCCGAAGCCCAGCAACTCGTCTTCAACAATGCCCTCCTCCAGGACCCTGCGCAAACCCTCGACCAGGTCGGTATCGCCGAGGGCGATATGCTAGGCGTGCACGTCACCTTCCGCCCCGCTCCAAACCAGCCCGCTCCACGAACAACACCCGGCCCCAGCGCCCCTCGCCAACAGCAGATCCAACCCCGTCCGGGCATGCCGGACCCGGAGACGATCCGGCTCCATATCCTAGGCGATCCTCGCGTGCGCGAGGCGGTGCGCAGACAGAATCCCGAGTTGGCGGAGGCGGCCGATAACGCGCAGCGGTTCAAGGACGTGTTGCTTTCGCAGCAGCAGAGGGAGAGCCAGCAGGAGGCGGAGAAGGAGGCCAGGATTGCGATGCTGAATGCCGATCCGTTCAATCCGGCGAACCAGCGGGAGATCGAGGAGATTATTCGCCAGAATGCGGTTACGGAGAACTTGCATAATGCTATGGAGCATCACCCCGAGTGTGAGTTCCCCTTCTGAATTGGGTTTCTTCAAGTTGGGCAGGACTGATTTGGGTACAGCTTTTGGTCGCGTTACGATGCTCTACATCCCCGTCGAAGTCAACGGTCACCGCCTCAACGCCTTCGTCGACTCCGGCGCCCAGGTTACTATCATGTCGCCTGAATGTGCTACGGCGTGCAACATCATGCGTCTGGTCGACCGACGCTACGGCGGTATTGCGAAGGGTGTGGGCACCGCCCCGATTCTGGGACGGGTGCATTCGGCTCAGATCAAGATCGGGGACATGTTCCTGCCGTGCTCGTTCACCGTCATGGAAGGCAAGCAGATCGACCTGCTTCTGGGATTGGACATGTTGCGACGACACCAGGCGTGCATCGACCTCAAGCGCGGGGCGCTGGTTATCCAGGACCAGGCGGTGTCGTTCCTGGGCGAGGCGGATATCCCCAAGCACCTGACCGAGGAGTTCGAGGACGAGCCGACGGTGAAGGGCGCCGACGGTGCCGAGGTGGGTGCTCGTACCGGTGCCGTCACTCACCAGGCGGAGAACAAGCCCGGCGAGTCCAGCAGCGCCAGTGCCAGCGCCAGCGCCAGCGCACCCGAGATCAACATCCGACCAGCACCGCAGGCACCCGCCTCGCGCTGGCCGCAGGATTCGATTGCCAAGATCACAGAGCTGGGATTCACCCGGGAGGAGGCGGTACGGGCCCTAGACGCCGCCGAGGGCGACCTGGACGGGGCAATCGGGTTCTTGATTTAAATGCATTCATTACGGCGTTGGGGAGGGATTTGTATTTAGCGGGTTTCTCAACATTGCACGTAACGAATGTGTACGATTATGTGGTGCATCTCGTTCTATTACTCGCGCTTGGATTTCGGGAGCAGCTGGCTTCGTAGACGGACGACCATATCCAGGGCCATGAATGCACCTTCGACGAATCAGCTAAGTTAGACACTCTCCAAGTGTTGCAGGGGACGGACGGGACATACCCAGAGCTACGTAAGGGCCGTAGAGTGAGGTGATCTGCTGCTTCTCGGCGACGGAGCGGTCCGGCCAATTCCAGACTTCCACCAGGCACGTCAGGGAGGTGACAAAGGCCTGTACCCCGAAAATGAGAAGGTGCACAGGAACCAATGGATGCTCTGGAGGTGACCCACGACGGTTAGCATGAATCCTTCGGGCGGGGATGAATGATGTAGCTTCCGGTCCAGACTGGTAGGTGGAGGTGAATATGCCCCCCCCCCCCCCCCCCTCCTAGGACGTAGGCCGGATTAGAGACGGAAACTCACCGCACAATAAACCCCACACGGCCCACAGGCTCAATGGCACATGGTAGAGGAGTTCCATCCATATAAAGGCCGTGAACCAGGTGGGGGGATCGGAGAAGAATTTATCCCGGTAGGTGGTTATGTAAAAGTCGCGGAGGGACAGGGATAAGTTGGAGACTAGGGAGCTCGGTTGCAGGGGGACGGTGTCGACGAGGAAGATGATGGGAATGTGCGTGGCGAAGAAGATTAGATACGCGCAGTCGCGCTTGCGGGTGGGGAGATGCATGGTGGGCATCAGGGAATTATCTGATGAGATCGAAGGAGAAGACGGCGAAATCCCTAAGAAAAAGTACCTGACAGAGCAGTGGGGCCACCCGACGATCCGGTCATGTTTGCTTTTTTTTGGCGATTTAAGCTCGGAGATCTGGTCCACCACCACGAAGGACCGTCTGGTCGGCCTGGGACGGTTAGAGAACTCCGTTCACCGTTTCATTCGAGTCTGGGACTGAGCGGCCCGATCCCGGGCAGCGAGCCCAATTGATCCACTTGTCAACCAAGGTACCTGGGGCGATTGACATTGCATCACGATGCCGCGTTGGGTCTTTTGAGTACCTCGGTTGTGCCGAGCTGCATCCAGGGTGCCATCTACTCCGTACCGTACGAGGCATCATCGGCGGGATCTAAGCTGCCGGGTTCTCGACGTGTCCGAAGAACGATGAGGTCCAGGACAGACCGCATCTTTGGACGACCAATCAATCCCATCAATCCCGGCAGATGGAGCCTTCCAGACGAACGATCCCGGTCCCAAGTAACTAGTGTGTTCCGGGGGCCAACTCAAACTAGGGGGTGTTCTACGCTCTTCCCCTCGAGACCCGCTACCGTGGACAGGATTCTACCGATCACCGCAGATAATGCAATTGCCATCCCACCTGCATCTTCCTTATCACCCCAACCGCATTAGCGCCACGGAGATTTCTGGCCGAGGTTTGGAGCGGTGAAAATCCCCACGGAACTCACCGGGATTTCCATCCCTTTGAGCTGCTTTTTTTGGCTCGTGCTGACCGCTTCTCTGGCGAGCGCCTCCCACCGACCCGGAGATGAAGGGGGTTGGACGGGCTAGTGTTTGAACAGGGGTGTCCAGGTGGGTTTGGGTTTGACGACTCGCCCCGATCTATATAACGGGGTGGGCAAGCCAACTTATCTGATCAGACCTTTTTATTTTCATCCTATACTTCACACCCCAGTGGGCACCTGCAATCATGCCTTCCTCTGCCCCCTTAATCCGCTCCAAGGCCAATGCCCACAAGCCGGAGGCCCCAATTAGCTATGACATCAACATCCCCTACGTCGATGTGGACAAGCAGTCCAAGGTCAGCACGCCCTACCCTCAGTACCTACCAACCTGGGATCCAATGTGGTTCAACCCACTGCCGCCATTCGACTACCATGACCCGGCCCTGCGCGTCAAGGACCGTTCCAAGCGGAACCTCCTGGGCCCGGATGCCAAAGTCAACCACATCCAGCCGAGCATCGGCTCCGTCGTCGAAGGCGTCCAGCTAAGCACGCTCTCCGACGCCGCCAAGGACGAGCTCGCCTTGCTCATCTCCGAGCGCAAGGTCGTCGCCTTCCCGGACCAGGACCTGATCGATGCCGGCCCCGAAGAACAGGAACGCTTCATGCGCTACTTTGGTAAACCAAACTACCAGCCTGTTTCGGGCACCGTCCGCAATCACCCTGCCTTCCACGTTATCCATCGCGACGGCAACCGCGATGAAATTGAGCGCTTCCTCTCCCAGCGCACGACCACCACCCTCTGGCACCAGGACGTTTCTTACGAGATCCAACCTCCGGGCTATGTCATGCTCGGCCTCCTCCAAGGCCCAGAAGTAGGCGGAGATACCGTCTTCGCCGCAACGGACATGGCATACAAGCGCCTCAGTCCAACACTGCAAGCCTTCCTCGATACGCTAAAAGTCGTGCACTCTTCCGCCAAAATGATCAACCACACCCGGCTCACCGGTGGTCTGGTCCGGAAAGATCCCGTCGACACCGTCCACCCGCTGATTCGGGTGCATCCTGTTACCGGCGAGAAATGTCTGTTCTTGAACGCCGAGTTTATCACCCGTATCCAGGGCATGAAGGAACCGGAGACGAAGTGGATGACGGATTTCTTGATGAACCATATTATTACCGGCCATGACTTCCAGGCCAGAGTGCGTTGGCAGCCTAGGACTATTGTGATGTTTGATAACCGGTCTACCACCCGTGAGTTTCCCTTTCCTGCTGCTTCCTTTCGTTTTCTCCTGATGATGGACCGTGCTGATCTGATCTGATCTGCAGACTCTGCTATCGTCGACTACCTCGATGAAGAATACGGCGCCAAGGCGCGGCATATCTTCCGCCTCATTGCGCTCGGCGAGAAGCCGATTCCCGTGTATGACGAGTTCGAGTAAAGGTTGGGCCCAAAAGCGTGTTTTGTTGTCATAGACGTTGGTTTCGGTTTGGTTATTCTGCTTACTTGTAATGATTCCCTTTTATAGACTGTGCTCTTGGTCTTGTTCTCTACGTTTTACTTTATTTAATGCATGTCCCAGAGGCTGGATCCTGAATTGGTGTTGTTCTAGAACTGCGTAGACGAATAGGAATCCATAGATCTGCTTAGAGCATTGTACGTACAGCCGGACCGAGGAGATACATTTATAGTGGGCTGGATTAGGCGGCCATGACTATTGCTCCGGGCATGCAAAGAGACGTTCAGTAGGAAACCTCGAAAGGTATTAAACGATGCCCGAGAGGACGTTTGAAGAAATCACTAAGAGATCTAGAATGACAGCGAGAATACAATAAATTGTTTAAGCTGATTGCAATATCTCCCTGGCCCGGCTGTGCCGTGTACTAGAGACGGTCAAAAGTACGTGCATTGTACATGTACATGTACTAAATCCCACCATCCGGCCTCGGGGGCAAAAGTTCCAGTGCAAAGCGGACGCACGATTTGTCATTCATTACCATCTGCCAAAAAAACGCCCAGCGACGGTGCCACTAGAGTACAGGGGAAAAGAAAAACACCAAAAAATATCCGCCCTCACCCAACCAGCTCCGCAATCCGATGTCTCAATTCCTGACTCGCCTCCACGATATCTTGTGAGCCGCCGCCCTGCTGAAGGAGCACCAGAGTCTCGGAGACACGCTCGGCCATAACATCAGACCCGAAGACGGTACCGCCGGGCCGCGCGCTTTCCATGAACCATGCGTTGAGTAGGTAGACTAGGTCTGCGGCGATGATGCGGCGGTTTGAGCCGTGGAAGGGGGCTTCGTCGGTGTAGAACATGGCTTCAAGGACGCCATATAGAGATTCGTGAGGGACGCCGAGGTCCAGGAATAGGTCGACGACCCAGTGTGTTCGGTTGAGTTGGCGGTGGTACTGGTGCTCTAGGGAGTAGCGTTCTAGGAGTGGGACCAGTTCGCGGATGGGGAAGACCGTCTCGGACATGCGGAGCCGGCTGCCGAGACTACGCACTTTTTCGATCACGGCTTCGTGGGGGAGAGGAGTGCCGCGCGTTTCGGTGATCTCGTGCACGTCTTGGATCAGGTTTGCCCAGGTAGCTTTGATGTCGGCTGCGTTGCGGTAGTCGGCAGCGAAGAAGATTTGCAGGCAGATGTCGTAGTAGCTGGCTGAGTCGGCGTATTGGTTGAAGAGCTGCAGCTGTTAGTATCAATGTGGGAAACTTCTACGGTGTTGGACATACTGTGCTAATGTCCATCACGGGACCATCCACATCACGCAGAACCTCGACTTTCCGCTCAGCAGCAATCCGACTGTCATCCTTCAATCGCTGCAGAAGATCATCCTGGATATTGGCCACCTCGATCAAGTTGGTAATCTCCTGTAGCAGGCGCTGTCTCGACTGGCGGCCCACGTCTGGAGTGAAAGTTGAAGCATTAGTGCGGGCACGGCCCAAATACTCAATGCGTCGGCTGAGAGGCAGAGTGAAAGCACTCTGCGCAAGCTGGAACTGAACCTTGGCGGCTTCAAAGAACCGCTGAGACTGAGCGTAGTACCGCCAAAGCAGATCAGCGTGCGCAATGTCGTCGGTAGACTTGCGCTCGAGGTAGGTGACCACGAACGGCGACTGTGTTTGCAGAAGGCGGTCGTTCCAGCCCTGCTCCAGGTACCAGTCGTACAAGCTAGTCAGAAACACTTCGTCGGTGGAATCAGAGATAACACCGTAGGCCTCGTTCTGGCGCTTGGCAATAATGGTTAATTGGCCGTCAATGTAGCCGGGGTCAGATGCGGCCAGGGTGTCGACAGCAAGTACAACCTTGGAGATAAGGTCGTAACATTGCTTGCGGAAATAGAAGTATTCCTTGCGGGTGTCCTGCAATTGGGTGAGCTGGGGAATTGCTGAGAATTCTGAGGGCATAAGCACCTGTGCGGGTCGCCCATCCATAATCCAGGAGAGCGCGATATTCGCCTTGTCGGAGCGGCCGGCCACATTAAGGGCCAATTGGATAGCACCTAAAGAATCAGCAACTGAAAAGGGGGCTGCACAACGAGAACTAACCCGCAAAGAATTGGTTGGCAATATAGTTGTCCACGGCCGAAACCAAATAGTCCATCGGGAGGCTGTCAGCCACCTGCTGGAAAAGATGTAAACTCTCGTTCAACAAGTTCCGGCCCAATTCCGAATTGGCACCGGCCTCTGTCGCACGCTTGAGCAGTTCCTGTGCCTTGAAGATAATCACGTCTTCTGCACTGCAAAAGCTGCCGCACCGCCGGCGCAGTGCATCGGCCACTGTCTCAACGTTGGAACCCTTCGCAATGTTGCGGTTCACGATGCCCTTGACCAGCTCCTTGGCAATATCGTGACCCTTGCTGCTGCTGAAAAGCTCTTCGAAGGTCAGCTTGAGGAAACGCTCCTTCGACTCTGCGGGGAGCGTGGTTACAATCTCGTCCACTCGCTCATCGAAGAGGACCAGGACGAAGGAAATTCCCTCAATCGTGTGTGACACAAGCTGCACGAGAGAGTGCAAGGCACGGTGCTCAGCCTGCAGAGCGGTTTCCTCTTGCTTGTTTGTCACTCGGGCAAGGGCCTCGGGTCCGCTCAAGCCTTCAATAAAGCTCTTGTTTGTCTTGAAGAAGTCTTGCAGAGCTGCGAGATCATGCTGGATGGTCTGCAGCTTGGAAGCAGCCACCGAAGCAGCAACGGTCATCGCACCGTTCGGGGCACTGCCCACTTTGGCGATTTGTTTCTGCCAGATCGACCGCAATAGACGCGACATATACAGAGCAATGCCGTGATGGCGAGGAGAGGGATTCCAAGCATCAATGGCCGATGTCGAGTCAGGCACAGCATTTTCATTGGACTGCGGCCGACCACCATACTCGATAAATACCTTTCGTGCAAACTCAAGCACATCGGGGTCATTAATCTGGGTGAGGCGCTGATCCGAAGAGATCTCAACACCCTGGCCACAAGCCACAGCCAGAGCAGTAGCAAGGACCTCGCTTCGACCGTACTTTTTGATCAGGTTGACCACTTCACCCTCCAGACCCTCTTCGCTAGTCCCGCCACTGCGCACCAGGGCGGCAAACATATCCACCAGGCGTCGTCGACGGACAATATGGATTCCAGAGTTTGTGAGAATAGCCACTTCCGCAGCAGGGTGATCGAACTGAATTGCGAGCTCATTTCCAAACCCGGCAGAGGTGGTTGGCGGAGGTGGTGAGCAAAGCCCGATATCCTCTGCGCGGCCACCCAGACTCAGCCAGATGCCCGACTCGTCAGATTTGCTCAGGACTCCTTGCTCTCGTGCCGGGCGAGCAAGAAGACCGGGGTCCGGGGATGAAACAAACAATGTATCTGCCTTTTGGGTAGCATCCTTGCACGTGAAACAGAAGAAATAGCCAGGAGGGAAACGCGAGGCCATCCGAGTAGGCGCCAAAGAGTGGATAGGGTACTTGATGGCAGCCATCGGGAATTGCTGGGTCATGCTCGCATTGGCGGCATTATCGATAGGAGGTGTCTTGATATGCTGGGCTTGCATGCTCGTGGGAGGGTTGGTGCCGTTCTGACTGGGCGCCCAGCTGTACGAGCCCGTGGCACTGAGGTAAATACGGTACCCGGTGGCCGTCGTCGCAACCAAATGGTATCGCGAAGCCTCGGCGGCTGGAACCGGGCTGATAGAAACAATTTGTACCCTCTCGTTAAGAGTTTCGTTAGATCCAATGATATGTCCGATATTCGAGTAGATGTCCCTAGCGATTTTGGTGATGACAAGGTTGAGCGATCCATCGGCCCTCAAGTGGAACACCCGAATAGTCGACGCAGAGGACAGAGTATAGAGAAGTTTCCGACTGTCGTCCACCACCATCTGTTCCACATTTTCGGTAAGGGCTCTCTGGGCCAGATTCGTCAAGCTGATGGATGGGCTGAAAACGGAGAGACGCGAGCTCGTGTGATTAACTTTGCCGCAGCGACCCTGGAACCATCGCTCTTCTTGCTGATAGGTGAGTTCGTATATGTCGTTGTCGGATGAGCCTCCGAAGAAAATGCGGCCGGTGTCTGAGGAAGCAAAGACGTGAATGTCGAGTCCACGGATTGACACCGCCATTCCGGTCTGATAGAGCGCAACCTGTTTTGAGCCGGTTGGAGTTGTCTCACAGCTCATACCCAGCAAGATGACTTCGGCAGTGGTCGACACCACGAGCATATGAGTGATGGCAGGCAAGAACACGCCCGCGCGCGGCTTCACCAGCTTTACAGCGTTGATGCTGTTGGGTTGCTCCTCGAACCCGACCAATTGAGGGTTAGGGTGCGTGAAATCCCAGAGGTACAGCGCGTTGTCGATGGCCACCCACGCGTGATTCAACTCGGCGAAAAGACCCATGCTCGTCGAAACTTGTGCGCGATTGTACTGATCGAAGATCTGGTCGGGAATATTGTACATTTTGACTTTTTGGAAAGGCGCCCACGATTGGGCCGTGGGGATGTCATATTCGGAGGAAACTCCTTCTGTAAGATGTTAGTCCCGTGTCAATGGTTTCGGGGAGACGGTGCGCTGACGAGATAGATAGCTATCCAAATCTGGGTACTGCGCCTCCATAGCCAGGGTCTGGCTGATGGTGTGCGCTCCACGCTCCTCGGCGCTCAAGGTCTTTGTGGTCGTTGTCGGAGGCAGCTTGGGCATCGGCGTCATTGGTGTCCGTGGAGACGTCGGCTGCATCGGGGACTTGAAGAGGCTGTCATGTCGGGCGACAGCAGGAGTCTGCATGTAAGCACCAGGCACTGCTTTCTGCGGCGTCGCCGGAGGGAGGTTCGGCAGCGTTGGATACGACATGGCGGAGAATTTGCAAGGGTAGGAAGGGGAGAAGAGGAAAAAGCTCCCCCGCCGAGGAGACAAAAAGAAGCTGCAGTATCTAATGAAAGAAAACACACGCAGCAGAGAAGGGGAGGTGGGAAAACGCGGATAAAGCTGTAGCTGGTGGAGGAATTGGTTTCCAGGTTCTTTTCGCAGGTCAACAACGGTGCACGGACCACTCGAGGTGATCTTCCGCCTCAAGTCGGTTCTGCTCTTGCTATTGTTCACAATTGACAGTCGACAGTTGACAATTGACCGTTGAATCCAGTCATGTTCCAGGCAGCTCGTTTCACTTCTCGAGTACCCCTGCGCACTCCCCTTTGGGTGCGCTGGAATTCCTCCAGCCCGGTGCTACCTCCGTTAATGAGCACACTACGGAATGATCTCAAGACTGCTATGAGAGCCAAGGACACCTCCAGGTAGATTTAGTTGGCTTTTTTTCGCTTTGCCACTGCTAATTGCATACCTGTCTAGACTCAATGTTCTTCGCGCTCTCATCTCCGAGACCAACAACGCCGCCAAAACCGCCTCGCCCATTCAGACAGACATCCAGCTCCTCTCCCTCATCCGGAAACGCGCCTCCGCTGCGAAAGAGGCCGCTGAGCAATTTGCTAAGGAAGAGCGGGCAGATCTCAAGGAGAAAGAGGATGCGCAGGTGACCATCCTGGAAGAGTATGCTAGTCAGATCAAGACTTTGAGTGTGGATGAAGTGGAAGCTGTGATCGCAAAGGAAATTACCGCCATCAAGGAGGCTGGGAAGAAGCTGGAGATTGGACAGGTCCTCAAGTCTCTGTTTGCTCCCGGTGGCGCTTTGGATGGCAAGCCGGCAGATCGCAAGGAAGTTGCCGGACTGGTGAAGAAGGCTGTTTCTGCTTGAGGATAAACTCTTGCAAAGCCTTGTGTACATTACCTGTTACTATTACAATATATCCCCTCTGAGAATAAATTTTTCATTGACAGTAAATTGAAGTTGTTTAAGAGAAGAAAAAGGCGATGCCGCCAAGAGAAGTCATCATCACACCGAACCACCACCATCGGTCCGGATTGATCAATTCCTCCCTGATAGCCTGATGAATACCAGCTCCAGACAGATCACGCTTCTTTTTGCTAGTAGGCACCGGGTTCAATGTGTGGGTGGGAAGCATCTTGGGAGGCCGATATGCCAGGTACATGGGTTGTATTTTCTCGCCGTTGGACTTGATCAAGTCGAGGCGTTGGGCTCGATGGTACTTATCGATGGATACGGAGATTTCCTAGTAATGTCAAAGCCCATCCATACAAACCACATTGACCGGATCATACCTTGAAGTGCTCGGTGTTGTTGTATCGAGTGTACGCGCCAAAATCCTGTCGACACGGTTCCGACAACAATTGACGGCCGTCCACTGCAATAGGGTGGAGGGCCAAAGATCCATTAGCGGACAGCTTGTAGGAGCCATGCTGCCACTGCATGATGCCACTGGGGCATTCGGGGTCGGTGGCTTCGTCGGTCAGTTCTGTATAGATCATAGATCGGATCCACTCACGATTGGCCAGGGCGCGGTAGAACGCCTCCTCATAGTTTCCGTCGGCATCGAACGAGTAGGAAATGCCCGTCAGGTCGGGCTCTATCAGTCGGTCATTGAGCGGATCGTAGAATCCCTGTCCACGTCAGTCTCCTGTTTTGTGTTTATGTTGGAGTATACATACCGGGCCCGTGAGGACCTGTTGAGACTTGGTCGTCCATGTCCCGACTATGTCATCGACAGTAACAGCCGCACTGACAGTCGCCAACAGACTCCAAATCCAAATCATGGTTGCTTGATGAAGAAAAGAGAAAGGAGAGGCCGGGTCAAAAGGAATCCCTTCATTCAAGTGGGGACAAAACAGGGTGAGGCCTCAGCATGCCGGTCCACCCTTATCATTATCGTCTGGAATGAAACTCTGCCCCGACAAACTTCCCGCGGGGTCTGACAGACCATGGCTTTCCAATCGGCCAAGCGCGAGTTGCGCAAACAGATGCGCGACACTTTGGGGAGATTGTCTGCGACATCTATCAACCAGCAATGTCCGTCTTTTGTCTCTGTCTCGTGCTCATCACTGACCCCTCGCAAGCCAGTGTCGCGACCACCAAGTTCCTGTCGCTCACCGAGTACCAGAATGCAAAGAGCATCGCCGTATACTTGTCGATGCCGACCGGAGAGCTATCGACTACTAGTATTGTAAAGGATGCTTTACGATGCGGGAAGGACGTCTACATCCCATATATCCACACGGTCGACAAGACCTCCGTCATGGACATGCTCGCTCTCGAGTCCATGACCGAATTCGAATCATTACAAGCCGACAAATGGGGCATCCCCTCACTACAGCTTACACAGATCCCCGGCCGACGAAACTGCTTCGCAGGAACTGGGTTGGATCTAATTGTCATGCCGGGGATGGCGTTTGATCAGGGATTCCGCCGACTCGGCCATGGCAAAGGGTATTATGACCATTTCCTAACGCGATATTCTAAATGGAGCAAGAAAATGCCATTCCTGGGTAAGAACCCAATTCAAACAAGAACCCCGTTTTGAAACCCTCAAATGAAAACTAAACGCCGTGGTAGTTGCCCTTTCTCTCCAGGAGCAGTTGCTCGCCCAAGATATTCCCGTCGCGGAGCATGACTGGCTGATCGATGCGATCGTGGTGGGTGATGGTCGGTATTTGGTGCGATGATTTAAACGGCCTGGATAAGGGAGACGTTGTCGCCCTTGAGGAGGATCTGGCCTTGGGTCTGCGTTAGCTTCATAGCACTCGGGTTTCGGGTTTCAATTGACATACCAAGCGGTCTCCGCTTCTCCTGCTCAGTCTTTGTAGCTTGGCGCACCTCCACGGCATCGTCAATAACCAAGTTCATAAATTCATCGAAGCCCTGATGCGGTTAGCAGAAAGTCCCAGTCCGAGCCTGGCGCGGGACACGAACCCTGATCTTGCCCTCGATGCGGAAGGCGAGCTGCTCGTAAAGCCAGATGTGAACGGTGGCGCGCTTCTGCAGCAAGCTGAAGATGTAGTGGATAGGAGCCAACAATGTCTTGCGGCCTGCCATGGTGAAGGTGGTGATGTACAGCAGATAAGGTGAAGATAGAAACGAAGGAGTCAAAAGCTCTGCGTCCCGTGACGTACGGTAATACGAATACGCAGCCGCCGCCCGTCACGGGCACCAACATCCCACCTTCCTCTCCCTCTTGCACTCTTTGCGCCCCCCGTCCGCCTCTTTCTCAACCACCATTCGTTCTTTTTAGGTCGAATGCCCATTCTGCACTGCTGAGCCTCTTTACGTGTCTTCCATCATGGCCAGCAAGGAAGGTGGGCAGGCATTCGCCCCGGTCCTAGCGGCCGTCGCAACCATGCAAGGGAACGTGCCTAGGTCCGAGAAGACCCAGGCTCATGAATTCCTGGAGAAGTTCCAGAAATCTGTATGTCCGCATTGCAATCATGTCCGCTTCTTTCTAACGCATCCCAGATCGAGGCATGGACGACCACCCATGCGCTATTACAGTCACCCGATGTGCCCGTAGAGGCTAAATTGTTCGCGGCGACTACATTGAAGGGAAAGGTAAATACTCAACAATCATTGCTGGTTCGCGTCTAACTCTCCAGATCGTCTTCGACTTGGACCAACTCCCTCCCGACTCGTTACTCGCGCTTCGAGACTCCGTCCTCAATTTACTCGTGGCGTTTGCCTCGGGACCCCGCCCCATTCAGACTCAGCTATGTGTGTGCTTGGCGAGTTTGGCGATTCAGATGATCGCATGGAAGGACGTGTTGGCTACCGTCGCCTCGGCATTGGGCAGCAATGCGGGGGACTGCGTGCTGGAGTTTTTGAAGATCTTGCCGGAAGAAGTGACAGAGGGTCGCAAGATTAACCTCAGCGTGGGTGATTTTCTGGCTGTCAATCTAGACAATGCTAACCTCTTCATAGGAGGACGAACTACTCGACCGGACAAAGGAGCTGTTGCAAGATAATGCGGAGCAGGTCATGCAGCTGATGATCCAGTATGCTCAATCGTCGCGTGAGTTTTACTCCGGACAAGAAAAAATTGAATTATATGACTGATTTATTTAGCTACCGCCGCAACCAACCCGCGTCTTCTCGATTGTATTACTTCGTGGCTGCGCGAAATCCCCGCCGCCAAAGTCGTCGAGTCGCCTTTGATGGACGTTATCATCAAGGCATTGGATAATGATGTGTCATTTGAAGCCGGTGTCGAGTGCCTTTGCACCCTCTACCGAGACACCAAGGATGTCGATGAGTCTCTACCAATCATCCAAGCTTTATACCCCCGGTTGATGGCTCTCCGACACAAGATTGCCGAAACCGCCGAGGCTGAAGACCTGGAGGCGTTCAAGGGTATTACAAGGATGTTCGCAGAGGCTGGCGAAGCTTGGGCCGTTCTGATTGCTCGTTTGCCATCCGAGTTCCGGGGTTTGGTCGAGGCTAACCTCGAGTGCGCTGCACGGGATTGGGAACGTGAGGCTGTGTCACTCACTTTCATTTTCTGGTACGAGCTCAAGCAGCAAATCACCATCGAGAAGTTTGTGGAAGCCCGAATGAATTTCCAGGATATCTTCTCGCAGCTGGTAGACATCATGGTCAAGCACCTTGAATTCCCCAACCCTGAGGAAGGTGAAACCGATTTGTTCGGCGGTGATCGTGAGCAGGAAGAAAAGTTCCGCCAGTTCCGTCACTCCATGGGAGACGTACTCAAGGACTGCTGCGCCGTTGTCAGTGTGCAAGACTGCCTGGGCAAGATCTACCAGTTGATCCAGCAATGGGTGGCCAAGTACGCGTCGCAGGCCAGCAACGATCACGTTCCCCATTGGCAGGAACTGGAAGCTCCTCTCTTCGGTCTTCGTGCCATGGGACGTATGGTCGATCCCGAGGAAAACACCATTCTGAACCAGTTGGTCCCGCTTATTGTCCAGATCCCTGACCAGGAGAAGGTGCGGTTCCAGGCCATCATGGCTCTGGCTCGGTACACCGAGTGGACCGCCCTCCACCCGGAAACTCTCGAGGCTCAGTTGAACTATGTCATCTCGGCCTTCCATCACTCTTCCCAAGAAGTGGTGCAGGCGGCTGCGCTTGCATTCAAGTTTTTGGGCACTGACTGCCAGAAGCTGCTGGGCGGCCACATCGGTCAGCTGCACTCCTTCTTCGAATCGGTGCTGGACAAGCTGAAGCCCACCAGCCAGGAGGAAGTGACCGAGGGTGTGGCTGCCGTGGTCTCTGTGCAGCCTCTCGAAAAGATTTACGACTCCTTCAAGATGTTCTGTGATCCGATCATGGCACGAATTATGAACCTCGCCAACAATGCCCAGGATGAAGAAGGACAGCGAGCGGTGGCCGATCATCTGCAGTTGATTACCATCTTTGTGCAGGTTGTTACCCCCATTATTCCTTTCGGTGAAGAAAACCCGGCCGTGAAATACGTCGGCGAGATCTTGCCCATAATGACCACGATTGTTATGAACTTTACGTCTTCCACGCCTATCCTGGAGCGCGTGTGCCGCTGCTGGCGCTACATGATCATCTCGTACCGGACTGCCATGATTCCGCTGCTGCCCACTTTGGCCCAGAGCATTGCCAGTGGATTCGAGGCTTCCCGCGAGGGTTGCTTCCTTTGGGCCACTGACGCAGTGGTACGCGAGTTCTCTGACGGTGCTGAGTACGTGGATCAAGCCACTAGTGACGCCGTGTTCCAATTCTACGAACAGCAAGCCCTTGCATTCCTCCGGATTTTGAATGACCTGCCTCCGGAGAACCTTCCCGATGGTGAGACTGCTTTTCCCTCTTCTCTCGTATCTTATTATCTTCTAACTCCATTCCAGTCATTGAGGATTTCTTCCGTCTGTCATCCGACGCTGTCCGCTACTACCCCAAGAAGTGCATCAGCTCGTCTCTGGCCGTTCCTATTTTCTCTGCTGCTCTTAGCGCCCTTACCCTCCAGCAGGTCGATCCTCTCATCGCCACGCTTCACTACTACCGGGACTTGTTCGGCTTCGCGTTCGACAAGCCCTTGGTTTCCGAGTTCACCAGCCCCGAGGGTGAGCCCTACACAAACCCGCCCGAGGTGCGGGAGGCCGTCAAGGGTCTCATTGCATCGCAGGGCCAGCCTCTGGCTCAGCGTGTGTTGACTGGCATGATGTTCACATTCCCTGGTGATTGCTTCCCGGATGCCTCGGGTGTGATGATGACGATGTTTGAGCTGCTTCCCCAAGAGACCGGAGCCTGGCTACAGACCACGTTGCATATGCTGCCGGCCGGAACCATGAAGCCGGGCGAGGCCGAGCGATTGCTCAAGAATATTTCCGACAAGGTGCAGTCTGGCGAGACCCGAAAGATCCGGGTTCTTCTGCAAGGTGAGTCCTTTCCATGCCCCTTTTTCCTCGATCTTTCTAACCCTTTTAGACTTCACTAACTCGTACCGCCGCCGCAACGTCGCCCCCCGGGACGGACTGGGCCGCCTGGAGGCAACCCGGTTCCGCTTCAGCGGATGAATGGATGAAATCTGTTCTTATGTACATTGTTTTTTACTTTCTGGTGTTTTCGGGCCCGCCCGGAAACAGGAACAAAAACCACCCCCGGCGCATTTGCACATCAGGTGTTGGGTCCTTACTTCTTGACGCGCCATATGCGGCACGATGGCTCGAAATCCGGTCGTCTTGTGACGAATTTATGATCCGCTGGTGAGCCGGCCAGAGATCCCATTCCCCGGGATGCGCGTCCCAGTTACGCTCCATGATGCCCAGGTAGAGAATACATAGATATGTCTTATATTGTGCCGTATCTAGGGTAGATTTCTGTATTTTCTATTTACCTGTATTTCCACCGGGGCCAGGGTTGTCCCCAGGTTAAAATAGACCGGGGTCCACCATGCACGATATATCTAGATAGAGATGTGCACGATGACGTGCATGCCCCTAGTCGGCATTCCCTTGTATTATCGGACATATTGTCGCATCTGTATCCGCGCAATCCCGATTGACAGAACAATCTACTGTTTACCTAGACAGCTTCATTTGGAGTATCACAGGGTCCAAGTATAATCGAGAGGCAATCTTTCGTGAGAAGAGAGGGAACGGTCCAAACTTCAGCTATTTGAATTGCCCAGATGTAGTAAATAAGCACACCGAGGATATATATATAAGAAGCACAAGTATAATAAATACTTTCTATACCTATCTGCTCCCCAGGTGCGCCAATAGTATGAGATCGCCTGGAGTTACCCTCACCGAGGTGACCGAACCTAAAACTGACCCCACTGCATCTCCGCATCCCCGGAACTTGGACCAACTGTCACTTCGACTTCGCGACCTCCACATACTTCCTTCTTGTACTCCACGTGGCCCACGGCACACCTGATCGACATCCCTTGCAGCGATCTTCAGCCCTGCTATGGCACCCAATGGTGCTCCTCGTTGAAAAAGCAGACATGGCCGAGCCCGACGAACAACCCTCCAAGCGACGCCGTCGCAGCCGCCGTGCCCCAACCGATCGCAAATTCGAGTGCACGCACGAAGGCTGCGGAAAGAGTTATTCGCGCGCCGAGCACCTGTACCGACACCAGTTGAACCGTAAGTTCTCCCGTTTTCTTGTCAGTGCCGGGCTAACTCTTGCAAAGACTCCCCGAAGCAGATATTTCACTGCGATTTCCCAAACTGCCACCGCGCCTTTGTGCGCCAGGACCTTTGCATCCGCCATCGCGGGCGCCATACCACCCGCGGCTCACAACTGCAAAAGCGCGACTCCTTTGCAACTGACAAGCACGATGACACTACGCTCATCGCTGCCTCGTCTCCGTCCTCCCCCTCCATGAACGCCGACTATGCCTTCATGACTGGCCCCGCTACAACCTCTAAATCTCCGCTTAATACACCCTACCCTCTCTCCACAGGTATCGAAACAGCAGGCGTGCCCGTGTCCGGATATACGGATTTTTCCGGCGTTCTCAGCCAGGCCAACGGAATGCTTGAATTCGACTCCGTGTCAAATGCATACCCAATCTTCGGAGGCGAGACATACAATCGATCACCCTTCGCCATGGCGGATGACTTTGCGGCGTGGTTGTTTAGTGAACCTATGGCGCCGCTGGGCTATGGCATGATGCCCTTGATGCAGAATCATAACCAATTCTATGTCAACGAGCCGGCGTATAATAATATCTGCACCGTTATTCCGCAGCATCCGATGAGCGTGACCAGTATTCTGGACTCGGGATCTTTGCCAGCGATCATTTCGGAGGAGAAGAGGAAGGAACTGTTGCATTTGATGGCTACGCGGTTCAACGAGGCCGCATATTCGGCGGATGCGAAGCGCAAAGATGCGCTTTTGGATGGTGATTTGGATAGTGATCGCCATGTGTTGAGTCTGCGCATGATGCAGACGTATATCGGGTCGTACTGGTATAATTTCCATGCGCAGTTGCCCATCCTACACCAGCCCACTTTCGCGGCGGATCGGACGCCGAACCTCCTGTTGTTGGCTATCATAGCCATTGGGGCGGCGACGTTGGATAAAATTCATGGACAGGCGGCGACTGAGGCGGCGGCGGAGTTGGCGGGTTTTATTGCGTGGCATTTGAGATGGGAGATCTTTATGGATACTGATTTCAGGCCGCCTGCTCGACTCTGGGTGTTTCAGGCGCTGCTACTACTGGAAGTCTACGAGAAGTCGTTCTCTACGCGTGCCCTGCATGAGCGCGCACATATCCACCACGATACAACCTTGACATTGATGCGCCGGGGCAGCTCGCTAATCGGTCGGTCGTCGTTTGATACACCCGATACCAAGGAAGAGGATGAGTCGTGGTCGCACTGGATCAAGGCGGAGGCTACTCGACGCGTCGCATTCGCTGCGTTCGTGCTGGACTCGACACACGCTATAATCTTCGGCCATTCCGCCAAAATGGTAGCCCATGAGCTCCGTCTCCCATTACCCTGCGACGAAGCCTTGTGGGCAGCAACCAGCGCAGCCGAAGTAGCTCGCGTGCAATCGAGTCTACAATCCCATGGCGTGCGGCCGACCATGTTCCTAGATAGTCTCAAGCGGACACTCAACGGGCAACCCGTGCGGACCAATGCATTCGGTCGGACTATTATAATGGCTGGTCTGCTGAGTGTCGGTTGGCATTTGAATCAGCGAGACTTGCAGGTCAGTTCACTCGGAGTCGGTCAGACTCTTGGTGGTCGCGATAAATGGCGCACGGCACTGCTTCGCTCGTATGATAACTGGCGCCACGACTTTGACGAGGCATTGGGTTCGTCCACATCGATGGAATCCGAGTCCCGCGATGTCTTGCATCACATCGCACATATTGCGTCTCATGTCGATATCGTCGATCTTCAGATCTTTGCTGGCGCTGGTCGTCTTATGGGTCGCTCCATCACCGCGCGCGACTACAGTACGGCGCGGGAGAAGACTGAGCGCTGGGCCACCAAGGCCTCGGCGCGCGATGCCACTTTCTACGCGCTGAGGTTCCTCTCGGCCTGTTTCTTGAAAATGCCATCCGTCGACTACGACGCCCGCGACGATTACCTGTTGAACCGACCGTGGGTAATCTATTTCGCCGCGCTGACCGTATGGACGTACGGGTTCGCGTTGGACGGCCCCCTGCAAGTGCCACCGGTACTGGCGACGCGAGCTGAACAGAGGCACGATATGCAGACGTATCTACGACGAGTCGCGGGAGTCCGCGAACCGAATGAATTAGAGGGGATGAAGGGTCGGAACGAATGTTTGGGCCTGTTGATCATTCTGCGCGACTCGTTTGCGAATACGCGGTGGGAGCTGCTGGGGGAGGCGTCGCGGCTGCTGGACAGCTGCATCGTGAAGCTGAGATCATAGCTGAGATCATAGCCGAGATTATAGCTGAAATCATAGCTGAGACCGTCAGCATGCACGTAGTGTGTACTGGTGTCAATGTTAGTACTGTACTCCGCTAGTTGAATCCACACCGTTGCCCTCGCAACTGCCGATCCCACTTGGACCCATTTCCCACCTTTCCCTTTCCCCAACTGCATCACATTCCAATCTTCACAACCCCCTCAATTGTTGTGCTTCATCATGGTACGTTTTGCGCTCTGATCCCCCGTTGTTGACGACTTGCCTCTTCCGGGCCACCTTCATTTCCGCCTCCGCCTCCGCCTCCCCCTCCATCCGCGGTCCATCCCTTGTCCCCGATACCACCACGTCTCTCGCATCCATCATGGCTAATCAAAAGGACCAGGCCTCTACCAACTACAAAGAAGCGTTCTCGCTCTTCGACCGCCGCGGCACTGGCCGTGTCTCCGGGGACCTCCTCGGCGACCTGCTGCGCGCCTGTGGCCAGAATCCCACTCTCGCTGAGATCTCGGACCTCGAGAAGTCTGTTGGTGGTGACTGTACGTATCTCGAGAGTTCCATCGCTTGATTCTCTCGCTAATTGTGTTGTTAGTCGACTTCGATGCCTTCCTGAAGGTCCTCAACCGCCCCGGTGGTTTCCGTGACCCCGGCGAGCCGGAGGAGTATTGCCGTGGTTTCCAGGTGTTTGATAAGGATATGACGGGTTTCATTGGCGTTGGACAGCTGCGATATAGTGAGTTTCATTCCCGCGCCGTGTCTCTATTGCCCCGCGACCTCCAGGATCGCATTGAATGGCCTGGCATCAACCAACACCCAAGATGCAATCACTAACCAAGACACCAGTCCTCACCAACCTCGGCGAACGCATGTCCGACGACGAAGTCGACGAACTTCTCAAGGCCGTCGATACCTCCTCCGGCGAGATCAACTACACCGACCTCGTGCGCACCGTCCTGGCCAACTGATACCCGTTATGATCTGCCTTTACGTTTTATGGTTACGGAATGGGTCGGCGCGTCGGATTGTATCTTGACCAGTTCCAGGGTTGAGATATGAATGTATTTTTCTATTGTTCGTACCTGTTTATTCGCTCTTCGCTGGGTAGTTGCCAAGTACTTGCGCGTACGTGCTCGACCTTCTACCTGGTTTTTGGAATATATATTATTTTCACGTGAATCTCCTACCTTGCGCTTTGCAAGGCCATTGAATTTGGGAAAAGGTACCCCGAGGACATGAAGAGATGAAGAAGTAGAGGATTCATCTTATTCCCCGTTCCACTCCCTCCACTCCCTCTCGCCCACCCCCTCACCCCCCATTCCCTCCGTCCCAACGAGAGCCCCAGGAAGAATATAAACCGCCGGCGGCTTCTCCTCCCCTTCCCCCTCTCCTTCGTCCTGTTGTGCCTTTGTGCCCCAATGCACTTTATCCAAATAATACCCCACGACGACCCGGCACCGACCACAGCGCAAAAGTATCCTCTTCTCGATCCCGTCTTCGCGTCTGATTAGCGTCGCTCGACGATCCGGTATTGTTGTTGATAGGAGGAGGGTTATGTGGTTTTTAGACTCGGCGTTGGAGTCGGTGGTAGATGTGGATTCGGCGGAGAGGGGGATTATTATTGCTTTGTCGAGGCCGTCGCCGCCGCGGCGGGGGAGGGTTGATATATCGCGCGTTGTGGAGAGGAGGAGATGGCTGCAGAAACGGCAGTGTTGGGTCAGGATTGGCAGGCGTTGGGTTGCCATTTTGAGATTTGAGAGTCCTGGTGGACTGGTGGACTGGTGGATTGGTGGACTGGGTTGGTTGGTTTGGGGTGGGTTTGGCAAAGGCCAATGGCGAATTTTCGGTGCAGAAAGCAAGTAGAATGGCGTTTAATTCGTAGACTCGAGCTTTGAAAGTTGTTTCTGGAGACTGGAGCTCAGGGCTAGCGTCTAAGGTGATTCAGTTGAGTCTGCATGCGACGGGTTAGCTTTGTCCATTGATAGGTATGAGCCTCGGCACTCATGAAATCGGGGAGTCATGGACCTGGGGATTGACTCACAGAAACCCTAGAGCTTAATTTGAGAGCTTTAGTAGGATTGAGTTGGAATTGGTTGCAGTAAAAGGTGAAGGAGAGAATGCAGGTCCGTGGAGAAGGTGAAGGCGGTCGGCTTATCAGCTATCGCATCTTGCTCTACATCCCAAGTTCTTAGCTGTACTCTGGAAACATTCCGGCGCTCTTGTTCTTAGATCCCAGCTGGCTACGTCTTCTGATTTAATTGAAGAGGCATAAATTGTAAACTGATGCATGGCGTGACTAACAATTCTTCATGTCAAAGCTACTTTAGTTGCAGGCTCTACGCCAAGCCCATATCCTTGTAGAAAGCATCAGTCTGCGGCTCACGGCCCAAGAACTCAGTAAGAGTCTTCATCTCATCCTGAGAACCACCCTTCTCAAGAACCTGGTACCGGTACCGCCGTCCGGCCTCCTTGTTCATGGGGTCATCCTTGAACACGGTGTAGAACATATCCGTCGAGTACACTTGCGAGCTGAGGTATCCGTAGTATCCAGCGTCATAACCACCGATCAAATGACCAAAGGTGGCCTCGCCGTGGCCCCATCCTTCTCCCTCGCCTAGTGCCTCGGGCCCGTCCAATAGGGTGATTTCCTTGCGTAGGCTGTTGTATGTTTTTGAAATGGGCAGGGCTTCAATGTCGGCGTGGCTGGAGGGCTCGTGGACGGTCATGTCGAAGATGCCGAAGTGGAGCTGGCGCAAGTTGAAGAGGGCCTCGTTGACGTGCTTGGTGCGGATGAGGTTTGCAATCACTTCGTCGGGGATGCGCTCGGACGGCGGGCCTGTGGCTGTCTTGCCGCCGCTGCGCTTCTGGTGTGCTTCTTGCCAGCCGGCGAGGTACTCGGGGGACAGGGTAGAGTAGTGGCGGCTAAGGGAGCGCAGCTGCGATGGTGTCCAGCACCAGTTCTCCAGCATCTGGCTGGGTGCTTCGACAAAGTCGCGTACGGTGCTGGTGCCGTGGAAGCGAGAGTAAATTGTCCGTGAGACAAGGTCGTGAATACCGTGGCCCAGCTCGTGGAAGAGGGTCACCACCTCGTCGTGCTTGAGCAGACTGGGCTTCTTGGGGGTGGGCTTGGTGAAATTGCACACCAGGGCGGTGGCAGGGAAGCGTCGGTTGCCATCAGCGTCGATGAAGCCCTACAAAATATTAGACATGCCCAACTTCCGTGGATTGTAGGATACATACCGGCTGCAGGTTAAAGTTGGCGGCGTGGCCGTACTTGCCCTCACGAGGGAAGAGATCCAGATACAAGTATCCGACAAAGCCACTGCCCTCGCCCGCGTCGTTCCAAACGCTAAACACCTGCACATCCTCGTGCCAGACAATGTCATTGCCCTTACCGGTGGGGGCGACGGCATCGCGGTCCTCACCAGTAATTTCAACAAACTCAAGACCAAAGAGCTCCTCAAAGATCTTCAGCATTCCCTCGATAGTAGTCTGCAGAGGGAAGTATTCAGCGATGAGCTGATGGTCCAGCTGATAATCCCGCTCCAGCAACAAACGATCATAGAATCGGTGGTCCCACAGGTAGTAACGACCATCCGTCTTGCCTTCGGTCTGCTGCTTGAGTGCATTCAGAGTCTTAAGCTCCTTCTCTCCACCGGCAGCAAGTCGGTTGCGCAGATCACCCAAAAAGTTGTCAACAGTCTGGGGAGTCTTGGCCATCTTGTCTTCGATCCGGAAGGCGGCGTGGTTGGGGTAGCCCAGCAGGCGAGCAGCCTCGTCACGCAGCACAATGGCCTCACGGAAGAGTGGCACGTTCTGGTTGCACTTGTTCTCGTTGGCAATCATCACCTGCCGACGGGTCTCGGGGTTGGTCGCGTATTTCATGGTGGGGAACAGATCCGGGTACTTGAAGGTCAACCAGATCTTGCCCTCGTTCTCGCCCTCGCCCTTCTTCAGTCCGGACAGAACATCCTCCGGCACGCCGTCCAGCTGCTCCGGAGTAAACCAGATGCCACCGTTCTCCTCATTCAGGTTTTTCTGGAATTCAATGCTGATCTGGCTCAACCGCATCTTGATCTCCTTGAACCGGGCACGCTGCGGGCCAGCAGGAAGTCCCAATCCATTTCTAATAAAGTCCTTGTGCTCCTTCTCCAAAAGACGCTGAGATTCAGGGTCAATGGACTCCTTCTTATTCAGGGCAGCATCAACGAGCTTGTAAACATCCTCCCGCATTGCCGACTCGATAAAGAACTCATCCATCAGCTCTTCCGCCTTGGAGGAAGCATCCCGGAGCTTCTGATCCGTTGAGACGGCCTGGTAGAAGCCCAGGATATGAGCCTCGAGAGCCATAACATTCTCATCCTGAGCCAGCGGCCGCAGCACGTTGGCAAAGGTAGCCGCCTCGGGCTTGATCTCGGCGACGACCTTGTCCTGGATAGTGCGGGAGCTCTTGATGATTCGCTCGGCGTCCGTCACCAAGGACTGCGGGGTGGCCGTGAAAATGGGCGGCGCCTGCGGCGGGTGCCGGAGGTGAGCGGGGGCCATGCTGGAGGTTGTCAGGTATCGCGAATTGGTTCGGAGGTGACCCAACACGGAGGAAAGGCGGGCGGGGAGACGGAGGAAGGGCGCCACGATGAGTGCCAGGAGGAGGATTAGGAGGGGTTGGCGAGCGGTGAAGGCTATGGTGGCGGCAGGTTAAGATGCGGTGTGTACTTGCAGTTGCAGTTAGAGTTGCAGTTGATACTTGGAGCTACGTAACAGGATGCCGGCACCGGCGCCGTTCGTGCCTCAGGTGTCGGTTTGAGAGCACACGTGATGCTGAATTGCTTTGGACCCTTGGTACATTTGAAGGATAGATAGATCAATGAGTCTAGGCTAGAGGATCGTACGAATACGCCGACGATCCATGGATTTACATGCAGCTATATCTACATGGGGAAGTTTCTGTTGATGTCATGTGACCGAGCCCCCGCGTTTTCTTCCCTCTAACCTGGTTAGACTTTCAGTTTTTACGGCTACACTCATCGAATCCAATAACGAATAAAAGAGGATAAAGAAAGGTTCGTTTCTAGTTCATGACAGATTATCTATGTGACAGTTCGCTTTTAGGAATATCAGAAACAAAAACGCCGGGACACCAGCCCTCCACGATGCAAGACATGTAACAATCTGTGTTTAAGCGGCATCCGCAGTTGAGATGGGCTCAGGGATCTTGGTGGGCTGCTGTCCGGCCCGAATAACACGCTGACCAGACTCGTCGCGAACGTACTCGGTGTTCTCCTTGTGGGCCCGCTTCCAGATCTCGACCTCGCAGCCGCCACGGATCACACCAACTCGCATGGTGGAGAGAAGGTTGTGAGCGGCGTTGGAGTGGTAGTAGATACCGCCGTTGAACATGGCGGTCGCGTCCTTGCCAATGCCGGAGCTGATCATGGCCTTGCCACCGGGGTGGTCCTTGATGAAGTCGGTCACGTCGTGGACGACACCGGCAATAGCGACGAGGCCACGGCCGTTCTGGGCCTGCTCGACATAGTCATCCCACTCCAACACGGGAAGCTGGTCCAGGGGAACACCCCAGTCCAGCTTGGCGCGCTTCTGGTCGATCTTCTTCTGGAGCTGCTGCACACGGCCCTTCTCGATCTCGTTGGCACGGAACTGCTTGAGGTCGTAGGCGAGACCAAGCTGCTTCCAGGTCCAGATGGTCCACTTGGTGGGATCGTACTGGTGCCACTCGATGGCGTTGCGGTAGTCCGAAGGGAACTCGTGGTGGAAGTTGTGGTAGCCCTCACCCAGGGTGACAAGAGCGGTGATGACGTGGTCACGGGGAGAGTTGCGGTCGTCGAAGGGCTGGTCACCGAGCCAGTGGGCAAGGGAGTTGACACAGAACGTGGCCTGCTGCACGAAGAAGATACGCAAGATACCGGCATAGATGAAGCCACCGAGCCAGTCACCCCAGCCCAGACCGGCAACGACCATGGGAGCAATCAGACCCATGCCGAAGACGACCTTGAGGTAGTGGCGGTGCTGCCAGATGACGACGGGGTCCTCGTTGAGATCGGTGATGTCGGTACGGCCGATACGCTTGGGGTTCTGCTTCATGACCATCCACCCGAGGTGGGAGTACCAGAAGCCCTTGCGGACGGAGTAGGGGTCCTTCTCGGTATCGGTGTACCGGTGGTGAGCGCGGTGGCCGCGAGCCCACCAGCGGATGGAACCCTCGACGGCACCGCCACCAACAAGGGCGAGCCAGATACGAAGGGGCAAACTGGCGGAGTAAGAGCAGTGAGCCCAAAGACGATGGTATCCTGGAATTCGTCAGCTTTGTTCAATCTTCCTGTCCCAATCGTTTTCGAATTACTTACCAGCAGTGATGCCGAGACCGGTGAAGAAGTAGTAAACAACAGCCCAAATGGCGGTCTTGAGCTGCAGTGGCGTCCAGAAGGCCTGGACACAGCCGATGGCCGGGATGCCGAGGATGAGGAAGACGTTCAGCCAGTTGACATGCTTGTACCAGTTGCTGCGAGTCATTGGAGTGTCGGCGATGTGCACCTTCTTGGTGTCAGGCGCCCGAGGGCGGGAAGCCTCAGCCTTGGTCGACATGATGTTGATGTGAAAGAGGGATAGTATGACAAGGTCGGGGACAAAGCCTTTCTTATATGGGGGCCCCACCTAGGACCAACGTTGGGGATGAGTAGATTAGGCAAGGTTCGATCGCCAATGATACGGGGAAGAACGGGTTTTTCCACCCAACTCAATCACAAGGGCCGAGGCTAGGGAAAGAAGAAGAAAAGCGCAGAGGAAAGAAAAGGAGCAGATCAATTCTTCAATTCGACGAGTGGCGACACTCAGCGGTTCCGAATAATGTCGAGTGTTGGGTCCGCCCCAACACTTTGTGGCCTGAGGCAACTAGTTAGGTAAGCCGCTGTTTTCGGCACGAGTTCTACTTATCGTGCCACTCATGCCCCTGCATTCGAATCGTGCTTGTTGGTCTAGACTGCGTAGGCCTCGTGCTGCCACTTGTCTTGGCCTATAAGACATTGCATGATGTAAATGATGGGAGATAATGGGGGATGATGGAAGATGATCGGAGCTGCTCGGGAGCTGCTTGGGAGCTACCATGTGGCGACCCTACAGTATACCAGACGCGTGTAGCTTCACCTGCGAATAGAACACAGTATGCTTTGACTCATACCTAGGCAAGCAATTGGGATTCTTTTCTTATCCTAGGCAATGGCTGAGTTGAGGCTTGCTTCCCAAGCGATGGCTAAAACCCATCTGTCACTACCAGCCATCGATGCACTCTTGTAGAGATCATCTGTAGATTGTTGCTCTCTCTCAGTCTTGACTACGCATGAGTTCTGCGGTAGTTCAACTTGTAATATACTGTACAGTACTGTCCAAATAGCAGACCGAATTTGTTGAATTTTGTTTAAGTTGTTGCCGATCACATGTCCGGCCATTTTCGAGGTTATTCGCACGGCCATCGCACGGCCCTGGACCTGCGTCACGGCTCTACGGTGGCAAATCAAGAAAGTTCACGAAAACTACAAACACTCTGTCGGGTAAATGTCAACCACAGCATCATATTGACGTGGATGAGATAATGTATGTCCTCTTAACCGGTCGCGAGTCGTGGAGAAGGCTGCTGAGCCCCTGCTCCAAGGTCGCCGAGGTTGCAGAAGTGAATTAGCTGCAGATGAAGCGAACATGTCAACTCCGTACTCGCTAGCGAATAAACCCGAGGGACACACGTGATACAGTGGCACTTGCCCTGGCAGCCAACCTACTACTACCAAGGTCATGCATGATTCAGGGAAGCCCAAGGCTGGGGAGCCCAGGGAAGTCAGGCTTGGCATGTCCTTCGCTCCGTCATCGTATATAGAGATGAGGATACACCTTCCCCCAAAGCCAATCCCAGCCGATAAGAATCGGCGCCTTCCACTGTCCACGGGAACCTCCGCCAGATTTCAATGCCCAGAGAGATAAACCCCAGATATCCATGATACGGGGGCGTCGAATGAGTCTCGTCAGCGGTCATCTCGACGTCGGCTCGGGGGCCCCCGATCCTCACCCGGTCCTATCAGACACATCGTAGACCCACCGTCACACGTGTGGACATACAAGGAAGACAGAGAGACAAAAGTCTACTACTATGGTAGAAAGGCTATTCGGCGGCTAAACATTCCATGTCTTATCTCTGTTCTCCCAAAGTGGTGTCTTGGTGGGTGGAGTTGCCCCACGGCAGATAAGAGGGTCCGTGTTCCGAACTTTACTTTCTTCACCTTATGCGATCCTCTTGCTAATGCGGGCCTGGGCATCTTATCGGATACACTCTCCACTCCACGAAGACCTTCAATAATAATTTTTTGGGTGTTGTATATATGCACCTGTCTTCCCGGGGGTTCATGGCCAAGCTTGAATTTCAGACTTGATCATCATCATGGACGGCCCCGATCAGCTCGGGCCCGATCACGCGCCCAAGCGACCTTTTAGTAATAAACTACGTCGAGTCGTCAGGACGTTCACTACTCGGTATGACTCAAGTTGAACGACTTCCACGGTATGCACTGCTAATGATAACAAGGGATGGCCTCATCGGCGAATACGACTATGCGTATCTGTTTATTCCCCGATTGCCCTTCACCAAGCGCGCCCGCAAAACCGCACCCTTCTTCGGCCTCGAGGATAGTGTGCCCGTCGCACTGGCTCTGATCCTGGGCCTTCAACATGCGCTCGCTATGCTAGCGGGTGTTATTTCACCGCCTATCATTCTAAGTGGTGCATCCGGCGTCAACTTTGGCGATGAACTCTCTCAGTATCTGGTCTCGACTTCGTTGATTGTTTCTGGTCTTCTTAGTGCTGTCCAGATGTTCCGCCTCCATGTCAAGGGCACAAAGTATTATATCGGAACCGGTCTTCTTTCGGTCGTTGGTACTTCTTTCTCAACGATCACCGTTGCCGAGGGTGCCTTCTCCCAGATGTACAAGTCGGGGTACTGCCCCACCTCTTCTGATGGGACTAAACTGCCCTGTCCGCAGGGTTATGGTGCTCTTTTGGGTACTTCTTGTCTCTGTGCGTTGCTGGAGATCGGTCTGTCTTTCATGAGTAGCAGCGTGCTGGCCCGCGTCTTTCCTCCACTCGTCACTGGTCCTACCGTCCTGCTTATCGGTGCCACACTCATCAAATCGGCCATGCAGGACTGGGGCGGTGGTTCGTCGTGTTATCCGAGCGGATCTACCAGGCCTATGTGTCCCAGTGCTGATGCTCCTCACGCTCTACCGTGGGGTAGTCCCGAGTTCATTGGCCTGGGATTCCTCGTGTTTGTCACGATCATCATATGCGAGCGCTTCGGTCCGCCGATCTTGAAGAGTTGCGCTGTCGTGGTCGGTCTGCTGGTCGGATCTATTGTTGCGGCTGCCTGCAACTACTTCGAGAGGTCGGGTATCGATGCCGCCCCCGTGGCGTCTTTTGCCTGGGTGAAGACATTCCCGTTGACAATTTACCCCCCGCTGATTCTACCACTACTGGCGTTGTACGTGGTTATCATGATGGAGTCCATCGGTGATATTACTGCCACTTGTGATGTTTCCAGACTCCAGGTCGAGGGTGCTACCTTTGACTCGCGCATCCAGGGTGGTGTCCTGGGTAACGGCATGACCTGCTTGCTGGCTGGTTTGATGACTATCAGCCCCATGTCCGTCTTTGCTCAGAACAACGGCGTCATCGCGTTGACCAAGTGTGCCAACCGCAATGCCGGCTACTGCTGCTGCTTCTTCCTGGTGCTCATGGGCATCTTTTCCAAATTTGCCGCTGCCCTGGTCTCCATTCCTAGTGCCGTGCTGGGCGGTATGACCAGCTTTTTGTTCAGTAGCGTCGCCGTATCTGGCATTCGCATCATCGCTACCATCAACTTCACTCGCCGCAACCGCTTCATCATTACGGCTAGTTTCGCCTTGGGAATGGGTATCACGCTGGTCCCCGATTGGTGGTCCTATTTCTTCTCCTACAATGGAGATAACCATGCCCTGGAGGGTCTGCTCAATGCCATCGATCTGATCATGGAGAACGGCTTCGCTGTGACCGCCATTACGGGTCTCATTCTGAACCTGATCATCCCCGACGAGCCAGACGATGCGCCGACCGTGTGGACTGCCAGCGAGTCCGATGAGGTGGAACCAACTCCCGTACCAGCAGGTCCTTCCAAGTCCTAGTTAACGACCTTTATTTTATCTATACCCCTGTTCTCATTTAGCCTTCGCATTCAGTGTATGGTACATTTCTATTCTATTCTATTTTACACAAATCTTCCACCTCCACCGTAGATTAAACACCCTCCGCCTTCTCCCCAGGCGCCAACATCTTAATATACCGATGCTCCCCCCTCTCCAAGACCACCACCTCATCCCCAACGCAAAGCCGAAACTCCTCTATCGCAGGAACAAGCTGCATTCCAAGACATGCATTCGTCCGATCCCCATCGTCAATCCTCCTATACGCCTTCAACGTCCGATCCGGCTCCGCCTTATGCCGCTCCCCAGAATCAGGATCCACATTCGGGAGCCGACACCGCACAGTCCGACACGCTGCGTGGATCTCGACTCCACCAATCGCCATCCGTTTCCAACCATCTTCGTCGAACGCACCCGGTCCTTGCGTGATAATGTTCGCGCGGAATCGACGAATACTCAGTTTTGGAATCGCGTATGCACAGCGCACTGCGACGTCCATGTGGCTTGCTAGGTTGAGGAGGTGGATTGGATATGCGTCTGCGAATGCTGTGTTGGGTTGGAAGCCTAGGTCTGAAGCCAGTGGGGCGTTGCGGTGGATTTCGCGGGTATGTGTTGGGTTCGCGCGGAAGAGTTTTAGTGGCGAGTTCTTTGGGTCGAGGCCTAGGTAGGTGTGTAGCGAGGCTGGTAGAAGACTTCCATAGTCCCAGGCCAATGGCTTGTCTTTCCAGATTCGTACTGGGAGGAGTGGGAACAGGAACTTGCTGCCCTGAGGTGGGTTGAGTGGGACGCGGAATCTGCGGCGTGGATTGACAATTCCCACTGCCATGCACAGCTTGATGAGTAGGCCGGTATACCCTGTCGGTGCGAGGCGCGGGTACGAGATTACCATCTCGCCTTGCACGGTTGAGTTATAACCTGGAGCTGATGGGTCTGGCACCCAGATCTCGGGATGGATCAGAGCTAGACGTTGAAAGCCTGCGTTTCGCAGAGTGCGACAGTTCCAGCCATCCGCGCTGTGCTCGGCGAAGGCAAATTGTCGGTCGTATTGTAGACCCGTTGGCACGACTTCGGAGGCTTGGAGCTCGATGCCGCCGCATGATTTTAGCGGGTAGGTGAATAGTGCTTTGACGCGCCAGGTTGGCCGGCCTTTTGAGTCGTATGTGTTTGGCACGCCTGCGCTGTATTTGGGATCGAATTCATCGTCCAAGTTGCTTTGCCCTTCCGGGAGACCGAGTCTTCGGCATCCTTTGGGATGGGATTGGACTGGGCGGAATAGAGCCAGTAATGGAGGGCAGCAGATTAGAATGACCAGAATGAGGGACACGTCTCCTAATGAGACATCCCGCACACTAGGAACTGACATCAGGTCGTCGTGAAAGTTGGATATATATCTCGGAGGCGAGTTGCGTTTTCTCGGTGTCGGACCCACCGATCGATCGATCCACTTTCGACTACACGAGAACTGCTTCATCAACGACGGGACCAGGGAAAAGTCCCAGACGGTGTGAATGAGATGTTCTGTTTCTCGTGACCGATGCGCCAGCCATGAGCATCAATAAGGACCTGCTTGGTCTCGACAGCCAGGAGACGCGTAAGTCAACAACCTTGAGAAACTGCCTGACGCTGACAACAGTAGTACCCGTGGTGTCCATATCGGCCTCGCAATCTCTCAACGCCTCTGCTGCCACCAGAGTCCCGATCAGCACGGGATTGGCACGTCTGGACGAGGCGCTAGATGATCTAGACCAGGGGTGCGCGGGCATCCTGCGCGGGCAGGTGGCCGAGGTATTTGGGCCGCCAGGCGCGGGCAAGACCTCTTTCGCGTGAGTTTCTCGCCGATACTTTTAGAATTATACTAATCTGATCAGTCTAAACATTGCATCGCAAGCAATTCGCGATGGCGGAAAAGTCGTCTGGATCGGTATGCTACATCTCCTGGTTTATGGCATCCGGCTCACATCCCAGACACGGGCTCGCCCCTACCGACCCACAGACTACAAGCAATGACATCCAACCTGGACAACATGATCCACTTCCGGGCACATACACTACCGCACCTTCTAGCACTACTAATGCGTCCACCAAAGGGGTTCCCACCGGAAGAAACCTCCCTCATCGTCATCGACTCTGTATCGTGTCTCTTCCCATCTTACTTCCCCAACGCCGCAGAACTCAAAGACCGCCTAACCCAAGGCAAAATCACCGACAAGGCTCAGCTGCAATGGCTTCTCAATCGGAAATGGAATGTCGCTAGTGAGCTGGCTACTCATCTCGCCCGCCTTGCGGCTCGCAATATTGCCGTGTTGGCGATCAATCAGACCCACACTAAGATCAAGGGCCAGCCTCGCGCGACTCTGCATCCTGTTTTGGCGGGTGGTGCCTGGGAGACTAATGTGCAGACTCGCATTGTCTTGTATCGCGATCTTCCTAATGCGAGGTTTGCGGAGGTTACCAAGCGTGGTGGGAAGACTCTGCCTGTTCGAATGCCGGAGTTTATCGTGCCGTTTCGAATCGAATCGGTATGTTCTTTATATCTACTGTGGATATTCGCCGTGGGCGGATGCTTACTCGTACAGGACGGCCTTTACGAGGTCGAGACAAAAGACGAGATCAAATCACCCGACCCTACACCCAGCCGCAAGCGCAAAGCAGAGAATGAAATCGCCGACAGCCAAGACGAAGGCTCAGAAGGGGAATACGAATGGATGGAAGAAGCCTTGCTCGATACTAATTAATTATTGCGCCTCCCGGATTCCACGAACGCTCTTCTACCATCTCCCTATGTTTCGGCTCCACCTCGGGCTGGTCATCATGTTGGTCTGACATCTGGTGTGTGAACGAGCATAGAGGCAGGGTATCGGCAATGGCAATGGAGATCGGGTGTCGCGAACCCTGAATGATGTCCACCAATCGGCCTAGCACGGCAAACTCAAACTTGAGTTTCAGCGAGTATATAAACCCCTTCAGCGTGATCTGCACTGCGTAAAAATTGGCGTATTCCAGCCCTAGCAGCAGCAGATCCATGGCGATGATGGTGCAGTTGATCCCGATCAACTGGTACATAATCGACCGGGCATCAGGACGTATCGTCGATTCGGCGCCGATTCGAAGCAACTTGACCGTTTCGATCACATATAGCGTCGAAATCAGACTCTCTTGAATCGTGAATCCCGTCAATTGAATCTTCTCCATGATATTGTACCCGTCCACCCACGCAATCTCCCCGCTGTGCACAATATTCGCCCCGTAGGTCAATATCGTCGTCGGAACATGCAACAGAAAGACATTCATCACAATCATCCACCACACCCGTCGCAGGACCTTCTCATCCCGCAACACAAGATGCAGCCGTGAATACAGCACAACAGACTGCCCCGTCACCATCGTCCACCACCCAACCGTCAACACAGTGACCGACAACACCGAATCAGCCCGCGTGAAGAACTTCATCAGGAACCCGATCGAATACGGCACCACGCCTATACATCCCGACGCAAGCAATGACCAGAAGTAGAGGCCCCGCCAGCGCCGGAATGTAGCCGGCACTAGCACTACCAGCTCGGCGACGTTGTAGCATGATAGTCCGATAAACGTTACTAGTATCATTTGGAGTACGTCGCCTCCGGATGCGAGCTCGCCTGAGATCCCATCTAGTAGATCTTGGGGTGGGTCGGTCATGCTGCTAGGTTTGAGTGAAGAATCAGGAGTCAGGTTCACCTGCCCTATGCCAGGGGGGCATTTCTTGACGTCGTACAGAGGTTGTAGAGTGAAATCAATTGCAGCCTGTTTGCGCACGCGTGAGACGAGTCCAGAATTCAACCCAGGGGGTCAAAACCTGGGGTAAATTGAAACTTCCAATCATTGGATCTAGCTAACGCCATTGTTACTAGCGCTGGTTGGGGGTCCGAGGCTTCGTGATGGCTTTGCGAGACGGGATTCCTTGTTGGGATTCGTGACAGGGGTGTCACTGACCCTTTCTTTTTTTTTCCCCTATTGTCGCACTACAATATGAGCTACGGGGGCGGGCTTCGTGAAGTATCGCTGCAGTAACCCGTCGGTGAGACAGAGATGAGTTCGAAACTAGACACCAGTAGAAAAAAGCAACGCCGGATCAGCAACGAAAGGAAATGCATCAATCCGTTCAATCCGTAGTGAAAAATGCATGCAAATAAGAATCAATAGCACTCTCGTCTCGTCCTTCGCGAAAGATGGATGATCCTTGTCTTCAGTCCTTCCAGATTTGTTTCCCGAATCTCTTGTCGAAGAAGGACCGAGCATGGCGACGGTACTTCTGATCGACCCGATTGACGATTTCCCTCACAGTGTTGGCCATATCCTCGACAAAGTAGATCGCGTCGAAGGCGTCTTCGAGACTCGGCTCTGGGTCATCTAGACGTTGTGTGATAGGAATAGGTCGAGTTTTCCTCTCCATGGGCATGTTATGAATCGGCGATGTCTCTGGCTTGATGTCACGATCGCCATGAACCGACGGAAGATCTGGGGCCTGGGCCAATGCCACAGCTTTCATTCTGTGCGTTGTTGCTACCGTCTTCTTCTTGATCGCTGGTCTCCTCCTCGTTCTGTTCATGGCTGCCCTCATCTTGCGGTTCGTATTGACTAGAGTTTCATCTCCGTCGTCGGTTTCCTTGTCCGTCAGCCTTGAGGTACGCTTGGAAGCGACGACTTTCTTCTCAATCGGCATTTCCTTGCTGCGCATGTCGTCCTTGCTTGCTGAGCTTGCCGATGTCGAGGAAGAGTCAGTAACGATCACTTTCTTCTGTTTTGGACACCGCCGTCTCTCGGGGCGGGAGTCACTCAAGGGCGTCCTGAAAACTAGAGGTTTCAGGTTTGTGGGTATAAGAAGGAAGATGGTGAAGAAGATGGCAAGACGCATGTGGCAGGGTAATAACAATTGGAGTTGATGGAGATTGACAAGATGAGGAGAGATTCAATGGAATGCAAATACTTGCAGAGGTCCCTGTTCGACAAGTCTCTTGGGTTCTTGGAGAAAGGAGATGATGTGGATGTGATGAGGAGTGAATTAGTGGACTAGAGCGGAACGCTGTCTGGTGTGGTTCAATATTTTCTCATTTGCTAGGTCATTGCAACAAAGTCATTCCCGTTCTAGCTCATCCTCACAGGTTGGTCAGGTAGTCCTCGATCTGCTCCTTGGTCAACTTCCTGAACCGAGGTCCCTGCGCACCCTCAACACCTTCGTAGCCCAACAGGTGGTCTGCCGGCGGGCCAACAATGCCTGCTGCTGTTAGCGTCATTCGATCCTCAACCCCCAAACTGGAAACATACCGATCTCTATTGTGTCCCCGTTCATCTCACCCTCAATCGTCTCCTTGAGCGTCAACAGCGCAATATGAATGGCATCCTCCAGCTCCAGTCCCTCGGTGTACCTCTTCTCCAGGAAAGTCTTCGCGCTGGTAGCGTGCTTGCCGATGGCCGTCGCCTTCCAGGGATAGTAGCTACCACTGGGATCAACCTGGTACAGACTGGGACCACCCTTGAGGATACCGCCGGTCTTGCCGCCCTGACCTTCCGGCTCCACGCCCTCGTCCCAGCCCGCAACCAGCAGACTGACACCGTACGGCCGAACACCTCCAGACTGCGTGGCCTCTTGCACCACCCGCGCCACGTCCTGCACCAGTATCCGTGTCGGCGGGTATTCGTTGTAGATTCGCTTGTAGCCAGTGTGTGACACCTTCCGCGCCTTGTCCACTAGGACCCGGTAGTCGGGGCCCATGCCGGCGTATACCATCCCGATATCTGGGGTGACCAACGAAATCTTCGAGAGGGAGGGCGGGTCGATCAAAGGCGAGGAGGATTTCTTTTCAGTTGCCAGGACAATTCCGTTGGTAGCTGTGGTGGTCAGTTATGGGAGGGCCAGCGGAGTCATTGGTCGGGCGTACCTTTGATACCGAGAGCTGTGACACCCTGGTTGACTGCATTCAAGGCATATTCTGTTGATTCGATTAATGATTGCACTTTGGACCCGGTCTGTTGATCTTACCAATCTGCACCAGCTTGCCGCTGTTGATGTGTTAGTCGTCACCCAATTATCAAGGTGGAGGTACATACCTGGGCGAGAAGGTTGTCAAGGAGAAGGAGTAACGGTCAGCCATGATTTGATTTCTGTTGGAAAATCACGGCGAAGGGGACAGATTAAAAGATGAGGATGTAGGCAGACGAGGGTGACGTTTGGGGGAAGCTCAGGTGCGAGCTGCCAAAGGCGGTGAACTCCATCGGGTTAGCCGGCTGCTGCCAATAAATGCTCCAAGTGGAGCTGCTTTTTCACGCACTTTCTGCTCTCTTCACCTCTCCCATGTCCGATGCCGCGACAGCTCAGCCAGAGTCGGCTACACAGGACTCAACAGAATCGACAGACGCGGCTTACCCTCCTCGAGTCTGTCGGATCTGTCTAGAATCTGTCCTGCCTACCTTCCAGCCCTCGGAATTCCTCCAGAGACCTCGCGTTGTTTATGAATCAGAAGAGTCCGGTCGTCTGCTCCGCCCCTGCCGATGCAAAGGCTCCTCGCGATATGTGCACGAGAACTGCCTGCAGATATGGCGGCACGCAGACCCCCGATACGGCGCGAGGAACTACTGGCAGTGCCCGACCTGCGGCTTTCAGTATCGGCTACAACGTCTGACCTGGGCGAGGTGGATCAGTAGTGCTGGCACACAGCTCCTCCTCACCATCGCCATTTTGCTTTTTACAGTTTTCATTCTTGGTTTTGTTGCTGACCCCATCCTTGATTTGTACCTCGGCCCTCTCGACGATGTTTACGCAGAGTTGGAAGACGAGCTTACTGAAGAAGCTTCGTGGATTGCCCATCTCGTCAAGGGACTGGCCTCTCTCGGTTTATTGTCCTTTGTGAGGTCCCTATGGGTCTTTTCTCCGTTCTGGGGCCCGCGCTCGGGGATCATGGCTGGCCGCACCACAGGACGAGACCGGGCCCGGTCCCTCAACTGGCTGGTCATCGTCGTCGGCGTGGGTACTTTTCTCTGGGTATGTATCGAGCAACAAGATCACTCGGTCATTACTAACTTGCTCAGGCTGTTTACAAAGGTGTACGGTCCTGGAGTAGACGAACACTAGAAAAAGCGGGCGAGAGAGTGATGGATGTCCCTCTGCCAGAGGATGAGGATATGAAAACTGAATGATCGCACTACTTAAGTTGCCGTGTCCTACCTTCGGGTACCAATGACACGCTGATTAGTCGATGTGCGAAGAATCATGTTGCCTTCATTAACTCTCGTCGTCTTGTCTGCGAGGCTTGTTGCGCGACACTGGAACGTTTTGTTCCTCGTCGTGCTCTTGCTTCATTTACCAGTCAGATGTCGAGGGGAAGGCATAACCATCTCTCAATTCAATGAATACGTCCTTGTCTCACGACTTTTCTTACGACTTTTCAGATTGAGCGGTGGTAAACTCCATTAGCCAGAATCAACTTTTTTCATCTTCCATCTTTCCTCTCCATCTCTTCCATCTCTTCTCGTACTTCCACCATGATGAAACTCGAGCCACCTATCGAGGTAGCACTGCTCGACGCCGTGCGCACCCAGCTCACCCTCGGCTCTGACTCGGACAGTTGCCCGAGTCTGTCGCCGCTGCAGGCTGAGGACTCCCTTTATGACAGCAGTCTCTCAACGGACAGTCTTTCGGCAAGCATCGTAATCGTCGAGACCCCGGACAACGACAGTGAACCATTCCCAGAGTACCACGATGCCCTGGGCAACTCCGCAGACGAGCGAATCTGGGAGGAACTGTTCACCCTCGCGTTGAAGGAGGAGATCCGCTCTGAACAAGTCGATCCTCATCTCGCTCTAAGTTTCGTCCCGACTGAGGCCCAGCAGAACCCCCTTGACGACATAAAGGACCTGCTTTCGAATCCAAAGCTGCGCAAAGAATCTCGTGCTCGCTCCGTAGCCGTCATCAAAAATGTCATTCGCCTGGAATGCGTCTTATTTCGCCAATCTGAGGACTTTCTCAACCCCGAGGATACAGCTGATGCCTCGGTAGTCGCTTCTTCCATCCTAGACTGGATCGCGGTCGTCGACAACCAGGTGCAGGAATCTGTGGATGCGACGGCGCCTGTCGTCGATATACTGGAGTCCCTCGAGCAGGAGGATGTGGTCCAGGTGCAACGCTTCCGCCAGATGGCCTGCGTCGTATTCTTGTGAGACTTTGTTCGGTCTCGCGCTTCCTTCGACTAACCTTCATCAGCAACTTGACCAAGCCCTGTGCCTCAGAACAAGAATTCCTCTTACAGCTTCTCACTCTCTACGAAGAATGGGTTTACAGCAAGTTCCTCAAACTACGCAGCGACCAGCTCGCTGCAGAGGAACATCCCGGCTCTGCCCGCCTCGACTTAGCACGCTACCTCGAACTCATCTGGGAATACCTGTCGCGCTGCTGCAACAACTACAAAATTTACCGTAATGCCCTATGCGCAATGCGAGACCGCTTCTTTGCCCCAATCGGAATGCCAATGGAGACATGCGAACTGTAACCTTTACATCACGACCTAAACAACGAGATATGTTTGATGTCAGATACAATCTTCAGTCTTACTTCCACATTTGCGCATTCCTCCAGTATGTTTTAGCATCGGTGGCACCGCTTATACTCTTCGGTTGTCTCTGGAACCCTAATGCGGAGATGCTTAGTCTGTGTAAAGGAGATCTCCGGAATAGCGACATTTTGTATGGCATCTTAACTGTACTTACTGCCCAATGCGGCTGGACTGGCTGCAAATACTCCGGTAGGTTCTCTCAGAAATCATGTCTATGGCGACACATTGAGTCTATGCATATATCGCCGGATGAGATCCAGTGCTTTCAGTGCGGGAAGGCTTTTGGCCGGAAGAATAGATTCCGAACACATATGCGACTAGTCCACACGTGTTCCTGAATTTACGGTTTTCCTCGTGTTTGATAAATGAAGGGGAGTCATTACTGCTATTTTTGTCTTTCTACGTTTACAAATTGTCTCGATTTCCTGTCGCCGGTGTGATGTTCACGGGACAGGAATACGCACATTTTTGCAATATCATAAGGGCGGTGCTTAGGTACTTTTGAATGCGATGATTCCAATGTTTTACTCGTTACATTTTGGAGCAAGCCACCACTGGTAGCCAGTGAAAAGCTATTCGTGGTTTCTGAAGACGCTTTTAACTTATATGGGGATGCTCAACCAATACGAAAACTCCAAATGCCCGCGAATAGAGAGTTTAATCTCAGCGAAGAATTTCTAAATGGGATGTAGGGTCTGGAGAATACGGAGACAAATACGTCAGCCTCAGACTAGCCTCTGAGCATGTCTTCTCTACTCGTGCGGAGTGATGGTTGATTTTGTTGCTTGAGTAGTGAATTTGTCAAGGTACAGAGTGGGCTTTTCGAAGAGATAATCACGGAGAGCGTCGATCAAGACTATATGCTGCGGGGACATCCGCCTTGATTAGATGGTCCTTTGACGCTGTCAAATATATATAAGAAAAGATTCTCAGGATGGTACCCCTATTGCAGCTAGCAGCGTGCGCCATCTGCAACATAGATAGCTCCCCACTGCGGATCAGTCAAAGATAAGCCCATGCTTTGAAGGAGCTAGATTTGACGCCATCTCGGTCCGACCACACGTGATTGTTAAGATACGCCGTCCCTCAAGAGGTTCTTTTGAAGATTGGGCCCCGGGGGGATATAGAGGTGTCGGATGCATTGAAGTTACAAGCTAATACATGCTTTAAATACAATGTAATCTGGGTAATAAATAACACAGACTCACTGACACGGATGCTGCGGAAAACTCCTAATATAAGCTAGCGTGTCTTGGCAATTATGGATTGAGAAACAATCGAAGAGTATAAGTATAGGTGGTGACAAAAATTACGGGACGTGCTGTATAAGATGACGGGCTGTCAGTCTTTTCAATCCGGACGTGTGGCATGATGTCGGATCCACTCCCGCATCACTGGAGATATCCAGACGCACCAGCCGACCTTGGTCTAGATCAAGATTACGAATAGGAAAGAAGAACTTGTTTAATGTCGGAAAAGCGTTCCTCGGGCCTTCAGACCTTGGTAAAACGATCCATGGATAATTGAAAGTCACAATGATAGCTTCGTCTTATGACGAAAACATTGATTCATCATTAACTTGCTGACTTCTACGGTGATCTAACGTTTTAGTCATATGCCTCACGGAACTGATAATATAAGTGTCGAGTGTTTCTGGACTCAAATTTGGCATATTTCTCAGTGTTAATGCAAGACAGCCCGATCTAAGCATCCACCCAATTCTTCCTTGATCTTGACCTCGATATGTCAACCGGACAAAGGAATCCCCAGCCAGTTCGTCGGATCATAACAACCCATGATCCTAAAAGCGGCCGAGCTATCTTTACCGACGCGGTTGGGGAGCAGGTATCGTTCACCGGGTTCCCGGTTCCCCCCGGCAAGCCCCCAACGTCAGACTATGCTCTGGCTTATAACACGAGTACATTTCCCGTGCAAGGGCTTTCCCCTCCAACTTCTGCGGTCCCAGAGTCCAAAGCCAACCTCGACATTAAGCACTATCACTCTCAGCTCTCGGATCCATCGCCCTTGAATCCGCCAGGAGGCACCTCCTGCACAATTATCGAGGTGCCTCCAGACACTTGGGTCCCGATGCACCGAACAGAGACCCTCGATTATGGTGTCATCATTGATGGCGCTACAGAATTAGTTCTTGATTCCGACGAGAAGAAAGTACTGAAAAAGGGTGACGTGTTTGTTCAACGAGGCACGGCTCATGCTTGGCGGAATATAACTGAAAAGAAAGACAACAATGGTGTTTTACGCGTCTTCTTCGTCTTTCAGCCTATCGAGCAGGTGCGACTGGAAGGCAACAAGGTCGTTGCTCAGGACTTGACACTGTCTCTGCGTGAGTCGTAAATTACCCAGCAGTGGTGTATCGCTCGAACCGCAGAACTTTAAATAACCGTATGAAGGACTTGGAAAAGTAACCCCCCTATCCCCAAAAGCCAGACGTGATTTTTAAGGTATCTACGTGGCGGAGGGAACAGTCTCTTTACCGCCTTTATTGATCGCGTTTCTTTTACCTCGAGTTGTTCAAAAACCACCATTTTGTATTTCAATTTTTTTTAATTTTAAAATATGAAAACTAATATACTTATTACTTTAGCACCTATGAATACAAATTATTTAATTTTTAAAAGTTCTTACTTTCAAAAAGAGGCTAAAATTCTATTTTTAACAAGGTTTTAAGTTAGTTACAAGTCTCTTCTTACAAATATCCAGGCCTGTATACTTTTTTTCTTTTCACTGAAAAAGAAAATTCGTCAGATAATGGCTAGGGGTTTAGTAAAGGCCTAAAAAGAATCATTTCTATCGTCAAAAAGAAGAAATTTCTTAACAAAAACGAAAAACTCAGAATTCTGCCCGGTAGACACTTAAAGAATCACGTGGGGTGTGACTACTAATTCCTTATAAAATACTTAAATGGCGCAGATGACGTGAAGATGAGATCCACGATCTTAACTTCCTAAGTTTCCGTTCGATTCACAAATTTGGCTGAAATACGAACATAGTGACGTAAACACAGACACCTAAGGATGATGTCAGTAAAACCGAACGCGCCTCGCTTTCCTCTTCCCTCGCTTATGCTATATAAAAACGGAGGCGTTCGGCTGAAGGTTAATTGATTAAAACGAAGAACATTATTGTATCCGGGAATCAACTCGAACGGAAATTCTGTGCGGAAAATACACAATGTGTGCCTCGATCACTACGGACATTAGCAACTACGGGGCTCGGGGAATGGGCGATCCAAGCCATACGATGAAAGCCTTGACTTGGCAAGGGAAGAATTCGGTTAAAGTTGGTCAGTCATTCTGCCCACCGCGGCCTTTATTTCATTTTGTGCTTCCCAGCATAATTCGATTTTTCTGCTAATACAATTTGTTATAGTGGATACGGCTCGCCCGAGGATCATCGATCAAGGAGATGTCATACTTAGGGTGACGGGCAGTACTATTTGTGGAAGTGACTTACACCTGTTCCACGGTATGTGGTGACTTTCAACATTCAATGAAGTGTCGCTGGATATGCTTATGCGATATCCGTTATCGATCTATAGAGGCCATCGAAGATCTCGAAAAAGATGATATCCTCGGCCACGAGTTCTGCGGTATTGTCGACACCGTGGGACCGGCAGTCAAGAAGGTCAAAGTGGGCGAACGCGCTGTGGCATCCTTCCAAATTGCCTGTGGAGATTGTTATTATTGCAAGAAGAAGTTGTCCTCAATGTGTGAGCGGACTAATTCGAGCGAGCATGCCAGCCAGTTATATGGGCGTCGAACAGCCGGTACGTTTCTTTTTCAAATGGCTACGCCGATTTTTGGTGAGGCTGTTATACTAAATGCCCGTCTCAGGTATGTTTGGATACTCCCACTTCACGGGGGGGTTCGCTGGCGGTCAAGCGGAATATGTTCGAGTCCCGTACGGGGACGTGAACCTCCTTAAGCTGCCCGACGACGTCCCTGATGAAAAGGGTCTCTACCTTTCTGATGTTCTGGGAACATCTTGGAACGCCGTTGTTGACACTGGGGTTGAAAAGGGTGATACTGTAGCAATTTGGGGAGGTGGCCCAGTTGGACAAATGGCCGCTGAATTCAGCTTCTTCCATGGCGCCAAAAGGGTTATCCTTATCGACGGTGGACTGGGAAAATGGCGGCTAGAGCATGTCAAGAAGATTCTACCCAAGCTCGAGACAATTGAGTATACGAACCTTCCGAAGGGCGAGACTGTTACCTCGACTCTGAAGAAAATGTGCGACGGCCGCGGACCCGATGTGGCAATTGAGTGTGCCGCCGGTGAGTATACGAAAGGATGGGCCCATTACTTTGAAAGACTTCTGGGCATGGAAACGGATACGTCTGAACTCCTCAACGAGATGATTACTTCCGTCCGTGGATTCGGGCGTTGTGGTGTCACCGGCGTGTATACCGGTTATGTGTGTGGTACCTTTCCTATGGTAAAACAACTTCACTAACGTGGCATTTTAGTGCAACCATTTCAACATCGGCTCCATGATGGAGACCGGGGTCCATCTCGCTGGTAATGGACAAGCTCCTGTGCAAAAATACTGGCACGACCTCTTGAAGTGTATTCAGGAGGAGCGAATTCAGCCACTCCATATGGTCACCCACCGGTTCAAGCTCGAGGACATGGACAAGGTTTATGAGCTATACAATAGGCGTGAACCGGGTGTCCAGAAGATTTTCGTCCAGACAAAGTTTTCTGCGCCTCCGTCACCAGGAGCTCCTGCCTTGACAAAACTCTGAGCTTCGTTGTGCTGCATAAAAGTTTACCCAAAAATTTCATTATTTCACACGCGTTCGAATCTAAAATGGCATTATGCATTCGACGCTCAAATAACAAGATTGTGGAAAATATAGCTTTTGAGGTTGCTTCAAGTTTGTGCCTCGTGGCAGTGAAAAGACAAGTAGAGGGGAGGACATCAATATTGTCTAAAGAAGAGAACTGGTCCTTCCGATGTTTTATTACCGCCTCTCACCATTAAACCCTTTATGCCCAAGTAGCTCAGCTCCAGCAAATTACCAGGAGTGTATTTCTGGTTACTTCTGTATAAAACAATACAATTTCCGACGACAAGAATGATCCGGTAATTCTGAAAACAGACTACTGTGCTTTGGCAGATAGGGTTCGAAAAAATGATCGAAGAGTGTAGATTGTGACGCTGGTTTCAAGCAGTGCTATCCTTGTAAGGCCCGAGCTTAAACAACCTCTTCGCATTCTCCCGCCCGATCTTCACCCTATCAACCTCATTCAACTCCGCCGCATCAAACCAGTCACATCCATCAGCGAACGTCTCAAAGGGATAATCAATCGAGAATAAAATCCGGTCCGCGCCAACCTCGGCCATACAGAAATTCAACGTCGTCGTTGAGAAATGCCCACTGGTTGTGATCCATAGGTTCTGCGCGAAATACTCGCGGATTGTCTTCTTGCATGTCTCTTGTAATCCGAGAAGCTTCTTCCGGTCTTCGAACCAGTGGTTGATTCGCCACATGTCGAAGGGGATGTGTTCGCCTAGATGGCCGAGGATTACTTGGAGGGATGGGTGGCGGTCGAAGACTCCGTTCGTGACCATGCCCAGGACGTGCAGGCTGACGCCCTGTGCGAAGGAGAGGGGTGGTCCCACGAGCCATTTCCGGTCAGCCCAGAGTTTCTCGTAGATTGTTCCGGTGGGGTTGCGCGGGTGTAGGTAGAGTGGGACGTCGAGTTCGGTGCATGTTGCCCAGAATACGTCCCACTTGGCGTTGTCGTAGAAGATCATGTCGTCGCCGTCTGGTCCGGCGCGTTGCGTGTCGTTGACGAGGGCGCCTAGGAAGCCGTGCTCTTTTACGCAGCGGCGGAGTTCTTGAGCTGCTTCGTTGGGGTCGTGCATGGATAGTGTTCTGAGTAGGGACCGGTTAGCTTGGAATATATACAGTGAGAGGTGGGAGTGGGACATACGCAAAAGCGGCGAATCGATCAGGATGCGCTTTTACTTTCTCCGCAATGTAATCGTTGATCTCCACAGCCAGAGCTTGTGCATCCTTGGGATCCCAGATATCCTGCACACCCGGCGCAGTGTATGAGAGAATCTGCAGCCCGACGCCGTGCTTCTCGGCGAAGTTCAGCCGGATCGAGTCAACGTCGTTGATCTCGGCAACATGCTTGTCCACGTCTGTCGCGAACAGTCCTGCCCACCAGCGTGTCTTCTCTTTGAAACGGGGAAGCGCAAAGGCTTCTTCGAGGGCGATCTTTCCGAGCATTTTGAGGTGGTGTGTATAAGTGATGAGGTGACCGTAAGATAGAACCTTGTTTTATATGTCCGCTTGCCCCGCACCTTCGGAACTGCCTCTACTTTTACCCCGAGGGTTTCGTGCGCGAGAATGTCGGAAGGAGAGAATCGGCTCGCATCCGACGGCGTCGGGCCTAACACCTGAGCTCCACCTCCGCATTTGCGGCGCGGCTCGGCTCTGTGGGGCGTGGTGTCCTATCCGACGGTGTTCGTTCTTTGTGTTACTATGGATCTAACGCCGTCTGATAGTATCTCGGGAACTTATCTAGTGACGCCACGATCGTCAGTTTGAGGGGTTCCCGACACTCGGAAGATTCGTGCCGAGACCATGATCTCTAGCCATCTGTTAAATATTTTCCCGCAAGGATCCACTCGTACTTTTTGTATGTTTTTTTTTTATCTTTAAACAGAAATGTCCCACTCAGTTCCTGTCTGTAATTATTATCTGTAATGTGAGATATTCTACAGCTCATGAATACCCAGACGAAGTACACTCAGCCTGCCAATTCACCTGCTGCGACCCGCGAGCATTCACAAGCGAAACCAACATCCCCAACACCGCAAACTCCAACTTCAACTTAATACTGTAGACCATGGCCTTCAGAATAACCTGCGTGAAATAAAAACCCAGATACTCCAATGCCACCAGAGCGATATCCATCGCAATCGCAATCACATTCACCGCCAGCAACTCGTACAATATCTTATGGCGCCGCTTGTCGCCACTGGGACCGAGGCGGATGATCCGGATTGTGTCGTAGATGTATATCGTTGAGATGAGTGTTTCTTGCGTCGAGAACCAGGTGAGTTGGGTTCGTTCCATGACTTGAAACCCTCGGACCCATCTTGTGGTTGGGACGTAGCTTGAGCCTACGTTTAGGATTACTGTCGGGATGATGATCGCGAATATGCTCAGGATGATCAGCCACCGCACAAATCGCAGAAGTCGCAGGTTTTGTGAGACGAGATGGAGGCGGGAGTAGAGGACGATCGACTGGTTCGGGACCATCATCACGAAACCGAGGTTCGATAGGAGCACCGCTAACCATAGCGGCGTCATTGAGAAGTATTGGAATGTTGGCCCGAGTGTGGCCGGGATTACTCCCACCGTGCTGGACGTGAGGAGTGCCCAGAAGTAGAGGCTGCGATAGCGGCGGAAACTGAGCGGGATCAGGACTGCTAGCTCGACGGCGTTGTATAATGCGATCGACATGAATGTGACCACGGATATCCCCAGTGCCTGGTTGCTGGACCCAACTTGGAATATAGCCGTCGGCCCCTTCTCGGCGTCGGACATATTGGGCAGGGTGGGGTGCGGCTCCTGGGGTGCATGGCGGGTGCAGCTCGTGGCGTGGCGCTGGGATTTTTGTTCTGATTATATGGTGGGCGTGTAAGGGAGGGGGGAAAGGGGGAGAGTTTTGCGGCGGAGCTTAAACGGGCATAACACTTTTCGACCGCGCGTGGGATGAATGGTACTCCAATTACTCGACGCCAATAGCTCGAGTGGCGAACGCCGCGGATGGTTGGACGTCATTAATCGTGGATGGCCCAATCACTTCATGGCTAAGTGTTATTCCCGCGTGTCTGAAGATTGGTCCTCGAATGGGATGCGGCGAACGTCCGGCTGAGTTCTAGCTCCTTATGGATTTAGTATAAGCCATTCCCTCGGTGAATACAGGAATGTTTTACTATGTGCTCAGCAATACATCTCCTCGTCCTCCTCCTCCTCCACCGTCACAAGATAGCCGGCTGTAAATGTCGCATGCCCAATACCATCTTCCATCTTCTGGAATTTGAACGATGCCTCATTTCAACCCTCAAATAAGGCAGGTCCGGCGGAATGGTTCCCTCTGGGTATGACTCTTCAGCTTGCGGGCGGGAAGACCTGGCAAGCTGCGACTATGCTTGCGCTTTAGCCTGCTGCTAGGGGCATTCCGCCAGGGTATCTCTTGAACTGTCGAGTAAATTTTCCATGGAGGGACCCCAGGCATGTATCTCGAGAACAAGAATTGGCGTTCTTTCCCGGATCAGGCGAATGGCTTCCATCTCCGTTGCAATTTTCTCATATGCTTACTCGGGAGAACTACTGGTAACACGGGGCATATTATAGTCCGCGGCGAATGCTTTGTGCGGGGTAAAAATAGATGATGTATAGGGTGTAGTTCGAGAAAGAAAGAGCTCGCAGCTCGCAGGTACGGGGTAGTGTGAGCCTGACGCTAGGGCGCCACACAACGGCGCGTCACTAGAGCCGCCAGGGGCTAAGGATCTTGATTCCCTTGAAAGATGCCTAGGCATCTCAAAGGGGGTCTGGGGTCCGGGGTGATCGACGCCCCGCATGGAGGTTGGTGGAGGCTGGTGTCAGACTCCCCGTCAGCATTGGCGTCACCGAGGCGCGGAGCGCGGAGCCTCTCGATGTGATAACTCCGCGCATCTCACCGAAGTCACGACAAACCATAGCCCGGCCCCTACTAGTGGTGTACGCCCGAGGCCGTCACCGACACTACCAGCCACCACAGACGTTGCCCGGGATCAAGTGGAATCGACCGGGATCAACCCATCTGCAGGATGATCCGGGTTTGGCCCCAGCAATCCCTCAGCACCGGTCGATGTGGTACTCTTTCAGATCGACGTGATCTGGCGAGTCCCCTTTGCTGTTGCATCTGACTTGTCTTTCTATACCCTCTGCGCACCATGTTCGCCAAACCAGGCAGAGGGATGCTCGAGGAGCACGAGACCGTCCCCAAGCCCCAATTCGTGCCGCAGCGCACGTTTGGTACTGCTGCTGAGCGCGCTCGTCGGAACATCAACGCTAAACTCTCCAACCCGTTGGCTGGGTATAGCCACGCTGAACTGCGCAAACGGGGTCATAGGTTTGCGATCGCTCATGAAATTGGAGATGAATCGGATATTCGCGCTTTCGGGCTGGGTGCTGTGCTTGCCCAGAGCCCTGAGAAATATGATCGTGTGTCGGGATTGACGGATCAGGAGAAGGAGGTTCTGCGTCGCGAGTTTGCGCATCGCTGGTCGCAGCCATGGAAAATGTATGCGGTTATTGCGCTGTGTTCGCTGTCTGCGGCCGTCCAGGGAATGGTAAGTCACTGTTTGTCATCTGTGTGACGATGAATGTGCTGACAGCCTGGAGGATGAAACTGTAGTAAACGGAGCCCAAATCTGGTACAAACACCAATTCGGCATCGCCGGCGACGATTCGAGAAGCACCTGGCTAGTCGGCCTTGTCAACGCCGCACCATACCTCTGCTGTGCCCTCGTCGGGTGCTGGCTCACGGTCCCATTCAACCATTGGTTCGGTCGCCGAGGAACAATTTTCATAACGTGCTGCTTTTCGGCCATTGCTTGTCTCTGGCAGGGCTTCGTGTCAACATGGTGGGCAATGTTCGTCGCCCGCTTCGCGCTGGGCTTTGGCATCGGCCCCAAATCAGCGACTGTGCCAGTCTACGCCGCCGAAACAGCGCCGCCAGCAATCCGTGGTGCTCTCGTTATGCAGTGGCAGATGTGGACGGCTTTTGGGATCATGCTCGGGTACGCCGCAGACCTGATCTTCTACCAGGTGTCCGATACCTCTGCCATCGTCGGACTCAATTGGCGTCTAATGATGGCTTCTGCCATGTTTCCCGCTCTGGTGGTCTGCTGCTTCGTCTTCACCTGTCCCGAGTCGCCACGCTGGTATATGAGCAAGAAGCAATATTTTCGCGCTTACCAGTCCATTTGTACCCTGCGTCACCATAAGATCCAAGCGGCCCGTGACTTGTACTACATGCACGTCCTCCTCGAAGCCGAGGATACCATGGTCCTCGGTCAGAATAAGCTACTGGAACTGATTACTGTCCCGCGTAACCGTCGGGCGATGATCGCGTCGGAATTGGTCATGTTCATGCAGCAATTCTGTGGGGTTAACGTGATCGCGTACTATTCAAGCGAAATATTTCTGGTACTTCAGTCCACTACCAGAATTCTATATATGCTGACCCTCAAAACAGGAAGCAAACTTCTCTCCAGCTTCCGCATTAGCAGCCTCTCTCGGCTGGGGCGTCATCAACTGGCTCTTCGCAATCCCGGCAATCTACACAATCGACACCTTCGGCCGCCGCAACCTCTTACTATCTACGTTTCCCCTCATGTCCGTCGCAATGTTCTTCACGGGTTTTTCCTTCTGGATCCCTGAATCCAGCCACGCCGCCCGAATAGGCTGCATCGTTCTAGGCACATACCTCTTCGGCATAGTCTACTCCCCCGGCGAAGGTCCCGTCCCCTTCACATACTCCGCAGAAGCGTATCCGCTTTACGTCCGCTCGTACGGAATGGCGCTCGCGACGGCGACTACCTGGTTCTTCAACTTTGTTCTCGGTGTTACTTGGCCTTCACTGCGATATGCTTTCACTACACAGGGTGGTTTTGCGTGGTACGCTGGGTGGAATATTGTTGGGTGGTGGCTTGTTTTGTTGTTTATGCCCGAGACGAAGAATAAGACGCTCGAGGAGCTGGATCAGGTTTTCTCGGTACCTACGCGGTTCCATGCAAGGTATGGGTTGAGGCAGATTCCATATTTCCTGAAGAGGTATGTTCTAAGGAGGGATGTCAGTCCGGAGATTTTGTACGAGAGGGAGGACATGGCTCCGAGTCGGGATCTTGGTAACGCTTGACATGGCTTTGGTGTTGGCGTCTTGTGTTCGTGTAGATTTATGAGACTATGTATAATGACTCTATGTGAATGCTACCCATATACGCCTCGTTTTCGAATAACAAAAAGTGAGTTTATCGTGAACCCAAAACTGAACCGGGGTCGGGGGTTACCCACGGACAACTCGACACCTTAATCCACGGGAAGCCACCTCTCACTCCGCGAATTTCCTTGTCTCCAACACAATCCCCTGAAGACATCACCATTCGCGTTCGTATGGCCGAATTTCCCACCGCTGAACAGGATGGCTTTCGAGTGGAATACTATTTCTTCTATGGCACCCTCATGGACCGCACCGTCCTAGCTAGTGTCTTGCAACAACCGCACAGGCCCGAGGTCTACACCGCCAGAATCAGAGGATGGCAATGCAGGATGTGGGGAGACTACCCTACCCTCGTCCACGGCCCGGACTACACCGTGAGCGGAGTAGCATACGAAGTCCGCTCTCTCCGGGATCGAGATCGCCTGATCGTCTACGAAACGGATGCATACTCGTTAGCAAATTGTTTGATCGAGTTTGGGCATGGAAGGTCTGTCCAGGGTAAGACGTTTGTCTGGAACAACGATACGGAGCTTCTTCGACCGGGCACGTTTGATCTTAAGGACTGGCTACTGAAACAAAAGGAGTTCGAGGTTCATCTGCATTCATCTTATTCGGTTCTATCACTATGACTCAGGGTTCCTATGTCTGATGATCGTTAGCGAAGATCATATCGCGGCGTGACGAAATGCAAGATAGGAGTTTTCCACAAGTCAGATAGCAGTTGGACATTGACATTTTGTCTTCAATATGATTCAGATCAGGTCTGTGAAATCATGCTTCATCATTGAAGTGGAGGGCAAAAGCAAAAGCAAAGCAAAAGCAAAAGAACTTACCCATTCAGACCGTTCCCACCGACTGAATTAACAGCCAGTGGGTCTTCGAGGAGCGACGGCATGGTATTACTGATGACTGATGATCATTAGCAACGATCAATTGTGGAACACAAAACAGTTTAAAGCTTCATCAGAAATTGTGATGTATGGATTGTTATCCTCAAGATAATTCAGAACAGGTCTGTGAGAAATCGATATTTCATCATCGAAGCAAAAGCAAAAGCAAAACAAAGGACTCACATTTCAAGCAGTCCCATGAGGCGATAGAACTCGTCCATCGGCGGGTGCCTCACGCATTGCCTAGCTTCGCACATTTCATTTCTCTCCAGGTGCAACGTGCTGTTCACCGCCAGGATGGTCACAGACCACCCTATCAACGGCGGGCTTCCACCCAGCGGCGTTGGCGGTCTGGCCTTCATGAGCCAGGGTGGATCCACGTTCATGTGCACGGCATTTGCCAGCACCATCTCACGTGGCGGACCCCCTGGACGAATATCCAACTCCATGACACCCGTGTTGGACCACACTGGGTGCATGTAGTCTGCAGTACTCGCAGCATGGGCCAGATGGAATGACTGCGAGCCGAAGATATCTGACAGACACGACCAGAGAACTTGCAAGATCATCCCATGCGCCACCACGCCAATGACCGCATCGCTGCTGGTAGTGCGATCGGCCATCAAGGGGAGGACCTGATCTCGCAGGAACCCATTGATCCGCATCTTCATCGAGTTTATTGATTCGATTCGCTCTGGCGCCACGGGCACTGATCCACATCCGAAACATTGCTCGCGCAATTTCGCTGTCTGGAAGGGCTCCAGCGGAGGCCCACTGCGAAGCTGATACCGGCAGATGACTTGGGCGGTCACGGTAGCACGACTGAGATCCGAAGAAAGAACACGGTTAAAGCAAATTGGACGATCACGAAAGTGCCGAGCAAGACGTTTGGCCTGTTCGCGCCCCAGGGGGGTCAGGCCCACGTTGCCAGTGTTTCTGCGTTGTTAGTTTGGGTCTGGTGCTCCATCCGCGGACATACAATGCTTGGCCCACATTATGCTGGCATTCTGCATGGCGGATGAGAAACAGTTTCATCTTGTTTTGTCGGGCTGGATCCTTGACAGGAACAGGCCTAGAAACAAGCTGAAACTGGGAGCTCGTTGGGAGTGATGTCCCTATGAACGCATGTTTGAAGGCAAAGAACCAATGGCTGGGTAACCCAACGCAGATACATCCATGGTCAAGTCAATGACCCAGGGGCTGCGAGAGCTCCAGCACTTGTGTGGAAATCTGTCATATTCTGAGGAAAGAAAAGGATAAAATCGGAAGCGAGAGCTAAATAGTCGGCGGTGGAGCAGCGGAAAAAAAGCCCTCCCCACTCGGTCCGAACAAACAGTGCAAACGCAAACAAAAAAATTATGGATGGAAAGATCACGGCAGGCGCAGTTAGTTTTTGCTGGTTTTCTGGTTCTGTCAAGCTTGTGAGGTGATTCCAGGGTCGTTTTCGGTGAGCTTAATTTCTTGAGTGCTTTTTTGCTCTGTGGAAACTAACATCTTCAAAGACAATGGCCGACACCGAGATCCCCAGAGAGGAGGAGAGTGAGTAAACTTTCCAGAATATTTCCAGCTCTCAACTGACCCCAGACATAGCTCCCAGGACTCCCTATCAGAATGTCCGCACCAATGGACGTGCCTTTAACTCCGCCAACTGGCGTACTAAGGGCGACAGCCCCCAGGCTTCTCCCTCTCCACGTACCAGTACTTCTCGCTCCGCCTTCAGTCGTCCAGGACCCCATGTGCCTCAAGCTATCTCGGAGGGCCGCCGCCTTTACGTTGGAAACATGCCCTATGCGGCCAAATCGGAGGATGTGGAGGCGCTGTTCACAGCTGCCCAGTACCCGGTGTAAGCAACTATTTGACCCGGACCTCTGCTTCATATACTGAGTTCAACTTCATAGCGAGCGCATCGATATTGCCATTGATCCTTTCACCGGCCGAAACCCTTCCTACTGCTTTGTCGACCTGCAGACCAAAGAAGCTGCCGAACGAGCCATGACCGAGCTGGACGGCCACGAGATGCTGGGCCGGCCTGTCAGGATCAAGCCCGGTGTCACCAAGTCTGCCAGTGAACGAACCGGTGAACGAACCGGTGAACGAACTGGTGAACGAGCTGGTGAACGAACTGGTGAACGAACTGGTGAACGAACTGGTGAACGAACTGGTGAACAGAACAGAGCAGTATCCAACAATATTGGCAACGCTCGCTGGCGCGGTTCGGCAACCACCATCACGCCCGTTGCCGATTCCAACCAGCGTGTCTATGTCGGAGGCTTGCCGCGAGTGGCGGAGCAGGAGACTATTGAAAGCAACATAAAGACTTTCTTCCAAGGATTCAGCGTGTATGTTCCAGTGCCATTCCATCCCCTTTGAAGCTATATTGATTTCGATTAGTGAGGCCGTGAGCAGGCTTTTCGCTCCCCACCCGGCCAAGCGCTTCGAGCCCGGTGACCACTACTATCTGTTTGTGGAATTGAACACGGCGGAGGAAGCACAGCGGTCAATGGACACTTTGAACGGCCAGCTGGGTCCTTGGGGAGGCCCGCTACGAGTGAATCGTGCGCGGGGACCCACCCAAAGACCTGGGGAGCGCAAGGAGGGTGAGCCGGTCATTGCATGAAAGCATGAAAGGGATAGAATCATAACGGAGTTCTTATAGAGGGATGCATCATGAATAGAACACAAGTTACGAGTGAACGGGAAAGCAGGTTCCAAATGTCGCGGGATTGTAGACAGGATTCCCACGTAGACGGGGTCGGATGACGTTAGTGGAGCCGGAGAAATCCAGACTCATTCACCTTCACCGCATTGCGCGATCTCAACCTTTCCACTTGCGCTCTTTTTACTTTTCTAGTTTTTCTTATTCTTGGAGCCTCTCGCTTGCCCCTTTTCTACCTAGTCTCTTTGGCCTGCATGTTGGGTTAATCACGTTCTGCTTGTCCCTTCCCGCGGGTTCGGAACCTCTCCCTATTCTTCCCGAAACACATTCAAACCGCAGACATGTCGACTGGAAGTGTGATCAGGAGTCAGCAGCAGCACAAGGTGTTCATTGCTAGCGTGAGTAATAAGTTACCTTTATTTTGACCTCTACCCCCACGGATCATCTGCAGGATTGTGTTCCGCGGGGATCCCTGCGCTGCCCCTCGGTTTGCCTCGGCTATCCCCAGATAGGCTTGCTTTTAGTCTGTAGCCCCGTGGATCAATACGGGGTTTCATATACTGCAGTCATGAACACAGATGTATTCTCTGAAGTTCAGCCGATGTAATTGGTGTCGGGATGCACCCCACGTGAGGCATGTCCTGGACAGGCAACGACGCCCAGACGCCGAGTTGGGACGTTGACATCTTTGCCGTTATTATCGTCTGATATTCTGCACTTCGATTCTTCCCATGTTTTTCCTCTTGATTACTCTACACTATCGGTTCGATCAATATGTTTTCTAACAATATCGTCCAGTCCGATGAGTCCAAGATATGTGTGGTGATGGTCGGCCTGCCGGCCCGAGGCAAGAGCCTCATCGCCGGCAAGGGTGAGTGATACCGAGGGCGAGATAAGAAATGAAGGCTAATGAAGAATCAAGCTATGCGATACTTGGCCTGGGTTGGTATCCCCGCGCGTGTCTTCAATGTCGGTAGTTATCGTCGGCACAACACCCCCCAGCCGGCGGCTACCTTCTTTGACCCTCACAATGAGGAAGGTGAGCGCATGCGTCGCGCTGCAGCAGAGATGGCCATGTCGGACATGCTCAGCTGGTTCCAGACCGGCAAGGGTGTAGTAGCCATCCTGGATGCCACCAACTCCACCGAGCAGCGTCGAAAATGGATCTACGAGAAGTGTCGGGATGCCGATATCGAGACCCTATTCGTCGAGTCCATTTGCGATGACGAGGATCTGATCATGACCAACATTCTCGAAGTCAAGACCACATCACCAGACTACAAGGGCCAGGACCCGGAGCTGGCTGCCATGGATTTCCGCAACCGCATTCGCAACTATGAAAAGGCATACGAGACTATCGGCGATAACGAGAAACAATACACCTATGTCAAGCTCATCAATGTTGGCTCAACCGTGATCATAAACCAGATCAAGGATTATTTGTCGAGTCGGCTCGTCTACTACATCCAGAACCTGCACATCAAGCCGCGGTCCATCTGGCTGTCTCGGGTATGTTCGCTTATTCTTGTTTTTAAGATCAGAAACTGACACTCTTTTGCAGCATGGTGAATCAGAGTTCAATCTCACTGGAAAAATCGGTGGCGACTCCAACATCTCCGAACGTGGCGAGGCATATGCCCGGGCATTGCCCAGACTGCTGCGCGAGTCTGGAGTTCCCCCCAACACCAAGATCGTCATCTGGACATCGACTCTCCGCCGCACGATCCAAACCGCCCGCCACCTGAAGGCAGAGACGGGCTACGAGAAGCTGGAATGGAAGGCACTGGACGAGCTGGACTCGGGCGTGTGCGACGGCCTGACCTACGAGGAAATCGCAGAGAAGTACCCCGAAGACTTTGCTGCGCGCGATGAAGACAAGTACAACTATCGCTACCGCGGTGGAGAGTCCTACCGCGACGTGGTCATCCGGCTCGAACCCATCATCATGGAGTTGGAGCGCAGTGAGAATGTTATCATCGTCACCCACCAGGCTGTTCTCCGTTGTATCTATGCCTACTTCATGAACGTGCCCCAGGAGAACAGTCCTTGGATGGAAGTCCCACTTCACACTCTCATCAAACTTACTCCCCGTGCATACGGCACTGAAGAGCAGCGCTTCAAGGCTGATATTCCTGCCGTCTCCACCTGGCGTGGTAAGGGCAGTTCGGCTAAGCACCAGGAGTTTAAGGAGGCCCAGCACTGAGCATCGGAACGGCGTTTGTCTTTCATCTGGCTTCGGGAGTACATATGAGATTTCTGAGACGGGACACCGTCAGATACCAAAAATACCATTTATGTACAACAAGACTCTGCCTCCGTAACTAGTTAGTAAACCTAGTTAACTAAAATACTTCAATTTGTTGCCTTGTATTCCAGGCATAAGGACCTGACTCAGCCGTAGACGTCACATGGCCGGAGCTCCCCTCGAAGCAGCGCAACAAGAAACCCCAGGGACATGAATTGACCCTTCTCCAAGACTGTGATGTTATCCGCTTTCACCGCGCGGCCGCTGGTCGAACTCAAGCCGCGCGACAAGTCCAAGATCGACTCCGTCCTCGCCTACGGCGACCGTCTACTCGCCGGCCTCAACAATGGCTCCCTCCGCATCTACCGCGTCACCGATGACGGCACAACCGAGCTCCTTCGCGAACTGGAGAAGTTCTCCCGCTACAAGATCGAGCAGCTGGCGCTTGTGAAAGAGGCCAGGGTCCTGGTCTCGCTGTCTGGGAGTTATGTTTCTCTTCACGACTCTCAGACCTACGAGCTTCATGAGCAACTCGCGCAGACTAAGGGTGCTTCTGCTTTCGCTATTACCTCCAATGTTGTCAATGATCCCGATACCAATGTCCCCGCTATCGTCTCTCGGCTTGTGGTTGCTATTAAGAGGAAGATTGTTATGTGGGTGTGGCGGGATATGGAGCTGGAGCCGAACACTACGGAGTTGAGCTTGGTTAGCGCGGTGAAGACTATGACCTGGGTGTCTGCTACGAAGATTGTTGTTGGTTTGAGCTCCAGCTTTGTTATGGCTGATATCGAGAATGGTCAGATCTCTGAGCTGCCTGGACCGGGCAACATGGAGGAGTCGGGCCGATTTACAGGGGTCGGTGCTGCGAGTATGAGCTATATCGGCATGGGTGGCATGGTGCCTCGGCCGCTTGCTACAAGATTGAGCGAAGGCCAGATATTGTTGGCCAAGGACATTAATACCCACTTCATTGATGTGGATGGCCAGGCGCTCGGTCGGCGGCAGATTCCCTGGAGCCATGCGCCGGTAGAAATTGGATACTCTTACCCGTTTTTGCTCGCGTTGCACGATACTGCCAAAGGTGTGCTCGAGGTACGAAATCCAGAGACCCTTTCACTGCTACAATCTATCCCTCTGCCCTCGGCTAGCATTCTGCATATTCCTCAGCCGAATATCAGCCTTGCGCATGCTGGAAAAGGGTTCCTTGTCGCAAGTGACCGGACTATCTGGAGAATGGAAGCCCTGAGCTATGATACGCAGATCGACACCCTCGTTGAAAAGGGTTACTTGGACGAGGCAATCAGTATGCTCGGTATGCTCGAGGATGCTCTCTTACGAGACAAACCCGGTCGACTACGCTCGACCCAGCTTGAAAAAGCGCAAAGCCTGTTCGCTCTGCGTAAGTACCGCGATTCTTTGGATCTTTTTACCGAAGTGGCCGCTCCTCCGGAAGTCGTTATTCGTCTCTATCCCCGCTTGATTGCCGGTGACCTATCTGCTGTTCCAGAACAGAACGGGTCGGATCATGTCAACGGGTCTCAACCCGACGGGTCCTTCGAAGGGGCAAAGGACGGGCTTCAAAGGTCTCTCTATGCTCCCTCTGTCCGGTCTCTTCTCCGAAGGACTGAAGAGGGCAGTGACGCCAGCAGTACTCGTGACGAAGAGAAGGACCTAAAGTCTTCAGTCCGTGAACTCCAGGGGTACTTGGCAGATGTCCGTCGCCGTTTCCAGCGATACCTTGGCCCGGATGGCAATTTGAAAATACCTGCGCCTACCGATGCCACGGACGAAGTGAGCGCCTCTGTGCTCAAATTACTCGATTTTCCGACACCCGACACCTTCTTAGAGGCCATCCGTGCCAAAGCTCGACTGGTTGATACCACGCTGTTTAGGGCACACATGTTTGCGACGCCATCACTCGCGGGCTCCCTGTTCCGCATTGCCAATTTCTGTGATCCCGACGTGGTCATGGAGCGCCTGGAAGAGACAGGTCGGTACAATGATCTGATCGACTTTCTCTATGGCAAGAAGCTCCACCGCCAGGCTTTGGAACTGCTTCGCAGGTTTGGCCAGGACGAGTCGGGGCTGCTAAGCGGACCGACCCGCACAGCCGCATACTTGCAGAACCTTCCACCTAGCCAAATCGATTTGATTCTCGAGTTTGGCGAATGGCCGCTCCGTGAAAATCATGAATTGGGCATGGAGATCTTCTTGGCGGAAACTGAAAACGCAGAGACGCTGCCACGATCTCGAGTCATTGCCTTTTTGGAGGGCATTGATGCCAAACTTGCTATTCTGTATCTTGAGCATGTCATTCGTGAATGGAATGAAATGTCGCCTGACCTGCACCAGCGGCTTTTGATGCTTTATCTTGATCGAATCAATGCCGACAAGAGTGATCAAGAATGCAAGGATAAGTTCCTAGCCATGCTCAAGGAGAGTGAGCAGTATTCACCAGCCAAGACGTTGGATCGGCTGGATCGCGAGGGCATGTATCAATCACCACACCAAACCCGGATGTATCTAACATCGTACAGATCCAGACTTCTACGAAGCACGAGCTATCGTGTTTAGCAAGATGGGCCAACATCGCCAGGTTCTGGAGATTTACGTGTTCAAGCTTCATGACCACGACAAAGCGGAGGAGTATGTTACATTCCACGTATACCAAGTCCACGCTAACCCCGACAGGTATTGCAACCAAGTGCATCTCACTGAACGCCAATCCGATGAATATGAAGATGAAAATGAAAAGTCCATCTACCTCACGCTTCTGTCCCTCTACCTCGATCCGCCACACGGCTATCCACCCCAACACGGCCCCGCATTGATCGTCCTCGCCAAACACGGATCCCGGCTACCGGCAGACGCAGCCCTGAGCCTGATCCCTGCGGAGCTGCCTGCGCAGGAACTGGAGTTCTACTTCAAAGGCCGGATGCGTGCAGCCAATTCCATCTTCAACGAGGCCCGCATCGTAGCCAACCTCCGCAAGTCCCGCGACATGCAGACCCAGGCCCAGCTCGTCCTCGGTGAAGGCGTTCGGGGGGGCGGGACCCGGGCACGCCACGTCACCGTCACAGAAGAACGGATCTGTGGTGTTTGTCACAAGCGATTGGGAGGAAGTGTGATTAACGTGTTTCCCGAGTAAGTCCTCCTGTTCCCCCTCCCTCCTGTCTGGTCGTGTCTAACCCCTCCCTCTAGTAACACTGTCGTCCATCTGGGCTGTACGAATCGCAGGTCCAGCATTCGTTCCGGGTAGAGAGCATCTGCGGTTTTGGTTTCGTTTCGAGCGTCGTTTTGATACCCAGTGTAGCATAGATATTTCGCACATTCATGCATCATCCTCAACTACCTCCTCGCCGTAGTTTGCCTCTTCCTTGGCTTCCTTCTCTGAGATTTTGCCCTTGTCTTCTTCCATTCGTGCGGTCAGGAAGACATTGACTTGGTCTTGCAGCTGCGGGACGAGAGTCTGCAGAGATGTGAGGTGGGCCTGTTTGGCAGCGAATGGGTCGGCATTGGAAGTGGGAATGGCGTGTTGGAAAGTCTGGGTGGCACCAGGAGCGGTGTAAACCGCCTGAAGAGCGAGAGAATCGGGCATGGTTGCAAAGTAGATAGAGTAAGGAAGCAAGACTGACGGGAGAAGAATGAGATTTGGTGGGGGGAGAAAGATCGGCGGCGGCGAAGCTAGCCCGGAAGGGGGCAGCTTGCGCCTTCAACTTGACACAAACACTGCTGCATCCTTGTTGTCCCGATACTGGGACATGAAGAGCCATGAGCAGTAGCCTGCGCTCTCCCGCTTCGCCGGGGCGTCCTCAGCGAGCCCCTCCCGTCTATCGCCGTCCCAATCCCCCCTCTGATGAGGAAGACGAGGAAGATGATAGCGACGAAGACGAATTGCGCCGCCCCGGATCCTCCGGCAGCGATGCCTCCTCCAACGTAACCACGGTCTCGGCGGCTCCCATTACCCCAGTTACGACTCAGCCCCCGGCAGGGGGTTACTTCTCTCCCCATCCCCGCTCTACCTCAGCCACGAGCTCGCCTCAACACGCGCCTCGCAACATGCCAGACTCAAATAGCCGCCGGCCTTCTGGTCGAGGCCCCTCCTCGGAGCTACAAAGACATCGGTCTCGACATCATTCCCAAGGCTTCTTTGAACCGTCTCTGCCCACCGCCTCATCAGATCAGATGCCAGCGGTCTCGGCATCTCGCATCGCGGCCCAGGCGGCCATGCAGCAGAACAGACGTTCTCCAAACGTGCTTAGTCCTCGCGAAGGCCACAGCCGGCCTGGCAGTGCCTCTCCTCCGCTCATGCCCCAACCTCTGCGTATCAACCACCAGCCGTCTCCCTCTCTTCCTCCTCCGACAGTACCCAATGTCGCAACAACCGCTGCCAATGTGGTGTTCCCGCGGGCCGGGCAACACCCATCGGAGCCACCACCTGAAAAACAGAAGAAGAAGAAGCTGTTCTCGAAACCGAAACACATCAATCTCAGCCGAGACAAGGACCCGCGTGATCGTGGCCTTCCCTCGCCAAGCAAGATGGCCGGCTTATCGCGAATCGTCAGCGCGTCTACCACCAACCTGGCAGATCTCCCGTCCAACAACTCCTCTATGTACAACCTTTCGAATGCGTCCGTGAGCACCGTCGTGCCGTCTGATCGATCCCCAGCGCCACCGGAGAAGGACAAGGACAAGGATAAGGATAAGCACAGGCACCACTTCCTGTCCAGGCAGAAGCTTAAACTCAAGGACCGCGGTGATGACCACTATAACCTCCCTCTCTCCTCGGCGTCGAGCAATTCTCGTCCTGCGGATCCCAACGCCCCCAAATCTCTCTATTCATTTACCGGTCCTGCATCTCCAGCACCCGTTGCAACATTTGGCAAATCAGTCAGTGGCTTGGATCTTCTCCATGGTGGACGGGCTCTGCGTGAGAAGAAGAAGGAGGGAAAGGAAAAGGAAAAGGCACTCGCCGAATCGGAGCAGATGGAATGGCTGGCCAATTCTGCTGGCGGCTCCGTGACATCATTCCCTGGCCCATCATCGCTGAACAGCTCGGGCGGAGTGTTAGGCGAGGCCGTACTTCGAGAAACGCTGCAGGGATTTGGCTTGAACAACATGTCCCCCGAGGACGCATGGGACTTTCTCAAGGCGAAACTGCTGGTCATTTTTGATGGCGAAGATGTTCGCATTGCCATTGAAGATCTCAACAAGCTCGTCCTCGTGCACTTGCAGCGCTGTGTCCACAAACGAGCACCCGCGGCGATCATCATGGACCTCCAGGAACTGCTCGAGACGGGATTCGCTACTCTAAACCACAGCTCATTAGTTGGCGTTCCGGATGAGAAGCTTGTTCCGCACTTGGTACAGATCTGGATGCTGGTCTTTGGTACCATCTTGCCGTTTATCCAGGCTGTCTTCCTTCCTCTTGACCTTGAGTTCAAGGGTTGTGGATCGATCATGACCAGCCGGGAGGCCCTCGAGTTTTGGGGGCCACCACCGGTGGGTGGAACCCTCGATGTACGGAGTTTGGTGCTGATTGCCTTTCGGGATTGCATCATCTTGAACCGCTATGAGGCTCTCAAAGCTACCTTCTCCCGGCTCAGTCTTGACAGCATCAACGCGGGATTCCCTACCCTCAGCGTGACAGCCAAGACTACCGGCACCGGCGGCGGCCGTCCCGGCACTGCCGCGTCCCTGGATGCCGGGTTCGGCAGCTTCAACTCGCAATCATCCACCATGCTCAGCACTGGTGTTGCAAACAGCTACTCGTCCGATTCTATGAGCGCCCTCGCCAACCCCCGGCCTTCAAGCAGCAACTCTCGCAGCCGCGCTGCATCCAACACCTCCTCCAACCCAGACCCAATGATTTTCTCCTCCGTCTCGTCTCCTCCGACATCAAAACAGCGCCCGACCATTATTCATCGCGCCGGTTCCGCCGACTCCTCTCACGTCATCACCGAAACAGTCGGCCGCATGCTTCAGTGCGTCAGCGTCCTCGCCAGCGTCCACACAGACGACCCCTCCCAGGAACGGATCGAAGTCCTCAGCAAAGCCCTCAAGCACAACTGGCTCGGTCGCGGCCGCACAGGTCGAGACCGACGTGGTTTCGTCGGTGCTAAAATCCGCCCTGTCATGGTCGGAGGCACCCCTACTCTGGATGATTCCGAGTCCTTCACTACGGCCGGTATTAGCATCGGCGCCAGCACGAGCACTGGTGGTTCTCGCCACCGTGGAGACTCGGATTCATCGGAGTGGAGTGGGCCTGGTCTGAGTGTGCGTAGTGGGCCGAGGCAGTTGAGCGTTCTTTGATTTCTTATGATTTATGATAGTGTGATAGGTATCCTAGGCCTAGGATGGTTTGGTGTTTGGTCGGTTCTTTGGGCTTAGGTAGAATTTCAATTGGAATGAAGTATTTTGGTGTGCTCCTGCTGCCCTTTTCTCACGCGTTTCTCCGCGTGAACTCCTCTTCTGCCGTAGACAATGATAGATCTTCTCTATGCTTTCAGTATTCTCTACGAATTTTGCTGGTCTCTTACACATTATGAATATCATTCATATCACATCATGATAGACACATAAATCATAATAAACCCTTCCCATCATCTCATTCCATAATCGAAATCAATCCCCCTTTCGAAAGTAACCCATCAAATGAGAGACATGAAAGCCTCATGTCCACAAACTTCTCCGAAAATCCAAAATCCCATCTAGAGAAACATACTAGCATCCAGATCCCACACCTTCTCAGGCGGCGTTCCAAGAGTCGAAGTGATTTTATTCCACCGATTCGAGAGAGTCCTTGCCGCGTATTCCAGCCCGCTGATCCGGTTCCATTCTGCCGAGATATCCATCCAGGATCCGCCGTTTTCTTTCAGTTTGAACAGTAGCAGGTCTTCGGAGCTTGCGGTCTCCCAGCTTTTGGGAATAGGGATTCCTCTCTTGCGCTCGTTCGATGGGGATGGGGCGGGTGTTGTTCGGGTTCGTTTTGGTCGAAGAGCTTTGTCGGGAGTCTGGATTGGTTTGAAAGGGCTTTTAGTAGGTGTCAATGCCTGGGCGGGCTTGATGAGTACTTTGACAGACGGTGTTGGCATGGACAGGGTGAGCTTGGACGCGTCGTTTTCAGTTGTAGGGTAAGGCGTCGCCGGCTCTTGGAAGACGAGCGTGGGTATGCAGACTTCGGTTCGGGGGTACTTCTGTTTTTCTAGTTCGTTCATGAGTCCGTCAAGTTCTTCAATGGTGGTGGGTCTCAGCATTTCTTCTTCCTCCTGGGTGATGAGAAGGTATGGATTCATGGCATTGGTGAAATGCATGCTGAGGGGATAGGGCACAGGATGTAAACATGGGGGAGTAGAGTTGATGGGAGAGGTAAAAAGTGAGAAAAGGGAGTCTGAGTCCCGGATGGATGGCAAAATAGATACAGCAACAGGTTGAGGTAGACCTCGAAACGGTCGTTCATGGAACTGGAGGATGTTCATCTTCCCGACTAAGACTTTTGCTCTGTTTAGACTTATATATTCACTCATTTATAGTCTAAATAAAGGTAGTCTAGAGACTTATAGATCTAGATCTCCCTGTACAATTGCCTTTGTAGGTCAATAATTCGAGATTAATGTAGACCAGGAGAGTTTCGGTAACGGATTGCACAACTCAGATATCAAGAAAATCCCTGTCGGCTGAGTTCAATGAGATGGCTTTTGCAGGTGCGTTTGTTTACCTTTGCAGGCAGAGCAATAGACAATGCGCAGTAAGATGAACAGAACGGCCACGAGAAAGGCCACCCCCAGGTAACTCATTAGGGTCAATATCATTGTTCCTGTGTCAAAGGCCACGCAACCATAAAAGGCGTCTCGCGGAACGGTAAACTGTCAACTAATATTCAAGCCTAGGAACAAAAAGAAACTTGCATCATACCCCACCACAACCGAGTCTAAGTTCCATTTAACCCGTGTCATTCACTTTTTGCTGATTACATCGCACGGTTTCAACAAAATTGCAAGTGCGAAGATGCTACGCACTACCCAAGCAAGTAATTTCAATAAGCCGAAATGGTATTATACAATGACTTGAAAGTAGTGGCTTTGGAAAGAGCTGTAACCACAACTATTTCCTATACTAGCCTGATATAGATAAGCGCAGTATGAAATAAGGCTCGGGAGATGAATCGTTTAGTTTCTACGGGGGGATCTGTTTTCGACTCCGACTGTACATATGTACAACCAAGACCCGACACGAAGAAGATATCGCGATGACCGAGAAAGATCTCCATACCTTGATCTGGCATACCTAGAATGGACCCCTGGGTCGGCCCTCTAGTCAGACTCCATCTATTTCTTTACCTAGGTGAACGTCTTGAACATCTTCTAGACATCCCTTTTACTTTCCTACGAGGCCAATGCAAGGTAATAATTGAATAAAATAAGATATCATTAAAAACGCATTAATTCATACATTCAAGGTCATATCCTTCAATCATTGAATAACCGTATAAACCGTATTAAACCCCTCATAGACTGTTAAGCAATGCCTCAATCAGCGGCAAGAAGCCACTAACATCGCCGATAAGGGTCTGCGTCTCATTAACGAACTTGGCTGACAACAGGTCCTCGGCGTTGTGCAACAGCGTCGTGATACCCGTGATCGAGTCGGGCTCCAAGAGCGACTCGATCTGCGGCATCGACTTGTCGACGTTGCCCAGGATGGTCTTGAGGTAGCCGACCGTCTTTGCGTCGAGGAGGGAGCCCGCTTCGTCGATGAGGTCTGAGGTCTCGCCCACGAACTTGGGGGTGAGGAGGTCGGTGCCGTTGCCCAGGAGGTAGCCCAGGTTGTGCAGAGTTGTCGAGTTGAGGAACTCGCTCTTGATGTCTGGGACGACGGGGACGAGGCCGGTGAGGAGCTCTGCGAGGCCACCGATGACGTAGGGGGTGAGGAGGTCGCCAGCGCCATCGATGAGAGAGCGAGTCTCGTTGACGAAGTTGGGAGTAAGAAGGTCGTTGGCGTTGGAGAGCAGGGAGCCGATAGCGTCGATTGTGGTCGGTGTGAGCAGCTTCTTGATCTCCGGGAGCAGGGGCGTGACCTGGCTGAGGATGCTCTTGAGACCAGTGACGAGGTCGGGGGTCAGGAGCTCGTCGGCGTTGGCCACGAGGCTCTTGGTCTGGTTGGCGAACTCGGGGGTCAGGAGCGAGGCGCCGGAAGACAGGAGGGTCTCCAGCTCGTCGAAGGTCGCGGGCTTCAGGAATCCGGTCAGCTCGGGCATCAGAGGAGTCAGAGCCGAGAGAAGCTTCTTGAGGCTGTCGACGGTCGACGTAGTAAGCAGGCCCGAAGCGCCAGCGACAAGACCCTTGGTCTCGCTGACGAAAGAGTCGCTCAACAAGCTGCTGCCCTGAGTCAGCAGGTTGGACAGCTCGTCGAAAGTCTCCTTGGTCAGGAAGCCCTTGAGCTCGGGCATCAGAGGAACGAGGGCGTTGAGAAGAGTCTTGAGCGCGTTGACAGTAGACTCGGAAAGCAGCGAGTTGGCGTTCGTGAGAAGAGTCTTGATGTCGTCGATAGTCGCCTTGGTCAAGAGAGACTTGAGGTCGGGCAGCAGAGGAACCAGCGCGTTTAGGAGCGATTCCAAGGCGTTCACGGTCGACTGGGTCAATAAGGAACCGGCCGCATTGATCAGCGACTGGGTCTTGGTCACGAACGAGGGTGTAAGCAGCGCGTTGCCGTTCTTGAGCAGACCCGAAAGCTCGTCGAAGGTATCCTTGGTGAGGAAGCCCTTGAGCTCGGGCATCAGAGGAACGATGGCGTTGAGAAGCGTCTTGAGCGCGTTGACAGTAGACTCGGAAAGCAGCGAGTTGGCGTTCGTGAGAAGAGTCTTGATGTCGTTGATAGTACCCGTGGTCAAGAGAGACTTGAGGTCGGGCAGCAGAGGAACCAGCGCGTTTAGGAGCGATTCCAAGGCGTTCACGGTCGACTGAGTCAACAAGGAACCGGCCGCATTGATCAGCGACTGGGTCTTGGTCACGAACGAGGGCGTAAGCAGCGCGTTGCCGTTCTTGAGCAGACCTGAAAGCTCGTCGAAGGTATCCTTGGTGAGGAAGCCCTTGAGCTCGGGCATCAGAGGAACGATGGCGTTGAGAAGCGTCTTGAGCGCGTTGACAGTAGACTCGGAAAGCAGCGAGTTAGCGTTCGTGAGAAGAGTCTTGATGTCGTCGATGGTAGCCTTAGTCAAGAGAGACTCAAGGTCGGGAATCAGAGGAACCACCGATTTCAGGAGCGACTGCAAGGCGGTCACGGTCGAGTCGGTCAAGAGTTTGCCGGCAGCGTCGATGAGAGCGGTGGTCTTCGCAGTAAAGGATGGAGTCAGGAGAGCTGCACCGTTGTCAACGAGGCTCTCAATGTTTTGGACGTTCTTGTCAGCAAGAAGACCGTCAGCCTTCACAACCAGGTCGTTGATCTTGTCGACGTTGTCAAGCAGGGCCTGGATGCCGTTCAGGTTCTTCTCAGACAGGAGAGTGTCAGCCTTGGACAGGATGTTGCTCAAGGTAGCGGTGTTCTGGGCGGTCAACAGCTTGTTGGCATTGGTCAAAAGGTTCGCAATGTTAGCAGTGTTGGAATCGCTGAGGAGAACACGAATGTTGGTGTCGACCGGGGGAGCCAAGCTAGTGGAGAGATACTTGAAAGTGTCCTCGATCTCACTGAGCAGGTTGGGGTTCAGCAAACCGCCAAGGCCCTTGAGCAGGTTCTCGAGATCACTTCCGATCGACTCGAGGCCGCTAAGAGGGCCGCCGGAAGAGCCACCGAGAAGGTTTTTCAGGGTCGACTCGATGTCGCCGGTGATCGAACCGGAGCTAGAAGAATCATTGGAGTCGGAGCTGCTAGCAGTAGCTGAAGGAGAGGCCTCGGCAGTCTGGCTCGAGCCGGTCTCAGCAGCATCGGTCGTGCTGGAAGCACCACCGGAGCTGGCAGAGTTGGTGTCAGCCGTGGAAGAACCACCACCAAGAATATCACTCAGAAGACCATTGGAGTTGGCCGTGTTGGCGGTTGCGGTGTCCGCCGCAGCAGCAGCAGCAGAAGCAGTGTTGACCGCACCATCGGTGTTCACAGTTACAGTGTTGGCATTGGCGGTGCTGGCGGGTGCATCATTAGCCGAGGCAGTATCCTGCTCCTCGCCATTGACATTATTGGTGTTGGCGGTGCTGGCCTGAGACGTAGCAGCAGCCTGAGGGGCATTCACCTGGGCGGTGTTGGCCGAAGCAGTATCGGTCTCCACGTTGTTCACAGCAGGCGCGCTAGAAGCCGATGCGCCTGCGGGCGAAGCTCCCACCACATTGCTGGCGGCGAGCAGGGCAGTCGCGAGAACAGGAATGAAACGCATGGTGGCTCGATATCTTGTGTGCGTTCAAACCCGCAGTCACAATGGGCTTCTCGTCTGGGGAATAGAGCCGCGAAAAGGAAGAGCCTGGGAAAATCTCAAGAGAAGGGTCCCGCCAGGTCTTTATTTTCGAGTCCACGGTGATCGCCACTGGGGAATATCATTTTGGGAAGAAACCCTCCACCGGGCTCTGACACTAGAGCACCGTGGACCGAGATGTGGATCGACACCGAGGCAGGAGACGGAGATTAATGCCATGTGATGGGGTAGTGCCGTACTTGCCGTCACATCTGCTGAGGCTGTTCAGAGCTTGACATCACGGGAAAGTCCAGGAGTGGGCTCGAGAGCGTGAGGGAGCGGGGCGTCTGGGGAGGGTTCCCGAGGCACCAGGACCCAAATTGGGGGACAAACTCTGATTCAGGGGGTGGGTTCGTCCTTCACATGTCCCTAATTGAGTCAATTCCATCCACGGTCGTTCTCTCGGGCAGGATCGAGGGTCGCGGCGCAGGTCGACGAGAGGCGTGAATGGGAGAACTAAGCTCGAATCGGGAAAGTGCGCGGGGGACTCGACCTTGGGCCGACTCCACTCTGGTCGTTTAGCGGCGTTGACGGTGGGCCGAACCTGGATCCGAGCTGGGTCCAACCGGGCAGGAGAGGGCAGGAAAGGAGGGGTTCTCGGCCTGCCTCCAATTCAGGGATAGCTTACCCCGGAGTGTGGAGTCGCCGGTGTGCTCATTGGCGGTGCGCCGGTGCAAACTTTTACGACCTGTGCGACTCGGCCGATCATTACTCGCGGCGCACGAGCTGACCGAGTCCAGCACCGTGGCGGTCCCTGGGTGATGAGGTCCAGGAACCGAACAACCCTGCGTAGTGGCAGTCCCCATAATTCTATGACTCGTCCTTCAATTTACCGTTATCTTGCGCAAGTACCCCGGAGGCCAATTGATCGGCTGGAGATGATCGGCGCTCCGGAGGCGCACTAGCAACCGTCCCATCGCAGGATTCAAAGACATTCGGTCCATCCGGGGTCTCCCCAGACCGTTCGTGCGCGTACCATTGGCTCCTCTATTCCCCGGCCTCCATCTCGTGCAGAGCCAAGTCACCTGGGCGCTCATCCTTATTTCGTTTCCCCCCGACGTCATGCACTCGCGGTAGCGGATCATCGCGGATCCGGATTGACACTGTACGACATGGTGAATCACTAGCTTGAAATGCCAATGGAGACCGTTTCAGGGGAAATGAGGTGCCAAAAAAATAAGATCGTCCACCGTACCGTGGGAAAGGAAATCGTCAAGGATCATCGAGGCGACGAAAAATTTTCTCATTCCGCCGCTCGGCGCACTGACCATCCCCGCCGCATTCGAGAACGCCTCACGATATTACGCGACTTTCTTAATCTCCGGTATCCGCTGCTTCACTTGCATCGACGGTAGGAGTCGGAAGGGAATTGTCTCGTCAAGATCGAGAACTCCCTTTTTTCGGTCTTCACAAGCTTCAATCTATATACAGCAGGATCGGATGATCTCCCCGATCACCCTTGTATATCTCAAACGCGATATTTTTAACCGCCCCGGACTGAATTTTCAGCCACCGTCATCATAAGTTGGGTCGCTTGCGATGGTGCGCTTGTGCTTCCCTGGAGCAATGCGTCGGCCTCGCTGGTCTGCGCCCGGCTCCGACCCTCCGGCTTGAACGTGAACGTCTCGGGTTCCTCGCCAGGGATGCCATCTCCTTGCATGCCCATCACGTATGAATTAACTCTCACGTTAGTCCCGTCGGGTCCATGTTCCTGACATGACATTGCAGTCTTGTGGCGCATTGCGGGACATTGGCGGTGCCGCGGGATGAACTCGGGCTGCTTCTTCCAGGCACGAGGAAACGACAGTCACCTCGCTTTGGATGTGACGTGGGTGGAGTCGATTTTGCCCTTCCTCTGTTTCTTACATGTCTTCTTGAACTTTCTTTGTAGATGTCCGGCTTCTTTTAGAATGTAGTGGATTCTCGTGGGTAGGTAAAGAGCCGTGGTGTCGCCGGCGAGGAAGGCTGACCGGATTCTCACTCTGATGTCGTCGGTGTCATAGACCGACCTTTCACTGAGACGTCGTCGATGTCATATACTCACCCTTCGCGCCCAAGGACCATGGTAATTTCTTGATTTGACTTTGCTTTGACCTGGCAGAACGCGCTCCGCGCTCTGCAACAACCCGGTTCAACGCGGTGGTCGACGTGCCCAATGTCGCGATGCAAAGAAGCGACTTGGTTCATGAAGATCAAGACATTTTCAACTCTCTGCAAAATACGAGAATTGCTCCAGCAGAATTTCGATGCAAGGGTCCACGTACTGATCAGCGTCGCCTTCTGACGTTCCTCGAGAAACTCAGCTTGGTGAAGCTCGAGTTCACGCCGGAGATAGTATTGATTGCCGAGGGATCGCTGAGTACGGGCTCATCTAATCAACAGACGAAAAGTTCGTTCTACAGTACACTTCGAAATCAGATATACCGCTCTACTCCTACTACTTGATTGCCGGGAAATGATTCTGCATGACGCCAACTCGTTTGGCTCATCGCCCCGTAATTTCGCCAATGCTGTCGTCGTGATAGATATATTGCCATCAACGAGTCATCGTTAATACATGTAGTACAGTAAAATTAGAGTCAAATTGTGACAAAGGTCGCGCCTTCAAGAAGAGTGAGTACATTACATTCCATTCGAAATATCAAGATAGGATAGGAAAGGATGGAGGGGAGCTGCCTTTTAAATGGCAACCTTCGTGAATCACTCTTAACCGGCTGGTCTCTATCTAGTACTAGTTAAACCCACCCGCCAGCGTCACGAGTGAATCAAAACATCAATTGATTATTGTAGAACAAATCTCGCCGCAGCCTCATGGATATCTTCCTGCTCCTTCGGCCATCCAAGCAAATGGCCCACAACATATATATCGTGCGGCACATCTGGGACTTCGAAATGTTCGGCCACGTTGCCCGGAATAGCGCTCATCGCGTTGAAAAATCCACGAACACTATCACAGAGGACCTCCACGCCTCCTGCCTGAATGAAAATTGGAACCGGGGTTGCAAAAGGATGTAGTGCCGGAGAGATATACGGATCATCCAATCGCACAGTCTCAGGGGGGCGCGATAGCCCTTGCCCCCCATGCCATCATACGCGCCTCGACGTAGTCGGTCTTGATATTCCTGTTCGCGCTAACGGCCTCAGGATCACCTTCAAAGCAGTACTCGACCGAGGGCGAAAACAAAAAACATGCCTTTGGAGGTGGGAGGTGGGCGAGTTCATGGTCCTGTACATCCTTGATGGAGACAAGGTAGCGCAGAAGGGCTACTGCGATAGTCGAGCCTGTGGAATCGCCTGCGAGGATGATGCGTGACGGAGAAATTCCCATTTCTTTAATGAGGTAAATGTATGCCGTTACCGCATCTTGCATGGCACCGGGATACGGTGTTGGGTTACTGCCACCGGCGAGACGGTACGTACTGCAGCCAAAAAGAGCGAGTCTTCTCGCCCAGCTTGTTGTTCAGCAGGGTTGCTGTGGGCCTCGAGTCCTCTGGCCGTCCAGTCAACCACAGGAGCGAGCCAGAATGGAAAGACAAAACCACTAGACCCTGTTCTTCCAGTAGCGACTGCTTCGATGGTAGCTTCGGATACCAAGTACCGCCGACCGTCTCCGGCTTAATAGTGTCGCTCGTGAAGTCACCGCAATACGCGGAGGCTGGCGCGGGGTCGATGGTCACCCAGCGATCGCCAAGTTTGCCCGGTTCCAAGCTCAAAGATTGCGTGAACCCGATTTCAGTGATAATACGAAAACATCCCTTGAAAAGCCGTGTCGTGTACGCCTCGCGGTAGGTCCACCTTGGACTTTGGCGCAAAAAGCTCGGGATGTAGTATATACTGTAGAAAACAGCCTCTAAAAGGCCTCGAAAGATAGCTATGATGACCCAGATGGCACACCCTGGCTGTCGAGTCCGCCAGCCGTTGGGAACTGCATCGTCATCCGCCAATGATCGCGCCATGTCACCGACCAGTCTTGCGCCCTGCGTGAGAAGTTTAGGGTTGTGATGCCAAGCAAAAATCGCCAAGAGGGCTTAGCATTTAACGACTTTTATCAGAGGGCAAAGAGTCGGGACGGGCCCAGAGGCGCTCCTCTCAAAGGAAGCCAAAAGAAGCAATCGTGGAGAGGATAAATGCGGTTGCGTATATTACAAGCGGGTTGGCCACTCTTACGCGAACGCGTAATTCTCACCACCCCTACTCCTACTATTTCAACCACCCATCACGCCACCAATCGCTTGACGCTCCTTATCAGTAAATTATCCAAAGCACCGGGACTTTCAATACAACAATACGGAATAGCTACTGGAGGAAATCAAAGGCAACAGTTCTCTGGACTGGCGTAATGAACGGTATGATCCGCAACATGTCACAGATGCCTGTTATATTGTCAATAATAAATACTCTTCTTTAACCTTAATGAATCTAAAAACCTCTATAATCTAGCAAGCGACCGGGAGAACTGCAATTCAAACCTCCCTATTGCAGCTTTGCGGATCCAGCTGCCCCATCACACCGACTGACTCAGTCACCTTCTGAACCCGAGACTTGAAATTCGCCGAGAAGGGATTTGGATCCGTCTCCTGGTTCAAATTTCCAAGTGTGTGGTTAACCTCCCGGTGGTTTGCCTCGTCAGCACGCACATACAGCAGCAGGGAGCGCATGCACCGTTGGCCTTCGGGCATTTGCCAGTATTTTATCGCCATCTTAGGTGCTTCCAGCTTCTCCCATTGAGGGAGATGGCCGCTATCAAGATCTTTGATTGCTTTGGTGTATGTTATCACCGCTTCCTCTTCAAGGTATCCGACGAAGCGGTGGCATATTTGCGGTGAGATGAGATAGGCGATGGAGAATCCGCTGAAGAACACCCATTGGGCACCGAGGACCATGAGTCGCATGCCTGGGCCTGGCTCCACTAAATTTAGAAAGGTGAGGAGATGCATTCTTTCGTTGTAGGCTTCTTCAAGAAGGGTTTCGATCCTGGGGGGATGTCAGATTATGTATTTGGGAAGGGTGAATTTGGGTTCTCACCATCCGTAGTCCCTTTGAAATCTCCTTATACTTTTGAGATGTCGTAGCATTCCGGCTACCATTCCAGGAACACCTGCGACGCTCTCAAGAAAGATGAACCGGGTGATCCATTTCTCCTCCGTCATGATATAACGTTGAGGCATAGAGGTTGCAGTCGCTGGCTCAGATCGATACCCAGTAACAAAGTCCATACCCCAGCGTAACATTCGTACGGAGCCAAGTGCCACCTTGTCTTGCCAGTTTCGCGCTTTCCGGTGTGCGGTTTGAATGGAGAGGATTTGTTCTTTGGTATATCTTCAATTATGAAGCCGGGTTAGCTTCATGTCCTTTGTAGCTGACCAGCAGGATTTCTGCTAAGAGCAAGGTTTGGACTCACGTTGGATGGGCCCAAGAAGACTTATGAGCAGGCTTTGTGTCGGTTGCATGGTGTCTTCTGCCAAAAATGCATGGCTTTGGAGGTATTGTCTTGCAGTTCCTAGGTAACGAATTGTGCGGAGAGCGAAGCGAGAGAATAGGGAAACGGGGAATGCCCCCGAGGGATATTTGGAAGTTCATCATGAATTGAACAAAGTAGATTCAATGGCCTGGTAAATGAAAGATAAAAGGGATGGTTTTGTAGCAACTTCTTCGCTTGAAGATGATTCAATGATGCGAAAGTAGATTCTAAACGGGCAGAATTGGCCCACTTTATACAAACGGAGATTCTGTCACCTACAATGCAGAATGCAGAATGTCATTGATGTTGAGAATGAGTGTTCTAAGATGTACAGTGTAAGTGCGATAACAAGCCTAGATCTCAACAATATCGCGATCAACCACGCCTTGTCGAACCTTAATCCCCGGTTTCATCCGATATTGTCGGGTAGATCAGTTACTAACGTAAATAATGGCATATATCGTGACTCACTTATGGGGAAGGCTCTGGCTAAATCTGATCATTCGGATTATGATGCCATACGTTAATAGGGGAGGAGTCATTCCTGGATCACCAGCCGTAAACATGAGAACGGCGCTGCGGGAGCGTTTACTTCCACTCCATCAAACGCAGCAACTGATCTTGTCCTCTTAAAAACGGTTACTCCCAATTCTATGATTAAATAATATAGAGCATATTTACAAGAATGAGTCCCTTGGTGTGAAGCAGAAAGCCACAGCTCAAGGTCCAAACACCTCAACTTCATAGTTCCCACAGATCTCTTCCCACCCCAGCCACCCACCATCTATATCAGCCCAAGCTCCAGCAGCCCGAATACCTTCTATTTCGGTTGAATTTGTAGGAAGTTTGTGAGCGGGAACCCAAGTGCGCCCATCCGCGACACCGATGGCCTGGTCCACCTTCAACGCCGCAATGGCTGATTGGAATAGCGGCCGCACGTATGGATAGAACCACATATGTCCCCATAAGGTATCCATATCATCTTTGCTTCCGGTCCAATGATACATGCCGTAGATGTTCTGGGTTACGATGTTGGTTCCGAGGCGGAGCTCGGTGACACTTGGGATAGCGTCGACAGCGTGAGAGATCGATTTCAGCAAGCTGGAAATTGAGTTGGCGAGGTTGGAAGGTAGCGAGATTTTGAAGGGTTTGAAGTTTGGGGACTCGCTGATGTTTTGGGTCACCCAAGCTGCTGAGGTGCTGTTTGTAGCTCCGGTCTCGTTGTAGGTGAGGAACTCCACGACGTGTTCGAAGCCTGCGTTGGTTTGGAAGATTCCCGATCGGTAATCAACGCCAACGTGCAGCTCTGCCCTCTGATCTCGGATATAAGGGGGAATCACCTTCTCAGGCCCGCCGGTCGGCACAACGCGATTTGGATCGATGTCGCCGTGGAAAAAGGGTTCGAGTTCCTTCATAGAACGATAATACTCTTGCACACCCCATACATCGCTCATGTATTTCTGGTCGGAGTCACTAAATTCCTGGGTGGAGTCATAGAAATCCTTGATGCGATCCAAGGTGGCCGCAAAGAGGCGTCGCATATCTCCCACGGGACCCATGATAGTGCCAGAGTTGAGCCATCGTGGAAGATTATGGCTAAACTGTCCATCATCGGGTCCAAATGCACCAATGGGAATGCCGATGTCATGGGGGTTTGCCCAACATCCCACACGAGCCCAGTCTGTCGGGTAACATACTTTCTCAGGGCCAAAGAGAATTGTTTGTCGGGGAGCGTCATCTGGTGGCAGACTCTTAATGTAGTCCTCTCCAAAGCGCGTCGCAATTTTAGCGTTCGCTGCTCTGTTGATGGCGAAATAGCGCTGGATCAAGACATCTGGAGGGATCTGGAAAGTCACATCGAGGCCATCGACCATAAGAACTAGATCATCGTCCGAGGAGGGCGGAAGGGTCTCTAAATACAGCATAACATTGCGTACTTTAGCTAGATGCGTCTTGGCCGCGTCTAGGTCACCCTCTTTTTTCCAGCCGTTGAAAACAGGGACTGGGTACCCCAGGATTGTAGCGGACGCAAGAGTTCGGCATAGTTGGTGATTCGATCCCGTGCTTGGTATCAAGAGGTGGAATTTAGATACTCCAGGTGACTTTTTTGTAGAATCCAAAGTTATTGTCGATTCCTCAACGGCCTCGGTTGCGTTGAAATCGAGTGATACCGGTGATACCGCGAGCGGATCTCGGGCGATCGGCGATCGATATTGAAACAAAGTGATAAGAGCGATGACAATCAATCCGGCCAGGCCGGTCCATTGCCAGCGACTCAACAACTGCATTGTGTACTTCACTTTGCAGTGAAGACTCTGGTTTTCCTTGACGCTATAAGGGAATGGCTTTGTGCTATTTCTAGATCAACGAGTCCAGGTGTCGCATGCCCGGTTGCATCGCCTGGGACCTGTGCCAAGGGTCAAAGTACTCCAGTCTGTGGAGATTAAAGCCGGTAATCAAACAGCGGGCGAAAAGGGGGGTCTGCCTGTCGTGTTCTCTCCCCTTTTGTGATACACAAATCAGGGCTAGTCTGGCGCCACGGGCGCCACGAAATCCGGTATTGGATCTCAGGCTAAGCAGACCAAGGCCAATGGCGTGACTATTATAGTCTATGGACCCTTGGCTGACGTACTATGCAATTAGGCTTTCTGTTTTTTGAGATGTCTCGCGAGAGACCCGGTGGAGCACCGGCGCTGTACGGAGTACGATTACGAAGTACGATGAAAAACGCCCCGTATTATTTATGCCACCTGTGCGTTGGCAGGTAATTTTGATGTGTGCCTCGTGCACGCAAAACTAATCTGCACTAGCGGTCAGATCTATTGTTAACGCTTTGAAATCTTCAATTTCTTCTTTTCATTGTCCCCTGCTTACGACCTCGTGCGCCAGTCGCCAACCCCGTCGGATCGATCATAGAACCACCAAAATGGGCCGCAGGAGCGAAGAACGGCAAGAGGCAGAGCTCGCTCTTCTCAGTAATGATGAATCGACATCTAGCAGCGATATTGATGACCTTGAGGCCAACAAAAAAGTCGAGCAGGGCAACAAACATGCCGAGCTCGAATACCAAACCCCCACGACACTAAAGGGCATCTGGCTCACGACGTACTTTGGGTTTAGCATGGCCCTCACTATCTATAATAAATTTATTCTGGGATCTGTGAGGAGCCTCTTGGATCAGGGTGCCTGCTTTTGCTAACAGTGTCTACAGTTCAAAGCTCCTTGGCTCCTAACATGCCTGCATACAACTGTCTCCGCCCTCGGAACCCTCGTGATGCTAAAAATGGGCTACTTCAAGCCCTCGAAACTCAGCCTGAGAGAGCATCTTATACTTGGAGCATTTTCCGTACTCTTCACATCGAACATTGCGATGTCCAATCTGTCACTGTATGACTCCACCTCGTCCTGTTTACCCGGACTTTTACTCACCTCGTTAGGTCTCTTGTTTCGCTAGCATTCTTCCAAATAATTCGTAACACCGTGCCGCTCTTCACCGTTTTGATTTACCGAGTCTGGTTCTCTCGGTCCTATACGATGGCGACATATCTATCCTTGATTCCTATTGTCGTGGGTGCTGGGATGTGCACCGCTGGCGACTATAACTACACAATTCTGGGCCTAATGGTTACGCTGGGAGGCGTGATCTTGGCTGCAGTGAAGGTATGAAGAATATTGGCCACCTTGGCCGCTTTACCCAGAAGCTAACGTTTCTAGACTGTGACAACAAATCGCCTGATGACCGGCTCCCTGGCGCTTCCACCAATGGAGCTTCTTTTCCGAATGTCGCCTCTTGCCGCAGCTCAGTCATTTATCATCGCAATCATCGCTGGAGAGATCCCGGTGTTTCAAAAGGCAATGGTCGAGCGGACTGAGGACGCTTCGGCTTTTGCGATCACTACGACTGTTTTGTTCCTTCTTGGCAATGGATGCCTGGCTTTTGTGCTAAATGTGTCGAGCTTCCAGACGAACCGACTTGCGGGAGCTCTTACTATTACAGTCTGTGGCAATCTCAAGCAGGCCCTCACACTTGCTTTGGGTATTGCCGTTTTCGGAGACTTTTCTATTAACATTTTGAATGGGCTTGGTATCTCCTTGGTGTTGGCAGGCTGTGCATTCTTCAGCAAAGTGGAGTTGGATTCTAAGAAACGGGCAACTTTGACATAGTCTCGACGCATGTATTATAAATTTAATAGATTTTTCTCACGCGGACATTCCACGCGTTCTGTACTTGTCTCTCACTTACTGATCCTGATTTAATTATTAAGGGCTGCTTGTTAGATCTATCTGGCGAAATACATACCTGAACTGGATAAAGCCCTAGTCATCATCACAAAACTAGCTCGTATCTTTTACTCGTATTTCCGTCATTTTCGTAATGGCGGCGAGCTCCCTTTCCAAATCCCGATACCCCCATAGGTCATACGTTTGCCAAGGATTCCCACTACGCTACCACATTGTTTGGGCTTCGGTTTCCGACAAAGCCGCAAGTTCCCTGTTCCGTGTACAAACGAGCGGACCGTATCCGAAGCCAGTGTGGAGCGCTGTCAGCATACGGAGATAACCTGTGCTTTCCTTGGCAGCATAGCCCTAGTCCTCGGACCCTTGTTTGGTGTGGAGTGGCTGAGACACCACTCGAGAAATGGTGCTATGAACGGACAGGCACTAGTTACTTGTTAGCAAATCAAAGATGGGGTTATGGGGGCTACTAAAATGAAATCCGACCGACCGATCCAAGACATGAAAGCCGGTGCTTCCGAGCTATAATGAAAGTGGATCCATAATCTCGGGCAGGGAAACGAGGATCTTAAAGGGTCCTAGAAATGATCGTCAGCAAATAAACATACTTACGGCCTGCAAGTTCGGTGAAAGCAGCGGAATCCGGAAAGTGATTGCCACAGTGGGCCGCTGTAGGGCTGACCGATACTCGGTTTGTTACATTCCGAGAAGATGGGGGCCAGAAATCATTATGAACAGCGTCTAAGCCACTGCCAATAGAGGGTCTTGTTTGAACCTCGTGCAATCTCACAGGCCGACAATTCAGTCTCCAGTGGGCGGAACTTGTTTTCGCTACGGCCCCGGTCGCCCAGGTCACTCTGCATCCACAGCTGCGGACTGGGTAGCTTGGCAAGCGTTAGTGCTAGCGACCCCAACGCAACCCAGATGCACCAAGGCAATCGATACCATGCTGGGAGAGGGCAGAGAGCGGCGAGAAATGCTCAGATAACATGTTTGCAAGGGAGCTATCTGGTACCTAAAACGCCGCGTAAGGAAAAGCGCAGTCAAATGATCTCAGTATGAAGGTGAAGAATGTTGATCGCATGCACTTGGATGACTGGATGGCGGGAAGGCCTCGGTCAATCCCAGCGAAGATCAGGTAAATTACAGGTCAAATAAAAAGCAAAATACGAGGTTCCCCTTTTTCTTATCCCCGGACACGTACGAGTACGACTCGGTTTCTGGCGGGGGCAACTTTACCCGTCTTGGTGGTACTGAGTGTATTGCATCCTCATCTGCAGATTGCATATATTCTATGCGTGATCTATCATTTCGACGGTTCTTCATATACAGAAAGGGTTTTTCGCAGATTCTAAGACAGAAATGACGCTATGGATTTCTGAACTTGGTTATAATTCCTCTGATCGCGAAGGCGTGAATCAGTAAAGTTGGTCAGCAGAAAGCACGTTAGTTTATAGACTGTATTTCCAGTGGGAATACCTTGACAAGACAAGTCGCGTGAATATTATTAGTGTGTATTTCAGACTGTATGATCAGGCTGTGATTCCCGTATTTTGCTTCGTCGCTCGGTGGTTTTGCCGAGCTTGGGTTGCATTAAATCTCGTTACTATTATCTTTCCAATCTTTCACTGGCCAGGGCAAGTGTGGCGTTAGCAGGGACCACATTTACAATAAGCAATCTCCCCCTAGGGTCTTGAAGCTGCAAACCACGCTCAGAGCTCCGCATTTCTACGCTTTTATTTTTTTATTCTCCTGAGTTATCTCCCCATCTTTTTGACTTGGCTGTTTACTCCTATTATGATGTCAAGCGAGTCTACAGCGGATTTCGAGACGAATGTCTCCGGCGATCTCTGTACTGTACCAAGTACACCAGACAGAAGTCAATCCGGCAGTCCCCGCCTTGATGATAGCACCGACGAGACGGATAGCTCTTATCGCGAGAAGTCACCCGATCCAAACAGTGATGTCGATCACAGTGTTCCTCCACGGGCCATTCAAAACATCTGTGTTGTTGGTGCCGGTTACGTCGGTGGACCGACAGCTGCTATTATTGCCTACAAGAACCAACACGTGAAAGTTACGGTTGTTGATAAAGACGACCGTCGGATCAGAAGATGGAACTCGCGGCATCTTCCAATCTATGAGCCTGGTCTTACAGAGATTGTGCGTATTGCTCGTGATGGTTTGCAAGGCTCTCAGGAGGGAAATGATTCTGTGAAGAATTATGTAGCCTCGGAGCTTGAATCAAGAATGCCCAATCTTTTCTTCTCCACCGATGTATCCCAATGCATCCAGAGATCGGACGCCGTTTTCATTGCGGTAAACACCCCGACAAAAGTGCGCGGCACTGGAAGAGGCAGCGCAACGGACATGACAGCCTTCGAAGCAGTAGCTGCGGAAGTTGTGCGTCATGCGAAGAACAACACTATTATCGTCGAGAAGTCGACGGTGCCTTGCAGAACTGCAGAAATGATTCAAGAGATGGTACGCTCTATTGCCCTTGGTGGTGCTCCTTGACACTCACGTTTTACAGATCAGAATCCAAAGGCCTGGTGAACATTTCGAAATCCTGTCAAACCCCGAGTTCCTTGCTGCAGGAACAGCTGTTCAAGACCTCCTCCATCCAGACCGTATCATCATTGGTTCTGCCCCTACAGCCGAGGGACGAGCCGCTGCAGAATCTCTAACAGGAATCTATGCATCTTGGATCGATCGATCGCGCATACTCACGACCAATGTATGGTCCTCTGAGCTGGCCAAGCTTGTCGCAAACTCTATGCTCGCTCAGCGCCTGAGCAGTATCAACAGCATTTCAGCAATCTGCGAAGCGACAGGCGCCGAGGTCAATGAGATCTCCGCGGCCATCGGGATGGACACCCGGCTGGGCAAGTCATTCCTGCGAGCGGGTATTGGATTCGGTGGCTCGTGCTTCAAGAAAGATATTGCCAGCTTGGCGTACATTGCCGAATCCCTTGGCCTGGACGAAGTTGCACACTACTGGCGGCAGGTCAACGTGATGAATGAGTACCAAAGAGATCGCTTCGCTGCGAGAGTCATCCGCCACTTAAACAGTACACTCGTCACGAAAAAGATCTGTATCTTGGGTTACGCCTTCAAGCCCAACACCTCGGACACTCGAGAAGCACCTGCACTCGAAATCATCAAGACGCTTTTAGATGAGAACCCGTACGAAATTGCTATCTTTGATCCTTGCTGCAACCGTCTTGTCATTGAAAACGAGGTCCGGGCCCTGCAGCCCTATGGTCCCTCGGTCCTCAGCGAAGATGGCGGGTGTGTGAAAGTCTACTCTAATGTCTATGAGGCCTGTGCTGGCTCCAACGCGATTTTGATTGTTACCGATTTCCCTGAATTCCGGAATACCCCAGTTGCTGTGAACCCTTCACCATCCAAGACCAAGGTACTCCAGAAGCCGCAAACTACGACTCATATAGACATCGTCTCTTCCCATATCGCGCCATCCTTCCATGCACGGTTCAACACCGAGCCGGATTGCTCTGCCGATTGCCCAGACTGTCAATCAGGAGCGACCTACGGAGAACCGAGTTTCGGGTCAAGCAAAAATGTTCCGAAAGAAATGGTTAACTGGAAGAAAATCGCCGGGGAGATGGGATCTCCCAGGTGGCTGTTCGATGGTCGGTGTATCATCAACATTCCAGAAATGACCAAGCTGGGCATCCGCGTTGAAAGCATCGGGTCTGCTGGTCTGGCGGTCTAGCATTCTAAGCTGATTGAGTTTTGGATTTTGATATCCAAAGTTGTTGTCTGTGTAAGTTGCAAGCCATGTCTATACCATCGGGCTGTACTTTTAATTTTCGTTGTATACTTGGGCAATAAAAGCTGTTTTGCTTATTAGTTCCAACGTACTCTGCTACTTGCTTCACATCAATATCAGTTTCTATTCATTCTATTTCAGCCTCATAGGATTTTACCCGCAGTGATAAGGCGGCCACCGAGAATCTCCGCTGTTATCTGGTGGAGTAGTGGGGTGCACGTGGGGGAGGGGGATTACAACAGATTTTTTCCATCTCCACAGCTCTTTTCCTCCGGGGAGATTAGATTTCTCTCTTGGTTTCGATTCTCTTGTCATATTTGCTGCCTGTTTTGGTACTTGTACTTCACTTCTTGCATTCGCTTGGCCTATTTCAATGCCAGGCAACCCAATCGGTTAATAAAATCTCGGTCTTGGCACCGGATAATTTCTAAAATGGCAATTCACAGTTACATGAAGAAAGCACCACCATATGTTTTGGCCAGCACGCTGTGCTCTGCAAATGGCATCCTATTCGGAATGGATACGGGTGTGATCGGCCCGGTCACCGATATGAGAGATTTCAAGGCTTCATTTGGAGGTAGCCAAAATGCGACCATTCACGGCCTTATTGTTTCCTCGATTCTGATTCCTGCTGCTCTTTCTTCCTTCTTCGCTGGCCACCTTGCTGATAAACTCGGTCGGTCGAAAGGCATCAGCATTGGTGTTTTTATTTTTGGGGTTGGGGCTGCTATTGAAGCTGCTGCTGTCTCGCTTGGGATGTTTATCGCTGGGAGAGTTGTAGAGGGATTGGGAGAGGGGCTTTTCCTAGGTACTGCGTTGCGAAGATACTACCTTGGACTTTATTAACCCTTTTATAGGCACTCTTGTGGTGTATATTGCGGAAATTTCACCCACCAGTACTCGGGGTATGTTGACGACGGGTCCACAATTGGTGATTACTTCGGGGATCATGACGGGGTATTTCACTTGTTATGGATCTTCGGGTATCAAATCATCGCTCTCCTGGCGCACCCCATTTATTCTTCTTGCATCGCTATCAATGCTGCTTTGTATTTCAACCTTTTTCTTTCTGCCTCCGTCCCCGAGATGGTTGACATTGCACGGCCGCCGGGAAGAGGCAGAGCAGGCATGGGATAAATTGGGTGTCAGCCACGCTGAGCGCGAAAAAGTTGAACTGGAGTCAGAGACAGTTGAAGTTTCCGCCCCTACAGGAAATTCGGAGACCAGGAAAAGCGTCGTGGAAACGACCGACAACCACAAGGAGAGCGTCATGGGCAAACTCTTCGACATATTCTCCAAAGATGTTCGGTCGCGCACTGCTCTTGTTGTCTTCATGATGAGCATGCAGCAGCTTAGTGGTATTGACTGTGTGCTCTACGTATGTTCAGAACTCCTTGTTTGTTTTTCCGGTGCTCTAACATCCTCTTTAGTACGCTCCATTGCTCTTCCAGCAGGCCGGACTTGCCTCATCAGAAGCAAGCTTCTTTGCCTCCGGCATTTCGGCACTCGTAATATTCTGTGTGACTATTTTCGGATTGCTTTACGCAGACAAATGGGGCCGCCGAGGCAGTGTCATTTATGGTGGCATTGGACTAGGCATTGTCATGTTCTTGATTGGTGGACTGTACGCAGGAAATGCCGTTCACGGGACATTTGGAGCTGGCCGCTGGGTTGTAATCGTTGCCATTTACATTTTTGCCGTCATCTACTCTATGACATGGGCAGTCAGCATCAAGATCTACGTGCCCGAGATCCATCCGAGTCGCACCCGTGCATCGGCAACAACCCTGGGTCATTCCTCAAACTGGATCGCCAACTTCTTGGTTGCTCTCACAACGCCTATTCTTTTGGCTAAAAGCTCTTTCGGAGCATATTTCCTGTTTGGTGGTTGCTCCATCCTCACTGCTCTTGTGTGTGCGGTCTTTATGCACGAAACCAAGGGCCGATCCTTGGACGAAATCGAGGAGGCGTTTAAACATAAAACTTCCGGAAGAAAGAACCCCTTCAACTCTTTGCGACGACCCATCATTAAATCGACGGCCTAACGGATACTTCACGATACGAACTTTGAACGACAACTCTCGAGAACACGCAGGACGGTCATGACATACATTACACACCATAGATTGGATATTAGACGTATAAATTGGATACTAGACTTGCATGATAGATTATTCGATAAAGATATACTCGGCACCGCTGTCTTGCCAAATGCCAAGTACATACAGGAGACTCAAAGCGTAATCTACGTTACAGTAAAACTGCTGCCTTCAGAAGTGATCGACTCCCGGAGAATAGTGTGAGTTGATAAATTGAAACAACACCACCGCCAACCCCCTCCTCCGAACACTTGCCGCCATACACAATCTATGAATCTGATTCCCGAATCGACCTTGAAACTGGTCCTAACTTACCGGAGTTTAAAATAAGGCAGTTTTTTGAAGAAAGAAACTTTTGGTATATACCTCAGTTACACTTCAGACTATCATGATGCTAAGATATAGTCCATTACAAAGGCTCGATAATATAATCCGTCTGGTCTACACTGATTGTAGAGGCCAGCTATGCCAATCAAGCGGCCAGGTATTGGCGTCCGGTTCGGTTGTCCAAATGGATTTGAAGATTGATAATGTATCATCTTGAAAACGATCTGGGTGGAGGCGAGGCTGGACGCACTTTGTCGCTCTCAGCCCTGTCAGAAATTCAAGTTTAACCGTCCAGGTGGGAGCCAGCAGTTTGAGAAACTCGAAATCAAAGTGCAGGGCTCTGTTTCTCCCACCTGGGCCGTTGTAAGAATATTTCTTCCTTTGGCCATACAGAGGGTGAATCCTCAGCTGTAGAAGGCGTCTTGCATCCTGGTTTGCGAGTATGTGTGTGAAAATTGCTTTGGCCAGAGTCTCGTCAATAGCACAATTGATCATACAGTCCCGAGTAAACCATCTAAGGCACTCATTCCAACGATCCGCTATTAGGCCTTTTTCAAACTCGGTCAAGTCACGGGGCGTGATCGGCATCTTGTTGACACCCATTTCAGGCACGCAGTTCAGCACTAGGTCGAGCTCCACAAGGCATGGGAACCGGCCTAATGCGGCGTAGACATCCGACTCGAGACCTCGGTATCTTTGTAGACAGATCCACAGCTTCCGTAGAGATGGACATTGGCCTGCCACCTCCAAAATATCCTGGGATGAAAATATAGGCCCAATCTGTCCCTTACCTGAAAGTCTACGCAGGTCTTGATCAGTCCATGTATGGGATCCCTTGTGCACTTTCAACTCGAGCAGTGTTGGTCCATGCCAACAAAGGACCGCACCACTTAGGAAGTTGGGGGCATATGCGCCCAAAAGACAGAGATACGTCAATGGGGGCAGGGATTTGAACATCGACTCCGCAGCGGGCCAAAATCCTTGGTCGTCCGCCTCCGGTTGGAATAAGGCGAGGGTGAGTCGGCTCAACTGCCGGAAAGGGTGGATATTCACGATGGTCTGAAGTAGCGTCGAGTCTTCAATACAGCCGACAGTCCACGATCTCAGGAAACTAAAATCCGTAATTTTTTGCAACTCCTGGAACTGCTCGGCTGTCATTTTGGTATTGAGAGGCCACGATAGTGATTCAATTTTAGCGGGAAAGGGTGTCTCTTTAATCTCGGTTTGCGGCTTTAACTTGATCGTTTCATTAAAATCCTCTTGAGGACCCCGCTCACCAAACGCGCTGATCTGCAATGCAATCTGCCTGACATGAGGCGCAAGTAGCACAATGCGCTGAAGGATCCTATCGGGATGCTCACAAAACATCCTGTGGTTCGGGTTTTCGAAACAGGTGAAGTGGACAGCATGCAGCAATGGCGAAAGAAGCCAGGCGTTGCAAAGGTCACCCCGGTTAAAAAAAGTCCAAGCGGTGAAAATAGACACTCGACAAGTGGGTTGATATTGCGAAAGAGCCTCAAAGAGCTTGAGCGGGCCGCCATTCTGAACAAGAATATTTAAATCGTGCAAACAAGGCAGTTGTCGAATGAGATCGATGATAGGAGCCCAATCTCCCGGGCTATAACCACTAATTCGGGGGATGGGCGCGTCCGCTAAATTCACTTTTTCTAGAACATCACGAATGTGGTGGTAAGGATTATAAAGATTTCGAGGGTGTATACGGTATTCCGCCACAATACTCAGTCGTCTCACTTGGGTGAGGGCACGTAGGGCATCCGGCAGATAGAGCAGTTTGTGGGGAGTTTCCCCATCTCTCAAGCGGATGATGATATGGTGGTATAAGAGTGATCCAGAAATTCTATTCCATTCTCGATTTACTTGAGATAGCGCTTGAAGGCTTCCCTTGGACTCGTCGCCTGTCTGCCGCCTTGATCAGAGCTGTTTGTTGTCACGTTAGAAAGGGGCTCACCCATTTGGCGATGAGATGCTTAATCTCTAGTGGCAGTCGGTCCATGGTTCTCAATTCTTGAGTAACAAGGGAGAATATTGAATATGATGAAGAGTAGCAAAATATTGGCTATGCAGAGAAGACGAGAAGACAAATTCTGGTTTTGTTAACTACTTCAGTGAGCACATAGTAAAAGTGGGTCGAAATCAGTCACGTGTGGATTTAATGACTAAAATTCGGGTAATTAACCCGCTTAAAATGGCGTCAAATGTAGCCATTTTCAGCGTCCAAGTTACCGTCACCTGGTGGTGTGGTGCAAATCATCGCTGCAATTAAGATAACATCATCATGCAGAATCATGCTACACTATGTCAACGTGTCAACGAGTCCTCTACGTGGGTTGATTTCAAAGCAGAGATGTTTAGAAAATCAATGAATACGGCAGCGCATGTTACTCAATTCCTTTCATTCATTCGATTTAAATACAAAAATCCGACCCTTATTAACACTAGCACTGAGTACTCCCAAATAATGGAAGATTTATTCACATGTGTACAAGGTCATGAATGAATCAAGATCAACGCTCAACGCTCAGACAACACCGCCAACTCCTTCAAGAACACTGCTTGGACTCCTTTGATCGTCTCATAGACTTCCACTCCACAAGACTCGCTCCGAAGAACGAGAGTGCGGCTGTAGCCACCGATACATAGAATGTCTGAGTAACAGCGATGTTGTATGCATATAGCACAGGGGGGGAGGATATCTTTCGGGAGTCGGTCTGCCAGATTCGCTGCGCCAGCTTCAATAACAACGGCTGGGTTGATATTTGGTGCGTTTTGAGCGAGATTGGCAACGAGCCGGTTTTGAAAGACGTTCTGGGCAATGGATATGAAGAGAGCCCCGCTCAGGCTCTGTGCGAAGGTGATGATGGCGATTCCAACTGGGATATCGTGCAGTGGTAGAACTGTTTGGAGTGCGTTGATACACTGCTGGAAACCGACTCCTGCGCCCATTCCTATAATGACCTGATATGCGATCCACGAGCCGTGGCCGGTGTTGACTTTGAACGTGGTGCATAGCCCTGATCCGATTGTGAGAAGGGTACTTCCAAGGTACATGAGCGGTGTGTAATATCCGATGAGATTCACGAGGAGACCGCCGATTGCCGAGCAGACGATCATCGATACGACCATGGGGAGGTTGTTGATGCCTGACTCCGATGCTGAATCCTCCTTGATAGCTTGGAACCAGATTGGGAGCTGTGAAGTCAGTAACAAGCCAAGTTTAGAAGACGTCTCAGACTTACATAGAAGCCGAAGACAAAGAATGAGCCTCCCAGAAACATTGCATGAATCACAGCGCCAAGAACATTTCGATTCTTGAGAAGTCGAGGTGGAACGGTCGCTTCTTCTTGTTTCCAGAACTGAACGGCGCACCACAAAGCTCCGAAAACTCCGAAGAGAACAAACATTGAAATGATGCGCGGGTTGGACCATTCATATTTAGTGCCTCCCCACTGAAGGGTCAAAAGGATGCAAATGATGGCGGGGATAAAGACGAGGATTCCAATAGGATCCATCCGCTGCAGCTGATTCATCTTTCCCGGCTCGATCTTTGTGTGTCTTGGAGAGTCCTTGAAGAAAAGAGTGATGAACAGCGCAGTAATGGCACCGAGGGGGATGTTGATATAGAAACACCATCTCCAGCTGGCTCTGTCAGTCAATAGACCACCCAGTCTATCATATTATCAGCAAATATCTTCAAGTTTTTGAAATGGGACATATTCTTACAGTGGCCCCGTCACCGTTGCAATGCCGCTGGTACTGCCAATGATTCCGAAATAGAGCGCTCGGCGATGAAGCGGCAGGCTGTTGGCCAGCACCAATAGAGCACCCGGAGATAACCCCCCGGATCCGATCCCAGCAATCGCTCTTCCCAATATCAGGCCTTTCGACGTCGGCGTCACAGCACATATCAAAGAACCCATCTCGAACAGCCCTAGGGCGATTACATACGTCCATTTGGTGGAGTAGTACGTGTAGATCTTGCCGAACGGGAGGGTAACCGCGCAGGTCGTCAAGAGATAGGCACTTGCATACCAAGACAGGTCTTCGAGGGAATTGAACTGCTCCGTGATCTTTGGGACTGCAGTCGCAAGGATGGTGTTATCCTAAAAAAGGGTCAGCTCACATTACGTCAATGTTCAGGCCACTCTCACCAGCGCGATGCAAAAAGACTGAAAGCACAGTCCTACAAGAATAGGAACCAGCTTTGCAGTCGTCGGGTATTTCTTCTCATCATCCGCACTGTCGTCACTCCCAGACTCTTTTAGTGGGATATCATCTCGGTATTCGTTTTCGATATATCCATCATGACAATCGCGCATCCCTGAACTGTCGGCCATGAAACCACGAGAAAGCTTTCCGGTCTATTCCCGTAGACCGTAAAAACTTTTCGGAGTCAAGTATGTTGGAACATTCGGATAATTTGAGAGAGAAGAGTTGAAGGTAAGTAGCCAAGCTTCCCCCCAGGATCCAGCTTTTAGCTCTTGTAGAACTGCAACCTTAATACCGGTTGTAACCCATCATTTCAAGCAAGGGGGTACAGGAGCTTGTACGTGCTGGAGCTCTTGCACACATTCCACGTTGCTTGGTGGTATGTTCCGGCTCCATCACTACGCGAACTTGCCCCAACTAGATGTTTTTATTCGTTCCACGAGTGTGGTTCTTCAGATCTTTTGGAAATTATAATCCGATCTTGAAAAGCGAGATAAGGATTCATTGGTACTTTTGCCTTGTCGCGTAGCTATCCTCTGGTAAATGATCCCTGATTTCGGTAGAGTCCGTGTCCCTACATTCCGAAGAAAATGTGCTTGGCCTCGTCAGATTCTATGTTGTTTTTAGCTTTGAATTATCCGCGACACGGAGATTTCAACAACGTGACTGGATTATTATCTGTCGTCATCTGAGCGAACTGCGTACCAATAAAATCCCGACGGATATATAGAAGCACTTGAGGCCGATCAGCGGGTTGTCCGATAGATTGTTCTTTTCCTGCTTCGAAAGTTTGTGCTGGCCAGGCATTCAATGGGGCTTCCCTCCAGGTGTAAGGTACTTGTGCCATTAGAACGCATGTGTGGCCCTCCTTGGGCCAGGGACAAGACTCGAATTGGCGCCTTCAACCTGTCGGTCCCCATGTCCCAGAGTAAACCATCGCACAGGCATAACATAACGCCTTCGTAGGTTGAGCCCAATACACTGAGCTGGTGATATCCGAGTTGATGTGATACAAGCGGGTGCTAATGCTTCCTCATGTCAAAATTTGAATATAGGGATGGTGACACATGATGAAATCTTTAAACGGACGGTATCTCTATTTACGGGAGAGACACAAGGGCTCATAATCTCGATTCATGGGTCATATCAATTCGGGGTAAAGTGGTTCCTGTGAATTCAAGTTCCAAAGTTGGCCAGGGATAGAAGAAGGGGCATAAGTCCCCGAAGTCCGGCGCATGAGCAAAGTAGATCCCAAAGGGGTCCCACTCGCTTGGGCCAGCGTAGTGCCGAGGAATGCCCTAGGGAAATTCCTGGATCGTGTGGGCTTGGGTTCCGCGCTTGCTTATCTGCACGATGTCATCTGTCAGTTGGGCCCTTCTAAGTGAACGTTGAAGGGAGTTGATGGGGTGAAGCGGTGAGATTTGCATGCGCAAGAAGCAGGTCTAATGGTTTCAGGGAGGTTGTCCGAGGTGATGTATGTGCCATTACTTGCATGCTTTGGCTCATGCATTAGCGTGGGTAGTTTGTTGATCGTGAATATGTATCGGTTGGACGTGAAAAATTGAATTGATAGATCTTAGAGCAGGGAATATCAGATTGAGCTACTGTAGGGTCGAAGAAACGGTAAGTGACTTGCGACGTGAACCAGATCTCGGGTGTTTCCAAGGCTCCAAGAGTGAGCAGATTGCACAATTGCTCCAATGAAAGCCAATTCATCAATCGCGTGCTACGCAAGATAATGAATGCATCTTACATGGACATCCCCGGTTCCGAGCGCAGCCTCGGAGTTTCCAACGACGGCCAAGAGCGCCCAGATGAATCCTGCAGGGAAACAACAGAGACACACCTTCGAGCGATTTAGCTTCTAGAGACGCCCTTGCCCTTCGAGCGGTGAAGACCACCGGCATTGATCATCCGTGGAGTATCGCGTCTCGCAGGATGCACGTCGTACAGGAAAGGACCATCCTCAGCGCCCCGCGATCCATGGGGGACCCCAGCGATGGACGCCCCATGGTTCTAGAAGTAACGGCCGCGTTTTCTCATAGATCGATCACGAAGGAAACCCGGTCGGGCGTTGGAACTACGCCTCGTCGATCAACATTGAGCCCGGCCGGAGAGCCGCATCCTTCAGCCCCAGCAGAACAAGGTGACTTGCCAATGGCATCCACGGCTTGGTTACCTCGCAGCGGCGATCGTGTTCGCACCGAGCAGACAGGAATCGGAGACGGATCACAGATCGACATCTACAGACTGTCGATAGAGGCCAAGTAAAAATAAGAAATAAAAAATAAAAAATAAAAAATTCCGGTGTTCAGCCCCTATCTCGAAGATCAAAGAGTCAACGGTCCATCCAGCAAAAACCTAGCGAGTCTCGTGTATCCTCATTTTACGTACGGAGTACAGCGGCCAGGATAGCTGCGCCTCCTGCGCCTCCTGCGACACGGCATACAGCATACGGGTGCAGCATACGGGTACAGCATACGGATACAGCACGGGCAAAGGCTTCGGAGGGGCCCCTTCCGTGATCTCCACGCCATGGCTGAACCATAATAAAAACCAAAGCCCCGAGTCACGAATGACCTCAGTGGCGGGCGGGAGGCGCCCAGCCCGATCACGGCATCATGGGGCCCCGACGCCATTCTAGAATGGAATATCGCAAGGGGGGCCGACCATGTCCATGGACTCAGGCCATGCGAGACGGAAAGACTGACCGGAACTGCCTATCTGGGCAGGTCGCACTGTGCATCCCCCAGACTTCGGACGGAACCGCGCTACACGAATGGGGAGGCCAATGGGGAGATGTTATGTCGCCGGTCTCGCGTTGGTGCGGTGGAGTTCAATTAGTGCGCTTTCAGCGGAGGCTACGACTGGATCATGGGGAAGTTGTAACCCGGCGACGGTGATGGCGATGTTTCTTTGTTTCTTTCGATTGTGCGGTTTGCGGCACGTGGAAAATCAGGGCGGTCATCGATGGCTGTTGGTTCCTTGAAATGGCGAGGGGCAACGCTCGGAGGATGTCCGATGAGTGGTCGACACTGGGTTACAGAGAAGCCTCCCACTCGGTGGCTTGTGGTAGCTTATCCTATCTTGACTTGGACTTGGCCACTTGGCCGCTTGGCGAATCGGTTTGTGCTCCGCGCCAAGTCGCTCGTTTCTTTCCCGGTAGCTTGGGTTTGAGCGTGTACCGCATCTCTTGCTACATGGGAATCGTGGACGCGATTAGGGTTGCCACCCTCGCCCCTTGGAAAGATCTGCCCGTGTGTAGGTTTACCGTTGCCCCAGAAAATAAAATCATCATCCGGCGTACTGTATAGCTACGTAGGTCCGATGAGGGGCCCCCAGATCCCACTTCGGACCCGATTTTCTGTGTGCGGAGAGAGGGTCGCGTGGAGACGAAGACTCCATCGAAAGGCAAAACCTGACAGGCCCGATCGGCGGGGTTTCTACTAAACCTGGGGAGCTGAGGAGTCAGAGGCCCAAACCGAAACTAACCGAACCTGGTGAAGCCGAACCCTTCGCCCGGTTCCGTGCCGGGTCTCATTGGCAGACCCTCGCGTGGCCCCGACTTTCACGTCGAGATCCAAACGAGATGGAATCGGCCGCGGGGACCGTTGCCTCTGGCTGGCCCGAAATGTCCGTGCCATGAGTCTGTCCCCATAGCAGGTGGATCCGTCTGCCTCTCGAATCACGTCTGCTGCTTCTGGCCCGGCTCGGCTGCTGCGAGAACGGTACTAAGCCAGGAAAAACCCCTGGTCATTGGGGTCATGGCCCCATGCACGGCGTGAGGCTGTTTAAAAACCCGTCCGCGTCCGCGTCCCCGTGGATCTACGTCGTTTTTTTTAATTACTTTCGCGTCTCTCTCCGGCTGGCTCGGTCTTGTCTATCTTGGTCTCTCTCGGCCCGTTGAATGGTATAGACAAAGAAAAGGGAAAAAAAACCCAAGGAGACGTTCACTCCTCTCCAAGATGCCTACCAAACGGTTCTTGGGCCTCAATGGCATCAAGCTTCAAATTGCCATCGGCGTTCTGGCCGGTATGGATTTCTTGCTGTTCGGTTACGATCAGGGTGTCACCGGTGGTCTGCTCACCCTCAAGTCCTTCAACAAATACTTCCCGAGTATCGACACCACCACCAATGACTCTAGTGCCCAATCCACTCGTCAGGGTATCACCGTCGCCGCGTACAACCTGGGATGTTTCGCCGGTTCCATCCCCACTATCTGGCTCGGTAACATGCTGGGTCGCCGCAAGGCCATCTTCATCGGCTCCTTCATCATGTGTATCGGTGCTATCCTGCAATGTTCCTCGTATGAGCTCGCACAGCTCGTCGTCGGTCGTCTGGTGACTGGTTTCGGAAACGGCATCAACACTTCTACCGTTCCTACGTGGCAATCCGAGTGCTGCAAGTCTCATCGCCGTGGTCAAATGGTCATGATCGAGGGTGCTATGATTACCTGCGGTATCACGATCAGTTACTGGATTGACTTCGGTCTCATGTTTGCCGATCCCAACGAAGTCGCCTGGCGATTCCCGCTGGCCTTCCAGATCTTCTTCGCTTTGATCATCTTGGGCGCAGTCATGTTCCTTCCCGAGTCCCCCCGCTGGCTCATCTTGAAGGGTCGCGAAGAGGAGGCCCGTGAAGTTCTGACCTGTCTGATGGGTGATGACACCGACGAGCTCTTCATCGATACCGAGTTCACCGCTATCAAGGCTACCGTACTCGAGATGGCCAAGGGTTCATTCCGCGACATGTTCACCATGGGCGAGGACCGCCATTTCCACCGTACTATGCTCGCCTACATCAACCAGATGTTCCAGCAGATCTCCGGTATCAACCTGATCACCTATTACATTCCCACTCTGCTCGAGAAGCAGGTCGGCATGAGCGGTACCATGTCTCGTCTGATTGCTGCCCTCAACGGCACCGAGTACTTTATTGCTTCTTGGGTGGCCGTGTTCACTGTTGAGAAGTTCGGTCGTCGCACTCTGATGATCTTCGGCGCTGTTGGCATGTCGCTCTCCATGGTCATCCTGGCCATCACCGACAATATCTCTGCTGCCCACAAAGGGACATCGAAGGGGACCCAGGCTGGTATTGCCCAGGCGGTGTTCCTCTTTGTTTTCAACTCATTCTTCGCCGTCGGCTGGCTCGGCATGACCTGGCTGTATCCTGCCGAGATCGTGCCCCTGAAGATTCGTGCTCCGGCCAACGCCCTCTCAACCTCGTCCAACTGGATCTGGAACTTCATGGTCGTCATGATCACCCCCATCGCCTTTGCCAACATCGGCTATCAAACCTATATCATCTTCGCTGTGATGTACGTCCCTCTCCCCTCTCGTCTACTCCCATTCACTACTAACCTCCATATCTCCATATAGTAACGCCGCCATCGTCCCGGTCGTCTACTTCTTCTTCCCCGAGACCACCTGCCGCTCTCTGGAAGAAATGGACCGCATTTTCCACAAGACCACCAACGTCTTCAACTGCGTCTCTCTCGCCCGTGACGAGCCGCACATGTACGGTTCCAACGGCGAGCTCCTCCGTACTCTGGATGATATCGAGGACGATGCCGTTCGCCGCGTCGGCGTTCTCAGCAACCCCGCCAAGAACGCTGCCCGCAACCACCAGCACGTTGAGCACAACGAGAAGGCTAGTGATAGTAACTCCAATGAGGAGATATAAGCGGTTTCTCACTCAACCCTGTCCTTCGGGACCGGCATGCCGTGACGATCTCACGACTTGCCCTCGGCTCGCCGAGTTTCCTTCTTTTCATGTCGAATCCTGTTCAGAACGGTCCAATACCCTTGTTAGACTGATTATTTGTTTCATATTTAATTGAATACCGTTTGGTGCTCCACTTGGTTCTGTAGATCTCGATCTGTGGTGCGATGATCTCCAAAGTTTAGGTTTGTCCTTGGATGATTTGGGGCCGCCGAGATGGTCGACTGTCAAACCCACTTGGTGCACTACACGTGTTTTCCAAGGAGTAAATCTCCGGGCTACGTTGTAGGACTGAGGTGGTATTGGTCCACTGATCTACACAACATAGTACCAGTTCTGCCCTAAAAGTGGGGGATAAAAGGGTTCGGCACATCTTCTGGGCGTTTTCCAAGGTTAAGAAAGAGATTGGCATCTCCGCGCCTTTCCCATGTTTTGGGTGTGTCCTTCAATACGCCAAACAATGACATCTGTAGCTTTGCTCAAATCTCTTTGATGTCCAATTCACCAGTAGACGACCTTGGTCAAAGAAGCCTGGTATTATGAGAATGCAGGTACCATGTATTCAACTTCCGATCCGGTCGAATCACCTATGTAGTAGGCGGGATAAAGGGGGGTAAGCAAGCCCATATTCAGCCTCGGAATAAATCCTCTATATAGCGGTTGTTTGCTCCGATTCTTGTAAGGACGATTCTTGCGGCCACGCCCTAGACTAAAATGTTAATAACCAAGCCTGAAGCTCGAGAGGCGCACAACATACAAGATCGTCCTGTTCGACGATAGAACACAAAAGTGCCAGCCATCCACAGGACCAGGAGAATTGACCAGCCAAGAAGTTCTGTCACAACAGGTAAAGGCCATTCAAGGCGAACCCCTTTCCTAACAGTATAACACAATAGGGCAGTAGGCCACAACAGAAAGATCGACACGTCTAAGGGAGAAACGGGCGGCTCGCCGAGCTGGTCTCTCAGATACAATAGTATGGCCGTCAATGCTCCTATGAATAAGATACACCATAATGGGGCCCATTTAGGAGTTACTGAGAGCGAGGCCAGAAATGCTGCCCATAAATCCCCAAACCCAGGCATGCTGCAAGACTGAAGGCAACATTTGCTGCCCTACAACGCCTCATAAGTCATTATTAGTTCTAAGGCATTAGTAGAAAGGCATTACGGAGGTTCTCACGAAATCGGTTGGAGTGTGATATAAAAATCCAAGCCCTCGAAACTTGCGGTGAAAATAAGAGCAGGTGTAGGATAATTTGAGGAGGGGGTCATAATTGGACCATCTTCGTTCCCACATGGCCCCCACCTAGAGGCGAGACCACCGGTGGGCACCGGTTGCATCCCACTGCGCCTTGAAACTCTTGCAGCATGTGTATGATGGTTGTATTCTCTAGAAGGTCTGTAGGTGACGGTCAGTAATATACTGTAGATACATGTCTAACCCCAATGCACGAGTAGTGCGTATCAAGGTGAAGAATAATGCCATCAATACAGGGGATTGAACAGATGTATACTTTGGGCTCTAGTGCATTAGTAGTTCTAGCACCTTTCACTCACTATTAGTAGCCTGGAAGGGGCTACTAGGCTATGGGAAGCTTGTGCATATATGTAAAATTTATTATTCATCAATTTATGCATTCCGAATTTAGACATTCAAATTTTATATACAAACTTGAAGATCAAAAAGATCAAACGACTTCCTCATGGCTGGCATTGCTTCCCTCCTCCTTAGCGTCCCCCTCAACAACCCTCCCCTGCTTTTGCTCAAGCTCCATCCTAAACTTGTCCTCAATCTGGTTTGTCCGCCACGGCTTAATATCCGTGTCAAACACCATATCGATCTCCTCTAGAGTCCGGCCCACAGTCTCGGGATACGTGAAGAACACGTGGATGGTCATCGTGAAGCAGAATACACCGAAGATTATGTATGTCCTCCACTGGATGTTGTGGAATGCTGGCGCCACGAAGTAGGCTAGGGCGAAGTTGAAGATCCAGTTTGCTGAGGCGGAGAGACCGACACCCTTGGCACGGTATTTCAGGGGGAAGATCTCGGAAGCGTAAATCCATCCCGTTGGGGCCTGCGTTTTGTTAATGAGGGTTTAACATTTAGGGGTTGGAAGTTGCACGACTTACCCAGGTGAATCCGTAGATGCCGGTGAAAATGTAGGAGAAGGCAATAACGGCCATGGCTGCGCTACCCTTGATCTCCCATGTGAGGTTGGCGTTGCCGTCCACTTCTGGCACGGCATGACCATAAGAAGCCATGACGCCTGCAATGGTAAAGTGCACCGCCATGCAGCAAACAGAACCGGTGAGGAGCAAAGTTCGTCGACCGATCCGATCAATGAATGGCAGCATGACCCCAGTGGTGACCAGGAAAATGACATATTGAATAGCCGAGGACCACAGAGTGGTGTTTCCAGTCTGTACTAGTCAGTGCCTTGTGCTCTCGAGTCGTTGCGATACACGTACCATTCCAGCCATCTCAAAGATGTAAACAACGTAATACATCGCCACGTTACCTCCCAGCAGCTGCTGCCACATCTGAACACTCATACCACAGGCGGTCCGTTTCCAAATCCTAGGGCCAAACAGCGCAAGGAAGGAAACATCCTTTGCCTGGTGCGCAACTCTTGCTGCCTCTTGCACTTCTTCGAACTCCAGTTGCACGACGGGGTCATGGCGGTTCCCTTTACCATGCATAAGAGCCAATACATCCAACGCCTCTTCCCAGCGCTCCTTGCTGGCCAGCCAGCGCGGCGACTCGGGGAAGAACCACAGGGCAATAAACAGAATCAATCCAGGCACGGCTTGGATTCCCCAACAGATACGGAATGCAGCTGGCCCGGCAACTCCGACTGCACAGCCGTAGGCGATCAGGTACATGATCAGGATACCCCATTCAATAGCCCATTGTTGGATACCGACAATTCGGCCACGGATCCGAGCCGGTGCTAGCTCGGATAAGTAGACGGGGGTTTGTGAGGAGGTTACTCCGATAGCGAGACCGCTTACCACGCGGCCGGCGACGAGGTGTGTGACGCTTTTGGAACTGCATTGCACCATTGCACCGACGATCCAGACTAACGAGGCGATCTTTAAAGCGCCTCGGCGACCGATGCGGTCTGAGATCCAACCGGCGGCGATGGAGCCGGCAAAAGAACCGGCGGACATGGAGGCTGTGATCTAAATCAATGTTAGCTGGGTTCAGATGTGGGATTGAATGGACATACTCCTCCTTGGAGATTTGAACTAGGGTGCCCGAAGTAATCCATATAGGTGGCAACGCCAATCCAGGCACTCATCGAGCTGTTGTTTGTTAGTTGTGATCAACAATGTTCATCGTCCATCTTTGTCGTACCTTATGTCGAAGCCGAAGAGCGCCCCGCCGATCGTGCCGAACGCGGCGAGAACTGTTCATTCATTAGCATGATTGATGATAAACATGATCATGAACATACCGTAGATATTCGAGATACGATACATGATTGCGGGCGACCTCTCGACTACCTTAGCTAGATAGAATGCCGGGGTAAAGCAGCTTTTTATGTCGAGTAGAATCGGATCCACGGGCCAACCACTCCCTCAAGTCATGGGCCGGGGCTTGACGCCTAGTCCAGAAAGGATCGCCCGGATAGGATGCAGAGAATAGACTCGAGAGGATTCCGGGGGAGAATCGGACTGCGTCATTGGCGCAGCCGGCGTCGGTTCGGTTGTAGTGCTTTTAACCGACTGTTTTTATCCGAAGCTTGGTCTATTCAAGTCAGGTTTGGGCCGATTGCTACCCGCTGCGGTGTGAGCGATTGGGCTCGGATTTGTTTTAACCCGGTTATATTTGTGGCACCTGTGCCGTTCCCCGATCTTGTAGCTACGAAGCTGTACCAGTAGAGCCGGCCCGCAGTATGAACAACCCCGATCGGCATGCCGACGTCATGCCACCGGCTGCGACGATGTGGTTTTGTCCTTATTGAGCCTTTGGCATCGTGTTCTGGTCCCAAATGAGGAGAAATTCCCGGATGGATGGGCCGACTAAGAGCATCGCCACGGGAACTATGCGCTTTACTTGTTTCGTCCACTTTGGGTCTCTTTGCTCATGGCCAATCAAAAATGTATCCCCAGGTAGCATTGGACTCATGAAAAAGTGGACTGCCGTCTATGGCTTTTTATCACAGGTTGACCGTGCAGGTTGACTATCGGGTTCAAAGTGTTGGTGGTCAACTTCCAAAGTCCGGCGGAGGAGCAACAACTGAGTGAAATCTCTACGCCATCGACTGGTCGGAAACGATTTAATGTTCTGAAAGCTTCTAGACCCTATATTGATCGATCACTTCGGGAACACGTTGTGCTGGGGGAAAGCCGAACACGTCTTCACTTGTTCGAGGCAAGTCTCGTGACTTCGGTCCAGGGATAAAAGTGGTTAAAATCTCGGTTATTTTTCCACAATTACGGAGTACTATGGGCCCGTTTCTGGGGTACGGGGCCCCATACCCGAACCTCTCCAAACAGAGATGACTCAAGCGAGAGTCAAATACCGAAATTCAAACATCCCAAATCCAAGGAGCTTGGGCCATTCAGCGGCCCGCTTACGTCAATGCCGTGGCGGCGCCACTGGGCGCTACGCGGGTGGCGTCTTGCCAAGTGCGCCGTAGTTATTACACCCCCGTGCGTGAGATGGTGGCAGTCTAAATGGTCAAGACGAGACGCCGGGATATTGGCTTCTCGTGAAATCAAGTTCTCTCAAAAAGACTCGCGATCAGATATAATCTGGTCGAGACCAGTTGTGTTGGAGCGAGAACTCGGTTAATTCGTGCACGTGCACCGCGGGGGTGTTGCCACTTTGGAAGGACCTTCACCTGGTCCTTATCATTGGCCCTGGGCCAAAGTCACGACGTTTTTCTTGTTATGTACTTTTCCTAAGTCGGGCAGACTTTCTCTTGTCTCGGATTCTCTTTTCAACCTGAGGTTCTGTCAACGCATCAAGTGCTTATGATGGAGAATCAAAATCTTCATTTACTTGACCATGAGCATGCTGGCTGTCTCACTGGTGCAGAGGGTCTGTCGTCTGCTGGATTTGGGCCAAGTTATGTGGTGGACATTGACATTTCCCGTGGTCTATATAAGACTGTCCCTTCCGCCTGTACGCGGGATATAGGACCGGCCTCTCGCCTATAGGAATCCTATAGGAATCTTAGCCTCCCATGATACACTGTATAGCAGGTTATAATTTAGATATTTCAAGTATTTTTCTTGGTATTTCGTGGTAATATTTGAGAATAAGAGTGATCAAAGAGAGAAATGTGCATTTGATCGGAGAAAATGATAGAATTCCTAAAGTTGTATCTACTCTTATATCTATCTAGTCGAATGCTCGGTCACTTTATGACTAGATACCGAGCCTCGAGTCTTTCTAAAGCCCTCTGACATGGGAAGGCGACTACAGTGAGTATATGATTTACTGGTCTCGAGGCGAGCGGCGTTTTATCGGCCGACTCTCTTTGCCAGACACAAGGCCCAGATACCTCAACTTACACCGGAACATCAGGACTGGTAGACTGAGCAGGACTTTATTGGCTCTATTTCTTACTGCCTACAGTACTAAAGAACTGAATGCGCCCGTGGAGCAACTGATAAATGGGTCACTTCAGGATCGATACTCATAAAGGACTGCCTGCCACCGTACGAGTGGTGTCTTCACAATAACGCTGCAACACTCACGGTCGCATGACCCTGACCTACCCCTTTTCTTTACGCAGCATCTACCGCACCACGTGCGAGCCACTAGACATCTGTCACGGCATAACTTCGGCTGTACCTACTCGGCTCAGAACCACACCGGTCCGACCCCGAACCCTTTTGCCTAAACTTCGCCAGCCCTTGACAACAGAGCTCTTATTCTCAACTTCCAATCCAAAAACACATCTTCATATCTTTTAAGGAAGCGGACTTTCTGACATTTGCTTCACTCAAGACTCCCAACGGTTTCCCTAGTGAAACCGTCAGGAGGTTCCAGCAAGCTACGTTGACGAAGATTGGACGGACGTATATGACATAACAATTTGGAGGCTCAAACCTCACTTTGAATAAAACCAATTTAGCTCCCGACTTATAACACCCACTTGCAGCAGGTATGTGCGCTGCATTGAAAGTGTACTTAGAGAGAGGGGAAGCGGGGAAGCGGGCGGCGCCGCGCCCTCTTATACCGAGCACAAAGTAAACAAAGTCCAATGCTACCTCAAGTATCTGTGCTTCATAGATCGTCCCTATCTAATCTGCTCGGTTGCTACATTACACTGGCACGTTGTTTCGCCTGTAAGCATGATCAACACTAATATATCCCCTTTGAGTCATTTTGTCCCTGGAATGTGCTAAATACGCCGTTTAACTCCGTCGCGTCTCTACTTTTGAAGGCCCTAATCCCGCCTTTTACCTCTTTCCTTCCCCGCAATGTTTACCTCGGGCATGGATTGACCCGGTCTTATACACTTCTCCCCTCTTTCTGTGTGCTCGTATGACGCGCCCTACGCTAGGCTTAGCCGAAATTACTGCGGCGCATTATAGTCCGAGCAAGTTGTAGGGAAGTCTAATTGAGAGCTCTCGTCTCCGGAGCGCTCAGAGCTCGGATCTCTTTTCGGGACCACCCTTTCCAAGACCTATAAGTTGACGATTCCTACCGAGGTGTTCAGGCGTGTTTGCCTGCAGACGTCAATATGGGACTCCAGATGTATACTCTCGGGCTTTTGCTCGGACTTGCACTGAAATCCAATGCTGCTGGGAATATCACTGACGATTCTTACTTCTACGGCCTATCTCCGCCTGTTTACCCCTCGCGTATGCTTCCTTCTGTCCGTTTGCTCTTTCGGCTTGCTGACTTTTTGATCTAGCTGAGGGTACTGGCTCGGGCGACTGGCAAGCTGCCTACCAGAAAGCCAAGGCATTCGTTGGCAAACTCACCCCCGAGGAGAAGGTCAACCTGACTGCTGGAACATCCGTCAGCAATGGCTGCTCCGGCAACATTTCTCCCATCCCTCGTCTCGACTTCCCCGGCTTCTGCGTCTCGGATGCTGAAAATGGCCTGGTAAGCTCCTAACAGCGATCTTTTGTTTCAATACACTAATCGTCATTAGAGAGGAACCGACTATGTTAGTAGTTGGCCATCCGGTCTCCATGTCGGAGCCAGGTACGTCACACTATCTCATTATTTGTCAAATGCGTATTCTGACGCTCTAAAGCTGGAACAAGGGCCTTGCCAAGCAGCGAGGAGCGCTCATGGGTGAAGAATTCCGCAAAAAGGGCGTCAACATGGTTCTTGGTCCTGTTGCCGGACCTCTGGGTCGTATCGCCGAGGGCGGTCGTAACTGGGAAGGCTTTGCCGACGACCCATACCTCAGCGGTGGTCTGATCTACAACACCGTCGATGGTATTCAGTCCGCTGGTGTGGGAGCGTGCACCAAGGTAAATTCCCTCGTTTCCTTTGGAAGATTACAGTGGCTGATCTTTGCAGCACTATATCGGATACGAACAAGAGACCAACCGTGTCCCAGAGGATAATGCGCAGGGAGAGTATACCGAGGCCGTGTCGTCCAATATTGATGACAAGACTATGCACGAACTGTACCTCTGGCCCTTCTATGATGCCGTCGCGGCTGGTAGTGCATCCATTATGTGCTCGTACCAGCGTGTCAACAACTCCTATGGCTGCCAGAACAGCAAGACTTTGAACGGTCTTCTCAAGACCGAGCTCGGCTTCCAAGGTAAGCCTCTCCCTTTCCCTCAAACTGACTCAAATTAAACGTACCCAGGCTACGTTATGACCGATTGGGGTGCGCAGCATGCCGGTATCGCTGCCGCTAATGCTGGCTTGGACATGGTTATGCCTTCCACCGACATGTGGGGTGAAAACCTCACCATTGCCATCAAAAATGGCTCTATGGAGGCTTCCAGACTGGATGATATGGCAACTCGGTATGCATTTCTCTTGTGGACGTGCTTGGGATATAATCAGCTAACATCTATTTAGTATTATGGCAACCTGGTACCAGCTTAACCAGGAGAAGGGCATCCCCAATCCCGGAATTGGAATGCCGTCTGATGTCAACTCTCCTCACCAACGAGTTATTGGAAAGTCGGCCGACTCCAAGGAGGCTCTCCTCCAGGGCGCCATTGAAGGTCACGTCCTGGTAAAGAATACCAACGCCGCCCTGCCTCTTAAGGCTCCCAAACTTGTGTCGGTGTTCGGATACGATGCTGTGAATGCCGATTATCTTAATGTTGCTCTCCCCTCGGTCTCCCAGCCCACCGCAACCCAAAACAGCACCCTGTACGTCGGAGGCGGCTCGGGTGCCAACTCCGCTGCTTATGTTGATTCTCCTCTTGAGGCAATCAACCGTCAGGCCTATGAGGACAACACTTCCGTTATGTGGAATATCTATTCCCAGGATCCCGATGTTGATCCTACCTCGGACGTCTGCTTGGTCTTGGTCAATGCCTACTCTACCGAGGGCTTCGATCGTCCCGGTTTGACTGATGACTACAGCGACACTTTGGTCACCAATGTCGCTCAAAAGTGCTCTAACACCGTGGTCGTGATTCATAACGCTGGTATTCGTATCGTCGATGACTGGATCGAGAATGATAACGTCACCGCTGTCATGTTCGCCCACTTGCCAGGCCAAGATACCGGTCGCTCCCTCGTTGATCTTCTCTATGGCCATGCCAATCCGTCTGGCAGACTTCCTTACACCGTCGCCAAGAAGGCATCTGACTACGGAAACATCCTGTCGCCAGCCCTGCCTGAGGGCAAGTACTGGTTGTTCCCGCAGGCTGACTTTACCGAGGGTCAATTCATCGATTATCGCGCGTTTGACTCGAAGGATATTACTCCCCGGTTCGAATTCGGATTCGGCCTGTCTTACACAACCTTCAAGTACTCTGGATTGAAACTGCAGAAGTCAAGCAAGCCCACTTCGCAGTACCCCCCTACTGCAGATATATTAGAGGGTGGTAACCCCCATCTGTGGGATGAGCTTGTCACTGTCACCGTCCAGGTCCAGAACAGTGGCAGCGTTGATGGTGATGAGGTTGCTCAGCTTTACCTCGGAATTCCCGGCGGACCGGTCCGTCAGCTCCGTGGATTTGAGAAGGTTACTATCGGCAGTGGCAAGAGCGAGACTGTCACTTTCTTGTTGACAAGAAGGGATTTGAGTAGTTGGGATGTAAATGCTCAGCAGTGGGCTCTGCAGGAGGGTCAGTACAAGGTCTATGTCGGACAGTCGAGCCGTAATCTGCCCTTGACAACTACATTCAGCATCTAGACCAGGATACACTTCCTTTGTGGGTATAGGTAGTTTATTCAGTCACGTTTTCTACCTATTTGTCCTATTTATAGACTCTAAGGGTGATCATTTTAAGGGTCGAGATGTGGGACCCTCCACCCACCGTAGGGCGGTGCGGGCGTTTATTAGTGCTTTGGGGTGGGCGACTCGCTTCACTTTCTACAGTGTTTTAGGGTGGCCCGCTGGCTTGTAATTACGTTATGCTTTCGAAATATCTAACAATCGCCAAGCGTAGTCACCCCGTGCCCTTGGTGCATGATTGTATCGGGATCCGTCGGCCAGTCTAAATCCGTCAGGTTACAGTGGTGGGACGTAATTTTTCCCCAGTTTATGGATTGTGCGGCTTATTTACGAAAACTCTTTGTGTTTCCCTAGATCCTAACTATTTGCAGCAGAATATTCGTTGATCAAACAGTAACAACGGTCTACACGGTCTCTAGGATGAGGCGCTCTGCCGCTCGATACACCTCGTCAGTCCCCACTTTAAACTTTAACGCCGGTTTTGGCCCCCTCAAGCTTGCCTTGCTTACATCCCCCCTTTACGACGAGGATTATCTTGGCTTTAAAGCCAAGATAAGTTCCACTATCGGTTGTCCGAGCCCTCTCATACGTTAGCGTCCGAAGTCCTTGCCATTCTGGGTTAAATCTTGCCACTACCCGACGATGGTCTACAGAGGAAAGCTGGGGCTGGGGTGTGCCTTGTGCCGAAAGCGGCGCCTGACAGTATGTTGGATGCCTTAGACCCAGAAGGACAACTAGTTGACCAGACAGTGCGATCGGCGTCGTCCATCTTGCTCGCAATGCTTGAGAGTGCACCAAGAGTGCACGGGGTATCGGGACCCGAACACTTTAAGAATCCATAATCAGACCAAGGAGGTGACAATGAAGGCTCAAGCTCGAGCTACCTTGTCGCGGAAGCCGGTTACGACGGACCAGCCGACTTCACCAAATTCCCCAGTGGATATACTTCCTCCGCCCATTTCGCACGATGAGAGAGCCATGTCTCACGTCTTTACCTATTATGTGGGGACCGTCCAGGACCAAGGCTCCCTGTGGTACTTGCCGAAGCTACTGACAACGAACCCTTCTTCTGCGCTCCAAGCCACAATCAAAGCTGTGGGGCTGGCAAGTATGGCGAGAGTGCAGAAATTGCCTAAATTACGGCGCGCGGCGGGCGAAGAATATAGCCTAGCGTTGCGTGCTACCAACGAAGCGCTAAGAGACGAAGTGTTAGCGAAGTCCGATTCTACTCTGGGGGCCGTGATATTGCTTGGTACATACGAGGTAACCTCAGGCTTCTCTACCTGCCAGTGTCAATATCTAATTGACTAATTGACTCACTAGATGATCACATCGGAAGCCAAATCCTCGGAAACTATGCGTTCCTGGATGAATCATGTCCAAGGCGCAACAAGCCTGCTGGAGCTACGAGGCGAAGAGCAATTAGATTCAGAGTCCGGGTTAGAAATGTTTACACTTGTGCGGTTACAAAATGTGGGTCTCTCATGCTCTAATCTAACTTTCTGGAGTCTAATCATTACTTCTATAGGCAATAAGCGGCGTTTTCTTCAGATATTCGGGCCATAACTCATCAAAGATAAAGGAGTTATCAAGATTGGCAAGATCTAAGAGAGACGAGCACTCGCTGCCAATTGAATCTTTATACAACATACTACTTGAGCTGAACGATCTATCACTTAAGATCGAAAAGGCGGACTATTCCGTTGAGGCTCTAGGGCCTTTGCTTGGAGAAGCCCTTCATCTTGAAACCGACTTAAGATGCTGGGCTATGTCCCTAAGCCCACGTTGGCAGTATGCGGTCATCAAAAACTCGAGTCCTCCTTCTGAGAACGATGCCCGTTTTCTCGTACATGGTGATAGTTATCATGTGTATCACGATCTCACTATTTCGTCCATGTGGAACCATTATCGTCAAACGCGCATCATTGTTAATCAAATAACAGGTCGATGGCTTTGCATATTTGTGAGCTACGCAAGTCGCCTGAATGTCGACGGATGGTTTCCGAGTCCACGTTCACCATCAACCAGCTGGTCGATGATGTTTGCGCTAGCGTTGCATATCATTTTCTATTTGGTACCCCCGGCCTTTCAGGGGCTTTCCGGCTACCATGGCCTTTACTCATTTCAGCCATTTGTACGGACAACAATTCTGCTACCCATGCGTGGATCTTGCAAACCCTCGATACGATTGTAGCCATGACAGGCTTTCAGCAACCGTTTGGTATCCTGCAGCACATCAGAGACGGGAGCATAAAGGGTCTCATTCCTGGGACACAGCGAATAATCATGCAAGCATCTTGATATGTGATCTGATACCTGATGAATTTCAGAGACACTTTTGAATGACAACCCCCGTTTTCAACAAGTTCACTGTTGGTAGAACTGAGCAACCGACGAGATGAAGACCAAGACTAGATACGTTGGAATGAATGCATGACTGTAAAAAAATGTGCGATAGTGATTCGGTTATGAGAAACTAAATCTTATAACAATTTGAGCCAGTAGTAAGAACTTAACCACTCAATTTTCTTCTCACGTTTGACCCTAGTAACTGATACATATTTGGCTCAGCTTTGTCAAGAAAGGCTTCAAGATTGAAGTTTACGCTGTGCAATTACCTGTAGAGTCCCCCGTTTTCCATTCGTCTTTAGGGTTAAATTGCCCGGTTCCAGAGCTTTCCTAGGAAAGTGACTAGGTCGAGTGGAGTCCATAACAAAACCAGGTTGGTCGACTCGAGGAGAGATATCATTGACAAATGATATCAGCTCTGAGAAAAATGGAGTGGCAAGGCCAGAATCAGAGAAAAAGGGGCTGAAGACGACGCAGGTGGTGCAGACCAGAGGCAAAGCTCGATGTGTTTACTGGATTAGGACTAGCGGGGATTACTAGCGGGGTGCACTCCAAATAAAGACAACTGCACTAACCTTATTAGGCAACCTTGTCGGAGTATAGTGCTCGACGTCTAAATATTTAAAGTCCATATCCGACTCTCCCCTGATCGCAATCCCCTTCTTCATTCCCCTTTTCCATTCAAATCTACACTCATTTCTAAACGTGCAGAGCCCATATTTCGCATCTTCAACTCTTTTATCAACAACAATATCCAAAATCGCGAGCATGTCCAACAATCAAGGCTTTGGCCAGGGAGACCAGCGGGGTCAACATTTTGGCTTTGGTGGCCTTGGATTCTATGCCAAGGGTATTGCAGCCGGGATTGGTCTTGCGTCAGAGAGTATTCAGGCACACAAAGAGAAGAAGAAAAAGACAAAGATGGTGCCTACAGGTGAAACGCATCAGCATCAATCTCGGGCCCCATATGGCGAGCAAGCACGATCCGTCCCACCACCAGCCTACCACTACAGTGCAGAACAGCCATTTATACCGACACTGGAGGGAGAAGGATCACATTTGAGTCAAACGGAAAGCTCTGGAGAAGGAGGACGCGCGCAAGAGGACGGCGATGAGGAGCAGTGGGACTTGGATGACGCGCAGGATGACCTCCTTTCACGGGAACCTGTTCATCCAAACAAACGTCCCTTTGCTCGTGATCCCAAGAAAACGGTCCAGTACTTCATCGATGATTATCCGCTCCCGCAGGAGATACAGTCACCGGGAAGATTGGCTTTTCCAGTGGTCTTGCCTCAACGCAGACCTAAAGACCGGACTCGTGGCTTCATCAGAGCATATGCGCCAGAGTTGATGAATGCAGGAATTGACCAGGATATGTTTCTCGGCTTCTTGGAAACGTTCAATACCGCCACACAAGCTTCGCCGTGGATAAACGCTATCAACATGGCCGGTATTGCTTTGTTACCATTACACCTCGCCCCCGGAATTGGTCAAGCAGCCACCGTGGCGCTTTATCTGACCGTGGAGATAATGAAAAACATGCAAAGTCGAAAAAGGTTGACTCTCCCCCATCTGCTTTCTGCATTTCAGAAATTGTACTGACTCGGTGCCGTACACAGATACCACACGGTCATGGACCAGATGAATGAGCAATTCTTCCAGCCAAGGGGCCTCCATGCTATGGTTTTGACCTGGACACCCGAGACAGATGCTACAGAAGTAGGAATCAACTTCAACGAGACATTTCTCAAAAGTACAGCCCCTCCAGAAGGTATTGCCAAAGTTGTGCGAAACTTCAAGCCTTCCGTGGGTACCACAAATGGCGTTCCATTTACAGAAACGGCTCCTCTTGTTTTCCCTGCTCTCGATAAATTGGCCGATGATCAAACAGGAGCAGCCAGATCAAAGAGAGAGAAGATCAAAGGAGTGAAAAACTTTGCTAGCGAGTACTTCGATCGTCGCGCGCAGGCCAAGCATGTATGTTGTCATGCACAAAAACCAAGAACTGTCACTTGCTAACTATATCCTGGAGGCTCTTGAAACCCCTGATAGTCAATTAGCCGTTGGACCTAAGCCTACTTTCACATCGTGCTACTCCGACCCCAGTAACCCTACAAACAGTGGTGACCTCCTCGCACTCGTCACTGCTGGGAAGCTGAGTATGCCAGTGAGAGGCGGTTTCGGCGGGCTAGGTGGTGGAGGGGGTCTGGATGGCCGTGCCATGATGAGATCTCACAGCCCCTTAAATGACAGATTGGCAATGTCTTACGGAGGACCAAGAGGTCGCATGGGGATGATAGGTGGTAGTATGGGCCAGCAACAGACGATGGATCGGCCGAGTCAAGGCGAAATTGGTTATAACCAACACTATGCCAGCCAGACAACCATGAACCAGATGGATAATCAGAGGACGGCAAATGGTCCCGGAATAGGAGGAACTCAAATTGGATTTGGGGGAGCCAACTTGATAGTCAACGGTGTGAAGCGTGTTCTTCGCCATGTACGGCCCTTTTGCTTTCCTCATTATGCTTCCAAGATACTGACCTATCGACCAGCATGTTCTTTATCTCCTTATCGTCAACCTACCAACCGAAGAGGAAATGGAAAATGCGGCACCATTCATGGAGCAGACATACTCTGGGCAGCAGAGTGCTTAGCCGGGATCTGGTTTTTCTTCCTATGGCTTTTTGAGGCTATGTCTTAAAAACAATCGACACTAGCAGGCTTAACTGACGAAAAGGTCCACTTAACGTAACCGGTAAGCGAGCCGCCTATATAAGTGAGCCGCTCACCCAGCCACTTTTTCGTGTCCACACGCGTTCTTCTATCTTTAACCAAGCGTAAAATTCCGAGGATACCCAGGCCACTGGTGGCGCGAGTAACATAGGATGCCATGTTACGAGTCGTAAGTAAAGGCTAGAAAATCACCAAGCTGAAAGGCCATTTGTCACGTATCAAAATCCGTATAGACTTATTTTCAGAGTATCCCAGACGGAAACGATGTATACCGCAAGATAAATATGTGGTAAATAGTATATATATCCAAATGGATATGATCTATGCATGGACGATCGTGTCACTTTTCACATCTCCAACGACTGTAGAGACGAGGTAGTTGTGCTTGAAACTTTAATTCTGAATTCACTCAAGGCCTCGTTACAAGCTAAGAAGCTACTATTGTATTCTAATTAATTCGGAGATTGATGATAACTCTATTATTGGGATATTGACTACTTAATTTTTTGAAGCTCCATAGACAGTCCACTTGCCTAAAACGTCAAAATATATAGTTCCCAAGAGATCATTGAAATTACCTTAAAAACGCGATTTAAGCAGTTAAAAGCCCGCATTTGATATTATCCAGCTTCTTACAAACCATATAAAGCACTACCACCTCCATGTATATAGCATGTTGATCCGAAATCGCGGCGAGCTGTATTTCTTAACCTGGATGATTAGAAGCGCTTTCGGGTGGCCTGATTTATGGCTGATGAGTCATACAAGATCCCGACGAACATCTCAGTTGGTTGTGTAGTGTAATGGTCATCACTGCGGATTCTGATTCCGCCGATCCCGGTTCGATCCCGGGCACGACCTTTGAATATTCCTTTATTTTTTCATTTTCCCTCTTGTTCTGATTTTTTCTTGTTTGTAACAGTTCAAATAACGAAAGCTCTCAAACGGTCAGAGATCTGACCTGCTTGTTAAGTTTAGCGCACCGATTGGTTGAAAGCCAGCTACAGCAGAATATCGCGATTATGTTATGATGGTGCAAGATTTTAGAACACGGTAATCTATTGACAGTTCTATGAGATCTATTCTTATCTCTTGTCTAACCAAAGCCGAATGCACGTAAAAACATCAATATAAAGAATACACATGATCGGGAATCAGAAATGAAGACATAAAGCTTTACAGCTTGCTCTTGGGCGCCTCGTTCTTGAGAATCGCCGCGTTCCAGGGATAGGGGTCGAACACCAGGTCGTTGACAGGGTTCTCCTGGCTGGCCCGGCGGAACAAGTCCTCGTAGACCTTGCCGTCGGAGCGTCCCAGACTGCTGTCCAGCTGCCAGTCGGGAATGGCCCAGGCGTCCACCAAGCTGATGGCGTGCGGGCGGATCTCATCGAGGAGCTTCATCACGGCTGTGGTGCGGGTCAGAGTGATCTGGCGCACGGTGACGGCACCTGATGAGAAGAACTCGGCGGCTTCGCGCTCGAGCGTGTGCAGGGCGTACAGGCGGAAGAGAGCGTGCATGAGGGTCTTGGTCTCGGGGTCCAAGGCCTGGGCGAGCTCAGGGGAGGAGACGGCCTCGTAGAAGTTGCGGACCACGAGATACTGGGAGTGGGCGGTGGAAAGACGCCAGAAGTCAACCAGCAGGCTGTTCCATGAGCGCTTTTCGGCATCACGGTGCTTCAGCGCCTCGAAGGTCAGGTGGGCTGTCCGCCAGGCGAAGGCTTCCACAATGTCCTTGTCCTCTTCGAGCACATCAAAGGAAGCACCCTTGTCGCGGCGGTCGAGGTAAGTCTTGAGGATGCGGGAGGTATCGTTGTCAGCAGCCTTGCCAGAAAGGACGGCACGAGCGGACTTGAGCAGGTAGCGTGCGACCTGCTGGGTCAACATGTAGTTGTCACCCTCCCAAGTGAGAGTGGGCAGGTAGTCAGCGTAGTAAGATCCAATACCGCTGTAGCTGCTGTAGCCGTGGCCACCGCATGCACGACGGCAGACCTCGAGACCTTCACCGGCAGTGGTACTAGCAAGAGCCTTGAGACCGCAAGAGGTGGCGTGAAGGTCCGCCAGCAGGTCGGCACCAGCCCGAAGCTCCTCGGGGCCGGGGCCACGCGAGTTCTGGCCAGGCGAAGCAGCAGCCTTCATACGGCTCTGGTTCTCCTGGTACAATTTCATCATACCGCGACCGGTGAAGTGCAGGGCGTACATAGAAGCCAGAAGGGGGAGCAGGCGGACCTGCACCATCTTGTAGTTCAGCACCTGGTTCTCACCAGCGCTGGGCTCCGCATCACGGTCCTGGAACTGTCTCCGGACGGCGGCGTACCGAGTAGCAATGGTCACACCGCGGGCCAATACACCACCGGATTGCAGAACGATGTTCGAGCGCACCCATGTCAAGGTACCGTAGACCAAGGAGGGGAGAGCGGGGCGGATGTACTTGCCGGTCTCCTTCTCAATGCGGGAGAAGCGGGCCAGCATATTAATGTGGGGAATCTTGACATTGTTGAACAGCAAGAAACCGTTGTCCATGGTGTTGTAGCCGAACTTGGGACCAATATCACCCACGTAGACATTCTCCAAGGGCTGATGGGTCTTGAGGTCGCGGACCTGCACGACGAAGGGGTGGGGGCCGAAGTTCTTGCCGCCGATAAACAGCTGAGCCATGACCACGGCGTGGTTGGCAGTGCGACCAAGAGAACCAATCCACCACTTGGAGGCGGTCAATGTGGGAGAGTTGATGGTGAAGGTCTGGTCCTCCTGGTTCCAGATGGCGGTGGTCTCGAGACCGCGGACATTGGAACCGTGGCCCAATTCGGTCTGGGCGTAGCAACCGATGATCTCGTATTTCGCGGCACGCTCAAGGAAGAGCTTGTGTTGTTCGGGAGAGCCTTGTTCCCGGAGGGTCACCTAAAAGATAAGCCGGTTAGACGCGGAACTCTGGGGGGAAAAGCTATTGTCAATGTACGTACCAGGAACATGCTTGCGTGCAATCCGTAAGGGGTAGGCTCGCCAATAAGCTCATTGGCAGCATGAAGCTCCTCCATGGACCACTGGTTCTCCTCGGCCAGCTGTTGCAGGCGCTTGGCCTTGGCCAGAGAGCGCTGCAGCCGCTCAACGCGACCGAGAGTGTGGTTCTGGGACTTGTCAAAGACCTTCTCGGGCTCGAGGAGGCTGAGCATCTTCTGCTGTCGGTCCAGAGCCTCCTTGGTGTGGAGCAACTCGGACAGCTTGTCGATATTAATGTTAGACTGCGCACGCTCTTGGGCGAGCAGTTCGGAACCCTGCGGGCCCGAGGGCTTGAGGGCCTTGACCCAGTCAGGAGGAGGAGAAGGCATGATGGAGAGCGGATAGGGAGAGGGATGGAGAAGGAATGAACGTGGGGAGGAGATTATAATAATACTCTGGGGTCCCCGGTGACGATTCTCCAGGCCTCGGGCCAAATCAGCCGCCGAAAATGGAAAGAGCCGAGGCCCAATTGCGCCCCAGATCGGGAAAGTGCGACTGGCCGAAAACTGCCGAGTTCGCTATGTTGACATTGTCGGTATGCTAGCAATACATAAACCAGACATGTATTCCCGCCTGAACCCCCGCATCTGCGTCGGCGTTTCTACGACGTGTTCGGGAATTTGGTGTCGGATGGGCGAGTCCCGAAGTCAGCCAACACCGATGTCGGGCTAAGTGCGCGCACTCCCAGAGATCGTCACCCCGGCAGTGGTGGCGATCGGCGGCTTTCTGCCTTGCGGCAACTCCCGGCCACTTTTGTCCTGCTGGACTTGCCTTTTCATTTCGGGGACAGGTGACCTCGGTATACATTCCTAGGGTGGCCGTCGTGACTACCCTTCATACCGCGTGACTATTTATGCCCGGCCATCCTGTACATAACCCTGTCTTGTCCCTCCGATGGTCGGGAAACGCCGTCACGCCTACGGAAACCAACAACACTCACAACTGACAAAGCCATGACATCTATGAACATTAATATTGATCCCCGGTTTACTCCCGTATACTCCGTTCTATGTCCTGACACGTGAAATTGGAGGACGCGTCAAAAGAAATCCAGAATCATCGGGGCGCGGTTCGGGAGTTTAAATGCAATTCGGATCAGATAAGAAGATCGGTCCCGATTTTCACATGTCAGATGCGTCTCTTCGCGCTTGTGAAAAGGCACGAGCTGCCACTTCGTTGATGGCAAGCTCGGCCTACTCGTTCCGTCGCGCCTTCGACACCCGCGGTAATCCCAGCCACGCGAGGAAGATGGCTCCGGACAGAGCGATGATGAACGGCTGCAACACTTCGACTCCCTTGGCCTGTGCCAGCGCTCCCACGGCGAAGGGCAGAATGGCCGCTCCGCTGCCTCCAAATGCAGCGGTGAATCCGATCGAACTCACATGGAGGTGTCGTGGGAGGAGTTTCGTGATCATCACTACTGCGCCCGGGAAGAGTGGACCCAGGAAGAAGCCCTGCAGTGAAACTGCCACGGCGGACGCATAGAAGTGAGGCACGAGCCACAGGACCAGACCGAATGCCATAGAAAGCACAATATACACCTGCAGCCGTGGATCTTCAGCTCTGTCTTCGAGGTGCCTGGGAGAGTCTTACCGCAATCGCCATCTTTTCGCCCACTCGCGGAGTCAAAAACCCTAAAACTACTCGGCCGACAGTGATACCCAGCCAGAATCCAGTGGCTGTCATACCACTAGCAAATGGAGCTCCGTGTCGGACACGGATCATATAGGTGACAATCCATCCACCAAGTGCGACCTCCACTCCCACATAACCCAGCAGGAACAGAGCACATAACCAAGTAACCCGAGCCGACGGTCGCTTGAACAACGCACTTTTGAGGCCACCCTTTTTATTATCTCCGATCGCATGAGAATTGGCTGCACGGAACACCGCGCCCGTAGATTCCCAGAAGCATGCACCGCAGGTCGCAAGCTCGACAACTGCAAATCCCACCTAATGAAACCACTGATTAGGTGACCATCTGAGCAGGAAGGGGAAGCCTCACCATGACATAATAAAAAAAGTGCCAGGGCAGATGGGCTCTGGCGATCATCGACGTCGCAATCAACGGACTCAGGACGGCACCTACGCCATATACACCGTGGAGAAGACCCAGCAGCTCATTGGCATTAGCCATGTTACCGATCCATGCATTCCACGCAGCATCCTCTAGGCCATTTCCAAAGCCGGCAAATATGAAGGAGACCACGAGTACTGGGTACGGTGGATGCGTGCAGTTCACGATGTATGCGATCAGATGGCACCCTGGTCCAATTAATGCCACACCACGCTGTCCCAGACTGGAGTGGATGCGGTGGTTGAGAAATGCTGCAAGAGTATAGCCCACCAGAGGTGATAAAAATACCAGTGACACAATCGTGTATGAGAGGTTATAGTATGTTTCGAGCTGTACGGTTGTGAGCTTGACACCCGGCACCAAAATGAGATAGAACCTACATATGGAATTAAAGCCTATTATCCAGTAGGACTTTGTATAAGCATGTCCGGGTTCGCCATCTTGTGAACACTTACACCGTACGCCGCATCGTTCGCTCCCATCACCAAGAAACTCCAAAAGGTCGAGAAAGAGCGATAGATGTTGATACGAGGTTGATTCCACTTTTCTAACGCTCGAAAGCTATCCGAGTCACCACATAGGGACTCTGCCGCTGAAACCTCACGAGGAAGAACCTCGAGCGTAATGTTCGTCTCGTGCGCTGTTTGTTGTGGCTGTTCCTGAACTACACAGGTGGACGCCATGGTGAGCGCCTTCTAGCGATCAGAACGGGGGTAAGACTTCCGAGGACAACATGCAACAGAAGAGACTGCAGTCTCGCTTTGACACCTGACCCAGGCCGTTCGACTTGGTCAAGGCCCACCGCCACGTCCATGCGGAGATCCTTGGCGTCGGAGGGTTTCCCGCGTTTCCCGATCCGGCAGAACTTCGGCGTGGGGTTGTCTCTCGACACGGGGGCATCACGTGCTGGCGCGGCGTTTAAGCGAAATCCATAGTATAGCGAATCAAATACTTGGACTGCCATTAGTTGTCTGGAGCTTTCTAGACGGAATCAAATCTGTCTCGCTGTATACATCGACGAAGGAGTGCACTCGATACGGAGAGGCGGAGCGAAGTATATCTGTTTGAGACTCCTAAGCCCTGTGCTCAATACCATCTAAGGTTCAGTACCCATCGAGTCCGCACCAGAATGCAGCTGTTTTCTTAATCAAGACATTCGTAGGGCTCGATGCACATCGTAGCCATTTAAGTGCCAGTATATCTGTTCTCAACACCCAAATGAATCCCAGCTTGGACTTTCTCTTTGCATCCCGGACATTACACTAATTATCCACCAATCAAATCCCCAGTCCCCAGAAAATCACGATTCCTCCACATATAACCCCTTACATGATCCGATCTGAATCTGATAATGTATCACCAGTCTTGACAAAACCATGAGTTTCTCCAATCCCATCATCCCCGGCTTCAACCCAGACCCCTCCATCGTCCGCGTTGACCACGACTTCTTCCTCGTGACCTCGACATTTGAATACTTCCCCGGTGCCCCGATCTATCATAGCCGTGATCTCATTCAGTGGACTTTGATCGGCCATGCGCTGACCAGACCTACTCAGCTTCAAATTCATACACCGGAACCCGGGGGTGGCGTGTGGGCCACGACCATCAGGTATCACCGTGGTGTGTTTTATATCGTTGCTGCTAGTTTTCAGCGATATCGACCTCAGCAAGATGATCGGGTCTGGCCGCAGGGGTTCTATGTAAAGACCAGTAATATCTGGGATGATAGTACGTGGTCGGATCCTGTTTATTTTGATCAAGTTGGGTTTGATCAGGATGTAAGTTGAGTCCCACTGCGCAGTAAGGAAAGACACCTTGGGCTGACATGGAAATAGCTCTTCTGGGATGACGATGGGGTGGTCTATCTGTCGTCTACTTATCGCAAGCTTCAACCTACACCCGGTGCCAAGCTCAAAGACTTTGCCATTCACATCTGCACCGTGGATCTGGACACCGGACGCTCTACATCAGAACCCAAGTTGATTCGTGAATCAACTTCCGGTGTTGCGGAGGGCTCTCACATCTTCAAGCGCGGTCATTACTGGTACTTGTTCACGGCAGAGGGCGGCACCGAGAGTGGACATAGCGAATGGGTCTGTCGCAGCGAGAGCGGACCTTTAGGGCCCTGGGAAGTTGGGCCAAGTAATCCCCTCTGGCGTAATGGTGTGGAAGATGAGGTGCAAAACACCGGCCACGCCGATCTGGTTGAAGATGTCAACGGCCAGTGGTGGGCAGTGCTGTTGGGCGTACGACCTATGCGACGAGGCGAAGAATGGGAAGAATCCGTGCTAGGTTAGTGATTCAGCCTTCAGTGATCAATCTAACTCTGTTAGGGCGTGAAACCTTCCTCGTTGCAGTCGAGTGGGTCAACAACTGGCCCGTGTTCAATGGGAGCGAGAAGATCACGATCCAGTCTGTCGGACCCGGTCTCTACCAACACACAGTTCCCGTCCTCTGGAGGGACGATTTCGTCTGCCCCAAACTCCAGCTGGGGTGGTACCGGAAGAGTAAGATGTAAGACGACGTACTCGAATCCGGGCTAATCAATATAGATACGCCCTTCACGGTGGACTACTCGCTCACTGAGCGCCCCAACCATCTCCGTCTGTATGGTGGACCTTACAATCTTTCAGCTCCCGCTTGTCCCACTCTGTTTCTGCGTAAACAGGCTCATCGATTTTGCACTTGGGAGACGGAGTTGACCTTTGAGCCGACTTCTGAATACACGGAAGCGGGGACGGCCTGCTGGTGGACCTATTTTACGTATAGCAGTATCGGCATTCGGAAACGAGGCGACCATAAAATCCTTCGCTTTCGGCCATCGGAGGGTAATGTAGTGGAGAGGCCTTTGGGCTCATCGACCGTTGTGCTCGTGGTGGAATGCGGCAACGAGTATCGCTTTGGATACCGTGAATCGACAGACCACATCGAATGGATTGGCAGCGTGTCTAATCAAGCCGCAACTAAGGCACCACCAGTGGGTGCCCCGTTTACAGGTAAAGTATCACCGGGAAAAAAGTCAAAGAAAGTATACTAACAAAGAACTAGGAATGATGCTGGGGCTCTATGCATTTGGGGAACGTCAACGGTGTTTGAGTCCCGCCGACTTTTCATATGCACAATTTAGATAGAAATTTGAGGGAGTATGAGCTACACTGTAACGCAAATTGACCACCCAAAAAGACCTTGAAAACAATTCGAATTCGCAAGTACTTACCCTTGGCGGGAATTTACATCTGGCTCCTCTGCGTCAGCCCTAGGTATTTTTGACCTTGCAGTAAATTCCATGGTCTGGTTCTGATTGGACCAGGAAATCCTCGATGTTGGTACTGGAACTGGAATACGGGCTATAAATGTTAAACGGAACTGAATTCCATCATTGCTGCTTCCAGATATGATCTTTGGATTACTCTGAGCCTGTAAATCTCGGTGTTGACTTATGGGGAGTGATGCCACACCTGGACATGATCAGCTGCATTGCGACACAAAGGAAATATCATTTTCTAGATGCTGCCGTATAGATAACCAGATCTTGTCCAGACCCATGATGCATCCGTACGGTAACTGATAAAACATGACAATACGGAACCGGATCTCTTCGTAACTCCGTTCTTCTCCCTGCCAAGGCACAGCCGTAATTGGTGGAGCCCATGATTGGGCCCGCATAAAGAGGAACTCGCCTCCTATCCTCTTCATCTTGCTGACACTACACCTAGTGACGTGACACCTAGCGCCGACAGTCATGGCCACCACTCCACAATCAGAGACTGTGCAGTCGATCGCTGCACCGTCTGAGCCCGTTGACGATTGGGCGGGCCTTACCGACCCGGCTGAGCGGCGAAGACGCCAGAATCGGATTAATCAGCGGGCCCACCGTATGTGTTTCGATATCACTGCGTGAATTGATGCTGATGGTTTGCTAGGACGACGTCTGCGGCAGGCGAATAAGGACGTTCATCCTAAGAGTGTGGTCGCTTCTCCGTCCACTGCGGTAGTGCGATCTGGGAACAGTTCCTTGGAAGGTGTTTCTGAAAGCTCGCCGGCAGAAATAAAGGGCAATGGCTGTCTTCAACCTGGATTTGTGCGCATGTTATTCCATCGGTTTGCCGAGACGGCGTACCAACGCTACATGCTCGGAGATCCTACCTCCGACCACCTCTTGACGCTGACAAGAGTCAACGTCTTCCGAGCATGTGGAAACAATTTGAAAAGTATCGGATTCAACATGGATGATATGACCGACGACGCGATATCGCCTTTCAGCCTCGCCTCAAGCCCAGAAGAGTTATTATCGATTGATAATACCCAGATGCCCCTCAGCCTCCGACCGACCAAGATCCAAAGAACAGTACCCCATCATCCTTGGCTCGACTTCTTCCCTTTACCGAAAATGCGCGACAATCTGATCGAGGCGGGCGATGATTGGGACGATGAACAGCTCTGCCACGATATCATGGGCTTCTGGGATTCTCCGACAGATGGTCAGGCTGGGCTGCTGGTCTGGGGAGAGCCTTGGGATGTGAAGAATTGGGAGCTCACAGAAGCATTTCTCAAGAAATGGCAATGGGTGGTGAGGGGATGTCCCGAGCTGATGAATTCCACCAATGCTTGGCGAGCGAAACGTGGTGAAAAATTGATATTCCGCTACATCTAGTCGAATGAATTATAAATGAATGATAATGACTCTTTAAAAAGGTGCGGTACGTCTTATTCACTCTTTTTTTACACTTACCGGAGATCCCCTCCCTCATATAGGCCAATCATATGAGGGAGGGCCACCATTGAGGAACTTAACCTCAGGCCGAGGCTGTACGGTACTGTATAGACAGTCGTAATGTACGCCGTCTTGAAAAGATAGCTGCCTAGCCGAAAGAAGGGACTAACTTGGTGTTGACTAGAAGTAGATCCTCTCGAAATAGTATCAAATTAAACCGAAATCCTTTCTCTCCCTCACCAGATCGCCGATGCTAATCGAGTCAAATCTGAAAATTAAAAAATTCCGAAAACCGTCCAATCGCTCAAAGAACATGCTCCTTCTCCTCCTCCTTGGGAATCCTCACCCAGATCAAAGTAATAAGGGCCGCAATGATCTCCGCAGCCAGCCCAAACCACCAGATCGCCCGCAGACCCTCCAATCCAATATCTCCCGAAGGCGTCTTATCCACCTTGTTTCCAATCGCATCTGCTACCGACGTCATGACCGCCGTGCTTAGGTTCTGCACCGTCACCAGAAGACTACCTGCACTTCCCTGGTATGATCGCCGAACGTTGCTGGTAATGTAGATCGATGCGGCTGCGAATGAGAGATCCGGTCCGAAGGTGACGAGCGCAACGCCGGGCAAGGATAGCGCCCAGTAGGAGGTTCCCGACGTCTGGGGCAGGAAGAAGGCTGGGCCGAGCGCGAAGGCGAGCATGGCCGTAAGATATATGTAATGCCCCGGGACCACGTGCAGGGTCTTGCTCACGACCCATGTTGCTAACACGCCGACGATTGCGTTCGGGAGTAGGTAGATGGCCACTGTAATCGGTGCGGTATGTTGGATTCGAAGCCAGAATTGGACGGCGTAGAACTGCCAGGCTCCAGAGAATGCACCGAATCCCAAGAAGTATGCGATCATCAGCGGTGTAAATCCTTTCGTCTCCCATAGCCGGTTCGGAATTAGTGGGCGCTGGACCCAGCGCTCGACGAAAAAGAATGCCACGATCAGCAGGATGCCAATTATCACTAACGAGTAGGTGTATGGTGACCACTCTGCAACAGATCCCTGCGTAAGACCGAATAGCAGGCAGACGCAGCCGGAAACTGCAAGCGATGCTCCGAGGAAGTCGAACTGTCGGATCGTTGGTGCTTCCGTGCCGGCGATGTCAGCGACAGGCCGCAGTGGAGGAATAGTGATCCAGGCAGCGACTAAACACAGGCCCGAGAGAATTGCATTCGTTCCAAAAATCCAATAGAGGTGGGCCTTCAGAGCACCGCCCTGAATGGCACCTAACCAGAAGCCGAAGGGCGATGTGGCTGCCATGGCAGAGAATACCTGGTTCTTTCGACGCCCTGGATTGTATACGCGACCCAGAATACTCATTGATCCAGAAACGAGGACCCCTACAGACAGCCCTTGCATGGCGCGTACAATATAGAAGAGAATTGCCATGCTAGGCTTGACGGAGAACACGCCGACGACGTTCCAAATCGTCATCCAAGCAAAGGCGCCGACCATCAACATCCGCGGGGGCGTCAAGTCGCTGAGTGAGCCCGAAATCACCACGGAAAGACTCAACGGAAGAGTATAAGCTCCCAGGAGCCAAGGAAGTTCACTGTTGGTGATATCCAATGCTCTCTTCAACTCCTCTTGATTGACCGTGATGTCACCAAGGAGGAACGCGAACATAAGAAGACCGGCAGAGCACACAAACACAAAGATAACCTCCGCCGTGAAACTGCCAATTTCTGGAGGAACGCCTTGGTACTTGGTCCGGGTTGGAGAACCACCTGCCTCTTCCGCAAGATCGGGCATTCGTTCTGGGGAGGGATGGCGAATCGACCACCGCGTCGTACTCCGCTCACTGCGTCGAGAAGGAACTGCCCCGAGTTCCATATAACTTTCTGGGCGTTGCTCAACCACGGACATGGTACTAGCCAGGTTTTCCAATGCTTCACCCATGTGGGAATCTCGGCGAGGTCTTGTTGTGGGAATTTTGTGTAGTTCGGTGACATCCTGGGACTCTTGTGGATGGGCTGCATCTTCCGAAGCTCTTCTGATACTATCCAGTGTTGTCGCTGGTGATAGGGTCGAATTCGCAGAGGATCCAACGTCAGCGACGTGAATCTGCGCGCCAGGTTTGGCGCTGGCGTCGTCGTCCACGGGTGGTGCCATAGTTCCGGACACCGTCACGACGATGTTTTTATGTCATTTATTCAATTTAAAGGTCCCGAGGAGTATAGTAAATCTGCAGGTCAGAAAGTGAAAGAGAGCCCACTCTCAATCGAAAAGAAAAAGAAACATATTTAAAGAGCTTCGCTGCCCCGCGATCCTCAAAACGGTTAAATAGCTAAGGTGGAGACTGGCACGTCATGTTCTGAGAAGAGATTTATCAACGGAATTCAGTATCCGGGGTTCTCCAGAGCTGTGACTCATCTGTCAATTCGTATATAGTAATCTTTATCCATTCAGGCTATTTCCTGCATAAGATTTTTCATTCTACATATGCACCTCCTTATCAGTGACGAATCTAGATCCACTCGAACTGGTCCCCTAGGTATTGATGGGCCCGAGCGTCTCCAGATCGTGCATGTCCTTCGAAATTCTCTGCTCTAGCTGCCCTGCCACATAGTCGACCGAGTTCCCCACTTTCTTGCGGTGAGGTGACCTCCTGGTAGGTGATTGTCTTTAAGAACTTGCCCACCCATAGTCCGCCCGTATACCTAGCTGCTCCGCGAGTCGGGAGGACGTGGTTGGTTCCGATACATTTGTCGCCGTATGAGACGCAAGTCTTTTCGCCTAGGAATAGAGCTCCGTAGTTGGACATCTTTTCCAATGCTTCGCGTGGCTTTTGTGTGAGGATCTGCACATGCTCGTAGGCATAGTCGTCTGCGAGTTTGTATGCCTCGTCCAGGTTATCCACTACATTCACCTCTCCCAAACGGTCCCAGGAAACTCCAGCAACGTCGGCCGTGGGTAGAATCTTCAGCAATCGGTTGACCTCGTCGATCGTCTTTTCGCCCACACTTTGAGAGTTCGTGATTAGGACTGCAGGAGAGTCGTAGCCGTGTTCGGCCTGAGACAGGAGATCCGTAGCGACAGTGAATGGATCGGCATGCTCATCTGCAACGATCAGGATCTCCGTCGGCCCAGCTGGCAGATCGATGCCGATGTCTTCTCCGAACAGCTGGCGCTTGGCTTCGGCGACAAAGGCATTTCCAGGCCCGGCAATGAAATCTACCTTCTTCATCGTCTCCGTACCCACAGCCATGGCTGCAATGGCCTGCACACCACCTAGAATATAGATGTCGTCTGCACCGGCGTAGTGCATTGCGGCAACGGTGTTCGCCGGGATCGTTCCGGCAATGGGAGGCGTGCACGCGGTGACGTGAGGGACTCCTGCGCATTTGGCCGTGAGAATCGTCATATGACTCGAGGCCAGGAGAGGATAGCGACCGCCGGGAATGTATCTGTGATTGAATGAGTATCAACGCTGCCCGACCCAAGCTCGGAGAACTCACGCGCCAACCGAGCTGATCGGAATGTTCTTCTGGCCCAAATGCACACCAGGACGAATCTCCATTTCGAAATTCTTAAGCGACGCCTTCTGAGCTAAGGCGAAGGTTCGAACATTCTCTTGCACTTGCTTGATATCATCGAGGATCTGCTGTGGAACGGAGGCGATGATTTTCCCGATATCATCCTGAGAGAGTCTGAAGCTTGTAGGACTCCATTTGTCGAACTTTTCCGAGTAAGCTCTCACTGACTGATCGCCCTTGGCTCGAATGTCACCGATGACACCGCGCACAATTGCAGGTGTATCGGTTACAGGTGCGGGGCCTGCGCTTGCAGGATTCCGTTGCTTCAATTTGAAGACCATTATTGTAGAATGGTTGGTAGGTAGTTTGGGAGCTATGAAACAATTCTCTTGATATTTGCGAATCCAAAGCAGTACTCGTTCGCGTTATATAAGAACCTTGAACGGACACACCATTGACTACGAAGCTCTCCAAGGCTCCTTTGAAATCGGCGTCGGAGCCGAGTCCGATGTCAATACACCCCGCATGAGGGTGCGAGTGCAGCGCGTGAGCTCAACGAGTCTCGGAATGTGGGGGAATGTCGGTGGTTCATCGACTATTTTGCGTAAAGCCTCATAACTATGGATTCCGGTAACTGCCGATGAAATTACCTTTCTCTTGTCTCTTTTCTCCTTTCCCGTCGCTGATAATACTGTAGGCCTCAAACAGCGAAGCTGCATTGCCTGGAGCCCCGCACAGACAGCTCCACCCGTCCCGTCATGTTTCAACAACCGAGGTCCAACTATAGCACGACTCTTTGAACTGTCCTACAATGTACAAGTAAGGATGCAGACTATATCAGACCCCGGTACCTTCGTTGTCCACTACCCCAACTTGCTTGCGCGCATTTCCACTCATGCTACAGGTTGTCGATCCAGGGACATGATATTCCACATATTAAGTCTGTATAGCTTGTTTTCAAACAACGCATAAATTGGAGTTACGGCGAGCGTTAGCCGTAGAAAGTCTTGAAAAAATCGAATCCTCGATGTATTTTTCTCAGTTCTCGTTATCTCTGAAAACCTTGTCGGAACATCTGGGTTCAACTGCACGGGAGACGTGTGCGGCGGTAGTAGTGCAACAGGTGGCTGTTAAGTCATGGGGTCGCTTGTATTTGTCCAGTATCTACAACGTCCTGCGATATTAAAGCAATTCTGGGTCCTCCAAAAGACTAGGAAATGGTAGAGTCGATGGAATTCAGCGTGTCTGTCGTATTGAGTCGCGTTTTACTATACGCAAATTGCCGATGCTTCACGGCCCCCCGCTATCCACACAATGTCCCAGATCCCACATCAGCTGAGCAAGACTCTGAACCAGCGGCGGTGTTCTCTCAGAATTATCAGGCCGGAGTACTCCCTGAACAACTTTCATTGTCATGCCAGGGTCTGCAAGGAAAGTCGGTCCATCTGGCCCTTGTAGTGCAGGAAGACCGCAGCCCAGTGTCACAAATTTGGAGACATCCGCCACCTCATCTGCATCAAGAAATACAGTTGGTCCCTGACCCGAAAGCGAAGCAGAACTTCCTGTAAGCTGGGCGTTCTTGGCTTTAGATACGACTCCGTACGACCAAAATGCCAGGCTTGCGTAATAGACTCCGATCGCCAAGAACCCTGTCAATGAGCCGGGAGCCATTTGTCGAGCGGCACGCACGACTTGGCCTGCGTGCCAAATAGCCTGCCTCGAATCGGGGCTTGTGATCCATTCAAGGGCGGAGTGATAGACTCGACGGGCTCCTTGTTTATCCTCCTTGCCGGCGAATAGCTGCAGTTCCTCGAGGGACATGTGAAGCAGCATGGAGACGACCTCACACACTAATGTTATCTCGGGTCCGCATTGGACTCGTAGTTCTGAGCATACCATTCGGAAATGCTTGAGTGCCTGGTCGAGTTCTTGTTGACGGGAGTTTGTTACCAGAGCATGCCAATGTTTGGAACTGCTGGTTGAGATGAATTTCAGCCGGTGGTATTCGTTAATTAGAGCGGATAGCCCGTGAAGGAGGACTAGAGCCGCTAGTTGGGTATCGATGCGGTCTTGGCATACTGATAGATGAGAGATGTCGCGGAGGAGGTCCGCGAGGGATGGGACGCGTTCTGGGGTAATTGCACAATAGAGTTCCTTCCATTCGGTGGCTGTCTTGGCTTCCCATAATTGACGTGCGGCCGGCAGTGGAAGTTCCAGGTCTGCATAAGATATCAAAGGGTTGACGTTGAGAGTAATCGATGTCTGGGAATCATGAAGAAATATATGGTAAACAAGCCTTGGGTTATATTAGCACAATCCAAATCAGTATATCTGTTGTAATTACTACCTTTTGAAAGACTCTTGTTCAATCCAGCCACGCCACTTGCGTTCAAGCACGTCTCCCGTATCTTCCACCGAAAGCACAATGGCAGTATAGACCGATCGTCGGAACCTTAAAGCTCGCCGAAGCATTGTTATCAAGGGTTGGGAAAAGCTCTCTGCGATCTCGGTCTTCCGTCGATTACCACTCCAAATCCCTATATCCAGATTCAAGGCATAGGTCTGTGAGGTTCGTAGATCTCGCGTGGTGCTGTTATCTCTTTCATACTATTGTGTGGTGAGTGGTTGGATCAATCGCAGGAGTACACTTTCACGAACCTTAATGGGCATATACAAGCGCACAATCTCAAGCAATGCATAGCCCAGCTTCCTGATAGTAGGGATAGGTGAGCGAACGGCACCAGCAGAAGCTAGTGCCGCAAGGATACTTGCGTGTTCGCTATTCGGACGAAAGGTCGGCCCATGGATGAAAGAATCCACTTCAAGGCTTTGGTATTCAAAATATTGCTGTATCAATCCATCCAAAAGGTCCGTACTCGGGAACGACTTCATAATTCGAGTCAAGTTGGCTTCGCGGCTGACCTCCAGAACTAGACCAAAGATGAGATCCCGGCTACTTGAAGAAAGCCGCTCGCTCAAGATCTGCCGGTCTGTGGCACTGGCTTCGGGGCTGTCAATGGCTTGTGGTACCGACAGATTCTCATGGTCATCAAATGCGCGGTCTTCATGAACGGGCTTCCATGCGGACAATGATGAGCGATGGTAAGCTTCGGCGCCAATTCCAATACCGCTATCAGCATCAAAGCAATCTTGCGGTTCATTTCCGTGGAGATCTGGAGGGAAGCGTCGGGAATTATACAGGTCTATCAGCCCAAAGTCGCCATCCGTCAAGTTAAAGTCGTAGGGAGGATTCTCCAATGCGCCGTAATGTGTGAATTCGGGGATCAGAATGGATGGGTCGAAAGGATCGTTGTATCGACTCAGAGAGGAAATCAGTGCGTCTGGAATGAAATTCGGGAAAAAGGTGCCGTCGACGCTGAAAATGGAACTTTCTTGATCGGTAGGTGACACTATCGGCTATTGTGAGTGCGGGTTAATCACGAAGATGGTAGAGTACAATCCTACCGCCGTATTCAATTGCCATCGGTTCGTTCCCGGCTGATAATTCCGGTGAAAGGACCGGGTTTTGCGCATGTCCACTCGGAGTCATCATGGTATTGTTGGCTGCTGGAATTTCGTCCATTGGCGTAGGCATGGGAGAGAAGGCGACCAAGGTGGTCAAGTCAACGGGTTGATTGATGGCACCGTGGTTGTAGATGGCACCGTGATTGTCGGGCATGCGCTGCAGCAGCTCTGGGGATGAGTCCTGCGCGACATCCTGCCAGTCGCAATGAAGATTTCGCTCGCGACATCGCCGACAAGGCTTCTCCTCGTCGCATTTTAGCTTCGAGGAGGCGCAAGTTTTACAAGCCTGCGAAACTCGACTTTGTTTTGCAACCAAGGAGCTTCTTTTGCGCTTACGGTTCTTGTCATAAGTATGCCCTGCGGCATGGCGCTTCAAGAGGTCACTAGGGAGTGTCAGTGGCGGAGAATCAACAGGCCAAGATACTGACGGGCGTGCAAATCCCTTGTCGCAAACATCACAAACGTAGGGCTTCTCACGGGTATGCGATCGAATATGGCGGATCAAATGGTCTGCCCGGTGATAGTGGCGTTTACAGAAGCCGCATTGGAAGTAGCCTCCATCCTTCTCTTTGAATTTAACGGGAGGCGAGGTGTTCAGCTGGCCGGGTGAATCACCGAACATGTTCAAGCATCCGGTGAACGGAGAGGGCACCTTAGGGGGAGTTGAGAAGGAAGAGTCACTTAAATTGAGGGGAAGTAGGGCCAGGCCAGAGAATCTGGGGAAGTCATCCGGGATCAAGCGGCCATCACGCAGAAACACTCGTGGCTAGTTGGGAAGTCGGCAGCTCACCGGGCTGACAATTTCAAGACGCTAAGCAGATGAAGACCCCTGGCTTCAGTGAAGATCATGCCTCAACTGCCGCTCAACCAGGGCCTAGCGCACACTAAAGCGGTGTAATAATGTTCTGGTGATCCCGAATCCCGAATGTGCGCGATGGCCGCTGTTGTACCCGCTCCACTGCGCGATTCCCCAGATTTACGAAGAACAGGGGCGGCATTGGGAGACGTGTGATTCGTCTGAACGGCCGCTAGCTTCCCTACTAGTGATGGATTGAATCAGTCCCGTGGGGCGAGGATTACGCATGCCAATTGAACGGGTTGTTGGCGGTCGGGATGTGGGGGACTCGACCCGAGGCTCCGTCGTGGATGTATTCCGCTCCAAGCGGAGGACTCATATATGGTAGTTATGAGGGACTGCATCGTCGTCAGGTTAATCTTACCTTGATATTGTGTCAAGATCATCGAGATGGGTAAGTCCCTTCGCCCCTTCGGACCCTTTCCCACTAACGATGATTAGGCCTCACACCGGTACACTTCTTCTCGCACGGCTCGACCATGATGCTGGGAGAAGAGTCCGAAAGTGCCGATTACTGGAAAAAGTGCGGAGATGAAGCCCTGGCGCGGAACATCAAGGGAGTGGTTATCATGGTGAGTGTTGTCTGTCCGTTTCCAAGGGTTGGAAACTCAGAGCTAACAACATGCAGGGTGCTCACTGGGACTGCATGGGCGATAGAATCGAATTAGCGACAAATCCGAACCCTGGAAAGAGCCCTGTGGCCTACGTGCACCCGGACAAGTACGTCAACTACAAGCTCATTCCCGACCTGGACACCGCGAACCGATGCATCGACATGCTGGCCCGCGAGGGGTTCAACGTTGGCGGTAATGAGACTTTTGATTGGATTCATGATGTCTACCTCATTCTCATTCGCATGTTCCCGGCATATTGTCCGCCTACGACCTTGGTCTCTGCAAATGCTCGCTACGATCCTCATTTTCATATGAAAATCGGCGCTACCTTGCGTCCGCTGCGCGAGGAGAACTATTTGTTCATTGGGACAGGAGGTGCCGTTCATAATCTATACCGGAATAGATGGGCTCCAATGCTGCGATTCCGCGATAACTTTGCCTTGGAGTCTCCACCGGAGGACTGGGCTATGGAGTTCCGTCAGGCTGTCGAGGACGTTATTACCAAGACATCCGGTCCACAGTTACGCCGTGCAATGACTCGGCTGATGAAGCATCCTCGCTTCCGGGATGCACATGCCACCGACGACCACTTCATGGCTGCTATTTTCGTGGCTGGCGCTGCGGGAGATGCAGAAGATGAGAACGCACCTGCGATGATGGGCGCTGAGAGTTGGGAGTTGACCAACATGTGTAATTCGCAATTCACCTTGGGCAGATGGCCAAAGGAGATTGCAGTGTAATTTGCTTTCTATTTTATTCAGACGTATCGTTTCTTGCGCAATATCATTCAGCCCCAGAACGAAACTAGCTCTTGGAAGCTCACAATAGCCTTCTCCAGGTCCGTCTCTGGATCAAACAGTACCGGAGTCAAGGTAGAGCAGATTCTGCGAAAGATACTCCGCACAGCTCGGCCTCCTAAAGAGTCAACCCGGAGCCGAGTTGGAAATGAGCTCGTATTCGAAGTCAAGAAATGAATAGGGAGAAGAACGGTGGAGTTTTATTACTCCCTCGTAGTCAAGTATAATGCCATAGGAAAATGTTCCATCAACAGATGTTCCTTGAATGCGTTCATTAAGCCACAGCCTATGCTATTAAGGTGCAACCACGGATCCGGTACGTATGAGGTGCGTATATACACAGACAGGCCTGATTCCAGCGAAAACGAGGCCAACAAGTAAGAAACAGAAAGAAACGGGAAGCAAAGCAAGAAACCCAAGGAGGATTATTTCGCCACGCCGATTAAATGCTGTATGGATGATCAACAAAATACCCCACAGGGGGGGATCTCGCAAGGAAGACTCGTCAAAGTCAAATCCCGTGCTCATGGCTCATCTCTTCGTGCAGAACAATTCGTAGGAACGCCGCCCACCGAACAAAAGAAAAAGGAAAAGAAAAAGAAAAAAAAAGAACACCGATTGGGATATTTCCAACTCCTGTCAAACCCCGAAATGAACAAACCGCAAATAAAGTAAACTTAGATGACAACCACATCACCCTCGGCATCTGCAGGGTCGGAGGCCATCATGTCTCCGTATTTACCCACCGCGATCATCATGGGATCATCTCCCAGATCGATTGCGCTGTCATCATTGTTAGGGGATTGAAACCCCGCTTCCGCAAGAGCCAGCTCCTTCTCGTCGGAGGCGTGTTTCACGTCGGATTCTTCATCGCCAGCTCGGCGATGAGTTCGGTTTGTATCGACTGAAGGGGTAGTGTTGGATTTTGCCTGACCATGGGCAACACCATCAACGTTGTGCTTGATATTGAAGTTCCCGAGACTCGGTTGTTCGGCACCGAAGGTCACACTTTGCAGCGAGTTAGCAGTGCTTCGCATGAAGCCGCCCTTCTCCGCCTGCCAGACCATCATCTCGTGAAAGAAGACCTTCGTCATCCACCAGGCACTGAAGCTGGCTGCTCCGCCCAGGGTGAGCCGGTGAAGGACACAGTCCCAGAGAGCGTCGACTTTCTCAACGATGCACTGGGAGCGGTGATGGGCGAAGACCGCCGGAAGGTTCAAGATGAATGACACCCACTTATCCGGGAAGTTGTAGTCTTCGCCCGAAGCGGTGTCAACGGGGAAGGGATGGGCATCCATATCGTCCGCAAGGTCCGGCTTGGCGAAGAAAGGAAGACCCGTTGAGGTATCGGCATCAGTCAATGGGGTGAGAAGGGCACGAACGTCGTGCTTGAGGATTTGTTCCGTGGCCTTTTCGGCGCAGGCCGGGATGTTGGCCTTGGAGATCATGTCCTTGGGATCAACAAGAGTCCTGAAGTCGTACCACATCTGGTTCCGGTTATCGGGGTGGCAGAGCCATGCAGCGGCGGCATTGGCTGCTTGGTTCACATCGAGCATGTGCTTCAGAAGATTGCAAAAGATGTGAGCGGGAAGAAGTCGTGCGATAGAGACATGGGAAGGCTGAGCCTTGAAAGTCTCGACGATGTGCGCGCAAAGCTTGTGAGAGATGGAGCTGAAGGCGTCAAGAACAACCTTGGGCACGACTTGCGTCGTGAGAGGAGCGACAAATGCGATCATCTTCTGGTACATCAACCAGTCGCATTCCTTGATCCACGGTGCCAGGTTGGGGTGCGTCAACAGTTTCTGGACCGGGACAGTCAGGGTACCGTGGAAGGCAGAGAAGTACTTGAGAAGGTTGCGTTCCTTGCAGAACCGGAAGCTGTCGATCACGGAAATGCAGTGAGACCGGTAGAGGGCGGCAAGCGCTTCGGCAACCTTGGGATCCGTGTTCACGGGCAAGTAACCGCGGATATCTGGGAGGACGAGAGCATCGTTGTCGACCGCGGGAACTTCATCGGTGGGGAATTGCAGCATTTGGTGGATCATCTTTCCAGCCTGCTGCCCGACATTGTCGGTGGTGATCATGGCCTCGGAGGCAGAGGGGGATTGACCCTGACAGCTGCACCCAGATGGCGAAGAATTGGCAGGATATCGGGGTGCGAAAGATGTGGTAGGGGATGGGAATACCGCAGTGTCGGCTGTGGGTGGAGGGACGCTGACGCTGAAGCGTCCGTCAGCGCTGCCCGGGGGAACCGATGGCGACTCATCGTACCTCCGTGAGCGCATCACACTAGCAGGCCTTTCCGGAACACCGGCAGGAACATGCGGATTAGGGGCCACCTGGGCATTAAGAGGAACAGGCTTCTGTTGCTTTTCCTCGATGACGGACAAATCGACATAGTGATACTTGGACTCGCCACGGACACCAAGGCGTCGAGTCTGTACATTAGGGAAGATGATACGGACGAGTTTACCAAACGACGCAGGATTGAGAACCGACACTCGCTCCGTTCCACACTTTTCGGCATAACAGCAGTACACCCGATCTCGTCGTACGGAACCATTACTCTTCCGGCAGTTTTCACGCAACCTAAACTCGAGTCAAAAGACTGGAAAGGGAAACAAATGGGTGATGACGAGCTTGACTTACCAGATCATGGCAAATACCTGCTTCACCTTTTCTGCCTTGCCACCGGCTCCTTCGTGCTTCATGACCTCGGCGGCCATTTGTTGCAAGCTGAACCCTTCGTATTGACGAAGCAGCTTCCGCAGTTCGTTGTCATTTGCGAGCGTTGAGCTGGAACCCCTCTTCTTCTTGGCACCTGGCTCAGACGCCTCTTGGTCCTCGATCATATGATCGGGAAGGTGATTTTCCATCCCACTGTCGTACATGGATTGATATTGCGGAACAGGAACAGGTGCACCGTTGGATGCCATATCCGGTGGCAATCCGTGATGGGAAAGGCTATGTCCGTGCATGGCGTGACCGGAAAACTCATCTGGACGCGAAGCCACGGAATGGGAGTCTCGCATGCCATGCTCCAACGACGCGGCATGCGGCTGGTGGGCGAGCTGATGTCCAAAACGCATGATCATGTCTTCCGGATTGTTCCCAAACATGGCCTGGCCCGCGCCGACCTGAGACGGTAAAAACTGTGGGAATCCGTCGAGATGCTGGTCTTGAGTCTGCTGGGTCGTGCTCGAATGGATGCTAGCCGTTGAACCTCGGGACCTAGGGCGACGACCGGCTCGCGAAATGGTTTCAGATCGTCCTCGCATGGGGTCTGCGGTGCCAGGGCGGCTGTGAGGACCCATATGTTGTGTGGTCTGCGACACGACGCTTCCTTGCGACGGGGCGCGTACTGTGGATGGAAATCATGAGCAAGGCTTCCCATGTGGAGAGCCGAAGGGGTTCTCACCTAATTCTGGAGGCATCCTAGTTTGTCTTCGGTCCAATCTGGGAAGTGGAGGAGGCCCGTCACCAGGGAGATGACCAGGACCTGCACAGGTCGTGTTATTTTTGCACGGTTGAACACTCGGCGACGAGGCACATTCACGTATCAAAGCCGCACAAAACCAACGGTCGTCAAAAACAATCAACAAGAAGCCAAACGAAAGTCGTCCCAAGTCCGCAGGGCTAGCGGTCGCCGCGTTGTGCAAGTCGAGTCCAGGAGGATAAACAGAGGAAGCCGTTCCTCAGACAACGTTGTTTGGTCGGGTCACGTGGCTGAGGTAAGCATTCCGCCCCAAACAAACAAAGGAAATATGTAAATACAACACTGTTATCGCCGCGTTGCAGGAGGAATTATTGTCGTTATCTCCTGGAGTAGCCGGCTTCCTTTGCACTATTTATTGGGATATTCGTGAGCGAAAGAGCCAAGAAGAGCCTGCCTGGTCGCGAGATACAGGTGTAGAAACCCGCGACGGTCGCTGTCTAAAAGGGACTCAATTGTTACGAAACGCAGGAAAATAGCGAAGTATCAAACGAGAACATTGTCCGGTTACTAAATCCTCTCCAATGGACTAACTAGGATTGGGATATTGCGTTGTCAATGTTGTTGATGGCCTCAGGCTGTACTTCACACCTCGCGAACTCCGACGTCATCAGAGAGACGACCGGGGAATCTTGGTTTCTGTAGGCCTTGTTCGCATCAAAAGATATGCAAAGGGGTTTTATGAACCCCGACCCGCTAGTGCAACCCTACCTAGATACAGTCACACATGTCCCTGACCGATTTCCCGAAACATATATGTCACTCCACTGCTGATCGGAATGCTTTATTCCACGATCGACCCCACCATCCCGAGATCGACTCGGTTGTCTCCAAGCATACCTCTACCTAGGTAGATTATTGGCTACTCGAGCAATTGGACGGAAAGGTAAACCATCGATCAATAACACGTACACCGTCATGCCCAGACTGCCAAGATGGTCTCGCTCGGTTCCCACGGATCAACGGGTGGACCCCAATCTCCTTCCACGCGGTTCAGAATTACGGGAAATTGGATCGGAAACGGGACAGCACCACGGATGCCTTTCACGTCGGCTGATGTCAGTGGTAGTGGTCGATGGCCGACCGGCGCCAAGCGTCTCTCGCCGAAATACGCGGCGCATACAGTACAAGGGCAGTAGGGCTGCAGTGATGTCACTGTTTGGGGTTATTTTTGGGGCTTTGAAGCTTGGGGGTTTTGACGGCCTGAGACTTCCCCTCTTTTCTCCATCTCCCCTGAACATCTCCGGTAGCCATGCAGAAATTCAAGGAAAAGTTCGAAGATAAGGTTGAGAACCTGGAGGAGTCATTCCGAGGTCGGTCCTGCTGTTGTGAACCGCGAACAGTGTACCGCGAAACCGAGAACCCCGCGCAAGCTACTAACAATTCTTTAGACCACAGTCTTCACGACACCAAAGCCAAGGCTGCGCATTTGAAGCACAAGGTTGGCAAGTTTTTCAACATCGTCAACCCTAATCACCGCCACGACGAGGAACATGAGCAGGCTACGGATGCGAAGCGAACGAAAATCTCCGAGTCGCACCGTTTCGGCTCTTTCGCTCCAATTCGCGAGGGTAACAACCTCAAGTGGTATGTCGATGCCCTCGATTACCTCTGGGCGGTCTCCGAAGCCCTAGAAAAGGCGACCGAGACCATCTACATTGCCGACTGGTGGCTCTCCCCGGAATTATTTATGCGTCGCCCGCCCGCGAAGCACCAGGAATGGCGTCTGGATCACATCTTAAGACGTCGCGCTGAAGCAGGCGTCAAGATTTATGTGATCGTGTACAAGGAAGTCAACCAGGCCTTGACCTGCAATTCTGCACACACCAAACATGCCCTGCAGAGTCTCTGTCCCGAGGGCACCCCCGGCCACGGCAATATTCGTGTCTTGCGCCATCCGGACCATAATGTCTTCGAAAACGCAGCTGACATGACTCTCTACTGGGTATGTCTATCAGCAATCGAGCTTTTGTCCAATTCTTACCGGATATAATAGGCACACCACGAAAAATTCATCGTGATCGACTACGCCATGGCGTTCATCGGAGGCATCGACCTTTGCTTTGGTCGATGGGACGCTAACCAGCACTCTCTCGCCGATGTCCACCCCGGTGGCCTGCGAGACGACATCTTCCCCGGCCAGGATTTCAACAACAATCGCATCATGGACTTCCAGAGTGTGGACGACTGGCAGAGCAATGAGCTGAGCAAGGTTGACTACGGCCGAATGCCGTGGCATGATGTCGCCATGGGCCTGGTCGGGGATTCCGTCTACGATATCGCAGAGCACTTTGTTCTGCGCTGGAACTTCATCAAGCGCGACAAGTACAAACGCAGCGACAACGTAGATTGGCTACTGATGGAGGGCCACACTGGAGATGACGAGGATATCATCGCCGTGCAGCGGCCCAAATATCCCTGTGGAGAGTATATCCAGCACCCTCTCACGCCGCTATCTGGCAAGCCCCGTGGACAGCAGGGTACCGTTCGCGCCCAGATCGTGCGAAGTAGTGATGATTGGAGCAGTGGTATTTTGAACGAACATAGTATCCAGAATGCGTACTGCGAAACTATTCGCAACGCCGAGCACCTTGTCTACATCGAGAACCAGTTTTTCAGTGAGACGACTCCCGCAGAAGCAATCTTTTCGAATTACTGACATTTTCCCCCAGTCACTGCCACCGGAGAACAGCAGCACCCGGTTTACAACCAGATCGGTCGTGCCATCGTCGATGCCTGCGTTCGTGCCGGTAAGGAGGGACGCAAGTTCCGCGTCATAATCGTTATTCCCGCCATTCCCGGATTTGCTGGTGACCTGCGCGATAGCGCGGCGACGGGCACCAGGGCCATCATGGACTACCAGTACAAATCGATCTGCCGCGGCGAGAACTCAATCATGGGTCAAATCAAGAAGGAGGGAGTTGATCCTACGCGTAGGTCTACTCTCATGCTTTGACTGCTGAGTGATACTGACTGATTGAACAGAACAAATCTTCGTTTTCGCGTTGCGTGCCTATGACCGAATCAACAAGACTCCCGCTCTTGAAGAGCTCGAGGAGAAGGCCGGTGTCAACTATCAGGAGATCCAGCGCGGTATCGCCGAGTCCATTATGAGTGAGAGTGTGCACCCGTCTATTGGCAAGGAAGGCGATCGGAATGAGAAGGACTATGAGACCGACTCGGCTCAGAAGCAAGAAAACGTGCGCAAGCTGGAGAAGTTCGAAGAACAGGTCGAACGGCGCAAGGCACAGCAGGGCGATGCGAGCTGCGACTCGGTGGCTCACCTTACCATGCTGAATGGTGGCAAGATGGTCGACGAGATCTGGGAAGGTGACCCCGAGGCCGAGAAAGCCAACATTGTCCAGGAGGAGCTGTACGTGCACGGCAAGGTGTGCATTGTCGACGACCGCATCGTGATTTGCGGCAGTGCCAATATCAATGACCGGGTAAGTGGCTTCCGACAGCTCATGTGGGACCTAGCTAATGTCTCTGGGGGCGTATAGTCCCAGCTTGGCTCACACGATAGCGAGCTGGCGATCGTCATGGAAGACCAAGAGTTCATCGACAGTAGAATGGACGGTAAGCCGTACCGTGCAGCTCGGCATGCAGCAACTCTCCGCCGTCAGCTCTGGCGAGAGCATCTAGGCCTGCTGCCCGCACAGGACTTCGACGCTTCGAGCCACCCAAACTCGCAACCTCCAAACGTCTGTCCGAATCAGATCCTAGAGGGCGCCGAAAACGAATTGGTCACCGACCCACTGAGCGATTCGGTCTGGAACACTTGGACGGAGCAGGCTAGCGTCAACACGGACACGTATCGGATGCTGTTCCGTGCGGACCCGGATGAGAATATTAGAACATTTGAGGACTACGATAGCTTCTGCCCGCGTGGGACGAAACAGGGTCACTTGTTCGATCCGTATATGCCGGCTGCAGAGGTGCGGCAGAAGTTAGATCGCATCAAGGGTCACTTGGTGTGGCTTCCGCTGGATTTCCTGTGCGACGCAGAGATGGCCGAACCCGGGCTGGCCGTGAATCAGATCACCGAGGTGAGTGTCTTTTGTTTTTGTTTTTATTTTTTGGTTTTCTCCCTGCGGATCGGTGTGGGCTGGAGTCAGTGCTAACATATTTCAATTCGGCAGAGCATTTACACCTAGGGCTGGTTCATTTTCCTCGTCGGCAAGACCTTTTGTTTTCATTTTTTGACACATGTTCTATTCTTGCATCATTCCGGGAGTAAACTCCGTAAATCCTCATACGTGGTGCAGTCACTAGCCCCCAGAACCATGTCCCTGGATAACCTTGGAAAGCAGCTAGGGGATAAATTTAATTTGCAGGACCACGCTATCGGCATAGTCTAAACCTACCTGTACAGACCGTACTTTTGCCCGACCCACCGGCGCCTCCACATTCCCAGTATGTACCAGCAGCTGGTCCTTGCGTGGTGCTGAAGTGGGGGCTATGGACGCAAATAGAGTTAGCGGATCCAAACCCCTGGAAATCCTTAATGCCATTTGCTCCTTGGGACTTTCGCTTCCTGCACCGGCTGAACCGACATCGTCCGTAGTGCTTCGGGTACTCGGGGTCGACCAGAACGAATTGGCCGGTGGCGCACACACAAGAATATGCCTCCAGCCCGCACGATTGGCGCACCGCTGGTCTCGAAAGGAAAAATTTCTCCGCGAGATAGGATTAGTGGGGGGCCTCAGCCTGGGCTTGGCGTCATCTTAATCCCCCGAGCCACACGGATGGGCTGAATCGGAGGCGCACAATAATGGGGGCGCCAGGACGGACCGGTTCTAAGTTGGCTAAGTTGGTAGGGAATGCGCAAATGGTATCTCGGCATTGCTACCCCGCTCCGCACTATAACATTCCGTCGCACAAGGGAGGACGAGACCCTGCACCCTACCTTGCAAAGTAAGGGAACGATCGACTGGGGATTGCATAGCCAACGCAGTCAATCGCGATCGTCCTCGAGCCGAATTGTCGGTCTTCGATCGATGCACGACCTTGCAAGGTTGGAAAGCATACATGACAAATTATTCTTTACTCGACTTCGGAAGTACGGAAGTACCTAGGTGGGTAACCAGTAGAACGTAGTATAACCGGAAATCTCCATTTGCTATTGTAACTGTGACTTGAGATAGAATGTCTCGGACGCCATGACCATGAATCCAGGCAGAACATATGCAAGCCCACGAAAAAATTAAAATCTAGCACACATCTAGACGCGGACAAATGGTAGTAAGAAGAGGAAGACGAAGAGAGAGGGGGAAAATAAAATAAAGAAAACTCCATCCAGATGCAACACCGACACCCATGGAAATTTTGGAAAGCCGACCACTTTTTGGAGCCGATCAAATGCGCACACGTCGCCAAACGCAGCCAAGAAAAATGAGAAGCAGAGAACAAGGCGGGCTGAGGGATTGCGGGATTGTGTGGATGGGATACCCTTGCTCGGGGGTCATGCAAGAGGCTAAAGGCCAATGCGGTCTACTCAACGAAGGTTAGCGAGCGAATGAAACCGTCCCAAGCTCGAATTGACTTTTGATTCCACACGATCATGAATGAGTCGACTTACTCGGGAGTGCGTTCACGCCTTGGCATTGTGGCAGGCATTACACCGACAATGGCCACAGATCTTGCATCGCCAGATCGCCACGAAGGGGCCCGAGTTGCAGTCGGAGCAGCGCCATGTCAGGATATTGCCGTTGGTAGCCTGGACGATGGCGAAGACATGACCGGAGCACTGGTTGGCCATTGTGGAGAGAGAGCTGGGCAGCGTCAGCGTCAGAGTCAGTGTCAGAGTCAGAGTCAGTGTCAGAGTCAGTGTCAGTGTCAATGCCAATGTCAATGTCAATGTCAATGTCAATGTCAATGTCAATGTCAATGTCGACGTCGACATCTGATAATGTTCCCGAGACTCCGTCACTTACCAAACTAGGAAAATGATCAAGGGCCCGAGGGATTGGGATGCTCGTCGATCACCGGAAACTGGTTCTAAGTGTCGGGATCGGAGGCGGAAAGGAGGAATCAAAGATAATTCACCGAGCACGGGAGAAACTCAATGGCAAAGAAACTCAACGGATCCGAAGTGATGTGTGACGGAGGATGGTGGAGAGGGATGAAAGATGAAATGCTTCAAGAGCCGCCGGACCAGGACATTATATACTCTTCATCAACTTCTCAGGAAAAGGAGGGGGGGGACCGAAGAAGACGGATCCTGGAAGGAGCCAGTCGACAACCAAAGCTCTACACGGTCTGCGAAATTCCGTCGATAACGCACCTAGCCGGTTGATTGGTGTTCTTCAGGGTCAACAGAAGACTGGAAAAAGAAAAGAAAAAGAAAAAAGGGCAAAATAGAGTGAGTGGAAGAATGTCAGGTAGTGCGGGAAGCGGAAGGGCGAAGGAAACAAACTAGATCTGCCCGAGGCTCATCTAGACTGCATTGCAATTTAGGCGAAGGCGCAGAAGGACCCGGTAGATCGTAGTTGACGTCCGGCTGGGTGGGAATGATCTCGATCACATTACATCGGGCGGAGGCCATTGGTCCTCGTCGATCCGGTAAGGGCAAGGGAGCTGGTAGTGCCCGGTAGGAGGCGGGGGGAGGGGCTATGAATTTGATTTTCCAGATTGACTCGTGTTACATAGAGGAGGGGGGAAGAGAGGGTGTGGAGCTGGAACCGGAGCTAGGGTGTCGGTGGCCGCGAGAAGGAAAGGAACAGGTCCCGAAAGGGTTCGCAAGGTTCGCAGAAGCGTATCCATAGACGCGCCGAACCCGCTAAACCCGAGCTGCCGGGCCTGGAAACGGTAAAGGATCGTCGAGGCGCCTGGTACGTCCACCCAGCTCTCAGCCAATATCCAGTAGAGAATACACTCGCGTCGATCTGAGCCGATCGCGGGCTTATGCATCCCAGCAATCCGGGTTGGGTCCGATCCCCCGGTGGACAAAGTACACCACTTACAGTCCGCGTTCCGGTGGTTTTTGACTTTGGCCCTGGCTCGATAGAGTTGATACATCATCCCACACGCTTGGACCAGGGGCCTAGTTCTCCGGTTCTCCACATGGCTCCCTGACAAAAGTCCCGGCCTCTTGCGGTGCTCCCCGTTCATTTTCGGTTTCAACGATAGCGAGACGGTGGCGAGTGACGAGTGACGACGAGTACGGAGTATCGAGTCCGGCAATCCCTGTTCAGATGACGATCGACCGGAAGTGCGTGCCCGGCGTTAGTTTCGAGCTGTCGCTTTTCGGGTCCAATCGGTGGGGTTGGGATGCCAATTCGGCAAAAACGGAAGAGAATGGAATTGTCCTCGACGAATGACCGCCCGTGCACCGGTTCATCGTTGCTACGGAGAGTTCCTGACTCGGGACGTCCACGGCCACGGGTTTCCCATATCCCATATCCCACGTCCCTGATCGGTAATGAGGGAGGTACTCTTTCGGAGCGGTTCGGTAGGGCCAAACGACTATACACCGAAAAACTACGCGTCGCACTCGTGAGCCTCCGCTGATGCTTGACGGGGATCGTTGCGGTGGATCCTCCTCGTCGTATAAAGTCAAAGTACCGGGGTTCTTTCATCCGCGTTCCGTCCCGTCTGGGCACCTGTCAACGAGAACGAGGACCATACGCGTCTCGTTTCAAACCAGGCCATCGCCGATCTAGGGGAGTTGATGAACGAGTTACGTCTCCGCCCAACGCGGCAGTCTGGCTCATGACCGGTGATGTGTCAAGTAGCGGCTGAAACGGGACCTGACCGGTTCGGATGCGCCGTCACCGTTGATCGAGCCACTTGGAGGGTCTCGGCATCCAGGCCACTTGACAATTCTTCCCGAATCGGCTTCCAGAACGGAACGGAATCCGGACTGTTGGGGAGAAGGCGGCGAGCCGCATCGACCGTTGAGGCATCGAGATGATGTACATGATCCGAATGATATTGGGGAAAGACGGAACGGCAATTGCCACTGGATTTCATAGATTGACTGAACTGTTTGCTATTGATATCTGTGTATGTTCGAGGGGTTCTCGGGCACCGGTTTCACCGCCAGAAGCCGTGTGAGTGGAACCCACCAGAAACCGGTGCCTTCGATCCTCGTCAGGTCTCGCATCCGGTCCTTTTCGTTCGCTCGATGAGAAAAGCAAAAAGAACCGGCGCACGAGACTCGGTGTCTGATCTGCCAACGCTCCGTTAAGAACACCTCGTGAGTGACGAGATGCTCCTGCAGTACCCAGAGTGGACTGCATCGCTGGGGAAATTCTGGGATTCGTCATTCTACGAGATCGTCTGCGGGAAAGCAAACTGCTTGGGTAAATGGTGTTTTCCATTCGGTCAAGTTAAGAAAACAGAGGTATCATGTGGAATCTTGTACATGCAGAGATCGGAGTCTGCAAGATCAATAGCAACGCCGCCCTAGAAATGTCAAAGTGTTCCTTTTTTTTTTTTTTTTTCTTTCTTTCTTTCAAATTCGTCACGGCCGTCGGCCATCATTCAGTCATTAAGGTGGAAGAGAGCCGAGACGCTATCAAGGGGGGGTTAGCATGATCCAATGGGAAAATGGTGCAGTGAAACCCACCTTTCACCGTAGTGGTGACGCCGGATGCTCTCCGCTAGGAGGGTGGAGACGTCGATGACGATCAACTTCTTTGATCGCCGAATCATCGACGGCTCGATTGGGAAGGTATTGGTGACGACGATGTGGTCAATGGAAGGGCACGCCTCCATCTGAGCGAGCGAATCGGTTCCGAAGAGACCGTGGGTCGCAATGCAGTACACTTTGCGAGCACCGCCGCGCTTCACGACAGTCTCGGCGGCGGCGATCCACGATCCGCTCTTGTCAATCATGTCGTCCACAATGAACACGGGCCGATTGCGGACCTCGCCCACCAGTGTGATGGTCTTTTCATGGTGTTCGTAGCCCACGACGCTCGCCTCATCGTCATCCGACTCGGCAGCGTCAAAGGAGCCGCCCAGCGCGTGGTCGGGCGGTAGAGAGGATGCATTGGAGACCATCGAGTTGCACATGGCATCGGGGACCACCTCGGTATTGTCGGCGCTGCCGCTGCCAACGGCGCCAGGAGTGGTGCCATCGGACTGAGAGCCGGACTCGGGGTGATAATCATCGTCTACCAACTGACCTTGGACCAGACGACCGGTGATGACATCCTGCACCCGTAGATCAGTGTATTCGTGTTGAGCCTCGAGCTCCGATGGGCGACGAGCCGCGGGGGGAGTCTCGGGACGCAGAAGCGTCCGCGCAACATTGATCGGCTCGGTCTTCTCCGGGATGGAAGAGGTACCCTGGGCATTCTGCAGGTGAAGCGCGAACGGCTGCTGGCCCTTGGGAATCCGAGCCTCTTCATCGACGGCGTCGAAAAAGACGGTGCTGTCGGACATGGTGACGGGGACCTTGGGGCGGCGCCGGTCGGTGGTCACGATTCCAAAGTTCAGCTTCAGGGTATCGGCCAGCGAAGTTACTCGCTTGGTACCGCCGGCATTCTTGCTCACCACCACGGCATCTCTCCAGCCCTCCACATTCATCCGGATCCAGCGGGCAATGAAGGGCTCGGCGAAGAGGTTGTCGACCGGTTTGCCAAAAAAGCCTTGCATCTGAGATGCCTGAGGGGAGATACTTCTATCAATACGAGTGCGGATTAAAAAGAAGTGCGGGGCAACGTACGTGCAGGTCCATGGTGATGACATGGTCCACGCCGGCGATGGAGAGGAGGTTGGCGAGCATACGGGCGGTAATGGCGCCGCGATGGCTCTTCTTCTTGGATTGACGCGAGTAGGGGAAATACCTCGTCCGGGTCAGCATGCAACTGTGATTGGATCAAACAAGACGGGCAGCATACGGCATGACCGCTTGAAGAGATCGTTAGCTTTTCTTCTCATTTCGGGAGAGAAGACGACGGATGCATACCAGTAATAGACTTGGCCGAACCACCCTTGCACGCGGAGATCATGATGAGAAGCTCCATGACACTGTCATTGATCTTATTGCTGCCACTCTGCAGGATGTAGACATCCTGGTTACGGACGGAGACGCCGATGTTGACGCTGGTCTCACCGTTGGCAAATTTGCCCAGGTCGGCTTTGGCGGGAGAGGCACCCAGGCGCTCGCAGATGGTATCTGCGAGGCCGGGATGGGAAGTCCCCGAGAAGATCTGCACGCCCCGCATGGCAGTTCAATGTTTGGGAGGAAGAAGAAGAGAAAGAAAAATGGAGGAAAAGAAAAAAGTTCGGGAAAAGCAAAGTGCGCGGGCGGTGTGTGCGGACCGCCGTATGCCCCACGCTTTATCTTTATCTTTTATCTTCGGCACTTGAACCTTGACCCCAAAGTACCTCGAGAATGTCGAATTTCCCCGAGATTCAAGGAGGAGGCTCGCTGATTCTGGCCTGGCAGGTCAAGAGCAAGCATATCGTGGTGATTGGCGGTGGCGAGGTGAGTCCATGTTCCGTGCGCAGCTTATACAGCGTTCGTAACTGACCCGAGCTCAGGTCGCCGCCGGGCGCATCGTGCATGCACTCAACGCCGACGCCAAAGTGACCGTTGTCAGTCCCTCGGCCGGCCTCAATGAGGAGGTGGCCTTCCGAGTCGCCGAGAAACAAGTCAGCCATGTTGACCGCAATTTCGAGCCCTGCGATCTCGACAACGCTGATATGGTGCTCTGCGCCATTGACGATCCGGAAGCGTCGACTCAGGTGTGGAAGCTCTGCAAGGAGAAGCGGATTCCGGCAAATATTGCAGATGTGCCACCCGAGTGTGATTTCTATTTTGGGAGTGTTCACCGCGACGGTCCATTGCAGGTAATGGTCAGTACAAATGGCAACGGACCCAAGCTGGCCAGCATCGTGCGCAAGAAGATCGCCGAGACGTTACCGGACAACATGGGAACTGCGATCGAGAATGTCGGAAAGTTGCGCAAGAAACTGCGTGAGGTCGCACCCGACGCCAACGAGGGCCCCAAGCGGATGAAGTGGATGTCCGCCGTGTGTGAATCATGGAGTCTGGACCAGCTCGTGCGTATGTCCGAGGATGACATGGACGGATTACTGGCCTATTACGAGTCTGGCAAAGTCCCTGCCTTCCAGGAAGTATGACAATGAGAAAAGACGAAGATTTTATGAGTACACCTATGCATCTCTAGAGAACCTAAGAAGGTGGGGGCGAGGGGGTAAATAAAAAAGCAGGATGCTTATGGGGGAACAATAGAGAGCACAAATCAAGTAGACGCCGGATCACCCGTATATCACAAAGCCGGGTGAGTATATCCCAAAATACAAACCACCATTTGAATCAAGATGAAAGCTGGCTGGCGCGGCGCGAGCCCTTTTGCGAGACGGAGCTCCGCGGACTGATCGGAGCGTCCAGCGGGTTGGGCGGCGCCACGCCCAGGCGGACTTCGCCGATCCGGCGCAGCAGCGACTGCAGTGCGACGCGGATCTCCGGGTTGAGATCGCGGCCAAGAAGCTCCACTCCCAACGGGTAGAAGGTCTCAACGTGTTTGTCAAAGCCCTCCTGGGGGAAGTTGTTGTAGCCGTCGATGACATCCACAACCACCGGCCGCCAGGCCACGATGTTACGGTTCTGGGTCTCCTCATCGAGACGGACAAAGCTGGTAATGATATCCGCACAGAGACTAGAAAAACAAGTCAGTATCAGAAATTGGATGGATGGAAAGGCTGAAGAACTTACGGAATGAGAGCCGCCTCGGTTTCGGCACGGCTGCTCTGTCGCTCCTCCCGTTCATCGTGATACATGCGGAAGAGGATGTGGACGTAGGTGGCAGCACTGCCGCTCTCCTGCTTGAGCAGGTTGGGAGGCTGCTTCATGAAGCCCTGACGCCACAGCTGCATGCGCAGGTCCTTGTCCTCGTTGAACTTCTTGGCAAACTGGTAGCTCTTCTTCAAAAGACCCATCAACCGCAGGAGCTCGTGGCTAGGAATCTGCGCGTAGACATTGTCATTCGAAAACAGTTCATGGACAGTCTCGATCATCAGAAGTTGCAGGACGCAGTTGGTGATGATGCGGTTGAAGAAGCGACGCCGTGCCACGGTGACCGCAGCCGGCTGTTGTTGCGGATCGGCATGGGGCCGGTAGTCCTCGAGTTCGGCACGAGCCTCGCTCTGCGCTGGCGGGTCACCCCCGTCCGTGAGCGTGGTGGTGCTCTGTGATCCGTTCGGCTGCAGGGCATCGGGCAACTCGGTCGAAACTTCGGTGCCAGTTTCGGAAACTTGGGCGATATCACCATTGGTGGCCGCAGCGTCAGTCAACTTCGACACCGAGGCTGCTGCCGTGAACAGTTCATACGCCGTGGTCTTGTTGAAGAGCTCCACAAAGGCCCCAACAATCTGAGTCCAGTGCTCGTCACGGAACTTGGAGACATTCTGCAAGATCAGCTGCTGCAGGCAGTTGCTACCGATTCGTGCGATTGTGTCGTTCTCCTGGCAGATGCAAAGAGTGAGCAGTTCCAAGAAGCGGCCCAGCATGTACTCCAACGAATCGAAATAGTGAGTAAAGAGGGTGATCATGTTACGCAGAGCCTGAATCATGGTGGTCGACAGCCAGACCGAAAGATCCTCATGGTTGGGGACCTTGGACATTTCGGACTTGGATTGCAAAACCACAAAGATCGGGCAGAGCAGTTGCCGCCAGAGTACATCCCAGAAGTCCCGCGGGAAATCACCGCCGTGGCGGATCAGGGTATCAAAGAGGTATGTGAGTGCCCTGGTTTCCGGTTAGTAGGAGGAAAATATCTGAAAAATGAGGGAACGTACCGAGATCGGACTTCCAAATCATCACCAGTCATCAACACGTCCTGGAAAGCGATGAGAATCGGATACCAGAATTGCTCTTCCTTGGATTGGCGAGTGAGTTGCTTCGCTAGATTGGTTCCCTCTTCAGGAAGCTTGGGAGCAGAATCGCCGCGGCGAGAGAGCGGGCACTCCGGAGTACGCAGCATCTTGGTGACGGTCGACTTGAGAAGCTCAATAGCCTGCAACGACTTCTTCTGGAACTTGGAGTTCTTGGAGAATTCAGTCAGGCAGACAATGAGATCCGCAAATGCACCCTGGGTGATAACGACGCCGAATCGCTCGTTGTAGATTTGGGTGACATGGTCAAACGCCATGTTCACAATGCCCTCTGTTTAAAACGTTACTATCGATTCCGCAAGAGGCAATATATTAATGGAGAGGAACTTACCATAGGGCTCCCGAGCTGCCACCGTGAAGACGCCGAACATGGTCTTCCATCCAGACCGAATGTTATCACCCCGGGCCTGGACCATCTGGATCAGACAGCGAAGAATCATATCCTTGACGGCAGCAGTAGTGCTGTTCGCCATGACGTGCTCGAAGGGCTTCAGGAAGTCCTTCTGGAACTTGAAGCCGGGCAACTCGCCAATCTCCATGAACCGCATCGACAGCTGTCGGAGCGAATCCAAGGCAAAGAAGACCACCGTAGTGTTGGAGTGGCAGCCAACTTGGTTGAAGTGCTGGCCTAAGACCTCCCAGATCTTCGACCACTCGATACGGACACGAGTCATGTTGTAGTAACTGATCTCGACCAGCTTCTGCAAACTGTATGTTCGCGGAGACTCACTGTGCCCAGAAGACTGGATCTCCTGCCAGCTCACCTCGCTCAGTGCCCGTACAAAGTCGATGATGGCTTCGTGCGACAGATTGGCGGTGTTGGTGAAGATTCGATCTACGCCACGAACCATATCAGCAGATCGACTCTCCATGGCAACCTCTGCACGGAAAGCCGTTGGACCGTTCACCGAGCGCGGGCGTGCTCGTCGCGTGCTCTGCATGGACTTTCGAGGAGAATCAATTGTTGACGGAGCACGCGAGACATCGGGCAACGAGCCCTCATCAACACCGTCGCTCAACAACTGCAACCGGTCAAGCTGGCTGACACAAGTCAAAATCTCGCGCCATGAGCTGCGAAGATGGTTACCCTCGGTGAGAGCAACATCGAGCAGCGACTTCAGAGCCTCAAAGTTCTTGGCCTGCATTTCCCTTACGTTTCCAAGGTTGGTGAACTTTGCAAGAGCTGTGACAAATGCGACCCGGGGAGTCTCCAAGTCGAATGCACAGCTTATGCGAATCGACAGCTTCAGACCCTCCATGCAAAGTCGAATGGTCTCGATGTTCTGGGTGTCTTGCATGGGGGCGGACAATCCAGACAAGAAGGACATCCAACTAACATTGAACATCGATCCAACGTGTCGAACGGAGGTGGCAGGAATGAAGCGCGAAAGAGCATCGCGAACCGCCGTCTTGCGCTGAGCCCGGATGAGAGAGCGATATAGCTGCTCCGTCTTGTTGGCCATTTCCTCAGACGCCTGGGCGTATTTCTCCCCCTGGATGTCGCGGCCAACGGTCGCAAACACCTGGCCAGCGCGAGTCGCCAGCCCGGCTGGGGTAGAGGGCTGGATGCCAATATTCGCGGCATGTTCCCGTTCCGTGTCCAAGACAATCTCGTTGTTTGCGATTTCATCAAAAATGGACACAAGGTACTCAGAAGGCAGGTCCTGGTTGTCGTTGATACCGCGGTTGTTCTTAATGAAATCTTCCTTGGTCATGCGAGGGCCCTTGATTTTGGCACTGTGCTGATCAGTATTCAGCATGATCACTGAATACGCAAGCACATAGGCGGTGTCTGCGTTGGCGAAAGCATTGGGGTTCTGAGTTGTGTATCGCTCCGCAAACTTGAGCATGAATCGATCAATCTTTTGGGCTTCTCCGGGCAGACGGAAATGCTGCAAGAATGAGCGGAGGGATTCAACAAAGCGTCGCTTGGTGAACTCCATTGCGTCCACAAATGAGTGCATGATGGCAATGTTCTCGGGCTCACCCTCACCCAAGTATTCACCCAGCATGGCTTTGTCCAGGCGATCATTGCGCAGCAAAAAGGCGGCAATGTCATCTGGGGCATCCGATCGGATAAATCCCTCCTGGAGGAAAAGCTTGATACCACGCTTGGGCTTGAAGTTGAACTGCTGAATGGCGTTCATCAGAGCAATTTTTCGCTGCTTGACCTTTTCCATCTGGTTCGGGTCATCGTCAGGTAGAGGGGTAGACCGGCCCGTGTCAAGGGCTTCGGGGCGCGGCGAGGCAACGATACTGGTGTCTAGAGACTCGCGGGAGTTATCCATCGACTTGGACGGATCGGCAGTCTGGACTGGGTGGTCATCCAGACGCTGTGAACCCCAATTGTCCAAGGACCGCAAAATCTCCACAAGAGATTCCAGAGCCTGCTGCTTCAGGATATAATCGGGCGGAATACTTGGTGCAGCCGGTTGCGGAGGAGGTGTGATGTTGGCGGTTGTGAGCGAGGGAGGCAGTGTCCCACGCTGATGCCATTCAGCCCCAACGCTAGACATCTTGGTGTGGTGCTCCAGAAAGTGGTGTTGCTGGGAAGATGTAGTGACAACCGGCACACTTGCGTAGCGTGAGAGTTGTTCAATGATGTTTTGGAAGATGTTCTCCAAGGCAGTCCGATCACAATCGTAGTTGAGATAAATCTCGACCAGTGCACGCGGGTCGCTACCCAACCTCTCCAGGACCTCCATGAAGTACCGCTTCTGGAAGGAGGGGGCAGCTCGCTTTTCGAGAATCGCCAAGTAGATCTCCTTGAGAAAGACCTCCAGCTCCTTCTTCATCATGACCCGCATGTCCTTGAGCATCAGCCAGAAAATCTCACAGCAGACCTTGAATACATGAGGCACCGCGCTCGAGCCATTGCGACTCAAACTCAGACAGAGATGAGGTCGCACAGCCTGAAGAAGCGTCATCGCCTCTGTACTGGTGGAGCTGTTCTTGATCGCTGCAAGCGGAGAGGTAAAGGTGTTGATGTGGTTGTTGATGAGATAGTGAATGAGGTGCAGCGACAGAATCTTGGACCGCATATTCTGAGACTTGATGTCCTGCTGTTGGTCATGACCAAGAACCTTGTGGCTCAGCTTGCAGAGAGCTCGGAAGACCAAGAAAGAGTCTTTGACGTAGACCTCGTCCACCTCATCCTCGGCAGAGTTATCATCATCCTTCTCTTCAGGGATGCCGGACATTGAGCGGGTGTTAGATCGTGTCAATTTGGCCCGAGTGACCGTGGTCGGCGCATTGTCGTTGACAGTCGTGACTTCCTTGGGAGATTCGAAACTCTGTAGTGTGAGCTTCTCGCTGGTGGGCTCTTTGGTCACGGGCTGGTCGGCCACCGATACAGAAGCAGCCTCCGACATCCCGCCCTGGTCACTGGCCGACGCGTCCAGACCACTTCCGGTTTTTTCAACGTCATGAGTCCGGAGTTCCTTCAGGTCCAGCCGGACCCGGACTCGGTCAAACACCGTGCTCACCATCTGGGTGAGCGACCCTTGGGCGATCTGCTGGTTCTGGCTCGACTTGGAGTATATAAAGATGTTGTAGATCTGGCGAACGGCTTTCAGGAGACCAGCTCCATGAACCACGACTCGGTCGTTCAGCACCGCTGCCAAGAGGGATTTGATGATCTGCTGCTGGATCTCGTTGGGGGTGGCTTCGTTCTCAAAACAGTCGCAGATAGCATCGATGGCACGCTCGATCAGGGGAGGCTTTTCGGGGGTAGCCTCGTTTTCGGAATCGGCGGATGGGAAGGCAAAATAAGAGTATGTGATCAATTTGCCAATGCAGTCCAACGCGGTGACCTGGAGCGGAACGCTGAGGGTCTTGCTAGCCAAGTGCAGCGGGCGAAAGATGAGCTCGGGGTCAATCGGTTGCCCATCCGTAGACCTGACATTTGAAAGAGCCACCTGCACCGCATTTTCTAGCTCTTTGCTCCTCCGCGCCTCCCGCGAAGCCCCAATGGTATCGAGGGCGGTCACGATGAAAACAGTCGAGCTGACTGTGCCGGACCGTTGCGTAGCGAAGGTAGCCGTCGTGGATCGAGAATCGGATCGCATTCGACTCTGTGGCACATTGTCCTCCATGGGCTCCGGCTCGTGGATCTCAGGCGGTACGTCTGCCTTTCGTTGTTCTGGCTCCTCGGGGGGTTGCTCCTCCTCATCCTTAGGCGGAACCTCAGGCTTTTCCTCGGTCTCTTCTTCGTTATTCGGCAAATCCTGTCCTTCATGTTGGTCCGCAGCCTCTTTCCTGACCTCCTGCCATTCTGTCCGTTCGGTCAGGACGGGCTTGTCGTCTGCCAAAACCGAGGGAGCTTCGGCGGAGGCATGCACGGAGGCCTTCTCGGGATCGGGCGAGTCGGAATGATGATTCGGCTCGGAGCCGGGGTCCACGTCCGCCATGGTCACAGCAGACGGGGGGCGAAACGAGCAATCTAGAGCATCGATCGGCACTTGGAGTGTTGTATACAACGCAAGAGCAACGAATGCGTGTCTTCTCCGAATCGGGACTACGGCGCGCGCTGAGTCAGGACGTGTCGCCCACGTCACATGACTCGGAAGAGGCCGCTCACCGGGAACCGCAGAAGCTCAACAGAAAAGTTCCTGACTTGTTAAGAGGCCATCTTTACCCAACACTCTTCTTCCCCGGCTCCTTCACACTCCACACTCGCGCCGGATCCTATTGAGCTTCTGTATCTGTGTCGAGGGCCCTTTTGAATCTATACGCAGGAGCAATTCCACCCATCATGGTTGCTGCCGCCGTCCGGATGCGCACCCCGAGTGCCATGTTTTTCGCTCGAGGTGCCGCCTCCATGCGCCGCCCCCAGGTCTCCTATAAGTTCCAGGAGGTTATGCAGTACGCACCGCCGATATGAGTTACTGTAATTCAATGATACTGATGTGTTTCGTTCGCGCAGATCTCAAATGCCCGCGATCTCCGCTCTTTCCCGCTTCTATGCCTCGAAGTGTATGGCTCCAATTGAATCAAACACGATCTCCGGTTCTATCTGATTCTAATGCAATCATCTCTACAGCTTTCCCCCCGCACACCATCATCACCATGCCGGCCCTTTCGCCGACAATGACCGCGGGAAACCTCGGCGCATGGCAGAAGAAGGCCGGTGATACACTTGCCCCCGGTGATGTCCTCGTCGAGATCGAGACCGATAAGGCGCAGATGGACTTCGAGTTCCAGGAGGATGGTGTCCTGGCCAAGGTCCTGAAGGAGACTGGCGAGAAGGATATCGCTGTTGGCTCGGTAAGAATTTTCCCGAGTTTCATGGGTTCTCCGCGGACATCCCCCCTCCCAAGCTAACCTCTAATTAATTAGCCCATTGCCGTCCTTGTTGAGGAGGGTGCCGACGTCTCCCCCTTCGAGTCCTTCACCCTGGCCGATGCCGGTGGTGACAAGGCCGCCCCTGGTGCTGAGAAGATGGAGGAGCCCAAGAGCGCTGAGCCCTCCACCCCTACCCCGGCTCCGGAGCCCGCCGCTCAGGAGCCCGAGACCTCCGGTGAGAAGCTCCAGCCCAGCTTGGACCGTGAGGCCTTGATCAGCCCCGCCGCCAAGGCCCTGGCTCTGGAGAAGGGTGTGCCTCTCAAGGCCCTCAAGGGTACCGGGAAGGGTGGCCAGATCACGAAGGAGGATGTGGAGAAGTACCAGCCCACCGCCGCCGCCGCCGCCTCCTTCGAGGACATTCCCATCAGCTCGATGCGCAAGACCATCGCCAACCGCCTGAAGCAGTCAATGGCCGAGAACCCCCACTACTTCGTCTCCACTACCCTCTCGGTCACCAAGCTGATGAAGCTGCGCCAAGCCCTGAATGCCTCTGCTGACGGCAAGTACAAGCTGTCCGTCAACGACTTCCTGGTCAAGGCCTGTGCCGCCGCCCTCATGAAGGTGCCCCAGGTCAACTCCAGCTGGATCGAGGTTGACGGCCAGGCCGTCATCCGCCAGCACAACACCGCTGACATCAGCGTTGCTGTGGCCACTCCCTCCGGTCTGATCACCCCCGTTGTCAAGAACGTCCAGGGTCTCGGTCTCTCCAGCATCTCCAACCAGGTCCGCGACCTGGGCAAGCGTGCTCGCGACAACAAGCTGAAGCCCGAGGAGTACCAGGGCGGTACCTTCACCATCAGCAACATGGGCATGAACCCCGCCGTTGAGCGCTTCACCGCCGTCATCAACCCCCCTCAGGCCGGTATCCTGGCCGTCGGCACCGTCCGTAAGGTTGCTGTCCCCGTCGAGACCGCCGAAGGCACCGTCACCGAGTGGGATGACCAGATCATCGTCACCGGCAGCTTCGACCACAAGGTGGTTGACGGTGCCGTCGGTGGTGAGTGGATCAAGGAGCTGAAAAAGGTGGTCGAGAACCCTCTGGAGCTCCTGCTGTAAGGCAGTCCCGAGGAATCTAGAGCCGTTTGACACCGTAATTTGTATTAAAACGTGTGACCTTTAGACCCATGATAGGTCCATTTTCTTGTTTGGTTTTAGCAACTTCAATCTCATTTCCTATGTGATCTTTACCCCAACAGACTTTTAGGAGTAGATTCCTCGGGTTGTTTCCCGTCAGGCGTTTCCCGAGGGCCGGTGGGTCTGGCATAAGCCAGCGGACTGTCTAGTGCGGGCTAAGAGCGCTGTACTTCAAAAAAATGTAGCAAAGATCTACCAGGAGATCTGATCGGGGGTATCTTTAAGGTCATTGGTGGGCAAATCTGCGAAATATGCTGCTCCTGAGAGACACCTCTGCCTCGGCAAAATCGGCATGAATAGCCATCGAGCTGCCAGTACAATCTGGATATCCAACTCGTTCGTGGTTTTGATAGCCTTGCCAGGTTACAAAAAGCCCTGGAGCTTTTTACTGGTCGAGGAGAATGATGAGAACGGGGTTGAGGGTGGGATGACCACTCCACTATATATTGACATGTAGCCAGCCGTGAAGGATACAAAAAATGATCACGTCCACGCCTGCACTAAACATAAAAATTGCTTGATTTGAAGTTTATTTCAGAAGCAGACCTTCTAGACCGATCGATGGCCTGATCCAGAATCTAGATTCGAGAGTAAACAATGTCCAACTTCCAACATATGATCGAGGAACGGGATCACACGTCAGTGGCTGGGCGCTGAGAGTGACCACTATGGTCACTTGCTCATCCTACACAATTCATAGTAGATAATGAGGCTCTAAAACTGCCCCATCTAACCACTCTCGTGAGAAAAACAATAAAATACCAACAGAAAAGAGGCGTGGTGAGCTAGGTCGCGGGCAAAGGGTGGCTCCACCAAATCCATGACGTGATGTCACACCCCGAGCTTCCCTGGTTCCTTGGACGGCGGGTATAAAACCTCAACCCCCCGCCTACCACACTCCCTGACCTCACCTTACGTTCCCGGTAGGTGATCACTCTCTGCTCTCTTCCAGCTTCCCATAGCTGATTTACGATTTCCCAGTACCACCTTCATCTACATCCCTACCTTATAAACATGTCTTACGCCGACGCTGCTGCCAAGGGCCCCAAGCAGTCGCCCGAAGAGGTAAGCGCGCCGTTCGTTCGTGAAAAGAGAAATACAAGCTAACGCGCTGAACAGGCGTAAGTGATAGGAACTCTCTTCCCCGTCGCATCACATGCTAATACCTACCGCAGTCGCGCGCCCGAACTGGGCGGCATCTACAAGGACGAGTCGGAGAGCACGGCCTCGTTGATCGATGTCGACTCCCCGCACGTCACTGCGGTCGATGCCGACTTTCTCAATCGGGATGTCAAGACCGCCACTCAGGCGGAGCGCCTAGAGCGCGAGGCCGCCGAGCAGGAGAAGAAGCGCGCGGAGGAGGACTCCCGTAAGAAGGTCAAGGCTCGCAAGGCCAAGAGCAGCCTGGGCCCCAACTCGGACAACCCGGTCTACATCGGCAACGCGGTTCTGTACACCCTCGTGGGCGCCGGTCTGGGCTTCGGTGCCTATCACAAGCACGCGCAGGGCAAGCTCTCTTGGGAGACGATCGGACTGTGGTCTGGGGCCGTGGGTGCCTTCGGTGTGGTGGACTATTTCGTCAGCAAGTGAGTAAACGAATGAACGAGCGACAGTCAGAGGTGATGTGGTGCTAATGTCGTCTCTAGGTGGTTCCTGCAGAACAAGTATCCTCCCACATAAGGGACGCCAGCTTGTGTCTGATTGCTTGATTTCTTTTGTTTCCATATACCATCCCTGCTCTTTTGAGTCTTGATTCATTTTCGATTCTGCATTCTGTGTCTTTGGCGCGAAAGGAGTCGCTGTATCAATAACCCTAACGATACCATTTTCGTGATTGGACCCTTGATTGTAGACATTTCCGCAACGTACGAGTATCCCGAGTGTAAGTTAATTGTCAACCTCCAACGACTCTGAATAGAAGCCGAATCCAAGTAGAGAGAAGGGCCGAGACCAGTATCAAGGCAAGAAAACCGTTGGATATGTGCCTGAAGGCGGTGAGGGGCCCAAACACCTGGCCTTCGCGTGGCGCGGAGTGATAACATTCGAGTGGCTCCCTCGACTTCGATCATTGATTCGACTTGTATTCGCCCCCTGTGTACTAACCGTTGCATATACGTGGCAGCTGCCACTCTCGACACTATGGTTTGTGTCTGCACATCCTGCATTCCGGGATCGTTCCTGACATCTTGATAGAACTCCCTCTTCAACTCGGCTCTGAAGCAGTCGTCTGCAATTCGCCGTGATCTAGACACCTTCTCCCAGTCCCCGCAGACCTCTTCTCCCGCTCTACAGGGTGCGTTGTTCTCTCTATCTCATGCGCCGTGGACCAGTAATTGACACCTCCGTCTCTACAGGCCAGATCGCCGCATCTTTGTCGTCCTTGTCTCGCACCGTCGATGACTACTCAGCCCTTTCCAAAAAGGAGCTTATTCCCGAAAAACAGCAAAAGGCCTTTGATCGAGTCAAGAACTTCCGTGACGAACTGGGCGACTACCGCGCACAATTCGACCGGCTGCGCAAAGAACGCGAGGATGCAGTATGTCAACACGCCGAACCTCTCGCTGTTTCATCCTGACCCATTCTAGCAATCGGCCACCAATCGCAATGAACTTCTAGGCCGTCGCCCGCACCACGCTGCTACACCCGAGAATCCGTACGCTCAGTCTTCGCTTCCGCAAACCACGTCCGCCTTTGCGCCGTCCTCCGGCCTGAGTTTTGGCGCGGGCCCGGCAGACCAGAGCAGAGAAAGCCATGCCCTACGCGAGCAATCATTTTTCTCCAACACCAATAACCAGCTGGATGACTTCTTGGACCGAGGGCGCGCAGTCCTGTCCGACCTGGGCCAGCAGCGGGAGGTCCTGAAGGGTACCCAACGGAGGCTCTATAGCGTAGCCAACACGTTGGGAGTAAGCGGAGATACTATCCGGAAGGTGGAGCGACGGGCACGCCAGGACAAGTGGATATTCTGGGGCGGCGTCATCGTCTTCTTCCTGTTTTGCTGGGCTGTATTGCACTTCTTGCGGTGAGCTCGCCTATTGTATAATTCTTGTATTGGGGCTCGTTCCTGTATCTTGTTGGGGGTTGGCTTTTCCATCAGCGACGGCGTTCTGGAGACTTCAATGCAAATGCAATCTCACGAATAAAAATCGCACATGCATAGGATTAAACCGCGACAGGCACGAGAATTGACGAACGCCGAGACCAATCATAGAGGAAGATGGGCCGAGTATCGGGAGGGCGGAAGCTAATTGTGGAGATTCTCTCACCGGAACCCAATCTCTTCCCTTCTCCCCTTCGTCCCCTTCCCTCTTCTCTTCTCCATCCACGTTTGTGAGAGAAATCAAGATGTTTGCCCGCCGTTCTTTCAACCTCTTCCAGAAGCGCGCCTTCTCGGCCTCGGCCAACCAGGTGCGTCGAATCCCCTTTCTCCTTTGCCCCCCAAACACTTTGTTGTTGCACGTTGCTCACTTTCGCAGGCCTCCAAGGTCACCGTCCTCGGTGCCGGCGGTGGCATTGGCCAGCCTCTGTCGCTGCTGATGAAGCTCAACCCCCGTGTCACTCAGCTTGCCCTCTACGATATCCGTGGTGGACCTGGTACGTTTGTGGTTGGAGCTTCTCCTTCGAACTCATTCCTGACATTTTTTTGAACAGGTGTCGCGGCCGATCTGAGCCACATCAACACCAACAGCGTCGTCACCGGATACAACCCCGATGAGCAGGGCCTTTCTGATGCTCTGAAGGACGCCGAGATTGTCCTTATCCCCGCCGGTGTTCCCCGCAAGCCCGGTATGACCCGTGATGACCTCTTCAACACCAACGCCTCCATCGTCCGCGACCTCGCCAAGGCCGCCGCTAAGGCTTCCCCCAACGCCAACATCCTGGTCATCTCCAACCCCGTACGCTCTCGATCTCCCGCAATTTTTTTTTTTTTTTTCGCATCATGGCATTGATACTAACGGTCGCAGGTCAACTCCACCGTCCCCATCGTCTCCGAGGTCTTCAAGGCCGCTGGTGTCTACAACCCCAAGCGCCTGTTCGGTGTTACCACCCTGGACGTTGTCCGCGCCTCGCGCTTCATCTCCCAGGTCCAGAAGACCGACCCCTCCGACGAGAAGGTCCCCGTTGTCGGCGGTCACTCCGGTGTGACCATTGTTCCCCTTCTGTCCCAGTCCAACCACTCCTCGATCGCTGGTGAGGCCCGTGACGCGCTCGTTAACCGCATCCAGTTCGGTGGTGATGAGGTCGTCAAGGCTAAGGACGGTGCTGGCTCCGCCACCCTCTCCATGGCCATGGCCGGTGCTCGCTTCGCCGAGTCTCTCCTGCGCGCCGCTCAGGGTGAGAAGGGCATCATCGAGCCCACCTTCGTCGACTCCCCTCTGTTCAAGGACCAGGGCGTCAACTTCTTCGCTTCCCGCGTCGAGCTCGGCCCCAACGGTGTCGAGAAGATCCACGAGGTCGGCCAGATCAACGAGTACGAGCAGAAGCTCCTCGATGCCTGCCTCGTTGACCTCAAGAAGAACATCCAGAAGGGTGTTGACTTCGTCAAGGCTAACCCTTAAGCAAAACCTCTTGTATAACATTTTCGGGTCCCGGCTTGCCCACAGTCCCGTCGGCATCTGTGTTACTAGATCGATATCTATGTCATAATTTAATATCGGTCTGATCGGCTGTCCACCGCTACCTTACACTGCGTAGTCCTCTCTTCTAGTCCCGAAATTTAAAAAGGGTTCGTTACCATGAACCGGCATCTGCTGAATCTACCGTCTCGAGTAGAACATGGGATGACACAAAAAACCGAAAGGAAAATAAAGCAACCCCCCGTGCATCGTGTCGCCACGACCGCTTCCAGTTGCCCCGCCCTTTCGCAGAAGAAGTTGTTCATCAACTTCCCAAAGATTCCTTAAGTGTAGCTACGCATCGCATCCAAGTATCCCGTTCCTCCACGTAGATCGTGATCGAATGTCTCCGCCACGTCAAGGACTCGCTTGATATGATCCATCGATAGAGGTGAGCGCTCGTTGACTGCCAGCGCCTGTGCGGTGCGAACCGAGTTTTTGATCTGTGTCTTGGTTAGCATTTGTTTCTTTCCGTCCAGAAGAGATCACTCGCCTGACGGCCGTTCAAGGTGTGCCGAGATAGCACGTCGTAGTCCTCCTCCGAGAAAGAACTCGTGTGGACTCCTTCGATGGCGCGTACCCGCTCCAGGAACATCTTCCAGATACTCCGTTTGGCCTTGGTCGTGAGATCGCCGTACCGCAATGCAACGTGGATACGGGACTGGAAGGCATCATCAAAAGTCTCGACTCGGTTGGTTGTCAGGAATAGAATCCCCTGGAAATACTCGAGTAACCGTAGGAAGATGCTGACGAGGGCATTGCGGTGGATGTCGTGGATCGTGCGCTTCTCGAGGAAGACATCGGCCTCGTCCAGAAGAAGCACGGCTCCCCACGAGTGTGCAATATCCAGGATCTTGTTCAATTCGGCTTCCAGAGTGCGCGAGTCCGTTCCCAGCTCGCCGGCACTGACCATGTACAGCGGTCGTCGCAGAAGCTCTGCGATGCCCTCGGCCGTGAGAGTCTTTCCAGTTCCCGGAGGACCGTGTAACACGGCGACGAGACCCTTGCCCTTGCCCTGAATCACGTCGTCGATGTTCTCGGCTGCATGGAAGGTGTGTGATTCCACCAATGCCTTGACGATGGACTTTTGGTTGTTGGGGAGCACCAGCGAGCCGAAGGCGTCGACATTCCACTCGATATCGCTGATGCCCGAAATGGTAAACTCAAGCCAGAGCTTCTCGCTGAAGGCGAAGCCCAGAACCACCGGACTGGCGACGAGCAGCTCCTCCTCCGTGAACTCTCGCTCCTTGCTGTCAGCAGCGTCTCCTTCAATGCGATCCATCTTCTCCTTGTGAATCTCATTTCCGTTCTCGTCTACTTCCACCTCCACGACTCGCGGGTTCCCATCGTCGCCCTCGATGACTTTGTAGACAGTCCGCGGAGTATCCGATGCGCACCCACGATCGGAGTCCGAGTCGGATCCTCCGCAGCAGCAGCCACCACTATCGTCATCGTCCGGGTCGCTGAATCCAGCTTCGGAGGGATCTAGCAGGTCCGGATCCTTAGGCCGAACGGTACTGATGGGGTAGTTTGGGTTGATGCGTCGGTGAATGGCAGGGTCAATCATGACCCGCCCGTTGATATTAACCTTGACCACGAAGGAACGCTTTTTCTTGAAGAAAGCCATACCTTTATGGAAACGGTAATTCATGCCGCGCAAGGCGACGAACCGCTTGCCACGCTCGATCAGCCGTGCGCGAAGAGCCTCCGAGTCACGGTGATACTGCAGTGGATAGCACGTCAGACTGGTGATCTTGCGGGCTCCCTTGAAGGATTCCACCTCTGCAGACATGGTGCCGAATCCAAAGTCCTTGCCGTCATATTCCAAGTACCGCCCCTCCACACTGTACCACTGGCCCTTCATGAAGGAGGACTCCTTGATGGCATATTCAATTTTGAAGGCCCGCGGCTCGTCACTGTTTCCGTAGGTCGGGGTGTAGGCGATGGTATTGGGCTTGAATAGAGCCCACAGCAGATCAAACGTGATGGTATTGGCTTCGAGTAGCGGGTACAGAGTCTTCTTGATGTCGGCGTAATCGGTGTCGAGGTACTTGACGAGCACCTTGAGATGCGCCGCTTTGGTAGCGGCGCTCTTGCGGGCCTTCTTCTTCTTCTCGCTGCGCGACTGGCGCTTGAGATCCTTCATCCACTGCCTCGTCTCTTCTAGATATAAGAACAGCATATTGGGGTCAACGATGGCGGGCTCCTGCACCAAACTGACACCCTTGACGCCGTCCATGACCTTGGCGAGCGCATCACGCAGATGTTTGCTCTTGATATCGACAACGGTTTCCAGATACTTGTTCTCCCAGTTGAACTTGCGGCGTACCGTGAAGATGTACTGGTCCCATTCGTCGGCGTCCGGGTCATCCACGGTCTCGCTGAGCTTGTATTTGTGGATGGTGCTGTCCCAGACTGTGGAATCCCACAGCGTCAATGTCAGATGTCAATAGTTGAACGAGGGGGTCACGCACGTTGATCTACACGCTTGAATGCTACCTTGGATGCCGGCTTCTTTTTCTTCGATCGCTTGTCCCGGCGACTCTCTCCCCCAGAGGATCATTTGTCCCCAGATCGTCGTTGGTCTCATCCCGCAGACGTTTGGCCCGCTTCTTAAGCTTCAGTCGGGTCACCAACTTGCGTAGTGCTTTCTCGTCCAGGGACGAGTCCGAGTCACGAGAAGAGACAGAATCGGTGTCGGAGTCATCGGACGAGTCGGTATCGGAGTCTGTAGCATTTGACTTGCGCGATCGCACCTTTCTCTTCTTGCGTCGCTTCTTGTCCCTCTGGGCACGCCTGGTCCGGGTCTTGGTCTTTAGACGATGCCGCCTGCGTTTGTCAGACTCGGATTCACTGGCGATCGATTCAGAATCGGCATTGCCCGAATCGGACTCGCTGGACGAATCGTCCGACTCACTGGAGTCAGACTCGCTCTCGGAGGCATCCTGCTTCTTCTTACTCCGATTCTTCTTCTTCTTCTTCTTCTTCTTCTTCTCTGACTTGACATCGGGGTGTTTCTTGCAGACTGCCACTTTAGGGGTATTATCCGGGATGGTGGTGGTGGCTGCATCCTTGACGGAGGCTTCAGGGGCAGGCTGAGCCGAGCCGTTAGCCTTCTCGAGCTCAACCTCGTGTTTGCTATCCTCGGAGGGATCGGTCATGGCGCAGGTGGAGCTATTAGCTCCGCGTGGGGGCGAAGTGGAGAGCTGGAGAAGAAGAGGTGAACAGCTAGGAAGCAAAGAACCGACGAACTGAGAGCTGGCGACGTAGCAGTAGACCGGCTTCTTATGGCTGGAGCACCGTCGCAGGTTGAGACTCCGAGACAGAAATCAGAAAGAAAGACAGTTGTGGGTGAGACGGGGACCGTCTGTCATTTGAACCCATGCAGTCACTGCAGCCTGCAGGTGAAAAAGATGAAGCAATCCAATCATGAAGCCCCACGCACGTTTTGCGCTGGCTTTCGCGTCAAGTTGATTTGATTTGAGCTGCGGCTCCGCTCTGTTTGTTGGTCTGTTACACCGAGTTGACCCCGGGGTCGTCCATGCCCTGTGTTGGATTTCCTCTGTTCGGAGTCGGGGGCCCCGTTGGTGATGAGTTCCGGTCGTGTCCGTCTTAGTCCTTGATTCCACAGTCGACCTGAGTACGGGCGTAGTGAACCGAATCACGTTTGGCGGCCAACACGCGTTTCTCGCTCGGCGTCATTTCGTCGATTCCCCAGTCTAGCCTCACTATTCGACCGTATACGTGTCCCTGAGACCACCCGTGAACGGCGGCCACCGGGACAGATTGTACCAAACTTTATCGGCGATCGGTATAGCTTTGACTGTTTTGGATCTCTTGCTAGGTAGGTATCTTGTCACATTCGACCGGGCCCACAGACGGCCGTTGGACTGCTGCAGAGCCAGCAGAGACCCCGGTCCCACCTGAACGCTGTATAGATCTCCGGTGCCTACCGCGGTACTCTCTAGAGAAACCAGACGTTCCGCAATCTTCTCGAAATCATAGGTGATGGATGACACACCATGAAAAATGGCATCTCCCCCTGAAGACCGCGTCAAAGCCTTTTTGCATTGGTGACTTGGTACTGAGGCAGCTCGGCCGTCGCCATTGCCGAACATGCCGTCATCCTCAATATCGGCAGCGATCTATATCTCCACGATCTCCCGTCATATCAACCCCGACGGTCGAGACAAAAACATTATCGAAGTCCCCGGAGTCTCTCCGGAAAGTCGCGATTCTAACTCGGCGTCGGCCGATCAACGCTCCACCGTGGTTGAAGACTGAAATGTGGGGGGTTCACTTCATCTCCGCGTTTCTCCACCGTTCGCCCCCATCTGTCTGCAGGGGACTGGAGTTGGGCAGCAATTCGTCGGGGGTATTTTCTACAGCAGCTCGCTGAAACAACCAGCAATATTATAAGAGAAAGCCAAAAACCGTACCCCTTACTTCAAATCGCGTTCATGGTCGGGTGCGCACTGTCGTCTTTACGGCAAAAGAATCTCCCCTTATGTTAGCGCGAAGATGATCGCCTCTCCATACTATGTACTTACTGTATTTCACCCGCCTCTCTTTTCCCGGTCGTCCAGTCACCCGAAGGAATGACCGAAACCAAGAATAAATACACACACATCTGATCAGCCAACAATCGTTCTCTTTTTCGACCCCACCCACACGCTTGGCGGATAAAGCTTAGCGGGTTATCTTATGGCCGGCTGAGGTGCGGCTGAGACTACCCCAGAGGTGCCTGCGCGATCGTGAAAATCTTACCCACACAAGGACATCCGAAGCAATTTAAGTTAGACCAATACCACGGTGTACTCCGTATGGTTCGCGTTGACGTCAAAGTGGCAAGCAATTTACCGACCTGACTAAGCCGATGGGACTTGTTGTGACGAGATCTCGCGCGAAAATCATGATTGCCGACAAGCCACTTCGACTCCGTGGGAGCTATTCTCTATGTCAGTTACCATTTATGACGGTAACTTTTTGTTCCTGATCAATTATGCCACGCAAATTCTCTGTTTTATTGTGACGACGCCTTTCGTACTCCTCCGGGTCTTCGTTCGATGGAAAGTGAATCACGCGCTCGGTATCGACGACGGTATGTGCGCAACCAGCCGATCGATCAGGATCGATCAAGAAACGTTGCTGACCATTGCAGCCCTTTGTTTTATCGGATGGGTAGGAGACGATCCTGGTACAAACACGTGTGGTCATCCACTAACGCCTTGATGGCTAGGTCCTGTTTATGGGATACTGCGCAAACGCCTTGATCTGTATGTTTTGGGATATCCCAATCGGAATGATTTGTTGCTCACCTCATCTGTTTCTCAGACGGATTTTCCGGATGCACCAAAGTGCGCGATGGATTAAATCAAGATCAATATGAGAGTTGCATCAAGGCAAGGGCAACGACTCTTCGCACGCAGTTCCTGCTCCTGCTAACTCGATCGCAGATATCTTACGTTGCCACTGCAATCTACGCACCGACGGCTCTTTTTGTCAAGAGTAGCCTCGTATATGTTCTGATCAGGGTCTTCCAACCTTGGTCCAGGAGAGTGCTGTCCCTCTACTGTCTTCTAGGAGTGGTTGTTGGTTATTACTTTATCATCACGTTCATCAAAATCTTCATATGCAACCCTGTTTCTGCCTACTGGATCTTCTCCGAGAGAGGAAATGCGACATGTCTCAGCCAGGCGGGGGTAATCATCGCAGATTCCGTCATCAGCTTTTTGACAGATATTGCTATCTTTGCCTTCCCAGTCGCGTTGACCTGGTCATTGCAAATGCCTTTTTGGAAGAAGGTCAAAGTGGTATTCCTTCTCGGGCTCGGCGGCATAGCAGTCGCTTTTAGTCTGTTCCGTCTTGTGATTGGTATTCACGAAAGAGACTTTCCTCACGATACCAGGATGTTCATGAAGTCAATTTTGACTGCGTAAGTCGCATGAACCCAAATCTCATGATTCTTGAATAAAGTCTAATCCCGATCTTATAGCAATGCGGAAGTGGGACTCGGAATCATCTGCTCTTGCCTCCCTGCTCTTAATGTGCTCACCACATACACCAAGCAACAATCGCCTTCGTCCAGCCGAGCTTTTCGCCGCCCCAAACAACAACCACAATCATCGGGCCAAATTTTTGACGGATCCCGACCAGGGGACCCGCAGTACCACCTGTCCCGAAGTGAATTAAGTACCTCTGCTCGTCGAGGCTCAACAGATTCAGCCAGACTCATAGCCAGCCATGAGCAGTCGGGCTTACCCGTCGGTGAAAACAGCGACACGATTATCAAGATGGTTTCGCTCAATCAACATTGGGAAAATGCATCTCAAAGGTTGGATCACACGTCTATTGCTTCTCCATGTAGTTTTAATATCACTAATAACTTACAGCAACGAAACGACCGACAGATCCGGGATATTGTGAGCCACATATAATATAAGAGCGCTTTCCCAGGAACTCCCCTTGTCCGGTGTCCCATTCTGCAACATGAACGGTATATTCCGAAGGTCCCCTCGTAGTTCCGGTTAGCACGCTATTTTGCAAAGTTGTAGACAAAGCCTCTTCGCGTGGTTCACCATGAGGCAGTAATACTCATCCGTGACAGCTCCATGCCGATCGTGTCTTTCATGAGTGATCACATGATATCCAACATCTCCGCGCGCCAAGTTGACGCCAACACGTCACCCGTTCATCTAGAATGCCTGCGCGGTGCGGGATCGGATTATCTTTGACGACACGGCTGCCCCGGTAGGGGCCTCCCGATTTGTTATGTTGATCGACATCGTGATGAGACCTGATTCTCAGAGTATCTTCAATGCTTCGGAGCCAGATCTTCTCTTTATACGACGATTGTGCACGAGGTAAATAATATCTTGCAGTGCGGTTAAGATCAGCCCCACGAGCACTAGGAATATCATAGCGAGCAACCCCATTGGATAAAGCTCTGCAGAGTCGTCTTCGCGAAAAATCTGGGTCCCTGCCATCAGACCAGCAGTTGCTGTCATGACAACTTGCGGCAAGTCAGCTTTGAAGTAGTCACGCCATACGTAATAAGAAACATACACATCCTAAAGATATTAGCTCATCAGCAAGCGCACAGAATTAAGGCCGTAAGGCTTACTCACACCATGCAAATACTTCGCTCTTCAGGATCTGGACTATTCATTTGTATCCACGCATTATGGATAGGATGGTAACCCACGGCTAGGCTATTGACTGTTGTCCAAAGTCCAAACTTGGACCATCTGCCTACATGTGGTTGAATTAACTTCAAAGCGATGAGCGAAATGAAGTACGTTGTACTGGCAACCATGACCATCAGACCACGCTTTTGAGTCTTATCACTCAACCACGCGAAGAAAAAAACAACAGGCAAAGTCATGAAGCTTCCAATAGAAGCCAAAGCATTGGACTCAATCCGGGAGAACCCCAAAGACAGAAGGATGCTGGGAGTATAAATTGTCAAAGGACTCCACGTCGAAAAGATGCAAGCTGTTGCGACAAAGTGCGGCCATTTGTGGAAATTGGTGAGTGTTTTCCATACGGTTTTGATAGGGATTTTTCGAGCAGTAGCTTCTTTGGCCCGGGATTCGTTTTCCAGGTGCTCGTCAATTTCCAATGTTGATTTCAATGTATCTCTTTCCGGGAGGAAAAACATCAAAACCAGAGAGACTGTAACGGACCAAATCCCTTCAACTACGAGTTCAAAGTTAGCGCCAAATTCTTTTCGTTAACGATCAAGGATATCATTACCCAGAAATATCCATTGCCAGCCAGTAAGACTGCCCTTGCCGTCTAATCTCAACAACGCCGCGCCGAGCAATGGCGAAACGGCCGTGCCACCAAACATCCCGAAGAAGAAAATCGCAATGCGTTTAGTTATCTCATCTTTCGTGTACCATGTTGACAAGGTGAACATGGCCCCTGGAATGTACCCCGCTTCTGCAAGACCCAAAATGGTTCTTGTTGTAAGAAATCCGGCCTTGTCCCGAATAAAAACTTGTAGGGCAGCAACCAGGCCAAAGATAAAAACCTGACCACCAATCCACCGCCGAGGGCCAATCTGTCTTCATTAGCTAATTTTGCCACAAACAGACCGAGAATATTCACCACGTGTAAAATTATATTAGAAGGGATCTCCAGTATGATAACGCCCAGGAACATGAGTTGGTTACCGAGGTTTATCGTGTCCTCATTGACTGATATCGCGGTGGCTAACCCACCCGTCAGTGCGCTGGAGATATTGGTTCGCTCTAATTGATACGTGGCAAATCCGACCATAAGCAGTGGAAGAACACGCAAATCCGCACTTTTGAACCATTAGTATTTCATTGCCTGCTTGATTACGATCCAGGCGCGCAGGAACATGCAGAAAACTGCAAGTGCTTTCTTGGTGGTATCTCACTTACAACCTGCGTAACTGGGACGAATTTTGCAGATCGCATTTCTGAACACCATGCTTTTCCCCCTGCTTGACATGCGACCGATATAACATTTAAGCAATGAAAGACAAAAATGTGTTGAGTGATTTCTCCGATTTCCGTCTTTTATCGTCGTTGCCAGGGACCTTGGTGGCCGAAGGTGAGAACCTTTAGGAAGATAAGACCCGAGGGCTTCGGGTTCCGATGTCTTACTCGGATGGCTTGGATATGGTACCAAGGCAAACAAGTACTCCGTTCCTGGAACGATAAGCACGAAAAGTTATACCAGCCTAGGAGGACTTTACGGGCCTTTCTATTGATATGATGTGCGGCTGGTGTAGATCAGAAACTAAGCCTACATTGGAAACATTTCTCGTCCCATCTTTCCGAGAACCAAGCTAAATGGAAACCTTGCAATCAAATTGTGTTTCATGAAGTATATATATGGCCTGCTCCATTCCTTCTGTAACAGCAATAACTAATGTAGCACTCCATAATATTAATGTGCCCGTAAAGCCGGACGGAAATTTTAGAGCAGTCATTTTGGTTCGCACCGATCATTTTTAGGCATCAGCCCCATAGGTCATGACGATCATGTGACCAAACATCATGTTACTAAGCAAAATTTCGGGGCGAAGATCATGACGGTGCATTGCAGAGTTATTGGGTTTGAAAGGGTCCAGAGCCAAAATATTTCCCTCTGAAAATCGAAGCCCGCAAATAGATGCCCCGAAAACTTTTGCAATTAGCAGATCCAAGCTGGAGGAGTTAAATCCGTCCCCGGATCGGATTTTTACAATCGGAGATAACAAGCTATGACCGAACGAAACTGTATTTAATGGAACTAGATTTTCCCCCGCCTCGCCCCTTTTCATCGCTATTATTATAGCATTCTCCTCCATCATGCTACCTTTGATTGCCCTTGAGGAGCACTTCGTCTCGTCCAAAGTTCGCGAGGCCGAACGGGTCGACCATTATGCTACTTTCCCTCCACATATTGTGACCAAATTACAATCACTCGGTAATGAGCGAATTCAAGATCTAAACGAAGGAAACGTGTCTCTTCAGGTTATTTCACATGGCCCTGGGGTCAGATCTACAGCCCTCTGTATAACAGCCAATGACGAACTTGCCTCTGCTATTTCGAAAAATCCAACCCGAATGGCAGGATTTGCGATGCTTCCAATGGATGACCCAGCTGCCGCCGCAAAGGAGCTGGAGCGGTGTGTCCGGGACCTACATTACGTTGGTGCATTGGTTGACAGTCATGTCAATGGACATTTCTACGACGAGAAACGGTTCTGGACCGTCTTCGAGAAGGCGCAGGAATTAAATGTCCCAGTGTACATACATCCCTCTTTCCCAGCTGATGATATGGCCGAACATTACAAGGGCGACTATGACGATTCAATCGCTCTTGCGCTGAGTGCGTTTGGTTGGGGATGGCATTCGGAGACGGCGCTCAGCATTCTGAAGTTATTTGCCAGTGGATTATTCGACAGTTTCCCAAAGGTCAAGATCTTGATTGGACACATGGGAGAGATGCTTCCATTCCAGCTTGAGAGGGTCATTTTGACTTCAGAGAGATGGGGTCGGAGGCGGGGATTGAGAGAGGTGTGGACTGAAAACGTCTGGATCACAACGAGCGGCATGTTCGCCCTTCCTCCGCTGGCGTGCCTGTTGCAGACTACTTCGATTGATCATGTGCTGTACAGTGTTGACTATCCATTCTCAACAAACGAAAAAGGGCTCGAGTTCTTCCGGGAGGTTGAGAAAAGTGGCTTAATTCCGGGGAAGGACTTGGAGAAGTTTGCATTTCGTAATGCAGAGAGCTTGCTCGGCGTAGAAGCCAGGGTTTTCCTTGAAAATTAGAATACAGTAGTAGCACCCAGCTTGTAACTAGGCCTCGAGTGAATTCAGAATTAACGTTTCAAGAACAACTATCTCAACTCTAGAGTTGTGAGAGATGTGAGAAATGACACGACCGTCCATACATAGATCATATCTATTTGGATATATATAGTTTTTACCACATATTCATCTTACGGCATATATTGTTTCCGGCTAGGATACGCTATAAATCAGTCTACACGGTTTTGATACGTGAAAAATGGCTTTTTAGCTTGGTGATTTTCTGCACTGAATTATATCACGGATGAGATAAAACTTTGAAGGGGGAAGACTTGGAGCTATACGATGAGTCTCCTTTAGATGACGCTCAGAAAGTCATGGAGAGGGTAAAAGGCGGTTTGCTAGGAGATAACTAGGGAAGAGGGTACTTTCTAGTAATTACATGTAAAATACGGTCGGCGCCGTTCTACTACGTTATATGCCCTGAAACGAACGAAGTGAGAGAAAGGGAATTAATCAACGCGAATGTACGTGTGCGCGAGACGTTGCAAAAAGAGGTGGCTTAACTATGTATGGACCGTTCTGCCACGCGCGCTGCCCATTCGCCATTGCTCGCGCCCGTACCTGCATTATTGTCTCTTTCTTCGGACTAGATGCTCTTGGCTTTAGGGTTGTAGGGCTTTGTCTGCATATTTCTGCACGTTGTCCTTCTATGATTGCTTCGTGTCCTGCTCTTTGGCCATCGCTTTACTGCGACGCTCGGTTGTGTATTACCCACCGATGTCTTTTGTCGCTATATCATCAATAGGCTTTACCCCTCCACATTCCTTTAAGTTACTGTCCCGCGATGTTATCTAATCGGCCTTGTTATGATTATGGCCGCTAAGTGCGTCTATCTATAACTATCCAACCGCCACGATGCCCCGCTTGTCGACTATCACGTTTCTCCCCTCTGCTGGAAACACGTCCCTGTTTGAACTGCCATGTTCCAATCCCCATAAACTCATCAAATATCCGCTGTGCGAGTTATGAAGTTTCGCCATCTTTAAATCCCTCTTATTCCCCTTGTTATAACTGTCGGAACCCTTTTCCTGTTCGAGCTAGCGTTATACGTTGTTTTGACTGCAGGTCTAGAAAATTAACCATTATACAACCGCCCGTTGATTTCCGCCACTTATATGCAAGCTCTTTCGACCTATCTATCAATTCATTCGAGCGGCCAAATCCTCTTCAAAATCCCACTCGGCGAAAACGTCGACAATCTCAACCTCCGCCTCCGCCACGCCCAACTCCTCATCCGTAGACTACAAAATCCGACAGTACATCTTTCGCCATTAACCGAGGAGTGAACTTTCTGCAAAAAGAAAATAAATTACGCGTACTTGCCTCGAACATATTCCTATCTGCTGTGTCCCCATTAGACATTCGGTTGTCTATAGCTCGTTTTGAGAACGAGATGGCACTTGCCAGCGGAGATACTATATGCTCTTCTTGCGGCAAGCTTGTCCCTAGTACTAATATACGTCGATTTCTTGATAGTGATCCCTTGCTGCGGCCATTGGAAGGGCTTCTCGATAGCTGCGGTTGCAATGACGGTTTCTCGAGTCTCTGCTCGATATGCTATGCCGCGCTCCTTCGAGGATCGACTCCGAAATTCTCCGCCCAAAATAATGTGAATATAACTCTTTGCTAGCACTATCCTGGCGCCCTCAAGGATCTTACTCTGACCGAAGAATATCTTATCGCCAAATCTCACCCTGTTGGGGTGGTTGTGAAATTACGGCCTAGGGGTCAAACGTCGCCGGCAAACTACCGTGCGTTACGTGGCCATTTCATCATTATACCGTAAGACCCAAAACCTCTCCTTCGAATATTGCCCAGTCCTGAGCTGCAGTTCACTGAGCTTATTAAAGTCTTCTAGCTAGGAAAACGATCCCCCACTGACGCTGATCTATAGCTATTTTTGACTATTCGTAAATATAAGGTTCTTGCTGCTCTTCGCTATCTCGTGCGTTATAACCCTTTGTATAGAGACGTTACGATAGATCATTCAGCTGTGGATCACTGGCCCGATGATTTTATACCTTTAGATTTATAGTAGCAAGTTATATATTTAGGCGACACGGATCACTACGAACGGGGTGGCTACAGTGTCAACTTATAGGAAGGTAACTACGAAAATGACTGGTAAGCCGTAGAGGACAACTATAACCACTTTACCGATGATCCTCTTCTAATCACTGCTTCTGTTATCACTAACTTAAATAGAGATCGCTAGAACCCTGATCTACGTCTGCTTAACACGGTGTATAACCTTGTTAATAACCTATTGCTCGACGTGCAACCTCAATATACCTTCACTAGGCACGCGAACCACACTCTTCCACTTTCTACTTCCCCGCAACGACCTCTAGTGGTTAAATATAGTATTCGAGGCTAGGCATTACTTTTAAACTAATGGCAAGATCCTCATTATCTTATATCTACCTTCCCTACGCTTTTTCCCGCGGGCATTAGAGGTCATCTGGACGATCGTACTATACCTATGTCCCTTATTGCCTTCGCGAATTAGGCACTTCGTCACTATAGCTGGAGGCAAGTCCTTCTCCAACTAGCTACGCAGAGTGTTGGCTGAATTTCTTAGGTTTGCCCGTTATAGGACGTTTATATACTTGTTATATAACGTTATATAGCTAAGAAATTCGTGTCTCGGCAATTCCCTCCTCATTAAACGATCCTAATGGACCACTATATCTAGGGATTTAAACTCACTTAATATTGATCGCCTATAAAAGGCGGCTGAAGAGCTCGCCTCTAACTAAGTCACCCCGGATCCGCTAGTCCGAAGGCTTCTCAAAAACATAACTGCTATCGGTGTCTAAGTACCGGGATCTTTCTTCCAAAAATTATAGATACGGGGAGAACTTCGAGGTCTCCTCGTTCGAGAAGGGATGCTAGCATTTTGGTTGATAATTAACCCTTCCGATCTTCAGAACCCTCTTGTTCTAGTTCTTGCTAGCGTAGAGTGTTCAACTAACCTCTCTACTAATATAGTATCAACTATTCGATACGCGACAGCGACTTCCGACCCCGTGGCTATAGCGAGATTCTTCCACTATACGTGCAAGGCGGTCCTTGATAGTCTCCTCGGTAGCAAACCTACCGACATTAGAGTTCTTGGGAACGTCTCTAATTACTTTGGTGTGGTGGAAAGCAATAGACGAGGCATATTACATCTACACACATTAGTGTGGGTTCGGGGCAATCTTGGTTTCATCCGCCTACGTAACTGTATTCTTGTAGACGATCATTTTGCAAATCGAATGGTTAGCTTTTTGGAAACTGTTATGATGCATAGCTTATATAGCTTGGATGAGGACCTAGGAACACCCGTCTCACACAAACCTCCTCCGTCGACTAGACCGGAAACAGACACGGAATTCATTTAGAACCTTCTTCGCGACAGCAACTATGTTGCTCATACTAAATAAGTTCACTCTAGGAATCACATAGTAACCTACTTTAAATACCGTCAGCAAAGATTGATCAATAATGTTTGTCGCTTCGGTATGCCTCGAGACCTTCTAGACGTATCTAAAGTAGACGAGCACGGCATTATTCACCTTGCTCGTAACCATACCTAGGTTAATCTATAGAACCCCTTAATTACTAGCTGCATCCGCTTAAATTATGATATCTCCTAGATTCCGACCGTGTCAAAATCGTTGTCTCTTCTATATTATATTACTAACTATGCTACTAAGGACGACATTTCACCGTGCTATATAGTGACGAAAACTACATTATTGAAGTAGATAATTGAACGTGCAAACGCCGCCCCTACTCCTACCACGGCAGATTCAAGACTTCGATAAAGGGGTATGGACAATTTTGCTCTCCGCTGCTTCAATAGCTTATCACAAGACCAGGAAATTAGTGGAGTTTAGGTGGCGAGTATATTACTCCAACTACCCTCCTACTACACACTTAACTACAACTTCACTCGTGTTAATCTCTAGTGGCTTAGACGTTACGTTCGTTCTATCATTCCATCAGAACAACACCGTGGAGATGCGTTGCCGTCCGATACGATTAGAGAAGAGCCATACAATTATGACTAAGGTGCCCCCGCACTAGCAAATATATTCGATAATTATAAGTTGCGTAGCGATCACTTATCCTGCCTATCCATCTTCGAGTACTATATAATAGTACGCACTAAGAGGCGCTAGGATGCGATATCAGAAGATATACCCTTCGATGAAAAGCATCCAAAACACCGTACGCACGTGCAAAGGCTGGCTTAGTCTCCATCTTAAACGGCGACAGTAACCCTATAAGGAGAGCTAACGGAGTTTCAGTCTTCGGAGGATTCTGTGCTAGGTGGTAATCCTACAACCATAGCTATTTAGAATGATCTAGCCGAGATCCTCCTTGGACTTTTCGTTCCTTAGCAAAACTTATTCTCGCTTTTTCACTAAGCACCTACTACACCTACAACCACACGCGAAATTCTTCATTATATCTAGACGTCCGTTGAATCAACTCTTCCGGCATATATTCGAACATTTACATAAAACATCGAACTCTTGCGTAAATCAAAAAGTGACTGCCAAGCTAATACTATATTACGTAGCTAGTCTACTCAATAAGCTTGCCCGATTGGCTAAGAACTAGCCAATCCTCCGTACCCTGCGTCTGACTCGGAAAATGAGCGTCTATATCTTTCACAAAACTTAGACGATTCTCTAGATAAAGAGACCCTTTTGGCTGCTTTTTTTGCAATAACTCGGCGCTGGATGCAGGAAGCCCAAGATGCCTAGCGCCGAATCGCCACTCTCGCCTTATTTTCTTTTTTTCCCTCTATCTCTACAACCATAAAATCTCCGACCCCTCTATATTCCTGACAACGCGCTATATAAATCCTCTAGTCTCAGTTTCTTTCCGGCGTCTACCCTATAAGAATAGCAGGATTATATTAAGAATATTACTAAACTTATAGACTAAGATCTATACACCGAAACGTTAGCCACCACTGTACTGGATCTTGATGATTTCAATCTCGAATTCGTCGACGAAGTTTTGGTCCCTATACTCACTGACTTAGCTCCACTCCCTGACTCGCTATAATATCGCTTACGAGTGGACCAAAATCCGACGGGCGCTTTAATAACCTCCCTCGTGTGCGAGATAGTCCCCCTAAATAAGAAATAACGCATTGTCGTGGAGAAGGTGCTCGCTGAAGCACTTATCTACGCCAACCATCTATATAATCCTTCGCAGCGGAAACAAACACTCCTTTACGTCGGAGGTAAAGGAGGTATAGGCAAGAGCTAGATAATTAAAGCGATTGTCACCGCGATAGATCTAATCCACCGTAAGAACGAGATTATCCTAATAGCCCTAATAGGGGCAGCGGCTAATGTTATTGGAGGAAGTATATATTATATATCCCTTAGAATTTCTCTAAACTAGTATCGACGAACCGGAGTAGGACTAAGGGTCCGTAGGCTATAGTCGCGCAAAACAGTTATAATTATAGACGAGGTAAGCATAGTAGATCTCTCCGCACTTAGCATTATCAACACCTACTGCAAGATCGCGCGATCCCTTAATAGATCCTCTCCGGACCTCTTTAGTGGTTTGCCTATCGTTATTCTTATAGGAGATTTTTACTAATTTCCTCCGGTCTAGGGCTAAGCCCTGTGGAAATTGCCAAAGAATAAAACCGATCAGGACGGAAAACTTATCTAGTCCCAATTTAAGTAAGTTATCATCCTCCATGAGCAAATGCGACAAGCAGAAGACTTACCATATCGAAACCTACTAACACGAGCGAGGGCTAGCACTCTCACGAATAATAATATATTAACGTTGAACTTAAAGGCGATCACTTCACTAACCGATCCTTATCTATAAACCACAACAGCAGTCGTTAAGCTAAACGCTCTTCGACACGTTATAAATCGTTTCTAGATCGAGCGTTTCGCTTAGGCGAGATATCAGAGAATTATCATTTTCCCTACTATCCACACCCGCACAAGGTCTTCCAGCCTAATAGATCTAACGCTTCACGCGGATGACCTACTCGGTCTTCCTAAGCAAGGCGCAAAAATCCCTTTTCTAGGGCTTATTCTCTATATACTCTCTATGCCGACAATGGTCTTAATAAATATATACACGCCTATTGGATTAGTCAATAGTGTAACCGGATAGGCGGTAGGCGTTGTTGTGGACCCAAACTATAAGTCACCGCTCCTAAGATATATTTGGTCACCTGCCTTAATTAATCTAAACTTAAATAGCGGACTTTCACGAACTCGATGAATTATATATCTTCTATACTAAACCTCTAGTATACCTTCTGTTTAAATTAAACCGATCTAAATCTGTGTCTATTTATTTATTAGACGAAAATGTATTACCCATTTTTCCACTCGAGGCGTCCATAATAGTGAAAGGCTATTTAGTGCGCCGGAGACAGATTCCTATTTATTCAGCCTTTTGTCTTACCGACTATAAAATTTAGGGTGCGACCCTAGAATCCACTATTTTGGATCTTAAGGATGATCGGAATGGTCGACGCCAAGACTCGCACCGGAAATATTGCTCTACCTACGTGTAACTGTCTCGCCTACGCTCACTGACTAGTCTTCACCTTCTACAACCAATTAATATAAGTGACCTCTAGCACAGGCCGGATCCTTAGTTGCTAGGTGAGATATAAAGATTGCAAGCTCTCGAGCTCGATACTCTTACTGTATAGCAAAAATAACTCCCGATAACTTACTATATACCTAAATTTTCTCCTCTACGTCTTGCGTATATGCGTGATTAACTTAATAAAGACAAACCTCATCCTCTCTATGCTCTATTTAACTTCTTCCTAAGAGGAGCGGTGAGAGAACGTTTAGACTAATCATAATCATATTCGTATCTATATATATAGTTATGCACCTTCACCGGTTTCGACCAGGCAATCCCTGCTAGGCCCCGCCATATAGCGTTCTAGCCTAGAATAAACTATCCTTCGCATCCTCCCACCTTCCTCGTCTTTTTACCTATAAACCTATATATACACTACCTTTCTATTCTTCCTACAATATTAAGCCCTATACTTAACTATATCTCTTTCCGCTATGCCATTAAATAAATCTTTCCTAGCAATTCTTTATATCCGCGATTTTATCGAGCATATCGAACCGGATCCAACGCGCCCTGGTAAAGGACTATCTATATAGTTGCGTATTTCACTTAATATCCTAGACAAAGATATACGATTAGACGATGTTGAACAAGATAATATCCCCACCCTGGTTCGATTTTTTAATGAGGGCAACTAACCTAAACTATACCAACCAAACACGTTCATCTATGTATGGGGCTCTTTCCTTACAATCTCCTCTAATAATAAGGACTTCCACATTCTTCTTTATGCTAGCAGCGTTGACCGGTTAGTAACTTCCATTCCCCCTAAGAACAAACCTAACATAATCTAGACACCCTAGTGATCAAGAAGACATAGATTTATATTTTATGCACTGCCCCGAAGCGGCTTAGCCTATCGTCACCGTTCTTGGAACTATTCTCGAACGCGGGGGTTAGCTAAACGATGGCCTAACCCTATTACACTATCGTCTCCAATCTACAGTTTACAACAGTTCGTCCCGAAGCCATCACACATTCCTTCTGACCGCATATTTTAAGAACGGACAACGCTAGGCGAACTTTCCACCACTAAACATCAACACCAGCATTTTTCTGACTGGGCGTATTTTTGGCGTCACTAAAGAGAATCGCCAACTAGCTATGATTATAGACGATATATATTTCCTGCCAACTATATCGCAGTCTCTGCCCCTCACCCCATCTTCAACAACTAGTAAACGAAAACGCCAGGACCGCTGGTCCCAAAGAGCTAACGCTTAGTCTCCATTTAAGTCTGTGTTGGAAGGAGATTCGACCTCAACTAACCAACTATCGTACACACCCACTGAAACTGATGCTCTAAATGACGACGAGGAGGAAACCTAGATAATTTGGCCAGACACATCCGATGATACTCAATCATCACCACAACCATATACTCCTACGCCAAGGAGACGTTCCCAAAGACCACGAAAAACATCCTAAACTGTTGCTAGATCAAAATACAACAGTTGAAGTCTCTACATAACAAATTCAATCCTATTTTTCACGTTTTCCACGACCTAGGTATTAGCTATGCTTATGCCTTCTGTTATTCGTCTATCTTGTTTAATATGTATGTGACTCACGCCTCACCGTTTCAACCCTCTATTTACACTTTTTACTTACTAACCATCCTCTTCTTTTCATCGTTTCAGGGCCGATGCGCGCCCCGCGCGCGTCTTCCAGTAAGATACAAGATCTATTCCTGGAACTAGGGAATCGACGTCTCTACCGTATTTTGATTAGCGTGTTTTAGATTAGGGTTCGGGAATTAACATCGATGAGTATAAGGGTAAATCTGATCTCGAATATTATGGTACCTTATATTTCAACCCTGATTATTTCTGCCATCAAAAGTTCGGTCAGGATGTTCTGACCAGGGACCATGTACAGTAGCTTTACAATATAATCCAGTCACCTTTTGAAGCCCGATTACATTTAATTTGGTGGTGATGAGGTCAAAATTCTGACGGTTTGTTGGATATTGGGTACCGAACATGTATGTCTGTTACCTCATGCGCAAAAAGGACGGATCCGAGGTAAATGGATAGCGATCATTTATAGTGTGTCCAATTCCATATTAGCCATATTTCTAGTTTCGCCACTTCCAGGCACAATCTCAAAATTAATGTAAAATGAATAAAACGGGACGTCATATGAAGCTTCTGTAGGAGGGATAAAAGCACGAGATCCAACCTGAAACTTGACTCCGATGGACTAACTTTGGCACCTATGAATCAGAGATGCAGGTCCTTCACTTATTTATCGCTGGCGCTCAACCCCTGAGGGGTGGGAACAGTGAGCATCTCGACATCGACTTCGACGGCACGTTTCTCTTCGAACCTTTCCTCGACCTTCTGACGTACCTCCTGCAGCTTGGCCAGCTGGGCCTTGGCCTCGTTGGCGAACTTGGAGTGGGCTCGCAGTGTCGGGCCGACCTTGAGGAAGACAAAGGGCAGAGGGGCAAAGGCCAAAGACAGGAAAGCAGGAATGGACGAGGCCCACTGCGTGCCGAGGTTCTCGTACATATACATGGTGAAGAGGGGGCTGTTTAGGAGGAATGGCTGGTTAGCTGCATGCATCGAGATAGAAGGCGACAAAAGCGGAGAAGGGAAGCTTACAAGGCGAACCCAAATAGGGCGCGAACAATAGAGTTGGTAGCCGCTGCCGTGGCGGCAAAGAGGCTATATGTATCTATAATATAGTTGGTTAAGGAGATAAAGACGAGGACGTTGCCCAGTCCAAAGAAGATGGTCCCCACTAGGCCAACGGCCCAGTGGATGCTCTGGTAAGATGTCCAAGCGAACCAAAACAGACTGATGGGAAGAATAATAGCGCCATACAAAGCCGGCTCGAGGCGCATTTCGGGGTTCGACACGACGCCGGGACGGGCAATCTTCTTGCGGTACCTGAACTCGAGAACCACGTAGAAGGGTACGCCTAAGATCTGGCCGATCATGATACCAACGTAGGCCAGGCCCGACACACCCTGGGTCCAGTGACGCTGATCTACGAAGATAATAGGGAAGGCGGCGAAGATAAGATAGAGGATGCCGTAAATGATGGCCGCGTACACGGCCATGCCTATTGAGATTGGCTCAATCACCGCCATGACCATGGGGCGCACAATGGCCGTGCTCAGGGTCGAGCCAAGAGTCTTGTGTGGGAGGCCGACATCAAGCTTGCTGATGTACTCCTTGCCTGTCTCCTTGCTCATTTTGGCGGCCCGACGTCGCAGGATATAAGGTCCGTAGGTCTCGGGCACAAAGAATAGGCCGAGGAAAAACATTAAGGTGAAGAAGAGCGTGCATAGGACGTCCACCCACCTCCATCCGCTGCTGGCAGCGAGAAAGTTGCCGCATATGGGTCCAAGCGTAGGGCCAAGGAAAGGGAACATCGAGTACGCCATGACGGCAAGTCCCCGCTCCGCTGGCACGAAGATGTCAGCGACCACAGCGGGTGAATTAGAGATAGCGGCCGAGCTGAAAGAGCCGACGAGGAAGCGGAGAACTAGCATTGCGGCTATGCCGTGTTCGTTACAGGCAATAGATGTGCCCGCAAATAGGATCGAGGCGCCTAAGGTGATGAGGTAGATAGACTGGCGGCCGTAGAGCTCGGACAGTGGGCCCCAGATGACGGGCCCAACGGCGAAGCCTAGCACAAAGAGGGATACAGTGAGGATAGAGACTTCGTCAGACATGTGGAAGTACTCCTTAACCTGAAAGATTGCGCCGGCAAAGACAGTTGAGGAGAACGAGCAAGCCAGGGTGTTGAAGGCACAAATCATAACGATGACCCATTTCATGGCCGGTGACATGTTGAAGCCATTCTTGGGGTCGTTGGGGAGCCAGTCCACCACGTACGGATCCTCGATCGTGCCGCTACCAGGGTAGTCGTGGTGACGGACTTCATCAGTAATTAAAGTCTGGTCCACGACAAGTTTAAAATGGCTGGGGCGACTTGGCGGACTTTTTGGTTGGCTCTTGTTGTCGCTCTTGAAACTTGGCGTGCCCATTTCCCTTGTGACTTGTGGCGGTGACAGAGATAAATGGCTACTTTCAGAAATAAGCTAAGTCAAAGACCTCAGCAAGCAAGAGACAAGGAAGACACAAGCTCGTGATGATCCATGCAACACAAAACAACAAGGTTGACGACCGTCTGAATTGGAGGTAAATGAGGCTGCGAAATCTCAAATAAATAGGCATAAACAAAGGCGTGACAAAGGACGGAGATAGATAACGGAGGTAACGAAACCTGGAACGGACTTTATTTTTTTTAACTCCTTGGCATACAGATCCCTCCTGAGACGCGGATAACTAGACAGGGATCGTCCGGGAGCTATTCCTCATTAGAGCCCCCTACCTAGAAAACCAAGAGTTGAAAATAGTAACCATTTTAAGTGAAAATTTTAAATCACCGAGGGCGGTTAATAATCTGGGCTAAATAGCATACCTTCGATTGGCCGCCGTGTGATTATACTTTTATCAACAAAACCCACGTCCAGTACTACATAGATCATGGATGTAATACCTTTCCAGTCACTTTTCTGATTGTATATTTTATCTTGATCTCTTTGTTTTCCAAATCGCAACACTAATTTACCACCCCATCTCTTCACCATTCCGTGCTGTCCGTTTCATCGAATAACGTGCTGACGATGCAACTCACAACCAGTCATCAAAGAGCTTCTTGCCACCGTCTATACGGATTACTTGACTTCTCTGGATGATGAATTCACAGGAAATGTGGAACAGCAGGATGCCTTCTCGGCGGTGCCTCTTGCGGGTTGTTTGAAGCTGAGATTTCGACAGCTCACATAGCTTGACCTCTATTGAAACACCCCTAAACTAGCTATCAGGCTACAGCAGTAGCACTGCTATGCTGATTATGATATGTAGGTCGCCACCTTGGGAAAGAGTAATTTGCAAAGTCAATCAATGACAATTCACCCAATAAAAGACAGAGAAAATAGGTAGATTCCTTTAGGAATATCTTCTTAGACGGATTGCTGATTTTTAGCATTATATCTATTAGAACGAGTGTGTATTCGTTGTCTAACTACGGCTTCCACGAACCGATGGCGAGTCACCGCAGGAGTTCCATGTGTAATTTAATCCCTCAAAAATCCTTCAAAAGTTCCAAATTTTTTCTTCCGAATGCAGACGCATATGTGTTGTTAAGTAAAGCCTCGTCGGTCAGCCACCTTGAGCTAGTTGTTCTGGGTAAAGATATAGCTCGTAGGATTACATATATAGATCTACATATGGAGGAGCTTCTTGTCACAGGCGATGGAGATTAAATAGATAAGAGCATTGAGACATTGCGCCTCGCGGACCTACGAAGACAAACTACTTGCATCGTGGGATCGATGGTTCTGGGGGGTTCAATTCCATCAATCAGCACACTAGTGTGCCTACGCACTCCTTTTCACAGCGTCTTTCGACCGTAGCCAGGGGTCCGGTGCTAGAATCAAAAAAACCTTGCACCCAATCTGTCGATTAGATGTACACACATCCTGTATAAAGGGGTTGATACTATTATGGATCCTTGCTTAAGAATCCTCCCGCCGGAAGGGCCGCCGGACTCCCCTCCGGACCTAAGTGAACCGTGCGAAGTGGGGACATTGGAGTGGAGTGTACGTACCATAGGTCAACGAAGGGTCCCTATATAGTCGTTTCAGCCTGATTGCCCTATATATAAGGCTAAAAAAGATTATTCCTTGACCGTTTCGGAGTCCGAGAGGGGGTGCCCCTTTTCAGTCATATAATGATTGACTCGTTATCCCGGGGTTAGATTGGAGATAGGGAGCCTGCCCGGCCTAGTTCTAACAGCAAGGACTATATACATCTAGACTAGTATGCTATCACATTATGTCCCGAGAAAATTGAAAGGTCGTTTCTAGACACCTCCCATAACATACCATCCCTCACACGCAAAGATAACAACCGCGAACAAACTTAACACAAAGCTGATTAGGGCGACCCCTAAGTGGCTTTCGTAAAGAGATGAGATGTTGCCGTAGCTTTAATCAAAAACCTTTCGTGTTCGCTTTCGCGTAAATGAAAGCCTGCTATCTAGACTAAACAGATGTACGACGCTGATACAGTTAACTACTACTCCGGAAAGCAGCCTTTCTCGTTAGCGCCCTATTCTTGTCCATTGATGAAGACTATCGAAAATGGCAGCACTACGTTCAGATAGGCCGTTCAACAGACATTTTTGAGAAAGGAGCGACCTTTAATTTGTTGTATCTAGTTTTAAACAGGGTAGTCACTAGCGAAAGGTGATTTAGGTTATATGCTCATATAACTAGTTGTCCTCTCTACCAAGAAAATGGAAGGCTAGCTAGTATACTTATATAGCAAAGGAATGACAAATAGGTCAGTAATGCCTTCAGGCTAACACCTTCCTTCAACAGTCCCAAGTATAATAACATGGCTCTCAGTGCTGCTCCTCCACATTCGCAATGTTGGATCTCGCGGAATTGAATTGGGCCTTGAGCAAATTGAGTTTTAAAGGCTCATCTTTAGTCTTGTTGGACTCGGCGTCGGTAGTAAGATCGGCGTTGGCATTACGAGTGGCAGGCCTCTCCGGTTTGAATAGGTTTTGGACTTCCTGTATCGCCTGCCATAGCTAAGATCTCTCCTCAGTTGTAGTCGTGTTGGCGGATTGAGGCTGGAACCCAGTTAGGTATGTCCTGTATCATTAAAGATTTCTAAGGTTATCCTACCATATTTGAAGAGTGTGGGTTTGTAAATTGTGAGTGGACAATATAACAAGTTGTCTTGTCTGGGATTAATATCCGTGAATGATGGAGATGGTTAGGGGGGGGGGAAGGGGGGGGGGGGGGGGAGGTTATATAGCACTTAAGGCGGCCGTATTCCAGTTGAATACGTAGGTGACTTAATACCCCTGGCCAGACTTATTCGCTGGCCGTACATAAAACTAATGGAGCACGCGAGTATATATGAGGTGATGTGGACGATGACTCCGAATGCAGGCGCACTGGTATGTACCTATGCTGATAGCTAGTAGGTGATAAACCTATAGAGTTGGGTAAATCCAGATATCCCCTCTTAGGTTTCGACCCGTCTAAGCGATTGGTCTTAATATTCGTCCCTCGGAGTGATTCGTTCCATTCTTTATTCCTGGTCGGATGTTTTGCACTTGCTCGCATTTTTAGCCGTGTCCGTGAGCCCATTTTGCTTCCCCACGTGGTGGGCCTTACATAAACGCCTTATCACATTGCGGACTTTATGCCTGGATATTCGGAAGGATCGAACCATTCAAACCCCTAGAAAAATGTGCACACGCTTCTTGATATTATACACATATAAGGTAGCATCATGAGGTGACAATTGAAATGAGGGTCGTTAATACGCCCGCACATTCATACCAAGGCACGTTAGTGCTGTTCGTATTGTCTTGGATCACTAGGTATCTTGATGCTTGATGGCAACCAAGCACTTAGCTACCCCAAATAAGACATATAGTTTCCTAGCATATGTTTTGTCCCCTCCACTTTGCCACAATGTGCACCGCTTTCCTTTCAAGGCCACAATATCTACCACTTCTCAATCTTATTGAATGAAGGGGGTGATCATATGGTATAAACGGCAAAATATAGGTGGAGATTCAGAGGTGGGGAGGCGGGGGAACAAAACACGTATGGATCGACTATATGCCAAGCATCCTGGGTTGTAATAGCTACTCGCGCGCTATCGTTGTGGCGCATTAGTAGCCTGTCACTAGTCAGCATTGACTTGACTACTGTCTATTACTTAGTAGGTATGGAAGGAGACGCTATTGTTGCACTTATATAGGTGGAAATTGACCCGCATAAGCGTAGGATTCTCCGTTGGCAGTGCTTCCGTACGAAAGGTACCTTTAGGCAAGTGAACTGCGTTCTGCCTCCAAGGGAACTGCGTTCTGCCTCCAAGGGGACCACATCGCTAACCGGTTTCAGAACCGAAGACAACGGTGTTATCCGAGGTATATGACACAAATGATGCGCTGGCTAAGATTACAGTTCCCTACCACGTGTTTCCCGTACCCACTTGATTATCCACTTTATTTTCTGCTATCTATATCACATTAGCACCCCTTAATAGCCTGTTGCATACTCTTGCCTCTCTATCACCTTAACACACCGGCGATGCATTGATTCAGCTAGGCTTTTTAGAAACCTTTCGGGCACTGTGTCTTATGCTTCTTGAATGACAATACGTAGCCTTTCTATCTTTATATCCTTAGGGATCGATTATACCGCTGATCATTAAAGCGGTGGCTTTACCTACGCTCTTTTCTCAGTATAGCCACAGCTTTCCAGCGCTTGCTTTTAAGTAGAATATAGTAGGTCTAGATCTAGCACAGGCTCATCAAATCCTTAAATTTGATTATTAGAAACTAATTGAATAGAGGCAATAGTATAGTTGGCGTCTTCGTGTGTAAGGATTAGATCGTGGCCCTTCGTATGCTTTGATGTAGCCTGCTTGCTGACGGTACAGGTATGTTAGACCTAACCGTACGAGAGGCCTAGCCTGCGGGCTATAGCACCTAGACTCTAGCCATCCTCATGGTATTTAATAAGAAGGCGCTAGTCACGGATAAGGTTTAACCTATAATTCTTAGGCGTGCATGGTAAATAGACCGGCACTCACCCGTCCCGCAGATCCAAAGTCAGGAACCTCCACCCGCACCGCCGAGGGTCGGGGTCCAACCTCACCGACCCTGACCGTAACCCTGACCCACATACGACACAATTTACCTATTTAGGACACGACTTACTATTTAGGATAGATGGGTAAGTGGATTGAGACCGAAAATATGACTTTTCTGCCTAAAACGTGATGTCACGTGGGGACCCTGCGTGTGACCGTCAGAGAGGCGGGATGTTAGAACCGCCACCCGCCAAGAGGAGGTGAGGTCCGGAGGGTCACCCGCGGGTGAGTGCCAGGTCTAGTGGTAAAGGGGCAGGGGTAGATAAAAAGCCTGATATTAGGGTCGTAGGCATAG